TTATTATTTTACATCAGAATTCATTATGGCATCTGCTTCCAAGCTGGCGATGTCGTGTGAAGCCAAGAGTGGCCCGAAAGGATCAGCCTATCGAGCACAGAGAGAATACTACCACTGCGATAAGGGCAGTCGTACCAAACGCAGTTCCAGCTTTCCCAACCACTGCCGAACGAGCGTCGGAAACGATTCAAAGGGAACCAAAAAGTTGCAGTCGCCGGGTCCGACAGGTGAAAAAAAAAAAAAAAAAAGGGTCTGGCAAAGGGCGCATAGTACCACAAATGATCACCTTACTAATCGACTGAAACACTCGCGGACTGAACGTCTGCGCTTCTGAGGTCTCGGAGTGAACAAACCAGATTGTCTCAACACCCAGTTTATTAATGTAGAAGACAACTCTCCAAGTCATATTAAGAATAACACATCTCAATGGTATCTATCAGGGTACTTTAACACCTAGCCTCGAAATGACTTTGTCGGATAATTCTACTAAGCTCGACGCGTTCATAACTTCCAACGTCGTAAGTTTTACCCCCAGCACCGTACGTACCCAATTCCGTAACTCTACAGCTGCGAGCGAGTCTATCCCAAAGTACGAAAGAGGTCGTTCTGGGTCAGGCTTAGTGCTGGAGCGCAGCTGCTTTGCCAGTTGTTTACCCATGACCATGATGGCTGCCGCACGTACGGTCGCCAAATGCAGATCCTGGGACTGTGTAAGAAGTAAAAGGGCTTGGATGTCTTTGTCTTTTCCAGTAATATTTCCCCCGTAGAATTTACAATCTGCTTCCGGCCTTAGCAAGCCCCTGAACCGCAATTTCTTGACCAAGTCGCTGTCATGGGGTTGCGGAACCTGTAGACTTGTAATCATCTGGCCGTGATTGTTGAGGTGATGCTGCGGGTGCTGTTGAATGATAGAGCCATCAAAGATCCGTCGTAGCAACCCTTCATTAATCATGAGAAGGGAACTTCGTCAAACCTTTTTTGTAGAGATTCATTGCCGTGAACGACGCCGACATCTCTGACGGGCCCAAGGTCGATGCTGACTGCGGGGAGTCCTAACGCGCAGCGATATGCTGCAAAAGCATCCTCAAATCTATCACTTCAGAAATGGAGGATAATATACAGGAGAACACAATTGGCTGCTTTGTTTCAAAGACACATTATGTAGATTGAACGTGCCGGTTACCTTGCATGACAGAGCAGAGTGGTAGTCTTCATGAGACATGGATGCAAATGTTCGATCCTGATGATGATACTGAGGTCATTATGGGCCGAGTGATGGAGACTTGTCCTTGCAATGATGTCTTACCCTGAATACTGCGGCTCGTTGGATGATACCACTGATCGGAGCCGAAACTTGACCGAAAGTGCGTCTGACATCGTTGATAGAATTTACATCACCTTTTAACAAGTCAAGTGAGCATCCCAACGTTCGAATATTGCGGGCGATGCTTTGAGATACATTGTCCTCATGACCACTGCGAGAGAGGATAGCGATATGCTTAGCGCCGTGGGCAGCCAAACGAAGGGCTAGGCTCCCACAAATGCCCTTCAAGCTGCCTACGAAGAGGTAGCAGTGGTAGTTGTTGCGAAGAACAGACGTTAACGAGGATGACGCAGGTCGAACCTGAGCGCGTTAGGATCTTCACTCTCTCACAATATATTTGGAATCTTACTGGAATATTCGGGCAATCGGTCTTGCCGTTGGAGACTACGACCTTTCCGACAGGGCTGCGTTGCTGAAGGAGCTGCATAGACTCAATGATATTTTCATAACCCAAAACTTTGCAAGGAGATAGAGGGCCAATGTAGCGTTTTTCGATGAGCTGAGAAAGCTCCAAAAGTAGTCTGGGAGTATAAGTACCAACACTCCATATTGGTTAGGAACAATCGACACAGAAGTTAAACTTACAATTTGATAGTATCCAGTGGCAAGTTTACAGTTGACCGCAAGGGAACCCGTGGATCGCTTGTATCCCTTGTCAGGTCTTCCATGTGTTATCTGGACCAGGCGCCCTCCCGGAGCAAGTAATCGAGGTTGCTCATGAATCGATCTGCCATACACTGGCGGCAATGATAGTCGCGTGGACCGTAGGGTTGATCGCCTTGTGGGAACCACCAACTCTACTTTCTGTGGCTTGTGCTGCTGTGGGATTACAATGTCTGTGCGGATTCATCTTGAGCTATGAAGAGAAGCACGATTCTATATCGTACTGTTGGTATGGGTTAGGAACACTCTTCCCTAGAAACTAATGCGGTACGTGAATGCTAAGTCCATTTTACAGTTCTGGCTACTGTGTAGTAACTTGTTGCCTATATTTCCTCGTCTCCGGGGCGAGCTATTATAAATGTTTCTCAATTTCAGGACTAAACGAAAAGGCACGAGTGAGGTCCCGAGAAACAGGTGAAGTACTCTGGTTGAGCCGGATACTTTAGAGCACGCGTATGTTAAACGACGACCTTTCAATCAGCTAGGTATAGGAGCTTTTCTCGAATGAGATCTTGTGTTTACAAAAAACCGCTAAGGATTTGGACAAAGCTGTTAAGCTACTGGATGTACCAGCCCCCGCCGTCTTCACTCTACATATTTACGCGTAACAGAAAATTTAGAACGGGTACGCAAGCCGGATTCCCACCATAGATATCGTAATATCCCAAAATGATAGATTTTTAGCATTGTTGATCTCAATGAAATTAGTCCTTGCTTGATTGAGACCTTTAACAATTTTCGGAAAAGCACAATCCAAGAGTCCCATTTTGCTCTTCAAGAGTGCCAATTAAAGGGGTCATGGCGGTCATGAAGACGGAAAGCGCCATTGAGTATCAGCTAATATGATCCAGGGCTAAGACTACTACGCCTATCTCAGCAGCGCAGGAATTTACATGATGACATCACAGTTTGGCTAATAAATATTCAATTCAACCTTTCATTAAGCAACACAAAATTTGAAGAGAGGCACATTGAAGGAAAAAAGCAGCAATATACCGATTTCCTTTTTGAGTAGAAGGCGAGCGGCTCCATCACAGAATATGTGGAAAGAGCAAGCTCTTATGCCAAAAGGTGATGGAACTAGACCCGGCCTCAACGCCAGTAGTGATTTCTGGTAACTTGTTTTTCTTCTCGACTAGTATTGCCTCGGTAAGAAGATAATGAAGATCCCTCTCGGAAATGGGCATGTAATTCAGGCTTCTTAAAACGGATGTTATATCGTATAATCCGCTACTTTCGTACCTCTGAATAGATCCAAGACCAATGATAGGACCAAAGTCTACTACTCAGGCAGGAAGAGTGCGAGCCCGTCTTTGAAATGCTAGGGCAATCATGAACTTGAAAAAAGATTAGTTCATTGAGGTTGTCATTTGGTGGAAGCTAAATACTCACATTGTTAGCAGCAGCGTCCTTCGCTTGGGTTGACTGGCCAGTCAGAGCCGAAATAGACGAAAACAGTAGAAAAAAGTCAAGATCGTCATGAGAGAAGACTTCGTCAAGGACTACAGAGCCATCCACCTTGGACCGAAGTACTTCTTGCAAGACGTCGTAATCTAAGTCGGACAGACAATTCCGGTTCGACTGTCCACAGACTTGGCAAACCATCAGTTTTTACGATGATACCACCAATCAGTCGAAGGAAGCTCTACCTCACCAAAAGCATCTTCTACAAATTACAATTCGGACCCAAGGGCCAGATTTTAAATTTGAGCTGTTGCCGCTTCACTCGCCGTTACTAGGGCTGCTATCAGATTTAACGTAAGCGGAACCTTATAGAAACTACACCGAAAGTATACTTAATTAGCAGTCTCGTTGTTCCGGATTGGCTGATGTAAGTGGTTGCTGTGGTGGGGTACGAGAGATGAGGGGTGGTCCACCCCACGTGTAAATAGCAACGCCGCAGCTGTAAAGGGAGCTCTTCTTTCCTCTCCTATCCCACTTTGGATTTTTGCAATATTACAGGATTCGCGGCAGTGCATTGATTATCCCCTGGTGCCGTGACACCAGCTCTTATTTTAACACTCTCGTCTCGACGGTGCATTATAGTGCTTCCAACCGAGCCAATATGTAGGACGAAGCCAGGGCACAATGGGGCAATGATCGTGTCAGCAAGGCGGCATCGGTAGGACAGATTGAAGCGCACCGCAAGCTGGGAGCGGCTACTAAGTTAGTAGCGCTTGCTATACGAGCCGGTTTAAGAAGGCGGGAGTTGATGGATAGGTCCTTCACGGAGGGCCAAAACGGTTCGTATAGAACGTGGGATGTCAGCTGCCGGGGCGGGACTCCATTTTAGCGCCAGAACTGTAACCTTGAGATTTCCGATATCAAGCGGGCGGTTACCAGTTTGCCTACGGGAGAGTGGACGGTTCCAGATTTCTCTAGAACCTATGGTCGTGTGTGGTAGTACTGGGCTGTATCTGATGCTGTATGCACAACAGCTCCGGACTTCACCACCTCCCTCGACCCGGGATCGACAGGGCCTTGTATGGGAATTATCACCGCGGGTGTGTTCATGGCACATCCATTAAAACACACCGCAACATATAAACTTGCAAAAGATGACCGTCTTCCGAGCGTCATTGCTTCGTATTGCTAGAACCGACTAGTCTACCAATAGTCTATCGTGTCTAGCGCGATCCTTGAGTCCAGTCCAGTCCAGTCCAGTCGAATTAAGTCCAATAGAGTCAGGTCTGTATATCGCCCAGCACGTTTCCATCGTGTCTTGCGATCATTGTCGCCAATCAGTGGCGAAGTAGTTCATAAAATACAAGGTATAACCATAATACGACTATCAGAAAGAAATAGAAATCCTCCACGAATCAATTGCAAGGGCTGCCGTTGCATCAAGAGGGGATGTATCTCAATGGCTTAATTCACCTCCAACACCATGTGAAAGACTGGCGCGAAACTCAAATTCACCCTCGCTAGGTGAGCATGTCGATGATTGCTCGGAGCAGCTTGGTCAGAGCAGATTGCTTCAGTAGTCGAAAAAGAAAGAGGCCTGCTCTTCGCCCTAGGCAGAGCCAACGGTGCCTGGATCCTTTGCAAAGTCGCGCTGGGTCTGCTTCTGGCCGGACTTTCTCACGGTACCGGTGCGAAGCTTGCTGGGGAGGGCCTCGAGCTTCTTCTCCTCCTTCTGCACGTCCAAGTCGAGGTCATCTTCAACGGGTGGAGCATAGTCGCCATCCGAGTCATCATCTCTGCTCGTCTTGCATCTGCTGTTGCCCTTGCCCCTACCCCTTCTGCGTCGCTTGGTGCTGGCTCTCTGTCGGCCGGAGTGGTTGCTGTCTCGCTTTCGCTTGCGGCTTCCGTAGCCCAAGCTCGAGTGGAGGGCGCGAACGGGCTCCTTGGAGGCCCAAGGACCATAGTCGTCGGAGTCGGAGTCGTCATGATGCTGGTGGCGGGTGGCAGTGTGGAGCTCCGGGTACCCAGTGAGACGGGGCTCCTCCTTGTCGTGGATGTTGAGAAGATGATCCAGTTCAGGTCCCAGCGGGGGTGAAGTAAGACTGTAGCCGATCGCTGCTGCCAGAGCATCAATATCGGTACGAGCGCGGATCTGAGCGACATCGTCGGAGTCAGGGATGTTCTGGGGACACATGAGTTCACCAGCAGGGCTGACATAGCGAGGGATGCTACTCATGGGCGGAGTGGCCGGACTTTCCACTTTGATGCCATCTTCGGTCAGCAGATTCTCCTCAGGATCGATGACAGAGGGTCGGTGGTAGAAGATGAGGCCAGGTGATTGACCATTGATACCGTCGGGGTGCTGAGACACGAAGAGGCCAGAGGCGAAGACTGTGGGTGCCTCCTCGTAATAAACGCTTACGGGATTGTCAACAACCCAAACTTCCTGGCAGATGATTCTGGAGTATGCCTCCTTGCGCACAGCGTCGAACATCCTCGGGTCTTGAAAGCGACCTTCCAAGGAAGCCTTGTAGTCGTCAAATGGAATGCTAGCTTGCTCTGCTGGCCATCCATCAACGACAGACGCGGACGGGGGAACGGAGAGAAGATGAACGTCGTGAGCCAGGCCGCCAGTGATCCACTCATCGGCTGAGCCATCGAAAAAGTCCTTGCAACCCTCCTCCGACTTAACCACATGCTGGTAATACTGATCGAGCTTCATGGAATGCTGAGCAAAGTCATTGCCGACGGATTCAAAGTACTTAGACAAGTACGGCAGGTACTCTCCGAATTCGTCGTCGAACTTCTTAGTTGCGTGGAGATCCTTGTACATTTGGTAGGTATCCGGATTGAACTCAGGATCATCTTTCTGGGGAAAGCCACGGAACTTGTTGATGCGGCGGATGATGGGAGGCATGTCGTGATCGTAGAGATCATCCAACCACTCGTGGTAGAGTCCGTCGAGGCGGGGCCCTCGCCAAAAGGGATGAATGGCAACGGTGCATGCCTTGATCGAAGCAGTGGGATGGAACTTTGCAACCTCTGCAATGGTCTTTGGAGCCTTGGGCGCCTTCTTGGTGATTCGGCGACACTGAAGCGTCTCGAACATCTCCCGGTACTTGGTGACTCCATTGGTAGATCCGAGTTTGAGGGTGACGATCTTGGTTGCTCGCTTGGTAGTGGGCGGGGAAGGCATCTGCGCGTGTGGCTGTTGCCGCTGAGGAGTTCCGGGTGCCGGCATTGTGAGTTGTGATGGTGAGGGTGTCTGATGTGGGTGTGCGTTGTTCTGGGGTGGGTGTCTGGAGGTGATATCAGTCTGATGTAGTTGGCTGAAGTGAAGCCGGGAAGAACTGAGAGACAGTGGGACGAAAGCAAAAGGGAGAAGTTGGGAAAGTGTGAGTGTGAACGGTTTGGAAACGTTCAGTTATGAGGATTGTGGTGAAGTAAGGAAAGATGAGTGGATGAGTCTTGGGTGAGTGACGTCGTGGTGGAAGGTTGTGAGATTGTGGTGTGGATGGGGTAGCCTGCATGTGTTGTTCTTCAGATATGACTTAAGAACATGGTTGTTGTGACGTGAATTGGAAAGAACGTGAATAGGATTATTCGAGGTTTCGCTCGCTGCTCGCGGTGAAAAGAAAGCGGCTTAAGATTGGCGAGGGAAAGAGTGAGAGAAAATGGGTTGGTGAGAATATTTGAGATTTGGCAATTTGGGTGATAAAGGTGTGAGCTCAGTGGACAAGTGTCCAGGATTCGAGAGCCTTGCCGTCCTACTTTGCCCAAGCAACCAGGCCAATGCCCTCAGCCAGTACTCTATGAAGAGCCTACCAACTTGAGCCACATTCTCAAGGGTACTCCAGTTGAGTCGACCAAGACCGGTGGTTGTGCATCCAGCTCGGGGTTACAAAGGAAGCGGAACAAGACAGAACGGGGAAATGGGTGGGAAATGGGTAGGAAGGCTAAGAGTTCGTACAAAGAAAGTATTTGAAACATGTTTCCATGGGGGAATGCCAACCACTTTCAGTGATGCCAGGACAGCGGTCTCAAGGAGAGTACGAAGATTGACTCGTCTCCGTGGAGATATCCATGCTATCATGAAGCATTGGAGTTGGTAGGGTAGTGGAGGTGGAGACGCAACAAAAGCTGAACTTACGGTGAGGAATGAGAATGGTGGGTATCGGTGATGATCTGGGGTTGTGGGAACTGGTGTCGGAAACTGAAGATCAGAATGAACGATGAGCAGAAGCAGAAGGATTGGAAGCTTCGAGGGCGAGGAATAAAGTCTTACAGACTGGGTCGGCGGTGATAATCAACAATCAAATAGTGATGTGATTCTTGGGGACAATCAAACCTTTCGTGAACAATCAAATTTGAAGATTGACCCTGATTGTTGCATTGAATAGGACCTCCCTTCACCTTCAAAGCACTGATTCGCTCACCAGAAGACAATCAATCTACTACAGCGTCCTCACAAATTATGTTGGCAATTCGAGTCGCCTTGTAGGGAGAGTTGTGTGCGCATGGGACTGGGAGTCCATGTCTCAGACCTTCTTGTATAATATCGTAGACTAGGCTAGTTCGAATAAACTGTAGCAGGAGGCATCAACTCGGCCATAAGATCCTTGCAGGGCATCTTTAGATTACCGATGAACAGAACTTTTGACGAGAGACTCGAACTGTGCTCAAGTGAGAAACCCGTACACCACCTGACACTCGCCTCCGACGAGTCTAATATGGCCTGGTGCTGTGAATTGTCACTGCAACCTTTCGTTGTCTTTAGAAGTGACACCAAAGCGACATTATATTTACGCGTTGGACAGATAATGCTACGAGTATTGTCTGTTCTCTCGGACGGGAATTGAACTAGCAGGTAATACTGTCTGTACTCGGTGTTCCCTCAACCTTTGATGGAAACAATTGTGTGTTATCCCGCCATAATGCATGTTTCCGCTTTGTATCTTCTGCAATGCTTATAGAAATATTCATCTGAATAGGACGCTCGACCACGTGTTTTCCTTCGTATATATTCTGCACATGTACCAAAGGTGTGGGTAACTTCTACGGCTGCTTCGTTGTCATTTAAAATTTCCATTGCATGAGTCGGGTTGCAGCATATTCAGGGCACTCCAACCCATCTAGGTTACGTTGCCGCCCTTTGCGCGACCCATTGAGACCATTGAGAGAGACAAGTCGACCATCTTGATTATAGTACAGAATCCTGCAGCGTCCGTGATGTGGACCGGACCATTCACGACTTTGGCCGCCGCAAAATCCAGAGACACCGGCTCATGATTGCGCTGCTTTCGTCTTTGCAATGACATCTAGAAGGTGCTTCTCCGTCTCCTCCGTCAGGCCTTGGGGCATGAACTTCTCAGGAGCGGTCTCTCTTGGTAGAAGCGGGTCCGGGTAAGTTCCTGGTCGGGGACTTGTTAGCATGCTGGGATGCGAGTGGAACGTGCGAGTGGATGCTTACGGATGTCAAATTTCGGGTCTATAAGACGAGACTTGGCGGCCTCCATCTCGTCCTTCTGCTTCTTCTTGTCGTTGGGGTCCAAGTGTGAGCGCGGGATGGTGAGCTCATGCATAGAGTCGCTGAAGGACTGTGTGGGCGTGTGGAGGCCCGGAGCCCGTGGAGCTGAATGACTGGCCATTTCTTCCTGTAGCTTTCTCGGCGAAGGAGAGGCCGAAAAAACAAGAGATAGAGTTGCTTCTGGCACGAATTAGTTCGTTGTATCCCCGATGTAAAGATGCTCGACTTACATGCCGAATGCCGGTGGATGTGTTGACGCAATGGCTGAACAGACGGTGAAGTCGATAGGACTTTCGGGACAATGTCTAGGCCAAATCCCGTGAGACTCTGGGGGTCGGAAAGAGGTATCTTTCTACGCGGATGCCAGTTCACATGGCATATCTGTACGTCTTTCTCGATGTGATGATGCTGAGCTTTGTTGCGGTCAACCCAAGTCAAGGCATCGACATCGGTTCAGTGAGTGCTGGGCACGTCTCGGCTCGGACTGGAAACCTGGAAACCGTGGGACCAGCGGGAACCCCACCACCACACCACCACCACCACCACCACACAGCAACCTTGAAGCTCCCCACACAGCTTGAGCCTCCAGGGCCCCCGCCGAGGAACCGACGGAAGGTAACTGATGCCATTGGCTGGCCGCCTCAAGCCTCGAGGTAACTACCTGACTTCAGGCGCGAGATTCGGCTGGCTCCCCTGGCCTAGCCGCAACGAAGCCCATTTTATTTCCCGATGCGACTTCGCTTCCAGACATCCCATCCCACCCTGCCCGCATTTGCTACATTTTCTACTTCCACGACGAATACTGAATACTCTTCGACTATTGAAGCAGACCTTCTGTGATTCCAGGATACAGGAGCCAGCAAACATCCGCAATGGTCAAGAAGGGCTCGGTCCCAGACGCGTGGGAGGATGACGACTGGGAAGCCCGAGCAGACAAGGCCGCCGCCGAGCCCCCAGCTCCCGCCCCGGCTCCCGAGACCCTCAGCAAGAAGGAGAGGCTCGCCCAGCATGCCGAGCTGAACCGCAAGATATGGGAGTCCGCGTACGTTGTTCTTTCTTGTCCCCCCATGGCGCCGCCCCCCCCTCCACCTGGTAACCTCACACGTGCTTCCTTTGCTAACACGCTCGCCTCGCAGCCAAGAGCCGGACAACGGCGTACCCCTCCAGTTCCTCACCCACTCTCCCGCCCCGCCGCTGGCCCAGCCCTTCAAAGCGCCGATGCAGGTCCTGTCGCGGAAACCCATGATCGCCAGGCGCGGCGGCGGCGCGGCGGGGGGCATGGCCGGCCTGAGCATCCGGGACGACAGCGACGACGAGCAGGACACGAAGCCCCCGGAGACGCCCGAGGAGATCCGCGCACGGCAGCAGCGCGAGCGCGAGGAGAAGCAGAGGCGGTACGACGAGGCCCGGGCCAAGATCTTCGGCGCCAGCAACACCAACCCCGGGGCCGGCACCGGCGGCGGCGGCAGGGGCAACAGCGGGCGCAGCTCGGGCGCCAGCACGCCCGGCGCGGTAACGCCTCCCAGGTCCGGCAGCGAGCGGCGGGGCAGGGGCCGGGGCCGGGGCGCGCACCGAGGCCACAACAACGACCGCGGCGGCTCGGGGGACTACCAGAGATCCAAGGATGCCAGCCAGTTCGGGGGAGTCAGCCTGCGCGAGGAGGGGCGCCAGGGGAGCCACGGGCGGGAGCTGTTCGACCCCAGCTACGCGCCCAAGCCGGGCTTCGCGCTCGACAAGAAAGGGTCGACGCCGGGGTCGGGCAGATCGACCCCGCGGGACGACGAGCAGGCCTTCCGCGCGCCTCGTGGTCCGGACGGCGGGGGGCGGGGCGGCTTCGGGTTCGCGAGGCGCGGCGCGTGAGGGAGAGCGGGTGCAGTCAGACAGTCATGGTGATCTCTTTTTTTCAAGCTACATTGGATCTATGTAATTGGAGAAATGACATGCATGGTCTGCCGCATCACCAACCACCGCCTATCTTGCCAGCTAGTTGGACCACCCTTTCCGTGTCGCTGGGCTTGTCCTTGCCCACATCGCTGATGACCTCCCGATAGGTCGTCGTCACCAGTCTATCCATGTCTATGCCAGTTATGCTCGACCAATGCGCCAGGGTATCTCGGATATATGCTGCGGAAATGCCACCCACCACTTCTGTCCATGCAGGAGACCCACCCATCTCCACGTCGGCCTCTGTTTCCTCGGCCGAAAAGTACGCCTCGTCAACCTCTGCCAGCCACTCCTTCTGCTCTTGGGGCCCGGACTTTGCTGCAATGCCCTTCCTCTCGACGACGATCGGATCGTCGACCTTGATCTGTCCTCCACCATTGGTGCAGCCGCCAGGACATGCCATCACCTCGACGTACTGGTACTCGAGCTGCTTGCGGGAGCCACCGATGGGCTTGCCACCGGGCATGCGCGACGGCCGCGCCGGCTTCAGCCTTCGGACGAGATTCTGGATGTTTCGGAAGCCGTAGTATTTGGCGGCCCTGAATATCGTCCGGCCGTCCGCTGACACCACGTTGTGCTCCACCACATCTGCATTGCGACCACGGATAGTGTCTATCCTCGACCCGGGATGCTGAGCTGCAACATACTGCAGCGCATAGTATAGGTTCCCGCCAGACGTACCGGCCGTGACTTCACGCTGCTGTTTCCGGCGTGTAGGGAACAGGAACTTGTGTAAGGTGGGCTCTGGGAAGGGTGTTATTTGGGAGGTCTTGGGAGGCTCTTGACCCAGACCGAAAAAGTCAAGACCCCTCGATTCCGTGAGCATCAGGATCTCCTTGCTGGTGATCACACAGTCAACATCCCTCACACCTCTCCCTGGATTTCCATCTCCGGCCCAGACCGAGTCCGTCAGTTCCTCTCGGCTGGCCTCGAGCTTCTTGTCGAAGCAAGGCATTACTGCCAAGTGCCAGATCCGATCCGGGGAGATGCCCAGCAGCTGACTGAGGGTGGTCTTCAGCAGAGTACCCATGAGCGCCTGTGGGGACTTGACCCTTGATAGATGAGGCAGGACATGGGGGTGTGTCTTTTCAGCATAGCATACCCACCCGGGGCAGCTGGCAGTAAGGATGGGCTTCGTGGCCCTGCCAGCACCTGCACCTGCTCCTTCGCTCAGCGCCTCTTCGGCACCAAGAACCAAGCAGGCTTCCCGGGCGGTGTTTGTATCTACAACCCAGGTGAAACCGTTGTTGTATTTTCCTCCCGACCTGAGCCCGGCATCCCCTCCGAGGAGATGGGCGATCATGTTTCCTGCCGCATGTTCTCCTATGCGCCCGCCAACCGCCGCGGCAAGGCTGGCTCGGGTCTGTGGACTGACGCTGGCAACGAACAGCTTGGCCTCGGGGTCCTCCAGCCCATCGACACTCCACTGGCCGCTCTCGCTCTGCCGCACCTGCAACCCCGGCGCCGAGTCCAGGAGACTCAGGACCTCACTGTGGCTCTGGAGGCTGACCAGGACGGCCTCGGCGGACGTGACGCACCCGGAGCAAGCGAGGCAGTCTGTGAGTGATATCTGTGCTGGGGCATTGCCATTGTTGGCGGCCGAGGATGGATGGCCGTCGAGGATGACCTCGTGCTCGAGGGCTTCGTCGCTTGGTGGGGGCGGGGCGGGCAGGGTCTCGACGGGCTTAATGCAGGCGACGCCGGGCGAGATGAAGTCGTTCAGATCGTCGGCCGACAGGATGGCTGACATTGTGCTGGCGAACCTGACCAGGCAGGCGAACGGGGGGGCCGAGCCGTTGGTGGGCGGTCGCCGCGCGAGGGCAGGCAAGAGACTCGTTCGTTCAGGCCGCTGCCGTTGAATGTCCTTGCGCCAGAGTATTCCGGGAAAAGCGTTTCGGTTGCTGTTCAGCGAAGAGTTATGGCCCGTGTTGTGGAATAAGCCCTTTGAGGTACAGTGGAAAGGCGTGTAGTGCAGCAAAATAAAGTGGTCAACCCCCCAAAAAGATGTCTGTCCAGTCAGATGGGCGGAAATGCGCAGTCCACGTCGCGATGCCCCGTTGCTTTGAAATGCAATGCGATTTTTTGGCCCTGCGAAATCGGTCGTCTGTCAGCCTCTAGTGCAGCGTGGCGACCGCGGGGTGTATGGCCTAAGCTGGAAAGGGACCCTACTGTGTAGGGGAGGGCATGGGGGCCCAGAAGCGGCGCAAGCCGAAAACCAGGGTCGAGGGGGCCGCCGAATGGGCGCTGGACCAATCAGATAGCCACTGCCGCTGGGTGCTGCAGGCGCTGGCTCCATGACGTAGCGCTGGCGCAAACATGAGAGGTCAGGGAGGTCCCCGGACTGCCGGCGGCTGGGCGGTGCGGTACAGACGGATGGATCTCCAGGGCTCTGTCAGTTCTGTGTCGATCGACAATCGATGAGGCTCAAGGGAGCGCAAGGGGAAAGCTTGTACCCCCGGTTCTCGTTCTCCTCCTAGACGGCAGCCCTGTCTTCCAGGTTGAGCTGCAGTAGGCGCATGTGAAGGTTCTCCCGGCTAGAAAGAGCCACCGTCTCCCTCGCCCACTCTCGTTCCTCGAAGACAGATCTGGAACTCTTTCTCTCTCCCACCACTCTTCCCAGAAATATATCTGCCCGTCTTAGTTGCTGTCGGCCAGGACCATCTCCGTGGGAACAACACCTCCGAACACGCAACCGTAGCCAAGATAAAGAGAAGGAAAACATGGACGTCGTCTCGAGCTACAGCTTCGCCTCGCTGCTATGGCACGCCGTCCAGGGCGTGCCGCTCGTCGTCTGGCCCCAGGCCATCAACGGCCTGCTGACCATCGACGATAACGCCGGCACCATGCGGCCGTCGAGCGAGGTCGAGAACTACTTTGCGCGGTCGCTGGGCTGCGCGCTGCTGGCCCTGGGCGCGGTCACCGTCTTGCTGACGGGGGCGCTGCCGCTGACCAGCATGGTCGAGAGTGAGTAATTGTGCTATCGGATGGATCTAAAATCCCCGTGGAGGACCTGTTTGCTGCTGTACCTATGCCTGGCGGTCAGAGTCCACAGCCCACAGCGGACGAGCTTCGCGGAGGACTGATTTATGACAATGGAAGATGTCGCAATATTGGGACCAATACACTGACATGCAACCTGCCCCAGCACCCACCGACGCCATCTCGCCGTACGCGACGGCGACGATCCTCATCACGACGCTGCACCACGGCTTCAGCGCCTTCTACTGCTGGGCCAAGTACAACGAGACGGACCAGACGGGGTTCGTGCTAGGCTTCGGCGGCAGCGCCGCCCTGGCGGCCTTCGGGCTGTGGTGCCTCTTGTTCGGCGGCGACAAGGCGCGGATCAGCAAGCGAACCGGGGCCGACAAGCGGACAAGCGGTTTCCCGTTCAGCAACTCGGAGGCTGAGAAGCGGAAGAAGAAGGGGCTCTGAGGAGACGATCCTGGGCAATGCTAGTATTGACCAAGAGTCTCAATGCAGCAACATGTCACGTTTTTATGAGCTTAAGAGCTGAGCAGTCTTTCTGTTGCTGTATATTGAGCAAGTCCCTGGTATCTAATTCATGAACACGCACACACTCTTTTTGCCTGTGCCTCTCTGCCTTTAACCCTGAACGCCGAGCCGTAGACCCTGAATTACAAACCTGACGAGAAGACACCTTCGTCCGCTTAGAATAATAGATGTTGGCAGTGTTACAATGACGCAACGGAATAGACCCCCCTATCGCCTTCGATTTTGACCTCGAGACATTCGATGATGTGGGGCATACCGATATGGTGAAAAGGTATAGTCCCTAAGAGTCTTTTCGCCCTTCCAAGTGGTGGGCTTGACAAAAGGTTTCGACCACCGGCGGGCGTTCTAGTCCGAGGCAACCGAAATCTCCTTTCCCTTGCTCACAACCACCTCTTCGACGGCCTCTTCGCCCTCCTGGTCCGTCTCCTCGGGATCGCCCGCGGCGTCCTTGGACTTGATGGCGCTGCCCACCTGGATGTCGGCGGCACCGCTGAGCACAGCGTGCCGGCGCTGCCACCAGTCGACCTCGACCTTCTCCACCTGGGTGAGGAGGACCTCCTTCTCGAGCCACTCTTGCCGGTACAGCTCTTCCAGGTCTTTGCACTGCTCGCGCAGGACGGCGCCCTCCTCGCTGGCCCACTTGACGTTGGCCACGCACAGCCGCCAGAGCGACTCCATGTCCATCTGCAGCTCCTTGCTCGTGAAGCCTTGCTGTTCCGTCAACGCCGTGAAGAAGTCCGAGCCGATGTCCTCGCTGTCGCCGCCGTCGTCAAAGGACGAGTCGTTACCGGCCGAGTGGGATTGGGGCGTCTTGAGGACGATCTTGAGCTTGCTTCCCTTGCCGTTGCCCACGTGGGACTGCTGCATCGACTTGGGCACGGGGTCGCTCGGGCGCAGGGCCTCGGTCTCGTGGACCGTTCGCATGTGTTTGGCGAGGGCATCGGATCTCGTAAACGCTCGGTCGCATTCTACTAAGTGTTAGTCCCTTCCAAACAGAGGCCATGCAGAGGGGCAGGGGTCCCAGGCCGCGCTCACCGGGCAGATAGCAGTAGAAGGGCTTCTCGCGAGTGTGGCTGCGCATGTGTGCCTTGAGCGCATAACCGCTGGCATGCGGCATGCTTTTCCTAGGACATCCGATCCATTCGCACGTGTACCGCTTCTGGCGACTCTCGATGTGGTCGTTGTGGATGTGCTCGACGAGGTTGTCCATGTTGCCCTGGTCGCCGGCGTCGCAGCCATCCCAGGCGCAAACCGTCACCTGCTCCTGCGCCTCCTCCTCGTCGAGCTTGGCGTTGATGGGCGAGTTGGGCACATCGCCCTCGGTGTCTGTGGAGATCTCGCCTTCTAGTTCGGGCTCGGCCTCGGCGTGCTCGGGCTCGACGTGGACGGAGGACGAGGCGCGCGAATCGTCTCCCAGCTTCTGACGCTTCGACGGCGGCAGCGCGGGCTCATCGGGGACGGGCGAGTCGTAGTCGTTCTCTGGCTCTGGCGAGTCGGACGAAAGAGAGCTTATTTCTGACGACGAGGACTCCGAGAGCAGCACCATCTTGACTAACGGTAGGGAGTTGGCTGTAGGACGAGGTTTGGGTGGATGGCCGCGTGTCTGAACGCTCGAGGTCTTCGCTGAACAGGCGAGTCTAACGTGGCGATGACTTGGTGATGGCCTGTAAGGACAGAGGAACGGCTCGTGCCGATCTAGATGGGCCTTGCGTCACGCAGCGCGATCAATGGAGTGAACTGTCTGTGAATCGCGGAAAGATGCTGGAGCTGGCATTCAATGAATGGGAGCATGTTCAGTGGCGGTCCAGAACTGTAGAGCCAGCTGCCAGCGGCTGTTCAGCCTGAAGGCTTTCCACAAAACGGTTTAAACCCCGTATTTTGCGGTATTGTACGGTATTCACCTCCGTTCAAACGCCACTCGCAACTTCCCGTTATCAACCAAGTTCGCGCTCTCTTGACCCAGCTATTCGCAAGTATCCTAGACACAGGACAGTGGCATAACGACCGGGCTCCCGTGGCTTCCCAATGCCGCCTCGGGTTATTCGGCTGTCCTGCCCTGGATATCCGAGTGGGATGCTGTCGACTAACACTAGCGCACAGCCGAGTAACCAACCAGGGCACGGGCCTCCGGATGCTCCATGCTCTTCCCAGGTGGACCGAGAGATGGGCTGGGTTTCGCCGGTGCCCAAGACGGGGCTCAGTTATTTACGCTGTCAAGGTTCTGCTTGGGGCTGTGGTGGTCGCTCGGCCTGGCCTGCTGCTCCTGTGGGACCACCTTCGACGCCTGTAAGTTCTACCTAACCTGCTGCGTACTACCTGTTCGTACCTAACCCACTCCGTAAAATCCCCCTAAATGGTGCCTGGGCTGGGGCTGTGACATCACCCCCACCTTGACCTTGACCTTGCCCATCCCGACCCCTTCGCTCGCTGAGGCCATTCATCGCGCGAGGGAGCTTCTAGTGACCAGGTACTAATCTTGACCCCATCGCCAGCTGAGGGCATTCTCAACCACATCACTCTTCGGCCGGACATCACCATGGCGTCCCTGAACCTCTCGATCAACGGCGCTTCTATCCGATCCAGCTACCAGGGCGTCATCAACGCCTCTGGCGCCGGATCCTCCTCTACCTATGCCAACTGGGCCCTCTTCTCCGTCCAGGCCCCCTTGGCCAACGCCTTCCAGGACGCCGGCAACAAGGAGAGCATCCTGAAGGTCCAATCCACCGGCGAGGGCGAGTTGGAGGAGCTGCTGGAGGACTTCAACGAGGGCCGCGTCCAGTTCGCCTTCCTGAAGGTCAAGGACCCGAATACCGGCCTCCCCAAGTATGCCCTGATCGCATGGGTATGTCCACCCCCCGTCTGAGACGTATGCGTCGCGCGGCACTCACTAATCGTCAAACAAACAGTGCGGCGGCGGCGTTCCCGAGAGGACCAAGGGCTACTTTACTAGCCACCTCAACGCCGTCTCCAAGGTGCTCCACGGCTACCACGTTCAGATTACCGCTCGGTCAGACACGGACATCGAGCCTGCCAACATCCTCCAGAAGATCTCGGATGCCTCTGGCGCCAGGTACACCGCTGGCGGCAGCGCTCCCGTCAAGTCGTCAGCAGCTCCGCCCCCGGTCAAGTCCAAGCCCGTATTCCCCACCACCTCGAGCTCGACCATCTCCTTCAACCCCATCGTGGCCGCCCGTAATGCCCAGTTGCGCCAGAAGACCGACGACGACGGTTGGGGCGAAGATGCACCCCAGGTCAACCGCGACAGATTGGAGAAGGTCGAGTCCGCTTACAAGCCCACCAAGGTCGATATAAACGCTCTGAGAAGCCAGGCCCAGCCCTCCCGCTACAACGGGGGCCAATCCCAAGACGACGACAGACCAGGCGTAGTCAGAGGCGCATACCAGCCCGTTGGCAAGGTCGACATTGCCGCCATCCGCGCGGCTGCCAAGGAGAAGCCGGACGACAGGCCGACCACCGTCAAGGGTGCCTATGAACCTGTTGGCAAGGTCGACATTGCCGCCATCCGCGCCCGCGCGAAGCCCTCGGAACCCGCCCAACGCGACGAGGCACCCGAGCCACCGAAGCCCGTGTCAGAGCGAAGCGCTGCATTCACCCCATCGGAGCGCATCACGGAGCTTCCCAAGCCCAAGGTCGCAAAGAAGTTTGGCGGCGCATCCTCGTTCCAAGGCACCAAGCCCCTGAACCCTGGCGGGTTTGGCCTGCTAGGCCCTTCTGGCGCCCCTACGGAGATCCAGGTCGGTTCAGCGGGACGGTCCTTCGCAGCTGCCAGTGGAAAGACCCCCGCCCAGCTCTGGGCAGAGAAGAAGGCAGCCCAGGCTGGCGGTGGCGCGCCCGCCGTCAGCCCGCCGGTCACGTCGCCCATCGCACCTCAGACGAGCGGCCAAGCTGGCTGGCAGAGCGGATACAGCGGCAAGAGCTGGGCTCCTGTCCAGACTGGAGGGTACGCGCGTGGAATCCCCGGCCAGAAGACCGGCGAGACGGTGGGCAGCCAGGGATCGGTCGAGCCTGAGGCCAAGCCGGAAGGAGTCAGCTCTATCAAGGACCGTTTCAAGGGCGCTGCCCCCATTGGCGTTGCCGCTGGAGCGGGTGCCGGTATCGGTGCAGCAGCAGCCTACGCAGCCCACGAGGATCAACAAGAGGAAGAGGACACCGCACCCCCGCCGCCGCCGCCTGCCGCAAGCAGACCCGAAGCCCCTTCGGGTGGATTCGCGTTGCCGGGCATGCCTCCTCGGCCGCCGCCTGTCACTGACGAGGAAGAGGAAGAGGAGGAGCCTGAGCCGATTAAGGTTGCAATGCCCGTTGCCCGCGGTCCCGAGCCCGAGATTGAGCCCGCCGCCGAACCCCCTCGCTCTTTACCTGTCCGCTCCCTCGCCGAAGAGGCGCCCAAGGAAGAGGACCTGCCTGAGGAGGAAGATGCCTACGACCCTCGTGCTGCCGGTACCGCGGTCGCCGAGCAACAGTTCGGCGAAGAGCCTGTGGCAGACGCGTCTGGTGCTGCAGGTGGCAAGCGTGCCCTAATTCAGTATGACTACGAGAAGGCTGAGGACAACGAGCTCGAGCTCCGCGAGGGAGAATATGTGACTAACATCGAGATGGTGGATGAGGACTGGTGGATGGGCACCAACTCTGCCGGCGAGAGCGGTCTTTTCCCCTCGAACTACGTTGAGCTGGTAGATGACGATGAAGCCGCAGCTCCTACCGGTGCCGTGCCCCCGCCCCCTCCTCCTGCCGCTGCGGACCCCGAGCCCGAACCGGAGCCGGCGGGCGATGCCGGCGGCGCAACGGCGACAGCCCAGTTCGACTATGAAGCTGCAGAAGACAACGGTACGTCCCAACTTGTCCGTAGCAGTCAGGAGCATGCAACTAACTCGATATTACAGAGCTGAGCTTCCCCGAGGGTGCCAAGGTCACGAACTTGGAATTCCCCGATGATGACTGGTGGTTTGGTCACTACAATGGCGCGTCCGGTCTGTTCCCGGCCAACTACGTTGAGCTGGACCAGTAGAGTGACGCCCGAACTAAGACCGCCGAATTTGCAATGCGTTTCTAGACAAAATGGGACTCAAAGGTGAAGTACGCAGATAGTACTCCAAACACACAAACTTGACACTTCTACTCCAATCATGATGTTGTGACGCGCCAATGCTTTCTGGGAGCCTGTGAAGAGCATGCCCATGTTTGAGCAACCAGTCAATCGATCCACCTTGGCTGTATACATTTTACTGGAAACAGCTTGCATGTGTATACGCTGCAAAGCCACGGCACCCCCATTCATGTCAACGCGTACCGCCTCGGAAAGGAGTCTTGTTTCTCAACCGCACCAGCCAGTAGGTTAGAAGTGCCACAGCCGCCGCCGCCGCCTGCTTGCGAAAGCTCTGTGGCTGAGCAGAGAGTGACAGGTGCCACAAAAACGGGGAGAGGCTTGGCAGACTCCCGCCCGTCAAGCCCCCAACTTGGGCTGGCCCAGAGCGTCCGTCCGCTGGGCCCAATCACACGGCGTCGCTGCTTCCCCCATGGGTACGTACCGTTCTGCGTTCCAAAAGATTGGCCTGGGTCGGGCTGCGAACGCGGGTCCGGCTAAGTCGGCACTGGGTTCGATGCCAAGCCCTTTGTGCAGATGCTTGAATGGTTTGGGACTTGGTGAGCGCCGGTCCACCAAAGATCTCGGTATATCCGACTGCTGAGCCGCAGGGAGGGCGAGAGAGCGAGAGAGAGTGTGTGAGAAAGAGAGGCAAGGGTAAGCCTCAGAGAGCCTGGACTGATCTGAACTCTGCCAGAGGCTTTTTTTCGTACGGCCGCTTGGGCATGGGCGGGTTAGGTTTGGCGTTAGTGGTTGGCTTATTAGTTCGGTCGAGGCAGAAGGCTCTCTTGGGATTGACCTGTTGTGCAAAGGGGTGGGTGTGTAACGGTGATTTGTGAATCGGTTATTAACCACGGCTTCCACGGCATGGGGGTTTTCGAGCTCAATCAGAACGGTAAATGGGAGATGAAGAAGCGCAATGCCAGCGTACGACTGGGCCCGACTTGGCCGAAAGTCTAAATGTCGAAGTGGTCGATGATACAATCATGCATTCACACGTACCAACAGATCCACGATAGCTACAGTAGCTAGCTGCTAGACTATTACTGCTACGGTAGCTCGTAAACCTGTGAGTTACACACTTGCCGAAGCTGAGCCACGTTTGTCCTGTTGGTTTGGTGACGACGAAGATTCACACGTAACTTGAGGCGAGAGGCATGTAACTACTGTTGGCAAGAAGCGGTGGCTGAAGAGTCCTACCTAGTCGTCACCTGGCCTCCAAATGCAGAAGTATCAGCTGGCGAGCTTCATCACCGGGTGCATCGAGAGGGTCGGACTGGCTGGCTGGCTGGCTGCTTGGGTGCGTTTCGTTAGCTAGCTCACTGGGCTGCCCACTAGGTAAGTAAATGAGACGGGTTGGGATGGTGTGGAGTTCGAGCAGACGCATCATCTGCGGATTCCAGCCCCAAGGAAACAGATCCCAGACTCCGGCACCAGATTGCCATTGGGCCTGCCGCCACTTGCCTGCATACCTAATAACTAAGGGACCTTTCCTGGGGTTCCCAAGGGTTCCCGAGAGAGACACAAGGCCTGACAGGCACACCCCTCCACACGCTGCTGAAACTCGGAGGGCGATTCGACGCTGCATTCTGCATTCTGTCCATCTCTCGGGGGCCTCCTCCAATCCAAACCCTCTGCGGCACTCCGGGCCTAGCTCTCACTCACCTAACCATCCTTCCTTTTCCACCCTCTCACCTCTTCCTTTCGCATCTTCCATAACCTACTTGCACACCCGTCGTCCTCTGTTTCCTTGCCAAGCCCGTCTCACTGGTCGCATTCACTAGGAGCGTGCTCAAATTGCCGTATCTCGAGGTCGTCAGGGAGAAAAGGTACGTGGTTCCTGTGTCCAGCCCGAGTCCCCCCGGACGCCAGTTCTTGGCTAGCCCCAGAGCGACAACGGGACGATGCCTCCCAGAACTCTTGGCTCTCTTCCTTCGCTCGCTCTTGGCGAGCCTTGCATACTCTACACATCAGAATTGCGCCAGAACGTCACACAGAGAGAGCTATATCGTCGCAGCCCAAAACATCATCTATTAGTTCCGCGCCGCTGACTAGAATCGCCTCCAGTCTCGCGACAGAACAATGGCATCGCAGCAGTACTACAACCAAGGCCCTCCTCAGGGCCAGGGTGGCTACTACCCGCAACAACCCGACCCTGTACGTACACCACAGAATGGCTTCCCACGCGCGAGCCCTTGTTGTCGCACCACAGCGCAGCACAACAAAGCACTTCTTCACGCATCACCGATGTTCCCTATCGTCGCAACCACTTGCAATCATCACCAGCCGCACTAGATCAGCGACCCGACCTACTTTACCCACAGTCTAACAGATATGGGCCAACCATGCTGACTCGTAGTGTTTAGGCTTACGGTCCCCCCCAGGGCCAGTATGGTCCTCCCCAAGGCCAATACTACAATCAGGGTCCTCCCCAGGGCCAGCCTCAGATGGGTTACTACCAGCAGCAGCCCCCGCCTCAGCAGAAGCAGAAGGGTGGTGGTAACTGCTTGACCGCCTGTCTGGCAGCGCTGTGCTGTTGCTGCGTGTGCGAGGAGGGATGCGAGTGCTGCGCCGACTGCTGCGAGCTGTGTCTATAAGAGAACGAAACTGAGCACGCGCAAGAGGTTTACAAGTCTTCGAGCATAATTGGCCGACATCGGATTTCAGCAGCATCGAGTGACGAGCCTCTCTTTGCGCGTCGGAACAGTCGCCTCGCCGGCTGTCCGAACAACGACATACAAACGTACAGCTCTCCTTTGTCACCAACATCAAGCCTCAAAACAAGGAAATGCGGCCTCGCTTGATTATTGCGCGCAGCGCAGTGCTTTTGTCAAGGGGTTAAGGAGAGAGATTTCTAGGGGGTTTCATCAAGTTAGGAGTCACCATGGTCCCTGCTTTCGGTACTTTTCCTGCCGCTGAATATAGTCTTGACTTTCTTTGGGCTTTTACCACGTCACCGATTTTGAACCCTTATTCTGTTGAACTGCTTGTGACGTATGGCGGATTCGAGATAAGCATAGCTGCAACGGCCTGCCGCTTGTTCCTGGCAGAGTCTTGGATTATGCCAAGGCTCAGAAAGCCTTGCGCAGGCATGGGACCTTTTGCGCACAGTGAGGCTGGCTGTTCTCATGCTCTCAATGGCTGATTCCAGCTCTTATGCACAGGACCTTTTGTCGAGAAACGCCATTGGTCTGCTGAAACCGAAAGTCCTCCACCAACCTTTCGGTGACGAGCGCCTATCTGCTAACATCTCTCTTCCCGCTCCTTCGCTTTAAGGAGCTGGACACATCGACTCCCTTCTCTTCCGCATCCTGACTTCGCCGGTGACTCAAACGGCCTGAATACCATCAGCCCCCCTCAATTTCTGGTAATTGTGACCACAAGACGCATTACGCTGTATTGCTTTCCTTTTAGCCCGTCGACCCTTCTACTGTCATGATGGATCTAGCAAGAGGCGTCAAAACAAATACCCCTGCCCCGCCACCAGCTCGGCATGCCACCTCGAATGACTGGGCGCGTTGGCGAGAGGAGCTCGCCCACCTATGGATGGTTGAGCATAAGACGCTTGAAGAAATACAAGACATCATGAGGCGCAGACATCAAAAAACTTTAAGGTGGGAAGACTCGCATGGCATGCGACCAAGTAACCCTGTGTGCTAATAGCGTCTAGCAAGAAGCCGCTCAAGACTCACTTCAAAGAATGGGGCTTTGGTAAAAACCTGAGTGGTCCTACCAAGGGTGCCATGCTCAGGATTCAACGTCGGCGCCAGGAGGTCGAGAACAAGCGCACCGAGTTCACCTGGAAAGCCCAGCGGGTGGCTCAAGAGAAACTCGATCGGTTTGCCAGATCTCATCAAGACCTCTCCGGATTCGCCGCAGCCACGCCCCCTGATGTCCAGTACTCAACACCTCCAGCCTTGGACGACGAACCTACAATGCAGACAGAACAATCCGGGTCAGGCGAGAACTCAGCTCTAGCGTCTTCTGGCGATGATCGGTCTCCGCCAGGGCAGTCTCAACCGTCGTCGAACGATATGGATGGGTATGATCAGACCTCTTTCTCCGGGCTCACGTGGCAAGCCGAACAAGCATACAATCCGGCTTATCAGATCCAAGAGTTCTCTGACTTGGGAGATATGTTTTTCTCCAGCCTTGGGGAAACATCGGCGGCTGGCTCCATCTTGCCACAGCCCTCGTATGAACTTTATAATCCCGATTGGAACATTGGTACTAATGCCGGGAATCCGGCATATTTTGAACTACCGGATAGTGATCCATGGCCCTCCGCGGTGCCAGGTATTCCTACTGCTACAGGAGGGTTTGGAGACAAACTCGATTCGTTCGATGGGATTTCCATGCCCGCTGTTGCCGATATACAGTATGGCATCAGCCAGTCCGTGACAAGGCCGTTGCAATATAGAATACCTACACATGGGCTAACTGAATCCTACTTCCCTGGCTTATACGGTGGTATTTCTGACGTTGATCATCTCAACAACGGCATGGTTCTCGACCCAGTTTCCCGGGCCTTTGTTGAACAACGACCCGAACCCTGGTCATTGAATCATTTCACCACCTCCATTCCTGGTACGAGCAGTCCTGGAGACTCGTCTCAGGGAATGGCGAACTGCCACGATCAAGACATTCCAGATGGGGTTAGCTTGGTGCGACGGTGCCTGCAAGAGGAGTTGGAACGGTGTCGGGCACAGTACGAGAGATACAACACGATGCTGGACGAGTTTGATCAACACCTTGGAAGAATGAAAGTCCCTCAGCGGTGCCTGCCACATAGAGGCACCTCGGATGTACTCGGCAGCACCATATTCAACCGCAGGGACCTCTTTACCCAGCACTGCAGGCGACTGGCGGAGGAGCGTATGCACTCTCAAAGCACCAACTGGGAAGATTGGAGTTCCAGCACATTGCAAGACCACCACGAGGCTGCTCGTCGTCCGCTCGAATCCACAATTGGAGGGGGATGGGGATGGGGATGGAGATTCCGCGGCGAGCACGAACCACGACGCCACGTTGAGGACCAAATCGGAGGCACAGAGCCAGCAAGAACTGAAAGCTCAGCATGCTTCAAGTGTCGCTGTGGTGATTTGTCTCAAGATTTCTATAGAAGTCACGGTCAAAACCCACACCGCCCTCTCGTTTTGTTCGACAAGTGGTCCTGCTGCCAATGCCTCAATATTAATTGGGCCTACCAGCTACACTTTCTTCTCATGGTCGCTCTGCTACTCCTTCGTCTGGGATGCTGGACCAGGATAAACCCCTTCGCCGCTTCCCATTACAATATATTCAACTAGCTTTGGCTGTCGAACGAGCATTTCGCTCAGTCGACAGCTGAGTGATAGCTGTATGTCTCCTACGAAGACAGCGAGCGAGCCAATGATGCTGTGTTCGTGCTACGGCCCATCTTTATTTGGAATTGGCCGAAGGTCACCGCCTGAATGGAGAGGCGGTGAACTTCGGAGAATTCCAAACAAATATGGGCCGTAGCACGACTATAAGCAGAGCATAGGCCTGACTTCCGAGTCTCGTGTTTGGTTATTGCAAGCGGGTGCATTGTATTGTGTTTTTCTGTTGGGAAAGGCGTTTGGCGCGTTACATGGTTGGATACTCCATATTTGATTCTCTTATTGTAAGATCGGCTACCATAGGCCAAAAGGAAATATAAACTATGGATAAACACTCATACCGATCGCGAAGATGCGGTGGTGGACTGCTTTGACACCGAAAGTGTCTATAAACAGTGGTCGACTCCGATCTATCATGTTTATATATGCTCATGATTATAGCGGTAATACTATCCAAGTGGATGCTGACTTACGACAGCCCAAGACTTCTCGTCGGTAGCTCCGTACGCATACAAGGCTGATATGCCTATATACACCCAGGATACCTTCCTTCACCTCATAGACAAGAATAATGACTAGAACATAACATTACCTGTATCCTATCACTACAGCAACAGCATATCATGTGCAGCAGAGTAGTAGAAAATCTTGGACGACATAAAAAAAGAGCACAGTGACTGGAAGCCGGTGATCGTACACAATTAATCGTGAAAAGATAGTGTCTATTGTAGATGAAAATGTATCGATCCGATTTTCTATTAAATCACCCCAGATCTAAATAACCGTGGTTGTTTCGATAAACCACGTTGAACGAGTAAAATCTCGAAGCAGAATGCGAAGTACTGTCACTGCAATGTAAAGGAGCGTGCTACATAATGAATGTTTATCGACAGAAGGACACCTCATCGGACTCGAACGTGCACCGGTAAGGCGAGACACACACTGTAGGACCGGTGTAGCCGAGGCCGCCACATCTGGAATGCCATGTTAGTGAGATGATACCAAGATTAAGGGTTGTGACTCTTTTGCTTACACTCCGAAGTGTGGCACAGCGGTCGCAGTAGGCTGGCTTGCGGTAACAGTCGCAACGACTGTCAGTGTCGCCGAGACGGTCACAGTAGCTGTAACAGTCGAGACTGGCGCTGTTGCCGTGACGGTGACTGTGACCAAAGACGGGATGGCTGACGATTCCGGCGGGGCAGTGGTTGTCGGGACTACTTCAGTACTCTCGGTCATGGCGGTGGTCGAAGTCGCCGTCGGGGTAACCTCAGTGGTCAACGTGGTAGCTGTGGCATCAGTGATGGAAGTCGACTCAACCGCGGTAGAAGTTGTCTCGGTCGTTTCAGACGAAAGTGTCGTCGTGGTGCTGACAGTAGGAGCAGCAGAGGTAGTGCTAGTGTCCGCAGTCGAGCTTACCTCCGTACTGGTTGGCAGAGACGTATCAGTAGTCGAAGGACCAGTGGTTTCGACCGAGGAGCTGATCTCTGTTGAAGAAGGCCCCTCGGTGGATGTGCTGGTTTCGGGCGTCGTGAAAGAGCCTTCAGTAGTGGTAGCCAGGGACGTAGATGTTGCTTCCGTCGACGAGACGTCAGTGCTAGTCGAGATGTCCGCTGTAGTCGACACGTCAATTGTTGTAGAGACGTCAGTAGTAGTCGAGACATCGGTAGGAAGAGTGCTAGATGTTGAGGTGTCTGTAGTAGTTGAGACATCTGTAGGCAGAACGTCGGAAGTCGAACTTTCCGTGCTCGTCGAGACCTTAGTGCTTGTAGTAGACACTTCAGTCGACAGAATGTTCGAAGTTGAGACGTCCGTGGTGGTCGAGATCTCAGTACTTGTCGATGCATCAGTAGGCAAGATGATAGAGCTCGAAGCATCTGTAGTAGACACATCGATGCTAGTTGAGGTCTCAGTGGGCAAGACATTTGAGGTCGACACGTCGGTGGTAGTGGTGGTAGAAACGTCGCTGGTCGATGCCTCAGTGCTAGTCGAAGCTTCAGTGGTTGGCGCCTCAGTGCTGGTGGAAGCCTCAGTGCTGGTCGAGCTCTCAGTAGGCAAAACGTTTGAGGTCGAAGCCTCAGTGCTGGTCGAGCTCTCAGTAGGCAAAACGTTTGAGGTCGAAGCTTCAGTGCTGGTGGAAGTATCAGTACTGATTGACACCTCAGTAGTTGACACCGTGCTGGTTGGCACTTCAGTACTGGTGGAAGTCTCAGTACTGGTTGACACGTCAGTAGTTGACACGTCTGTGCTTGTTGGCACTTCAGTACTGGTGGAAGTCTCAGTACTGGTTGACACTTCAGTAGTTGACACCTCTGTGCTGGTTGACACTTCAGTGCTGGTGGAGGTCTCAGTACTGGTTGAAACTTCAGTAGTTGACACCTCTGTGCTGGTTGACACTTCAGTGCTGGTGGAGGTCTCAGTACTGGTTGAAACTTCAGTGCTGGTGGAGGTCTCAGTACTGGTTGACATTTCAGTAGTTGACACCTCTGTGCTGGTTGACACCTCAGTGCTGCTTGATGCCTCTGTGCTGGTCGACACCTCAGTGGTGGTTGAGGCTTCAGTACTGGTGGAAGTCTCAGTGCTGCTTGACACCTCAGTGCTGCTTGAGGCTTCAGTAGTTGATACCTCAGTGCTGGTCGACGCCTCAGTGGTGGTTGAGGCTTCGGCGCTCGTCGACAGGTCAGTAGTAGTCGAGACGTCGGTGGGCAGAACGTTCGAGGTCGAAACCCCAGTACTGGTTGCCACTTCAGTGGTTGACCCTTCAGTGCTGGTTGAAACGTCACTCGTGGTTGATATATCAGTGGGCAAGGCGCTTGAAGTCGAGATATCAGTAGTAGTTGATGCTTCAGAAGTAATTGATCCTTCGGAAGTAGTTGATCCTTCGGTAGTAGTTGACGCTCCAGTGCTGGTCGATACCTCAGTAGGCAGGACGCTCGAGGTCGACGCTTCAGTGCCTGTGGATACATCTGTGGTACTTGATACCTCCGTGCTAGTCGACACCTCAGTGCTGGTCGACGCTTCAGTACTCGTCGTTGAGACCTGAGTGCTGGTTGATACTTCTGTGCTGGTTGATACTTCTGTGCTGGTTGATACTTCTGTGCTGGTTGATACTTCTGTGCTGGTTGACGCTTCGGTGCTGGTAGATGCTTCGGTGCTGGTTGTTGAGACCTCTGTGCTGCTTGAAACTTCCGTGCTTGTCGGCGCTTCGGTGCTGGTTGATACTTCATTGGTAGTAGAAACACCGGTGGGCAAGACGCTAGAGGTCGACGTGTCAGTGCTAGCCGCCAATTCCGTGCTGGTAGACGTTTCTGTGGTGGTTGAGATAGTGCTGCTTGATACTCTAGAAGTAGTCGATCCGTTGGTGGTTGCTGTGGTTGTCGAGACGTAAGTGGGATAGACGTTAGAAGTCGAAATGTCAGTAGTGATGGAATTACTCTTGACTGACGATGAGGTTTCTGTAGTCTCAGTGTTGGGAGCAACAGACGAGGATGAAGATCCAATCTCGCGCGTTGAGGTGGTCGGAATAGGTGATGTCCGGCCAGAAGACGTTCTCAAGGTGGTCGAGGTTGTCAGAGTGGTTTTTGGATGAATCTTTCCGGTCAGGCACTTGTAGATAAGTTCCAGCCATTCGAGATCTCTGTACACCTGTGAAAGGTCCCAGAGTAGTACTCCACCAAAGTTGCTGAACCGCTTAGCATATGCGATGAGAGCAATGAGTTGTTCACCATCAACACGATTGGAGGTGCTAGCGCTCAAGCCTACAAAGATTCTGACGTTCTTGTTCGGAGAGACATATCGTGCGTAGTCGTTCCATACTTTCAGATTGAACTTAGGCTGATTCAAGGAGCGGATATAGTTCTTCGCGCCACACTGGCCGTTTGTGAATTGAACAATGATCAAGTCCAGGTAAACTTTGGAAAGTACTTCCGTCATGGCGTCGCTCGGGAAGGTACATTGCGGGGAGGCAGAGAGAAACAATTTCTGCATCGCCGAGGCGCCAGAGCTGAGCATGTTGAAGTTTGCAAAGTTCGAGTGCAGGTTGTTCTTGTCAATGAGCTCACGCAACTTCTGGGCAAAGGCATAGTAGTTCTTGCCCTTCTTAGGGAAGTTCAAGTCGAAGCCATCGACGACCGCGCTGCGGAAGGGGCGTTTGGGTGTGTTGATAGAAGGCCCGAATAGCTTGAAGATGTTCTTGGCAGCGGCTTCTGCGGAAGCAGCACTGGGGAACCCTTTTTCTCTATAGTCCGGTCCTCCTATGGCGAGCGTGATGGATTTTCCATATCTCTGTTGGCAGATCTTGATGTCTTCCTCCAGACCAGGGTAGTAGAGAAGGCTTGAACCCTGGGTCTGGGCGTTGGTGCCGGGTTGCGCGATAGATAGGACAGGGGTCAAGATGCCAGACAAGTAAGCGATTGGGATAATGTTGACCTCAGTGTTGGCACAGTATTCTTGCAGTCGTACTTGCGAATCTGACCCACCAGCAAGGTTTGGACCGAAAGGAATGGCGACATTGACTTGTGAGCGGGGGGAGTAACGAGCGTTGGCCCAAGGGGCGAAAGCGAGTGTGAGGATTGAAAAGAATGTGAGCCTTGCCATTTTGGCGGTTGGCTATATCAAGAATCTAGGTGCTTGATTTGTCTGTTACAAGTCATTTTGTGAATTTGCAGTAACTGGCTTCACTGCGTCTTATACTCTTCCAAAGCCAAGAATTTCACTATACCAGATCATACTCTCTTCAGCCTCAAAAAACTAGCTTGCCACAATCTGCAGCCACTTTTTGTCCAGCCTAAGCAATTTCCACAGGTTCACCGGCAACTTTCTGAAGATGTTGCTTTCTGAGCACGGGCGTTTCTTGGCACGCGGAACAAGGGCGGCTGGAATAGAGTTCAAGCCTGTAAGCGAGGTTGACAGTATAGCCAACCCGACGAACGTACAGATGAAAAGAAAGCTAGTCCGAGACAAGCATTGACTAGCTCAGCCTTGTCCTGCTCCCCTTGCAGCAAGCAAATGGCACCATGGTGACCTTATCAGTGTGCATCAGAGCCGCGGGGGAGTTGGGTGTGCTTGCTCCCACTTTGTGTGCCTTCTGCGTCAACTACCAACAGCATATGAATGACATTCACAGCGCGCCACCGTTCGGGGCAGCTGGAGGCGAGGCTTTCGCCACGGGATTGGCCAGACTACGGCGGTTTCCAATATATCCTGCGCAGCGATCCTTTTTCCAAGTCCGGCTTTCCCGAATAGCGTGACAACGGCTCTTGTGTCTGTCCCTTGCAGACCAGGAACCAGCCTCCCAGACTCTCTGGGAGAACTGTCCTCGTCGCTCATAGGAAGTTCTAGACTAGGCAATAAATAAACCAACGGGAGAGGGCTCTGGTCATATAACAAGCGAAAATACTACAGCCTCCCGCTTAATATCTGAGTCTACACCTTGTCGCATATAGAGTGCTGGGTTGGACAGTCCTCCGAAGCAACATAAAAGGTGACAACACCAGGAGCCGTCGGCCATAGCATAGCCGGAACAAGCCTAAACTTTGTTCCCTTATCTTGTCCTTATCCGTATTTCTACGATGAGGCATGTGCCTCAAAATGCAAATATTTTCAGGCGTCTGGCAGTCGCCTGTCTCAAATTGCCACTTCAGGGCGTACAACGGATGCAGAACCATCAAGACGCGTCGTACAGCCCTTAAGAATATATGCCCCAAGTCCATTTAGTACCGAGGCTAGTATCGCCTCGCGCGTTACGATAGACTCAGGCACAGTGAATGTGCAGCTGAAGCAGAACAAGCCCATTTCCATTTTGGGAGTTTTACTCGTAGCCTCAACTTTAACCTTGCCTTGAGTTGCCCAAATACATGTACATGCAAGGAACAATTGTTCCTTTCATAACCCCCATATCAACAGAACCTCCCGAGTTCTGCCGCGAATCTATTGGAAACGAGCACACTGCGCTGCTTTCACATATAAAACATGCCTATTGGTGTTTAAGTACCCTATTGCGCATTCATTTTCAATGCCGCATCGCGGACTTGATGCGATTTTTGTACATCCTGACGCAAGTCTGAGGTCCTAGAAGACTTGCTTCTAGACTGGGAATAAAAGCCTGGTTTCACTGCCTATTCGCAGCGGCTGTTTCCCGGCATTTAAGGGTTCCGACTGTCGGCATGAAAATGTGGCAGGTTGTAAGTGCCAAGCTTTGGTGGTACCACAAACCAGAGACAAGGCTGACACAAATTCAGCACCCGGCGGCCTGGGTGAAGAGCCGCTGTCGTTTGTAAGCCACGTGAGTGAGAAACCAGAGCGAGACATCTATGGAATAACGGCATACAGCCCGCAGATGTACTAGAAAACCGGACACAGCGAAATCAGCCATGCGCCACACCACAGGCCTCAACCAAATTTAGATGTGTCCGGTTTTCTAGTACCTTTGCATGACAGCTGAAGCGGGTCAAAGAAGCAAATGAAAAACACTCGGCAACTGCTAGAGTCGCAAGGCTGTATCAATGGTCGACTGCGGCTAAGCAGAATTGGCTGCTGGCGTGGTTCTCGACCTGGCGAAGACAGCGACTGCAACGCTTGAGGCTGTCTTCACCATGGCGTCACTCTTAATACACTCGAACGCAGGTTCGATTCTCTTGTGGCATGGATTCCGGTACAGCGAAACTGATAGGCTACTACATGACATCTATGGGCCTGAAGCGAAATGAAATGACATGAAGCCTATGCCTCTCTTGCATAGCAGTAACAGCGGTGGAATAGGACCTATGACTTCCCAATACTAGTTGCATGACTCATGTCTCTTATGGACATCACGTCCGAAACAAGGGTCGTCTTCGGCTAGGGTAGCCAGCCAATCCTTCAAATTCTAGCCAAGCCATGGAAGCTGAATGACGACACACGGACCGCATTGAACAGGAGTTAACTTCCGATGCCATATCCCGAAGTCGCCGAAAGGGATGCGAGCCAATCTGACACCTACCAGGATATGCTCTAATGCTTGCTCCATGATAAGCGGCGTGGAGAAGGTTTCAATCCACTCATCCCAGTGTACCGTTTATTGAGAGTTTCTGGGCTCGCCTTACATCCAACAAGTAATTCTCGCCGGACGGCGCCGTATTTCCTCGTGGTGTGTTAGTCATTCCTGTCATGACCACTCACCAAAGTACCCTGCCGTAAGACGGTCAACTTGGCTGCGTCAATATCAAGCTGGCCCACTGGGCATCACTGCTAACAACAGCACCAGAGGACTGATGAGGTGACTAGGATGTGAGACAGGGCAAACATATGCTGCTGCTACTAGTACAGAGCACACCAAAGTTCTCTCTCACTTGAGACCTGATCTTGCCGCGGCCGGACATCGCCGATGTTCCAAGTCGAGGAGGGGAGATGAGTAGAGCTGATCGGTCACTGCGGTACAACTTTTGAGAGACTTGAGGCTAATTATTGCCTCTAGGTTGAGTCTGAGATTCGGTCTTTCCCCATCACCCCAGCTGTTAGGGACATTGATGGCTAGCCTTACTGGAATACAGCGAATTCAAAAAGTATAGAGGAGGCTACAATTGCACAAGCTCTTGGCCGACCAATAAGTCGTTGGAAAGTCCATCTGTTGCGTTTGTACTCAGCAGATCTTGGATTGGTTTCAAGACATAAAACTCGAGACAAGAGCTTCGAAGTAGCCAGACTGTAATTCTGAGAGTGACAGGCTTCGATATTATCTTGATATTGTGACAAAGCGCGCTTCCTCCCCAATAGTGGTCACATCTCTTCGTCAATGTGCCACCCGAAAAATGGTAAATGTGTAATAGAGGTGTACTTTAGATCAGGAACTTCGTTCGTAAGTCATGAAAGCCACATAGTATTCACCATTCCCCCCGTACTTGAAATCATCTTGAACAAGTTCTTTCTCAATCTTGAACCCAAGTCGCTTGTATACTCCAACTCCAGCCTTCATAGCGTGGATGAATATGTCCAAGCCCATCTTCTCCGCTTGTTTCATGCCACTTTGGACTAATGCTGTGGCTACTCCCTTGCGCTGATTATCAGGGTGAACAGCCAAGTAGTCTAACTGCATCCAAGGCTTTCTGGTTAATATCGTGTCCTTAATCTCGCGAACCGGAATGAGCAGGTCATCCGCGTCGCAATTCGGATCCCAGGGTGCCGTATCAGCAATTTGCCGTATTTCAGCCTCTCGCTCAGGTTCAACAGCTGGTACTACGGCTTCGGGCCATGCAAATGTGCCATCTGAACAGGTTGCATGTGAAAGGGGTAGTGACCTATTGAACATCAGACGCCTCGGGCTCTACGTAAGCATGATTTCTCGGATCTAAAACATACCAACGGGCATACCCCAAAAGAGCACCTGTCTCGTCAGTTGCCTTCTGGTGTCGCCTAGTCAAACGCTCGTTAAGCAAGTTGCGCGGCGTCCGTTTACTGACTTGAGCGATATGATATTCAAGCGTCCTATGGCGCCACTCCAAAATCCAATGCGGATCTTCCCAGAAAGCGGGAATATTGTTGCGACTAAGATCGGCACCGTCCTCAACGGTGCATTGAGAAATTATGTAGCCTGACATTTTAAGACGAAGCGGAAAGTGCCAAGATTCTTAATATTCAATAGGCCTAAAGGGTCTATTTCTTGAACGGTGTTGCTTTAAAATTCTTTTGCAAAATGCTGCTGCCTGTATGTGGGGGGTTGCATTTCTCCTGCATTGTAATCCTCAGTCTCCATTGGGCTCTGGCTCAGAGACGATATGATTCGTTCTGCATACGGGCTTCCAAATAGAGTTACCTTCTTGATGAGATTTTTATTATGCTCTCGACCTTTTGATATATATATATAATTTGAGGATTGTATCATGACGTGACATGTTCATTCATTAGCCTCCGAACAGTTAAAGTGACGGCAGTTCGTCGCTAGTCAATGGACCTAGATGGCCACGTCCTATCCTGCTGTCAAGACTTATGGCAAGCCCTCCGGTACAATCGCAAAATTAGCGGCACAGGCGCTGACTTAACGTATCCTACCGACGCATATGTTGTAGGTGGGATTGACGCCCAGCATTCCTCACAATTAACGATCGAAGAGACAAAAACGCGAATCCTCCACACAATGTAACAGTGTCAAGATAATCTCCTGAAAGGCCTGCATTAGTCATTACTGTAAAGTTGAAGATAGATGAGCTAGGTGTGCATCGAACCACGCTTATAAATGTTCTGCATGTTGTGATTTCAAGTCATTGTTATCGTACGCTTTGTTATATTTATAATTTCTGTCGCCTTCTTGTCGTTGAGCCTTGGCGGTGTACTAGGGCATTTGCTGCAGAATTAAAAGTAGCCTTATAAAGACTATTCATGCTCCATTGTTCATTTTCACAAGAATTGCAGCCGAGGCCCATACGAAAATGATATGTGGAAAGGATGAACATCATACATAGGATACAGAATATGCTTAAGGGATAACGGCATTTTCAAGTAAGGGTGACTTACCTGATGATGGAATGCGGAGCAGTAGTTTCCGAAATTGTGTACTTAAGGAAAAGTTCAGTTGAAAATTTGCATTTCAGTTAGTAGTGGCAATTGCGAGGTGAGAATATATCAGCAACACTTGTCGTGCTCCTAGACGCGCCTTGTGGTGGTGCATGAAGCCTTATAATTTGACCCCTAGGTCTTAACAAACACAGGCCACTATATTATAGATGTGCTGTATAACAGGGAGCCGTATGAATGGTATAAACGCGAGTGGTGCACGAATGCTAGGGGTCAGAATAGTGGTGTGTAAAAGGATGGATTCCAAGCTTTCCAAGCTTGTGTGGGAAAGCTAATCTACATCGTAGATAGATAAGATAAGCTTATCAGCTTATCTTATCGTCTATCTACACGTGATACCCTATGGCTCACGTAACAGCGAGCCATGTAAGTCACATAGAATAGAAAAGAGTCTAGATTAGCTGTGTATTTGACTGGTCTAAGAAAGTGCTCTATTGAGTGATTACGAGAATAGAATTTTGTCTCTTCGCTGATCACGTGGTCGTCCCTTCAAGTGGAGGAGCTGTTGTATAGTTTTCAAGTTCTGTCCTGCCACATTTGAGTACGTTTTTTCCACATGCACACATGCGAACCGCCCATATCCATCACCTGACCAACAAGCCGGCTATAAGTATACAACATTGGTTAATAGTATTTACATAACTCCGGCTAGTTCTGGTAGCCTGTCTTTCATCTGTGGGTTAAAGCACCAATGGTTGCGACTCTGGACACACACATACACAAATGGCTATAACACAAAGCCAGGCCGACTACTGCATATCTCCAGAAGATGTATCTAGCCGGTGTATTGTTGCCGCTCAGCGGAACTCCCCGTACACCTTGGATCCTTGTAAGCGCGCACACCGGACCGGATGGGGGCACGGGCCAGAAGACGCCAACTGCCCAAATGACGTGCCGGCGGGGTTTTTTTCTGATCGATAAGATGGCGGGCAATTGTAATCAATTCGACGGGGGTCCACGGGTCTGTCTGCCCCGCGATTCGGAGCAGCCAGAACGGCCCAAACCCAGACGATTATAATTTGTTCCCGCCGTCACCCCGTCACCCATCACCCATCACCCGGCCACGTCCACCACTACCCGACCAGCACACACGTTCAGAACAGCACGCAGGCACCGCCGACGCCCGACATGTCGACGATAAAAGAGATCACCTCCGAGGACGAGTGGCGCGCCCACGTCGCCGCCCTGCACAAGGACACCCTGCTCATCATCTCCTTCCATGCGCCCTGGGCCGCCCCCTGCGCCCAGATGGCCACCGTCCTGCGCACCCTGGCCGCCGAATACCCCGTCGCCGACCCGCCTGCCACCAGCTGGGTCTCCATCAACGCCGAGGACCTGAGCGACGTCAGCGAGACCTACGACGTGACCGCCGTGCCCTACCTGGTGTTGCAGCGCAACGACACGGTCCTCGAGGCCGTCAGCGGCAGCAGCGCCGTCAAGGTCCGCACCGCCATCGAGACCCACGCCAAGAAGGCCGGCGATGGCGCCGCAACGACAAACGGTGCTGCCGAGAACACTGCTGCGCCCATGGAGGTCGACGAGCCCGCGGACCCGGCCAAGGCCAAGGAGGAGCTGTTCAAGAGGCTGGGCGAGCTGGTCAAGGCGGCCCCGGTGATGCTGTTCATGAAGGGCACGCCCAGCGCGCCGCAGTGTGGCTTCTCGCGGCAGCTGGTGGGCATCCTGCGCGACCGCAGCGTCAAGTACGGCTTCTTCAACATCCTGGCCGACGACGAGGTGCGGCAGGGCCTGAAGGAGTACGCCGAGTGGCCGACCTACCCGCAGTTGTGGATGGACGGCGAGCTGGTGGGCGGTTTGGATATTGTAAGTCTTGGACGCTGAGATCAGACTCAGTGATTTGGATTACTGACAACACGTACAGGTCAAGGAGGAACTGGAGAATGACGACAACTTCTTGAAATCATACAGCGTGGCAAAGGACGAGGCGGCGGCAGCATGAGGATATCCATACAGGACACTGTAGCCAAAAAAGAACCCACACAAAAGGGACGAGGACATGACCCAAGGCATGAGTTGGCAATGAGTGACATCCGCGAGATGCTGATGCTCGACGTCTTTCTTCCTGGTCTTGAGCTGGTAGGCAGATTGGCATCATTGGTGGATATAAGCGCCGTGCCACGAAGTCGTCTGTAGCCTAGTTAGGGGAATGGAATCATCTCGAGAACACTGCATGCTTCCGGTCGAGGTGTTGTTCTCGATCACTATGCTCACAATCCAGATGCGAAAAGTGCCAAGGGCGACGACACAAGTTACCCTCCAACAACAACCAGACCCCTCAGCGAAAGCATGGCTTTCATGATACGTCCATCTATTATTTTTATGGTGGCGATTCACTCATACATTATAATAGCTACATATATAGGTGTAGAGGACTACCTATCGTCGTGAAATCCAAAGAATACCTCGTCCTTCGGCGGGGCGCCTCGCCTCAACTCTTCTTCGGGGGGCTGGCACAACCGCCTTGACTCCTCCGGCAGCGTCCAGGCCCGCAGGTCGTCCAACCTTGAGACGAACTGCATGGCCATTCCCGCCTCGGAATGCCACACCATGTGGCAGTGGAACAGCCACACCCCAGGGTTATCTGCGACGAACCGGAGCAGGACCCAGCCGAAACCCTCGGCCGTTGCCACGTCGCGCCGGACCGGGTTCTCGACCACGGTGCGGTTGGCCGGGTCTAACAGGCCGCGCCCCTCCGGCTGCAGGCCGAGCGCCGCGTAGCCAGGGAAGTATCCGTGGCCGGCGCCCAGAACCCAGAACTGATGGCCGTGCAGATGGAACGGGTGGCTGTTCTCGTCCATGTTCTGGAGGATGACGTCGACGGTCTCGACGCCACGGTGCGCAACTACCAGCTCCTCCTTCGCATCGAAGGCCGCCGCGTTGACGCCCTCGGCGGTGAACGACTCATTCGAGGACGCCAGCCCGTCAAGGAGCCGGTGCAGCGTGGGCTCTTTCAGGTTGGGTCGGAAGGACGACGAGTTCATGACGCCACGCTGCAGGCGCCAGTCGCCAATGGCGAGGTTTACACGCAGGTACCAGGAGTGGTCCGCGACTTCGGGAGCTGGGAGCGGGGGAGAAGGGTGGTACTGCTTCCGAGATGTCATATCCTTGCAAACCATGGGGTAGTCCGTGTTTGTGTTGTTGGTGGTGGGCAGAGCTTGCGGCACCGTGACGTTTTGCGCTTGTGGCTCTGCGGAATACCGGATGATGGCTCTTGCTTCATCTGACCCGTTTTCGGGGATGATTGGCTCTGCGAAGCAGGTTTTGATCATTCTCGCGCGAAGCCAGAAAGATTCGTGTTCGGTCTGATCTGTTGTCACGATGGCGCTGTATCGCTGCCCAGGGGAGAGTATCAAGTCGGACTCGGGAGACGCTTCAACAGGAGTGCCGTCCACTTCTATGACAGGAATACTCAGATGCTCGTCGATTGAGACCTGGAACCAAGCAAAGCCACCCAGATTGATGAATCTCAGGCGATGACTAGCACCGGGGGCCAGGTTCATTGTGGGAAGGAATGTGCCCTCGATATCGCAGCGGCGGCCGGGATGAAGACTGCATTCGGCTTGGTTCAAACCATTAATGAGAGCAGCGTTCGGAATGGGTGAGTCTTCGTTGCCTGGAGACAAGACCTCGACCATGAGACCCTCAGCAGAGTCATAGTACCAGTCCTGAAGCATCACAACGCGATCTGAAACGTATGATAACGGTCGAGCTGTTCTTTCATCACGACCATGAATAACCAATGGGCCCACGAGGCCATCAAGGGTCTGTACGCCTTGGTGACCATGGTAGAAATCTTGATTCAGTTGTTAGCAACTTTAATTGCACCATAGGAACCGGTAGGCGGGTCGAGGAGGACTCACATGTTCCAGACTGGCCCTTCACGGTAAACTCGTATTCGAAGGATTGGCCAGGTGCGATCGGGCACTGGGTTATGCCAGCTGTACCATCCATCCATGCAGTCCCGTTCTGGAAGATACCATGCCAGTGGATGGCGGTAGCATTGCTCGCCTGATTGACTACGTTGACGACGATTGTGTCGCCCTCGTTGACTTCAATCAAGGGGCCGGGAAACTGTCCATTGATGGTCATCATAGGCTTGAAGATTCCATCCGGGTTGCCTTCTTTCTCCAGAATGGTCCAGTGGTACTCTCGCACCTGCGGGGATGCATTGAAATTCCATTCTGCGTCCAGCACATAGTCTCGATCTGGCCGCCGGAGGGGCATCTCCAGAAACTCTGACAAACCGGGACCGGATTTCGTAACTGGATCACGCTTGAATATGAGCGACAGGTCAAAGATCACCATGAAGGTGATAACAAGAGCCGTCAAAACCCGCGCAAGACGAGAACCTGCTCTTGGGCCGGACCGCCTCGGCCGAACAACATCATCTGTGCCAGAAGCCTCTTTAGACAGCAGCCCTTTCGTCTGCTCTGCATCGGCGTCTTCGCCACTCGAGTCTGCGGTTGGCTGTGTTTCCCCCTCGTCTTCCGAGTCGAATAGCATCATCTCCGACTCAAGGTGACGGTCGCCACTCGGCGACGATGCGCCCATCGGACTGTAAGCCGCCATGGCCTTTCGACTCCACTAGAGTAGATCTAGTGGCAATAAATTTGATGGTTTCCCATGTATGGTTCCCGACATGAATGAGATTGTGATGTTGAGTAATGGAACGGGGTATATGAACAGTCGAAGGTGGAGTGGCATGCCGCGCAGTCTGGTCGACAAGTGGCTGATGCGCGCTAGACAAAAGGGGCAGCTAATGCCTGATCACTATTCTCTGGCTTTTCGACTTCATGAGTTCCTTGTGTGATGCTGTTGATGTGCGTGGCGCTGTGTATTGCGAAGCGTATGTTGGGAGAGGCAGAATCTGGAAGTCGAATATTGGGGATGTCGCATTCGCCAACCCCTGTCAGCATGAGACAGCCGCAGGGTGGGCTATTCGAGGAGGATCGGCAATCCTCAAGCGCCGCTGTGCCAAGATCTCATATAGCTTCGCTGAAGGAATGCGTATACCCTTCAACATTTATCACCACTGCTCGTGGTTTGTTTGATTGGAAACCCCAAGAAGATAATTACCTCTTCGGGATCGAAAAATATCCAGAAACGTGGCTTACGGCGTGCAGTTGATTGGCTCCTGCACTTAGCATTTCCGGCCCCAGTACCGGCGTCAGGACCCACGTATGCGGGAGCCGAGCCCGGATGCCTCCCGATGGGCAAGCACTGCCGACCGCTATGGCTAGGGCCCAGAAGGGCGACACTGCATGGCGTATACTAGATCAGAGTGCACGTGCATCGCAGCCCGGGGGTTTTGTAGATATCTTTCACATTCCTCTTGCTAGCAGGTTGTCTGATCCCCGCAGTCATTGCATGCTTGACGGGTAGATTAAACGGATTTTGTTTAGGGCAACCCCCCAGACCATGAATTGGGCACCGTCAAGGTAGCCTGCGAGCGCTTTGTTCTGGGCAAAGAGTATGGGGAGGAGACTTTCTCGCAATCGGATCCAGAACATGGCCAGGTGTAGGCAGTCAGAAAATCGGTAGCGGCGGGTATCCCGCCGCCAAGGGAAACTTCTGTGTTTGTTCCATGAGTGAAATTTCTACTGACCAACTGAGCTACTTCTGAATCATGCGAGTACGGCTAACTGGAAGTTATTTGGCTAGGTAACTTGGCTGGTGGTCGAGTGTGATAAGACTTTACGGCGATAAAGCTTAAGTCCGGGCGAGACAAACTAGCTGACACGAGACTCTTGGTGACTCAGGCCCTAAGGCTAGGAGAGTTGGATTGGATACGTCATGCGACGTGGAGATGGACCCTGGAGGGTAAATTGTTCGACTAGGATTGAGATTCTCTGCTCGTTGTCGAGACTCGTCACATATGCAGCAAAGCCATTGCTTCAGCAGATTAACTAAGAACGGAACTTTAGGCGAGGGATGTGCGGGTGCAGCTGTTATGACTCACATGGCGTGAATTATGGGGGTGAGAGACATGGATAAGGGAGAATAATGGCTGGGTGGTGTCTGTTATCCAGAGGGTTTACATACTGGTATATTACGCTGTGATATTTAGGCCGACGATGTTTGAACGACGATGACGACGCTCACTCGTTGCCTGGGCTTCGGACTGGTACCGAATGAATGCACCCTAAGCACTGACAGCCCCTGATACACCAAATAGCGGCCCTGCGAGACCAGGGGACTGATGGCCGCCAAGCACAGATTATACCCAGACTGTGACACCTCGCAGACTTTCCAACCGCTTGGTGCTCACGGTAAGTTGCTTAAGTACCTTGGCAGAAAGCCGCGTGGGATTCGAGGCGAAGCCCTGGCTGCTACTGGGGTCTGGCATTAGCCTTGGTCCTCCAGCTCCATCTTGCCGTCCTCCAGGCATGTGTCCAGTCCAGGCTGACAGGGTTGCAAGTTGCTGCGATTAGAGCACCCTGGGCACCATCTTTAGCTCGGGCCCGTCCTGATAGGCTTGACTGCTTTTGGGCCAGGGCATTGTCGCAAAACTCTGGGTCCGACTTTGTCTTTCTCAACCGTAAGCTCACCTCCAACTTCATCTGAACTTTTCACTTGTAATCCTGCAGTCCTCTGCTTTCCGCTGCTCGCGTCGCTCGTCTCATGATCAAAGACTCAACACACTGCCGCCGCCCTGCCGAGCCGCGTTGAACAATCCGATGCCCAGTCACCTGTTGACACCGTGTTGCTGCGTAGATCACCCGCGCCGGACCCCTCCATTTGCTCGAAGTCGCCCTTGAGGGGCAACTCTAATTCGACTACCTGGCTGGCGGACTCGCTCACTGCCAGACGCCGTCATACCACGACACCTGGGCGACATCGACCTCTTTACCTCTCCGCTAGGCCAGGAAAGAGCGGGCGCGAGCTGAACCCAGCTTGGATATTGTACAGCGGCCTGCGCGAGCAACAGCGATTGTGTCGCGCGACCTCGTTGGAGCTTTGCGCACTGCCTCCGGTGGTGCAATCTCAATCTCCCACAGCCACTCAATTATTCACCGCTATTCTTAAATCATTTGCTCTCGCGATAACGACGCGCAAGCTGGCCCATCACCAGTAACATTGCGAGCGTCATTGCAACTGTAGATTCTCGTGACCGCGACACCGTATAGGGCGATTAGCGCAACCGGACTGAAGGCGAAAAGACTGGCTTCATTTCCACAGAGGCAGGCCCTAGGACTCGTCAGGAATATCCAGCGGATATACTCAACATGACTCCCACTCCGCCCTCTGCGACGACCTCCTCTTCGGGGCACTCCCCTGAAGAGCAGTTTCGGATTGTAAGACGCAGGAATCGGGTGCCTCTGAGCTGTCTGCCGTGCCGGACTAGAAAGTGAGCTTTACCAGCGCCTGTCTTGTTTTCATGGAGATATCTAATGTTGGCCATGGTTTAGCTAACTTTAGCTCAGACTGAAATGCAACAGAGGTTCCCCTAGTTGCGAGAATTGCATCAAGCGTGGCGACACACAATCCTGTGTCTATGCGAATCCGTCGAGCCGGAGAAAGACACAAATCAATGCGGGGCCAAATGCAACCCCGGACGATATGCAGAACCGCATCGACCGCCTCGAAGGCCTGGTACTCAGCCTGATGCATGGCGGTGCCAATATAGATGCTTCTACCGCGGCCGCAGCTACGACTTCGTCTGGATCTATGTCAGGCCCAGCTCCCGCATCCGTAACCGACAGCAGCGACCAAAGGGTAGAGCAAGACGATGAGAACGCCATGAGAGACGAGCCCGACGGCGACAGTGATGTTGACGACGGCCTGGCGACTTCTCTGGGTGTGTTGAAGGTGGACGCTGATAAGGGCAAATCCCTGTATATTGGGCAGGAGCACTGGCATACACTGCTGGCAGACATTTCAGAGGTCAAGACCTTTTTTGCGTCACATAAGAAGGATCTTGAAAAGAGCTATGAAAGAGTTATGTCCTCAAAGCCGGCGACGGCGCGGGATTCTCCCATTTTCCTTCTGTCAGCGCCGCCCTCGTCCGAAACGGAACTCCGTGCCGAGCTACCAGCGAAATCAGCCATCACTACTCTGGTCTCGAGGTATTTCAACTCGCTGGATACGGCCGTGATGATAATACACGGGCCCACGTTTCAGCAGCAACTACGAAATCATTGGCAGGATCCCACGAAGTCTCCGATTATGTGGGTCGGCTTGGTCTATTCAATGCTTTGCCTTGCCATGTTGAGTTATCACAAAGTAGGGGACGAGCCACCTGAGTGGAAAGGGAGGTCCTTGGAGCTTGCTGCAGAGTACCGCCTGCGGACGGTGCAATGCCTTGTGGTTGCGGACTACACAAAGCCCGTCGAATATACGGTGGAAACCATGATCCTCTACCTTTTTGGAGAATGGTCGTCTCGATGGGATGCTGATCTTGGGCTGTGGTTGATCACATCATTGATCACGAGAATTGCCTTCCGCATGGGATATCATCGCGACGCGGAATGGTTCCCGTCGATCACACCCTTCCAAGGAGTAAGAAACACAACATTAGAATCCTCAAATGCGACATGCTGACCTGGGTGTAGGAGATGAGACGTAGAACATGGGCATTGATAAGAATGTCAGATATCATGTTTTCGTTCCAGGTAAAACCCCCTCTGGAGCTGCGTTCTAACCGTTGCTTACTAAAGTGTGAAGGTTTCCTTACCGACGATGATCTACGAGCATGTCACAGACACTAAATTGCCGCATAATATCTTTGACGAGGAATTTGGACCTGATACGAAAGTTTTACCCCCGTCTAGGCCGATTACGGAGCCAACACCTATTGCCTACATGATTGCAAAATCAAAGCTATGTATTGAGTTTGGCAACATCCTGCAGACCGTGTCACGAGTTGGAAGACAGGCGACATATGAGGAGATCCTGTGTCACGATCGGAAGTTGCGAGAGATATTGGATGAGCTTCCACCTCACCTCAAGATGCAACCGCTAGAAGGGTCCCATGATCCTGTAACCCTCATCATTGCGCGGTACAACATCAATCTGCTCTACCAGAAGATTATGTGTATGCTGCACCGGAAGCATTTGATTAGAGCGAGACACAATCCTCGGTACGCTCACTCCCGCCGCAGCGCTATTGAGGCTGCGTTGGAAACTTTGAGTCATCTACGAACCATCAACCGCGAATGCCAACCGACCGGGCGCCTTCGTACAATGAAATGGTTCGTTCAGTCGACATCGAAGGACACCTTGCTTCCTACGATGCTCATTGTCCTTGATATTCACCACGACAACATGGCCTCGGCACCTGGCCAACGCCAAGACTCGCAAACCATGTACTTCTGGACACCGGAACAACGGGCTGATATGATTAAATCGTTGGAAAGCGTGCGAGACATCTGGAAATCACTTACGCAAGACTCAGTGGAGGCCTTTAAGGCAGCAAACATCCTTGAGATCATGCTCGAGAAGGTCAAGAACCCTAACTCGCTACCGTCAGAAGCAACAAAGCAGGAGAACCTGTTTGGGGAATTCGGCTCTGCGGACCTCCAACCCGAACACTCTGCAGCTATGACCCTAGGAATGATGTCCACCGGATTGACGCCGAATTACCAATCACCAGGCGGAACGGTGTATCCCCCGCTCGATATGGGGGTGAGAGACATGGGCAGCGGCCTTACGCCAAATTTCACAAATGACGTGCTCGCTGGCATGAACAACCCTGCGTCTCCGTTCTCCATGTTCAACAGCCTCAGCAACACAGGGGACATGGCTGTAGACCAAAGCTTTGACTGGGTAAGTGTTCGTCCATATGGCATGGCATCAGATAACTAACCGGGGACCAGGCGGCATTCGAAAACTACACGCAGAACGCCAACTTTGGGGAGCAGGGCGCTTTCGGTTACTTCCCGGATGCCCAACAGCAATCTCCGCCTGGAGCTTCGACTGACAGCTCTTTCTCCTTCATGAACATGAATACTCCTGGGCCTGGCAAGTCGACTTGATGAACAATGTGATGTGGTGGGACGGCGCTTGTGTGGACATCATGTTATGATGATGAAAATGTTTTTGGCAGAATCTGGCCGCACATGTTTTGCTTGCTAGCAAGGGAAAGGGTATTGTCCAGCCCCATGTGGATATGTAGATGATTGCAGATCACCACGTGTGAAAGACCGTGGACGAATATAGTCACTCAACTCTAGAAGCTCGGTTCTGAGCTACATCATTGCCTCACAGTTTGGAGCTGGGTCGGAGTTCGTAGTGGTGATCGAGTGAAAAGGCGGCAGGAAACCCCAGGGAATTTGCTCAATTTCCACAGATTCTGCATCAAAACATCGAGCTCCAGACATTCGGACCGAAACACGTCCTCCGTGGGTATTATATGACAGGCACGTATAATCGGGGTTCTTGAAATATTTGATGGTCACGCGGATTCAATAGTAGCAGGGTGAGGAAGTCCCTGCCCCCAGAACTCTACCCCCGGAGCAGACACATTGCTACAATTAGCGAGGCGGTGCGCTGTTCATTCGGGCCTATACGTTGTCCCAAGATAGCTCGCAACGAGACTCGTGGAAGATCTGCGACACCACGACGATGGTTCTCGGTCCAGAGGCCGGGATGGCCACACAAACAGCCGCTGATGTCTGGCAGCGCCCGCGGGGGGCCACAGTGGCTCCTACACTAAACGGCCCAACTAGCTACCCCGGGATCGCTACCCCGGAAATCTACCCCAGCACACACTAACCTAGACAGCCGAGAGACTATTAACGGTGCGGAGAACTTGCCGCAGTCGAGCAACATCTTGGCCTCGTCTTGCGACATTTGCGCAAATTGATTCGAGGTGGAACGAGTGGCAACGAGCAGCGAGGTTTGGCGAGCAGTCACACACTGAGGAGTATCGAGGTACCTCATTCGTTCGCAGGGGCATCTCCAAACCTTGAGCTCTCGGTGGGGGATAGGTAGCATCACATGTAACTAGTCAAGTCAGATTTTATGAATGCATTTTGGTGATATACTTGCAACACTGCTCTCTCAGAAGAACACTGGCCGCTTGCCACATGAAACCTAGTAAAAGCTACAGCAGCCGCTCTAGGAGAGACTCGACGTCATCTGCCCAGGGCAACCACGTGCAATAGATACAGTGGCTTCTTTTTGACAGCTCGGGCGTGCGTCTTGCATTGTCGTCTTGCGTACCCCACATAATGCCACCCAAGAGGATGCCAGAGCATGCGGGCCTAGCAAAGTCGGCCCTTTTCTCGGTCACGATACCGGCCCTGGAGACCCAATGCCGGCAGGCCCCGGCCTCGGGCAGGTGGATGCAGCAGGGCGGAGTTTTGGAGGCGGGCGGGCGGTGCACTCAACTGGGTAGGCCTGACGTCGCACCACTTCCCGAGCGGGCTAAGGCCCGGGCCCAACTCAAGCAGTTTGGCTTCATTAACCTGAAAGATCTTGGCGTCCTTTGCTACTCCGGGCTCGTGACTGTATACCAGTGCGAGTACTAGTAAATTGTACATTCTTTTTTTTGCAGACTGCACGCAACTAGGCGGCCCGCTCTCTTCTTCTACTCCTGGATGCCATGGCTCTGGATGTAGACAGGCTGCACGCACCGCGCGTCATTGCATAGAGAACAGTGGTCCCTGTCCCATTGTGATTCGATCGACCACTCATAGTAATCAGGGCAGCTACGGCGTGTGTCGTCCATGGAGCACAATTGTGGGACTAGATTCGGACCTTCATCTTCTACGCTTGACCTATCAGTTATGACTATAAGGCCATCGACTCGTGCTTAGGATCTTGCCGCTCGCCCGTGCTAGTCTGAAAATCCAGCTCGTCTTTTCATCAGGTACCCGGCCTCTCAGGTAGCAGAATGAAGTCAACTTATCTGTTGTCTGCTCTTTGGGCTGCGGCCACTCAAGGTCTGAGCACCGCAGACTGGCAGAAACAGTCCATCTACCAGATCGTGACCGACCGGTTTGCTCGAACGGATGGCTCGACGACGGCTAGCTGCGACTTGACTCGGTATTGTGGTGGAACATGGAGGGGAATCATCAACCACCTGGACTATATCCAGGGTATGGGATTCACTGCCGTAAGTCAGTAACATTTTATAGTAGGCTCCGATCTGACGCAGTATTAGATATGGATCTCGCCTGTTGTCACCAACATTCTCGAAGGTTCAGGCGGGTATGTACTAGCGATTGTAGCTGCTCCTTTCGGATTGAATGCTGATTAATCTTTGCATAGTACATCTTACCATGGATATTGGGCCCAAGATATCACAACGGTGAACTCGAATTTCGGAAGCGGAGATGATCTGAAAGCCCTAGCAGATGCTCTGCATAATCGCGGCATGGTAGGAATATACCCATACGCTGTGCATTGGCCGAGTACTGACACCTACCGCAGTATCTCATGGTTGACGTTGTCACCAACCACATGGGCTCTCCCAACGCCGCCAGCAGTGTCGACTATAGCATCTACAACCCGTTCAACTCGCAGAGCGACTTCCACTCGCCATGTGACATCAACTACAATGATGACAACTCAGTGATCACTTGTTGGCAGGTCCTGTCGTCGCCTAGCCTTCCGGATCTGAAGACTGAAGACACCAGTATCCGCAGCACGTGGAACGACTGGATCACTCCGCTCATCTCGAAATATGGTATCGACGGGCTGCGCATGGACAGCACAAAGCATATCGAAAAAGACTTTTGGCCGGGTTGGGTCTCGGCTTCAGGAGTTTACAACATGGGAGAGGTTCGTAGAATAAGTCGCCCTATAAGTGCGGCAAGAAAACTGATCGAAACTCTACACAGGTGTATGATGGCGATCCGAGCAAGTTCCCCGACTGGCTCAATTACATAAGTGGTCTCGTGAACTACCCGGTGTCAGTTGTATTGCCCTACGGGATTGCCTGGCGCGTTCTAACTTGGTAGTAGATACTATTGGATCACGCGGGCTTTCCAGTCCTCTTCTGGTTCGATCAGCGACCTGGTTAGTGGTATCAATACGATGAAGGGTTCCAGTGAGTGATTGTTGTGTCGGATACGATGCTGTACTGACTCTAGTCAGTGAAAACGAGTACCATGGGATCTTTCATGGAGAATCATGATCAAGTCCGATTCGCTTCGTTGACTAGTGACGTGGTATGTGATGTACCAGGTATTTTTGCAATAGGAAGCTGACTAGTTCGCCTCAGAACTTGATCAAGAATGTACGAGCAATGCGGGACTCTCTCTTTTGACTGTACTAACGAGGGCTTAGGCGATCGCATTCACAGTACTAGCTGATGGTGCATTTCCCTGTGGTGCTTCCTCCTGGATTAGTGCTTACTACTTTCTAAAGGTATTCCGATCATCTATTATGGCCAGGAACAGCAATACTCTGGCGGTGCCGACCCGAACAACCGAGAGCCGCTCTGGACTTCGGGCTACAACACCAACTCAGCGCTGTACAAGTTTATCACAGCCGTGAACAAGATCCGCAGCACCGCCATCTCCAAGAGCACTGCCTATATCTCGTATCAGGCAAACCCCCTATACTCGGACTCACACGTGATAGCGATGAAGAAGGGGGACGTTGTCGGGGTCTTCACTAATATTGGTGGCAGCTCCAGCTCTTCTGTTAGCCTCAGCGGCTTCACTGCATCTCAGGCCCTGGTCGATGCCATCAGCTGTACATCGTATACTGCAGACAGTAGCGGTAGACTGACCCTCGCAGTCGGGCCAGCCCCTGTCGTTCTGCTACCATCCTCTTATGGTTTATGTACGGGCTCTGGTGGTAGGTCACTCCCATAAAGCGCTCCAAGTTCCATATTGTTATCATTGAAATTTTTGGCTTACTATTTAAGCAGGCACAACAACGGCTACTGCCCCGGCGGGAAGTACGTACAGCCTCCACATCTCTTTTGCCCTCATCGGAGTTCGAATAGGGGGCTCTCCAATACTTGCTATCAAAGACTAACGAGTATAACAGCTGCAACTGCGTGCTCTACGGTGCCCGTCACATTCACCGAGACGAAATCTACTAACTACGGCGAGATCATCAAGATGTACAGCTTCCCCAAGTTCATTATCACGCTGCTCGCCCTCCTTCCCATCTGAAACTCCCGCTCCGCCTCCCCCTTTTGTGTATCTATCCCCGTGTGCCCTTGTTTGCTTGTCTGACTCTCGGCCCACTCTCGCCGCCCCTCACAGCGTAGGAAACGTTGCCGCCCTCGGGAGCTGGGACACCAGCAAGGCCGTGGCGCTGAGCGCGGCGTCGTACACGACGGCGCGGCCCGTCTGGACTGGCACCGTCCGGTTCACGCCCGGCGCCACCGTCCAGTACAAGTACATCCTGGTGTCCAGCAGTGGCGCCGTGACCTGGGAGGCCGACCCCAACCATACGTACACGGTGCCGACGTCGTGCACCGCAGCTGAGGCCGCGGTCTCTGATACTTGGCAGAGTTGATGGAGAGGAGCGGCGAAAAGACAATTAAGGGAAGGGGTGGTAAGATGGACAGTATGGCGTATTAGCTTACATACAAGATCTACGTTCAATCTCTATATAGGGGATCAACACAATTTCAGGACGATTTATTTTGATATGTACAAGGGTTTTTATTTTTCTCTTTTAGTTGTGTCAAAGCTATGTGCATGCAAATGGGGTAACGCCTCACGTCATAAGGCGACCGGGCCTTGCTTAGAGACCGAAAGCCGCCTTGGCCCGCTGCCAGTAGGCGTTGCGGTCCTCCGTCACCGAGACACCGACGCACTGCATGTAGGCGGCGAAGCCCGCGTCGGTCCCGGCGGCCAGCGTGGACCGGACATTGGCGCAGTGGTTCACGAGGAACCAGGGGCCGGAGCCGAAGTTGTACTTGTCGTCGGTGACGAGCGCCAGCACGGCGTTCTTGCCGGCGTCCGTGTCCGTGCTGCCCACCTTGCCAACCTCGCCGGCGAGTGCCGGGATCGACTTGGCGTACTCAAGGTTGTAGTTGAACATCTGCATGTTGGCGGTGCCCTGGCCCGGGCGGCCGGGCGACACGTTGTGCTTGTACTCGAAGTTGACGGACTCGAAGGCCATGAGCGCGTAGACGCCCGCCTTCTCGCCGGCCGAGGTGATGTTGTAGTCCTTCATGGCCTGCTCTAACAGGGGCCCGGCCTGGGCTGCCGTGCGGCATTCATCAGTCGGGGAGCAGGTGGCTGAGGCAGCGGCCGGGGCGATCTGGGCCACCAGGGCGGCGGCTGTAGCATCGGTCGTAGATGATCGAGCACAGTTGGTTGGGGCGGCGGCGGCCGAGCCGGCCAGCAGGAGAGCAGTTGCGATCTGAACGGTCTTCATGGTGAAATTTGGAGATGGGTATCAGGTATAAGAGGCTTGCTCGTATAGAATGTGTGAGGCAAAGAGTGATTTGGTCGTATCAAACGATCCTTTGTGATGTGATTTTGAAAGTAGAGAAAGTGAGTGAAGTATGCTGTATAATAGAGGAAGCCTTCTCAGGACTGGACGAGGACCTCAAGATATAGCAGCACTCAGAAATTTAAGCTTTGTTGCGGATCGCACCAACAGACGACGAGTCAATGGGGGCCGTTGTTCGACAGCGCTTGTATAGTAACAATGAACAGTGGGGACCAGACCAACTGAATGAGTGAATGACAAAGAAAGGGAGTGACTCGAGAGTTGTTGGTGAGAGCCGGGGGCCGTTGGATGAGATGCAAAGCAAAAGTCAAAAGCAAGAAGCCGTTGCACAGGCAGGTACTTATTCGTCTCTGATGTGGCCATTGTACTTACCTGACCGTCCATCTACAATGACTAGCGCTCCTAGAGGGAGCCCGAGTCGTGAGTGGGAGGCGGTTTTCTCCTGACTCTGTGCTATAACGAAGCTACGGAGGTATGGATTGAGTGGATGTGGGGGAGCCTAGTGGCGGCTCAAGGAGCTGACGGCAGCCAATCGTCTTGGCATCCCAAGCTGTGCATCCAATCTAGTGAAACAGGTCCGCGGTGGACGCCCTGTGTGCCCGCGTTGTTTCCAACACGGACCAGGGTGATCAGCCGAATGATTGGAGACGAAGGACAAGAGGCAGCCTATCCCCTCAGAGATGTTTGGGTCGGATCTCCAGTCGACCCTGTTCTAGGCTAAGCTTCCGCGAGAGGCAAGATGCGATGAACCCTGCTGGAGCCGGCGGTACCTGCTTTACGAGATCCTGCATGGGCCAGTCCTAAACGCACCAACGTGAGTATAGGGGCTAGCAGCAGCCTGTCATCTTGATGGCCTCAGTGCCGTCATGGACGAACAGTACCGGTGTGTTCCAAATATGAAGATGTCGGGCCAAGTGAACCGTTGCACTCGGTGCCGACTTGCAACGGGGTCTCCGTTCCCGCATCCCCGTTGCGTTAGGCGACCTGATCCGTCCCTGGCACGTGGGCCGTGGTGCCCGTCTGCACAGTTGGAAGTCATCTAGCTGGCGGGGGGCGGAGGGTCGGGTGGTGTTTAATCCGCTGACCCAATGGGCTTGCGGGTGTTGGCACCAGCCCTTAGCCTTCCAAGACCCGAGCTTCCAATGCGACGCCAGAGTTGAGTTAGGTAGAAGCAGCTCTGCCGTTCGGTTCAGCCTTGTGACGTGACGCGCATTCTTCATCCGTGGACATTGACCTCCAACGACCCAACGCGACACTGCACCTCCTGCCTGCTTCCGTGCGGTCAACCGCGGAAATCGCCCAACATGTCGCATCTCGCCAGCTACATCAACAGTAAGTCCAACCCGGGCCCCCGGGCCGCCCTCGCAGTTACCCATGCCGAGCCTCAACTTACAGCCCCGATTCTGACAGCTGGGTAGAGAAGGTGTGCGTCATGACGCTGGACTCGCGCATCCTCGTCGGCAAGCTCGAGAGTTTCGACCAATTGACAAACCTGGTACGCAAATACAAGCTCGGGTCCCAACGCAGCCCTGGGCGCACTCTCGCCTGCAGCACATACACTAACGGGGGCGCGCCCACATCTAGGTCCTGTCGAGCGCCATTGAACGCGTGATCCAGACCCCAGAGAGCGACGAGCCATCGCAAGAAGTCCCCCTTGGTCTCTACATCGTGCGAGGCGACAATGTCAGTGTTGTAGGGCTGGTGGACGAGGAGCTGGACGACAAGATCAGGTGGTCGGACGTCAAGGGCGCGGCGATCGGAACCACGAAACACATTTAGAGGGGAAGAAACCGGGATCGAGGTCGAGGATGAGGGACATCAATACGGCACGCCGAGGGATAAACGTTCCGACTTGCATACAACGGCGTTGGGAGAGGTGACTGGCATTTTATTTTATTTTCCCGCTGAGGAGTTGGCATTCTGAGTTCGAGTAGGGTATGCTTTGCCTAAATGATACCACCTGTGTTGCGTCTTGCTGACACTTCTATGGTTTGCTACATAAAATGGGATGACAAAACTTGCACATCGTGGCTCGCCTCTCCTCGCCCGGCGCGTCTAGCCAAAGAGGCGGCTCATCAAATCGGGTGCGCACTTCTCGAAACCCGGGCTCTCGGCCAGCCTGTTGATCCTGTTGCCTCGCTTGGCGCTGAGCCATCCGAATTCGTCGCCGGGGATCTCGTCAATGGCAACAGTGTCGCCCGAGACGCCGACGGCCGACCCGGCTCCCGGGGCTCTCTTACGGCCTCGCAGGTCTCCGACGTGCATTCCGTGCGTCCACTGTCCGGACGTCTCAACGCGGATATCCTCAGGCGCATTCTTGGCCAGCTTCCAAGCCGGGTCGTCTATGGTGAGAAGGTACCACACGGTCAGGGGGTCGTGCAGCGACAGCCCCGGCTCGGGATCGTCCCCAACCATCCTTTCGATCTGGCGGAAGACGCCTCCCATTATGTGGTTGATCCACGTTGCCAACGGGCTGCCTTCCTTCACGTGAGGGGTAACGGTGTCGAAAAAGTATCCCCTGTTCAGGAGATGCGGTGTAGTGATATCTAGAGGGAACAGAGTCAGGTTCAAACGCTTCGACAGCTTCTCCGGGTATGCTGGGAGGTTGGCGATCTTCTGCGGGACGACCGGCATGGTCGAGGACGGGACGGCTGAGGTCAGAGCGAAGACTCTGGCCGTGGCGATCGCATCGGCGTAGGTGTTGAACTCGGCAACCGGAGTGATGTTGCCGGGAACCTCGACCGCACCACCCATCACGCAAATCTCCTTGGCGCGGAGAAACGTCTCGGGGTCTTCCGCAGCGGCAAGGGCCAGGTTGGTCATGGGACCGACCGAGCAGATGGTGATTGTGTTTTCGGGCTCCTCCTTCAAGATTCGCAAGATCTCCTTATGTGCTGGGGTCTTGGAAGGGGTGAAGTAGGTGTAATAGGAGGGGTCCTCATCTGGGCGAGGCACACCATCCTCGAAGAGAGATTTCCACGTCTCCTCTGGGCTCAAGTGGGGATGCTGCCACGTTGGTTAGCCTGCTCATACATGCCATAAAAATCTGGGATGCTTACAGCCTCATGAACGCCGTGCAGACCGTCAGTACCGTCTGCCATACTTGTAAGCCTCTTCGCGACCGACTTCAGGGGTGGGCGGTTTGCGACTCACGAAACCCGTCCTCCATAAGAATCTCTTCTTCCAGAGCATGCTCGGGTCCAATGGCAACAATGGGTTTGTACGCCTTCAGTCCGCCGAAGCCTTCAGGCTTACCCTGGGATCTCCGCCATTCCAGTTCCTTGTCGAGCACGTGGAACATGGAAACGACATTGGTCAGGCAGCTCTTCAGCGGGACGTTTCCGTAAGTGACGGAGATCATGACAAGTTCCAGCTCCTCGGGCGACGCGGCCAGAGCCAGAAGCATGGCCAGCATGTCATCGACACCTGCTCTCTCGTGTTATCATGGTGGCATTCTTAATTCTTCCGCGGGTGTTCATATGACATGCCTGGATCAGTGTCGAAGATAACTCGACTCTTGGGCGCCATGGCTGCGATTTACCCCTCTTTGAGATGCCGTCGTTCTAAGCACTGCTTCGACCAAGATATAATAACCCACGGTAATAAGATGATGTACGCGTAGGACCTGTAAGCCGGTCTCAAGGAAGATCACGAAGACTGTGCACTAGGGAATGCAGTCCAAGACGGATCTTTATGCTCAGTAGTAATGCGGCGGCGGCGGCGAGGCTGACAGGACTGGTTGAGGCCGTAGCTAGTGCGAAAGCTCCCCGTTGATAAGGGCAGCCCCAGTTTAACTCCGCCCTTGGCCACCGGTGACCAGCGAAGACCGCGCGAGGAGTATTAATTGGACAATATGCACACTGATCTTCGCCGCTCAAGGAGAATAGCAGATTGGCAGTTTCGGCTCTGGTCCGCTTAGGCCAAGTCGCGTGTGCTGGGCTGGTCTAATACCTAAGCACCTGGGTAGTAGAGCTGCCATTCCCCTCTTTTGGAGGTTGGTGGAAGTCGCCGATACCCTCATAGGGGTCTCAATTGGCCTGATTGCACCAGTGTCTTAGTGACTGAAGCACAGTTTACGTCTGAGCGACAATTGAGCTGCCGATTGGCCTTTGAGGACTGTTATTTGTAATTGCACAGCCAAGCCGTGGATATGGTGATTATAGGAAGTGCTCGCAGATTTTCAGCTGGTCTCCGTCACCCAGAGCAGCTTGCATATGCTTGCTTCTTCGCTGCCTTTGGCGCAGGCAAGAATCGATCAAGAGCCACTTACTACCTTAGCCACCAGCTATTTGACATGCTGAGCCCGCGGCTATAGCGACCTTTCAGCGCCCCTTCAAACCGCAATGGGACTCTATTGTTTATAGCGGTGCTGCATCGAAGGAGCCGGTCTCAGTGCCAGGAAAAAGACATGCCGTACCTGATGCACGTCTTGCTTCATATAATAGCCGCTCTCCATTTGCTGCCGGAAGCTCAGGCGCGTATTGGCCGAGACGACCCTCTGATCAGACGGAGCACTTGAACTCAGGGGGGTCCTACAGAGTTCAAGGGCAAAAGCACCTTGGTCTGCTCCATGCGGTTGGTTGCCTTGTCCACTGTCATGGAAGCTTGCGCGTGGATCGATGGGTGGACGGACAAACACTTCTGTGCAATTGACATGGCACGAGCACCGCAGGCGCCTGGCTGCGAACTGCCTTTTCTAGATCTTCAGGGTCGCATCAGGGGGGTTGCCTATGGAAGATCCATGGAAGCGTAGATCCAATTAGCGCAACTGGGCTACGGCAAGCCTCAACCGAGCGTCTTATGGCCGGCCGGCCATTTCTTTGCTCGTGATGAAAAGGCTCCCATGCCCATGGGCCAGTCAAGACACTGGACAGCTGCCGGGACGGGCAGACGGGCAGACGGGCACGACTGGACCGACTGTGTAGCCGTCTCCCAGACTCGGGGTATTAGTTCCTGGAGCTATTACATAGTACTTTTCATAAGTGGACCACGGGCGTTTCGTGCATCTCGGTTTCGGCTGCCCACCCACCCAGCACCCAACACCCACCCACACACACACACACACACACACACACACCCGACACCTTGATAACCCTCCCCTTGGCGCCCCTCTGGCCCTTCTGGCCCTCCGTCGGACTGCCCACGCACTCCCTGCACTCCCTGCACTCCCTCCACCCCCCCGGACGGACACCTTTGCTCCGACACAGTGGCCACCTGTTCAATCATTGAGGTCGGCTTGATGCCAAGACAAGACATCCAAATGTCCAGTGCTGGCGACCACCACCAGAGCTGCCGTTCACCTGATTTCCATCTCGTCCGGTCAACGCAAAGTTCACATCCCCTTTCGGCTTAACTACTCTTGTCGGCCTCAGTCACAGGCTCATCACAAGTCATCACATCCAACTCGAAGAAGTCACCGTCGTCCTCGTGTTTCTGCCTAGATAGATTCACCTAACTTATCTCCCACCCCCCAGGCCCCCCATCGCCATCGCCGTCCCCTACTTAGAAGCGCCAATAGGTAGTCGGGCGGGCTTGCTTGGCCTCCAGAACTTCCCCACACAGCTAATTACCGTCAAGCTACCGCCGATCTCACGCTACACTGTGACCACGCTTCACTTTACTTCACATCACCTCTCACTCCGGCCCCTTTGTACGCTTGACCCTGTCCCCAGTCGCCGTCGCCGATTCGTGCTGCTGGCAATAGCCGTGCAATCAAGCCTGTCACTCAGTCCATCGCCGACGTCCTGACCGTTCCTCCCCGTCGGCGATCGTCCCTATACTCACCTGGAGCGTCGCCCTGCGTGCCGTTCTAGCTCGGACCAGTTCAAAGGCCCCTTTACCCATTGAGCCTTGACCTGGGCCCATCGCACAATCCACGCTCATCGTCGACCGTACGCAATCTGCCCATCATGGAGCACGATTCCAGCGTCTTCAGCCTGACCACCATTGGTGGATATGCACTGCTGGGTGGCCTGGGTGTCCTGGTCTACCTGAACTACCAGCGCAACAACCAGGGCAGACAGGGCAATGCGAGAGCCGCCGCTGGCCAGGCCGGCAAGCATGTCGCCGACCTTGGCCGTGATGTGGCATCGGCGACTGCTGCCATGACCAAGAAGGCTGAGAAGTCGCTCAAGCAGAAGCCCAAGCCCAAGGCCCCCTCGAGCGAGACAGCACCGACCCCGAGTCGAAGCTACGATCCCGAGGCCGAAGCTGCGGCCAAGCGAGACGAGGCCCGCGCGAACCAGGACTTTGCCCAGTCCTTCTCCAAGCTCAAGTCTGGCCACCAATTCACCGCCCAGAAGTCGGAGAAGAAGAAGCAGAAGTCGGTCAAGCAGTCGCGGGCACAAGAGGCCGACACCCCGGTTGCCAATGCCTCTTCGCCCTCCTCCACAACCGGCGATGCCGACGACGACCTGTCATCTGCCGCGTCCCCTGTCGTACCGGCTGCAGACAGCACCGGTGTCTCGGACATGCTCGAGGCCGCTGCCCCTGGCCCCTCGGTCCTGCGGCTCACCGACACCGACTCGGTCAAGACCCAGCAGAAGAAGGCTAAGGCCCCCGAGGTCGTCGAGTCCAAGAAGCAGCGACAGAACCGCCTGAAGGCCGAGCGCAAGAAGCTCGAGAGAGAGCAGGAGGAAGCAGAGCGCAAGAAGCTGGAGGAGGCCCAGCGACGCCGTGCTCGTGTCGCCGAGGGCCGCCCCGCCAAGGACGGATCGGCTTTCTTGGCCAACAACTCCCCCTGGGTCGCAAAGTCGAACGGTGAGAAGACCGTCCAGCCCCTCGACACTTTCGAGCAGAAGCCAGCTGCCGAGAGCACAAACCTTTCGACGCCCAAGCCTGCTGCCGCGGCCACCAAGGAACGCTCAGACTCTTGGATGTCTTCTCTGCCCTCCGAGGAGGAGCAGTTCGCTCAGGTGCTGGAGGACTCCTCCGCCTGGAATGAGGTCACCAGCAAGAAGGGCAAGAAGGGTAAGAAGGGCCTCGAGACTGCCGATGCCCCTGCCGCTCAGGCGACTCCTTCGGCTGCGCCCGCTCCTGTCGCTAAGGCCCCAGTGAACGGCGGCTACTCCAAGTCGAAGCCTGCCCTGAGCAGCAACTCCTCATTCGCAGCCCTTACTCCTGAGGAGACTGCTGACGAGGTCGAGGAGGAGTGGGAGGTATGAGCGCCTTTGTCCCACCGTGACTCTCCCAGAATGCCTCAAGATAGTGTATCCTGTTGTGGTTGCACAAGCGATCAATCCCAGCAACATCACTCTACAGCACACCAACACGGCCAACACCTTGTTCAGTACGCCGCATTTCCCATGCCAACCTTTGAGAAGAAGTCCGGAGTGGCATGGGACGCAGACAGGATTTGGATGGTGACTTTTCTGGGCGGCCGATCGCGCACCAGACCCGTCAAGGCGGCATTTGTACAGCATTGTATTTTTCCTCATGGTACTCGGGAATTTTGAGGCCCGCAAAAAAAAATATTCGAGACATTCGGAGTTCGAGCGACATTCTGATCTGCTCTGGTGCCCGGGCCGTCTCACCCTGCTGCCAAGATCGCCTCGAGCCAATTCCCGCATGTATAAGCGGAGGCACACAACACAGGCAGTGTGGTTAGAAAGCGTTTTTCATCTTCTTTCCTTTTTCTTTTTCCATGTGTCACGGGGGATTGGAGGGGAAAAGTCCATCGTGTATTTACCAAATAGGGGAAATATGAAGGCTCGAGGAGCCAGCGCAATAGACGCAACACTTCGTAGATGCCTGGAATGCCTCAGAGTGGCTAGATAATGGGACGACCATCTACTAAACTCTTGTGCGGTTCTGACTCATGTGATCGTGCCTTGAAATGTTTATATATGGCATAGCAGAGTGTGCTGTCACAGGGTCAGGAGGGTTCGACTACGATTGTCCACGCGTCTGCGGAATTGTGTTCACTCTCCGAGTAAGAGAATGTTGTGTAATGTAAGTCTACAAGCTTCAAAACTGAGTGGGCTCATAAAAGAATAGGTCGTAGGCTTCCTCGACCGACCAAGAGAAAGGAGCTGTTTCGAAGTCCTGGAAAACATCGTCTGGGAGAGACAACGCAGGATTCCCTTGTATAGCTTCTTCCGGTATCCCCTGGCTTTCACTAGCCCTCTTGCGCCGAACGTGAAGTTTGCCTAACAGGGGCACGCTGAGCATCATGTCTCCCAGGTCCGAGGCCGCATCCCCCTTTTCCAGTAGCTGCGTGAGCGCCCTGATGCTGGTGATTGCCTGCTTGGATATGTCGGGCCCCGACTCGGACAGGTTCTGTTCCATGGCGTTGAGCACCCGAGCTAAGAGGTCCCTGTCGGCGGGTGGCTGCGGTCCTCCCGAGACTCTCTGCTCGCTGTCGGAGGAGAATGCGGCGTGGTTCGCGAGCACGAGGACCACGGATGCAGTGTACGTCTGCAAGTTCATGACCCAGTGGATGAAGTTGCCCTCCGGCAACAGCGTGTACAGCCCCAGGTACGCCTCCAGGAGGGCTCGGCAGTTTTCTATACACATGGACTGGCTCTGTCTTGACTGTTCGGATGTGTTTCGCAGAAGCACCAACGGTAGGTGGATCCGTATCCTGATATAGTAGTAGAGATACTGCATAAACCGTTCGGGCGGAGTGAGATACCGCGTCCCGGTCCACCAGGTCGGTGGTGCCAGGGCTGCCAGAGCAAGGATATCTCGGTCAAGCTTCTCAACTGTGTTTTGCAGCTCTTCCAAAGACGGGGAGTTGTTGTGTAGGTCCCCCGGCCCCCCAAGGTTGACCGCGATATCCGACAATCTAAAGAGGAATTCCCTCGGCACGAGGTGTCCGCCGTCGTCGAACAGCGTCGCCGACTTCTGGACGCCATAGTAGCGAGTGGCGGACGGGAAGGCCAGGACCATGCTCTGAAACCGCTCCGCGATGCACAAGAAGCGCCACAGTGCTGCCTTTGGTCCGTTCACCATGCGCGGTAGGCCCAGCAGCTCTGCCACCGCAAGCGCTCGCCGCAGCGTCAGGAATCCCTTCTTGAAGTTCCCGCGCGTCATGTGCAGTCGGACGAGGAGGATTGCCACCTCGATGCCTTCGACGGTGGTCATCAACCGGTCACAGGAAATAATCGCCCTCTCTACGGCATCCACTACCGGGCGAGAGTACTCCGAGCCAGCCCGGCATCCGTTGCCTGGTAATCCTGTGCGTAAAACAATGCTGGGGTTGTGCTCGGCGGACAGCGCAACCATCATGAGCCAGGATGCCAGGGTAAAAGGGTCAGCCGTCACTCTATTGACTTCGTCATACCGCGCCAGCATCTCGTCGCCAGATTTGACAGCAGAGTCGATGGGTAAGATGTCGTTTAGCACCGTGAGCCATCCGGTGGCTCGGCTTGCTATGACGGCAAGGTCCTCCTTCCTAGGTATCAGTGGCCTCAGCAAAGCCCGAGCCGTATCAGCCAATTGTGATGGAGGCTGGTTGCGTCCGGGGTCATCGTTGATTTCATTCACTGAACTGATGAGGCTATTGTTGAACAGGGCGCCGAGATACGTTGGCTGCGTGGATATTGCGGCATCAGGGATAGAAGCTTCAGACTCTGACATATCGGAACCAACGGCATCTCCATAGGATATAGAAGCCGGTGAGACTTCGTTTGATAGCTGAGGGGGCCCATTTTGTTTCTCCTCTAAGGCTTGAACAGACTTTGATAATCCGGCAACCTGTTGTTCCAACCACTGCACCCGCTCTCGCGTTGACTGTGGTGGCTGGGACGACGATGGAGACGATAGGGTCTGAGGGACACATTGGAGGCTCCTCTCTTCACATCTTCGACACACCCGAGCGCTGTCCGATGTCCAGGAGCATCGCAGCTTGCGCCGTCGGCACTCGATACACGAACGTGTGCCCTTCCGCACTTTTCGCGGCGCAGAGATGCCGGTCATGCTCATGTTTGACTCGCATCAGTTCCATCAGGCGACTCTTGCAGGAAACAGGCCATGGCGAGTCAGCCCAGCGTTATCGCTCTCAGGCTGGACCAACTGATCCTGGGCGGGCTGGAGCTTGATATGGAGACCGATTATAAGATGGGCTGTTAGTCTTGACTCAATTGTTCAGCACTAAGGTCGCTAGCGCTCGGACCAATCTTGTCCGCGGACATCTTTTTCGGCCGAAAACTATAGGGATAAAGAGAATGGTCTCTCGAAGCTTGGAGATGCTGAATCTATTTTACGTTGCAGAAGTATATCTGATCACTCATTTTAAGATTACTTTGCTCGATTGTATCATAAAAGTTCGTCGCCCCAAGGGCAAATCAGGCACCATGTCTTCCCTATCCTCATCAACGGTAGCTATGACACCATTACTGAAAGAGTATGAAAAGCATGCTAACTTGTGGTTTGGACAGTCTGCCATAATTGGTGGCGTACCAACCGTGACGCTCGACGTGCCCATATCCGCCGTCTTTCTATCCCTCTACCTCGCCGGCGCGATACTTCACATCTCCATATTCACGACAAATCGACGCCGAGGTCACAAATTCTTCATGACCTGGCTGCTTAATGTATTCTGCATAATACGCGTTGTTACTTGTTCCATGCGAATTGCGTGGGCAACCACTCCGAAAAACCCAAGCCTGGCAATTGCGGCACAGATATTCAACAATGCCGGCATCATTATTGTCTATATCGTCAACTTGATCTTCTCCCAGCGCATTTTTCGGGCCAAGAAGCCCCAACTTGGGTGGAACAAGGCCCTTGAGCTAGCTTTCAACGCAATATATTGTCTTATTGTCGGGACCTTGATCATGGGTATCACTGTGCTGGTTATTTCCATCAACACGACGAATGTCCGAACGCTGCAGTCCATCCGAGATGTCACACTCGCCAGCGCGACTTTTATACTTGTGGTCGCAATACTGCCATTTATAATAGTAATGGTTGCGTACCTAAAACCGACACCTTGCTCTCAGGAATCCTTCGGCACAGGTAGCATGGCAGCAAAGTCCCTAGTTGTCCTCTCGTCAACCTGTCTTGCGATCATCATTGCAGGCTTCAAGGCCGGAACTTCTTGGCAGCCAGCACGTCTCGCTTCCGATCCGGCCTGGTACCATTCGAAGCCGGCATTTTATTGCTTCAATTTTGTGCTCGAGGTCATTATCTTGGCTATCTTTCTTCTCTCACGGGTGGACAAGCGCTTGCACGTTCCGGATCACTGCAAGGGTCCAGGCGATTACTCGAGACTGGGGCCAGACAAGACGGAGGAAGGTGATAAGGATCGGGATTATTATCGCCGCAAGGGATAGTCCTACGTGTGATCGAACGCCTCTTTTGGCAGGCGAGCATAGTTCAACCAAGACATACACAATACCACATTCCCTGCGCACAATCGCTATTTGTGAGACCAGCACGGCAATTGACTTGTGTAACTCTTTACGTGAACTCCTGATATTAACTACGATCCAAAGCAAAACTAGTTTACTGGGTGAAGAAGGCAAGTCTGCTGTCATAGGGCAAATAAACTCTGGTGAGGAGGTTGCGCAACTCAAATGGTACTCTGACCCACGGGTTTCTAGACTAAGACATATCGGAGCTGGCGAGTACTGGGCTATCCCAAGAAATCAATGCTGCTGACCGTACGAGTAACCACAAGGTAGCCCACGAAACGTCAGCAAGAGGATCATACCACTTGCGGAGAGTTGCGCGGATGGCAGCGTCGACATGTTCGAAGCCATCGTGATGCCCCAAGGGCTGCCCAGAAATGCAGACTAGGAGATGATATATAACGTACGGCGGCCTGTTTAAAATGCTGTACCACGTTATGGCTCTTTCTAGGCCGGGCAGTGACAATTGACGTCGCTCAACCGATAGAAGGCCCCACGACTCGTATCGACCATGCTTGAAGGACCTGATCATTCTGTTGTACGTTTGCAGATGGAAAGTGGCAAGCCGAATCCGTGTGAATACCTACGTATGTGACGCCAGCATTGATCTTTGAACGATGCAATTGTCAAGATATTTTAACACGATCTCTCTCTTTTTTTTTTTTTATTTTTTTTTTTTACTCTGAGCCATGATTTCCTAGTGAATAACACCCGACTGGCAACCCAGAGGTCTGTTTCCATCCACGCTATTTGTTAACCCTCACCGAGAGTAGCCATCCATTATACTCTTACCCAGCTAATCGCCAACCTCGTTCATCAACATGCCAACGGTCCATCATCCAAACTGCCCAACTTATGTTCCATGTGTAATTCAACAGTCAAAAAGCTAAGAAATGCGACACAATTCCTCTAGTATCCCCCTCAGCAACCTCGGCATTCACACATTCCTCAGGTTGACAGTTTTCCCCTAGGTCATCTGTCTCTGTCTTCACTGCTCCAAACCCTCCAACTCGTTTAGCGCACAATAAAATGCCTCCAGATCAAGGCCTTTGACGTTATATATTACTAATATCAATATATGTGCCATGGCTGTACGCGAAAACTGGAGTATCAGGTCGAACGAGTCCAGTGGTGAGCAAAACGGACGATCGAAGGGAATGGCGGTCAAATCAATAGAACCGTGAAGGCATGAACAATCCCAGACATATCTATAAATACTAGTGATAACTAACAGAGTGTGAGTTTGCCTTATGACGTAGTGTTGAGCGATGATGAATGTGTCCGCTTGCAATGGATGGGTGGGGGGCTTATGAGCAGTGCACTGCTACGGAAGTTGGTTCCCCAGTCATTATGTCTGATTGAAAATGCATCCATGGTAGCGGCTCTGAAATGTACAGACTCTGCTCCGTCACTCTGCGATTTTGCTATGCAAGTTTGAGATGTCAACCTGGCGGTGGGCGACCGCGGTTGGTATCAGATCCGTTCTAGGCTACACTGTCGAGTGCTGGGCCAATGTCGGTGAAAAGGCTCCAGGGCCGTAGAGATTTCCGTTTGATATTCACCTGCGAGATGCAGTGTCCCAGATTGCCCTCGAAATCGTGCAAGATCAGTCGGATTGGCCAGCTGCCTAAGGCACCCGGGCAACGAAACGCCTTAGCAACTCCGAACTAAGCTGGACGCAAGTTCCGCGCCACCTCAGATATTTTCTTTGCTCAAAACAACAAAACCTGTACTGTGCATGGACAGAAGCAAAAGCGCCACTCTCCTGACTGCAGCACACCTGCAGCATCATCATGTCCTTCGGGCAGCCTCTCTTCTCCAAGGCGGCTACGCTTACCGACGAGACCAACCTCCCTCAATCTCCGAAACCTCACGCAATTTGCTCCTCGTAAGAAATACCTCTCGCTCGAGTGTTGTAGCCTGCTAAAAATCTGACGTTGCAGTGGTCTTCGGGATGCCAAGGCGGTTGCTCTCAGATTCAAGGGCAACCAGTATCCCGCTGTTCTAGAATCTATTCTGTCTCACTATTCGCGTAACTTGGTATTTCGCTTTAAGGAAGAGTCGCGGTACACCGAACATGAAGTTGATTGGGAAGGGGTCGATGAGCCGACCTTCGCCTTGTGGCATGACCTCATTCAGCAACACTACTGGGGCGGCCAGTGTCAGTCAATTCGCAAGATGGTCTCTTGCAACGACGTCGACACATTGAGTGTTCTTGCCAAGCTTGCAGACCTTTGTAAGAAAGCCGAAAGCCCCGCCATCGGTTCGTGGGCAAAGCAAGAGTTTCACAGACAGGTCGACAGGATGACGACGCAGTGGGATACCGAGGCCAATCAAGACAAGACACACGATGGTCTTCAACGTGCCTTTCTCACCTGGGAAGACAAGGACTGCAAGACAAGGATCGTCACCAAGTTCAACAAAACACTCGACGACAAAGTCTTCGAGCGCCTATCTGACACTATGGATCCTGAGTTCTACTTCGCGGCCTCAAAGGACAGGCTGAAGACTTTGACCCAAGAAAACACCGAACTGAAGCACAAGCTGTCGAACATTGTAAAAGTCGAACCCACCCCATCCAGCGCCAACGTGGCTCTCCCTTACGGCTTTCACCCTGGAGGTTTCTCGAGCGCAGGAACTTCGTCACAGCCGCCATGCGAGAGCGAGCCCCAGAGTTACTCTGCTGCGAACGCGACCGTGGGCGGTGGGATATTCAGAGGCTCCGCCAGTCTCTTCGGCGCCGCAAAGAAAACCAATTACCTAGCAAAGACCTAAGGCCTTTCAGAAACCAGCTACACAGAAGAGGTTATGACTGTGGACCCGTGCAACCTGCAATTGCTGAAGACACGTCTGCACAGGGGAGGTGCCGGGACTTGAGTAAATGCTGCAGCGGAAATGTATTGGTATTGAGATCATGCTTTTGACAACTTGTCAATGGAGGCATCTCTGTCTTCTCCATGGAGACAGACTGTTTGGCCGATAGCTAGCTAGCTGTGGCAAAGAATTGCCACATTGTCTATGAAATGACCAGAATGACTAAGCATTTTGATTTGTGGTCTTCGTGAATACACTGTGCTCTGGTCCATGCAGACAGGGCGACCCGCTCTGTCCTAATAATTATGTGGAAGCCTCCGTAATGCTCATCCACAGGTCCTTTTGCACTGTTGCTGTAAAGGCTTCCTCGTCCCAGGCCTGGCCTGGATAGATGACTTGCCAGTCAAATGCACGCACAAGCTGGTTGAAACGCGTTGTTAGCGTCATGAGTGATCGGGAATGCTCTGGGTCACATACCTCGAAGAAGATTTTGTTCAGTTCAACCAGCGCGAGGACCTTTCCAGCACACTGCCAGCGGCCATACCCAAAGAGAAGTTCAACGACGCGGATCATGTCCGTCTTCTTCTCTGCACTGCAATCTAGGAACCTCTCAGGCCGGAAACGTTGACTGTCCTGGCCAAACACGGATTCAAGTCGTACCATTGCCGGAAAGTTCGAACCAATGGCTCTGGAGAGAGATAATTAGCGATGAGGTCGACCGTGTCTGGTATCGACCACAACTCACGTTCCCTCAGGAAGAAATTTTCCTTGGTATGTCTCTCCTCCAGGGGGCACCTTCTTGTAAAATCCATATGTCGCTGGGGGTCTCATCCGAAAAGACTCATAAATGACGGCCTGACCAATTTGGTCAGTACTCAAACATATCTCAATCTCGCTCCTGGGTCTGTGGGGGCTTACCTGCAGGTATGGAAGTTGCTTTGCTTCATCGACCCGGATAGGGCTTGACACTTTGCCTGAGGAAATAGCCTCTTTCATTTCCTCCCTCAAACGTTGGTAGACTCTAGGGCATGTGCTGAGGTACACTATTCTCCAGTCAGATCGTCTCTCGTTTCAAGAATATACAACAAGGGTCTCACGCATTCCGGTCCGGATGACTGTCGCTGTTGTGTCCGCACCAGCCATCAGCTGCACAAGGCTCTCGGCTTTGATCTCTTTTGCCGTCAAGCCATGGCGTAGGAACGACGACTATGTGGGTCAGCATGGTGTCTCTGTACACAAGGAGGCGACTTAGAGCCTTACAACCATGTCCGAATGCTTTTCCTTCGATTTCAGGCGATCTTCAACAGTTTCGTGCGCAAGACTACTCAGGTCTCATTAGAATCGATCTTTACCCGCAAGATGAAGAGTACATACCCCATAACTTTACCAATCCCCCAGCTGTCCGTGGGCTTTGGGGCGAAGAATCTTGCAACGAATGGAGAGATGAATATCTTACGGAGCAAGGGCACATCGCCCGCCGTTGCAACGAGACCGAGCAGCTTTTCGATGCTTGCAGTATAACCGTAGAGATCACCTCCTTCGATGAAGCCAAAGCGTTTCCCAAAAGCCACGGCAGTAATGGTATCGAGAGTGAAGTATCGGATATAGTGAGCGAAATCGAGGGGGTTTAGCTGGTCCGGTTTGGAGAGGTGCTGGGCCTTGATAACTTCAATGAGGTGGATTATCTGTTCGTCCACAGTCACCTCGAAGTCTATCGTGTCACGGCCGCTATAGCCGAAGGAGGCCTTCGCCTTGTAATTGTCGTGCGGCCCAGCGAATCGGTGGCTGATGGTTGTGTCGGTGTCAGGATCAAGCTTGGCTCCGCGGTACCAATCATCACGGTGATGTATACTTCGAGCACCATTGATCTGGCGAATTGTCTCCGGATCGTCCGTCAGGACGTAGTTTGGGCCGACGCGGACCATGGAGCCGTACTTCCTGAGGTGCTCATATTCAAGGCCTTTGCCACGGAACACCTTCAGCGCCACCCATAGATAAGAGAATGTAGCAAGCAGTGGACCTGGGATATTTCGAAGTCGATACCAACTAGTAATACTTGATACAACATCTGAACGCGAGGTACCGTCAATCTCACATAGACTCATGCGGAGGTGAATAACCAATAGGATACAACTATCGGTATTGGAACCATTACTCACAGAAAAGGACAAAGCCTGCAAGGGCCAGGCCTGCTGAGCTTAGTCCAAACATCGTGGCCTAATCTGACGAAAGCTTAGATCTCCTAGGGTTCGAGAAAATGTGACCTGGTTGTGCTACCAGGTTTCCTCACGTTCGATGAGAAGGGTTGGCGGCTTACTTCAAGCGTGAGACTTCTGCAGCGGCAAGCTCAGGGACGATCTCGCTACCGCTCGACCCCGCCAGCAGCTGCAGCCGGTCCGAGCCTTGTCATGTTATGTCATGTTATGCTGCATCCTTCCAACGGTGAAGGCGCTTAGATGATTATCTGTATAGTCTGATTGGTCCACGAGTATATGGGGGTGTCCATACCCGAGCGGGGCATGATATGACCGTGTGCATTGTCCAATGGAGTCATGACACAGTACCTTGTCCCTTGGTGAGACCTCGGATTTTATGCCCCCATCCTGGGCCTCGCTTAATCGAACCGCTGGATTTGTGCACCAGTGCAGCATGTAACTTGTTCCATTCACAACAGTGGGGGTTTACTCTGTCAAGATTTATTAATCTTGTGCAATTCACTAAGCTTTAAGAATGCATACTAGTTAATTGGGATTTACAGTCTACCTCCCTCCTTAGTTATACTAGTTCAGACCATTTACTCAAGAAACTGCTTTGGCGCATACTTGCTCATGATGTATTCGTAAATCGAACCAGACATGCTCTGAGGACATTTCCGGTAAGGCTGATTCCCAAGAACATGGTGATGCGCAGAAACTGAACTTCCCGACCCAGGCTTGTCAGGCGGCAGATGGCTCCAAACCGCTCGGTGCTGGTGCGGTTCACTTTCGGCACAGACCTTTGTCGCAATGTCGTGAACTCTTCTTCTTACTACTTAAATTGAAGATGGAACATAGCATTGTAATGTATTCATTGGACTCACATCATCTACCAGGGCATTGAATGAACTCAAGAGACGGATTCATCGTAGACGTTCTTGGCCGCTGTGTGGAGTGGATGACAACAGCGCATATGGAAGCGTGCCAGCTGTGTGCAGTCGGCGCCAGGCTGACGTAACCTGGTCTACCCCTGTCACCGAATGGACAGCTTACCTTACCTTGACCTTGGCCTGTAGCTCAACTCCTGGTAGGCATCATCACGGAGTTGGGTCTCGATATTTCAGTGCAGTGTCCTCGACAAGACGATGCGATTGACGACCCCGCAGCCGAAACCGAACTGACACACCTCATCATGGACGCGCAACAATCCTCGTCGCCGGGCTCCTTGAGCTGGCGCCTGAGCTCGCATCCGATAACGCTGCTGTTCTTCTTAGGCTTCCGCATCTGTATGTATTCTCCTCCATGTGCTTCCTTGCGAGACCTCCCTCCTATCGCCCGTCCCTGGCACGAGCGCGCATTTAGTGCAAATGACTGCTTCTGTGCGCGCCTTACATCAACGGGAATAAGTTGACTGACAATGCGCGCCGAACAGCCTCCCTCCTCGTTTACCTCTTCGGCATGCTCTTCACGGAGAACCTGGTCATGATCTTCATTATCACGATCCTGCTACTCGCTGCCGACTTCTACTACCTCAAGAACATTGCCGGAAGGCGCCTGGTCGGCCTGCGCTGGTGGAACGAAGTCGATCCGTCCTCGGGTGACAGCCACTGGGTCTTCGAGAGCAGCGACCCCAGCGTCAAGACCATCAACGCCACCGACAGCCGCTTCTTCTGGCTGGCCATGTACGCGCAACCGTTGCTGTGGATAGCGCTGGCCGTGCTGGCGCTCATCCGCCTCAAGTTCATCTGGTTGCCGCTTGTGGGTGAGTGCAGCCTTAGAAATCTCTTTACGTTGGAACTGCATTCCCGCGACGGAAATTTCTGGTCTTACCACCGGGATACGGAAGTAGAGAAGACAATCATGTGCTAACGACGAATGACAGCTATTGCCCTCGCTCTCACGATCACGAATACGCTGGCCTTCTCGCGATGCGACAAGTTCAGCCAGGCCTCGAACATGGCTGGCAGTGCGCTGTATGGCGGAAACCTCGCTGGAAGCATCGCCAGCAACATGGCTGGTCGGTTGTTCAGCTTTGGCAGATCATAGGTGTGCGTTCTGTTCAGAAGGACAGGAAGTGGTCACGGAATAGTAAAATACCGGCAGGACCGCACGCGGCGCTGGTGAAGCATGCTGTATCGAATAGACATCATGGAATCATGACTTTCGCACATCTTGAGGCTTGGCGACGTAGGGTTATGACTACCGGAGTTCTGAGCGGAGTTTAGGGGTCCTGTACGATATTTGGAGAACATATCAAAGTGAACGGGTAGACACCATACCACCCTTATCCTGTTCCTCAAGGATGCGTGAATCCCCATTCTGAGATGCTTGCGGTTCATACACAGGTCTATCCCAATCTAGGAGATTCCCGAAATTGGTATTTTAAGGTAATCAACTAACAAGGGATATCATAATGTAGAAGCGGCACTTGCGACCAACGAATGTATCGCAGAGGAAATCCAGGTAAGAAAACCAGCAATATGTCCACAAGAAACTCCAATTTATATGTTTAAAAAAGCAAACCATGGGAACACCCATCCCCCCCTCAAGATTGGTAATTCCTTCTTACACGCTCAAAATTCAATTGTCTGCGAACAGACGCTACGCAGTACGGCTTGCCCTCCCTGCGTCCTCAATGGCCACGTCTAGCGCCCGCTCCTCCTCCTCGAGCCTCCGGATCTCGTCGTCCGTCATACCTTCCTCCACCAGGTGCGCGTACCGGCTCGTGATGGGCGGCGTCGGGCTCCGGGCCCCTCCCGTCGGCAAGCTGCTTTGGCTCTGGTTGTTGGCCAGGCCGCTGGGCGCCCGATCGCTATACGGCGCGAACGAGTGCCTCTCGGACTCGTCGAGCGAGCCCCCGTGGGACCCCATGAGCGGCATCGCGCCGCGCGCCGTGGCTGCTTCCGCCGCCGCCGCCACCGGCTGGTGGTGGTGCTGGCGCGGGCCCTGGTCGTGCAGGGCCCCGCGGTCGGGCGCGTAGGCGCTGTGCGGGCTATCCGTCACGTGCGGCAGCTCCTTGTCGGCCATGATGCCGGCGCCGTCCGAGCTGTAGCCGTTGTTGTGTTGGACGAGCCCGCTGCGCTGGGACCGCCGGCGCCGGAAGCACAGGAACCAGATGGCGGCGCCGATCAGGGCGAGACCCACGACGCCGGCACCCACGGCGATTCCGGCGATGGCGCCGGTCGAGAGCCCGTTGGGGCTCTCACTGCTGCTGTTGCTACTCCCTTGCGGATTCTCGGCCGCGGAGGATCCCGTACTTGCTGGCGCAGTAGAAAAGGAGGCTGGCGTGCTACTGCTGGTCGGGGAGGTGCTGCACGAGGAACCAACAGGACCCGAGCACTCCGCGTGGAAAGGCTGCACCTGGTTTGTTTGGCTCAGCGCTTCTCTCGTTTCGTTGGTCAGGACCGATACGCTGGCGTTCATCACGGCAAAGAGCGGGCTGAAGCTGCTACCGTCTAGGTTCTTAGCGCTGTCGTACCAGTCGACCTGTATGTATAGCGGTACATTATACAGATTATGCTTTTCGTACTGATAGCTGTTGAATTCACTGAGGATCGTGACTGAGCCAGTATTGCCATTTTTATTTTCCGAAGGGAGGTCGGCTACAAGGAGAGATCTGTTAGTGCGCATGCTAGAACGTTTCTGAGGAAGTGTGTCTGGTTGCCTTTGAGGGGCAGTAATTCATATGGATATGCAAGTGAGGAGCATACCTGGGAGATTAATAAATGAAGCCTCCGAATCATCAGAGTTGATGACATCCCGAGGGAGCAATGCAATCACTGCATCGTCCCAGTGAATGGGACCTCTCCCGCGAGTCTCTCTGTGTGGATTTATTGGGCTTGCGGCTCCCGTCTGAATCAATCCCGTCATAGTAGTCGTCACCACAGGCACCGATGTAGATACCGCTGAGCCTACTATGTCGCCTGATTGCCGTTTCAAATATAGCGTGCGAAGCACAACGGTTGTAGCATCTATCGTGAGCAGCTTATTGGAATCCCCGACTGTTGGCGGCAACGCCCATGTATCGGTTCCAAATATAATCACAGCATTCTTCTCAATTGGTGGTGACGTTGACGTTGAGCTGAAATCTGCTGCCAATGTCAAACCTGCGAGGCAGGCTGCCAGCCCTATTGTCGAAGCATTGGTTCGCATTGCGCTCCGGTACCACCTCAGGGCAATGAAGTTTTATCGCATGTAGGTTGCCGCTAAGCTTGGTCGGTTCGTCCCTCAGTATGCCACTTTCAGATTAGTTGCGTGTAATTCGATGGTTTCGATGTGCCGCCGTAACTTCATGTCCTGTCCACCCAAAAAAATATTGTTGTCTTTCCGGTCGTAGACCCAGCGCGTTGCCTCTTTTTCTTTGTCTTTTCGACTAGTTTTTTTCTCCGTCTCCTCCACGGTACGTCCGCAACGTGTGCAACGGCGAGCCCGACAGCTCGAACCCCCAAGCAGGACGAGGGTGGATTTGTAGCAAGGATTGAGCCGACAACAGATTACCGTAATTGACACCGAATAGTCAACAAACCGAAGATCGTGAGAAGCGAAAAGATAATAATCCTAGAGATAGCGCCACAAGGGAATGTGAGAGGAGAGAGCGGCAGGAATCAGCAAACATTTGCTGGGAACAGAAACCCATGGGGGTGGGTCAGGCTTTGCCATCCTTCGCTCCTTTGCTTGTCGTGCATGGGTTGTTGGCGGTGCTGTGCCGTCCGTCAGCTTCAGCTGCGCGCGCAGTAGCGCCGCCCGCTCCGTGGTGATCAACCACCAACAGCGCCACGCCTCTTTTCCAGCCAAACCATTGATGCACATTCAAGGCAGGCTGGGAGAGTCCTACTTGACAGACGTTGGCCATTTCGTGCGGCCATGATGCGCCCTAAAGCTCTTTATAACCGTAAGCATGGAACTCAAGGTGCAGCTTGGCTGGAGCCGACACACAGAGCATCATGATATACTCTTGCTAGCTCTGCACAGAATCGTCGCCCTGAAGGTCCCCAGTCGGTTAGTGGGCTGGGTACTCCGTAGGTACGGGGCTATGAGAAAAAGAATCCCACTCGAGGGCAGAGCTGTCAGGGTTGCGTCATGTGCATCCTGGTACAATTTCATAACCCTCACCTCATCATATCATATCACGTTGCCGGGACTGGGATATTTGCACAACCGTACATGACTGAGCCGTGGCAGCGAACGAGACCAAAGCGGACTCGCACAGACTGGCCTATGCATCTCACCATCTCATGACAGACGAAATGTCAAACGCAAGACCACAACCCCGTATGTAAGACCTAAACCAACAGAAGCAGTCACGGCCGAACTAGAGGCTGACATACCCGCAGGTTTGGAGCATAGTGCACTGGGAGAGCCATGGCACAAGCCGATCCGCTAACTTACCCAACGAAGTCAGCAATAACTAAGGCTTGCGCCGTCCAATGAGCGCCGTCGGTAGTTCGACGCCAGCCCTGCTCTTAAATCCATGCACATCGAGGTAAGCAGACAGGGTTCACAGTAGCGCCGTTCCGCTATGGCTATCAAGACGTTTTAGTCCTGATCCTTCACGGTTTGGTAACCCTTCCTTCTTGGGGGAATTTTGGGCCCGCATGTCTCAACTGCCTACTTTCTGCCTGGCAAAGATATACAGTTCTATTAGAAGTAGAACTCCTCAACAGAGGAACATCTGCAGGGGCAAAATTGCCTTTTCTTCTGAAAACCGACAATCCGTATTTGGTCCTCGATTTGGGCTCTGGTCAGTCAGACAAAGGGGCTGAGCCTGCATGCGGCTGATCCTATCCATCCCCATCCCGCTAGGCCCTGCCAGTCGTAGCAAAAGACCCCTATGCGACCCAATAATTGGACAGCGCTAGTGCTGCCCCCCTCTAGCGCCGTGCAATAAATAGCACCACTGACGGACAAGGAGCCCTCCACGCCTTACGAAGGGGAGCCACCTGGCTGCGAATTGCGGGCTGGTCAATTTATTAAACGTCGAAAAATGCCGATTGCGTGGGTTGCACCGCAGACGCGAGTTGGCTGTACACGGGGCCACATCGGCCTTGTCGGGCGGGCGTGCTCATGTGTCTGGTTCTGCGCCTGGCAGCAGCCTGACTGATAATGTAATGCCAAAATGGCTACGCATGTAAGTCGTGAATTGTGCCGTCCGATTCTCGACGTTCGGTGAATAAGCTGTGAACACCCGACAATCGGGCGGGTCGCTTGCGCCTAGAAGCGAGCTTTCTCATTGGACTGAACGCCAAACATGATCAACAGCCTTGCACGTCTCATGATATGCAAGCAGCGTACTGTATCGCAGCGCCCCCTGGCCCCCCTGGTGAACGGTATGGCCCAAACTAAAGACACCCAAGGCGAGCCGCCTATGCAAGGAGCGTCGCATTGGGCCTATCATTAGAAACGAGCGCCTATGTGTAGGCTACCCCAGATTTTCTCGCCCATTTTAGCTTGTCATGCCATCAACAGCCCAGATGGTTCGCATGGTGAAACGTCAGCGGCTTTAAGACCCGCCCATGGGAATCTGTGTGCGTCGCTGCGTGGTGAGGAAAGTTCTTTGTATGTGCGTATGTTGGTTAGCATGCATGTCAATGAATGTGAGAAGCGCCGGGTTCCTTGAAAGGTAGGGGAAACAACCCCCCCTCCCATCCTAGGGTTTGGTTGTTGGTTTTCGGATAGACACTCAACGACAGATCGTCTGAATTGAACATACGCGAGCCCCTATTTCAGTGGCGCAGTTCGGGCCGTAGGATTAAATCAAAGATTTTCACATAGAGAGCCAAAACTTTTGTGTCCACGGACGGCGCAAATAGGAGGTTACTGAATCCTAAAGGCGGAGAGGACAGACTACCTAGGCATCAAGCTTGACTGAATGATTGCCTTCGTTGACATGAAGTTCCGTCGCTCTCAAGCGCACAACTCTTCGGCTATTAGGTGGGGAGTTCGACTTATCGACTTAGATGCACCGTAGATTTCTCTCCTGCCAAAGATACTGTACCCGGGGGTGACATATATATTTTGTTAAAAAGACGCTTCGTTCCTTTCCTCATTAAACGGACTTGAGGCTTATATCATTCAATATTTACAAAGTGAAGTTTGAAATGTTACTGATAAATCTCATAAGTCAGAAGGTGAGGCGTTGGGTGTTGTTCTAGCAAGTTCACAAAACATACCAGTGCTGTCGTAGCTTTCAGATCTAGGCAGTCTACCATGTTCCCACTTGGTTCCGTCACACAAGGCCGCGACGCATCGCAGCCAGACGAGTCTTGGGAGTACATGGTGGTCAATTCGTGACAGAGGTGACAGTTCAGACGTCGGTGACCTTGCTAGGGCTGCTGGATTGGTGGATGATGCAATTCAATGTCCCAATGGCGCCAAATTTTGCTATAGAACACCGCGGATACAAATGAAGCAAGCCTAATAAAACCTTCGTCCTGGGCTCCTTCGCCCGTTGCGCGGTGTGTAGTTCTCGGGCCCTGGTGTGGCTCAGACCTTGATGTGAGAGGATAAAACTCCGTGGCGGATGCGAATAATAATGATAGTGTAGAGATACCTTTCAACCGCTAGTACCCGAAACGTGCCCAAAGGTCTAGGTCTTGGTGTATGCACTGATACCTCGTAGGGGGGTTGTTCTTCATGGGCCCATGTAATCTGAAGATGTATTCGGTCCCGATCTGTATGCGTCTGTGTGTCTTTTTCTTGTTTGTCCTGTCGGGGCGCTTCCGTGTACGGAGCGAATCCTTCAGTGCATCAGTGGTTGACTTCGCCACCCTGTTCGAAAGTTCTCAAGGTAGTTCACAGTGAGACGGGGCTGAAATATTGAATGATGTATGCAGGATGTATGTATAAGAGCAAGCCAAGGCTTCGTGTAGGGATTATGGGGCAGAACTTGAAGGCGCTGACAAGGAGTTGTCTTGGCCCTATGATCTGTTTATCTAAATGGTACGCGTCCCTCCATGCTCAACATCTGGCTGCCCCGAAGCTGTCTACATGTAGAAATATCAGTCTACGCCTAATAGGCTAGTCGTGACCCATGTCGTTTTGCGATATGTCAGGGCTTAGGTTGATCAAGACTTTGCCCATAACGACACCTGCTATCCATGCCTCAATTCAGCCATATATCATATATTTATAGCCTTTCTACTAGAGTTGAGGATAGTTAGGGGGCCGTGAGGGGGCAACCCTAGCACCTGAAGAGCAAGCCAAATACAAGCCGTAAAGAGTGAGGGCGGAGGCTATGAAGACGACAATGATAGCGAGTGTAAGGCGGACAGCATGGAGCTTGGCATCGGCAGTCTTCTGTCGTGCCTCATAGACCTGCAATTATGATGGGTCAGTAAGTAGTGCACAAAAGTAAGGGTGACCAGGCTGGCATAGCTTGTACACGAAGAACGGACACTTCACTCCAGCATACACTACACCGAGCATATCTACATCACGACCATGACACTTAAACTACACCCCAAACTCCTGCACCTATATGTCGTCCGCTGCATTCCGATACTCGCGGCTGCACGAGGACCCGGCACATCCAGAGAATGCTCGGAGGTATCAGTGGGCCATGGCGGACAGCAAGAACCTGAATTTTGGCCACGGGATATATGCGTACCCTGGGAGGCTCCTGGCCGGTAACGAAATCAATATGATACTCGGCCACCTCTGTTGCTCCGATATGAGCTCAAGTATGCCGATGGCCAGGGCCAGCCGCGGAACTTGACCACTGATGAAAAACACCCTTCGTGACCTCGCAGCCAAAATCTTATTTGGTCAGTACAAAAGCTTGCAGAACGAAGGACTCGACGGCCTAGGCTGGAGAGTTAGGTTGGTGTAGGTAGCTCACAGGGCGCGATTGAGCGAGACAGCAGTATGAAACAGGAGCGAACGAAAGTAAGAAGGTCTGCGCTCAGGCAGTTACCGATATCATTCAATAAGGAAGAATTTGGCATAATTTTTGGAGGGTATTTCATCACGGAACTACTTGACTGAATATAAATGGTGATTTGCTAATTTACCGACGTCACAGCGGAGGAGTTGGCGACCCCTTGGTGAAGTGGGCGGGGCTGAACACCCCGGTATGTTGGATTTTGTTTGCGTGCTCTTCGTCCAAAAGCCATCATATCAGCAGCGAATCCCCCATCGACGCGGATTTCGCCTTCTGGACAGCTACATGCCTATCGCTCAGCCAGCTTCGAATATCCAATCTGCGGCTTTGCACAACCCCGAAAGCTGTTAGCACCCGCATCATGGCGCTCCTCACATGGCCACCGCAGTACAGCTTATTGCAGTATTTGCGATTGAAGGTCACCGTTACCATTTTGCGAGTTTTTGTCAACATGATCGGTCGCGAGAAGATCCAACGCGATCGAGCCCTTGTCCCCAACGATGTTCGGCAGATCAAAATAAGCATACCATCACGGGATCCTAAACGCCGTATTGCGGCAAACGTCTATTACCCTCCAGGCTACTCCACGACTCACCCCACGCCCGTGCTTGTTAACTGGCATGGCAGTGGCTTTGTCCTGCCCCTCTTGGGCTCCGACGTGGCGTTTTGCTCCCGCATAGCCCAGGCCGCCGGAATAGTCGTCGTCGACGCCGACTACCGCAAGGGACCTGAACACCCTTTCCCTGGGCCGTTGAACGACGTCGAGGACACCCTTCAGTGGGTCGTGACTCAAGAAGGTCTGGACACCAAGAACGTTGGGCTCTCCGGCTTTAGCGCAGGGGCCTGTCTTGCTTTGGAGGCTGCCTCGACAGTTCGAGTCGATCAAAATCAGGAACAACTTCATATCCGGGCAGTAGTGGCCTTCTATCCTATCACTGACTTGGCAATGGCTCCTGAAAATAAGAAGGTCCCTCGTCCGATTAAACCCCATCCGATATGGGCACTACACATCTCAACGATTGTTACGCCCCTGATCCAGAGTCAAGAAAAAACCCAGCCGTTTCTCCATCTTTTGTTGACGCAAAAAGCTTCCCATCATTAACGGCTTTCATCCTCTGTGAAGGGGATTCGCTACGGCCTGAGGCTACCCAGTTGGCAGACAGACTACAAGAGCAGAAAAACTCCTCGCAGGATGTGGTTCTGCATGTGTTAGAGGGAGTCCCCCATGGATTCGATAAGGGCGCGCAGGAGGGCACGTTGGAGTGGGCTCGGCGCGAGGAGGCCTATGAGTTTGTAATTAAACTTTTAAGGCGCGTTTTTAATAATTAACGATTAAACTTATAAATTATTATTATTATTGTTACGATATTAAAAAGATTTTAAAAAAGAAAAAAGGGAAAAAGAAAATTAGTATTTTTCCCGTTAGAACCGCCCGCCTTGATTGACTGACTCGCAGTCACTTTGTGGTCTACTACGCATTTGTTGGCTGGTCTTGGTCTCGACTCCTGGCGCTGATCCAGGCCATGGGCCACAGCGTGCTGGACGTTGCCATTGTATTTTGGATGTTGTTCGGAAAACAAAACGAGCCCCCGTCGACTGTAAATATCACCAATAGTGTTCTGCTAGTAAAGGTATGGGCCTAGAACTAGCCCACGGGAGAATAGAAGTCTTGTATAGCTGTGGACAGTATCTCCAGACTGGTAGAGACAAAGGACCAAATGAAAACCCAGCGTATAATGAATAAACAACTTCCAAGTACATAATGATAAAAATCGTATCCGGGACAAAAAAGACGACATGCAAAGTGATGATACAATAGTTATAATATAGGTACGTGTATGCACACCAACGATGTTGCAAATATTCAGGCACCCAAATATGGGAATGATAACTGGCCACTACCAACGACGTTCGCTTTTAGATAACTCACAATAAGGTCTTCAATACCAAGTTCCTCCGCACTTCGCAACCACTCATCCATCCCCACTGTTGTGAATTCGCCCCCGTAGAGTGTGGTCATACGCTGTGCGAGGTCGCTGAAGGGGACCCGGATGTTACTGCTATGGTGGCGGAACTCGAGACCGCCTGCTGGATCACGGTCGGTCTTGGCAGCGATCGATTGCGCCACCTTGCTCACATCCTCAAAGTCGAAGTACCCCTCGGCATTCGGCAGCGCAGGCACGGTGCTGCTGAGGATTGAGTACCGGATGACCGAGTTCATGGCGTCGTCGTGCGGTGCAGTGGCGCCGATGATAGAACAGTGACGATGGATGGTGATAGGAAGTTTCATTGCCTCTATCGACGCGACGCGTTCGAGCCATCGCTCGCTCGCCCACTTGGACGCCGTGTAGCCCTGGCTGCCGTCTGTGGGCGGTGGGTGCGCAGCCATGGACACGGGTGCCGACGCGTGTGAGCCGGATTCGTAAAGGATGACGCGCGCAGATGAGATGTAATCGAAGGGGACTGCGCGCGGGACCGCGAGCTTGAGGAGGAGAAACTGTGTTGATACGTAATTCGCCGCGCGCACCGACGAGTAGTTGTTCAGGCAGTGACCCTGAGCGCCTGCGTGGATGATCTGATCCACATCTTGTTGCAGCCTCTCCATGTCGCGTGATGACAGACCGAGGGTGGGACTCAGCAGACTGCCTGTGTAAACTGTGATCTTGTCGGACTTCGGCAACTTGGATGCATGATCTGGATTCACAGCAATGCAGTGAACGTGGGAAACGTCATCGTCTTCTAGGAGTTTCGCCAGGATCTCGAAACCCAGAAACCCAGTAGCCCCGGTCAACAGAACCTGGCGTTGCGTACGCTTCGGTGCATGTGTAATCAGCGCCCCAGCCGAGCTCAGCACTTCGTCTTGAATGCCCGTCTCTGCTTCCCAGTCAATCATATCAACAATAAGGTCGCCTCGCTCGTGGCTCGTGACGACTGCCATGTTACGCAGCGTGCTAGCTTGGTAGAGATCTTTGAGCGGCAGCTGCACGCCGATCTTCTCCTTTAAAGCATTCTGCAGACGGACTAGGAGAAGTGAGCTTCCTCCTACTGTGAAGAAATCGCTGCCCGCTCGGATATTGGCAGCGCCAGCAGCCTCGCCGAGGACTTCTCGCCAGATCAGTCGAAGCTCGCCTTCGGCTACGGTCAATGGCTCCGGCTCCTCAGCCTTAGTCATATGAGCCATTTTATTCCGATCTGGTAGAGGGAGTGACTGTACGGCTTTCCTATCAACTTTTCCATTTGATGAGGTTGGTAGACGGTCAAGGGCCACAATTATGGAAGGCACCATGTACCGAGGTAAGGGGAGCTCGGCGCAAATCCTATCAAGATCTTCCTGGGATTGGCGATTCTCTTCGGCAACGGCCACATGTGCCACCAGAAACTGGGAGTCAGACGGGCCACGGACTGTCACAATCGTATCGGCGAATGAGCCCTTCCCAGCATTCATGATGATATTGGCGACCTCGGTAAGCTCTATGCGCAGGCCACGGAGTTTAATCAGTGTATCACCGTCCATTCGACCCAAGAACACTATCGACCCGTCTTCTCGGATGCAACCCTTGTCTCCAGTCCTGTACAAGGTCGTCCAACCTCGTGACACGTCTTCTGCAGTTGCGAACGGGTTTGCGATAAATCTAGCAGAACTGGTTGCGGCGTCTTGATAGCCTCTCGCAACCCCAGCGCCGCCTACGCATATCTCTCCCTCGAAACCAACCGGAACCATCCCTGAATCTTGCCCAAGAATGTAAATAGAAGTGTTGGAGATGGCTTTGCCGATGGAGTTATGAAGTTCAACCTTGTCGTGCGTACTTAGAGGTATTTGGCAGAAAGTCGCAGCACATGAAATTTCGGTCGGACCATAGCAGTCGGTCAGCATGTTTAGGTTGGGTAATTCCAATCTTCGAAACTCGGAGACCAACTTCTCAGTCACGGCCTCGCCACCACAGCATGCGTGCGTCCACGAAGTACAGTGCCGGAGGCTATCACCTCCATAAGTGAACAGCATGAGATACTCTGATGGAGTGCATAGAGTGAACTCAATCTGTTCAGCTAACATCATCTGCCCAATCGCAACAGGATCGCCGCGCATCCCCAACGGGGCTACGACTAGGGTCCCAGCATTCGCAAGAGCATTGACAGCTTGAGCGACAGACATGTCAAAGCCTGTCGAGCTCTGCTGGAGTACTTTTGGCTGCTTGAGGCCAAGTTCTGCACTCTTGGAGGCAGCGTAATTCATGATCCCACTCTGCGAAAGACGGATACCTTTGGGTGTGCCAGTGGAACCGCTCGTAAAGAGTACGAAGCTGGTATCGCTTTCGAAGGGCTCAGCAGGGAAACGCTGCTTGGATCCCCCGAGCTCTTGCGATAGGTCCACCTTGGAGATAGAGTCAAACTGAGAGGCAGCGTCTGATGTGCGATGATGGAAGACCAAAAGTTTTGCATCGCATGCTGCCACCATGGTGCGATGCCTGGTGGCGGGTAGACTCATATCGAGTGGAACATATACTGCGCCAATATGTAGGATAGCCAGCATTGATGCAAATGTGTCGATGCTAGGCTCGCATAAAACAGCTACGCAACTGTATGGTTCCACTCCAGCCCCCATTAATGCTTGTCCAATGGACTGCACACGCCTTGCCAGTTGCGCGTACGTCACGGAGGTTGTGCTGTCCTTGATGGCAATAACTTGAGGGAATGCTGAATATACCTTTTGGATTCTTCTAGAAATGGTATCTGGCCATTCGTGAACGATCCTAGGTCCATGACCCAATCGGAGCACGTCGCCGACTTTCTCATCATCGTAGAGCTTACAGTCACGGAGCTTCCACCTCTGGTCGGAAGACAGAGACTTGAGAAGATGGATATAGACGTTCATCAAGAATTCCGAGGTCGGGGCGGAGTAAAGGTAGTCGCTAGTCAACAGTTCCAAGGAATGACCGCCTTTGGCAGTTTGGGTCACGTTCAGCGTGATGTCGTACGGGTTCTTCGCATCTTCGTATTGAATCAAGTTCATGGTACAACCGCCTAACTTCCTCTGGAGCAAGCTGCCAACGCGATAGTTGAAAGCAACCTGGAAGACCGGCGTGTGCGACGGCGATCGTTCCATATCTAGCTTTGATAGAATGATGTCCAGAGGTACGGTGGCGTGGCTCTGCCCCTCGAGCACTGTTCGCGAAGTCTCATGTACGAGGTGGGAGAAGGTCTCATGGCGGTCGATGTTGAAACGCATAGGAAGAAGGTTGGTAAAGTGGCCAACGGTTTCTCCATATTGCCCAATTGTTTCTTCGCGCCCATTGTCGCTTGCGCTGTACCCACGTCCCAGATCGGTCACACCAATGCAGACTTCTTGCAAGTCCAGAAGACGAGAGAGAAGAACCTGCAGAACCGATAGATAAAACTGCATGGGAGTGGAACGGCAGGCTTGACTTGCCTTTTTGACATGGCCAACCATATCTAAGGAAAGCTCTCTCTCAAGCCTGTTATTTCCATACTTGCGGCGAGTCTTTCTTGTTCTCGTCTGCGCCAGTGGCAAGAGCGGAATCACAGCTGGGATTGGCTGAAGTTTGCTCATCCAGTAGGCTAGAGAGGTGTCCATACCCCCCTCGGCAAGTGCTTGTTCCTGATTCCGAGCGAAATCTAGATATGAAGGAACGATATTAGGCTGGAATGGTAGCATCTGATATGCTCGGTCAAGGTCCCGGAGAAACAGGTGCCAGCTCATTCCATCCATGATAAGATGATGGCATTCAATGATCAAGCTGTGTACATCAGACGCATGCGTCACCAGAATAGCCTGAAAAGTCCGTCCAGACGTGAGATCCCATTGCTGAAGCGCAAGGCTTTGATATAATTCACAGACGGTCTGTATTGAAGCTGACTCAACATGGAATACTCTGTCGCCAGAATGAACCGCAGCAACCCCTTGTTTCGGTTCAAGAGTCCCAGGCTCTGTGAAGAAGCAAGTCTGGAATGCGTCATGGCGTGCCAATGTTTTCTCTAAAGCTTGCGTGAATCGACTCACGTTCAGCGAACCATTGATCTCGTACTGAGCAGTAACATTGAATGTGGTAGGATCATCCAAGTAAGTTTGAAGGAAATGCAGACTCGCCTGCGCGTATGACATTCGTTCTGTTCGACTGAACTCTATCGGAAATAAGGACGTTGGCTCCCAAGACGTTGACACTATCGTAGGACGCAGGACGGGCGGTAAATCTTGGTCATACGAACCTGTGTCAGTGGTTTTGGAGTCTGCAGGAGTACCAAACTCTGAGCTGAGGCTCGCCTCCGAAACTTGGGACGTGGAATAGCTGACAGTTTGCTCTGGAACCTGGAGAGCTTGGACATTATCGGCGCTGCCGACTGATACGAACACCGTTTCCGCTGCCTTGTCGTCTGCGTTAGACGCCACTTTTCCCGAGAGCAGTCTCTCGGCAGCTACAGAACAGATGGATGCGATCGAGTCTCGACCCAGAATCCTGAGAAGCGGAACGTCGATATACATCTCCTTCAGCAACCAGGTTCGGATCTCTACACCTAGTAAGGAATCAAGCCCCAGGTCAGACAAGGGGGCGTAGATGTCGATTGAAGTAGCAGGAATTTTCATCATTGCCTCCATCTTGTTTCTGAACATCGTGTGGTACACGTCTGATGCTTGTTCAATCGAAGAGACACTTTCCAACCTTTCCTGCAATTGCTGGGCCGATGTCGCAGGCTGGTTAGATCCATTGGAAGACGAAGGCTGGACGACCATATGAGAGAAATACGGATTGTCGTACCATTGAGGCTTGATTGCGTCTTGCTCATCAATGAAGGGTTGGATTCCAATGGTGAGATGCGCATTTTCAGAGCTCGGATGGCCACAGAGGACGCCCTGGAGGAACAGATGGTGGAATTCAGTCTCTGCCAGTGGCATATAAAACTGTGACTGAAGATGCTTCTCAATTCCAGACCCGCTCCTTTCGCTCTTGGCGACGTATCCGATGTCTGAGATCATACCGACGTCGATTACAGATGCCGATTTGCCTTTACTCCTTCGCTGTTCTACCAGACTTGTCATGAACATGTTGGCAGCATGGTATATGGATTGGCCAGCATTTCCATACACACTACCCAGTGACGAGAATACTATGAAGAAGTCCAAGTCGTCTTCCACAAAATCGTCGTTGAGATGTACAGTGCCGTCGACTTTCGGCTTCAGCTGTTTGTTGACACTGTCAGCTGTGGCATTGACAAAGAGCGAGTCCTCGAGCACCAATGCGGCATTAGCTACGCCTCCAATTTGAGGCATCGATGTCCTGAGCTTAGAAAGAGTAGCTTGCACCTGATCCCGGTCTGTTACGTCCAGCTGGGTGGCGTGGATGTTGACCCCAGCTGCGCGCATATCTTCGAGCCAGCGCTCGCCGCACGCGGGATTACGACTCGCGACGACAATGTGGCGGGCACCGCAGCTGGACATATAGCGACACAGCGATTGGCCCAGTTCACCCGCCATACCCACCAGCAGATAAGTTTTGCTGCCCGAAAAGACCTGTTGTGCGTCGGGCGGAGGTATCACTATACTCAGTGGACCTGTGCGTTCCCAGTCAATTACAGTGGCAAGGCGCCTGGTGCAAAACTCTTCGGCCTCGGTCTCGCCTATCTTGACGACTTTGGGACTTGGACCAGTTTTCGCCAAGACAGCCATGTCGAATGCAACTCCCAGGGTAGTGCGGTCATTAGGAATGGTATTGGGCCTGAATTTGACACAGCTGCACTGGAGCGGTATATTCCCCATCATACTGGCGGGTGCGTTCTGATTGTTGCCCGAGAGATCGAGTAGAAAACGAGCATCAGCAGGTATCAGTCGACGGACTGTTCGAGCAGAGCTTAGCGGGTGTATCGTGATACAACCTTTGCCGGTCTGTGTCGCTTCTCCGGAAACGAAGAGCACCTTCCGCTCTGCAGCATTGGATATGGCTTCTGCGATGCCCTCTGTCGGCTCGTAGACCATCAAAGTCTCCTCACCATGGTAGCTTGAGAGAATATGGCATGCTATCAGTGAGGAAGCAACAGAAATGAGGAGCTTGTCATCGCAAGTACTCAGGGTCCGTGGTTCGAACACCTGCCGGGGTGGTAAGACATGCGTCGAACAGTCGGTTTTCGACAATGCGAAAGCTGGCTTATCGGAGTTTCCCACTTTACCAAAACATAAATAACAAGGCGCTTCGTCTTTGGAATGTAGAGCCACGGACAATCTGACAACAAATTCTACGGATCCAGTGTCTGACTGATGCGACTGCTTCGTTTTGACGAGCACAGTTTGATCGTCGCCGTGGATCAATTCGACCGACTCGGACTCCTTTGCTAGCCTCGTGACCTGACGGCGGCGAGAGTTGAGACTCTCATTAGAAGAATCGTCTCGGATCAAACGTGGCACCAACGTTTGGTCACCTCTGACGTGGACCTCAGGCTCGTGTGTCCAGAGCATATTGTAGTCTAGATACTGCGGTGAGGATAGAAGCACCATACGAGCAAGATACTGAACTACCATTTCCATGTCCCACGAGGACTGTTCATCAAAATCTAAGAACTGCATGCGGACGTGCGGTAGCTCAAAGGCGAGCGCACGACCGATACCAATCATCATATTGCTGTAGGGGTCATGGCTTAGCCGGCCACTTGTTACCCACAACACGTTCTCGGCATTCCCTAGCATCTCCTGCAGATTGTTCAATCGCTTGGAGTCCATCAAAGCTTTGAATATCGGCTCGTCAAGATCTGAAAGACACAATACTGAGGTACCTGGGCTGACCTCAGAGGGGTCCAGGTCCGCGACGCTGTTGAAAGCCTTGATGCGTGGCGTCCATCGTCGGAGCATCTTCTCGACTCGACGAACTGCCTTAGACACCGGTAACGTGGCGCCTCCTACAATAAGGAATTGAGTTTCTGGGACAGCATCGATCGATGTAATGGGGTTGCGCAGAACATCGTATTTTTCGTCCACCGCCTGGGTGATGAGCACCGAACAGTTGTGGCGTTTGACTTCAGGGAAGTCGTAGGCGATGGAATCAACGCCCGAGAACCCATTGCTCTGGAAAACATCATGCCAGCTCTTGGCCGAAATACCTGGACATGGGAAACGTCCATCGTCAACACCAAGCCACCATCCCTCTAGGCCACCCATGAGGCCTGGCTCGCGAAGCATGGTGCCAGTGACCTCCACAGCAACTAGGAAGCCACCTGGACGCAGTAAGGACCGGACGTTTTGCATGGTCTGTGCCAAGTTCCGCGTGGCGTGTAAGACGTTGGCGGCAATGATGATGTCGTAGGTTTCTACTGCCAGTCCTTGCTCGCCAGGGGTCTTTTCCGCGTTGAATGTCTTGAACTCCATCTTCTGGGAATGGTCTGTAAATCTCTCAGCCGCATGCTCAAAGAAGCCAGCTGAGATATCGGTATAGGCGTATGATGTATAGGCATCACCGATACTGTCCTGTAGAGTATTAACGGTTTGATCTGCCCTGTGGCCCATTGGAACAACTGAACATGAACATGTTGATAGACAATCGACTTACCAAGACACTACGAGTTGTCCCACCTGTACCAGCCCCGATCTCCAAGATTCGGGTGCGCGGGTACTTGTGCGTGATTTTCTTCATATATGCAGCGACGTAGTCGTTACAGATTGAAAAACCACGGCCGTCCATGTACAGTCGGCTCAGCATCGTATCTTTCAACATATGCTCCAGCATTTCCGACTCGCCGCGCATAACTGAGGGCCAGTTTTCACCCACTGCTGTGAGAAGTTGTAGATCTACACTTCCTGGATACTGCTCAGAAAAAGTGCGGATCGTGGCACGGTTATCTTGAAGCCATTCTTGTTTCAAAACAGGATGGATTCCTTCTCGAACTGGCTTCAAGAACAGTTCGATCGCCCGGAAAAGTTCTTGGTGGTACCATTTGAAGGCCCTGATTTCCTGTGGACAAAACTCCTGAGTAAGACTCTTCATGAAGAAAAGCGCCGTCCGCTCTACTGCGTCAATGTACTCCAAATCTGAAGCCAAGACGACTGTCGACGAGGGAATAATCAACTCCCCCGCGGCGTCGTTATCCCAGACGGTCTTGGCGTACAGCAATCGATCACCCGTAGGCTGTGGCTCTGCAATGGCCTTCAACAGGAGGCCCTCAACCTGTACCCTAGAGATACCGTTACGCGTATCGCATATATTGATATCTACTTCGACTATATCGCTTGACGAATTGATCAAGTGAGCCTCCATGGTAGTAGCTGTTCCCGAAGGCTCGCCGAGGCTCTGCGCATAGTCCACGACGACACGACGAATTCCTTTAGGGAGGTATGTAGCCCCCATTGCACCCTCGGCTATCGATGCGAAGGTAGCAAAACCGACCTGAAACCCAACGTCAAGAATCTCTGGGTGGAGCAGCATGCTATCGTTTAGCTGACCATCCGCCCAGGATGCCGCTGCCTGTGCATGGCCCCTGATTCTGTTGATGGATTCCAAGGCGCGGAACGATCCCTTGTAGACTATTCCAAGGCTATCGATTGCCTTGAAAAATCGTTCAACGTGTAGAGGAGGGAGTTCGATCGAGGAAATTTGCCTTTGAGGCAGCCCTAGCGTATCCTTTCCGGGCTCGCCAAGGTGTATGGTTAATTGACCATGACACGCTGCGTCCAAGACATGACCATCGGAACAGCTATAACAGGAGAAGGCGGCTTTTAGTACTCGCTGATCATGACCCTTCTGAGCTGTTGAGTCTAGTTGACGAAGTGTGAAGAGGACTTCTACACCACTGGTATCTTCCTCGATAACCAAAGCTTTCGTAATGCTGACATTGTGTATCTCGACGACTTCAACATGCCGCTCCCGCGCAAAAGACTTTGCGGCTTCCAGAGCCATGCTCACATAACCGGCCCCGGGGAAGATGACCTGACCTTGAAATGTGTGCCCTCTCAACCACGGCATTTCGTTCAAGCGGAAGATATTGCGCCAGGTCATCTCAGTCTTGCAGTCCTCTTGCAGTCGCCCCAAAAGCATGTTTGGAGCACGCGAACCTCGACGATAGTTGTGAGACAATCGAGACTCGTGCCAGTAAATTTGATCATGGTCCCAGGGGTATGCAGGTAGGTCCTTCAGGACTCGCCTCGTGCGACTTGACCCCAAAGCGTCACGGAATTCTTCAAAGTCAACTGCTGAAGGCCCGAGATGACTCCACACCAGTCCGATAGCTGTAGATATGGTAAACAGGTTTCCCACTTTGCGGTCGAGACAGCCTGCATAAGGCAGCGGGGAATCTCGAATTGAGTCCCAAGTTTGCGTAACCGGACCTTTCAACGCTGGATGGGGTCCCAGCTCAAGTCCCACGGTGAGCGATGGAACACTTTGAATGGCGAACAAGGTGGACTGGGTGAATAAGACAGTCTTTACCATATTGTCTACCCAATACTGGTCCCGTAACTCGCCAAGTCGTTGACGCATGTCCACGTTTCTGTGGACGCTGGAAGACCAAAAGCAGGAGTCATGTGACTGTCTAACTTGCACATCGAGGGCTCTGAGATATCCCAAGTATGCAGTAGCGCAGGGACGCATATGATGAGAATGGTACGCCGTATCGACTTGGAGTCTCCTGGCGAATGTGCCTTCTTTGCTTGAAATTTCTTCAGCCTGGCGTATAGCATTCAAATCCCCAGATAAGGTCACAGTCGACGGCCCATTACTTGCTGCGACCTGGAGTCGACCAGAAAACTCAGGTCTACTACAGAAGGCGCGAGCTTCGTTGAGAGAAAGCCCGACAGCCATCATACCACCCTCTTCTCCCTTCGAGCCTCTGGCTAACGAGGAGACCAACCCTCTGTAGTAGGCAATGCCCATGGCGTCCTTAACGTCCAGAATACCAGCTGCATACGCGGCTCCTATTTCGCCGGAAGAATGGCCGACAACTGCTCCAAAGCTGATCCCAGAAGCCCGTAGTAAATCTACAAGGCCAATTTGTATAGCCGTGCAGAGTGGTTGCGAGAACTGGGCTTGGGCCACACGGGAACGAGGCCCTTCAGTACCCAATTCTTCTATCAATGACCATTCAGCCGGCTCTGGAATCAATTTTAATGCTTCTTCGCATCTTCTTATAGCGTCAAGAAAGATGGGAGAGGATGCCATTAGCTCCCGCCCCATAGCTGCAGTTTGAGCACCCTGGATTGGTGTGTTTGTGAGCAAGTGCCTTTGACTCGGATGGTCGATCGACTTACCTGGCCCGTGAAGACTCCCAAAATCCTGAACTGCTTGGTATCGTTGAGCGTATTCGCCTTCACGCCGAAAGGAGCATCGCTTGACACCTCGGCCGCGTGAATCTGTTTCTCGAGTCCGTCGAGTAGTCCCTGACGGTCAGTGGCATGTATGCACGTCCGCATCGAAAGTGCAGTCCTCCTGGTCTGGAGAACCCAAGCAAGGGCATCAAGATCAAGCAAGGGATTTGACTGAATGTGCTCAACAGTCTGCTTGAGCTGTCGAAGAAGTGTGGTCCTAGATTTGGCTGAGAAGACGAATGGTCCTATGGGTCCCATCTCAGAGGCTGGACCATCCTTCATGCTCTGATGGTCTGCGTAGCTAAACCTCTCAAGAATAGCATGGGCATTTGTGCCACCAAATCCGAATGAATTCACGCTTGCACGCAATGGCCTCCCTTGAGTCTCTGGCCATGGCTGAGAGGAAGTAGGTACGTGAACATTCTCGTAGAAAGGCTCAATGGCTGGGTTTAGTTGGCTGAAATGCATATTCGGAGGGATTATTTTGTTCTGCAGGGCTAGCGATGCTTTCAAGACGCCTGCCAACCCTGCACATCCTTCAAGGTGACCGATAACAGTTTTCACAGATCCGCAGTATAGGGGCTCTTGGGATGTGTCTATCACCTCGATTTCGTCGGAACCATCAGTATTGTGGAAGAAAGCTTCTTTAATGGCGCGCGCCTCTACAGGGTCGCCGGCCAAAGTCCCAGTACCGTGACACTCGAAAAATTGGGGACGATCCTTGATGGGGTTGAGGCCTGCCCGCCTATAAGTTTGAAGGATCAGTGAGGCCTGTGCCGTGGAGCTAGGCATGGTGATGCCATCCGTGCGTCCGTCTGAGTTGACGCCCGTCTCACGTATAATGCATTCGATATGATCATTGTCCGCAATGGCTTTGGCAAGGGGCTTCAAGACCACCACCGCACAGCCTTCGCCACGAGCATACCCATTAGCGTCCTTATCCCACATGCGCGACCGCGAATCGGGGGACAGCATATGTAGCTTGGACTCGGCAATATACATGCCTGGGTCCAGGAGCAGGGTCACTCCAGCCACCACTGCCTGGCTGGCCTCGCCGTTTCGGAGGCACTGCACGGCTTGGTGCAAAGCCACCAAGGAGCTGGAACATGCAGTGTCGATCGTAACGGATGGCCCTTTGAAGTCAAAGAAAAACGAGATTCTATTGGAGAGGATGCTGCGAGCCAGTCCAGTGGCTGAATAGGTCGGTAGTGCTTCAGGATCCCGCATTTGGATGTCGTTAAAGTCTACCGTCATGTTGCCGACGTGTACGGAAGTCTGAGATCCCTCTAACTCCTCCATGGGCCAGCCTGCCGCCTCTATAGCCTCGAAGACGGTCTCAAGAAGGAGACGTTGCTGTGGATCCATACCCTCGGCCTCCATGGGGTTGATCTTGAAGAAAGCAGCGTCGAAGAGGCGGCAGTCCTCTTGGAGCAGATATGATCTTCCCTGCACATCTGTCCGGCCGTGGTGTTCTCCATTATGACTGTGGAAATTCTGAAAGTTGAGTCTCTCTGGGGGGAAGTCTCGGACTACATCACGAGGCGATTTTAAGAGGTCCCAGAGTTTCGAGGGCGAGCTCGCACCGCCGGGGAATCGACATGCAGATCCTACTATCGCTATCTGTTCTGCCATGGTAGAATATGGTTTAACTGAGTTGATCAGGCGACAAGCAAGGCCGTTGAGTTGAAATAAAAGATGGCAGGTATTTTGCTCATGAGGTCCTGCATACCCTTCTATAGCTTATAGTTCACCAAACACACTTAGTTGGGTTATGTCTACATAACTATCTACTTCCTCGGAGGCAACATACGCCACGCGGTCAAATCATATCAGCAACGGGTATGCTTACCTCTTTCGTACTGGCGTATAGACACATCAAATGTTAGGAGCGTGTCAGAAAGGGTAAGAAATATCCACGACCCATTGACGAGGTCATCAGTGAAGCTTTGGTGCTTGTGTGCATCAATAACTCTATTAGCCGCTCTGACTACAAATTGCTCTCAGTGCTAAATTCTTACGGAATGTAAGCTCGAGTTCTGCAACCTGTCGATCATTACTGGATACTTTTCCTTGTGGCCTCATTCACCGAGGCAGCATCTGAGGAGCGGAGCGGCTTGACAAAAAAGAACCGCAATCAGATGATTCGGCCAGCTAATGAGCTATTCGTCCATCGAGACAGTCAATTCCGAGTAAAATATCGTTGATTACATAATTCGCGGTTTTAGGAGGTTCCATCATCCATTGACGTGTCTTCTAGGGCGCATCCAGTCGGTCGGGTAAGCCAACGCTGGCCATTTTCGGACTCCATTCGCCACCTCGGCACATGGAGCGGTATACCCCGGCTACTAATGCTGTATTGTAGACTCGGGTCTCAAGACCATTATTTTTCGCTTCTTATGATTGGAGTGGAGCCTCGGGGTCGATGGGAAATCGGACTTGTACTTGCCTAATCTAGTAGAGCCGGCCGCCTTATGTCCGATACTAGGAACAACAAAGTGCTCGGGGACATCCGTATTGAATTTAGGGAAGAAAGTAAGTCTATATTGTTCATGTATCAGTGGATTCTGTGAGCCGAGGTGTGCAAGGCGTTGAAAGCGCCGATATTCCGCCAAGCCCGGCCAGGATGATAACAGAAAACAATTTTGAATTCTTCGTAATACGGGTGGAGCGCTGGTTACTTGTAAAGTATATGGATTTCTATGAATTTGTTTTCATTGGGGTGAAATGAGACCCGTCCAATATCTGTAGTTCTTATCTGTAAGTATACTAGAATTGTTGCCCCCAAATATCAGACCAAATGGCTCTGGTAAGCGCTCAAAGATTGGAGACCCAATGAGTGCATCTATCTTTTTACCCATTTTATCACTGAATTATGGAGAGTTCTACTAATTGGAGGCCGTTACTTTAAATTAAACCATAAGCTTTAGGCGAGTGTTCGAACTTATGTTCGAACTTCTTTTTTGTTACTCATGTCACCATTATCTCTTGAGTTTGCTCTTTGATGGTAAAATAAACTGAACCTCTTTTGGTTTTCTGTGTGTTACTGAGTTTATCTGCTTCCCTTTTTGAGGTTGATAAGTAGACATATTCGATTTCGATCATTTCTCATCAAGGCGACGTTGAGATTCAGGCTGGGATGAAAGCAACCTTGCATCCATACTTACTGGATGGGCCTACGCGCATGACAGCCGCGTAAGGCTCATCATCTCTGGGCTTGATCGCCTTGAATCGCTGCAAAAGCCTGAAAATAGCGTAACTGCACTCGGTGTCCACCATCACGTGGGCTGGGCAGATCCGTGGACCACCACCAAAAGGGACAAAGCTCCACATAGGGCGGGCCTTCTCCCATCGTTCAGGAAGAAACTGTTCTGTGTCGGAACCCCAGAGTTCGGGGTCACGGTGCATTAGGTAACGGTTGCAGTGCACAATATCACCTTTGGCACAAAAGATAGGTGCCTTGCCGTCTTCTCCACCCCCTGTTGGGAGCGTTGTGTCCTTGATACAAGCTCTGACAGTCTGTAAACTGACAGGATACAGTCGATGACCTGAGTGATGTGAGACCCAAAAATTAAATGCACTACCACAATAGAAAACACTTACTCTCGTTAACAGTCCATCTAAGGTAATTGATTGATCTTAGGCCTTCAAAGGTCAAGGGCTTGTCTCCATACTCAAGGACAGCCTCCCGCAGCTTTTGAACTACCCTAGGGTTCCTGGCCAAAGCGTATATAGTATTGCTCATAAGGATTGAAGTTGTCTCGTTAGAAGGGATCCAGACGCCTGTAAGCTGCGTGCGAAGTTCGATCGGGTCAGGGACGTGTCGAGCAACGGTCCATAAAAAGTCGTCGCGGGGTTCACCGTTCTTATAGGTTGCGGGAATTCCTTTCTTTTCCTCCTCTAATTGTCTATATGCTTGTTCAATATAGTGACTGAGGAAGCCTTGAATACGTTTACACGCCGCGAACCACTCCTTATCTCTATGTAGGAAAAGGAACGAGCTGAGTTGTAAGCGCAACCGCAGCCCAGCCATTACTTTGACCATATCCTTCTGGGGCCAACCCCTTTCTGGATGATCAAGTGAGTTCACCGTCTCACCAAAAAGAAAATCGGTGGATGTGTCAAGGAACTAGGCTCTTGTCAGCTTCCACTCTCCACCGGACGTTCGTCAGTATAGAAAATCAACTGACCCAGCGCTGGAATAGTGGTTGCATATCCACTGTCGAGCTGTCAGACGGAATTTGACTCATTAAACGGTCTACATGCTCTCTAAGGCGATTGAGATTGGCAAATCCCGCTCGCTCAAAGTACGGTTTGACCAAATCACGAGAATGTTGCCATTTCTCGCCATCTGAAGAGCTGACACCGCGCCCAGTGAATGGAGTGATTGCGCCGTTGGCTACCCTAATCGGCTCCACGGCAAATGCATCTTTTTGGGAAGTAGATAAAGCCTTCATATTCTCGGGCTCTGAGCTGTACACCATACGGTTGCCTAGAAAGTTTGCTCGCCAGACCTTGGAACCCCGAGCGGAGTAGGTATCTGTCTGAAATTGCAAGAAGCGGTCTTCTTTCAGAGCCTTCAACATGGCGTAGACATAGTCAAGGCCGAGAATCTTGTCCCAGCCTGGATATGCCTTAAGCGGCGGGCAGCCAAACTCAGCACGTGTCTTTTCGTAACGAACATAGTTTAGAGTGGCTGCTGCAATCCAGTACAAAATTGCAGAGAGAGTGAAAATTATCAGAATAGAACCTGAATGCATGGTTTTGTCTTCCAAATTTAGCCCCTGTGCGGTGTTATAGCCCAAAAGATGGAAGTGCCTGTAACTGATCTCTGTTGGTACTGGTTCAGGGAAGCTGAGGAAAAGGATTATTCGGTCATACTTTCCGCTAAGCCATGTGGAAACGTTTTTCTGTAATAGTTCGGTTTTCTATGGCCGTTTTCGACATGATTCAGATGTATCTATGATGCAGTGTGCGGGCCGGTCTATTACTTCCTTACGGAGTGAGACATTGCCGCTAGTGCACGCATATCATGGGTCCCCGACCGGCACGGCCTCCACGTCATATCCCGCCTCCTCCGTACAGCGAGTGCCAGGCGCGATTCAAAGCCGCCTTGTTGGGTAATTGTGCGAAGAAGGTGATCAATGTAGCTTGCAGTATTGACCTTGTTGATGTGTTGCTATCTTATCCAGTCGATTCTTTCATTTGGCCTTGCAGTGGTCTACGTATCCGAAAGCCAAACTTGTAAAACACAGTTGATTGAAGTAATTCATTACTTATTATATTCTACGTTTGGGTTATTGGAGTGTTCAAAGGCCGATAGTCGGTGTTCTAGTACAAGATTGTCAGCGCACCGTCACGACTAGCACCATGTATTCCTTGCCTTTAATGCCTCAGCATATTATTGCTGCTGGGACTTTTGTACTGGTTGTCGCATTACCTGCTCTGTATCGTGCTCTTCTCCCAAAGCCAATACCAGGAATTCCTTACAAGAAGGGCAGCGACAGACGAATACTAGGGGATGTCCAGGATGTAAGACCAGGCATGAGACTAGGTCATAGATCTTGCTGACACCTGAAGTAGGTCCTCAAGTGGAACTACGAGACAAAAGAAATATGGAGCTACATGAGGCGACTTGCTGTTGAACTGGATTCGCCTGTCATTCAGGTCTTCATGAGACCCTTTGGCAAGCCCTGGGTTATCGTGAACGATTTTCGCGAGGCGCATGACATCCAAATGTTCCGGTCCAGCGATTTTGACCGTGCTCGTGTTCTTGAGGATATATTTGGCGTTCTGCTTCCCTCATGTCATGTATGGGTAAGTGTCTTGCAGCTCTAAAAACATCTAATGCTGCGTTACAATCATACTCCCTCCCCCCACCCGCGAGATGTAGAGTCAATACTGATCAATACACAAAGATGCCTACCAACGACAAATTTCGAGCTCATCGAAACCTAATTAGGGATACCATGTCCCCGGCGTTCCTCAACGGAATCGTCGCGCCAGCTCTGCACGAACGATGCCAGAACATGCTCGAGCTATGGAAGGAAAGGGCACGCTTAGCGCAAGGCAGACCTTTTGAAGGAGACCACGACATTTTCAGGGCCACCCTTGACATCATACTGGCAGCAACTTTTGAGCTGGAGGCAGGAACCATTTCAACTCACAAGAAGCATCTATCTGGGCTTAAAGAGATGAAACTTCCAGACGGTCAAGACCTGCCCGCTGTATTCCCAGAGATCAACGACCCGAAAGAGTTCACGTCAATCCGGTCATTGCTTGACAGTGTCGAGATTGGCTTGAACTCACCACTTCCGACGCCGCATATGAAGTTTGCCCTAAGCTTCTATCCAGAGCTTTCAGCTGCAAGGAAGTACAAAGACGAGATGATTGGCCAACGGGTGCAGAGAGCTTGGGATAAGTTCTACGCCAATCCAGATGCCCAAGGTTCTGTACACTGTGCTATGGACCTGTTGATTCAGCGTCAGGCACAAATGGCCAAGAAAGAGAACCGTGATATGACCTATGATATCCAGGCAATCAAAGGCGAGCTGTTCGGTTTCATCGCCGCCGGCCACGAGACCACGTCGACGACCATATGTTGGGCAATCAAATATCTGACTGAGTACCAAGACGTACAAAAGATATTGCGAGACAAGCTACGGGAGACACACCATTGTGCTTTCGCAGCTGGGCGGCTGCCGTCCGCGGATGAGATCGTCAGCAATACGACAGCTTACCTAGATGCTTTCATTGAAGAGAACCATCGCTGTGGAAATACGGTGCCGACGATTGTGAGACATACAATCAATGACACCACAATTCTTGGCCACAAAATACCAAAGGGGACTGATGTTTTCATGCTTACCAATGGTCCAAGTTATCAGGCCCCATCATGTTCCGTGGACGAGACTTTGCGCACTAAGTCGAGTCAAGATGGGAAGGGAAAGTTCGGCAACTGGAGTAGTGAGGACATTGACCAGTTTAGCCCCGATCGATGGTTAGTTTCAGAGGGAAATGGCGAGGTCCGATTCGATGCCCGCGCTGGACCTGCGCACCCTTACGGAGTCGGCCAGCGTGGCTGTTTTGGTAAGCCTATCGCTCTTCTTCATTCCTATCGTGCGCCAGGAGTGTGCTCTAGATTCTGTCCCATTTAGATATATACTGGACTCTTAACTACATAATTATAGTAGAGTCTAACATTCTTTGCAGGCTCGAAATTCGCGCAATTGGAGCTAAAAGTCATCCTGACCCTGATTGTTTGGACGTTCGCGCTGAAGCCCATTCCAGCTGCTCTAGCGGGGTTTGAGGGACATGATAAGAACACCAAGCGGGCACAGAAAGTTTATATCAGACTTTCCAAAGTAGATTAATCTGCCTTCGGCTTATCTGTTCAGGGCAATGCGTTAGCTTTGGGTCTATGAGAATATCCCAGTTAATCGATTGCTTGTTCGTTTATGCGTCACTGTAGCCAAGTTCTTTGCAAACAGGAATGAAGTCATTACGACAGCTTGATTATCGTCAGATTATGGTGTAGTGTGAGTGCCACGAACCAGGGCCATGCTGCACAAGCCCGGGGGTGGCCTTTCAAGTCAACTTGTGCCTGATGCTCGATATTATTATCGTATGATGCACCACTTTAGATGGTGTTATCTCTTACATATTTCGGACAATAAATTGTTCTGAATGGGAAAGTTCCTACAAAGTCTTTTCAATTGCCTACCCATTGAGGACTCTATCAAATATACGTTTGTTATGATCCCAGACGCTTTCCGCCAAAGATGACTCCTTATACTCCCTCAGCACAGGGGTTTCCGCAATTTCTTCGCTTTGATGTCCAATTCGTCTAACGCCAGGCCCGTAACGTGGATCCGTCAGGTGAAAAACTTGCCTCTCGGCACACTCTTCTGCGGACGTGCCAAAAAGAAATGCTAATGTTTCGGCTAGCGAGCGGATGAGTGCCAATGCCATGCCCCAGAATATACTGGCTGACTCCGGCGCGGTCAGGCGCGCAAAATTATCTGTTCTTACCCATCCCGGATAGACATGCATGAATGTGATGTGTCGGTTGTCCTGGGCCAGGTGTTCAAAGGAGAGTGTGGTCATGGTGGTGGAATGTCCAACCACTGCTAGTGGAGTCCAAGAGTTCTCGAGCCCAAGGTTGTCCAGCCCGATAGCTGCCTCCTTCCCGCCATTCAGGACACACATAACCTTTGGGTCTCGTGACTTTCGGAGCAGTGGCAGCAATCTTTCCGTGAGAAGCATCCTAGAATAATACGAGATGGCAAAACAGGTCTCAAGTCCTTCATGGGTATCTGTCAGTAAGAAAAACAAGTCAACCACTATGCCGGGCCTAGATGAGTAGAGTAGGCCCTACAACTTGCCCCGTTCAGGGGTATCATGCCAGGGCTCATGTAAAGCCCATCGACTTTTTGAGTCGAATCAGCGATTTTCTTGCACACACGATCGACATGGCTGAGCAACGAGAATTCGGCTTCGAGGAATATCACCCTACATGATGGGTTGGCTTTCTCAAGTAGAAGTCTCTGAGTGGCGAAACGGGACTCTGATCTTCCGATGACATAGAATGTTGGTGAACTCGACATGTCCGCCATACGGGATAGGGTGCTGGCGCCAATGCCACTTGTTGCGCCAGCAAATACGTATACGGGTGACGCATCTTGCTGATTTTTGGCACGGTACGTCTCGTTAGCTTCGCGTACAGCTGCTAGATGCATGATGTCATCCTACTGGTCGAGCAAGACAACAAGAAGGTCTTACGATGCTGCTCTCAGCATAGGCACTGGTTCATAAACCCTGGGCGGAAAAATTAGCCCGCCTGACGACGGACACAAGGCCGAGTCTCGGGGCACAGGTCAAGCTTAGAAGCACAGGCCAGCCATCGGGCATCGGGCATCGGGCATCGGGCCTCGGGCCGCGGGCTTAAGCGCCGTGCGTCTGGTTGATCCTTCACCTTCATCGTTCCGCCTCCCGTCCGCCTCCCCATATTTCCCGCTGGCCCCACTCACACGGCCGAAATAGGAAGGGGAAAGACCGAATCGGATGAACTATCAACGGCCCCCATCAGCGCCGTCTGCGCTGACTGGAGTCGAGCCGCAATTCCACTGCTTCCAAGGGATAAACGAAACTGACGCGGGCGAAATTTCGATCCGAGGTAAATGAGAAAGAACGACGATCAATCAAAGTTGCCTTCCATTCCGATGCCCATGTCCGCTAACTCCGTAGGCCACCACCATGGGTCAACGCAAAGTTTCAAGCAGAAAATGCGGGATCTCATCCTGCTGAGTCCTTCTTACTTGTTTTTGCGGCGACCACGCCGGAGGAGCTATCACTTGACCATCTTGCTCTGCATACGTTCTCATCTGTCAGCAACTCCCAGGGGTCGGTTCATTCCCCGCGAGACCAGTGAACCAACCATTCTTCGTAAACCCGCTGGCGCTAATTCCAAACATGTCGACCGAGTCGACTAACAGCGAAAAGGTTGGCGGCCGCATCAGCCCACCGCCCAAAGCAGATGTCGAGTCTGCTCCTCCCCGCGCCCCTCCAGCGCCGCCAAATGGCGGACTGAAGGCCTGGTTACAGGTCGTGGGCAGCTGGGCCATCGTTTTCAACACTTGGGGCACCATCATCACCTTTGGCGACTTCCAAGCCTTCTACGAAAGGGGAACGCTGTTCACCGAGTCCTCCTCGAATATCTCCTGGATCGGCTCCATCCAGTCGTTGATGGTGTTCGTCGTTGGTGCCGTCATTGGTCCCATCTACGATCGAGGCTATCTCAAGCTGTTGCTGCTCATCGGGACCTTTGGTATTGTCTTCGGTCACATGATGCTCTCCCTCTGCTCGGAATATTGGCAGGTAGTCTTGTCTCAGGGCTTCGTAGTCGGCATTGGTGGTGGCTGTCTGTTCGTCCCCGCATTGGCAGTGGTCCAGCCCTACTTCAGCAGCCGACTCGGACTTGCTCTTGGCATAGTCGCCACGGGGAGCTCACTCGGCGGTATCATCTACCCCATCATTTTCATCAACCTTATCGAGAGAGTCGGCTTCGCCTGGACCGTGCGCGCCATGGGCTTCGTGGCCTTGGGCTCCCTGCTAGTCCCCCTGGCAGTATCCGAGATGCGCGCCAAGCCCCCGGCTGTGCGAAGAATGCTTGACTTGACGGCCTTCTCAGACGGCCCGTTCATGCTCTGTATACTGGGTTGCTTCCTTGGCTATGCCGGCTCTCATGTCTCCTTCTTCTACATTGCATACTACGGACAGGCCAACGGCTGGATGACGGGCACTTTGGCGCTCTACCTTCTGCCTATCCTGAATTCAGCATCAGCGATTGGCAGAGTACTACCAAACTGGTTGGCGGATAAAGTGGGCCCCGTCAACGTTGTCATTCCAGGTATGCCCATCACCCTGTTACATTGGGGTAGCTAGATAGGCTGACTGACTTGAGATAGGTTCACTCATCATTGGTGTGATTTTACTTTGTAATCTTGCCGTAACAAACGCTGCTGGTATTATCTGCACGGCTCTATTCTTTGGCTTCTTGTCTGGCATATTTGTTGCAACTCCACCCCTCTTATTCATGGTCTTCACCAAAGACAAGACTAAACTCGGTGCACGGATGGGGCTGGCATACGCACTTGTTGGCCTGAGTGTTCTTCCCGGTGGACCTGGCGCCGGAGGCGTGCTACAGCATCATTCCACTAGGCTTGACTGGGTTGCTGCCTGGGTGTATGCAGGCGTGCTTCCCTTATCTGCCTGCCTCGTTTTCTGCGGTTTGAGAGTGTGGCAAGCGGGCACCAAGCTGAAAGTGAAAGTATAAGGAATTCACGATGTGGCGAGAGTGCTATCAAGTTTATCGTGAGGAACGTGGAGCCCTGGGTCTTTGGCGTCAGGGGTCTGAAGTCCCGGACTCGACAGCGAGTGAGTCTTGAGATCATAGGTACCTAGATGATTGCAAGATGTCCGACTTGATATTACGAATCTCTCCGGCGGTGAGCGGTACAGAGAGCATTTCATAGTTGTCTACCAGATGGGCGTTGGTAGTAAGCTCGGTCAAGCTCATGTCGAGACTCTGATAACCTGGTACCGGCTATGCAAATAGGCTTACAGGAAATCGTTAACCGAATGCTAGATATACTACCCCTGTCTGGTCTGGGCCTACCGGCATACGCTTCACACCACAACGACGACACATCTCACCTAGTGCCATACACTTCAACATTAGTCTTCTGGCGTGGACTGCCCTGGGGGAATGATCTGATGCTCGGAGGCTTTTTTCCATTCCCATTCCATTTTCCGCGTTGCTTTTCATTCTACATAGTATCCACGCTCCAACCCCCCTCCCCACCACGTCCTTAAGGAGAAAACAAAATATGAAGAGAAACAAGGCCCAGTTTCAGAAAGTTTTGTGCCAGTGTTTCCAAAAAGCAGAATACGAATTCGATGTGCAATAGAAATCGAATTGCGCTTTGTAAAAATATTTCGTGTAGGGCTGCGCATGAAATCTAGGACTACAACAATCTCGTTCTCTACTCATGGTTTAGGCAAAGGTGTCCCGTGTTACGTCAAAAGCTCCTATAGGATCACACGGAGCATCTTACACAAACCAAACTTTTATTGTCCCGAATGTAGCGAGCACTCATCTTGCTCAGGGAAATAGCAACGGATGTAATACTGGCCATCATGGCTTATGAGGTTGGCGAAGAGTTGATTGGACAATACTCGGTATTATGGGTCGATGTCTTACAATCTACATGCGCCATTTGCCTCTTATGTTCATCTGCGGCAAAAGCCGACACCAAGTAATAGACACTGTAATCCGTACAATTTTATTTTATTTTTTTTGCTGCGCGTCAGGATAGTGAGTTAAGCGGCACACGTGTTTCAGATTTCATATATCCTTATATCCGGCTTGCAGCTTAGTTATATGTCTTCACCGTTCTTTATCCGGTCGGGCCAATGCTATGGAGCTCACGCGGAGTCAACACGAGACTCTCTGATTGATCGGGTTGATTGAAGGATCGGCATACGTGCAGGACAAGACCTTCCAATCCTTGTGATCACCACATGGGACAGGGTGCTTGATTTTTATACGCAGCGGCCGCCGTACGACAGCGAGACGAACTCGTAACTTAAAAACCAATCCCTGCTTGTTTGGCGGCTGCGACACCGCGAATGAGTATCGGAGAATTGCAGTTTTGCTTGTCCATAGTCGCGACCTTGCCACGTGATTATGACTCCCTAGCCTTTGCGGGGTTCACAGACATGGACCACGGAAGGATTGCAATCCCACAAACCATTGCATATTCTTGGCGATCCATCGTGCAGTTGACGAAAGCTCATACAAGCGGTGTATACGGAGATCTATCTAGCATTAGCTGTATGCTAGTCCTGTGTTCAATTGTAGGATCAACCCATGAGATGATTATGATATGATCTGGCCCAGTGCATGGTTGACAAGGGACTTTTGCCTAGCACTGCGATAAGGCCCAATCAAAGAGCCGGATCATATGCACCCTTGCAAAACTTCCAAACCTTGCAGGTAACACGGTGCTGCTTACGAGGATGCTCGGTCGCGACGGCCTAGATGCTCGCGTAAGTATGGTGATCGAAGTTGTTCTTGGACATGCGTAGGATTGCTGACGCCTTGCGTATGCAGAAGGTCTGTACTGATTCTATCTAGTAGCTGCGTTAGCAGTAAATTGCTGATATATCCGCCTTCTGGTACCCATCACCAGGTATGTAACCTGGAGGTTGTACGCCGGCTCTTCAAACAAGCTAGCTGTCGCCTTTAGTCACTGACAGGTCTATGCACTACAGGTCAACTAAGAACCAGCATGCAGTCCTCTGACATGGCCTTGGGCAATTGGATGAATAATACGCGCAAGAAGCGACGGCCTGCTCTGGCTTGCTCCTCCTGCAGACGCAGAAAGATCAGGTAAATCTTGTCTATATCTTCCGCAAACTTTGATATCTAATCATCGGCATTCCTCACAGGTGTGATCGACAAACGCCTTGTGAGCAGTGCATCAAGGCCAACATCGAAACATGTAGCTACGTCACGAGCTCAAGGGCCTCGCCTAACAGTGCCCCCTTTCATCCGCAGGACACACAGTTCTATGTGTTCGAACAAGCTCCTTCGCAGTCCAGGATGGAAACAAACTTCACTACAAGCAGCAACTGGATGCCTGAAGTTCCTTCGGATGCTTCGAGCACCCTATCTAGCCACCATGGTCACTCACTATCCATAGGCGCCTCTCTGCCGGCGGAGCAAGTACAGGTCCCTGCTGCTTCAGGTCCATTCTCACAATCTCCACTAGAGAACTGGTTTCCTGCAATCAAAAGAGCGACAAGAGGGTCTTTCTCAAGAACCAGGTTCTATGGGCAGAGCCACTGGCTCAATTTTGTGCATCAGGTATGGTATCACCCAGCGTATCACTCCAAGAGCAATGCCTGGCACTCACATTTCACATTCTCCCCAAGCACAGGCAGTCATAACTGCCCACGAGGCCAATGAGAGCAATCGCTGCACTATAGCAAGATGTCGTTCACTTAGCGACGTCATTGCCACGCAAGAAGCCGTTCGATCCCAGACCGCGTTCGATTCTTACAGAGATCTGATCCCAGATCGAGCGGTAGCAGACGTTCTCATTCAAGCGTACCTGCGGACTTTCCAGAGGGTGTTTGGTATTCTGTCTGTTGCTACATTCTTGGACAACTATAAAGCGTTCCAAGCCAACCCTGACGCGGTTGGCGATACCTTCGCTGTTCCGCTTGCCCTCGTGTTATGTCTCGGTTCGAGTTTCTGTTCGCAAGAAGCCGGCATCGCTAGAAATACCGTCCTAGGATGGGTTGGCTTTGCGTCTAGCCGGATTTACTCCTCAATCGACACGAAAGAGCTCAATCTCGATGTCATACGTACACACTGTTTGTTTTTTCTGACTCGGCAGGTCTTCTGTGTGGATGAAAGCAACCACTGGTTGCCGGCAGGATCACTTATGCGCCTGGCTATACATCTAAGCCTTCACATCGATCCAGTGAAACACGACTTCCAGGATATGCCACCCTCAGAGATCGAGGCTCGACGTAGATTATGGGCGACGGTACTAGAGCTGGAAGTCCAGTCAAGCATGGATCATGGCGAGCGACCCTCCATTGGTGTCGAGGATTACGACTGCGCGCCGCCATTAAACATTGACGATGCGGACTTGAATACCAGCACACCCTTACCCAAGGCGGAAGATGAACTCACCCAGACCTCGGTCCAGATCCTATTGATGAGGAGCATACCCACCCGTTTGAAGATTGCGAGACTTCTAAACAACTTCCAGGGAGACCTATCTTTCGAGGCGGTTTTGAGCCTGAGTTCAGAGCTTTCGGAAATCCTCAAATGCTGTACAAGGCTCCTCGAGGCTTTCCGGATGAGCACAAATTCTCCGACGGCATTTCAGACCAAAATGTATGACCTGATGGTTCAGAGGTTCGTCCTAGGGTTACACCATCCGTTTGCTCTTAAAGCTATGGAGAACCCTTCCTATTACTACTCGCGGAAGATGTGTGTTGGGGCATCCCTGCGCCTTCTCACGCACAACTCAGCTCTGTCAGGCGACGACGACTTCCAGCGTATTCGTATGCGTGGGTCCGGTCTCTTCATGATTCCATTCACGCAATGTGCTCTGTATTTGTGCAGCGAACTTACGGATCAGGCTGAGACAGAGGAGCCGGTTCCTACAAATGGACAGGAAACATCCCTCTACAAACAGCTCCATTCAGGGACAAAGTCCTATCTCAACTGTGTCAAAGAACGGAGCCAGTTGAGCGAGAGGGATCTGGGATGCTATTTGTCTGTCTGCTGTCTGCTGGCACAAGCCGACGCCATGAAGTCGAACACGTCCGTCGAGCCGAAGATCTCGCAGGCCCTGGCCAACGGCCTCAATGCATACCATGAATCCTTGCTTAGTCGTTTACAAGAGAGTAAGGAGTTGACTAGCTGGGAGATGTATGATGAGCTATCGAACGGTGATGGGGCCAATAACAATCAGGAATGGCCGGCTTGGGATGAACCGACCGTGAACCTGAACTTGGATCCGTCATGGGGACCAGCGGTTCTGACACCTCCATCGGGCCGGTGGCAGTCACAAGGTTTGCTGACCAAAGTTCGGTACGTAGCTCAACAAAACAGACAGTCAAGTCACAACATATGCTGTAGATTTGTACTTAAGTGGCACGTGAAAAAGCCTGTTGACTTCCAAGGCTCGACCCTCACCCATGAGCTCTAAGTAGCAGCTTCAAGCAAGAATGCGGCTATTTTGCACAAACAACAGCCAATTTCGATATCACACTTTTAAGGCTAGACGTTAATTAATGTTGTTCTCCTACAAGGAATGGCATTGTAGTCATCTACTGCGTCTGGCAGATCGTAAATACGCAAAGCTATGCTGAGTCTCGCCAATGGATACTTTTGTGTTCTTTCATCTACAAGTGATACGCATGATCATTTGGACCTACATGATTTCGTTGTGGTGTAATTAACCGAATCTCTTATTCATTTCGCATAAATGCTGTATTTGAAGTCCTCATAGGCACTACCGTGTGATGAAGAGCGCCGATTATGCAGAACACCTTGTTGAGTTGACCCGTATATGGACAGTGACCCAGTCCATCAGAGAGTGTCGATGTCCAGCTCGACCGTTTTTCTTTTCCTAATCAGGATCTTCGCGATTGGACTGGAACCATTAGCCGCTCCAATAACCATAGGCTTGATATCCGTGCCCGGCGCAAGCTTCCAGTCGTACTTCATGAGAAGATGACAGAGCGCAACCTTGATTTCGTTCGCCGCAAACGCCCTGCCTGGGCACGCGTAAACGCCGTGGCCGAAGGCCAGGTGGTCTCGGTGAGTCGACACCAGCATGGACTGGTTCTCTTTCCCAGGCTGCTCCCGCATCTTGACGAACCGACTTCCGTCCCATTTTTCAGGGTCTTCGTACACTTCGGGATCCCGCATCCTGAAGATGTCCACGATGGTACGGGTCCCTTTCTTCAAGACCAGCCCGGTAGACAACTTGATATCTGCAGTTGCCCGACGGCGCATAGCAGCTGTGCAAGAAGCGTGATCAGTCGAAACCGCCTTCCAATTCCAAAGTAATGAGATACTTACCTAGGCTGATTGGCTTCAGTCGCTGCGATTCCTTGGCGATACTATCGAGAAGCTTCATGTTGTAAAGCGACGTCTTCTTCCATCCGTTGTTTCTGAGCTCTCTGACGATCTCCTCTCGAGCCATGTCCATGAACTCAGGGTGCTGGGCGAGGTCTATCATAACTTGAACGAGCAGGTCCGTCGTGGTGTGCGTGGCGGCAACCGAGAGCATCAACTGAAATCCCGCCGGTTCATAGCTGATATTCTTCGCAGAAGCTTCCTCGTCTGCCCAATCGAGCGCATCATTGAAATATGGCACCTTCTCCCCTTTGCGGATGGCTGCCTGGCGCATTTCTCGCCTTGCGGCAATGACGGGGTCAATCACCCGCCGTGCCTCACCAAACTGCCCGCGGAGCTTCTCGCATTCTGGGACGAACCAGTGTATGAATCTGCGGAGAGGCCGGGGATACATGCGCAGCATCCCTGCTGCCACAAACAGATTGATCGTGTAAGCTTTGGTAATCTGTAGCCAATCTTCGCTGCGACAGAGTTGGGTGCCCAAAAACACACGAGATGATATGCGAGCAATGACATCCAGGATTGTGGGCTTGAGTGTGATCTCATGCCAATCTGTTAGTGTCAATATTGTCTCAAAATTTGTACGTCTGGATTGGCTGGGCACTTACCCTGGGAGTCTCCTATATTCACAGCAAGCGCATGGGTAGTCTCAGCGGACAGTGGCTCCATCACTTGCGCTACATAGATTTGCGGTAAGCAAATAATTCTATAGGTAGCACTGCACATTCGCATATGAAAACTTACACAAATACTTAGTGAGCTGTTTTCTGACCACAGCCTCGAGCAAGAGACTATCGTTTGCAAACTGGGACATGGCCTCAAACCCCGGGATATCCCCGTGAAAGTCCTACAACATTCAGAAGTCTATTCCATTAGGCTGGAAGGGACGCAACTCCATGCTCACCTGCATATTGGCAGAGGGAAAGCTGAGTTTTGACTCGTTCCGGATCTCATCTACTAGGGTATGTGGAAGGACAACAACCTCCCCAAGATCCGTCATTAGCCTGTAAGGTTTGCTCGGGTAAAGTGCCCTGCCCTTTGCAAGCAGTCGCGTGCATGATGACAAGAAATCACGCTGGGATTACGCAAGTCAGCTTATGTTTGGAATAACATGATTTCGATGCTGGACTCACTTTAGCATCGGTAGCTGATTCAAACAGTCTTACAGGATTGACGGAAGGTAGACTCTTCACCCCTGAGTTTGAAAGAAAGGATATATAAACCAATAGCAACACCGCAAGGCTTGTGAAAGTGGCGATGTATAGGGCATACTCATGTAAAGGAAACCCAGGTATATTGAGAGTGTCGTGTGCTACTGAGTGATCTGAGGACTGCGCCATTGTGAGATCACCTGTAGGTTAGTCAGGGCGGTCAGATGAATGTGTTTTGAGAGATGAAGTTCAAATATAATTGCTTCCAGGTACTACACTAGACATATCATTATCTGAGGAGGTGATTCCCGTGTAAACGTCACCATATGTTTTCATGGCATTGACTATTGTCAATAACTATACTGTATGCAGCTAGTGCAAGTTCTCGGCATTTCCCCTTCCTAATTCGTTTTCGTCCGACGCGGGTCTGGCTTACGCCTCAATTTGGCGACACTACACCGAAACGGACAGTTCGACCTTGCGGCCCTCGGGCCCACAATTGGGGGCGAGAGGACTGTGTGATCCCCTTTAAAAAAACTACTATGATGGCAATTGAATTGTTAACGAGTTATCACGAACTTCATTTCAGTAAGTGATAGAATGCATTGAGAAAAATTGTTAACTTAGAAACCTGTACTAAAGTGACAAAAGATACAGTAAGGATGCTCGCTCACACCATGCCAATTGGTCATTACAAACCCCCCTCACAAACCCATATAATAACGTAAGGACTAATCGTGCTTTCACATATCATATTAAAAGTGGGGTACTCTCGGCCACACTGACTAGTGTCAGTACACACCTGATGGCATAGCGTCACAATATATACATTAAACCATCACAGCCAGGGTTTTAATCCAATTAAGCTTGAATTAAAAAAGAAGATTCGTCAAAGAAAATCAGAATTTCTCGAATTAGAGGAGAAGTTGTCTCATGAGGCTGACGCACGTAAGATTATTAAGCGTGCGCGGTCGGAGGTCGACAAGCGTCTAACTCACCTCACGATCTCATCGAGTCCATGCCACGTGGACATACAGTAGTAAAGATATGTGGGAGACTGGCATACACCCTATTAAATTAAGATCAAAACACATTTACCGTAGACTTAATTAATTACTATCAAGTGTAGCTCTATAGCCTCAAAGTATTTGGTTGTGGGCGCACTCACGACTCTGCATCCAGAAAGCATTCCAGAGCGCTTGAGCGAACAAACTTTCACGGGAAGATGGCGGAAATGGCAGATATAGCTATGCCTGTGTCACAAGTCAAAGACATCATGACTTCGTTGCATGACCAGTATCAACGTAGAATCGTATATCCATCTTCAGCACATGATAACCTATCATCTCTCATTAGATATTCTAGACCACTAAGAGTGCTACGCGGTAACTCTCACTGGTAAATGAGTTCAACATGTACCCTCTGCCAGGGCAAGGCGCTCCGATCTAGACATTGTTTCGTCCCCAGGTCCAGTGGAAGTTCGCGCTGAGCGCCGTTCCATTCTGAACGTCTTCACTAGCTCTTTCAACTAGTTTCCGTACATCCTCTTTGGTATACTTGCCCTCCAAGACCCCGTTTTCCACCAGGCCAGTAAGAGATTGTGCCATGATGAGCAACCCAGGTTGTCGATCCACGGGGGTAGTGCTTGACAATCGCAACATAGCAAAAATGTTCTCATCAATATTGGCAAGCCCAGCTTCTTTGAACTGGGAAGGAAGTCGAACTGGGGCCCTAAATATGGGAATCAGCGAATCTCCTCTCATTTTCTGGAGGCAGGGGTCCATCAGAACTCGGCCTCATGGCAGGTATCTACTCACAAAGGATCTCGGCCGAGCTGGTTTCCCACTTCAGATTCGAGCTTGACCCATTCGTAGTAAGCTTCACTCCATGGAGAGCAAGTCCAACTGTAGGGGCCGGTCTCTTCCCAGAAGAGAAAGCCGCCGGGGGCGATTAACTTTCTTAGATTCTTCACTGCCACGAGCCAGTCGTCTTTCTTTAGTGCAAAGACGAGGAATCGCACGTGTACCACGTCATATTTACCGATGATCTCTTGTGGGAAGGGCTTGAAGATGTCGCCGAACCTTAAAGTGACATTCTGTGGTAACGTCTTGGGATCCGGAAACTTGTTCACGTCGAAATCGTAACCATCGACTACAGCTGTTTCCGGCAGCTGGGAGGCCAGCTCGGTAGCCCAGATTCCGGTACCCGTGCCAACATCTGCGATTTTGGGGGCTTCTAACTCCTTGACGTAAGACCACACGACAGCTGGAAGGTCCTTTCCCCCAGCCATCTCTCTGAAGAAGTCGTGTTGTATCTTGAGCCGCTTGATCTCATTGTTCCAATCATGGTTAAGGTTGTATACCTCTTTCTCTGCAGACATGGTGACCGTATATCTTAGCTACTGTGACTCGTTTCTCAAGATGAGGAAGGGGAGTTCATGTGAAAAATAATCGTGAAGCGCGATGAGTAGGTCTGAATCTGGATGTTAAATTCGCTTTAAGTTGTTGAGCCGGTTAGTTCGGCGTGGTAATTCATTAGGACTCATGCGAGGAGCCATTCTCATCTCATGCAAGGAGGCATTCTCAAACTCCTGAAGCCGGAGAAAATAGTAAGCCCCCGCTTTGGGGACCGGTCACCCCGGCGTGGAGGGACCCAATACTCCTGCAAGAACTGCATTGGTTCCAAAATTTCCCGCAAGCCGGCTGAAAGAGCATCGGTGAACTACGGTAGAGTCGCTTGAGTCACCCCATTTTACATGTTGCGAACTCCAGATATGGCCAACATCTCATCTCAAATCATTGCGTCTCTAGGCGCCATCTTGCTGGGTATCGTTTCCCGTAAGCTTCTGCAGATCGGGAGTCGGCCAGCGGACCTTCCCCCAGGACCTCCAGCCATACCCATCCTAGGCAACCTCCATCTGGTGAGACTCAATGTTGCAATGCTTGTAGCAAATACTCTAGTTTTGCCCTTGCTAATAAATCGTAGATGCCTGATCATGATGTCAACTTGCAGTTCCAGAAGTGGGCGCAACAGTATGGCCCGGTATACAGCCTAATGCTGGGAACGAAAACTATGATTATTCTCTCGAATAACCGAGCAATCAAGAAAGTCTTGGACAAGAAAAGCGCTATAAGCAACGACAGAATGGAGATTTACATAGGTCAAAAGATAGCCAGTAGGGGTCTAAGAGTCTTGATGATGGGATACGGACAAACTTGGAGGATGGTTCGGCGGATCATGTACGATTACGACGCGGCCGTCAACCCGGACGTCTCGCAACGCGACCAGTTTGCGTTCGGGGCCGGGCGGCGGATCTGCCCCGGTATCCACGTGGCGGACCGGAGTCTCTACCTCAGCATCTCGAGGCTGCTGTGGGCGTTTGATTTCAAGAGGCCGCTTGATAGCAACGGCAAAGACGTCGTTCCGGACCCTACACAAGTCACTCAGGGCTTCCTGGCCTCGCCACCGCCCTTCAAAGCTGTCATCACGCCCCGAGACGCAGACCGCGCAAAAATTATCCGTCACGACTGGGAGACAGCGAAGCGGGATGATCTCGACCCAGAGACATTGCAATGGAAGGTTAGACAGTAGATAGCTAGCTATATTCAATATTATCGGTTGGCTATGTGTCAATGAATCAGCTCCAGGGATCTAGCTGCTGATTAGGTTAATGCGACCAGACGTTTCCTTCTAGAAGCCAAGCTCGGGCTAAACTGCTGCCAGGCTCAGGCTTCAAGTAAAAGCGACATGGCTCAAGCCCCGCTGTGGGATAGATACTGAGAAAAGAATGGGGCATGTCGAAGGAGATTGGATGCTATGGTCCATTTTGCTGTATACTTTGGTTTCCACATCACAAGGACAGTTATGTTGTTTCTATATGTACACATGTGAAGCCTTTGTCCCATTCACCCAACGTCCGAATTGTACCCATGCAAGGTCCAAGATCAAGACCGGCCAGCCGCCCCGACCCTTCCCTCCCTTGAACCCGAATGTCAAACGCCCTGATGCTGTGATGTTGATAATGATGTGTATGGGTAATGCTGTGTTGCTACACGTCATATTCGGCCAAAAAAAAAAAAAAAAGAATGGATGCAAGGTTCTCCCTGCTTGGCTGGGGGAAACCAATCCAAAAGGCATCCCGCATCTCTACGCAAAAGTCATCTGGATTTCCTTCTCCTTCCCGAACTCCTCGTCGTCGTCGGCCCAAGGATCATGCAACGCCATGTTCGGTGTCGTCTGGCTCGATTTGATCTCCGGTCTCGCCGGGGCTGCAGAGTAGGCATCCTGGGCTTTGCTGGACTCCGGCGCCCGATATCCATCGTCGAACGTCATCTGGATCTCATCGGCGCCGTGATCCAGCCCGTACGACTGTGATGGATTCGGGCTGTGGTAGCCGAAGCTCGAACTGGGCATGGTGGGTGTCCGGTCCTGTGAGGCCCCCAAGCCGGGAGAGGACACGCTCCGTAGAGTTGTCGCTGCGTCGTCGCTCTTTGTCTCACGCAGGGCCGCGCGGGGGTTCTCTGATAGTGATGGTGATCGGATCTTGATCGGTGGTAGAGTCGACTGAAGCTCTCTGACCTGGAGCTCCTCTACTTCGCCGTCTTTGTTCTGCTCTTTTGCAAGCTCGGCTCTGATGGCATCGACGTCGAACAGTACGCCGTGATTGTTGCCGGCTCTGTCCTCGGACGTGGAACCGTCCGGGCCTGGTTGGCCCTTGTTGTCCTCGTAAACTTCCCATTCCGCGCGCTGCTTCTTCTTCCGCGAGAAGAAGCTGAAAGCGCCTCCCTTCTTGCCCTGGCCCTCCTTCTCGAGTTCTTTACGAGCCTCTTCAATCTCACTGATAAGCTCCCGCTGTCTCTCCCGGTGTTGCTCAGGATCGGGGTCCTCGATCTCGCCGAACTCGTCGCTCTCAACGAGCCAGCCACACTCTCGTAGCAATTTTGGCATCGCTTGTCGATAGTCCATGTGTCCCACGACAAACTCGGTGCAGTCCATATTCTCAATTCCCGGAATGTTGTCTATCGTCGCCAGGCCCGCGACTCGGCGAATGCCACCGTTCGTCAATCGAAAGAGGTAACCAAGGATCCAGTCATTCTTGTTGTATCCGTTGACAAACCTGCCCGCCACTACGGTGCGAATTTTCAGGTACTCGTCCGTCTTGACCACAATAGGTGATCCATACATGTAAACATTCTGGACTAGGCCGAAGGCGCCCTTCCGTGCCAGCTCCAACAAGCAGGAGAAAATCACCCGAGCACCCAGAGAGTAGCCTACAAGAGTGATGGGTCTCGTGCCTAGACCTCGGTCAATGAGGGAGTCTGCAAGAATGAGACCTGCAGACCATGCGCGATCTAATGAGACAGCCCAGGGGTTATCGATTAGATACGATAGCTTCGAGAGCACAACAGGCAGCTGCAGAGCAGCCATGAGACCAATCAATATTGTACTGCCCAGAACTTGCTGCAGTCCTTGGGTGAGGGCCTGTGTGGATATGTGTCAGTCAAAGTACAGTTAGGGCCGAGTTAATAGAAAATTTTGCCTACCTCAGTGGCCAGAATGTTGATGGTGTCACCCATACTGGTCAAAAGCTCGGGCTCCCATAGAATGGAATAGATATCGCCCATAACTGCGTCGACGGTGCTAAATGGCAAACGGACATCATCGACTTTACTCGTCATCCACCCCGAGACCGTTACGATCAGGTTGACCCGCTTGTTGTTGTGCAATGGCCTATACTCGAAAGTCTTCACGGACCCGGTTCTCCGACTGGCGGCCTTGGCACCCATGAAACTACCCGAGGCGGTGGCGCCAGATGTGATGATAGCAGCGCCTCCAGCACCAGCGAGAAACGAGCTCGTTCCGCCGACACCTATAGTCGTAAATCCGGCTGCCAGGCCAGCTCCGATGAGGGGTGCGAGAAGGCCGGCCGACAGACCAATGACGAGACCGCCACCGACTGTCGCGAGACCCATCATGACATATCGCTTCTTCAGGGCGAGCTTCCTCCTGTTCTCCAAATGTTCATCCTCGTTCCAGTTCTCCTTCTCGGCAGCCTGTTGCATCTCTAATGCGTCCGTAACGCGCTTCTCAAACCTGCAGACGTCTATCCAGGGAACCTCCAGGCTCTTGGCCACACGCTCTAGCAACACCCTCGACCTCGCGTCATAGATAGAGTCGGCAATCAGGACCAGGAACAGGTCACAAAGCACAGTCCACCGAAGGTCAATATCAATCTTCTGCGTATGCGGTAGTTGTGATGGCGTTTTGACGTCTGGCATCTCCTCGCCCTCGTTGGTGTGGGCCTCATAAGGGGGAGGGACTGCTGCCGGCTGCTCCTCCTGCGATGTGCCTGAGATAGACGCACGCGGGCTAGTCCCTCCGCCTGCCTTCGGTGTGGCGGGCGTCGACGTTGAGCTTGGTTCCTCCGCCATGGGATTCTTGACTCTTGAATTTTGCATGAGAACGGGCGTGAGATCCTCAGGCCTGACGCCGTGGGCGGCCAACTGCTCTATCATGACCTGTTCCGGGGGACTAATCTCCATGTGGGCATACAGCCGGATCATAATCTTTTGTGACCACATCCTCGTGGCTTCCGCCGCCGTCTGGACATATTTCTTCGTCTTCTTGGTATACTCATACTCAGCTTGCTTCTGCATCTCGTAGAGCTCCACTCGAGTCACACCGACGTATGCGATCCTCTGACCCTCGGTTAGGAGGTCCTTGGTAGCTTGCAACTGCGAGACGGCATCTCGCTGTTCCTGCTCGTCGTCCACCATGCTCGTGCTCTTCGGGTCCTTGAAGAGGTATCTCGTGTCATCGTCCATGCTGTTCTCAGATTGGGCGTCTTCATCGTCCAGAACCCGAGTGTAGCCCCTGCCGGCACCGCCGAGGCCGGCGTAACCGTATGTCTCGTCCTCGTCCTCGTTGTGCTCCTTTGCAATCAGTCGGTTGTCGTCGTCGTAAATATCGTACGGCGCATAGGCAGGCATGGTCTGCCAGCCATCGTCGTCATCGTTTTTTTCTTCGTCCTTGTGGGTGGCCAGCTGCTGGTGGGAGAACTCGCCCATGCTAGCGACGCTGGTATCGCGGCTGTGGTCTACCGCTTGCGTCTTCTTTGCCTCCTTCGCCTCTTCGGCTTTTTTGCTGGCTTCTATCTGCCGTATGGAAGGGCCCGATATGGCTTGGACAGAAGACGTAGTGTCTGATCTTTGACGTTTGGTCTCGTTCGTATCGGTGGGTTTCGGTTCGCGTTCTGCGTTGTCGTCCTCACTCTTGGGCTTACTATCGGCGGGAGGGGATGTCTTTGTTTCTGGTGGCACCGGTGTCTTGGCCGATTCTCTATCCTCTGTAGGTGGCGGCACAGGGGTCTTGGGAGCTTCAGGATCTTCCGCCTTCTCCTTGGAGGCGTCGGCCCGTTCGTTCGCTGGCGTGCCGGGCACAGGCGTGGCCTGGGCGCTTTGGAAGTCCTCATCGTCGCTGTTCCCCGCCGAAGGTTGGTCCATCTTGCTCGGAGCCTTCAAGCTTCCCTCTTGCGGCTTTTGTTCTGTGGCCCCTGACTCCTTGTCGCCCGCCGGGCTCTTCTTGGTTGTCAGGTCTCTCGTCGTCTTGTCTGCAGCATCGTTTGTGCCGTCGGTTTCGTCCTTGCCCACCGCTTTCGTGGCCGGGTCGGCCTCCACCGGATCGCTCGAGAACTTCCGGATCGGCAGACCGAAGTCGTCGACTTCTTGCGCCGGGGCCATGGCGGGCTTCGGATCAGGAGGTCCTTGTACGAATGCACATACACATGCGCTTGCTGCTGTCTGGCGTGACTCCACGGCACGGGACCGGGGATGGATCGGCGTTGGCGTGTGTCTCTCGCGGTCCTTGCTCCTCGTTTTCCGTCACGCCGGCAATCGCAATCTGGGTGACGTCTTGCTCTCGTCTCGCTCTCCGAATAAAAAAAAAATTATGAATAACCCCAACTGACAGGCTCAAGGGAGCTTGCTTGGCGGCCAGCCTGTTGGTGCTGCTCCCTGCGGTCGAACGTGGGGACGAGGTGGGAAGATGCGACCTCAAATTACGGGGCCCGAAACTAGGCCGTTCCTGGGATTTTTTCGGGCTGGGCTTGGGTTGAGGAATTCAGGATTCAGGGGTACGTATCTGCATGCATGCACATTGCACATACGACCGTAACGCACTGCATGTATGTATCAATCATTATTCAACGGTTGATCAACAACGACGGCCTCTTTGTCTCAGCTTGGTCTGACTAAGTAACCACGCCGTCCAGTGCTCCACCCGTCGGGCCTGTTGTCATCCACTGGATGCAATCAATGTAATCAGAGACGCCCAAAGCTGAGCAGCAACGTCAGATTGCCTTCGAGGCACGATGCGTTACTCCAACTCCTCACTCATACAAATGACCCCCCTGGTTTGAAGGAGGCGCACTACTATGGTACAGGGGGTGCGTGGCATGCTTGGGTGAGATGGGGTGTCAAATGACCGCTAACTCGCTAGAGCGCCCGGCGGCGGGTTGGCGGGAGCGGTGGTTCAGCGATCTGCCCCACCATCGACCCTCGCCGGCTCTCTGTGCCGCGCCCCCTTACGCCTATAACACAAGGCAGCTTCACGGGCACTTCACCGCCGGCCTAGGTGCCGGTACATCGTCTTGCAGATGGTGGACTGTCAGGTTCGGCCGCTGAAGCTTTCTCTTCGCGTCGGCCAGTGCTATCAGAACGGGCTCTGCAGCAAACAAAAATACAGGGCCTTGTGAGCCTCGATGCCAGGAATTTAACTCCAAAACGCCAACCCTATGCTAGCCCCCGTGCCTCCATGTCATGCCCGTATGTCTGCATGTAAGCCGCAAACTTTTAGTCCGAGTCGCCACCCCCGGCCGCTGCTTGCGGTCCCTCAGATGCGTTGTTCTCTGCCCCTTCACCGCTCTGAGCCTCGGATTGGGACTTGTTCTTCCTGCGTTTCCGCTTTGGCCCGTCCTTGACTACAGGCTCGGCCGGCTGTGCCTTCTTCGAGTTGCTATTCTGCGGCTCGCCGGCCTTTGGCTTGCTCGCCTTCTTCACTGCCAATGGATTGGGGCCCTTGGGGCCCTTTCTCGCCTTTTTCTTCTTTTCCGGTTGGTCTGCCGCCGCGCGCTTCTGTGGTGAGCCGTCCCCTGCATTATTGTCCTCGGCATCGTCGTCCTCTTCGCGCTTCCTCTTCTTGCCGTCGCTGAACCGCTTGATCTCTGCCCGCAGCTTGGCGCGCTCGTCGGCGGATCTGTGCTGTACCGACTCGTCCGCCATGGGCTCCATGATCATGACGCTCCGCGAAATGTACAGAAGCGGCGTGCCCTTGACCAGTCTCAGAGAGGCTCGCGTCTCGAGATCGTTGCTCGCCACGACGTATCTGTGCTTGTTGATCCCCGAGCCCTTCGGGTCCACGACAGAGCTTAAACAATCCAGGGTGCTGAGAGGCTCTGGGTACTGGTCGGGGTGATGTCCGCATCGACGTCGCTCAAATGTCTTTCCGAGCTCGATGGCGTCCGCGACACCCGGCTCCCTGTTCTTGGCGTAGAGGTGGCGCATTGAGCACTGTGTGATGAGCGGCTTGACTTTGCCGCTCAGCGTCTGCTCGAAGCCCTTGATAAGGTCCATCTTGAAGCGGCACGCGTCGGCGAGGAGCTCAGAGTCAACGAGGACTAGGGGAATCGACGTTAGCCAACACCGCATCACGTAAAACCCTGGAGGGCGTCAGAGGGCGTCAGAGGGCGGGCGAAATGCATACCTTGGTAGGGCTCGCGAAACCCAAAGGTCATGGAGTACCTCTCCATGAGCTTGCGGTAGCGCTTCGCCGTCTTTGCTCGAGGCATCTTGGGCGTTGTTGACGGTGATGTCGCGTGACGATGGGCCGGCCGAGTGACGCAAAATGCTTGATGTGATGCTGGTGCTGCGTCTATGCCTTGCGGGAAACTTTTTTTTTGCAGAGACAGCTGCGATAAGCGATTATCAGCACGTGGTGGGGAACATTCAACAAGCACCCCCACGGTCCGCTGAAGCCACCCGTGGACCCCTGCTGAAGTTCCGCTGTGGAGCGGGACGTTCCGCACGTCATATTCCTTTCTTTTGCTTGACACGATGCCTTCCAATGAGCAATCTGCGCAGAGAAAGAGGCGTGCCATTGAAGTTTTCCTTTTGTATTACTCTGGGGTAGTATATAACCCACAACCAAACGCCGATCCAATGCTGGGTGTCCATAACTTCGACGGACCAGTACCACATACGAGTTTCTGCCCATATCATATACTCGGAAACGACATTATTCGTCCAACAGACCATGATTCCTGATAAAACGCCCCAATGTTACCCGAGCCTAGGTGACACCATTCATTGGATTCACCTGAACCATTCCGGCTTGCATCGCAAGACCTTCAATTATTCCGTCGACAGAGAGCTGCGACCACGCTTATATCATCAAGTTTACCTGGGCACAAGTCAGTAATACTCCAAGCTAGAATCGCGTAGTCGGTCAAGACAAACCTCCCTCGCTGGCTAATCCCTCCTCGATTGCGTGCTCCATGAACGGACTCTCAGCAAACGGATCTACCGCCACAGTCCGCGCCGCGTTCATCAGCTCCTCGGCCACAAACGTCATCCCTCCGTTGGCGCCGCCATATCTATCTCCGTCAGCGGGGCCGCCTTCACCCTGTTCCCAGCGCCGGACGCTCTTGCTGACGTTTTCGACAATCTCGTGCTCCCAGAGGTTGTCAATCACTCCATCACTCATGGCGAGGACCACATCGCCTTCCTCGAGCTCTACAATGTCCATGACCGCGTTCTCCGTTGGCGTGTCTGGGCTGTTCGTGCCCAATTGCCGGGGGCAGTCGAACCAGTGCCATTGCTCCGTAGATTTGTAGATCATCTCCTGGTCTCGAGGCCGCACGACCATGATCTGGGAATCGCCCAGGTTCGTTACATAAAGCAGGGGCACCGAAGACTCCGCTGCACTCGCATCGCCTTTGTAGAACAGCTGCGCGCCGGATGCCGTCGTAGTCCCCTGGCAATCGTTTGGGCCCGAGGTGGCGTCGAGTGTGCGCTCGTATGCCGTTTGCAGATACGCCACTGGGTCAGGCTTGTAATGCTGGTTGTTCGTGCTCGGTCTCGTGATGTCCTCCTGCATAGCTGCAACCCAGAAGTGAAGAATCAGCCTTGACCACAGCCTAAAGATGGCCTTGTTAGCATACATGTCTGCAAAATGTGCGTAACACTGCCCACCTACCCTGCATGGCCCCGGGGGCGCATCGACCAGGCCCCCACGCCATCGTTGGCGCAAATGAAGTAGTCGCTCGCATACACCGCATCGTCGCCGTTGGTCCAGCCGCGAATGACCTCCCCATCCACAAAAACCCGCTTGTCGCGGCTCTGGTGATGCGTGCTGAGCGGGTCGCTGAACGAGCTGCTGGGCGGGCTGAGGAAGGGCGGTGGGAACGGTCGCGGTGCCCGCTTGGCAAAGAGGGCGAAGCCCGTCTCGAATCGGAACGGCAGCTTCGGGCAGGAGTCTGTCAGCGGCGGCGTCTCACCCCCTGTCTCCGGTTCAGGGAAGACATCGCGGTCCAAATCATGGTGCCGCCAACGTCGCTGCTGCTGCTGCTGCTTCCGCAATGCAATCGCGGGGTAGGCACCTAGTAAGGTACGTCGTCCCGATCGCCGCAGAATGGATGCTCTGGTTGCATAGCCGAGCGCGCCAGATGTTGACGATGCCGATGACGATGATGTCGCGGCTGGGGTAGATGCCAGGAGAGGGAGGAGAAATGACCTCCTCATCCCCACGACCAGGCCTCACGGGACCTTGGGGGTACGAAGAAGGCAGCCAGCTTCTGCTTGTTGTTCTCTGTCGTGGTAAGGGCTGAGGTCTATCGCGTTGGGCCCCGGCTGGCTTGGTGTATCGAAATGACCGTGATGCCTAGGTACTGCGTAGGATACCTCCTGGGCTGATCTGATGCGAGGGGTCTAGGGGTTGGAGATCTGCACACATGCGGATGTCCGATAAAGGACCCGATTGGAGCTTATCGCGTACTGCTGCGCTGGAGGGTCCTGCTGGCGGTCACGGAGAGGCGCGCATAAGCAAATGTACAACTCTCAAGATTCGCAGCACTCCTGGCGCGGGCAAATCCCACGTGATTCTATTGAACCATCATCCCCCGGATGGACGTTGGTTGTGCCCGGCTTCCAGGTTGTCAGATTGATTGCTTGGACCATGTCTGACAGCAGTGTCAAACGATGGCACACAGCCTTAGTGGGATTCATATGACATCACTTGCAAGGGCAAATGTTCAAGCATCCCGCTCTCGGAATGATCCACTACTCAGTCCCCTAATTGACGGCGAGCCAGGGGTCAGCATTAATGCTGTGCGACTCACTACCAACCTATTCATAGCACACAGGAGCTCTATAGGGATGAGGTACAGTAGACTAGAACGCTCATTTTGCTGTTCCATCATCCGGGTCAGGCACTTCAAAACAGATCCCTCACGTTGGATCAGTGTCCAACTTCCGCATTCATCATGCAATCCGGTTAGCCTAAGGCGGCATGCTTGCCTTGCCTAAGCAATTCGTTGGGGGGTCTTCTGGAGTGCAAAAGACGGGATGGGATCATCGACGGCGGGGACCTCAGCCTCAATTATATATTGAGATCCGCATGTCTCCTCTGCGAAGTAGGAATGCCGTGCACCCGGCTTGGGGGCTCTGGAGTTTTGAAGCCCCTAGCGCGATCGACTAGGTATGACGAGCTTAATGATGGGACTGGGAAGAAGAACCCAAAGAATAATAACAAGGGAGAGGCAGGTCTGTTGTGGAACGACCCGCAAAGTCGGTGTATGCGATGCCGATTTCCCTAGAGCCCCTGGGAGGTGCTGGCAGAGTCTTGCTCCCGCACTCAATCCCGTCCAGTCGATTAGCCCGCAAGCCGTCAGGAGTTAGTGGCAGACCGCTAGACTTCGCTCGAAAACGTGGCTGGCACTCGGCATGAGATCGGTTGACTTCGCGGTCCGCGTCGTAGGTCGAGCAGTTTAATTCAGTTTTGGGTTTGATCTACCGATCTTACGCGGGACACGGTGAGGAACGCGTATGCTTGGGGCTTGGTTCACCTATTGATTATTCCTTCTGCAGTCCGTACAAGTGACCGCCAATGAATGGTCTCTCAAGGCCGAGCCATGTCACGCCATTACTTGGGATGTGTGGGAATAATCTCTTGCTGTAAGACTTTGCGGAAATGCTTTGTCAGCGCTACGGCTCTGGGCATTCCCAACCACATGGCTCGCGTCACCTAGTTCGAGGGCGCGCCCGTCATCCCCAGTCTATACCTTGGTGTCCGAGGTACTCCGTGCTCCGTACGCTTCTCATCTTTCGACCCAGTGCTCAAGAAGTCAGCTGTAGGAAGCGAGTTGCACCATATGGGACTGACAAGGACTCGAATGCTGGTGCCTGGACTTTTGAGAAGGGGGCTGGCATCGCGAACTGCCTTTGTCCAGTTTCGTTAGAACACGATGACGGTTCCAGGAATTCATTGGTTCGGGACCCGCAGCACGATCGCTTCTATCCGATCCTTGGCGCTGGAATACGATGAGGAACGCTAGACGTACGCGGCTCCAAAGCCCCTAGCGTGCCATCCAATGGTCTGGCCTCATGTCAACCAGCAACTAGCCGCTCTGCTGCCGTTGCATACACTTACAAATGTGTGTTTCAGGCCGCTCTGGATTGCCTGTCAGCCGTGACGCTCATCAGCCCTTGCGCCTTTGTGGAAACTGTACGTACTTCTCACCCCTCACATCATGGTCAGAACCCGTGAGCCAGTCATTATGCAGTTGTCAGAATGGGATCCGTGATGTTGAGGCTGGTCCGTTATCCCGTTGCATCCGGCGGCCACGCCCTGGGCGAATGGATCCAACCAGGCCAAGCCAGATTGTGGGCGCTAGTGTCGTGTACCAACCTCTAGCCAACCTCTGGGCGATAGGGAGAGTTATCTGGCCAACATTGACTTGTCCAACATTGGGTGGAAGAGGTATTGCCCGGTTGGATCTTCCAAGAAGTTGAAGAATTGCGTGGCAGGCTGAAAATCCCCGATTGCTTGCATCGTTGGGTCCGAAGAAAATCTTGTATGCCAACTGGGGGTTAGCGTCGCCGGAATGGGCAGGCTTCCGTGAACATCACAGAATAGCATCTTTTCAGTCGCAGGTGAAGCTTGGCAGGCAGTGCGATGATCCGTACATCCCTGTTGGCGTCAAAGTATCTCAAAGCAGAAGCTTTGGCGACTTAATTACCACATGGCCCGAAGCGTTTGCCCACGATCATGGGTCGGGCCTGAAAGCGCTGCTGCGAGGATGCCTACTGCAGATGTGTACCTAGATGCGCAGCACCAAACCTGAAATTTCGGCCTCGTATTCTCGCGCACAGGTAGGTCGTGGGGTGTGTGCTTTACGTAGGCTTGTAGACTTCAGTGAGGAAGGTCCACAGGATGCCGGTTTGCATGAGGGAGCTGGGTTCTCAGTGTATGCTCATACTACATGTCGGTCGACTGTTGCTACAGCTGGGGGGGTGATTTTCTTTGTCATTTTGCGAGTGTATTAGTGTCAGGTGCATATCTTGAAAATCGCATGTCTAAAAGTGGTATTGTGGAGCTGCGGCGTCGCGCTGGGAGTGACTATCGTCTGCGAAAGACTGGGGCATTACCGCGTGCATAGCGTCATACAGGCCTCGTAGAGTCAAGTCAAGGTCGAGAAGAGCTGGGCCAAGAGGCGCGCGCGCTCGTCTTATAATATGATCCGTTCGCCTTATTTCTCCAGACGACAGAAAAGCCAAACTCTATTGACAGCCGACAGTTCCCTGGGGCAGCTAGCTTGTAAGTCGGGACTCCCTAGGATCCGCGGCCGACTCTTTGGGTCTCGTCTCGTTACAGGTCGTCGTTTTCTCTGACAGGGCCGTTGCATTGACTCGCCCGAGACTTCCGCAGCCCCCGAGCTCCAGCCTTCTGAGACGACGACACACTAGGAATAAAACGACACGCAGTGTCTCTCCATTAATCCAATCCTCTTGCGACGGCCGGCGCACCTGCGGAAACGACCTGCACAGCCGACAGAGAGAGTTCGTGGACCGCTGGCAGGGGAAGAAAAAGGCTATTCGAGAGACCAGACGAACAGCAGCAACCTTGTCGCGAGTCGCACAAAGCAACTTTTTTACGAGCAGCCAGCGCAGCGCAGCGCAGCACGGCGCCATCAACTATACCGCAGCTGACGAGCACCGACCCGACCAGCCCACCTTGCCCACCGCCCACCGCCCACCACCCACTCAGGCCACCACTGCTGAGTCGCAGGTACACCGTACGGACACCGCAGGCAAAGCTACAAAACAGGGAGGGTCTCGCACCAGTGTCTGGCCTGGCACATTCCAGATCTTCTTCTTCGAACTCGCCATCTCCGGTCGGCATCTCGCTCGTTCTCGTCCCCCAAGGTTGCGTGCCTGGGCCTCGGAGAGCATTCTTTGCGGCTCTCTGTCAACCACTCATTTGCGGCAGGCATCCTCTACACAAACCCAAGCCAGCTGCCCGCGGTGCAGTGACGCACTTATTAGACACGACGACAAGCCAGTCTCAGCGCTGCGTGGCGCCTGGATCGATCGACCGGCCTGCGAGAAGGGGGGGAAAAAAGCGCGATCAGAAAAAAAAGAAGCTTGAAAGCTTCTCCAGAGCTCGCCGCTGCTCCTGTACGGGAGCCGGAGCTTCCCAGTCGACAAGATGGGTCGAAGTCGCGGTTTGTACATCTCGTTACTATGGTTCTACCTATCTTCATGCTCCCTTTGCCAAGCCCGGCCCATCCTGCACCATCCACACAATCCCTGCTGAGCGCATAACTATGTCATACCTAAATCCGAGTGCCGCTTTGGGCTGAGATCATGGTTGCAAGTCTTGTGCGACACATGGCGGCAGCAACAATCTTACAAGATTTTGTTGCAGCACGGCAGTCAGTGCAGCTGCCGTCAGCAGCAGCAGCAGCAGCAGCAGCAGCAGCAGCAGCCAACAATCCCTCGGCGTCATAATGCCTCCGGGCAGTGAGCGGTAACTGGATAAGCGGTCCAGGCCAGGAACGAGCCAGTTCCCACATGCCACATAATCATGCCCCAAGACAAGACAGCACAGGACGGGAGAGACGGCATTGCGCCCATGTTCCCAACTGTCATTAGCCGTTGACCTGGGGCCGGCTGACGCACGAGTGGGTTTTGGTGGAATTACTGTTGCTGCTTGGCAGTGCTCCCGGGCGTCGGCCTCGCAAAGTTACGAAGGCGGGCGCGCTGCTTTTCTTTGTCTTGTCCCCGGCGTGCGGCGCGGCGGCGTCATGGCCGTATCGCGCATGATGCCCATTTGGGGAGCAGGACGCGGCGATCAAGTGACGGCTGCCCAGCACGACTCAACTCACCACCTGCACCTTGCGTACCCAAGTTAACACGCATTCACTGGCGTGTGGCACCCCCGAACTTTTTCGAAGGAGAACCCCCCCTCCCCCCTACCCGCGTGGCCCGCGGGCCCAGGCGGGCCCCAGTTCGGGCGTCAATTCCCCTATCCGTTCCCAATTCCATCTATCGGCGGGCACTCGCTACGAGCTAGCAGCCACCGCGCCAAGCACTCACTAATCTATCAATGTGCATCATGCTAATTTGGGCCTTTCTCGAACCTGACAGTCCTCTCGTTGTCCTCGCTCATGTCCCAGTTTTCTGGCAACCCCCGGGACTCCTTCACCGCGTCACCCACGACGGCCCCGCCGCAGCAAAACGACCCCTACTCCAAGGCCGACTTGCACACCCAGTCGCATCACAACCCTCCTCCTCGTCCGCCGCCCTCCTACGCCCAGGACTACACCCAAGAGCCGAGCACGCCCTCACCCTCGTCGCCCGTGCGGCCCAACTATGATCACTCGCCAGTGGCAAACTCCCCCGGTGCCCTTGCAAGCCATTCCAGAACTCGAAGCAGAAGCTCCTCTCGGCCGCTGTCCATGATACAGGCCTACCAACCGCCCCTCATGGACGTGAACGAAGACACTATCCCGGAGCTGCTGCCCATCTTCACCTTTTTAAACAGCCACGCCAACAAGTTATACCAGGAAGGATACTTCCTGAAGCTCGATGACCAGAATACTCGTTCGTTCTGACCGACCCACCCTCGGTGCGAACCATATGCTAACTGATATCTACAGAGGGCAAGCCAAACCCGGACAGGACGTGGACGGAATATTTTGCCCAACTCGTAGGCACCGTACTGTCGCTATGGGACGCAGCCGAGTTGGACGCCGCAGGCGAGGACGGCGAGGTCTTGCCAAAGTTCATTAATCTGACGGATGCGTCGATCAAGATGGTAAGGCCCTGCTCTCAGCCCTGGCTGCCCTGGAGGAACACACCAAGTCAGCATTACGGATGCGCCGAACAGTTCGAGGGGGGTTCGTCGTTTGAGCGGAACTTGAACACTGACAGACTATTAGATCGACTCGTTACCGACCAGATCCAACGATGAACAACCCCTGCAAAATATCCTGAGCATATCGACCGCTGGAAGGAACCGTTATTTGCTACATTTTAATTCCCGACATTCACTTATTCAGTGGACTGCCGGCATCCGTCTGGCCATGTTCGAGCACTCGACCCTCCAGGAGGCCTACACAGGAGCGTTGATTGCTGGGAAGGGCAAGACACTAAACAATATCGGTGTGATAATGGAGAGGGCGCGGCAACCGACAGAAGAATGGGTTAGGGTCCGATTTGGTGCCGGCGTGCCATGGAAGCGCTGTTGGTGCGTCATTAGCCCACCCGACGAGAAGGAGTACCAAAAGCTCCAGAAGGAGATGAAGAAGAAGTCACCATATGATCGTTCGCACCCACCCATCCTGAAGGGAGACATCAAGTTCTACGACACGCGGAAAGAGGGCAAGAAGCAGAAGAAGGCCAAGCCCATTGCCACGATAACCGACGCATACTCGGCTTATGCCCTTTACCCTCAGGCCAAGTCCCTCATTGATGCATCGACCCTGATCAAGATCGAGGGAGACATTACAATCCACTCGGACCCTCCGTCCTCAACCGAGGGCTTCGTGTTCATCATGCCCGAGGTCCACCCGGCTGTGAGCGGATTTGGCATGATGCTGCAATTTCTCTTTCCAACATGGGATACATTTGGTCTGTATGGACGCCCAGGCAGACTTGTCGCCAGTACCATTGACCCCAGGTCCCTAATGTTCGCCATGCCAAAGCATAAGCGCTACGGCTACCTGGAGATCTTGGATGTCACATCGTTGATCCTCACAGACGGGAGCTCTGGCTGGGCTGAGAAAGACTGGAAGAAGCGCCTCAAGGATCTCACCGGTCAACGCATGACTACTGTCGATGATGCGCCACCCAGTAACACCCACAGTCGGACCAACAGCAGAAGTAAGAGACTCAGCTTTGGCCCAGCAGTAGAAGGTGGTGCGAAGCCGCGTGTCGGTTTTGCGGACGGAGGGGCACCCCCCTCTGTGCGCTCATCGCGGTCCATGTCTCTCACCCACCGCCCACCAACGCGAACTGATTCCGCTCCGCCGGTGCAAGGCTCGGAACGAGGGCCGTCGGCCATGGCTGGCGCCATGAAGTCCGGCCATAATAGGAATGCATCGGATTCCAACCTGCCGGGTGGGCCTCCCCAACCGCCGTCTCACATGTCCGGCCCCGCAGCCGAAAGCCCATCAGGCCGTGGCCCGAATCCTGCACGCAACTTTGTGAATGATCTGGCGTCCACACCGGAGCGGATCAGCTCGGACGAGGAGAGGGAACCACCTGCAAGGGGACTAGACGGCATGCGGCATCTGGAAACTCCGGAGCCGGTGTCTAGGCCACCTGCCTTCAACCACGCGCCTGGAGAGAAGCCGCAGCAGAGGCCGTACCACTCGCCCGAGCTGCGTCGTGCCAATAGCCGGATGTCCAGTACCACGTTGGCGCAACTTGCCCAGGCCGGAGGCATCGAAGGCGTCGCGAAGCAGGAGGGATGGACAAGTGAAAGCAAGAGAAGCGCAGAGGACCGGGATCCGGCTTCAACACAAAACGACCACTATGGTCCACCTCCGGTACATGCTCACGCCAACAACCACGCTGGGATGAATGCTAATGCCGGCTCTCGTGAAGATTTAAGGACCAACACAACACATTCACCTGGCTCGCTCCATTCTCCGGGCCTGCCACCGCCGGATCTTGGCCTCAACAAACAACGCTCAAAGTCACCACTCCACCAGAATCAAAATGTCGCTCTTCCAGAACCTGGCCCCATAAGACCCAGTCCAGGCTCTCGTCCGGGTACCCCAGGGAGCCAAGGTATGCGGAGTCCCCCACCCGGACCCGGTCAGGGGCCCGTGCCGCACGGCCGGCCCCCGCCAGGACGAGGCCCTCCACCGAACATGCAACCACCACAGCAACGTGGCCCCCCTCCTAATATGCCTCCTCCTGGTCGAGGCGGCCCACCTGGTAATATGGGTCCTCCGCCACCACGAGGACCACCAAATCAGTCGCAAAACATGTATCGAGGACCTCCTCCCGGTCCTGATGGCCGCCCGGGTACTCCCAGCCGGAATCGACCACCTCCGCTCAACACGTCCCCTCCCATCCAGCGAAAACCACTTCCTGCGCGGGGAGACAGTCTAGCACACCGCAGCGATGGTCTACCAACCTCACCGACTGCGTCAAGCAACGGCAGCTTCACTCGAGCTATCGATCCCAATGTGGTGGCTCACATCAACAACTACAATTCGAGTGGTAGAGCCACTCCGCAGTCTGGTGTTGTACGCCACGATACATTTCGGAGCACCGCCAGCAGCAACTATGACTCGACTGAGAGTCCCGAGTACGCGAGCACGAGACCATCAATAGATTCGGCTGTATCTGTGGAAAGACCACGAGCTGGCGTCCTTCGAACTGTCGGTGATGACAACACAAGCCAACCTGCCAACGGGTCTGGTTTCAATATTCCAGACGTGAACTTCGGACCAACTCTGAACTATGCATCGAACCAGGCCAGGCACAAAGTCCCGGCTCCCGAGATGGCTCCTCCAGTAAGGTCATTTTCCCCGGCACCTCGATCTTTCTCGCCTGGTCCCAACCCTCCGAAGAAGTCACCAGGAGTAGATGCGGGACATGGTCGAAATGGTTCGGATGATACTCTGCAAAGACGTAGTATTATTTGGCAGCCTCCCGGCGCTGCTGCTGCAAACGGTTCTGGTCAGGCCATCTCCGCGGAGCAGTTTGTACAGCAACGGGCTGCAGCCGCCGCCACACCGCTGTACGCCCACCAGCGCAAGTCGTCCGGTAACACGCTTGGTGGTTATGGTACCGGGACTCCCACACCCCCTCTGGATCGCGGTCACGGTCGAGATTACATGCATGCTCACTCCAGAAGCAGCTCCCAGGATCTGCTTCAGCGACCAAGCTCCTCGGGGGCCGGAGCTGTCCTCGGCGGTCAAAAGAGTGGTGAATCTCACCTTTCTGCACGCGAGCAAGAACATGTAGCACGGATAACGGGCACGCCTCTGATCAGTGTTGCCGGCAATAAGAATGCGCCGCAACCAGATGCAGGCTTAATCGGTGCCATCGGGGCAAGGGAACGCGAGAAGCAGCAGATGAAGGCTGGATACAGCGGGCAGGCCGTGCAGCAAGCCATTACTCAACGTCAGCAGATGCAAGCGATGCAAAATTACCAGCAGCCAATGCCATCACCAGGCATGCCCCCGCCAGCTGGCATGTACTCCAACCTGGGTCGTCAGTCGCCTGGCCCACAACAGGTATATGGGTTCCCACAAGCCCTGCCGAGCCCGGGTCTGCAAGCAGGCGCCGGGTGGGCGAGTCCAGTAGGTATGTATGGATCACCTCGACAGGCCAACTTCCCGAGCCCCGGATTTGTCTCGCCTCAGGGTCAATACTCGCCGCAATACACTGCATCGCCAGGGCAGAGTCCGCGACCGGGACAGCAGCCCCAAGGCCGGCCAGGAATGAACTCTCCATACCAAGGGCCTGCGTTTTAGGAGACGGAAAGACTACGAAACAGGTCGTTAAATGGATACCAAGTTCCTGATGAGAAGTACTCCTCGGCAGATCCGCTGCCGACCCTCGAAGGCGGCTACAGTAAAGGTTGGGTGAAGCACAGAGCATTGTATATAGAGATTCAGTGTATGGCCAACGAGAGATTGGCAGTTGAGCCTATGAGTGAGTGGATGAAGAGAAAGTCGACTTAAAGAAAGCATTGGGGTATCACATGGCATTGGAGGGAACTAGCCTCGAGACGCATAGCTTTTCGTTTTCCTTTTTACCTCTTCGATTCTTGTCTATCATATTGAATAGCATAAGATTTTGGGAAGGTTGATTTGATAATCATGAATAGGAGCACTCTTGCATTGAATTAATCAAATGCTGAATTTTGAGTCACCTATCATAAGGCCCAAACTGGAGTTTTTGATGCACCGTCAAATCAATGAAGGGCAAAACTTAAGTCAGGCAAGACTGCCGAGGCTAGAGTACATCATTGGTGGTGAAGCCGAGTCCAAAGGCCGCCGATGCCTTTAACACCAACCTAAGTCTTGATGTCCAAAGCGACAGTGGCATTCATGACTGAACTGCCGTAGAAGACTTCAGAGCCGGCGTTGCCCACGGTGACATAGTCGCTGTCCGCGATGTAGCCCTTCTGCGCCATGGCGTCCAGCCAGTCCTTCAAATCGCCCTGGAATACGCCATCGAAACCCTCGTCGACCAGCAGACTCCGCACGGTCACCCCGCTGGCCGGTTTCTGCCCTTCGTATAGCTTCCAGCTGGCGCCGAAGAGGTCGAGCGTCGCGACGGGGCCCTCGGCATACCCGATCGGCACCTGCCCGCCCCAGATCCGGATCCAGAGCATGAACTCGGACGTCGCCGTCGATTCCGTGTCGCTCGGGGTCGGGGCGGTGATGAAGTCGAACACGTTGCTTCCTGTCGGTTTCACGTCAGTATGGTGGTGATAGAGGAGAATGACCCAGAAACATACCCCTGAATTCGGTGGTGTTGGTGCGGCTCCACTGGAAAAATGCAGGAATCGAAGTTATGGCACTGAGCTTCTTGTTCAGGTTGACTCCAACGCCGATGTTGGTATATCCCTTGCAGAGGTCCTTGGTCGAGTCGACCAGGTCGATATCAGTGACGCTGTTCCAGACTACCTCGCGGGTGCCGTCCGTGGCCTCGAGGATGCTTTCAAAGTTGGTACACTGCGAGCCGACCATCTGGTCGGCGTTGTACATGGAGTTGGCGACCACCCATGGCATTCCTGGCAGCGTGAGGATGTCGTTGTTCCCACACTGTTCGGTCGCAGGCACCTTGAAGGAAATCTGAGTTGCTTCACTGTACAAGCCGCTGACAATCTGGCTTGCTCTGGTGCTGGTTGAAGCTTCTGCAGTTGTGGATTCCAATGTTGCTGTGCTCGACGGGACGACTGTAACAATGTCGGACGCGACGGTAGTAGACAGTTTTTCGGTCGGTATAGCTGAGAATGTCGACAGATCCGTGGAAAGCACGGTTGAGCCCGGAGTAATCGCCTGGCCAGAAGACGAGACGAGCGTAGGATAGCCCGCAACCTGACTCGATGTCTGAGATAAGGCCGTCGTTGATGAAGTCGCCGTTGCACTTGGCGGTGGCCTGCCGCATCCGTGCCTGCGGGCATTGGGCAATGCGTACGCAACAAATGGGCACAGAATAGCCGGGGCTAAATTTTGAGCCTTCATTTTGACAATTTCACTGGAAAGAATGGCGAGTGAAACTGAGTGGCCGTTGCGACTGGAAATTTCGAACCGTGTATGTCAGGAAAAGAATGGAAATGGCCGCGAATCCGGGTTCGGGCGGTAGAAAAGAATGTACAAGCGAATGAGGACGAAGGAACCGAGAGCGTGGTGAAGAGTTTAGAAAGAAACAAAATACTACATGTTGCCCATGAGGTGATATACTCGCCCGGTTGCCGTTGTGCCCCCTTATCCACACAATAGTGGACCGCGGAGCTGTCATCGATCGGGGAAGTCTAGGAGGTTTCATCCAAATGGAGTCGACACCGACTCCCGCAGAGGGATCTACAGCACCTGCATTAGCGCCCGCCCACCAGCCAGTCAGTTTGTCGCCTGCCGCTGACAAGGCTGCGTTTGATGAAAGGGTTCCGTCGAGACCGGCCTAGAGTGTTTGAGAGAACAAACCTCAGATAGAATGAGGGTACAACACCGTGCGGATCCACTTTAAGTTTGTAGCTTTTGCGGAGTATTATAAGAACGAAGAACACCAGCAACTTTGCTTGATAGTTCGTCAATGTCCCCTAAGAACTAAATTTTCAACTCGGATTTCAGATATATTTGTTGATCCTAATTAAGACGAACCCTGGATATTACTTACTTTGCACATGCATGATGAATAGCCACGCAGAAAGGCGCCCGGCCTACAGATATCCTACTCAAAATGGCCCATTTATTTCGTTTAGTGCAAGGATGCATGGAAGGAGATTTTATAATACTCTGCAAATACCTGATTATCTAGGTGGCTGTTACGCAGGCAAAGCATATATCACAAGCCCCCAATTGAGCAAGATGGATCTGTGATTTGTTCTTTATACATTGAAAACACTTCGGGTCGTGTTAATACTGGAGAGTTTGCGTCAATTATTCATTCGGTTCAACCGTTTTTGTTCCTGAGTTCGCTGACAACATAGGAGTTGGTCACAATTGTGTCGCCGCAAACGGAAATCTCTTGTCCATCTCGACGTTGACAAAGGTCCGTACTGAATATTGTCCACCACACAACATCGGCTAATGAACAGAGCAAATTTGGAATCTTCGGATAGAACACTCGACAGTATGGCAATCCAATTACCAGTCCGTCCAAAGGAACCAACCACCGTTACTCGAGCAAAGAATCTTTCGAAATACTTTAGAAATGATCCAAGATTCGTCTTGGAGTCGCAGGCTGGGAAAGGAGGCCAAGCGTCAGTCTACAAGATTAAATACTTTCAGTCTGGAGATCGAACCAACGTAGGCCGGGCACTAGTGCTAAAACTAGCCGACCCAAACACGGGGGCAGATGTTCAGGGTTTGAAGAAAGAGAAACAGTATCTCCAGGTATATTGAGCGTTTACTGGTAATCCATCGATGCAGAGATGTCTGAAATAATGCTCCTAGTATTTGTCCGGTTGTAGGCATATCATTAGTGCTCACCATATTCCCAATGATCCTCTGGCTCAGAGTGCGGCAGGGCGTGGGTGGTCATGGGTATATCTTGACTTTCTCGAGAACGGGACGCTGACACTGTTCATGCAAAGAGTTAAGAGCGCAGGGATTCACCGCCTACCTAATCGCCTACTATGGAGATTGTTCCTATGCAGTTAGTTGTCCCGACATCAGTCTATCAGTCAAAGCTGATGGGGAGAGTCAAGTGATTCGCGCATGTATAGCCATGGCTTGGCCCCAAAAGCCTCCAGATATAAGGGGCAACGAGACCACGGTAGGTCTCGCCACGCCCACCGGCATGATACAGTAGGTCTTTCGCAGACGTGTGTCGGGATATATGTCCAGCTAAACATATGGCGCTATAGTGGTGATGTCCACGGCGGCAATTTCATGTTCGGGTCAGTACTGAATCATCAAGAGCACGAAATTTCACCTGTGCTACATTTGATAGACTTTGGACAATCTGAGCTGTGAGTATGGTGGATAGTCTGAACATATTTTGCCTTTATTTTGCTAACTTTTTGTGAGATGGGGTGCTACCGTCGAGCATAGTACCGGTGCTACCGCTGAGCAATACAACGTCTTGGACATGGGAATTGTACGTGGCGCTAGCCTGTTCGATTAACTTCTCAGAGTGTCATCTGGCGAGGCTGTATCATTGAATTGTAATTGACGGATATGCTGTAGATGATGGCTACAGTCATTACTATGAACACCGATTCAAAGTACGGGGCTGCCGACATAGAAGTTGATCTCAGTAAGCTGGGCCGTCCCATAGATACTTTATGTCCCGCAGCGGGCATACTCCCAGATCCAGAGGCGAGACCTATCATTGACCCTTGCCCCCATGTCGACCCAGACCTACGGCTGGTTGTCGCTGCGTGTATGGCGGACGAACCGCAGAACCGCCCAACGTTGGCCGAGCTCGAGAACTGGGTTTTCAGCGAAGTTTGCAACACTTATCCAGCGCATTACTTCAGGAACCCCGGAGGTGCAGATTATGAGAATGATAGCACAATCCAGAAGATGGTGCAGATGTGTATCTTCAATGCTGAAAGCGGTGGAGACTTCTTTCCTCGGGCAGTTTTGTAGGAGATTCGGGCTATGGGGGACTTCATATATCGCCCGTCATGCCAGTATACTCGTCTGATATCATCATCGACAGGCCCGAATCGGTTCAGTTGATTCCTTATACATTAAGGCGGCGATAATACTCGCGGCCGAAATGATGCAGGTGGCGAAAGGGATGCAGGCAGTTGGGGGAATGCAAGCCCATCATCTGGTTGCAAATAGGCCTTTTGTATTTGGGTGCATTCGGAAGATCTTGAAACCTCCAGTTGCCACAATAGTTATACGAGTTGTATGGGGTTATTCATTAAAACATCCAATGCGCTGGGGAGGACCTAGCGGGTATCTTCGCTAATATATATGTGATATGAAAAGGGTGTTTGCTTCACCTCACGGAATGGAATGCTTTCTGCGTAGCTCCTGTGTCGAATCCGCTTCGCTTCTTTCGCCATCGATGTCCTGCAGCGTCGTATCGCCGGACTTTTCGTGCACAATATCAGGGCGGACCGGAGGGTGGTTGACCTCTCGGTTCACGTGGCTAAATCCCTGCTCTGCGAGATCGAATTTATGGTTGACAAGAGCCGAGGGCACGCGCGAACCACGTTCTGTGGTGCCGGAAAGGTTTGTAGGATGCCGTGAGAGCCCGTGACGTCCTTGCCCACAGGCAGCCAGAGTTCCGCCGGCATCTTGAGATGTGTTGAGTGGATTGGAAGCCCGAACGACCTTGGCAATCAGCTCAGCCAGGTTGAGCTCGATATGTAGCTTCAACAAATACACGAGTGGATGGAATTGGATATAGCTATACACAGTCAGTGGCTGCATCACCTAGTTGAATGAGATTGCGTGACTTACATAACACCCGTCCCAATCGACATTGAGCCGATCAAAATTATCTAATGATAGTATGAGAGCTGCCCGCAGCGAGATAGTGACATAGCGACCAAACTTACATCCAGGGACAATGAAATGCAAACCATCATCATGTTAAACCGGAATAGGGATTTGTATTTCGTCAGCCCGGCGGCGATGAGTTTTGTCCGGACGCTCCACATGAAGAAGCAGTTCAGGCCGGCATCAACAACGGCGAAGATGGCTTTTTCCGTACGATCCCAAACCTCGTTGATGTGTACATAGGTACGGCTTATTTGCAGGCGCGCAGGTATCCAGATCAAGAAAACGCTGATGTTGATCAGGACCACAATTATAAACACGGCAAGTCTGAGCCGCTTTGCACGGGCCTGGTTAACCATGATCAAAGAAACACGGTTGATGATGATCTGAAGGATGCAATGCATCTGTATACACCAAAAAACCACTGTTTGGGCCATCAGTATACGAGGCACAGCAAACCTGGAACAGTGACACACTCACAGATGAAGAAGAATAACCAAAAGCTATAAGACAGCAACGATGTTAGCTACCACGCTTTGCTCCGCTGGTTTTGAATGAACTGTCCTACCTTGGTTCTAATATGCCCTTCAGGAAGAACCAACTCAAGAAAGATATGATCACACTGGAGCCCCATTCAGCCCATATCATCATGGGGTACGGCGTAAACAGCTTGTTCCTTTTATTCGCGAGCCACGATTGCCGCGCGGCTTTCGTCGCGCTGAAGACTGCACAGCAGATGGAGAAGCCCCAGATGATGCTGCACACGTTCATGTTGATGTCATTAGGACTCTCGCTTTCGTACCAAGATGGCACGAACAACCCTCGGTGAGCCATCCCGGCGTTTTCATCGACGTTTCTCGCGGGGCCCGTCGTCGTCTGCTGGAAGGAGGATATATTCGCTCTTCTGTAAATGAGGCCGTATTCTGGGCCGGTATACACGAGGGTCTATGTGTCTCGTAGAATGGCACTGCATAGCGCTGGGCCAAGATAAAAGAGCGAGTGCAACGGTGAGCCGTGGCTCCCGGGTGGGGCAGCGTGAGTGTCATATACCAGACCCACAAGGTTTGGCTTCAAAACCTCAGCATTTGCCTCTTCTGCAGCTGCGTGAGCTTCTCCTCACGGTCTAGTGGCACTTCGGAGCGTTTTCGTCAGCAAATCGCATCTGTGTTCGCAGACTTGGCTTTTCTCTTTCACACCCAGGCCGGAGCTACAAGCGATGATGGTGCATTAGCGGAACTCTATACTCAGCGGCTCGTCCAGGATATTCCCACCTCGATGCGTTATTGGTGTAGTTTTCGTCTCCACGGCTTCTGGAGATGCTACTTACCTAAACTTAGCTCCGTGGGTCGGCGCCCTATCAGCCCAGCGCGGGGACTAGAATGGATCGTTGGAGTCTCAATCAAGATATCGCATATGACTGTGACGACAGCGATTCAGGCATGGTTTTCTTGTCGAATTCTCGTCACACAGATTGAGCTGGGTTTCAAACCGAGAAAAAAAAAACGTGCAGAGTGTCAATCCGAACCGATGGATTTGGTGCAGGTGATTGGTATCTAGGACAGTAGCTATCTGTACCTCGGGCGCGCCGACGCACACCGCCATCGTGGCCAACTTCGATATGTGCATCGACTGGCGAGAATTTCTCGATCGTTGACTGAACCATATGCAGCCACTACACTGACAGTTCATTATCCAGCCCATTGGGCACCTCGAAAGCTGGAACCTCTGGTGGTTGCGTCGCCGATCCTTGCCTCCACAAAATCGGTCCCGGAGCAAGAGAGTGCCCCAAAGCCCATCACAGCGCGATAGAGTTCCGCTAGACGTGCAGAAGTGGCACTAAGTAAAACTCCCGGAAGACCGACTTTGCCGACTTGCTTCTCGATTCTCTCTGATCTAGGCGATCTCAAATCGCCCGGGGACAGCAAGTACAGTCGGGCCTCCATGTTTCGGCGCATCTTTCCGGCTGGTAGTCGCCCTTTCCCCCGCAAGGACTGGGTCTTCGAGTCGCGCATGGTTTAGCAGACATCTCGCCTAACTTAACCAGCTGGCCTTGAAGGCATTTGACAGGCCTTGGCATAGAGATTTGCTCACACTGTTCTAGATCCAACCGTTAGCGCATGCCGCGAAGAATATACCCACAGGACCCGGTCTGTTATGCTGCTCCGATCTTGCCTCGGGAAATGATTTTCAGCATTTTAAAGAGGTACGTAGGGTCACTCGACGCCCTAGCGCTTCTTTGATTCGCACTCAATAAAGTATCTGACCCTCTCTTCTTGTAGCCATATGCCCTCGTCTCGAGCCAACCTTAGATGTGCCACCTGCTTAATAAATGGCCGAGTCATTGAGAGCTAGGGAACTCGCTTCATCACATTGAGATCACATCGTGTATTAGTAAAAGTCGGCACACATGAACGATTTCAAGCCATTTACGAATATGTGTCTTCGTCATTCGGTATTCATTGAACAGAGATCTCTACAGAATGAAGCGAAAAGTTATATACGTGGCGTTCCAGTCGTCAATCGTGCCTGAAAGGGATTGTATATACAGGGTTCCATCCGGCTATCCTCCCTTGATCCTCGTTCCACCGTGTCGTTGCCGGCCTCGTGCAAGAGAGGATATCACGGAAACCGGGCGCTGCGCTCTACTCGCTGCTACCTGTAGCGCAAAGATTACTCTAAGCGTTGAAGGTCTGGGGAGAGCGCTTCCCGGTGGCGTTGCCTGCGGCGGAGCCAGCCATCTGGATCGCAACAACGCCGCCAAAGGGACCGGCCTTGTTGCTGTTGGCAATCTTAACCAGACAGACGTTGCTTTGTCCAGCCATGGTTCCGGAGCAGGTGGTGCCGGCAGGAACAGAGAAAGCCATGTTCTTCCAAACGTTAGCGTCAAGAAATTTTAGGAAGCTGCTACTACGGGCAGAAGTGACTTACATGATCCTCGTTGACATTGGCGGCACGCTTCATGATAGAATCCATGGCTCGTGTCCACAGACTCCTGTTGTTCTTGGAGGCCTTGATGTTGCCGTTGGTACCAGGGACTTGCGTCGTAGTGGTAAGCATGGTGCCGTTGGCGAAGGCACCAGTTCCAGTAGGATCCAGGACGGCTTGGATGGGACCAGCACCATCGGTGGTGACAATGTGGAAGACACCAGAGATGCTACCACCGTCAGAGACCTGAGGCAGAGTGCTACCGGACTGGGCCATGGTGGCAGCGAGGTCGGCAACTTGGTTCTTGCCGCCGGCGTTGGTCTTGCCAAGCCCGTCGGTTTGGATGTTGGTCTTGCCGAAAACGGTGGTGTCGACCTCCGTCTTCTTGTTAGGACCTGGTCCGGGGACAACAGCTCCCATGATACCTAGAGCAGTTCCGTTGCCGCCAGCATCACCAGTCTACAACGCTGTTAGGCCGGCTATGGAGGACGGTGGGCGATGCGACTTACAACAACAGCGACCTTGCCGTGAGCGGCGACAAGAGGCGAAGCCGCCAGGGCCAAGAGGAATACCTGGGTATACATGTTTGGGATGGCTTGAAGTAAGGGAGAGGCGGTTGGGATGTACGAGGTTTATCGTAATGTAATAATTAGTTTGAGTGAAATGGGCACGAATCAATCGTAAGCCGCTGAAGGACGAAATAGAAGAAAGGAAGCGAAGAAGAGACTGCTGAAAAGGAATACCGATACTGATGCTGGAGAGTAGGAGAATTCATGAAAGACAGAGGTCTTGGCTGGTCTTATATACTCGAGGAGTGTGACCAGCTCGTGATGTTGGGACCTCGCGGCCCCGCACCAGGATCTACTGATGGCTGCAAGCATACAGACTCGGTACAAGACCCTGGCTGTGAATCAACTCGCCCGATTCGTGCCATGGAATTACTGCTTGATGCAACAACAAAAAGCCATCATGGGTCTTGACCTCCAGGTCAAGTGTTGCCAAACGGACATAGGGCCCACTTTGATGCATTACGACGAGTTCTGAGACCCAACCAAAGTCGATGGCCTCGGGCTTGGCCGCAATTGGCACTGTCAAACACAGCTGTTTCGCTGCTATAGTTTCGTCGCCTTGCAGACTGGTGAATCAATGCGATGGTTTCCAGACCGTAGCCAATCAGGCAGACGGACTTGACACTCATCAGATCTTGCATGCTTCTGCCAGCTGAGGCAGCTGGAGTTTCCATGCCTGGTAATGGGATCCATAGATTTCCTAAAACCCTGCAGCCATCACGTCCACAAGAGGCATAGGTCGAAGCGAGGCTCTGCTGGCCCCTGCACTACGGTCTGGTACACCGGGTCCGAACATCTGGCATGCATCTGGTGTCTTCTTGGACGGCAGGACTTGGCGTCCTTTCTACGATGTGATGCCAAGCTTTGTATAGTGGTGACCGGGTTAGGCCAAGCCTAGCGCGCGGCAAAACCAACTGGTTGATGATGGGGAATTACGACCACGCGCGCCGATGGTCTTCGGAACTGCTGGTGCACCCGTATCTGATGCCTGAGAAAAGTTTCAAACGGCGAAAGACCCATTCCTGAAGCCATTCGAGGTGTTTCGTGCCAACCCTACCAGCGAAGCTTCAGGTGCGGTGTCTTTCAGTCTGTCGCAATATAGGACATGAGGCCGAGGTGCCTCAAGATACGAAGGGCTAGCTAGGGGCTGAGGAGGCGCCGGCCAGGTGTGAGCGACGTCGTGAGGAGCAAGCGCCAGTCAAAAGATGAGATGCAGTGTTGCAATGGTTTCTGGTACGCACATGAGGCAGGTGAAGCCGTTAGGCCGTTTCGTCTTGGCGGACCCAGTGTATAGCGGCCCACACCTATCGGCGCGAAGCGAAGAGAACCCCCTGTCGAGCGATCCAAACATCCATTGCGGCTGCTGGCCAAGCTGTCAGGCTCTGTCGGCAGCAGGACGCGGGAAAGTGGAAGCGCGACCAGGTACCTAGGTAAAGCGTCGGCATGCCCCAGGCATGATCTGACGAGAGATAGGGGGCCGGAGCCCTGAGCGATGGGTGAGTTGGCTCAATGCCGATCTGCCGTCAAATCCCCCCACAATGATCTGCCTCCTGTGTATAGGTATGACTCGGGGCCCTGGACGCAGCAACCCGAGGCTTATCAGCTGGCAGATATAGTCTCAATGCATTTCTGGGTACTTGGGGATGCCTTCAGTTAGGCGGTCCTGTCGAGTCTGGTGTAACCCCGACCGCCGACCTGAATCACCGAGTTTGACATGGACCCTTGGGGAAACATGAGGGAGAGCGAGGGCATTGGGCTTCAGAGCCGCATCTGGTGTTACATAGTTCCGACAATGCAACACGTACGTGAAGTGGTGAAGGAGATGGAGGGAGACAAAGCAAGAGATGGGAAGGGGGGAGAAGGACCGGGAGGGGGGAGAAGGAGAACGGCAGTGTCTCGGCGTGCATCTAGTGACCGCGGTCGACCTGTGAGCAGCGTCATTATCTGCAGCCCGTGTGTATACTCTATATCCTCCGCAGCTGGAGATGTTAACTAACTGCAGCTCCTAGCATACCTTTAAAGTATTGGATGCAACTCAGGTTGCTGGTACTCCCGTTCCACCCAGAGCGTCCGCCAAAACCCTTGGCGGCCGCTAAAATGAGGCTCAACGGCAGGCAGCCACAGCGACCCCACCGCCTGGAGCTCCCCGCATGTCGGGAGCTTGGCTTGGCCTGATGATCCGCTCGCACCCAAAAGCTGGAGGTAGGGTAGACATCAGCTCTGCCTATCGAGAGCCAGACCTCCATCAGCCAGAGATGCTGCCGGCGTGCAACTAGCCCTCACGAAAGCCCTTCTGCTAGATATCACGTCCCTCGACATACGCTGCGATTCCGACCGCTCTGGACATCACCGTGGGGTCTCGAGATGGCCAGCAAACAGGCCGCCGATGCCATAGCCGCGGCACAGGCTGCACCGGACCAGGCGGCTGCCTTCGACTCCCTTCTGAAGAACGTGAAGGGCCTCTCGTCGCCAGCAACCATATCCTCGGACCTCAAAGCAATACTGGACGCCATCTTCGCCGCCTCGTTCGGCCTCGTGGCCGTCCGGCAGCTCGTTACCGACCTCATAGCTGTCCTGAAGGACTTCAACAACCACGACCTGTGGATCGAGATCGGCCAGTACGCCCTCAACATCCTCTCCACCCAGCAGTCGACCTTCCACGACCAAGCCGCCGCCTTCCGGGAGCTCATCGCTGAGGGCCACGAGAGCAACGAAGACAACCTAGAGGCCGCCAAGGTTCTGGCCGAGATCCCCCTGGACAGTGCCCAGCGCAAGATCACCAACGAAGACCGCGCCAAGATCTGGATCCGAATCGTCCGCAACTACCTCGAGGTAGACGACACCACCACGGCCGAAACCTACCTCAACAAGCTCAAGAACATCATCTACACCGTCAGCGATCCCACGCTGAACCTGCATTTCAAGCTGTCGCAGGCCCGCATCCAGGATGCGAAGCGCGCCTTCCTGTCTGCAAGCCAGGCCTATCACGAGATCAGCTTCTCCACCGCCATATCGGAGGAAGAGCGCTTGCTCACCCTGAGCATGGCCATCAAGTGCGCCATCCTCGCCCCGGCCGGTCCCCTGCGAAGCCGGGCTCTGGGCAGGTTGTTCAAGGACGAGAGGGCGGCAACCTTGGACGAGTTCAGCATCCTGGAGAAGATGTTCTTCGACCGCTTATTAGCTCCGGCCGAGGTGGACAAGTTTGCGCAGGGCCTGGCTCCGCATCAGCTCGCCACCACGTCGGATGGATCCACCGTCCTGGCCAAGGCCGTCGTAGAGCACAACCTGCTGGGCATCTCGCGGCTGTACAGCAACATCGGCTTTGAGGCTCTCGGCCTACTTCTGGGTCTGGACCCGGAGAAGGCCGAGGACACGACGGCCAAAATGATCGAGCAGGGCCGGCTGGTTGGCCGGATCGACCAGATCGAGGAAATCATCTGGTTCGAGGGGGGCGAAGCGTCCGGTGAAAAGGGCAGCGGTCGGGCCGAGGTCACCGTGGGCAAGGAGATGAGACGATGGGATGCGAATGTGCAGGGTCTGGCGGAGGAGGTTGAGAACGTCACCAATGCTCTCCAGAAGGAGTTTCCAGATTTCGTCATTGCAAACCTGGTGGTATGATGTAGCTCTATGGGCCGAATAAATCATGAATGACGAAGGGACACGGCGTTGGCGGTTGTATGCGGCATAGATAGACCAGCATCAGATTCGTAGACACATAGTCCAGTGGTCCTAAAGGACGATCTGGGAAGCACGAGAATCAACTAGGCGACTTCAATAGGCCAGAATCCCCCTCGTCCCATAGTCCCAATCTCCCCTGCCCGGCTACATCGTGGGCATGTTCACGGCACGGCGTTGAATGGGGGGTATCATTACTTAATCGAGATCACGCTTCCTAACTATGATGTAGCCCTGGCTAAGCAGCTTGGGGTCGCCCCTCTCCTCCTCGAAGATGAGTTCCTCGATCATTCGTCGTTGTCTGGCGTCCGTGACGATGGAGCTGATCTCGGTCGACTGCGCTTCCTCGAGGTGCAGTATCCTGATGAGGCACTCTGCGACCTTCTGCCCTATCAAATCATACCCATCCCTGGTGAAATGCACGCCGTCCGGGTCCCAGTACTTTATCCGATCCATCGCGGGCATGTCACAATAAGGCACTGCCGCGGCCAGGTCGAATGCGTAGCTTTGGAAACGCGGAGTCAGCACCGTGGAACCAACGGAACACGGATCTAGCCAGACGGAGTAGAATGAACAAACTCACAAGTTCTGTTTCTTATAGTTCTTGATTCCCAGGTTTACCGCCTTCCGCGAGAACTCGAGGCCGGGGATGTCGGCGTTGATCTCCGGGATCGTCAGAGCCAGCACCTTGCCCCCGTGCGATAACGGAATGTCCCACAGCTCTTTCAGAGAGTTCAGCAACGTGTCTGGGCGGCAGCTCCACACGAGATCACTACGCCAAATGGTCAGTTGCCGGTCACCCTTGTGGTTCTGCTATATCTCTTGTGTGTCTACAGATATAGACATGTATATATATACACACACACACATATATATATATATAGAAAGAGAAGGAGAGAAAGAGAAATCGCACTCACTTTGTTCCCCCAAGCACAATGGTCCACTCAAACTCGCGCTGCCGCCACAGGCCCTTCATGCGCTTGTGAAAGGTGCCACGACTGTCGCTCACCATGTCGCCCGGCATGCCATCGTTGGCGACGTGGACGTCGTGGGTCGCAAAGGCCGCCTTGAGGAGATCGCGCAGCTTGCACGCGTACGGATGGACAGACGGCGAGCCGGCGGTCAGGGAGTCGCCCAGACACAGGACCCGGAGCGGCGGCTTCTGGGCAGACGGCATCTGGACGGGCGGACGGGGGTCGGATGAGTGGGGCGGAGGATGGCGAAGCGTGGTGTTGAGGGAGGGAGAGAGAGCGGGTCTGTGTTCGAATGCGGTCGAGTAATGAAGCGGATGGGTGGTTCAATACGATTCGCTTTCCCTGCTGGCCAGGGAATACCAGACGCGAGGCTGAGATGATGGAATGGAGGAACGGGATGAGAGAGGTTGCGTCAGGGTTCCAGCTGCTCAAGTGCCCGCCGTTGTCAGTGCTAGGCAGACGAAACGGGGGGTCTCACGCGATAAGGCGGCCATTTGGCGGGGCAGAAGTGGCTCAGGTGGCCAGGGTCCCGTGGGCGACACGACTAGCGCCCGCGGTCGCTGGGCTCGCTACCGTGCGGTCCCCTGTCGAGGTGGGCGGGGTGGGGTGGTTTCCCCTGAGACCCCATATTTTAGGGGCTGAAGGGTCCCAACTGTGAATAGCCTGCCAGGTTTGGTGGACTACGAAGCTAGGTACCTAAGTTCGTAAGGCCTCGAGGCTGGACTTGGCAAGCTACATCGGATGGAGAAAGGTGACTATATAGTCGCAAGCGACATGTGGTACTTTACACTCAAAGCAAGCGGGGTCTGCACTTGGGGTTCATATACTTGCAAGAAAATCGAGACTGGTGGTACAAAACCCTGGTCTTGCAAGCATTGGTACACGCCAAACATCAGTCACGGTGCTGGGTCAAACGGTCATCCATCACCCGTGGGCTGTCCCAGTCCCCACCGTAGTCAATATAGACCATTTCCTCGAGGCCGGTTTGTACAACATGACTACTACAACGCGCTCACTACCCACCATGGAAGAGATGTGAGTAGCCGAGCGGACCGGCTTGCTAACTCATAGCCGGTCCTATCTCAATCTCATCACGATGGGCATGGCGCTTCCCGAATCGGCAGGAAAACAAGCGGCACGGCCTGAGTGTTAATGTGCGAGTCGGGATCGGGTTCCCTTGCCAGCCCTGATTATCAAATCCCAAGGCATTGGAATAGGCACAGACGCGCAACTATGCATTGATAACGAATCATGTCCACGGTTTCTTGGCGCCGGTGGAGCCGATTATAATATATGCTGAGTCTCCCTCGGCCTTGTTCACTAATCAAGAATTGAAGAATGCCCGCTGCCAGGGGTGGGTTGACGCGAGCGCCCTGGCGACGACACCGACCAACACCAAGCCCTCGTCATCGCAACCTCGCGACATCTGAATTAGTAATACCGGAAGCATCTCTGTCGCCGACAAAACGCCTCTTGTCGACGATGATGAATCTGGCCGTGAGAGCTGTGCCAGCCCGTGTTTGTTCTGCATAGCGCCTCTCGGCGGGATACAAAAAGAGCTTGCTCCCACTGATGACATCGTCAGCGAACATAAGCATTTGAACGGCCGGCCATCGATCTGTCAACCACAGCTCAACACGGCCTCCTCATTACTTTGTCATTTCTTTGGCATACAGATTCTGCGGCTGCTCTCATGATAGTGTTCCCTGCCCTGCTACGCATCACACTTCCGTCCTCGTGCAATCAACAGCAACGATGACACAGCAGATGTCCCCCGAGTCCCCCAAGGCATCGACCGCGGCTGAGGCCATGGCAGCAGAGATGTCCTCCGTCAACGAGCCCAAAGACAATGACCTAGAGTCAGCAACTCCTGCAGTGCGCGGATGGGACTGGCTCGAGGACAGCCACAACCCTTACAACTGGCCGAAATGGAAGAAGAACGTCCAGCTGCTCACAATTGCATCCATTGCATTCACGTGGTTCGTTGTTTCTCTCTCCTTTTGTATCTCCCTCCTTTTGTATCTCCCTCCTTTTGTATCTCCCTCCTTTTGTATCTCCCTCCTTTTGTATCTCCCTCCTTTTGTATCTCCCTCCTTTTGTATCTCCCTCCTTTTGTATCTCCATGCTCGCGTGAAAGATTCGCTGACAGCAACCAGTTCCGTGGGAACATCCATCGTTAGCCCCGCCCATCAAGACTTCATGGACGAGTTTGGGGTGTCGAGCACCGTCGCCTTCCTCCCTTTGTCGCTCTACGTCTTCTCCCTCGGCCTGGGTCCCATCGTAGGGGGTCCTCTCTCCGAGGTTGCAGGAAGAAGGGCTGTCTTTATCATGGCCGTGGCTCTTGGCGGGTTGTTTGCCTTGGGATCCGGCTTCGCGGGTACCTTTGCCGGCCTCTGTGTCATGCGCTTCCTATCTGGCTTCTTCTACGGCCCGAGTCTCGCCATCGGCTCAGGAGTCCTCTTGGAGACCTATCGTCCCATTGAACGAGGCCCACCCAGTGCTCTCTTCATTCTGAGCCCTTTCCTTGGTCCTGGTCTGGGGTAAGTTCTGACATCTTTTTTACCCTATAAAGGTTTTGTTCTGTGCTGACCAAGATCACCCCGCAGTCCTGTCCTCGGTGTTTTCCTGGTGGACAGAATGGGTTGGCGTTGGACGCAGTATACCCTGGTTTTCTTCTCGGTTTTCTGTGCCATCTGCATGTTCTTCTCCGGAGAATCTTACCATCTCGTGCTAAAACGAAGACGAATGAAGGCTCTTGGGCTTACACCGCCTGAAGCAGCGCCGCTTTCGGCCACCATGAAGAAGTTCGTCACCGTGGACCTCTTCCGGCCGATCCACATGCTGCTGACCGAGCCGATCGTGACATTCCTATGTCTCTACATTGCCACCATGTTCGGCACGTTGTTTCTGTTCTTTGGCGCTTTCTTTTACGTCTTCCAGAAGACCTATAACTTCGCGCTGATCCAATCTGGGCTTGTGTTCTTGGGCATTGGCTTCGGATGCCTCCTTGGCACAGCCATGGTTGCTGTGTGTGAGGTAGTTTTCTACAGACCGAAGGCGAAGAAGCACCTTTCTCACCAGATCCCACCGGAGTATCGCCTCTATCCCGCCAAGATCGGCAGCATACTGCTCCCAATTAGTCTGTTTTGGTTTGGTTGGACTGCCAGTCCTGGCATCAATCCGGCCGCGCCCATCATAGCCATCGTACTATTCGGCACTGGCAATATCGGGCTCTTCATCAGCTCGATGCAGTACATTGGCGACGCGTACCACCACAGCAATGTGGCCAGTGCATCAAGCGCCAACAGTCTGGCACGATATACCTTCGCTGCGGCATTCCCGTTCTTCTGTATCCAGAGTAAGCTTACTTTTAAACCACTCAATCAGGATAGATGACTGACAGCTTGCTTCTTTTATGTAGTGTACCAGAAACTCGGAACAGGCTGGGCTACCAGCATCCTCGGATTCCTGGCATTACTGCAGCTGCCCGTCCCTTGGGTTTTGTCCAAGTACGGCAAACGGCTGCGCGCACTCAGCAAGTACGAGACTTCGAGTTCCTAAGATCTTGCTTTATCAACTATAGAGATTGGATATGATGATGCAGATGGACTGTACATAACCACAGAGTGGGGACTACTGATGACGACAAGATGCATAGACTACCTGGCCCAGGGGTTGGATGTGTATGGTATATGAAGGGCATAATTTCGGTAGATTTGGGCCCCCCCGTGATAAATTTACACGTTTGACACTGTAAAATGAGGCAGGCATGTCTTTCATCTAGCAGGGACCGGTGAGTTCTTAATCTATTTCTATTACCATAATAATTTCCACTCCCCTTTAGCCAAGAAGCGTCTGTCAGTCCCGACGGGATGTTTGCGAATGCCATTTACCGAAGTCCAAGAGAAAATAGATGAGACAACTGATTTCGCCGAAGTCGTGGTTATGGTGCCCATATCAAGATGCATCAATATTTATTGTATCGAGGAGATCTGTCATATTGCACTACGTCTGGAACCTAGGCTTCGCCGTATTCGTCAATGACCTTACCAGGATAGAACTCGCTATCGTCCTCAAAGACCCTGGCATCGTCAAAGGCTGCCCTGTGGGCGGCTATGCGACCCGCTTCCTGACTTTCGAACTGCAGCTTCTGACTGCTGGATCGTGAGGCCGCCCTGCTGTGGATATTAGGTCGTCGGTTCTCATAACCGATGGCCAAGGAGCTGTTGCCTGGAGTGCTGTTAGTTCCCCGTCCCGATGTCTCAAGAGGCGTGAAAGTGCGGCGGTAGTAAATCTTACTTTGCTGGCAGATAGAGTCTCCGGAGCCTGCTACGAAGTGTTGGTGCTCTTTACAGGTCGGGACTACACCAGTAAGGTCCCTGTCTCTGATGCGGTGAGGATGCCAAGCTTGCACGTTGTTTGCAGACAGGTAGTCCATGTATTTGCAGCTACCCTTGGGGTTTGCCGCTGAATTGGGCAGCTTGATCTTCAGTTCCTGGGATGGAAAATCAACCGAAATGCTTCGCGAGGGAATATGTCCTGTGTTCTTCTTGTGATTCTTCTGAAGAATGCTATCTGAAACGGAGCGGCTTCCAGAAGCGGTGTCGAAAAGATAGTTGCTGGGGAAGCCCTGATAATCAAGGATACCGGACGGGTGGTGAGAGAACTGAGGAGCTCGGGGGTTAAGCAGTGAGCTTCTTTGCCCGTGCTGCGTCAGTCTCTCAGTACGATCATTACTCATTACTAAGATGGTAAGAATAGGCTAAGGAGTTAGGCTCGAGTCCTAAGAAGCAGTTCAAGAGGTTCAGCTGATCGCAAAGGCGATTATTAGGGAGTTGACCTTCATGTGCGAATATATAGAGTACGGCCTCCACGGCTTTTACCTGAACACGTGTAGAGAGCCGCAGACAAGGACAAGCCAAACTTTGGTGGACAAAGTCTCTTTACAGCGTGATTATCGTACTATCATGGAGTCTCATTGCCAAAGAGATGATCCTTTTGGCTTCCATGCGTATACTGACAAGGACGCCAAATATTTGTGCAGATACTGGGCTTGATGAAAGCAAGCCTTAGCAAAAGCCACCAATCAGTTAAACAAGAAGGGCAAAGGTTTGATAATTTTGGCCATCGAGTATGCGTTTGATTTCAAGAGCGTTCCTGCTGTGCATTTGGCAAACACGGTGATTTGGCTTTGTATCAACGTGGGTAAGATATAAAAAGAGGTGTAGGTGAGCACAAAAGGACTAGATGGTTTGAAATTAGACGGGAAGTTGCAGAAGAAACGGCTCCTGGGATTCGTGCTAAGTGCAGAATACATAAGTGCCAGCGCAATTACAGCACAGGTGTACTGGTTGCTACCCAAGACGAAGTCACTTATGTGACTTGGATTTTGAACTCCTTCGCAGTGGCCGGCTTAGTTAAGATCCAAGTGACCCCCTCGTGTATTACGGTATTCCACCATTGGACCTCAGGCAATACCTGAAACATGGCGAAGCTATGCGGCAACCCTGAAAACATATGTATATTTGTTGGCACTCTAACATTACGTTAGTGCTCCTCATAAGGTCTATCAAATAAAAAGTCGAAAATAACTCATCAACTCACCCAGCTTTAGCTAGTGTTTCCGCAAAAAGTAAGCCCTCATCTCTAAGTACATTTAGCCCAGCTACTGCACAAACTGTTGGAAGAAGCCCTGTAGCTTGCGAAATCGTAACATATCCAGGGTTTAGACGAAGATCTTGTTCTGTTGGGTTTCGAATTTGAAGCAGGCCCTGTGATAGCCACGGTCAGACGTGAGTGTGAAGTACATGTCAAAGTTCCCAACGCGGAAGGCACGTACCGTGTAGACTTGAAGAGTAGACAGCGAAAGCAATGGCGCATCACGACTTTTGTGTAGAGAACATACGGATGGATCTTGAAACTTTTCGATCATCGGTCCATAGCACTCAACATTGATCAACGACGGAACCATGAGTATTTGACCCGCAATGGGAGGGCGGGTCGTGGATCCAAGGCTCAAATGCTCCTCGAGCACGAATGATGCTGCTAGATAGGCTCCTGAGGAGATGCCGATAATCATCACCTGCTGCGGATCGCCGCCCAAATCATCGATGTGGTCATGGAGCCATTCGAATGCATCATGGGTGTCGTTCCATGCTACAGGATAAGTATGTTGAGGCGTGTGCCTATAACACACGTTCAAACCCACAATTCCAGTATTGATAGCAATACGAGAGCAAACTGCATCTTCGGAGGTGATGGTACCAGTCAAAAAGCCACCCCCGTGAAGATATAAAGCCACCGGCAGGCGCTGTGGTATATCGGAGTCTACCGACGTATAGCTACGTGACTTGAGGCTGGATTGATCTTGGGTCAGGATGCTGTGGTCGACCATCCGAACCATTGGCGATAGAGTTTCCATTTCCTGAGCAGACCGTTGTTCGCGCTGCTTGTTGACGATTTCCTGCCTCTCAACCACGGAGAGACTCGAATGGGGTGTAGCAGAATCACTGCTCACTTCGAGCCATTCCTTGCTAGGTGTGCCATACTGCGAGAAGTCGTACATGATTCAAAATTGCAATAAATTTAGGAGGAATATCGCTCATTTCAATTTTCGTCTGGAAGCCCAGCGATGAGCCGTGATATGAGATGATAGACTCTTAGTGAACAATTGGACGTCGGGTGACTGGGCCGTTGCGATCCCTGCCAGTTTGATCCCTTGCATGTCGATCACATCCAGCGAGGCTGAGAGCATTCTACCGAGGGCCTGGCCAAAGTGCAAATTGCTCTTCGATCCGATCCTAATTCGTATTTGACCCCAATTACAATGGAGAGTTACGATCGTCAGTTGGAAACCATATGCATGGTAGTTCTTAGCAGTTTTGGTGCTTCGTGTAACCCACCAGTCATTCTACTGTTTTTCCCTTGCATCCCACTTTACACTGCTCTGCCCTGCCGTAAATCTTTCGCTTTCTCTTTCTACTTTTTTCCCCCAAGGACTCTTGATTTTATCTGTAGTAAATATTGTTCTTGTTGACTCAGATACCATGGGCAATTCTGACAATGTAGAGCACATTAGCGACCCGACCGGGGGTATTAGCGACCATGAAAACCCCAATCGCTACCTGAGTGGCGGCCGTCTGGACGGGTTGACATATGATTATGATCGAGACTATAACGTCCGAGACGATGACAGACACCCGGTCGCTTTTCGTATTGGATTGATCTCCGCCGAACGCACATCGGCCAATCACAAACTTCGTAGCATCGACCATTTAGAAGCTTGCCCTTTTAATGATCTTGATGCAGTTTGCAGAAAGGTGCCGGCTTCTGGTCCAAGCCTCAACATCGTGGCTCTGATGAAGAAAGACGTCAAAGATCCAGAGAGTCCACGGAAGATCGAGGTGAAAGATTGCCAGTGGTGGATCGAGAAAGTTGTTACATATTTGGTCTGTGAGGGACTTTTGCTGGGCTTGGACGGAGAAGACCATACGGAAACTATATGGGCTAAATCAAGGATTTGCCGAGGTACTAAGACTAAGAGTGCCTCGGAAGAACGATACATTAACAGTTCTTATTGATGTCAATGCTTTATACATAACGAATGGAGCTGCCGGTTCATAGAGATAATCCTATCTTGACGACAGAACTACCCTAAAAGTGACTCCAAACCTAAACTCTAAATGAGTGATCCTCCGAGCACAGTCTTCAGATCCTCATGAGGCAGCGAGGACCTGAACCGGCTCATTTTAGTGCTTTGGTGCATGAAGTAATATGTCCACGGGCCGTTTGTTCTTATTAACACCGCGCTGCATGGGTAGCAAAACCCCGGACTCTTCCAGTTTCTCAACAGCACACATAATCCACCATTGACAATCTGACATGGTAACCCTGCCTGGAAGGCGAGAAGTTGACTGTGGTATCATTAGCTCCTTCGATTTGAGATCATCTCAGATGTGCCCAAGACGTTTACCGCCTTCAGAAACACTATTGAGGCTCTTGCTTGGGGCTGGGACTGAAAGAACTAGCTCTTCGAACTTATCATGAGGAGCACAGTCGCTAGTATAGATACCATTTCCAATAGTGTCAACTATCAGATGCAAGGGAACAAGGCCAATCTCGATGGGTGTGTGCGGTTGGCTACGCGTTGTTTCAGGTCGTAGTTCCTTTTGACCTCGTGCACAAATCCTTCCCTTACACTCCCCGTGACTTGAATCAACTTGCCCTTCTTAACAGATCGATCTTGGAGTTCGGGGATGAAGATGGCCCAGTGGGCTTTGAACTTCGCGCTTGGGTTACAAAGCAGATAGACAGGCCGGTATTGCGTTGAAGAAGACATACAAAGAAAAGTGGGTAATTTCCAAAGAAGCTATAATATAAGGTAGTGTAAGTAGGTGATGAAATCGCCGGGCTGGGCTGAGGCTCCGGTGGGGCGCAGCTCTGACTGAAGGTTTTGTGGAAACGGCAAACAACCTGTTTTCTCCCCAACAACCCAACCAACTTGAGCCAACGCGACAGCGCCACACTCGACCCCGGTCCTATGGAAGAACAAGTGATCGTGATAGATGAGCTACCGAGTGCAGCAAAAGCGCTGTTCGAGGACTCTACATTCTTTAAGAAATACTCTGGTGGCCTTCCGTCTCCAGCACAAGTCCGCCAAAAGGGCATCAAAATTAACGGCAGCCGCGCACGGGGCTCGCGACCAGATCCAGTCTCGTATGAAGATCAGGGGCTTATTGTCAAATATGGCTCTGAAATCACAATCGCTGAAGCGCAATGCCTCTGGTTTTTCAACCGATATATGAAGAACGTCCCAACGCCCGAGCTTTTCGGGTGGCACCAGGATGCGGGTGAGACGTTCATCTATATGGAACTAGTCTGTGGTGAAACACTGGAGGTCGTCTGGCCATCTATGACCGAGGAAGAGCGAAGGGTGATATGTAAGGAGCTTCGCGACTCCGTTACAACTTGGCGCCAGCTTCGTCAGGAGAAAGTACCACATTTTATAGGTAAGTTAGAAGGTTTGCCGATTCAAGTGACCGCATTACTTACATCATAGGCCACATTGGATATCAAGGCGTAGGAGATATAATATTCAGCGACGCAGGAGACGCCAACATAGGGCCATTTCAGAATATAAAAGCGTTTCATGACTTCTTTGCACGCTACTCCTGCCGACGACACCCCGAATGGAACCCGCGGCGCGACTTCCCCGAGCTCGAGGGCTTGACTGATGATCGGCCGGTGGTATTTACCCACGGCGATCTAGACAAGAGCAATATAATCGTCGCCCAGCAGGATGGGGAATCCCAACGTCATGTTGTGGCTATTATTGACTGGCACCAATCTGGGTGGTATCCGGCTGATTGGGAATGGCTTAAAGCTAAGTGGAGGTGTGACCCCCTTGAGGGAGGTTATCGAGATACCGCGTGGCTGTTACAGATTATGGAGCCGGCCGACCAGAGATATGCCATGGCTTGGGAATACATTACCTCCTGTTTATAAGTATGGAATACTCGACCACCCTTTATGATGAGGCCATTGCGCATGACCTGCTTGTTACCAAACTGTGATTTCGAAGCGAGCATGATTTCATTATGTCCTGTCTATCAACCGAGATTCCGTGGTCTTGCTAACTCCTGGATGCTTAAAATACGCGACCTATAATCGCTTATCTACTATGCTATCTGACTGTTACGTAGCTGTATGCATTTTTGGGGGGCTTATATTTGGCATTTGTACCTCATTTTCGGCACCTAGAACCATATTCTTTGGACGACCCTATACCCAGTAGACAGCCTTTGTATGCAACATATGAGTTCAGTCAAGTGACTCACATGAACAGGTATCAGTTCGACTACAAGAAGGCACCGGTTGTCAGTCCATGCATGATCCCCCTCAGCTGTTTGGTAACTATCTCGCACGGTATCGACAGCTTGTCGAAAACAGCTTCCCTGAATTCCACGTCCCAGTTTCCAACACTCTGTTGTGACAATGCGACTTGTTCAAAACCAACGGGGTAAATCCCGGCCAAGTCCCAGCCAATAATCCCTACGATATTGGAGCTGTCGTCTACTATTATATTCCGAGGCGCAATGTCCTGATGCGTAAGCACAACATCCTTTAATTGGAAACGCGGGGTCTCAGGCGAGATCTGGCGATATCGAAGGCACACGTCTAATTTGTGGTTAAACTGCCTTTCGACTGAGAAAGGTCCGAAAGGTGGGATTGAAACAAGAAGAGTATACGGTTGGACTTCTACATATTATAGCTCTTGTATGCATCTCCATTCGACGGAATAGGTATTTTCTCCTAGTACGTCAGCGACTTTTACGTCGAAACAAAGATGGGCAATCAAGGTCAGGCTTACCTGAGTCTTCTCCTTAGTCTTCATGTTATCCGATCGTCTGTTCTATTGCTATCTCCGTGGCATGGATAGTCTGTTCGCCCTGTTTCGTCACTCATAGAAGTGAAAATCGAATATTTAAATTTAAATCTGATAGCAAGCATGAAATCTAGCGCTCATTTTGCGAGGGCAATCTATTGGGTAGGGTGACCAATTTCATATCCAATAGCAGACGAGGGTCAGAGCACTACCGCGATATTTCCCGGAGAGCTCCGATCTGGCAGAGCCTTACCAAGCAGGCTGTGCTTATTTCTTCTACTGAGGCCGCCACTGTTGGTTTTCTTGGGTTGAACACGCTGCGCTTCACCTACTCCGTTATTCTGCCTCAGCATCCACCGATGCAAAATGCGTCTAATTAATTGCACCACAATGAATCTCGAGGAGTTCAATGGCCAGAATATCCCCCGGTACGCTATACTATCGCACACTTGGGAAGATGAAGAGGTCACTCTAGCCGATTACGTCCAAGGACAGTCGACAAAACAAGAGTGGTCCAAAATACATAAGAGCTGTAAATTAGCCGCGAAGCACAACTTGGAGTTTGTCTGGATAGATACCTGTTGCATTGATAAGTCCAGCAGTGCCGAGTTGACAGAGGCAATCAATTCCATGTACACATGGTACGCCAACTCTGATGTCTGTTTCGCTTATCTGGGTGATTACAACCGGCCGCGCCCAGATTCCCAGAACACACTCCGTGGCTGTCGGTGGTTCACCAGAGGTTGGACGTTGCAGGAATTGATAGCAGCCCCAATTGTTCAATTTTATGACGCTTTGTGGCAGTTTCGTGGCGCAAAGCACGACCTCTGCGATGAAATTGCCGAAATCACGCGTATCGACCGGGCAGTTCTCCCCCAGACAGGTCGGGATCTTCAGCTACTTCTCAAATCTATTTCTGTATGCCAGAAAATGTCTTGGGCGGCAGATAGACAAACGACACGCAAGGAAGATACCGCATATTGTCTCCTCGGCCTGTTCCGGGTGAACATGCCGTTGTTGTATGGCGAAGGGGCTGAAGCTTTTATCCGCCTGCAGGAAGAGATCATCAAGAGATGCAATGATCTTTCTATCTTTGCTTGGCAAGCAGAGGGACATATGATGCCTTATGTCTGCACTAGCGTTCTTGCTCCATCTCCCAGAGAGTTCATGAACTCGAGGAACGTTGTGCGGAGCCAAGATTTGATATATAACCCGGAATTTACTATGACAAACAAGGGTATTCGCATTTCTGTAGCATTGTCTGTGAGCAGAGCTATCGATATGTCAATACTTAGCCTCCACTGCCATCGTGAAGACAAGCCACAGCAACCACTCGGCATCTACCTCAGCAGCATCGGGGGCGAAGTTTACGGCCGCACTCGACCCAGTGTCATCCCGGTCGAAGTTGCAGGCGCTAGGTCCCAGGAGAGGTCAATATTTCTGACCAAACAACCACCGCTTGATAAGCCAACGAGCTGGGGTTTGACACACGGTCACCACTTCCGCTTCAGAAACCCATCAAGGTCTTCAGATCTTATCAAACTTGTGTCCGCATTCCCGGAGAAGCGCTGGGACAAGCAGTTCGGGTTTCGAGCTAGAGATGCGTATAGCTTTGTTGGCATAAACACTTACCGAGTGCGCTGGCCGGAAGACACGGTGACGTTTGTGATCGCTTGTGGATTCGCCCCCAGCATTGAGCCGTGGGTGTGTGTCAGCAAGAAAGGCTCTAAGAATGAGCTATGGGCTGCTGCAAACTCACATGATGTCATGCGTGTTGGCGAACTCGGTCCGCAATATAGGGACCTGGACCTATCAATCCGATCCAGAAGTTATATGGAAAAGATCTACGTACAGATCAATCTTCGGGAATTTCAAGGAGAAAGTGAGGTGGCACGGTGGTATGAGGTGGCGGTGAATGCGACCACGCGTAAGCCGACTCGAGCAAGAAACCAAAGTCGCGGGAGGTTGCCAGCTTCAGAAGAAACACATCTGCTTGAATACCTGCAGAGCCCTGAGCCTGTGAGTATTGAATGTAAGGGTGCGGCTGCTCTCGGAGTGCAGACGGATTGCACTACTTAACTCTTCTGGCTTGGGTCAACTGCGCCTTCCTTGCAAAGGTAGACAAACGCCACTCTCCTGTTTACATTGCCATACACGATATTAACTTATGGTATATTGTTATACGTAGTATGTAGGTCGCCTTGTCCCTGAAGTACACACCATTGTCAAAACCATCGTTTGGCGTCCATATATTTGTTGTGCAGTTCTCGTGTAGCAGTTTGTATACACCTTCATGTCTACGTCATGACAAATTATGCGTAATAACACTGCGAGTCATGGGGCCAATTTCGCCTCTTAGCTGTCTTCTAGGTGTTGTAACATGAATGGTCACGTCAGGGATGGACGACTACCACGATCATAAGACGAGAAGGTCGGAGAGGGTATCAAGGGCATGTCGCAAAGATAGACCCAAAACTCAATATCGGCGTGTCTGATACAACGCACCGAGCGACTACTCATAGCAAGGATATGACGTGTAGATCATTAATCATATATACCAATGCAACACCTCTCAACATCGCAAATATCCCGTGAGGACTCCAACCCCTCTGCCAACCTGATTGAAAATGGCTCATAGGTAGTAATTGTGGGCCCATGATTTGCACAGCATGGCCATTGTCATTGAGGAATACCAGCAAGTTAGCAGTTAGAGTGAGATTTTATCTGGAACTTTGATAAAGCCCAGGTAAGACGATAACAGGCGGTGGGAATCCGTGGAAATCCCTCATGTCGGGTATGCCCCCTGACTCCCCACGCGGCGTACTTCCCTCTCGCAATTTGCGCCATCCAAGCGCCGCTGGCTAGTGAGCGGAGCCGTTAAACACGGGGGCGATCAGCGACAACTTTTGCGGCTCTGTTCCAAGATACCTAAAACTAGCAGGCCAGGATTTGTGTACCATAGTAGAGGATTCGCAATTCTAGTGCCGTCCCAGGTTGCATATACCTGGTCACACCCCCCGGGTTACCCGAAACGGTAATTCCTAGACCCAGCGAGACTCGCTGTTGGTCAGCTTTCCAGACTAGCTGCATGCATCCATGCGAGACACCTGAGGACCCTCCCCCGTAGTCACATGCACCCGCACAAGTTGCAGCACAGGACAACGTAGATCTCCTTGTCCTGATTCATACATAGCGTGAGGCCTCCCTCGCCCCTCTCGCTTCCTCACTTCCATCCTTCACCGTCACACCTCTCTCGCGTACACACCCTGGGCACATGCAGGTGATAGGGTACAGTCAGGTCATGGAGCCTCCCTTGAGGGTTCTGCATACGGCTTGAAACAAGCTTGTTGCCGCCGGTTGACTTGAGCACTAGGGTCGCGTGCACTATATTCCTCAATGTTGTTTGGGATGGATGTGTGGATAATCACGCATGCCATGCCCTGGTGCGTTTACACAGAGTGCATGTCGTTCGGGTGCTTATCTGCAGCTATCGTTTCTGGGTAGCAGTTCGTTCTGAAGCCATGGGGCTTTGTTCGCTTGAAGCGCTCCCGAAAATCAGGTTGACTTCACCATGTATCAGTCTCAGGGTAGAAAAGAGACATTTCATGAAATGTGCAGAGTAATGTGTTACTGCGAGTTGTTAATTACTGATCGACAGCCCCGTCATTCAACTGTGTTGCGAGTCGTGCCGCCTGTTATTATAGTTGGGCAGATTGTCCGTTTGGAACTATCTGCAAACCATTACTTCACAGAAACTGTCTTGTGCAACTGCGTCTGTGCTCTAATCGGCTATAAACAGGATGCCTCTCTCCTACGGATTTGCCTCCTCTACATCTTACGGGTTCCCTTCTGTCCCTTCGAGACCGAAGAGAGAAGCCTTTCGTCTCGCCCCTTTAGCTGTTTCAAGGCCTTCGTCTTCCCATCCGACAATTGAACCATCTTCTCCCAGTTGGAAGTCTCGCTCCCTTTGCGCCATGACGAACGGTTCGGACTCTGCTTCGCGCGCCGCGCCTCTTTCACCACCATTACCCTCTTCTGTCACGGCGTATCCTATGAAGCGTACCATCAGCCCCGGAGTCTATATATGCAAGGGCGAAGGGCACTCAATGCGACACAGCTGGATTGTGGGCGGCCGCCTGGTTGAATTTCCGTTCCCGGAAACTTGTTCATTCGACAACAAGCAAAGGAAGCACCAAATGGATGAGGGTACGCGCCCACCTATACCCATTCCAGGTGCAACCGGCTCAAGGAGACCGAGTGAAGCAAGCTCAAACAGTGGGAGGTCAGTCTAAACATCACACGCATCAAACCTGGCAATTTCCAGGTACGTCACAAAGACAACAGAATATGTGACATCTCCAGGAGGCCCCGGTCAGACCACACCGGAATGCCAACGATGTATCATGTTTTAACACCTCTCTTCTACACTTTGTTCTAATATGTCGGTACTCACGTTTAAGCATGGGCTTACTATTGATCACAGTATTTCCGGCGCTTCGCAATCCTTTCATTTGTACGAAACTGGCATGTTCCCAAGCATTGCGTCTGGTTCTATTTGACCTTGCAACGCGAACCTTTCAAGGTGTCTCGCTCGATGAAATTTGCTGAATAATGATTTATGCGGCATGGCACTTTCGTAGTCTCTCAAGAAATTTGTTTTGATTCAATATGTAACCAATCAACAGTACCATGGATTGTATCATGCCACTTGATGGCCGATGGCGGGAGGTTTATCACTGAGTTCTCTTCACCATGCCCACTTAGACTGATGATCATGATCCTGTAAATGAAGGGATGTGCGCCTCTAATCAAGTCGGCAATCTCCCTGAACAGTAGCTGCTGCCGCCGCCTAATCCTTGCGAGACCTCCTGTAACATATTTCTACATCCATGATGGATCGTAACCCCCAATGCTACGGCAGCCAATTAATTCACTTCGCCTTTGACCATATCTCAAAAACTGACTAGCGGCAAGCCGAAATTGATATTGGTGCTCAAGTGAGGACAGCCCTCAATGGCCCTACCTCTGCAGGGTACGTGGGTATCATAGCTTATACTCTATGAATAAGTGGGAACTGCGATCCAGATAGGGTGCTCGGGATGCTTGTACCCATATATGCAGCTAATGAACAGCCAAGCTTTCTGGAGGACCACACAATAGCGGGTGTGGCGTTTCTGCGGTTGCCAAGCCACGTTATGCTCTTATGCATAATTACATCATTTGTTTTAAAACTAGCCTAGGTACAATTCATGCAAAGCGAGCCGGACATCGCGGACGCAGCCATGAACATACCTACAGATCGCCGTCCAGCTCTGTCGCACACGTTCCCGGCTTCCTTACATTGATCATGGATGCATGGGGAGAACCCGACAGAAAGTGCGGGCAGGATGCTGTGCGCCCAGACTCCAAAGACTACATCGTACAACTCGTCATCTCCTTGACCTTGGGGCTGACAGCCTTCATTGTCTTCTGCGTAAGTGCGGCACCACGCCCTGGCTGTGTAACATGCGCAACACCTTGAACGAGATGGAATAACCGATTGCTGACCAGCCTCTGATCCTTAGATCCTCAGACCGCGATGGCCCACTCTGTACGCCGCCCGTAGACGACACAGCGACCCCCATATTGCCCTCCCCGAACTTCCCGACAGCTTCCTAGGATGGATGCCCGCCTTGTACAGGGTCACCGAGGCCCAGGTGCTAGCCTCGGCTGGCCTTGATGCCTACGTCTTCTTGAGCTTCTTCAAGATGGCCATGCAGCTTTTCGCTGTCATGCTCTTCTTCGCCGCCACCGTACTTTGGCCCATCAACTATAACTTCGAGAGTACGCCACCACCCGACAAGAACCATACGCGGAGTGCGCCAGAGTTCTCAAGTCGACTTGGAACAGCCGATCTGTATACTTATGACCAAACCACATTTGCCATGTTCGAGGATGGCGACACCTCGGACAGCTGGTTGTACTGGAATAAGCCGTACCTCTGGGCTTATCTCGCGTTCACCTGGTTTTTCTCTTTGCTCACGATCTACTACATGAACAGGGAGACTTTCAAGGTCATCAAGGTTCGACAGGATTATCTTGGAACCCAATCAACGATAACGGATCGCACATTCAGAATGACCGGCATCCCACGGGACTTGCGATCAGAAGAGAAGATCAAGCATTTTGTCGAAGTACTGGAGATTGGAAACGTCAAGTCAGTAACATTATGTCGAGATTGGTCCGAAATAGATGCACTCATGATAGAGCGAGATGCCGTCCTGCGAAAACTTGAAGAGGCATGGTCTGTGTATTTAGCCAAGCAGCCGCCCACGGGCGTAGTGCGTTCAAGACACCACGGTGAGGGCAGCGGTCTCGGTACCGGCGACGAAGGCCACGGTGCGGAGGAAAATGGCCCTCTACTCGCTGGCGACAGCCTCCGCTCGTTGATGAGCGAGCGACCGCGTCCGACGACCAGAATCAGGTTTGGGTTCTTCAATTTCCGAAGTCGCAAAACCGATGCTATTGATTACTACGAAGAGAAACTCCGTCGAATGGACGAAAAGATCCAGTTTGCCAGGGAAAAGGAGTACCGTCCAGTCGCCACAGCCTTTGTGACAATGGATTCTATTGCCGCGTGCCAGATGGCTATCCAAGCTCTCGTGGATCCACGACCGGGACACTTTCTTACCAAGCCAGCACCAGCACCGTCCGATGTAATATGGAAGAATACGTACAGTTCCATATGGCGGCGGCGATGGCAGTCTTGGACTATCACCATATTCATTACCGTGCTCACCATCATCTGGATTGCACCTGTTGGCTCACTGGCTGGTCTGTTCAGCCTCTGCACGATTGAGAAGGTTTCGCCATCCTTGGCCGAAGTTCTCCAACGCCACGACATCACGAAGGCCCTTGTCCAAACAGCATTGCCAGTAGGCGTTGTAACGTTACTCAACGTACTAGTGCCATACCTGTATGATTATCTCGCGAATCAACAGGGTATGATCTCACAGGGCGACGTCGAACTATCTGTGGTATCGAAGAACTTCTTTTTCACATTCTTTAATGTTTTCCTGGTATCTGCAGTCTTTGGAACCACATCCCAATTCTGGCCGGTTCTAAGAGAGTCACTTCGAGATGCTCAGTTCATAGCACTGACGCTTGCCGGATCCATCCAAAAACTCAGCAACTTCTACACCAACTTTATCATGCTTCAGGGAATCGGATTGTTCCCTTTCAGGCTTCTGCAATTTGGAAGTGTAGCGCTCTATCCAATCTACCGGATGGGGGCCAAGACTCCTAGAGATTTCGCCGAGATCGTGCAACCGACTCTCTTCAACTACGGCTTTTACCTGCCTACCGCCCTGCTGGTCTGTATACTCTGTCTTGTCTACAGCGTGTTGCCGGGCTGCCACCTGGTTCTGTTCTTGGGCTTGTGCTACTTCACACTTGGTTACTATGTCCACAAATACCAACTCCTCTATTCAATGGATCAACCCCAACACGCGACAGGGGGAGCATGGCGCCTCATTTGTTACCGCATCATACTCGGCTTGGTCATCTTCCAGATCGTCATGGGCGGGATTCTGTCCCTGAGGGGCGCCTTCTATGGCGCAGCCCTCGTCTCGCCGTTGCTCGCTTTCACCGTCTGGTACAGCTTCTACTTCAGCCGACGATTTGCACCGCTTACCGTGTTCATTGCTCTTCGGAGTATAAAACGCGACTTGGACCCCGGTGTGGAGGGCAATCCGCAACAAGACGCCACGCAGCAGCCTCAAGCGATGAGACTGACCAGGCGTATGAGCACCATCGACGAAGACAGAGAAAAGGGGATGAAATTTGTCAACCCAAGTCTCGTCGTGCCGCTCCCACAGCCTTGGATTTATAAGGATCCGCCTCCGCCACTATCGCCAGAGGACTCTATGAACAGTACCTATCGGGACAACTCGAGCGATAATGCGGAAAACAGCAGCAATTCGTCGCCGAGTGAACGGGGCGGCAATGGCAATGCCAGCAATGCCAGTGGTTCGAGCTCCTTTAGCTTAGGAGACACCCACGTGTGGAGGGATAATGGCGATCGCAACGTGTAATGAGTGTGACGAGCTTGTATTGATACAACGAGGCCGACAGATTGATACCCCTATTTCCTTTATGAGCATAGAATTATAATAATTACTACCGATTTGTATCTTCACCCTGTGGCAGCAGCGCTCCGTGTTTCTTGAAGTACCTTGGTTTTCCTCATGGCCACATTCCGTCGTACATAAAGAGCCAGTCATCCCAATAAATTTCGAAGTTTCCAACAACCCAGCTCCGACCATCTCCTGTGCCGCCGACTTTCCATGGCCTTGCAAGAAGCCCCCCTATCTGTAAGTGCCGTTTTAACGCTACATTGATGCTGAAGCTGCTCGGACTGACGCCCACGAAGTAATCCGACTCCAGCAAGACGGCGAAGTCGACCAGGGCCTGCTGATCCCACGTCATGCTTTTCAATGTCTCCAGCTTCTGACCATGGAGCATATCATACTTCGTGCGCACGTTCAACTGCATCTCCGACCAGGCCTCATCTGCAAATTTCTGAGACTCGCTCTCGCTGCCGGACGCGAGATACGCAACTCCACCCTTGAATCCTCGTCGCCCAACTTCTGTGATGAATCCTGCGGCTTGAACCTCGTAAGTTGGCCACTCTTTGAGTGCATCCTCCTCCGACCTCAAGTGGATGGCAAGGAAACTCTCGTTCGCCTGGCCTGCGTTATTAGATATCCTCCCGGCCTCCCTCCTCATCGCCCGTACGACCGCGTGTGCCAGATTTAATACATCATCCCTAAACATGAGAAGCCCCCCGAATGTCGCCACGAACTCCGGCCCATCCCTCATAACCTCCCAGTCCCACAGGACGCCCCACTGCAGCCGAATCAACCGCGGGCTCTCGATGCCCACCGCCGGCAGCCGCCGCTCCAGCGCTGACTCGTCGAGCCAGGCCCGGAACCTGTCACCGAAGCGGTCCGTGTGCCGGTTCTGGTCGCGCAGGTCGCAGCCGGCCCGCCGGCCCAGGTCCTTGGGCGCCACGCGCTCGACCATCTTCTCGACGTCCGGCAGACCCTCGCGCGCGACCTTCTGCAGCACATAGGGCACGTCCTCGAGCGCCGCGTAGACAACGACGCGCGGACACGCGGCCGCTAGCCCTTCCCGGAACCGTGTCTCCGAGAACATGTAGCCGAAGGGCGCGTGGCCACCGCGGAACAGGTCGGCCAGGTGGTCGGCGGACCGAACGCGGATGCGCGGCAGCACGAGCGACGTGGCTCCGGCCTCTACCGCATAGCGCACACACGTGAGGATGTAGTTGCGGATGTTGCCCGGCCCGCCGCTATTGTTGTCGCACAGGAATACCAGCCCGGGGACCCAGGCTGTCGTCTCGGTACAGATCCGGGCCAACGGCCAGGCAATGAAGGGGGCGCGCGGTGACGACAAGTCCACGTTTGGATAGTGGTGCTGTGGCGAGCCTGTGATTATCAAGGCACCGCGGGATTGTGATGATGCTGCCAAGGGAGCCCGCCGTGAGAGCTGGATCCCCCAGATCATGAACAGCAGGATGAGTAGTGCCACGGGAAGACCGATGCGCTGCCTCCGCATGCTGGCGGTATAGCGTCCTTGCGCCATGCGATCGGAGGTGATAATGCACCCGCGTCCCTTACTGTTATAAATGGGCCGCATGGGATAGAGAGGCCTTGTGTCTGCGACGTCACGCGCATGGTGAATGACGCGCTTAGAACATGACTTCCCTTGCCGGAGATCTATTGACTGCCCCAATTGTTTTTGGCAGGTTGTTGGAAGCCCATTGAACAGTTGATTACAGATCTCAAGTTGAGACACGAAATGGACGGAGGTTGGAGTGTTGAGCTCAATTACCGGTTTAGGATTGCGGAGGGTGGAATCCGGTTACACACAAATTGCTCCCCCGATTCAAGCCAAAAGTCTCCTCAAGCAGGACCGAGTGGTTTGGAATGAGGAATCGAAACTGTATGATTTGGTAATGATTGCTTCACGCTGGGTATGTCTGTTGCTGATAGTGCGACATAGCGAAATACTTTTACAATCAACAATGAAACTTGACATAATCTATATCTATATGGTCTACTGAGCCTGGTATCATGAGGTGAGATGGGGAAGAAAAACAAAACACTCCGAACACCAAAACTCCCTGATGCCACACCCGGAACTTTCAAATCACTGGATCCATTCAAGGAGTCCATCAAACGCCGATAAGGGGCCAATGTGTGCCACATACCCGTCAGGGCGTACCAGGGCGTATCCAGACCCTTCGAAGCCATAGGACTTGTGAACGGCGCCGTCGATATCGACGTAACCAGATTTTCCAGCTTGACTGGGCCCAAAGATGGTGTGTACTTTGGTCTGAGTCCTACAGGCCTCCAGGAACCTCGTCTCGGCGCGGTGCAAATCGCCCTCGCTAGCGGCTGCAGTATTGACACCTGAAAACAGTACGAGGTGATGGCTCTCGGGGGTGAAGAGTGTTTGGAGGTACTTCTCGCCTTCTGGGCCATCAAGCTTTCCGTCTACCGCACGGTTACCTCCTAGGATGGGCCCGCGGAAACCAGGAGCGGTGCCGACGATAGGGCTCCGGCTGTAGCGAATGCCGAACTCAGTCATGAATTTAAATGCTTGCAGATTCTTCTCGGGGTTTCTGGTCATAAGGGGCATGGTCCAGGGCAGGATGAGGTTGCGGAGAAACAGGTAGATAGGATTCGTCCATGTGATCCAGGAGAACAGCTTGTCTGTAGTCTTGAGGAGATGCTGGCCGACAGGTCGTCGTTCGTCGTCATAGGTATCGAGAAACGAGTCTGGCTTCTCGCCTCGAAGCACCGCAGCCAACTTCCAGCCAAGGTTGATCGCGTCTTGGATGCCAGTGTTCATTCCTTGGCCGCCAGCTGGGGAGTGAATGTGTGCGGCGTCGCCCGCTACGAAGAGTCGGCCCTCGCGGTACTTGTTGACGCCGCGGTGGTGCAAATTGAAGCGCGTTAGCCAGGTAGGATTGTACAATTTTACCTCGCCGGGAAACACCCCCTTCATGAAGGATTCAAACTCCTCAAGCTGTGGAACTCCGGTCTTGGGTTGGTTCGGCCGCGAGACCACCAGGCGCACCATTCCTCCCTTCATGGGAAGGACTACGCACACGCCGGTGCCCAAGCAGAAATAAGCCCTGTTGACGGGCAAGTTGGTTTTGATGTGCGTATCGGCTAGGACGAACTCTTGCGGGTAGGCATCTCCGTCAAAGGTCATCGTCTTGGCTGAATGCCGGACGCAGCTGTGAGCTCCATCGGCACCGACCACATACTTGGCCCTGATAGTCTCTTCGGCGCCGCTCTGTGAAACCAGTCGCACCGTTACACCCTCGTCGTCCTGTTCGATACTCTTGGCCTCGACCCCCATCTCGACAGCAGCGCCGTGCTTTGCCAGGATGCGGTCGAGCCAGGCCTCTGTATCGGCCTGTGATATAGACCTTGGCGCTGGGAAGACCGTTGGAGTGATACCAACGAAGTCCACGTTGACGTCGACGACCTTCTTGCCATTGACGGCAGTGGTGGTTCCCACTGCCTGGAACCCGGCGTCCAAGAGCTCCCTTACATCGCCATGGCGGTTGAGAAGCTCCTGCGACCGGGGCTGTAGCACAAGTGCTCGGCTGTAAGATGAACGCTGTGTGGCTTTGTCGATGATGCGAAACGGAACCTTCTGTGCTGCGAGCTCGAGGGCCGCTGTGAGGCCAGTTGGCCCTCCACCGATAATAAGGACATCGATGTCTGACATCATGCAACAGAAAAGGGTTGGGGAACTACAGAGAGTAAATAGTAGATAGAGGCCTGCTGCCAGATGTATGATTACAGTTGATCGCACGACGGCGTCTTGAGAATGCTGTGTATTCAAGAATGGATGGTACACTGGGATCGCAATCAAGCCAACTGGACATGTCTTGACATTTATATAATACCCAAAGCTGACAGACACATTGCGCCAAGCGAGCTGATCCGACGCCAGCCTCGTGCTAGGCGTGCCTCCGGAACCTAGTAGTGAGGCATGGTGGTGAGCCGTTATGGCTTAGCATGAACCATGGTGGAGCAGGTCGGAGCAGCGTAGCGGCTGACCGGCATCGCGAATTTGACAGCGACTTTGGGCTTCCGGGCCTTGGCGTCCTCGTAGAGTGTTGTCCAATCAGGAGCCTGGATCATTTGGTCGGGGCGGGCCCAGATCGGTGCTTCGCGTTCTGAACCTCCGACCAAGGCCGAGTTGAAGGTCGAATGGGGACGCCGTGTTACGGTACCTTCTCCCGGTTTGAAGCCGCGCCGCCGTACAACCGGACGGTTCCTCCGGTTTCTGACCAAATTCGCTTGGCGCGTGATCCGATTTGCCTGTGTATTGTGATACTGCAGTGTTGGTACAACTTTAGATGCCGCCCCAGTGGTTGGAGAGCGAGCGCCAGCGGGCTGACAATTGCCAGTCATCTTCCTTTGCTTTGGGAATTGGAAGCAGTCCACACATCTGGATCAGCAGATTCTGCATCTACCCTTCAAAGTTTCGTACACAATTATGAATCATATACATTCATGCTACAATGTTCTTCGAAGCTTGCTGCTGTGTGTTGGCAATCAACGGCATCTTCACAAGTTGGTTTATCAGGCATAATTGTGGCAAATCGGCAGATGTTGAGTATGGTTTCAATAAGTAGCTACCACCTCAAGTAGAACATGAGAAAGGATTGCAAGAATCTCGCTGTACAGCACGACCTATGTCTTGTGTGTGCCACAAGAAATGATGCCGTGGGTGGTGACACCGCTTCTCATGCGGTCGGTACCACCGATTCAATCATCGTTGGCCATTCCGTCAGCATCCAACTCGCTTTCTTCCTCCGCCTGGCCGCCGTTCTCGATCTCGTCCATTCGCACAACGAACTCGTCTTGCAATCTTTTCATGTAACTTCCAAGAGCAGCATCGTCCATATCCGACTCGTGCATCTGCTTGAGGGTCTCATGCAGATTCAGTAAAAGCCTCCTTCGTTGTGTGAGTTTATGGTGGCGAGAGCTTCTTCGTTTCTGCTCAATCTGTTCCTTGAGCTTCTTGGATACAAGTTCGGCATTTTCGATGAACTCGTCGGGAAAACCAATGACTTTGGCTAGGTTCAGACCATAGTGGGCTTGGCGATTTTCCCCCGAAGTGATTTTGTACAGCATTGTCATCGTCGGGCATTCCTCATTTCCGCCTTGAGAAATTTCAGTGGTGAGATGAAGGTTCAAAACGCCAGGACGACTTCCAAGCACCTTTGCTGTAGCTTTGATCAGAATGCAAATGTTCTAACAGTCATAATGTTGACCCGCTTACCTAACTGGCTGAAATGGGTGGCGAACCAAACGAGAGAGCCACTCTGGATGAGTGCCTCGGAAATTGCTAGAGCAATAGCAAGTCCATCTCTAGTACTAGTCCCACGGCCGAGCTCATCAATTATCACTAAGCTTTTCTCATCGATGTTTCTCAGAATGAATGCCATTTCTCTCATCTCGGCTGAGAAAGTTGACATATTTGCCTCAATACTGTCGTCTGTCGACATTCGCACAAACAACTGTTGGATTATAGGGAAAGATGCATATTCGGCAGGAACAAAACAGCCAATTTGAGCCATGATCTGCAACAGGGAGATCATCCTGATATATGTGCTCTTCCCGCTCATGTTGCAACCTGTAATAATCTGGAAACGATGCTGTTCACTTGCAAAGACGTCGTTGGGGACAAATCTCTGCTGTATCTGCAGATTAAAGTTAGCCTCCAATCTTATCCTTTAGATTACATTCATTACCGTGTCGCATATAGGGTGTCGTGCTGCCTGGAGCGCCATGGTATGTCCAAATTCGGGTCGACTGTAATCCCTCGAAGTTATGGAATGCGCAAACGCAGTGAGCATATCTAACAGGGAGATGCCCTCACAGACTCGAAAAAGGTTGGCAATATGTCCTCTGATTCCATCTAGCAATTCATGCACGACTCTGTCGCTTAGCATCACAGCTTCGTTATGAGAGTCTGTGATACGCGTGTTGAGTTGGATGAGACCGAGCGTCTGACACTCGATGTAGACGCCCCTTTTCACCTGATTGATCAGAACATCTGGAATATCTCGATCTTCCATGTCGCATTGCCGCAATCGAAGCCAATATTTTCGGTTCTGATCATATCGAATTTCGGCTGACATATCGAATTGGCCTGTGGTAATCAAGTTCAGTACCAGACTAGCAGGTAACAGGGGAAGTACACACTGTTAAGCTCCTCCACAAGAGAATGTACATCATCAGTTCCCTCCTTGTAGATTTGACGAGCCACGTCAAGTAGACCATTTATTCCCGACTAAATGGGCCATGGTAAGCTTGTTGCAATGAGCACAGCGTCAATAGCACCAACCTTTACTGCGTAGGTCCGCTGATGTCGCATGTTGAGTGGAGAATCTACGTAGGTAACATCGTCGTTGATTGTTTCAGTAATCAAGTTAAGCACGGGCTGGATCAGCTCAGGCCTGCAGGTATCGCGGACTCTTTGGAGGAGCTCAGAGCGAGCAGATCCAAGAGCATCGTACAGTGGAGAAACGGCGTTTACGAAGGCCTTGACCTTCAAAACGTGGTTAATAGATTGTTCCGACTCGTATATTGAAGCTCCTTGTGGCACAATGACGAGCTTGGAAGTATTAGCTAAGACAGTGATACTCTGATCATCGAATGCCTCACCGTTGTGAGAAGCTTTTCGGCATCGGTGAACGCCTTGAGAGCTGCAGAGTTATGTGAGACAGACCATTGACTGTGGGTTCCTTGGGCCCAAACCTTTCCTGATATCGAAGAACATGTCTTCTTTCACCGTCATTTCATCGAGTGCATCGAGCCGAGGGGTGAGTGTATGCTCGACCTGAGTTGACGGTTGCAATATATTACTTCGGAGCATACGAGACCCCATTGGTGTCAATGTCTCGTTCAGCAGCCCGAATAGACAACATTTAGACTTTGGATTTTGAAGATTCTGCAAGAGTTCGAGAGAATGTATTGTAGGAATGTCGATCATCATTGAGTTTTCCGATGGCTGGTATCTAATGCGAAGAGACTGGGGCATGATACTCAGGTGGCATGCAAACTCGGTGTACTTGATGGCCTAGGGAAAGGACGGATTAGAGAATATTCTACTTTGACGTGGTGGAACATACCGCGGCAAACGAGCAAGTGGCATAGAAGTTGCCCTGAGTTGCAACTTGTATGGCTTGAATGTCTTCTCGGAAGGCGAGAGAGTGTATGAACTCCAGGCCGGCAGTCTCGGACCAGTACTTACGATCCAGTGGTTCAATGGGTACCCCGTGAAGCTCTTCCTCGATGACGGATAGCAGGTTGGACTTTGGGTGAAAGGCAGTACTGACTAGCAAGATGGCAGAAGGCTCGTGCACCTGTATTTTGTGAAGTGTCTTGACATAGAATTGCGAATCGCATATCTGGCTGAGAATTGCCTCGTTCGTAGTGATGTTCACGAACGCAAGCCCAACAGACGGAGACACCCCACGGGCCTCGCTGACGGCACAAATAACCACATGGCCGTCAGATCCCCAAACGGACGAAGTCGCTCGGGACTTTCTTCCTGAGGTCGTACTGGCATTCCCGCGTAGTCGAGAGGGATAAGAAGAACTCGCAACAGACCGACTTCGATAGTGAGACGTGGTAGTCTGCTGACTCGCAGAAGACTGGGGCCTGACCAAGCCTGCTGAGGGATGGGGTGTGCCGGAAGAGGTGCGGCTGTAGGTGGCGGATGCTGAAGCAGGTGGCTGGCCCAAGCCAACAGAATCTAACCCCCCCAAAGGTGCTCGAAGGACCGAGCTCCTGGCTGTCGACGGGTTACGCAGGGGTATAGGCGGTGGAGGCATTGCGGGCGAGCCACCAGGAGAAGACATTGTGACTGAGGGCACCTAGGAGAGCGCTGGTTGTGGAGGGCAAGCAGTCTTTTCGCTCACAGACACGGCTGTGCCTACTGGTTCTTACGAAGAGCCCGTTGGATGGTGGAAAATGGAGGGGAGTATGACCATGCGATAATGCAGTATGTATCAGTAGTTTTGGCCCTCAGACTACCCGGAATTACACATGGTCGACGGCTGAGTTCACCAAGAGTGTAGCTCTGCGGCCTGGGGGCCCGAGAGGGTTAAGCTACATTCCCCCTTGATCCGTATGCTATTCAACGGAAACGGCCACGGCCACGGCCAGGCAGCGATCAAGCATCATACACATCCAGGGATGGCCAGGACCTACATAGGTGCAAGTCCGCCCTCAGAGCAGGTCGACCTACGTCGAAGTCAGGCAGGCACGCACCGAGCCGGAAAGCTAGAGTAATATCGAAGTGGGCAGCGGCGACATGCAGGTGTGGGGCCGGCTGCAAGTGCCCTCTGTAATTGGGTTTCAACATAAGTTGACTAGTACAGAGGTACCTGCAGTATAGGCGGTGGCACCCCTGCAAGCCAAGGCGATAAGATCACGATAAGATCCAGATTGTTGCTATCGGCCCAAAAAAATTAGGAAATTTGGAGCAGCACCCCGCTACGGCCAGTATTTTGAGTCCCGTACCAGGCAGGCCAGACCGTTGAATCTGCACAGCAGATCTAGCCCGACCACGCCTCAGGAAAGGACAAGACTCGAAGCATAGCCCGGCAGTAGTACCTGTTCGTTGTTGCTTCACCAGACCGATTCTCGCCTGTCTAGGAGCAACTGCATTGCCATGGCCACGATTCTCCCGCCGCCGTCCAAGCGGCAGCGCCGTGAGGCCCTCGAGCGCACCCAGCTGCAAGCCGATGTGACGCCCGCACCCATCGAAGCCGGGTCTTTCAAGGCGCGCTTCGTCGATAGCGACTCGAACCAGCTTGCCGAGGTCGTCGAGATCCCCCTGGCCGATGCCAATGAGAAGAATATCTCGATCCTGCTCAACACCCTTCTCGGCCATGACCGCGAAGACTTCACGCCCTACCGCTTCCGCATACACATTCCCTCCTCCGACGTCGTGATAGACACCTACCCCTCCCCTCAAGAGTTTCTTGCCGTGCTCCGCAGCCATGGCATCACGAACCCCTTCGAGACCACCCTCACTCTCTCCGCTGAGCCGCAGGCTGTCTTCAAGGTCCAAGCTGTCACGCGCATGGCGAACAAGATCCCAGGTCATGGGGAGGCCATCCTAGCTGCACAGTTCTCGCCCAAGAACAGCAGCCGGCTTGCGACAGGCTCCGGCGACAACACGGCGCGGGTTTGGGACTGTGATACGGGAACCCCAAAACACACACTGAGCGGGCACACGGGGTGGGTTTTGGCCGTGGCATGGAGCCCGGATGCCAGCAGACTGGCGACAGGGAGCATGGATAAGTCCGTGAGAATATGGGACCCAGAGACCGGCAAAGCGGTCGGCAAGCCCTTCTCGGGCCATTCCAAATGGGTAAACAGTATCGCCTGGGAGCCCTATCATCAGTGGAGAGACGGCACACCCAGGCTCGCGAGCGCAAGCAAGGACGCGACGGTGAGGATCTGGCTCGTCAACTCTGGGCGCATTGAACATGTCTTATCAGGGCACAAAAGTAATGTTTCGTGTGTACGGTGGGGTGGCAAAGGCTTCATCTATACATCATCTCACGACAAGACGGTCAAGGTGTGGAATGCCGTCGATGGCACGCTGAAGCATACATTTGCTGCCCATGCTCATTGGGTGAACCATCTGGCCTTGTCTACGGACTTTGTGTTGAGGACAGCATTCTTCGACCACACCAAAGACATCCCCAAGACGGACGAGGAAAAACGGGAAAAGGCCAAGGGACGATTCGAAAAAGCGGCTACCAGGCAGGGCAAACTAGTCGAGCGCCTGATCTCCGCCAGTGATGACTTTACCATGTATCTCTGGGATCCAGATGAGGGCACAAAACCTGTGGCTCGGTTACACGGTCACCAAAAGCAAGTCAACCACGTCACTTTCTCCCCCGATGGTGCCTTGATCGCGAGCTCAGGCTTTGACAACCACACCAAGATCTGGAGTGCCCGGTAAGTCCACAACAACTTTTCCGAGCCGCTGTTACGGGGCTGTTGCTCACCAAAAGTGACGTACTAACAATGTCTAGGGACGGTAAATTCATCAACACCCTAAGAGGTCATGTGGCCCCTGTGTACCAGTGTGCGTTTTCAGCCGACTCGCGCCTTCTCGTCACAGCATCCAAGGATACGACGCTAAAGATCTGGAATATGCAAACATGCAAACTCGCGGTAGACCTTCCAGGTCACCAAGATGAAGTCTATGCAGTTGACTGGAGCCCTGACGGCAAACGGGTGGGAAGCGGAGGCAAGGACAAGGCAGTTCGGTTATGGTGCAACTAGACTAACCATCTGTTGACGGGGCCCTTGTTCGAGGACCTGTTCCAAGAAAACCGTGGTTCATCGCCACCGCAACGGATAGAACTTATATACCTAGGTACCCAGCATCATCTTGCCCTCGGAACAGAAATCTCGGCCGAGTGTATGCTCATGAAGATGAGGCGTTTGAATGCATAGGATAAAGCTTGCGTGGATACCAAAGCGGATAGCTATAGAGTTGACGTCATGCGATAGAAATCATATCACATAAGTATAAGTCATTGTGGAAGATTCTGATCTGGGACATAGGCTGCACAGGGAGAGGGCTCTACCTCCCGGTTTTAGGAGACCAATATCTCAATGAATACCCAAGGGCAAAGTCTTGAATTAGCGCCAACCAGTGATTCGCAACATCAGTGTTCGAGGCACCAATCCTCGTCGAGGCTGGCTTAGGGTGAACTCTAGAACCCCGACTGTGGAACACCCCGTGCAACTAAGTGACTCGAGAGGGGCAAGCCATGATAGTGTCTTACGGGTTCTTCGCGATATGCCATGGATCTTGTGCCAGTACGTTTGCCAATACGCCTCCAACACGGGTTGCTGACAAGGCAAGGAGTCCCCCCTTCCACGGTCATTAGGTAGTTCACTCCCAGTCCTTCCCGTGTAAATCACCGACGGGCGGTCCCGAGAGTGTGTGTCTCTGCTCACACATGGTTTTGTCGCCTGTACCATGATAAGCAACACACCGCCAGTGTGGCTATTCCCTCGAGGATTCATTGGATGCCTCATGTGCCGGCGAGTCTGACAGGTATCACGCCAGAAAGGCGAGGCAGAGCAGGTTTTACACGCAAACCAGGGAGGTGGATGGATGAAGCCAGCCACCGTCGTACTCCTTGCGCCGTGCCTGAGGCTTCCGCCGACTGCTTTATCAGCCTGTCTCATCGGGCGCAAGTCACGCTCCGCCCGTGATCTGGTCCAATGTCAGTGCGCCGTACCCGGGGATATCATGCCTGTGGCTGATGCCGACTGATCGTTTCACGTCCTTCTAGAGCAGACGGGGATACGAATCCAGCCATCCATGGCCTCGTCTCGACACAGCAAGCCGAGAAGGAAGGACGGATGCGGCAATGCGGTAGCGGTGTGAGACGATGGCAGTCTTGACAAGATCCCGGCGCAGGCGACCTCGTCCGGGGCGTATGTGGTGGTCGGCCTGGGCAAGGCTATATAGGACGCCGAAAATAGGTCACCCACCTTGTGGGAAGAAAGCGTGCCAGGTCCCGTTCCGTTGGATCATTGTAGCATTAACATGGGTGACTGCCTGCCAAGAACATAGATAGAACGCAAACCTGGGGTCAACCCCAGATACCAGACGTCCATGCATACTGCATGCACGCCTATCGGCTGCAAGTAATGGCTACGTGGGATTGGAGGGCAGGTATCGTTATTTGGTATGCCTGCGGCGAATAGGAATGGCTTCAATACTGCTCTAGTTATGAAAGGTTCGTTGTAGGCTGCGGATGCTGCGCCAAGACATTCCATGTTAGGATTTTATTTACGCATTTAGCATATTTGATAAGCGTCAACCGAATTACTCAGATGTGTATATTTGGATATATGTTGGAGGATCCACTCAAGCCACAGCAGTAGGACTCCAACGACTGGGCGATTCTGCAGTGGGGACTTGAAACGGCCCGTTCCTGGCAGCCTTGGGGGCTATCATTCGGAGTGTTGGCCGAGACACATCCTGGTACTCGCTCCCTTTGCAGATCAGGCGTGGGATTATGTTATCGTGTACCCTTGATTGAGGCGGAGCTGAGATCTGAGTAACCAACACTCCTCGAGGATTTGCAGCGCCGATGCATACGTCATAATTGACCTGGGCCAGGTCAGCGCAGTCAGCATTGAACATGCCACTTGAGTTATCGGTATGCGATGCATTAACGCGCTTTGGCCGTGTCAAAGAGCGTGCGGTTCTGTGAGCCATGGTCCAGCTTTGTGCCTGTCCGGCCTGACGGAGGGGATAGAAAAGTTACCACCAGTCTCGGAAAGTTTCGGGTATCATTGTGTGACATCTGCGACCGAAGCACCCCGATTCACCGAACAAGAAACATCAAACATTTAGGGGTGTAATAAATCATGCCAATGAAACATTACATGAGGGATTTCTGGCTTGTTAAGCACAACCAGAAGCTGTCTCGTCGAGGCAGGAGAGTTCATCCCAGCATATGAGCTGACCACGGGGCTTAGAGAGCACCGGTGAGTGGTGGATTCAATGCGGACTGGGCTCCTGGATTATTAGACCACCCACACCGAGTTTGGAGATCACCATTCGGCAGTGCAGGATAAAGGATGATATAACTACCGTGGTTACAGACAGTCATGTGGAGGACGTGAGAATATTTGGTAGAGGGTGGTAGGATTTTCGGCAACTCAAAAGAAATTGCAACCGTCCAATGGGGTTGGAAGGTGCTCTTTTTGAGTACGAGTACCTAACTAGGTCAACATCGCGCTCTATTGTAGCTTCAGTGTTAGTAACCAATACACCTTTGAACTACAGCAACGGGCGTCGAGGGCTTGCATCTGCATCAGAGTTAGCTGCCCCTCCTCCACCCTCGAGGCTCAGTCGCACTTGATCCAGCAGCCAACAGCGACGATGCTGATGATCCAACTGCCGTTTTCTATGGGCTCTCGAAAGCACATCATGCATATGTCTAGAGTCAAGATGATTAAGTAGCTGGAGGTAACAGGTTTGCAAGCTGTGTGACATGCATGGGTCTGATGAGAAGCCCCGGATCGCCTCGTATAATACATGGGGGCCAATCTCCTCATACGTCTCACCAATGACAGCATACTGACGAGACCTGAATCTACCAATTCCTGCCCAAATCTATTAGCAACACGGGCCGCGCAGCCATAGAAACTGACACTACGCGTGCCTTTGGGTTGCCCAGATTCCCCTCCGCTCTGCGCCAGTAAGACGATGGTGCGATGTAGAGGTTGCACCGAACCTGGGCTAAGCAAAGCTCAATTACGAATGCTGTAGGTCACCAAATACTACGCTTGGTGAGGGAGCCAGAAAGGCCTTGCCAGCCGAAATACTTTGAGGCCGTGGAATTGACGTGAGTCTAAATGATGACAATGCTGAGTCGACATGTCCTGTAGATTGATCAGGACTGTCGCTCAGCCGCCAGCCGGCTTCGAAACGTCGGAGTCATGCTCGTCACGATCGTGACGGGCGAGTTACGTACAGCGACCGACCTACATAGATCAGGGTCGGACGGCACCAGCGGCCCCATGTTGGAGGGACATCCGTTGGAAAGGTCTGCGAAAGAGCTTCTGAAAGCTGTCGCTACCCGAATGTAACACATGCAAGCCTGCAACTTGTGACCAATGATGTTGGCGTGCCATCAAGCTGGGAATAGCAGAGCTTGGAGGCCACGCTTGGTTGGCCCGCAAGAGCAGAGTTGCCGTTGGATCCCTGCTGGAAACCTCGCCTGCCACGCCGTCTGGGCCGGTGCTGGGGCTTCACGGGTGCAAGAGGGTGTCTACCCCTGTCAATCCTTCCTCAGACCGTCTGGGCCGGCAATCCCTGGCAATAGAGGGAAGAGATTTCGACAGAAATACCCCGAGTCTTCCTTCGACATTCCTGTAGAGTTGGCTCGATGACGGAAGAGTGAGCCCAAGGCTGGTTGGCAGCTCAGCAGTTTCAGTTAACGTCTTTAGCTCCCACAGACGCCAAACCCATACTAGGCACTGCAAAGGAACAACGCAACATCAAGCAGAATCGTGCAGCGCGCCAGACCGTCCTGGGCGCATTGGGAATCTGGTTGCTATCAGCAAGTTGTAAGTAATCCTTGTTTTGCCGCAACCACTTCGGTTCTGGCAGTGTGCTGCTACCACTGTCGCATTTGCACCACAGGAGGTTTTGGTCCGGGTATGCATGGTCGACTGGAGCTGACCTGCTGGCAAGCATTGAAACTACCAGAATCGTCGCTGGCCACCGGGCAGCAAACACCGATCGCTGCGTCAAAGCTGTGATTTTGGCGAGTGCTGGAGGGCCCCAGAAGGGTGCTGCTGGTTCCAAGATTTTTTCCCGTGGCCGACGGAGCCTGCGGGGACCTCGGCGGTTCATCCGCAGGACGGCAAGTACCTGCCACCGAAGTGAGACGTCAAGGCCGTCGAGGATAAAAAGAACAACCACATCACCTTGGTCACCATCACCATTCCAGGCAACAGAAGCAACAGAAGCAACAAGTCTTCTAAGCCCTCCATCCTGTCGGATCCCACCCCCAGCTGGTCCCGTCGGCGGTAGAACCTGCGCTTGTTTCAGCTTCCAGGTCTAGGTACCTTTAGCCCTGGCAGCGCTGTGCCCGCCTGTGTGGCTTGCGACCCGATCTCCCAATCCGCCTGGCGCCATTTTTAGAGGCCTCTCCCCCCCGTCCCCCCGTCGTACAGGGCCGGCAGGGCTGGGCAGGGCACTGCAGGCGCCCCTTCCTCCCAAGCACCGAGCTACTACTGCTGTAAGGTTCCAGGTACGTCGTGCAATCAGATCGCATCAAACCCAGACAGCCCCGTAGCCAAACACGTCGCCATAATTTTCTGGCGATCCAAGCTTCGGGCCTTACGTCACGGGTGTTCCTTGATGACCTCGTCCTCTGCCGCGCGCCGGGATTTTCTTACCCTTTCTGCGGTGCTGGGCTGCTGCCATTGGATCGACCGTTGTCGCACGTCGAATGCGCCTCAGCATCGTATGCCCGACGGTGGATCTCTTTAAGAGCTTTGCTACGCAGTTGAACTGGGACTCCTCCACCGGCGCAATTTTCCTTACTTCACTCTGACGACAAATTTGTCTGGACCGGCACAAGCTAACCCGATGCTTCGTCGTAGCGGTCCTACACCACAACTACCCACGACCACTACCACCACCACCACTACCTGTAGACTCACGATTCTGCTGCTTTCGTGACCAGCGCGCGCAGAGCTCGACCTACTCGCTGGCTCCATTCTCAACCCGCCAGGCCTTCGTCTTAAAGGACTCTTTCCTTCAAGACCTCGCACCACTCGTTGTTGACAACGATTCGCTGCCACCAATCACCAATCAAGCCACCCGGTGGTTACCAAGAAAGGCTATTGGCATTCCAGCCCACTGCGACAGCTAACCCGCGAGGCTGAAGCTCCCGATACTTTCGTTTCGCCCTACAATTAGCAGCAAGAGGATTGCCCTCTCGCAGAAACTTTCAACATGACAATCTTTCTAGCATCTCTGTAAGTCTCGCCGTTACGTTGCCATTGTTATAGGCGCAAGCTATCTTCTACCTTGTACTCTTTCCCGTGAGCCCGTACTAGGATTTTCAGCTGCTAGCCTGTTACGCACATGTATACTAATGCGCATCCCACAGCTTCCTCCCGAAGACGGTGTACTTCAAGCTACCAGATGCGCCGCAGAAGGGAGGCAAGAGGGGAAACGGAAACCGACCCTCTCGACAACCTCCGCCGAAAGCAGACAAACTCAAAGTAAAGACGAATGCGAGACCACCGCTCGACACCCGGCCAAGTCTCTTCGCGCCTCACCCAGCTAATACCCCGCCGCGAACGCCCACGGATGATGAGGCGGAGATTCCCCTACAAGATGGGCTCTTCGTGAACGAGGATGGCGTACGTTTACATGTGTCGGATGATGAGGGCAGCACTTGTGGCCCAACGGATAAGGAGTCGCCTCTATGGGGTTCCCGTGTCAACCAACCCAAGTCTCGGGCAAGCTCTCCTCCACCTCCATCTCTGCTCGACCACTCCCGGACTCTGCAAAAGGCAAAGGAACTGGGCCGCCAGGGTGTAGTACAGCCTCGCCAGCAAAGAAGCGACAGCCATGACAGGGTTTTTGCCAACGCCAACTGGCGCATTGTGACCTCAGATCAAGGCAACGGCGGTCTACGGAATGCTGCCGACGCTGCTGCCCGCGATGGATTCGACGAAGAGTACACATGGGTGGGCACTTTGGGAATGCCAACTGACGCCCTGGAGGGTACGCAACAGAAAGAAGACATCCATGATCGCCTCTCAACCGAGTATAACATGTTGACTGTCTTTTGTTCCGATAAGGACTTTGACGGACACTATTCCCACTTCTGCAAGCAGATCCTGTGGCCCGTCTTCCACTATCAAATCCCCGACAACCCCAAGAGCAAAGCCTATGAGGACCATTCCTGGCAATTCTATGTCAACCTTAACCAGGCCTTTGCCGACAAGATAATCAAGAACTGGAAGAGGGGCGACACAATCTGGGTCCATGACTACCACCTCCTTCTCGTTCCCGGCATGGTGCGCCAGAAGCTGCCTGACGCCAAGATCGGTCTATTCCTGCACGTGGCATTCCCGTCGTCTGAAGTTTTCAGGTGTCTGGCTGTACGGAAAGAGCTCCTCGAGGGCATGTTGGGCGCCAACCTAGTCGGCTTCCAGATCCCCGAGTATACTCGCCATTTCCTCCAGACTTGCAGCAGACTCCTGAAGAACGTTGAGGCGACGCCTCAGGGCGTCCAGCTTGACGACCGCTTCGTCAATGTTATGAGCAATCCCATTGGTATTGACCCGGTCAGCCTCAATCTCCATCGACAGGAGCATGAAGTCAAACGATGGATCGACGTCATGAAAGACCGCTACAAGGACAAGAAGCTTATAGTTGCTCGCGACAAGTTGGATCACGTTCGAGGTGTGCGCCAGAAGCTCTTGGCTTACGAGCTGTTTCTTAATAAGAACCCGCAGTGGCGAGATAAGGTCGTTCTCATTCAGGTGGCGCTTTCCACCAGTGAGAAGACCGATCTCGATGCAGCTGTCGGCGATATCGTAACCAGAGTCAATTCGTCCTGGGCGAATCTCGCATACCAGCCTGTGGTCTATCTGAAGCAAGACATTCCATATTCGCAGTACCTAGCTCTATTGACGATCGCTGACGCGCTGATGATCACCAGTCAGCGCGAGGGCATGAACCTCACTTCTCACGAATTCCTTCTTTGCCAGGACGGCAAGATGGATGATAAGCGTCATGGATCGCTCATCTTATCTGAGTTTACTGGTACGTCATCTCTCTTCGGAGGCAACGAGCTTTCAGTAAATCCCTGGAGCTACCGACAATGCTCGGAGGCCATTGGAAAAGCCCTCGAAATGTCCGACGAGGAAAAGGATACGCGGTGGAGGAAACTGTACCAAGCGGTTGAGAACCACACCGGAGGCCACTGGTTCACCGAGTACTTGACGCTCCTGGATCGTTTCTACGACGAACAGCACCACCACGCACAGACCTCGGTTCCTCGCCTCAATCTGCAGAAACTAGATCTGGCCTATGGCAGAAGTCAACGCCGGCTCTTCTTCTTGGACCTTGAGGGTACACTGATCCCCAATAACCCGATGAGCTCGATGATTCCGATGAATCCTCAGGTAAGTAGATAGATCCTCCCTCCATGGGCAAGAGGTTCCTTACTCACTTTTGTTTTCTTCAGCGAACACTTTCGGTATTGAATGACCTTGTTGAAGACCCCCGCAACATGATTTACGTCATGTCTGCTCGGCGACCTCAAGAACTGGACCGTTTGTTCCGCCTGGTTCCTAACCTTGGCTTAGTTGCTGAGAGCGGGTGTTTCGTCAAGAATGCCGGTACCGCACAATGGACAGAGATGGCCGACCGTGCTAATATAGCCACTTGGAAAGAATCTGTCAAGTCCATCCTGCAGTACTACCTCGAACGGACTCCGGGCGCCGAGATCGAGGAACGACACTGCTCACTGGTCTTCCACTACAAGGATGCCGAGGACTTTGCCATGGCCGAGCGTCAAGCAAGCGACTGGACTGGCCATATCAACGAGTCTTGTGAAGAGCAGCGAGTCCATGCTACCCAGCTTGAGAATTCAGTGGTCGTGGAATCAATCGACTGGACCAAGCACACTGCAGCCCAGGCGATCTATAAGGAGCACAGCGTAAATGCGCCATACGCCGACAAGGCTGCTCCTTTAGATTTCCTGATGGTAATCGGAGATGGTCGTGAAGACGAGAAGGTCTTTAGATGGGCCAACGAACTTGGGCAGAAGAAGGCCGTGCAACAAGTTATAACAGTCAGCTTGGGCAATCGCAACACAGAGGCTAACGCTACACTGACCCAAGGTGTTAGTGGTAGGTGTCATCCCCCCCAAAGTCTGGTTTGGGATCGTGTAACTGATAGATCTTGCAGGTGTTCTCGTCACTCTTCAGAAGCTCGCTAGTCACGCATAGCCAGCTAGGACCAAGCCCAACCCTTGGAGGCATGTCTCCCAAGCGGCAATTGCTCTCAAGGGGCAGGGATATTTGATTAGGTATTGTATAAGTAAGGAAAAGTTCGAGCATGGCGTTCGGGCGGTCATTATGACGTGGCCGCATCAAAGGGTTTGTTCATACGGAGATGAGATACCAGAGCATGGCTAGATTAGGTAGCAACGGTTTCCCCTCGGCAGTTTTCTTACTTCCCAGAAGTTGGAGGATCTCTTTTGTTGTGACCTCGTGCGGTGCTGGCGCTTTGCTTCTGTTGTATCGGGTCATGTTTTGGCCCAGACTCTGACACATCTGTTGCGTTTTCCATCATGTATTATTACCCTTTCCTTCCTGAAAGAATCGTGCGATATAACAACAAGACAAGACCAGCGATGGACGAACAGTGTAGAAATAGACTTCAAGACATGCCCCATTCCACTACGTTCACACTCCGGTTCCGTGACAGCTATACTCGGTGCAGTGCCACAAATCCATCGGCACTTATTCCCGAAGGCGGTCTCCAGAGAGTGGCCCTTAGCTCAAGTTTCTACTATCCTGTAATGGGGTTACGGGTTGGAAGGATATATTGAGCCACATGAAGTAGGTCTTATATTCCACCTTTGCATGCGGAAAACAGCAGCCGTGATTAGGAAGTATCGTCAATACAATTAAAGTCGACGCTAATGTCTCAAACGCGGCCTATTTTGACTTAAAATAAGCTATCACGAGCCCGTGTATCCGGAAAAAGCGCGAAAGTCCCGGCTGCGGCACCAAAGCCGAGCTCCAAGATGCACAGGACCAGCAGGCCACATCAACCTGCTCCACCGTGGCAGCCCGTGACGCCGCTCGCCCACCGCCCTTCAGACCAGGAGACGATAAGTACTCTGTGGTTCCACCCGGGATATCTCCAACGAAACGCCGCTGCTGCCCCCTGCTCCCTGAAAGTAAAAAGAATTGACGCGACGCTCTTATCGGTTGCCCCTCATCATCGCCTGGACGTCCACGTCGACCCATCGCATCTCCCTCGGCACGGGCATGGGCGGCGACACGCTTTGCTGCGGAGGCGACGTCCTCTGCTGCACCTGCTGTCTGTGCCTAAGCCTGCCGATGAGATCACGGGAGTGCATCTCGAACGCTTGCTGTAGAGACGATGAATCGTCCCAGCGTTGGCCATACTTGGACAGAGTTTCGTTCGCCTTCTCGAGGCAGCTTAGACTCCTCTCGACATTACTCGAAATGGAGCCGTCGGTCCGTACAGGCAAAGGGGGAGGCTTAGGTTTCCTGGCTTCTGTCGGCGGCGGCGCGATGGTGACACCGGCTAGGAGCAGATCTTCGGCCTCGCCAAGGACGGCAAGAAACTGATTGGCCATAAAAAAGACGCGGAGGGCATCGTGGCTTGAATAGAAGGCATTGGGTGTTCCATTCCGAGAGACCTCGTACATGCGATCAATGTAGGCAAGGGCATGCTCGAATATCAGCAGTCGGCGGTAGTTCGACATGTATGGGGCCCTAGCTGAAGGCGCGAGACAGTATACATAACTATACCGTAGTTCCAGGTCGAACAGCTCCCGCATGGCAACGGGGAGGCTCGTCGGCAACGCATCACCCCACTGGCGCATCTCTTGGCAGATCTGCCAGATGTACGAGTCTGAGTCAGGTAGCGGCATCGTATCGGACTGGAACAAGGCCTGGTACCAATGCGACTGAGCCCACCGGAGTTGGAAAAGAAGAAATGCGGGCTCGGAGCCAGAGAGTAATTGGCCAGTGATTGAAGCCCGCCGGCTGAAGGACTGGGGTCGAGGCCAAGCGACGTTTGTGGAGGCATCTGTAAACGAGAACGCACGTGCCTGCACCATGCTGATAGATCTATAAAATGTTGAGTTTTGTAACATAGTCAAGAACCTAGGGAAACGAACCTGTCAAGGGAATAGACGCAGTAAAAGATCTTGCGCCGCGAGTCCAGTTGGGCCTTATCAGGCATCTGCTCAACTGGGGGATCCTGATGAAATCCCAGATCTACCACCGCTCGGCAAGTGAAGCCTATCAAGTGCCAGCTGTCGAAGTGAGATGGGTCGAGCATAGAGTACTGTGTAAGTAGGATGAGGGACTGTATTTGCGTGACGTAGCCCGGCATCAAAGCCCTGTCAGCATATTGCAAGGCCTTTGAGACAAAATACAGCCCATTCATGTAATGAGCGTCGTTGGTGACTTGACTCTGGGCGGCGGACCCAATAGCAAGAACCATGTAGACTAGCCAGTACTCGGGATCCTTGATGGATCTGTCTTGCTGGTTGTAAAGTTGGTCTAGGAGCGCGTAGAAGGTTGTCTCGGAAAACGCAGGATAGAGTGAGTAGACATTACTCATATAAAACTGGACAATCGTTAAGCCCTCCTGCCGGGATGGTGCGTTCCAAGTCTGTGTATCCGGAAGCGGGTTGTTAGATGAAGCTGCTAGAACCAGTCGGGCAAATGTCATGTTGCTCATGGACGGCTCAAAATCCCTCGTCGTTGCATTGATCGACCTGTAATAAGACTAAGTCCGAGCACGAGGGAGCATGGAGGCAGTGTTCACATACAGGAATCCAAAGTCGGACATTAAGGAGTTGACATCCGAATTCTCCCGCTTGCGCTCAGCTTTTCGGTGGATGGCCGCTCTGATGGTTGCTAGTGAGTCCTTGCGGTCCGGCTCCTGAGTGGGCGGGACATCCGATTCATGCTGAGCAACGGATGCCTTCCTGGATCTCGCGTATGCCAACCGTCTCTCCAGTTTCTCGATCCGGAGTTCCAGGGCAGCGACGTAACTGATGACGCGGTCAGACAGTTCCATTAATGAGACGAAAGGCCAAATCCATACCTGCGCTCTTTGCCCCTTGCAAATTGGTCGTTGGCGCTTGAACACTCGCTTTCCCGACCTGCCTTCTCACAGGCAGTACAAGCGGGCAACTTCCCATCGCACTGCAATCATTAGTGCCTGGGTCTAGCAGTGGAGTGTTCAGTCCTCTGTTACCTTGACCTTTGCGGCCCGACCTGGTTCATGTCAGTCAGGATATATATAGTCTGACTAGCGTTGGCAGCCCGAGAGGCTTGGCCGTGGGCTCACTCACATCTTGAGCAGGCAGACACCGGTCGCGAAACCCGAAGCAGGGGGTTTTCGGAAAAGCTTGAGCGAGGCATCTCACGTCTCTTTCATCGGCACCTTAGGCGAGTCCTTGGTCGCTCATACAGCGCATGTGGAGTCGAGTGTAGGTGGTGGTGCCGTTGTAAGTAAGCAAGGGTTCGTGCGACAGACATGCCCTTGTTGAGGGGGTGGGATGATGCGATAGGGCGGTACCCGCAGCAGTTTGCAGGGTTGGCGGCGACAGTACAGGCGTCGTAGCACGATGCCAACGGTTTGGTGTTGAAGGCCCGAGAGAAGCGCGCACTGCAGACGACACGGATCACCAGTCGAAAAGCTGACAGATCACTGAAACAGGGTGCTGCAAGGCATGAAGTCGAGGTGACAGAGCCTCATGTCACAAAGCAGGCGGCTAAGAGAAGATTAGACTAGACCAGGTGGAAAGCCATCCGCCCCCGGCCACACACACGCATGTCAGCGGGTCGCGGCGACTTTTTGGCGCTTGTGGGTTTGGTACGGCGATCTTGCTCGTGCTGATCATCCAGAAACAGGAAGCGGCCGAGGTGGGGTAAAAGTCAATTTGACCAGAGGCACTGGACTTCGTTTGTGCGTAGCCAATCCGCGAGCGGCGCTCGAGGTTGATTGCGTTTGCAGCTGTTCCCGCCCTATTAGCGGGTTTGCGACTGCAGAGCTCGCGATGGGGGCCAGTTCGGTGAAGAAAGCCGTGGGTAGATGGGATTGCTCTGGACGATGAGGCAACGCCTGCCTCGCAGGGCGCAGGGCGAAGTGCATGCAGATTCAAGTATTGCACCCATGAGTCCCATGAGTTGGACGCCGAGAAATCCTGCCACAACCTCAGCCGTACTGTTTTATCAATGCGAGCAGCTCCAACCATGTCTCCGGACGTACTGATGGTCGCCCGGAGCCTGTTTGCGTCTCGAATGCCATGCATCAACTACTCTTGCACCTGGGCCGACCAGTGAGGTTTTTGGCTTGTATCATCTGTAGCTGAAACCCCGGTAATAGACCCAGGACTCGGCCGTCGATGAGAATCACAACACGGTGACGTATTCCAGGTTCTACGGTCTCTTCTAGAACGTCAACCTGAGCAAGCTCGTCTCGTCAGTTTGGGGGCTGTGGTACTTGGGTACCTAATAACGTGGACAGCTTCAGGGATCCGCTCCGGCGATCTGGAGTAGGTGCATTTAATATTACTATAACGTGTCTGCGATGCACGCTTCTAAAATTGGGAGCATCGGCGTGCGCTTTGAGGGATGCTACAGCTCCTTTTGCATCCTTGTTGAAGCTGCAAGCGAGGCACTCGAAGGATGCGGCGGCACGCAATGCCTCATGGGATTTGTTTACGACGTGAAGGACGGCCATTAGGGAAGCGAACGTGCATCTCGCTTCTCTCCAGAGCACCGCACCCACGACCGCGCCGCGTTCCAACAAATGTTGAGATGAGCTTGGGAGGATAGTCCATCGTGATTAACTAATCCTGATGAGGCTCATCTTATATTCGGGGTGTAGGGACCGTCGGATCCAGCCCCAGGCCAATGAGACGGCAGCTGTGGCTCAGTGCAACACGAGATGGTCCATCGTCAGGTACATGTCAAGGCGCCACCTGGTGGGCCGACTATATTAGTTTCGTGCGCAATCGTGCTGGCGCCATGGACTAGCCTGGCAGTGCGCAAGAGACCGCGGCGAGTTTGGGGCCGGCAAGCAAATTGAAACACACCTTTTGGTGGTGAAAAAAAAAACCCCCCCACCGACTGTGGGATACGGGGAGATGGGGAGATGGGGAGATGAGCATCATCGGGATGGCCTGCTGGACCCTGACTCGCAGCTGGAGAGCCGCGCAGCACCCGTTGAATCGATGTCAGCCAAGGCGCCGGTAGTGCTCCAGGGCTATCTTTGGAGACCCAGGTCGAATTGCCTATTTCAGTAGGCGCTGGACTAACACTAGGTAGCATAGCATAGCATAGCATAGCATGGCTCCCTCCAGCTGAAACCGAAGAGGGCGGAAAAAAAGATGGAATACTGGGGCCACGCATCTAACCCAGTACCCGTGGACCTACCTTAGGGCCTTAGGTATGTAGGCAACCTGGGGACAAATTGCCGTGGCCAAGAACCGCGCCGTAGACACGACTAAGGTAGTTATCCAAGTGTTAAACTTTCTGCGACAGAGGTAGTTGTTGGGGGGGTTCAGCCAATCGGTTCGTTGCTCTCTGCTTCGGGTGCACACGAGGTCCCACGGGTCCACGGATGCTTGGAGTACCTATGAGCCGCCAACCACCACCAGGGGCCCTGCAGGCGGATTCTGTAGTTTCGGTAGGCAACCCTATTGAACACCGACTTGGACTTGGACGCTGCCGTTAAGAGCAACTTGCAACCTCGCCTTCCTGCCCCCGCGAAGATGCACACGGGAGAGACACGCTGAACCCCAGGACGAGACCCTCCGTGCTTTGCGGGCCAGCGACCATTCCGACTCGCCTTAGTCTGCTGTCAGAGTTGCAGCAGGTCAGCCGATAGCTCCAACCCCCGCGTTACCGGGGCATAAGTTACGAGAGCCTCATTGCCGCCGACGACGCATCGCCGAGCGAGGCAGCCCCCGACGCACGAGCGTGCTCTGCGCCCATGGACGTCCCAGACGTGTTCCGCCATGTCCAGGGCTTCGCGCCCTACGAGCGGCCCAAGATACCCCAGGGGTTCCCGCCCAAGCGGCCCACCAACGTGCCCCGCGAACAGCACGGGGATGCAGACGGCGAGGCATCGCACCGCATCGCGCACACCCTCACGGCATGCTGCCGCTGTCGACAGGTAAGTAGTGCTGCCGCCACCCACTCGGGAGGCTGCGTGCAGGGCGATTCTGTTCGCCCTCTGCCCTCCGCGCGCCGGATGCGAGACGTGCGACTCTAACTCGGGACGTGAAGAGGAAAACTCGATGTGACCCAACCCTACCCCGCTGTCTGCCATGCGAACGATCGGGCTCCATCTGCGAATACTTCGACACTACCAAAGGAAAGAAGATCAGCAGGTATTATGTCGTCAAGCTCCAGGAGAAAGTCAGGGCGCTCGAGGCCGAGCTCGGCCAATACACCGAGGAGGAGGACTTTCCCAAGAACAACGAGGACCTGATCCGGCCCGGAGGCTTGGTGCGCCTGAACGAGTCTGATGAGACCCCGCGCTATCTGGGACCCTCGAGCGGCATTGCCATGACGCGCATGGTCATGGAGCAGGCAAAGAGGTTTACCGACTCGAAGCGCATATCCGATCTGGTACCGTCGGTGCGCGGCAGACGACAGCCTACCGTGGATGGTATAAGTCCTGTTGCCAAAAGATCAATCTCCTTCAGCTTACCGCCGCCGGTGTCGGCAAGAAAGAAGAGTTACCCCATCATCAGCGCTGTGGCGGCGCAAGGGTTGCCAAGCAGAGGTATCGCGGACAGGCTGTTGGAAGTCTTTCACCAGCGTGGTAAGTCGACTTGCCCTTCGAACTCACATGTCCCGTGTGCCCTTCTGTTGGCTAACTCAGGGCAGGTCAAGTTTTTACGCCGGTTATGCATGAGAAGAAGCTGGCAACTGCTCTGGAAGAGGTGTACAACGGTAGCCGGGACCCGTACCAACAATTCATCGTGCGCATGGTTATGGCCATCAGCATGCAAAAGCTGGACACGACGTATGCGGGCCTTGCAGACAGTTACTACCTGGCAGCTATGCAGTATTTCGAAGCTGTCGTCAGGGCAAAGGACCTCAAAACACTACAATGCTTAGTTCTGACCGCACAATACTCGTTACTGACACCCACCCGGACTGCTGTCTACTATGTCGCGGGACTCGCTACACGTATATGTCAGCAGATGGGATTGGCAGATGAGAAGACTATTTCTATGGGAGTTCCGGATCCCCTTACATTGGACATGCGACGACGATTGGCCTGGGTGGTGGCAACGAACGAGTTCGGATTATCGTACAGTATGGGTCGCCCGAACGGCTTTGCCAAGACAGATGATATGTTGGATATCAAGTTCTTCGACACCGCAATGGATGCAAATATCACGGAAGATGGCATTTTGCCCGGCCCGTCAGACCCCAATAAAATGGTTGCCGTCCATTTCTGTAAAATGAGGGTGCTACAATCCGAAATCCGCCGGGTTCTCTACGAAAAGAAACAACCGGAGCCCAGGGACGATAGGCATCCATGGTTTGCGTCAATGGAGACCAAGATAAACCAGTGGCTCGATACATGCCCGGAGAACCCTGCCTGGTGCAAGCCTTGGTAAGTCCACCGCTTCCTCTCTTTCGTCGAGATCTTCAGGAACATTAACAAGTCTAGGTTTACCGGCCGGTATCATACCATGGTTGTCGCCCTGCACAGACCGTCGCCTCAGGTACCCAAGTCATCGCCCCAGTCGGCCTTGAAATGTTACAATTCTGCTGCCTTCGTCATCAACATATCAAGCAAGCAGGTCATGGCAGGTGCCATTGATGTCACCTGGGTATTCTTGATCACTCTCTACATGTCTATCAATACTTTGTTGTGGACTGTGGCTTCGTACTCAGAGGTTCGGTCTGCTCATTCACGAGAAGAGGTGGAGGAGCTCATCAACGTCGGTCTGGATATGATCGATTCGTGTGCTGACCGCTGGCCGGGCACCTCCGCAGCCTCGGAGTTATACTCCAAGTTTGCGGAGGCCTGTCTCAGGAGCTACGATACGAGGGATACGCCGATTCTTTCCAATTCGAGCACCTTGGGCACTCCCCCATCGCAGCCTGACACCAACTCACCATCATCTGAGATAACAAGTGCTTCGACGTTGTCCCATGGTAGCGGCCATGGCCATGCGTTCAACCCACCTCAGTTTGGATATGTCTTTGATCAGGTACCAGAGCAGGTTACCTTCGATAACCCGTTCGGTTCACAGCCATCGTTCCGTTCCAACTCAATTTTCCTCAATCCAGCTTCGATTGAGTCCACTGGCCGCCGTTTTAGTTACTTCCCGCCGGACTTCACTCAATCGACAGAGAATCTCTTGATGGAAGAATCTACCCCACCTGGAACAGAGTCAACTGTGTCACCGCCAATACTGTCACCCCCGGATCACCTTCCAACGCCACCAGATTCCGTTGGTCCCGGTCCTGCTGCCACACCAATTCTATCCACGCCGATTTTAGCCACAAGCAATTTGTCTACACCAAACGTCAAGACCACACCAGTCACCATGGCCGGCAATGTCATGCACCACCAACAACAACGGGCCCAGCCCTCGGGCTTTACAATCCCCCCATTGCCCTCTCAGGCCCCGGGTCAGAGACCCCTCCCTCCCGCCACAACTGTTACAGACTGGTTCAATCCGCCGCCACCATTCATCTCACCATATGCCTTCGGCAACACCAATGCTGGCGGTGGTTTTTGGGGTGATCCGAACAGCAGTAACGGCCTTGGAGTGATGTCAATCAGTGACGCGTCTTGGCCAGGACTTCCACCTGAGCGACAGGGGAGCTTGAGTCAGGCTCAACAGGTCGAACTGATGGGTGTTCTGGAAAACGAAGGTATGACAGACATTGATACTTATCTCAACGGGATCAACTTCGGAGGTGACATCGCGGGTGGCGTTAACAACATGAATTGGACTGGAAACCCTTGAAACAGCATTCTTAAAGGTCTGGGGCAATGGCGCCAGGGATGGGATGGTTAGGTTTTTTTGACATTTGTCATTCACGGCTTGGGCTTTGTTATTTTTCTGGGATGGATAGATACCACTTTTTCTAGCTGACAGCCAGCATGCAGTCTTCACAGCTGCCGCGTATTCCGTCGTTTTGAATTCCAAATTTATCAATCTTTATTGCCAGCCGTGACAGCGCCAATTATGCCTACGACCTTATAATTGTAGTCTGGCCTCGGAGGCAAGACAATGGTGCGCGTCACCTTTTTGATGCTGTTGGATACTTGTTATCGGGCCCTTGGTCGGCAACCGCTTCCGAAAATCCACAACGTCAAATCACTATCAAGAGGCGGACACCTCCGAGGCTTCAACGGAAGTATTGCCAGCAACTTTTACCGGCCCACTACCACTGACAGGGTACTCAGAACCTCATTGCCTGTTGTTTTGAGCGATATGCTAAGTGACGCAATATAAAGCTGGACATCGTCGCAGCGTACGAGCATCCACACCGATACGCCAGTTGCCCGTGATCATAATGCTCCTAAACTTACTATTGCCCTTCCTCGCGCTCATTACGCCAACGCGAGCCGGCTACTCGTTGGCGTGCTCGTCGCTGGTGGGCCAGAGCTTCTCTAATGGGTCCGCGATCGTGGTCTTCGCTGAGCAGTTACTGAACGGCAGCACCTTTGTTGGTACCTCGGCTAACGCAGGCTACAATACGCCCCAGGTGGCTGTTCCCCAAGCCTGCCGAATCGGTCTCACTTTTGCAACCAGTGAGAACTCTTCCGCCCAGGCTGAATTGTGGTTGCCGGCAGGTTCGCAGTGGAACTCCCGTGTACTCACCGTGGGCAATAGCGGATGGGCTGGCGCTGTGAACTATCCAGACGTCGTCTGGGGCCTTCGCAAAGGCTTCGCCACCGTGTCTACGAATACGGGTCATAACTCCAGCAGCAGCGACGGTTCCTTCTTGTCTGATCCGGACCAGGCCATCAACTGGGGCCACAGAGCTCTGCACCTCTCCGTCATGGCGGCGAAAGAAGTTGTATTGGCGCACTACGGCAAGTCATCTAGCTACTCATATTATGCCGGGTGCTCGACCGGCGGTCGGCAGGGTCTGAACGCAGCGGAACGGTACCCAGCCGACTTCGATGGTGTCCTATCAGGTTCTGCAATCCCGTGGCAAACACACACGGCGTCTTGGCAGATCTATGTCGCTCTGCAACAGTACCCTGCTACGAGGTCAAGCTATATTCCCACGACGAAATGGCCTTTCATTGCGGCAGCCGTCTTGGAGCAATGCGATGGCCTCGATGGTGTGGCGGATGGCATTATCATGGACCCATCCAAGTGCGAGGTCGACATCGATGCTCTGCAATGTGATGCTGGCACGCTCAATGCGACGGCGTGTCTCACGGATGACCAGGCTGTAAATCTAGCTCGCATGTATGCGCCGTGGCTGAGGAACGGTACCGTGGGTGCGTTGGTGAACCCCGGTATCTCACCTAGTGGCGAGGCCACCTTCAGCTACCTGATGAACGGCGAGGAGCCCCAGTTTGGGCCTACCTTCTATCGCTATGGCGTGCACAATGACACCAGCTGGGATTTTACCACTTTGACGGTTGCCGACGTGGTGCTGGCGGATTCTATCAATCCTGGCGGCGCGAACGCGTACAATCCCGACTTACGCCCCTTTCAGAGTAGAGGCGGGAAGGTCATCCAGTATCATGGTTATTCAGATCCGCTGATACCGTCCCTTAACGCTCCAGCCTGGTACGATACGGTTGAAGACTTTTACCGTAGTCTTGGGAAGTCAAACGAAGTGCAAGACTTCTACCGGCTGTTCATGGTTCCTGGAATGGGCCATTGTTCAAGTGGTGCAGGTGCCTGGGTGATAGACGGTGCTTCTCAGGGAGGCATTGAATCGCCAGTGACTGACTCGAACTACTCGATGCTCCTATCACTCGTAGACTGGGTGGAAGGCGGCACCTCAGCGGCCCCGGAAAGGGTCATTGGCACGAAGTATGTGGGAGATGTTGCACCATTAGTACAGTTCACCAGACCGGTTTGTCGCTGGCCTCACGTGGCCAAGTATAATGGGTTGGGAGACGTGGCCAATGCTGAAAGCTGGTCATGCCCTACTGCTAGGACATAATGAATATACGCATTCCACTGCATCCACCTCGCTACACTCTTACCAAAGTCACAGACATGGATTCATGATCATGAAACGGGACAAAACACTGTAGGTGCATTGCCATGGCGAAAGGTTTGCACGCAATGTGCATAGCACTAGTCCTTGTATATCGTTTCTCTTTTCTGGACTACGTTAATGAAACATCGCATCTGCTGGGGACTTCCGTCTTCACGCCATCGGTGCCAATTCGCCAATAAATTGCCGCGTCGAGGTCCTAAGGCATCAGTGTGGATTTTAATTACCCTGCTACATCATATCCTACATGCTGTAGGGATACTAGGAAACTCACTAAGAGAATGCCGCATTCTTGAACGACTTCGCCACTGCTGTGTTAGGAGCCCAAGCGCCAAGGCCAGTAGACAGCCGGATCGACCGGATGGAAATATAGCAAGCGTGTAATGCAAGGGAGGATCAATAGGCGCCTTTGGGGAAGACATCAACCCGCAACCTGTCGATCGTCCAACAAAGCCTTGGCATCTCATCCACACTGGGCCCACAACGCCCAATGTTCTCGGCATTACTCGTTTGCGGACCAGGCGGGGTCACTGGTGAATTCGCCGACTGCTGTCTCGAGGCTGCATGCCTTGCTGCTTCCTATAAAAACATGTACACAATACTGCCAAGCTTCAATACAGTACACTTCCTCCTGCTAAAAAAAATCCCCATCGCAATACAGAGTGGGATCGTCATGGCAGAAGTTCCTGTGATTCAGATCCTGGAGAAGGAGAAGTTTTTCACACAGCATATCGTCCCTCTTCCTCATGCCGTGCCCTATCCTCCTCTTACAGCGCCTTCGTCTCTTCGTCTCCGTACGAAGGTGATGTGCCTTACAACCAACAATGTGTCGTACGCCAGGCTCGGTTTCCTATTCGGCTGGTGGGATGTCCACCCCCTCCCGCCGAGTACGCCGGCTCAATACAATGACCCGGCCAAGTACGGCCGCACGAATTGCTGGGGTTTCGCCGAGGTCCTTGAATCTACCGTTGCCAGCGTGCCAAAGGGCACATATCTATGGGGCTACCTCCCGCTGGGAACTCTAGCACAAGATGTTACCGTCGAGGAAGGTGCTATACCGGGCCAGGTTTTCGTCACGAACGATTACAGGAAGGGCGTTATGGCCATCTACAACCGCTATTTTGTTCATCCGGCTTCTCTCAAAGACGAGATCGAGAAGAAAGCAGACAGCCTCGCCTACGACGCAATCGTCAGGGTCATGTTTGAGACGTCGTATCTGCTCAATCGATACGTCTTTGCCAGCGACCCCAAGGAAACCGTATACCCCGGCATGGACCCAAAAGCTCAATGGAGTCCTGCTCAAGCGGACATAGCGGGGGCGACAGTGATATTTCTCGCTCCGGGGTCCAAGGCCGCTCTAGCTTTCGCCTACGAACTCAGGAACGCACGTGGCGGTGCTCAGGTCAAGAAGATCGTGGGAGCAACAAGTGAGTCCTCGAGGAATTTTGTGGAAGGTACCGAGGCGTACGACGACGTTATCCTGACAAGCGAGTCTTCCGCTTCCGTCCTATCCAAGCTTCAAGTAGGCGCTAAAGACAAGGTCGTTCTGGTTGACTTTGGTGGACGTGCGGGCGTGGGTGCAAAGTGGGCGGCTGAGTTCAAGCGTACCCATAATAACTTTCTTATGCTTGGTGTCGGATCAGAGATCAGTGAATCCTCACAGGAGGATGCATTGAAAGCCCTTACGGCCAAAGGTTCGTCCGCGATTGGGATAAACGCGAATGACATGCGAATCAGGGCTATGGAGAAAGTTGGCGAGAAGAAATACTTTGATGATTTGGCGGCTGCGTGGGATTCATTCAAGAAAGTTGGTATCAAGGGTTTGAAAATCACCTGGGGCGATAATATGGAAGATGTGAAAAAGGGATGGGACAAGCTCTGCAGGGGCGAAGCTACGCCGGAAGAAGGTCTGGTTTATCGATTGTGAAGGCAATTGGGATACCGCTACATAACTTCTCTCCTTGTGGAACTCCAGCCTCGGAGACGGGCTTTCTAGCCACTCAAGTAAGTGACTTTAGATAGATCAAATTCCACAGATTCTGCCAGTGCAACTTGTCGTGCAACGGTCCGCTTTACCATTCGGACAGACGTTCACCACATCTCGTCATCATGCACATCTTCGCTCTCGCCAATCTCGTCGTCCAATGGCACCGTTTGAGAGCTCCTGATTCTATCCAGTATCACACCTACACTTATTTCACGCAGCCCACCCATCGTTCAGGACTCGTTTTGATTGATGGCCTTATGGTGGCTAGCATGCCCGCCACGTCTATTCGTAACCGGGTTACCAGTTGTTTTTAATAACACATCATAAGCAATATTATCTCCACGTGGCGTCGTGCTATGCAATATATTTATACTTTTCGAATCGTGGGCAGCGTCGAGCCAGTGAACGCCGCCTACAATTGGTCAGAGCATCTTTAGCGCTGTCTGCCAAGTTTGGCCTGGCCTATGGATTTCGCTCGCGTATCTGGGCTCTATTTATGATGTCTTGGTGCGGAGCGTAACAAATAAACTGGCCGAAAGCGATCACAAAATGTCCGAATGGAGAAGTGCTTCCGCCTTCTCGACGAGGAGACCAAGAATCCAATCGGAATTCACAGCTCCGATATTCGACCGATAATGATAAGAAGTCTCCTGCAACATTATTTCCAATACATAAGGTTCGCAGTTTTGGGTCTTGCGACTCTGTCATTATAAACCTTATCGTCAAGTTTCTCAACTATGCCTTCTCTCAAAGCTGTTATTGCGACGGCCTATGGCCTTGTCACCACAGTGCTTGGACACGGTTATGTAACAACATTCACGACGGATGGGAAATCGAACCAGGGATTCCTACGTAAGAAGATCCGTTCTATTATCAAGGGCATTTATCGAGAAGTTCTGAAACAGTCGCTTAACACGTTACCCTGGGTGTTTTTATGCCTCTGATTGTCGCGCCGATGAGCATTAAACAGCCTTAAACGCATGATTGCTAACAATCGCCTCTAGTCGACTATTACTACCAAAAAGTCAACACTGGATCGTTCCCCAACATTGCAGCTTGGTACATCAACAGAACATGCTAGCACTGCTCAATAGTGCCGCCGCTAATCAGACCTTCCAGGTACGCCGAAAACTTGGATAGCGGTTTTGTAGCCCCGGACGCCTATGGCACATCCGATATCAATTGCCACAGGAAATCAGCACCTGGTGCCATTACTGCGACAGTCAAAGCCGGGGGTAGCATTACATTCCAGTGGCCCTCGACATGGCCTCATCCGTACGGACCCATTCTGACTTATGTAGCGGCTTGCAATGGCGATTGCTCAAAGGCAGACAAGTCAAGCCTCAAGTGGGTCAAGATAGATGCCTCCGGGATCAACTATAGTACTCAGAAGTGGGCTTCCCAGGTTTTGATTGACCAAGGAGGCAAGTGGACCACGAAAGTTCCGTCGTCACTCAAGGCCGGAAATTATGTCTTCAGACATGAGATTATTGCGTGAGTGAGCCCATATGTCCTAAACTTCCAAAGGACCTCCACTTCGGAGGACTTCCGAAATGATTTTTCTGCAAGTTGTAATATAAATCCTCGATGCTTGACTTGATAACATAGCGATTGGGGAATGATGCTAATCTTTGTATGCTATAAGCCTCCACGGGGCTTCCTCAGCGAACGGTGCCCAGAACTATCCCCAGTGTTTCAACATCGCCGTCACGGGATCCGGAAGCAGCTCTCTTCCCTCAGGAACGTTGGGTACCAGCCTCTACAAGTCAACAGATCCCGGTATTCTTTTCAACCCTTACGTGACGATAACCAATTACGTGATGCCAGGCCCAGCCCTTTGGAGTGGGTAATTGGCGTACGAGTAACCTCGCAGTCGGGGACGAGTACTAGATTACACTACCTATACTTGACCAATTGGGTATTAAAGAATATCAATCTCACCAGCTGACATAGTTCTGCTCCGTTCTGTTTATAGCTTCGGGCGATAAAGTTAGACATTCAGACCAGTATGAATACGCAGCCTGATCCACCAGTATTGCCTGCAAAGTGTTTTGTTGCTTCAGGGATCGAAAGTCAGTCCATACCCGCCCAATGTTTGAGCTTGGTTAAAAATCGAAAAGCTTCGCACTTCCTTTGAATTTCTAGTCGTTTACGAGGCGCAGGCTTAGCATGCAACGCCGTGGCCGGCGGAAATCTACCTCCTCGTGGGCTGATGCAGTGCAGCCTCCGACCAATCAGTGCGGGCCACGAAGCGCCCACTATCCTTGCAGCGAGACAAGCCTCATTGCCTTCTTATCTCGCCATCAGTTGTTGCGAATCGGCCTGGATCTGACATTAGCCGAGGCCAACCAAACCCTTTGGACGTATTCATCGTTGCTTGCACCAAGGAACAAGATATCAGTCACAGAACGGCGAGAATTCTGACCCGACGAAGAAATAGACGTGATTCGATTCCCGTTGCCGATAGGTTACATCATGAGTCAGTCCCCGAGCAATCAAATCCCCGCATTTACTTGGAACTTGTCACCCAGAGATGAGAATGAGGTTCGCACTCATTCACTGGAGGATTACCCCGGTATTGAAGAAGAACTGGACGAAATTTTGAACGGATTGCAGTCGAGGCAGTTGAATGACCGTGAGTAAAGCGTTAATCTGGGTTTATCTGCATGGAACTCGGCAACTTATTGCTCACAGTTGACTCTTCTACCGAACCTTCCTTACAAGGTGAAGTTCGTACAGATGCCTGGGAGGAGAAAGCAGACGACATTTGTAGCGGATTAAACTCAAGCTCTAGCGATAATCCCGATATAGGTGCTGAGCAAACAGAAAGCGTCGCATCTTTCATTACAGACAGTGACAATGCGCACACACCCGACGACCTCGAAACAGTTTGGATTATGAACCAGTACTGCCCCTTTAGTGACAATTCAGGGAGAGAAAAGTTCTTTTTCACCTACCAACCAAAACCTGGTGTTAGGAAACGAGTGACAATCACATTCAACTATCAAAATGCACCGGATGCCTCCCTGGAAGCCAATGTCAAGCAGTGCAATTCCAACGTGGAGAAAAATGCACGGATATATGAAGCTATTCATAAGAGCTTGCCTGATATCGATTTTTTCGACACAGTCACCAATCTGAGACTAGTCACAGACGAGCGCGGAAAGCTTCATGTGATTGTCCTAGAAGACGTCAGTGTAAGTACATGCCATATCTCTTCCAAATAAACAAAGTTGACCAAGTTGCAGGAGATTATTTCGTACCCTGAGGTTGCTATGCTGCGTTACATCCAGTCTCCACACCTCAAGGAATCGGACGTCTCAATCCATCGTCATTTATCGGGATTCATATATACTGTGACTGTGGGCCGCGAACTCTTGATGCAGAAAGATATACCTGGTCCGCATTCAGTTGAAGATTGGCTTTACGAAGTCAATTGCCTCTATATGCTGGAGTCCTCACGATACATTCTCTCATTGCGTGCGTTATTGGTGGATGAATCCGATGAAAAGGCTAAGGGATTTCTAGTCCCCCATGCGACGCGCTTGATCGACGTTTTCTTTGATATCCAAGAAGGGGAACTCTCTGCGCCATGGGATATTCGTGTACAATGGGCGTACGGGATTATTCACGGACTATCAGATGTACACGTGGCTGGCTTAGTCCATGGAAACTTGACATTATTCAACGTCGTCATCGACTGCGATAATAATCCCTACCTCACCCACTTCACCCGAAGTGGTTGTCCGAATGGTTGGGAACCTCCAGAACTTGATTACTTGATTTCAACCAACCAAAAGGCCACTCCTTACCTGGGTGTCGCCTCTGACTTGTATCAGCTGGGAATGACTCTTTGGGCAATTGCTACTCTTGATGATGAGCCTGAATCGCAACTCAGGCCTCTGAGTTTAGACAATTATGCGGGAATTCCTCAGTGGTATCGTGATATTGTGGCTGTTTGCTTGAGCAGTCAGCCTCGACAGAGGCGCTCCGCTCAAAGCTTGCTCGATATGTTCCCACTCAGAATAGAGACTGAAAACTCATCAAACAGCGGAGTGGGGTTTTCGTTGCCGTGACTTGCACATCGAATACCCCTCGAATCCGACCTGGTTACGCACAGGGTTTTCCTGTCACAAAAAGATGGAGTGATTCAGGACTTGATGAGCATTATGTAAAGCGCTTTGAACAGCAACGTAAGAGGGATGATAGTCTGTTCGATAGTTTGGCCAATCTGAAAACAAATGCGCTTGATCGAGTAAATCGAGTGTATTGCTTCTGGTTCAGTGTGTATCTCTATGTCATGCCTTGGTCTCCTCCTCATAGCATTTCCAGGTATGTAGTAATCACCACGGTTTTACCGGACTATCTAGTGAAGAAAGTTCCAGCTACCATTTCAGAAGATAGTATTGGCTTTATACTCTAGAATTGCCGAGTATGGAACCGAAAGAAATTCGGTGGCTCACCTTACTATTACACATCTATCTTGATGGAAGATTTGCGTCAACTTAGGACGATGGCGATTTGGCTGATAAAATCATCCTTCCGCTTCTATTTCCTCTTCAGAAGCGATCTTAGTCTCTTCATATATGATATGTTTCGTGTTGCTGGCATTCCCGCCGACACCTTACTCAATCGCCTTGCCATGTCCTGCCAATAAGCAAGCTCATCGAGGTCAGCATCCGAGACCGACTCCAAGAACGCAACCTTCCGACAAGTCTGCGCCTGCATTTTCTCCAATAACTCTCGCTCTTGGTCGCCTTGCGACTTCGTACTGATGCCAGAGAAAAAATTCGATCCCTTACTCATTAAGAAATCGACTAACTCTACTCTAGTCGCCAGCGAGGCGTACTTGTAGCGATCAGCGAGGTCTGCCAGATCCGGCCGACAAAAGTGTCCGAAGCCAAAGACAGCGCACTCTATGATTGTCACTTCTGGCCAGCGAACCTTGATCATTCCAGGACTCTTAAAGAGCTTATGCTTTACATAAGGGGCGATTGCAAACTGGGCTGCTAGTCCAAGGAATGCCACATTCAGTGGCTTGTTGGTCTGGGTCCTTTGGGTGGAAGCCCAATGTGGTAGATTGTCTCCTGGTCGGAGAAGAAGATTTGACGACCCAGTGTTGCGGTAAAGCGGAAGTGACCCGTCGGGGATTGTGTAGGAGCTAGCTATATCTGAGAGGTCTTTATCCAGTCTATCCATGACTTTCACAAATAGAGATATTTGTTTTGAATCATCCTTAACTTTAGAAGCATGGTAGAGACAGAGACATGTCCGTTGCCAAAAGACGGTGGGAAATGTCATTAGGCTATTATGCCAGATTTCCCTTAGCGAGATCTCGACTGTCAGCGCTTTGAGAATTGCCAAGTTGGGGTCAAAGTCTGCGGCTGCGGCTTGAATATCGGGCCAAATTGCAACAGTCCAATCACGCACGCTGCGATGCAAGTAATCGATTTGTCCATCTCGAGATACCTCGATCAATCCACGAGTGCGGCTGTTAAGCCTTCGTTTCATGGTTTGTTTGATGTGGTCTCGGTCCTCTTCGGTCAAATCGTTGATATCTCGGTCGAGGGCACTATCGTCGTCCGCAAGGGATAACGTGACAACGTCCAACGATTCTTTGGCGCACTCAAGAATTTGGAACAGCTGGGATGAATGGGCCATGTATTTCCACTTCACGCCTGCCCAGATGCTAGAGTAGAGATGTTCTAAGTCACTCGGCAACCGCTCGAGCTCAGCCAGGAGATCTGAGAGCTTATCACCCTCTGTTAGTCCTTCGCACAGAGCGTTCACAACGACAGAAACCCAGAGGAAGACGCCCTGGGCCTTCGTGACTATTCCATTGATGAGTTTTCGCGCGTCCTGCGGGAGCATCTGCTCTAGTTCTTGGAAGCCTTGGGTGCGCTTGAAACGACCATTCACAAATAATTCGATATCTTGGTTCGTAATATCTTCCATCTTCAGACTGGGGCTGCAGTGGAATGCATCTAGGAACACATTCCATGGGCGGCTACTGACGCAAATTTTCGCACCAGGCTGTGCGCGAAAGAGGTCCACGAAGTCGATCAGCTTCTCATGTGTCCCTTCAAATTCATCCAGCCCATCGATGAAAATTGAGAGGTCGAAAGACTCCCCAATAAGCGGCAGCATTAAAGTAAAACTTTCCAAGAGCTCTGCCCATGACCATTCAGGAACCACGGTACCTGAACCAAAAAGCTTGTACAACGCCCACCTACGAGGACATATTCTCGGGGCGATAGTGGGCATAGCTGATAGGACTTGCCAGAGAAGTGTTCTGAACAAGCCCATCTGGGATTTCTGGAGTAGTGTGCCGGCATTCCAGGAGTAGAACTTCGCCACTGCAAGCGGACGAGGGATTGACCATCTATGAAGAGCGGACAATGTCTGCTGATGCTCAGCTACGAACTTCATCAGCGTAGATTTGCCGGCTCCGGGCTTTCCTGTTATCCAATAAATCTGTTGTGTCGGAGTTTGCAGCCATTCAGTAAAGTCAGACCAGAGGGGTCCTCTGTCTTTGAGTGTGCGTGGCTTGGTGAAGATCCACTCAAATGTTTTCTCGTGGGCCTTTGGTATCGATTCCTCGCGATGAGTGCCTCCTTGGAACTTCAAGCTCGCGATGATGGCGTTGTTGTATGACGTTTCAGCTCTGTGATCTTTTATCAAATTATCCGGAGCAGGCGGCCACGCCGAAAACCAGATGTCTCGCACCAGGCTCTGGTGTTTGACATCCCTTGGAGTCAAGGTTTCCTGGGAATATTGGATTATGGTTTGACTCAATGTGTCGGTAGTTGCTTGAATCTGAGTCAATGTCTTGGCCATCATAGCCTGCTGGCTTGAAAGCTGCTGCAGCGCCTTGGCTCCATCCGAGGATTTCTTCCTGTAATCATAACGTTAGTGCATTGGGACTCCCATCAACAGATCGTGGTAGACAAACCAAATGACCGCTAGGAGAGCCGTTGTCATCCGTGCCCTGAGATCATCCAAACGTCGCCGCCACAAGTCGACATCGAATTGAAGCTCCATAAGCGCTTTGGAAAACATGTTCACAGGCACGTCCTTTTCGGGTTTAAAGCTGAAACCTATTTTATCTGCATTGTTTGTCAAACGTAGTTTATTTGTGGCGGCAGAAAGCTCTTTGTGAGCGTCTATGCATTCTTGGCATATCCCGGCCAGCATGCTTTCCGAGGTTCCAGCGGCTGGAAGCAGCTCGCGGAGCCCGGATAGCTCAGTTCCTATATTGTCGCTCAGGATTCTCAGGTCGTCTGATATAATAGACAGATTTGCATTTTCTCGAGTTTCTCCAGATGCCGTTTTGTACAGTTGTCGAGTGCGAGATAAGAGTTTGGCCCCGAAGTCGACAAACGCCACAACAGCGGAGGCTGCCGATAAAGCACTCAATGGGTCCATTATGAGAGAGATTAACAACTCGTAACCTCACGAACTGCCAAATTAACGTTGGCAACGAGTTATAAGAGTGCACCATGAGTCGCCATGATACGAGTGTCGAGAAAGATGGCTGAGCCCAGAAGGGGGTGCGAGGCTAAAAGAAGCTGACATCACGTGCGGGGAGTCAAAATGGGCGAAGTAAACAGGGGTAGGTTCCCTGGTAGCCTTGCACGTGAAAGACCAATGTCGTTCAACAAATCAGCCTCACTGCAAGTGCCCTTACTTACCGCAAACTAGTGTAAACGGCGTACGGTTCACCTGGTCGAACTTGTTTCTGATTTGCCAATACCAGCCCACGATGACGGCCATCCAAGATTCAAGTATCAGCATGACGTTGAAAGGGGTCCAAGAGACAACTCTTTTCCCCCTCGCAGCAAAAGCGCAGGATGCAGCGCAATCGGAACCAGTTCTGGGCGACCGATATGCAGCCCAGACACTCTCACGTATTGATGCAAACTATGACTGGCGGCGCGCCAAGGGTAACGCGTTTTTTCAGGCTGTGCTGATATCGCGGGCGCGTTTACTTGACCTGTGGACCGCCAATTTTCTTCAGAGCCACGATCAAGCGACCGTCATCCATCTTGCCTGCGGTCTCGACAATCGGTGCCTTCGTCTGGCGCCTATTTGGAATGCACCAGAGAAGACGGTCCGGTGGCTCGACATAGATCTGCCCGACGTCGTGCATTTGAGAAAGGGGCTGGACTTACCCAGACCGGAGGGCGACTACGATCTCAGGGCCGCAGATGCTTTGGACAAGGATTGGCTCGTTGCGATACCGGCAAATAGGCCGACAATCGTTATAGCTGAGGGTCTGCTCATGTATTTGCAACCCGAAGATGGCCTTTCAATATTGCAGCGAGCGGCCCAAAGATTTCAGGGAGTCGGCGGGCAGATTATCTGCGACCTGGCTGGGTCCTGGGTCGTTGGGAACCAGAAACATTCGCCTACGAGCAGGATGGCCACGTTGCACTGGACTGTCAATGACGCGGAAATGGTAGCAAAGGCGGTCAGAGAAAGCGGGTGTCAGAGGTTCCGCTTAGACCATGTAACACTTACGGAGGAAATGACTGGAGGTTATAGCGCGCAGGTTTCTGTGTTCGTCAAGGTGCTCATATGGTTCGTCTATTGGACTCCATGGAGATTATTTTCATACGCTAAATTTGCATTTTGACTAAAATATTCTACTAGCCTAACACCTTAAACATTCGTTGGCGAAGCCAGATCATATTATTGACTTTGCTGTTTTTACGTTGACAACAAGCGGGAGATCCAAGTATACGATGTGATATTGATGCTGATTATCAATACTCTCTCTTTTCATTCATGACTTAGTGCTGGGTTCAAGATATGGAAATTGCATGAAGTCTCATTGGTAAAGTATCTCAAAATTGTTTCCCCACATCTTGACCTATACTACGAGAGGCCAAGTAGATGTCGTGCTTCATCCGCTATCTCTGGATCTCGTTGTTCAGTAAGGAACTTGGCGCGACCCTGCAAAGCCCCAGTGGTCATTTCGGGTTGTGTATCGACCCAAAACTTGTTAGCGCAAATCCCCTCTATTATACGCTTGCACCCAGCATCCAGGTCCATGCCGTAGTCTTTCATCATGTGGTACATTCTGCTCCGGTACGTTTCCGCGCCTTGTGGCTCGCCGGCTCCCGCCCCAGCGTCAAAGATGCTGGTCTTGAGCATGCCCGGCACAACAGAGCTGACATGGATGGGTGCCTGTTTGACCTTCATCTCAAGGTAAAGACACTCGGAGAAGGATTGAACCGCATGTTTGCTCATGATGTAGGCCGTCTGGGTTGGCATGACACCAAATGCACCCACGGAGGCCAGGTTCGCGATCCAGCATTCCTGGCCGCTGGCCAGCATGCGCGGAATGAAGGCCCTGGCCCCATGCACGATGCCATGTATGTTGATGTTGAGTGTGGATTCCCAGCGCTCCGCTGGAATCTCCCATGAGAACCCGAGCGTCTCGATGCCGGCGTTATTGATGAGCAGACGTACACGGTTTCCATACTTGGCGTAAACGGCCTCTGCGAGCGCATCGAGTGCTTTGAAATGCGAGACGTCTACTGTCATTGCATCTGCCTCACCGCCAGACTTGCGGATTTGATCTGCGACTTCCTCTGCTCGGTCAGAGGAAACGTCGGTCACAACCACCGTCATGCCTATGGATGCGCACTGGCGGGCAAGGCCAGATCCAATTCCTGCTCCGGCCCCGGTGATGACGGCAACTCCGCCTCGGAATTTAGCCGTGTTCTCGGTTTCCATAGTTTCTGGGAACTTGAACAATATTTCCGTATCAGAATGCAACTCCCGTTACATGAACAATTGTGTCTGAGTCTAGTGTGGTGCGAAATATTGTTGCAGCAAACCTAGCCGTACAGTCTTCGTCTTCGTGGCGATTTCACAGAATATGCAAATAAGGAAGGGGATTTATATAAAGATTAACAATAAGAGACTCCAACTTCAGAATGCTATTCCCGACATGTATTTCTCTTTTTGTGATGCGGCGTAATGTCATATTCAGGATAACCATAGGTGTGCACTTTGTATTTAGTATACTGTCGCTAGTGTGCGGGGTGATGCTGACAAAGGTAAGATGACTCGGTTCTACCCCTCCTTTTCCCTCTAGGACCTCTACGTAGATGAATAGAACTGGAAACGCTGTCAAAGCCCAACCCTCCTGGTGACTGCTAGATGACTTTCTAGTTTGAGCTTCTCTGTGTTCGGATCACATCACCAATTATCACCACCTTAGTCTTTTCAGCTGCCATGAATTCTGTAGTATCTGCTGCGACTTGAGGTGCAAACTCGGGTGATGCCAATAAAGCAGAGAAACGCTGGAAATGATCAGCGTCTTCAAATTCCAGCTCAGCTATGGCATCGTAATCGAAATCCGATTGCGATCCCATTGGAACCGTTGCAGGGTAGTATGCATTTCCTGTTGGCTCCCCTTCCGCTGCCGCCGTCTTTTCTCGATGAAGATAGCGACGGGTATGAGCCAGCGGGAAGAGGCTGCCGCCGATGGACTGCATCAAGGGCAGATGCTTGGTCTCGTAATGATCTTTAAACTGTTCAGGCGTCCATCCTTCCTTGCGATATGCGAATATCAACACATTGTAAGTCATCTTGATGGTGGTTTTGCGGTACTCTGTATTGATGCCGATGCTGTGACGCCAAGAAAATGTCGCGTAGGTAACAGAACTATGTTATCGACGCAATGCAATAGGATACTAGTTGATAACGTTCGTAGATGCAAGAGTATATGAGATGCAAAATCCCCCCAACCTAATCGCTTCGCACACTTAAGTAGATGGCTGAGGCGTATAGTCCTTAGTATTAGTTCGGATTGGCGGACCACTTGACGCACTGACCTGCTTAGATTACTGATGTCAGTTCTGTTGACTCAGTTTTGCCTAGGTGAAGTGGGGGTTTACTAGTTAACCACGTGCCCGTCTCTACTAATCGTGCACTATGCAATGGATAAAGAAAGAAGCTGCTGGTTGCACTAAAAGACTAAAATACTACACAGCATACTCGAGCAAGACGTAGTATGGCCTTTCCCAAGACCTACGAGAATGATCACAGGATCCGGTCAGCGTTGGACCGAGCGATCGAGCTTGGGGAGACAGGAGTAGCTGTGGCGGCCTATCGCCGCGGCGAGCTGATTGTTGACGCCTTTGCTGGGAAAGCAAACCCTCAGTCCGGAGCTGCTGTCACCAAGGATACGATTTTCCCTGTCTTCTCGGTTACCAAGGGCGTGACGGCCCTTGCAGTTCACATACAGGCTGAGCGAGGACACCTGAGCGTGCACGACCCTATCAGCAAGCATTGGCCTGAGTTTGGTTGCAATGGGAAGGAAAACACAACCATTGAACAGGCACTTTCCCACCGTGCTGGTATCCCTCAGATGCCCGCAGACATCACCCCGGAGCTCATGCACGACTGGCAGTGGATGGTGGAGAAGATCGCCAAGTTCACCCCGCTATTCCCTCCGGGCGAAGCAAATGCGTACCATGTTCTGGTATGGGGTTGGATTTTAGGCGAAGTAGTCTGCCGCACAGATCCAAAGCGGCGGCGCTTTGATGTGTTCGTGCGAGAGGAGATCTGCGGGCCGCTTGGGTTGAACGACGGATTCTTCTTGGGCGTCCCTGACTCAGAACTGCACCGGGTTGCGGTGCTGTCGGGCGGCAATGCTTTCCCTATCCAGGATGATCATGGCATCAGTCCCTCGGCAGTCTTCCCGGGCTCGGAGGTGCATAATCTTAGCATTGTGCAACAGACGGTGGATCCCGGTGCAGGCGCCATCGCGAACGCGGGTAGCGTGGCGAGAATATTCGCTCTCTTGGCTGAGGGCGGCGAACTGGATGGTGTGCGTCTCTTGTCCAGGGAAAGAGTGGCGGGCCTGAATAAAATACGAGAAGGCGCGCATGATCAGGACAAGATACTGCCTATTCCTGTGTGGTTTGGTGCGGCAGGCTTTTGGCTTGGCGGTGAACCTGGAGCAAGTGACCCTTTGGTTGGTGATCATCGCGAGATCATATATAGTCCTGGGGCTGGAGGTTCTGTAGCTTGGGCAGACATACGCGACAGGATATCCGTTGCTATATGTCACAACAACATGGATACTCCGCTTATTCTAGAACCGGAGCGAACGTTTGCTCCTATCGTAGCGGCCGTCCGTGAGATCATTAAGGATCTTGAAGAAAACTGAGGTTGCAGCATAAGCCGAAACAGGGTGGACATGTAATACACTCCTTGAAATCTGATTTGAATGATCAAACTCGTTATGTGTTTTTCCATTCTTGCCTCTGTTTTATTGAGCCTCGCCTGGTATGTCTGATTACTAGGTGAATTGTCATATGAATCATTTGAAGCTCATCCAACAGACGGCAGAGTGGACGAAAGATAGATTTAGGATAATAAGCGAAAGTCGAAGGGTAATGGAAATCGACTGGTGAGAAGGGCTCTAGCTTGATTAGCAAAGCTTGGGTTTCTTTTTCGAGGTACGGTAGCTATGGCTAACGCACAGCCCTGTGACTCTTACATGAGCAACGGCTTCAGATCCTCCGACGCTAGACTTCTGACGCCATCCAGGATGTAGCGCTGAGTTCATAAACAAGTTTAACTTGCAGTTCAACCAGTCTGACAACAAGTTAGAGTACTTATGCAGCAGTATACAACGCTCGAGCCCATTAAGGTTGACGATAAAATGAGCAATCCCCGCTAGTGCGAACTCTCTTGGCTATGAAGTGACATAGTCCTGCCTTCAGCCGATGCGGGCAGTTCACGACGAGTAATTAAGCAGGCCAGATCCAGGGTCCGGCTAGGTCTCATGATGTCCAAACGATTGTTCAATGGAAGCACCAAACTCCATTGGGGTGCGTGGGCGGCGGCCGGAGATGAGGCGAACAGCCACTGCAAGGGCGGCCCGAAGTCAAGGGTTGAATTGGACAGTTCCAACCTGGAGATCTGGACGTGGCCGTGGATCACGGCGGTAGATCTCTTTTCCCCAAAATCTGGGGTAACTGCTCCGTTCCCCAGGTCTCAGCTCGGCAACCCTTGGGTTGTTCAATTTTCCCCGCATCGGACCTCAATATAACACCAGGCCAAACCCCGCTAGCGTTCCTCCAAGTTGCTCTTCAATGCCACATAAGACGGCATGTGTCCCTTTGCGCAACCTTCCCTTCTTATTTCCTGGAATATAGCGAGACCGAGGAACCAATGACACCCTCTACAGGCATTCGATTACCGCCTCTGGGACGGTCAATGGAGGACAAATTGTTTGCCCTTACATGAGCGATACTACCTCCCACGAAACTTTGTTGCTGCGTGGGGAATGTGGCCGACACACTGCAGGTCTTGTGAGCTCTTGGGCCTTGCTAGAAGCATTTTGTTGAATTCGCCAAAGCTAATTCACACTCTATTCCATACAATCCAATGCAGGTCCTGCCAGTCTGCCGCCGACTAGACGCGCACCCCCCTCGTCTACGCCCGCCAGTGCGCGAGGGGTTCAATGACAGCATGCCATGTCGCACTGACATGTGAATGGCCTCCAGTAGAGACTTGCTAGTTAGTGATGAGCATATCACGAGCTTCACAAGCTTGATGAGTTCACCGGCCGAGGATGCGATGAGAGCACGTGCCTCCCGTATGCATCTGTGATGTTCTTATTGTCGGTGCATTGATAAAAGAGGCCAGTCCGCCGTCGGAAACGAACAGTATCCCACTTGAGAACCATATCCACTTGAACTCACACTCAATTCCACATTATACAAGAATTCCGAACAAGTTTGTTCAAACAGCCGCCAACATGGTCAAGGTAGCTTCCATCGCCCTCTTCGCAACCGCCGTGCTCGGCGCCGTAATCCGCCGCGATGTTGCCGAGACGCTGGCCAACCTGCAGAAGATTGACGCCTCGGTCGTCAGCCTGACCACGACGGTCAGAAACTGGGATGGCTCAGTCCTCGGGGCACTGGGCATCCAGACAGCCGCTACAACCGTTGGTAACAACATCGACTCGGCTAACAGTGCTGCCGCGGACGAGACGGTGGCTTCGAGCCAGGACTCGGCCACCCTCATCAGCTTTATCTCACAGACGGGCGAGCCGAACATCGCCACGTCCCTGGATGCGCTCGTTGGCCGCAAGGCTGACTTCCAGTCGGCGGGCGTTAGCTCGCTGGTTCTCAGCACCCTCCGAAACCTGAAGAGCAAGAACGATGCTTACGGCGCTACCTTGCTCGGCCTCACCGCTGCCGACCAGAAAGCAGCTGCTCAAACCGTGCTTGCGCTGATCGTTTCTGACTTCAACGAGGCCATCACGGCGTTCTCCTAGACGATTGACGAGGAAGAGGGGATGTCTCGGTCATGAGTGTATCTCTGTTTGTTGAGTACATCTGGGGCTTTACTGGTTTGATGACCGGTGAAAGAGGCGTACATAACAATAACAAAGGAAAAATGGAATTAACTTTCAACGCCAGTACTGAGGCTGTCGAGCAGATATTAGCAATGATGACTATGTGAACCTAGTGCCGTCCAGATCTGTACTATACTATGATGATATCTTGTGTAAGGTACCAGAAGGTAACATGTAACTTAACTCGGAGGCATGAAGGATCGAGACAAGAGCCGTGAGGATCAAGTCGAGTCTCCGCGACCTTTTCCCGGGGCAGTACAATGGCGTCGCACGATTCTCATCCCACAACACATACATCTGCGTAGGCGAGCCAAGCTGGGCAGTAGTATCTTAGCCGAAGTAGTGTATCGGGTATGCATGCAACTGTGCCACAGCCGAGAGACAAGCACAGAGGCAGAGAAGCAATGCATCAGGCGCACAGAAGGGTGACTGCATGGATGTGGACTGGTCGTACGTTAGGTATCCGGGTACTTGAGGGAGGTACCTCCAAATGTCGCTGGGGCTGGGGATGCGGTTGCTCATCGGTTAATCGTCGTCAGTGCAGTGGGCGCCACACGTGCACCGCCCCACACCATCGAGCGGCTTCCCTACACAGTAGGTAACTTGTGGCTGGTTAGTTTGGTTGGCCGCCCGTTTGGCTTGTCGCGTCCAAGCTCCTCTGACTAACCAAAACGAACGACGGCGTCTTGGGGAAGCGCGCTTCAGAATTATCTCGAGGCTGGACCAAGGTCAAAGCTGCATGCCAAACCAGCCATCGCCCTCCCTGCAACGTGGATAGACGCCTGTCGCACCGCACGCGAGTCGAGATTGAACCCGCGCACACCTCGAGGCGCGTCATTTGTCCCTCGCCAGCTCACCTGGCAGATCGCAGGTCGCAGATCCCGACGGCAATTTTCGCCATCCCCCCAAGGCGCATCGTTGTCCTCAGCCGCTGGACGCTTCCCGCGCGCGCACTGGGTCGAGCGAGGCTGCGACAAAGAGCATGATTTGATCTTCCACAGACCCTAGTTCACAATGGAGACCCGAGCAGCTCCTCAGGCTTTTCTGTCGAGCTACGCGCCTCGACTGCGCGCCTACAACAACTCCCTACTTACGCCCGCCCTTTCGACGGTCCAATCCGGGCCCCAGTCTCGAACCACCAAGCGAGGCACCACAGTCATCAACTACGCCGAGGACGGCTACGACTACGATGACGACGACGACGACGATCGCAGGAGGCCGACAGGGCTGCGCAGCTTGCGCCGCGAGGACAGCAATGCAGCCTTCGGCTCGAGCGACAGGGTCAGCAAGGAGACGCGCGCGCCCGTCGCCGTCCAGGGCATATGGAGAGATTGGATGCTGAAGAGCAAGCAGCGCTCCGACCTAGGCAACCAGGCACAGGCACAGATGCCTGTCACGCTCATTCCCATCCGGATCGATGTCGACATTCCGGCTTTCATCCCTGCCGCCCCGTTCCCGATGCCGAGGGGCAGCACCCAGTTGACTCCCCAGATGGATGTATCGCTGTACCGCACAGGCGAACTGACGGTGCCTTACAAACTGAGGGACATCTTCCTGTGGAACCTGCACGAGACCGTCATCACCACAGACCAGTTCGCGACCACCCTTGTTCAGGATCTCGACCTTCCCAACCAAGGGGCCATTGCCAACGAGATCAGCAAGCAGATACGGACGCAGCTTGAGGAATATGCTGGCGTCGCTCTCCACCCCCTCTTTCACTCGGAAGATGCTACTCCCAAGCCCACCACCAACGTAGGGGCTGTCGCCGCTGCTCTGCAGTCTTCGCTCCGCGATAGCCCAGCCACTCCCGCGACGCCGGTTCATGCCCCTGTCTCCGCCCTCGGTGGCTTCAGTACGCCCATTCCAAACGGTGCCGAGACACCATCCAAGGCGCCTACTTCGACCGTCCCCGAAGTGACGGCCACAGCAACTCCGATCCCCGCCGACATCGATGATTCTAGCCCGGACGACACCTACCGATGCATAGTGACTCTCAACATCAATCTTGCCTCCAACCTCTATACTGACAAGTTTGAGTGGTCTCTGCTGCATCCACCTGGAACCGCCGAGGCCTTTGCCAAGGTCACATGCAACGATCTCGGTCTGACTGGAGAGTGGATCCCCGCCATGACCCACGCCATCTACGAATCTGTCTTGCGGCTGAAGAAAGAAGCCTGCGAAGCTGGCGGATTGGTGACTGGGTGGGGCGCGACGGGCTCTGAGTTTCCGAATGACGCAGCTCACGGGGCTGATGCTGGATGGCGATACGACCCCGAACATATTGCAGACGAATGGGAGCCCAAGATCGAGATTCTCTCCAAAGAGGAAATGGAGAAGCGTGAGGGTGACCGTGAACGCCAGATCCGCCGTCTTCGTCGTGAGACTGCTCGTTTCAGCAGCAACGCTGGCATGCTTGGAGGAATGCCTCTGGGTGGTAGCTTTGGGGTTGAGATCGAAGAAGAGAGAATGGGACGGGGCGAGCGTTCCAAGAAGAAGCGCAGATTCAGGAGTCTGAGTCCTCTGGCCCGATCAGGAACGCCCGGTGGTCGGGGAACGCCAGATGTTGGGTATGGCGGTGGCGGCATCGGATCCCTCACCGATCAAGAAAGACTGAACTGGCGTTGCACACACTGTCGCATATGGGGTACGAGTGTTTGGGCAGTACGCGATGGCCCTTACGGTCCAAGAGTAAGTTCTCACTTTCAATCAACCCCCTGGCCAATAGAAAGACATGCTAATGCACTGCAGTCTCTGTGCGCCAACTGTGGTCGCCTCTACGAGCAGAACCAAAAACTTCCTCGGTGGACACAGAATCTGCATTGGCATGATCTGCGCCCGCTATGATGCAACCTGATATTGCGCCCTAATGAACTGGGTTTCAAATCGACGAAGGCCATGTACGACTACGGCGTTATGGGATAGGAGTGGTATACCAATGAATTCTTCTGTAGCTCGTGTGGGGTTATGGATCAAGCGAAGGCGGCCAATTCGAGCATTCAGTCAAATAGAGGAGGTGGCAGGCATGAGACTGACCTGACGAATCAGGGGCTAAAAGCTCCAGCAGAGCCTTCTAGCCTTGAATCATGTCACTGGAGCCCGGGCCATATGTAGGATTGCAAGGCTATATAAAACCTCCTCGGCAGCGTAGAGATGTGTGTTTAGGGTATTTCATAGTGGCAATCTACAGTAATTGTCGATTGCAGTCTGGAACAGGCTCGTTGCGATTTGACTAACAGTCCCGTGTAATGCACACTGAACGATCCGGCATCCCTTTCTACAATCCGAGCTGCGACCCAATTCGTATCAACTCCATTTGCATCGATTCGGAAGACTCTAGGAGACACTATCTGAGATAGCCAATAGCACACAACCGGCTGCTTGGACCTACTCGGATTCAGTCCCAGAACACTTGGCGCAAAGTAATGATAAGGTTGCTTTGCTTGACCCATCAATCTGGGTTCACCCAGAAGGCCAACAATATAGGTAGCATCATTCCTTCGGATCCCGACCATCCTGTATTTCCATATTCGCCGCATATTCCTCGTCCGACTCGAGATCTATTTCCAAGGGACGGGTGATTGGCGTAATGGCCATACCTTTCTTCTCTAGAAGCTCCAAGCGCCGCGCAGTCAACGGTCTGGATCGGTTCATGCTATATATGCTGATGCGATGGCAAGACGAAGTTACGTGAAGATCCCAATTCCTACAAAGACGGCGTGTCAGCACCGAGTCCCAGCCCCAAGGAGACACATACGTCCGATGACTTACCATGCAGATCTCACAAATGTCGGCTGTGTGTTCAGTGCGTTGTCCCAAGTTCTCACGCAAAATTCTAACCATCCCTCCGCGTCGACAGGCAAGTCGATCTCCCAGAGCCTCCACGCATGGAAGTACTTGGTGGTCATGTCCGGCACCTCGTACCAGACTGAGCCACCATCACTGGATACTTCGACCCGTACCGGCCAGTGGCCGCCTCCGCTATACGCCCAGCCGCGCAGCTTGATGTGGCCGTCGTGGACAATCTGGGCCTTGTCGACGGGCGACATGATGGCGGACGAGACGGGCATGTCCTGGATCGAGAAACCATTGCTGTACATGGCGTTCTGCTTGCCGACCTGCGGCGTGTAGTACAGGTACTCCTTCTTCTGCACGGGAGCCTGGCTGGGGCCCGAGATGGCGCGCACTTCGTATAGCCACTTGCAGCTGCGGGCGCCGATGTAGCCGAAGACGACGGTCCGCAGCGGGAACCCGTGGATCTTGGGCAGCGGCTCGCCGTTCATCTCCCACGCCAGCAGGACCTCGTTGGCCTTGACCTTGCGCCACGGCACGCTGACGACGTAGTTGTACACCTGGCCCTTCTTGACGTACGTGTCGGCGCCGAAGAACTCGAGGTTGTCTGCCCCTTCTTTGAGGCCCCCGCAGTGCTTGATTACCTTCTTCAGACTCACCCCGGTCCACCGCGCAGTTCCGATCGCTCCTTCGGCCCAGGGTGCGTTGATCAGCTCGTCGCCATCCCCTGGGTATTTTCGGATCTGCTCGATGCGCCGCGTCCCCGAGCACTGTAGCGTCGCGATGTTCGACTGGCGTGGGAACAGCGACTCGTTCTGCAAGTCCGCCAGTGTTAAGCGTTTCGGATTCTTGACCAGTCCTGATATGTCTAGCGTATATTCCGATGGGTCGATTTCTGGAATTCCGCCGTGGTTCCTCACGAAGTGGTCTTGGTTGGTAGTGATCTCATTCTCCACGAGCCTATCCTATGAAATGCTCAGTATGGTGGCAAATGCAGGTGTCGATGAATGTTATCCCATACTCACTCTTGGCGGCTCTCCATTGTACGGGAACTGAAGGACATGGATCATGTCTGGTGACTTTTCCTCGAGCACATACTTCCAGCTGATATCTGGGATATCCTTCAGCGTATCTCCAAGAGCATAGTGATACTGCTTGAAACGCTCGCCAGTGAGTAAAGGATTGGAGTCGGGTAATGGTGCCAGTTGAAACTCAGGTGGCTACTAAAACGTTAAAAATGCTTAAACGCCGCTTGACCAATTAGGCTTCACTGCCACTTACAACCGGGAAGTCATATTGTTCTAGTATGTCGGCGGCTTCCTTCCTCTTCTTGGGATACTTCTCCCACTCGATATATCCTTTCCATCCTTTGCGCTCCTCCGCGAAATGCGGCGCTGCTCCCTTTTGCTTAAAAGGCGGTGCTTGGGGCTCAGCGGGTGCCATTTCGTTGTTTCTAGTGGAAATCTAGTGGAAAGAGAGCCTACGAAAACTGATATTCCTCTCGATCAATGACAAGATTGGCAGATAGAGGTGGTCTATGGGTCTGGCTTATCCCTGCACAACTGGGTGTGATACCTTGTCAGTCGAATAGTCATGACGTAACAATGAGGATTCGTAGCGACAATCGAATCCCTGCATTTTTCATTCCATAATACTTAATAGGAAAACCAGTTTCTAAGGATAGTGTGGTCTAGCATGGCATATGGTATTCGTGGTTGTCGGCCTAAACCGCGTGTTTATGTGTATGTCAAGCCGACGCCATGGAAGGCACTGTCGATACGCGACATCTAACCATCAGGCGACTGGCTTTCCCAGATTGAAGGAGCCAATTCTAGCCGGATGCCATGACAGTACCTGGCTCAATTTGGAAACATTTTATAAACTAAGAGGCGGGTGCGGGTAGGGAATCAATGACGTAGAGAAGGCCAGGAGTGTACCTGTCACATAATCTAACCCTAGAATCGAGCAAGCGCTACGAGCAGAATGTTACAAGAATACACAGACAGGCATAGACTCCAGTCAAGCGCAAGTCGAGGCTTTTGTTCGATACTGACCGCCTTCCGTGGAAGATTCTGCACATTACCAAATCCCGAGTCGCCGTGACTCCGGAACAGCCAGTGCGGAGTATGTGGATCATGCTTCAGATCCACTTCGATTATTGAACTTGACCGAATATTAAACCACCGTATTTCTTTATCGCCTGCTAAATCCGTCAATCCAAGAGCCATAGCAGTCCATTCATCGCATAGAGCGTTGCTATACTTAATTTGTTGCAAGGCAATCTGTTTTCCGTTTCCGGTATGAAACCAAATCGTTTTTGGCATCATCATCATCATCATCATCATCATCATCATCATCATAGATTAGCCAATGGATAGACACGCTGGCATACAGCTTGCAGAGAAATCCGATAACGATTGGGCGGAAGCCAACCTCGAACTCCGGGCTGGAGATCGCCATCAGCTCATGGGCTGAATCATGTCAGTGTTTTGACACTGTGCTCATTTTGAAAGTAGTAACGAAAAGGTTCACAGGTGGTCAGCTGTTCAAGGCTCTCTGAAGTAAGTCGACCAGGTTTCGGTTGCTGGTATCTTGGCACTGACAATAGCTACAGTAATTTGTTGCTCTCGTACACGCCACCGTCCTGGTGCAGGGTCGAGATGGTGTATATGGCACTCCCATTTTTCCTTCACTGCAATAACTCAGAGGGCTTTGTTCAAGCAAAACCTAAGCTCATAAAGAGATCTTGTGGGTGGTAAATTTCTTGTATATGAATTGAGCATATGATCCGGTGATGCAAGCTACGGCCTACGAATAACTAGCTCCTTCTCAGACTCCCGTCAGTGCCAAGGGAGTTGTTAAGACTATGAGGTAGCGGAACACGAACAGGACTCGAAATGCTGTGTGTTACTTGCCATCATTATGCCTTGGATGGAGCAATCTGGAGATGATTGCTAGAAATCTGATCTAATCAAGTTAACATTTATATCGCTAGATTTTTACTAAAATCCTCAAATATGCCCGAACGCGCTGGTACGGGGTAACATAGTGCATCTTGTCTTGTGATATCATCATTTATGTTATCGATACGAGCATTGTGTCTGTCTTCCACCAAAGAACCGAACTCAGGTTGTACCAGCTGCCATGGGAATGAAGAGGCTCGTCTCATGAGGCACTTAGTATAAGTCTAGCAATATGACTTCGAGAACAGTGAGTGAATACTACGAAGAAAGAAGTCCTTCGACTTCAGGAATCTCCATTAAATATTTCGCTCATACACATTCTGCATGCATCCATCTCAAATTGAATGCTTGATAGTTTGCAAAACATAGATTCCGGTTTCCTATAGTGATAACTGAGATTATACGTAAGATGATGTAACAAATTCCGATGGAACAACGACAAACATGCTGACATAGAACCAATTTGTGGGATCTCTTCTTTTCTCTGTGGCTGCTCCCGCACGGCCCTCGACGCGATTTGGACGATTGTGTTCAGAACAGACTCATCAAAGAGCGTCATAAGGACTCAATCAGACCTCTTTACAGCAATAAAAGCCATAGACCTTCCGAATGATCCTGATAAGAAGGCTGAGGTCATCCTACCATCGGCTCCGTATCCAGCGACAATCCAGGCTATTCTTACCATTACGTCAAGTGGTGAAACCAGCTTGAAATCGCCAGTTCCAAAGCTAGCTCATTGGGCTTTGAGGCAAACGCGCAAGATGAAGAACGCGTTTAGAATAAAGGACAGCTTCATCAAGGAAGAAATCCGAAAATCTCTACATCGATTTGAGGAGTCGCAGAAGAGTGACGTGAAAAACGCTATAAATGATATTGTGCGAAGAGAGATAATATTGGCGTAGAAAGAGAAGAGGGAACCCGTACTCTGGTCAAGGGGTGTCTCTGATGAGGTATGTTATCTCGAATCCCCATTCTTGATGCGTCAAGTGCTTACATAGAAAGATCTTTGGCCTCCTTATAGCGGCCCACGATACTACTGGAACAGCCATGGCCTGGGGCCTCAAGTTCCTGGCGGACAACCAAGGCGTTCAAGACAAGTTGCGATTCGAACTCCAATCTGCACACGCAGAAGAAAAAAATCGCAAAAGATTACCTTCTGCCGCCAAGATTATTGGGACAGCAGTCCACTACTTGGAGGCAATTGTAGAAGAAATTATCCGTTGCTCGTTAACAGAATCTGCCGTTATGCGAACCGCCATGGCTGACGTAGAGGTACTCGGCCATCGAATTCCGAAGGGTACCGAGGTGTTTTTCATGGGTAATGGGCCTAGCGTCTTCGCACCCCCCTTCGAAATCGAGGAATCGCTACGAAGCCCGAGCTTTAATTCATCCAAAGAGAAGATTGGCAGTTGGGACACCACGGATATGGCCGCCTTCAAGCCGGAAAGGTGGCTCGTTGACGCAGAAGGTAGGAAAGCGTTCGACCCAGCCGCGGAGCCCCTTCTTACGTTCGGCTTAGGAGAACGAGGCTGCTACGGGCGGAAACTCTCCTACGTAGAGATGAGAATCTTTCTCACTCTCATCATCTGGAAGTTTGAGTTACATAAGTGCCCTGAAAAGTTAAGTAGCTACGAAGCTATCGACAAGATGACCCATGGACCGGCACAATGTTACGTCAAGCTTGTGAAGGTCGCCCTGTGATAAGCATTGCCCTGCAGTCGGTTACATTCTTCGGACGGTTCATATATATACATATATATTCTTGTTTTAGTGTATCAGCTGGATGGTGGTTGATTTTTATTTCGTTAATACGAGATGGTTAAGAGTCTATTTGTAGAGTATGAGGTTCTGTCTTTATTGAAGATATATCTCGCCTTTCGAAATCCTCCGGTGCAGCCGTTTCCGTTGCTCCTCTGTGCAAGCGCTCACCTGACCTAGTTCCGCTTTCCTTTCGCTTCTGCTCGCCGTTGGTGGAAATATTTCGTCATAGTAACCAGTAGGCCTGACAAATAGTCGAAACATTTTGCGGCCATGGATAGGCCGCTGACAATATCCCCCTTGAATAATTAAATACTGCTTAAGGTAGGGTTATGGCATTGAAACCCTTCAGCTACCTAGCTTGGTTTCTCTCCTAGTCATACCGCGGAATCCATCTCCTGAGTGCCTGTGATTATTGCTCCCAAGAGCTGATTACAATTGGAGAAAAAGCGAGGAAGATTGAATGGAAAATTATTAGCTTGGGTTTCTTATGAATCTACATCAAAGGGTCTATTTTGTCTAACCAGGGTGACCTTCTCGCCATGAACCAATAAAGAGATGCTCAACTAGTATACTGGGATCTCCCCTCTCATGGGTGTGATCATGGGGTAGCCATCCAAAAGAATCCTTCGGCAAAATCAAGACGTCGCCAATGAGTCTAGGCTCTCTCAGCTGACTCAACTCATCACCCGTGTGCTCGATCCCAGTGGCTTGCGTCATGTACTCCATGACCACCTTGGTGAATGCAAAAGGGCCAGTTGTAGACATAACCTCTTCGAATGTGATCGAGTCCCGCGTTCCTTTCAAGTCCAGTAACTTTCTCAGGTTCCGACTTACTTCATCGACGAGTGTGACAAAAACGGGATGGCCTGGCTTCGAGAGCATGGTATATTGTGACAGCTGCACAGAATACGGAACCCCATCCCATATCGGCTTCTTTTCGTGGTCGTTTTCAATGCCAATCACTAGATTAACCGACCGCTTTAGTGTGTCCGGAACCCATCGTGAAATAGGCTGATGCGGAAGCACATCGATATCCGCCCAGACGCCACCCTCGCGCAGCATCACCAAATATCTGAGGAAATCAGCACGGAGTATGGGATCAGTCAGATTTGAAAAAATTTCTGATATGTCGACGGGAAATCGCTGGTCGACGTAGCTGTCGCTGTTGTTGTCTGTGATGCGCTCGTAGCGGTGTGTAGGGTTGACCACCCGCCATTGACGTGGGAAGCCGACGGTTCGGTCGGTCGGGTTCTCAGAATCATCTTTCCAACTTTGCCAGATCTTGTCTGGAAAGTCCGTTGCTGGTAAATATGTGTTTCTATCGTCTTGTGGCGGCACTGTAATCAGGAATCCGGTCAGTCTCGCTCGACAGGAGGATTGGGGGCTATTTACAGGGCAGTGTGAATGCTATTGAGTTCCGGCGGACATCCAGTTGTCTTATTAATGCAGTGGTGATACAAATAGCAGTAATTAGAAGAAAGCTAGTCCTCTTGGACCACGACTGAGATAGCATCGTGTGTTCGCGAGGATTCATTTTGCAGCAAAAGGGAAAGACTTGAAATTCACAGAAAAATGAGCGAAGACCCCATGTAGGAGCTGCGGCCTCCCTACATATGTTTGATCTTGTTATATGGTCCAACAAAAACCTTTTTGGATTCCAGGCTTATTATCTCACCCACCCAAGCGCTTACAGTGGGTATATAGTGTGTGTGGGTTCCCGAGAGGACGGTACTGTGGGCTGCCCCCCTGCTAAGGCATGTCTTGGTCTTCTCGACATGATTGGAGGAATGTACTGGGATATTGTGCTGTAGACCAACACAGACAGGGGTCAGGCAACAGAGGCAAAGAGGCCCACAGATACCGTGGCCTTCAACTAAGCGCAGCCGTACCCACTGCGACGCTTCTTTCATCAAATTGCATTTGATCGTATGAAAAATTTAGGCCCTAGAAAAAGCTTTGTTCAAATTTGGTTGAGAGGTTTTTTTTTTGGGGGGTACAATGATCTGTAAGGCTGAGTAGACTGCTGTGAGAGGTGGCGCAGCGGGGTGCACATGCATCTGGCTCTGGGATCCTCCAGAGTGGAGGCTGTGTATGATTAGGTATCTATGTATAGCACATGCGATGAGCGGCACAGCAGTGTACTGTCTATGTGGCCTGCGATGCTCAGATCAGGTATCGGTAAACCATATCAGGAAGTAGATCACATCGCCATTAAAAAAATTGTAACTTCAAAACGACGAAGCATTGCGCATAAGCAGGACTACAAATGTCGAGACCCCAACTTCAGCGGGCACCATATGGCTTGAATTGCCGCAACACAGTAAATATATGTCACAAGAAAGACTGAATTTATGGGAAATTGCACCATTCTACCTCACTGATAGTATCCATGTACAGAAAGTCTCCATCTGGATAATATACAACCAATCGATAAACCTTTCTAAATATTTCATCGTCAAATGTTTGAAACCTGCCACTGTAAAAGGAACTTCAGGGGCGGTTGTGTACAGTCTAAAGACAGCTATTGAGCTCAGGCTGGTGAGACGTGGTATAGAATTATGGCTTGAGAAATTGTGGCTGTGCTTTTTCGCGTTTTATTTATTTAATTTCCCTCTTTTCCGTAGACTTTAACACACCATCGCAATTCCTGCTTTCATTTTACGACCATTCGGTTTGGCCACCGTCGATTTATACGTTTATTTTAGCTATACAAACAACGTACGTTCGATTCGTCGACATTAACGAGGAGGACTGCGTTGGCTGAGGTTGTGTTATTTGGGTAATATGGCCCAGGAGCACCACTCCAGTTCAATATAACGACTTATCATAAACTGAGAAGATAAACTGAATTTTAATACCTGAAACCGGGTTCCATAGATACAACAACAGAGTGGTCGGGCTTGTCTGCCCGTATCATGCACACCCGGCTGATATGCTGTATTTCTATGTAATGCATAATAGCTTACATACTAGGAAGACATGATATGCAACACTCGGGTATATCGCATTAGACTGAGCCCATTTAATAGCCGCAAGGGCTGGAAACATCGCTCTTGTCTTGTTTCTACTACTATCATGATCTCTCACTCCTGCTCTTTTTTTTTTTTTTTTTTTTTTCCAAATCTTCGAGAAAAACTAGTCGTCCGTGTGAATCATGCCTCGCGACAAACCTCCGTTCGATCCTGTGCTCATTGCAGACATCAAGAGCACCATGTCGTATAGCACCAACTTTTGGTTGAGAGGCGTCCCCTTCTCGTTCCAGCTACTTGCAATAGGAGGGTGCTTAGTAATAGCATATTATCTCTTGACTTCATTGGCTTCGGAACGTCCCTTACCTGGCTTTCCTGTCGCGACCATGCCCCGGCAAAGCCCTCAAGCCGAAGGAGAGCTACAATGCTGACGCGAGCAAGACGATTGCCGCCGGTCTTGAGTTGTTCTCAGGCCCTTTCCAAATTCTGACTGGAACCGGCCCCAAGATTGTCCTGCCGCATAAGTACGCAGACGAGATACCAAACCTACCAGAACTTGATTTCAATGAAGCATTTCGCAAAGACTTCTTCGCTCATTATCCTGGGTTTGATCGGTTTCGCGCTAGTTTGGACCACCCTTTACTGATTCCACAGACGCTCCGTTTAAAGCTGACACCAAGCCTTGGGCTTGTCACGAACCATCTTGTGGACGAAGCTACGACTGCTCTGCATGATCTGTATGGAGAGGAACGGGAATGGCGTTTCATTGCTGTCAAGCAGCATAACCTCAATTTTGTGGCACGCCTCTCCTCGTGAGTCTTCTTAGGGAAGCCGATCTGCCGCAATGAAAAGTGGTTGGAAATTGCCAAAAAAAAACACACTGGTTCGTGATTCATGACGTCCTTGACAAGTCACACGACATATAGCTTACTTTTATTTAGTCGACTCTTTTTTTAGCTGCTCGGGGTCTTCGAGCTCAGCCGTTCTTTCTGCGACGTATCATGCACAGATACATGCCTCACAACGTCAATATACGTAAGGGTCTTTTCCGCTCACCTGAACACCTATTCACACGTAAGCACTCACATTCTCCCAGAACGGGACTATAATGATGCCAAAAGCATCATCAGCGCCGAGATAGAAAGAAGAAGGATACGCACCGAGAAACTCCTGGCTTCAGGCGGGAAACCGCCGAAAGTTTCCGATGCAATTGGATGGATGGTCGAGGTGGCTGGAGGAGAGAAAGTTGACTACGTTGCCGCTCAGCTTTCACTTACGGTTGCTTCAATCCATGCCACGACGGGGGCGCTGACGATAGCATTGACTGACCTCGCCACTTATCCCACTGTGGCAGCCCAGATACGAGCAGAGGTAATTCAAGTTTTGAGTGACGGCGGCTGGTCAAAACAGGCGTTGTACAACATGAAGTTGATGGATAGCTTCTTGAAGGAGTCTCAGCGCCTGCACCCGGTGGGTGGGTAAAATGATCTGTGACGAATCTATTGGCACAAGTCACTGACCACACCCGTGTGTTTAACAGCCCAGCGACGGTGAGTTTACTTATATGTTCGTCGTTGAATATGTCAAGGCTGACGACTTTAAAGTGTCCATGAACAGAAAGGTCATGTGTCACTTCAGTCTGTCAGACGGTACGCGGCTTCCTAAGGGGGCTCGTCTTATGGTTGCGTCAAAACGTCGAGACCCTGAAACTTACGCAAACCCGAATGAGTTCGACGCACGTCGTTTCCTAAAGCTACGTGATGATTCTTCAAATAACACCAACCAATACGTGTCCACCTCCGCCGAAATGTTTGCTCTTGGTATGTATGCCATTTACTTCTACCGATCCTACGGCATATAGCCATGGGCATACATAGTGTCGATCACCTGCTAAACAACATTGACCCCGAAGGGCATGGCAAACATGCTTGCCCCGGACGATTTCTTGCAAGTAGCGAGCTAAAGATTGCCCTTGCACACATGCTTTTGAAGTACGATTGGAAATTAGATGAGAGTGACACGATGCCAAAATTCTTTGACGAGGAAGCCGCCCACATGACTAATCCCAAATTGAAACTAAAGTTAAGGAGAAGAACAGAGGAGATTCATATTGATATGGACGTAGATCCTGATCTACTTGATGCTGAAGAGTGAATAGCTTGCTCATGGGGTTAGTACCGAGCACGGGATGGCTACTTGAGGGTTTAAGGAAATATGGTACACTGCATCCAGCTTCTATTAACTGTTGATCATAATCAAACATCTTTACCGATAGTCTCATGTTATTAAACTAAAACCAACATCTCCTTAACGTCCACGGCGTTCTCAGTGTTTGTAAGGATAGGGTGTCTCTCGCTTATGACATGCGGACCCGCTCAATTCTTTAAAGGGAATTTTACTTTAGTGAAATCATTCGGCTCACCCCTTCGTTTTGGGTGTTGATCTAACAGCACCGTGGTTTGATGCTAAAGCATTGGCGAACCTAGCAGTGAAGCGTCAGGTCCTGGCACATTCTTCATAAAAAATTAAGTGCTTAAACTTTCGACGTAGTATTCCCGGGTATAAGTCCCCTCTGGACACACTATTATATTAGTGTTGCGCGTTTTCTTGAAGTACAAGACAATCGATGGAATTTAGCATTTTTCTAGATATGCCTGTCTTTTAACCATCTTGGATCAACATCTCTCGTGCGTCCAAATATCTCATTTGTTCCCCCAACGATGCTCAAGTCTGTGATGTTGAAGTCAGCTTTGACCATGGTCCCAGGGGCCATGACCTTGACTGTATCAGTGCCGTCAGCAAGAGATTTGTTCGATAACCCATGCACCACTTTTCGCTTGCCGCCTCGGCCGGTGAATGTCACCTTCATTGACGAAACTTCAATTGAGGGGCCATGGATCCAGCCACCATTCGGGTTTGGTTATGGCAAGTGGGCTCTCGCGTGGACCAGTATAGAGGAGTACTGGGGTTGGTCCAATATGCAAGTAAGGACTTATTCATCTCGGCTCCGCAAAGCTGAGTCCACCTTTGTCTTCGCAAGTTTAGGTCATTAACAGAAACAGAACGAGTGGTATCCTCTTGCAAACACTATCAATGGAGCGAGGGTATCAGACATTCACGCCACGGTCATCGCTGACATCAACTCATTCCAACTTGGAAGTAACGACACTGTCATTACTACCCCCGGCACGGATACTCCACTGGAAGGACAGTCGTACGCTTGGAACTACACCATACCCGCTGAGATCATGGCTGAAACTGATAACACCGCCTGGGTCGGGTGGGGTTACGACTTCTACGAACAGGGTGTGCCGTACTTTGTGAGCTATGACGCGTCAACAACTGGAGTCAAGAATGTGTCGTATGGGGTGTCCATCTACAGTCAGCGTGAGCGTGGGCCAAGCGACAGGACCGTGGCAGAGATTGCAAAATGCTACGACAAGTTAGGAAGCGAAGTGTTTGCGACTTTGTTCAGGACAATGCGAAGGACGCCGACAGACGGCCGCCGCAGCGATAACCTGTCGTGGCGTGGTGGGGCAGTTGCAAATGCCCAACAAGCCCGTCATTCGAATCAGTTACCTCTTCTATGAACGACAAAGAATGTACAATTCTGCATAATGCCTGTATTAGGTTTCCGTATTTACCAAAAAGGCGGGAGGTTTCGGAAATTGACTGACAGCGTAGCCAGATAGGAATGTGAACATGCAATCCTCGCTTCAAGTAGGGCGCCGCGATCAAGGGAGTTACGATATTCCCACAAGAACATTAGTTACGGATTTCATCCACTAGCAACGGGTGTAGAGTCCGGAAAGGCTTAAACCTACAATTGCAGTCTACCCGAGAACATTGAGTCTTTCAATTTGAGACAGCTTGGAGGTTCTATGATTTGCTGCCCAAAGCTGCGAGGTTGAATGTTTCTATGCTGCGAAAGCCGGAGAGCCTGAGCTTTTGTTGGAATTGCAAGACACACGTGGCCGTGTTCAGACTCATTGACGCATCACTGTTTCGTTGTCAGGAATGTTGTTGTTTTTTAGGTACAGTGTCATTGAAATTGCTATTTTTAATTCAATCAAACCTCAATACGGGAGCTTGATCTACTTTGTCTAGGATCAAAAACCCCCTACCACAGAGGGGTTCTTTACGGCACTAACTAGCGGCCGAAAGGGCTAAACTGGGGGTCACGGGCGCTGGAGGGCAGGGGAGTTTAGCAGGCATGAATTGAGTGAAGTCCGGTGTCTTGTAATACGAGATCGTTAGAGTGCCGATCATCTCGTGTAGCTCCACCGGGCAGGGGCCGGAGGATCTCCCCGGCCGTAGAAAGCCACGATCGTAAGCCGTGAGAGCCGCTTGTCATCCGATCGCAACATGCGTTTGCAAATATAGAGTAACCTTCACGGAATAGCTAAATGCACGAGTGAGAGGTGAGAACGTTTCATAGCGCGTTGATTGAAGTATAAGAAGGAATTAAATTCCCACACTCTACCACTCTTGCCATCATCTCCAAGCAGCACAAGAACTACACAGATTCGATCCAAAGCACTCAAACCCCATTACAATCCAAGATAATATTAATTATTACCCGCAAAAATGCACTTCACCGCCGCCGTCAGCACCCTCTTCGCCGCCTCGGCTCTTGCTGCCCCCGCTCAGCCCCGTGCTGAGACCAAGTCCATGATGGCAGCAGCAGAGTGGACCATTGAGTCGCTCAAGCGCACTTGCGACTCTGGCGACACTCTTTGCAGCTGGGAATTCGGCATTAACACTGGAGCCGTGACGGCTTGCAGCTTCAGCGTTTCCGGCAGCCCTGCCAGTCACACCGACCTTGTGTCGGCCGCCACGTGCGGCGATTTCTCCGTCACCACGGGCTGGAGCGACCAGTTTGGTGCTGACAATGGCTTCACCACCCTGGCTGTCGTTGACAATGTCAACCGGCTGATTGTCTACCCGGCCTACACCGACAAGCAGCTGGTGAATGGCGTGGTCGTTGTGCCAAACCAGAGCTACACTCCCCAGGCACTGCCTTAGGGATATTGAGCCTCCAATTAGTCTTCTTAGGAAGAAATAAAAGAAGGGCACGGAGTATGTGAAGGAATCGGTTTGCATTGCGGGCGTGGTTGGTGAAAATGGGCGTCATTCACTCTCTAAGACTATTTGCATCAATAATTATGAATAGTAATGAAATCACAATCTCTAATATTTCAAAATATACATGACACCAAATCATAACTATCCCGGGTAGTGTACACCACAAAGTTTTAAGTAGTGTGAGAAGGAATACTTGTACGGCTCATGACAATAAGTTTCAATGTTGTGACGTCCGTCTAGCTGACTATCTAAGAACGTCGTAGATCCCTGGGTCGAAAGGGTAACGAGTGTCTAGTACGGCCGGTTTGCCTAGGCTCACAAGTGATCACTCTAGTAGATCACAGGACCTCAATAATAAGGCCAAATCGTGGGACTGATGAAGGGGGTCGTTCCGGCAAGATCCGAGAGATAAGATTGATAATCGCGCGACCCCCACTACCCGACGTCGGAGCCTAGCACTGCCCCATGACCCGTCCATCTGATAAGGTGCGGACGACCCAAGCCTACGATTTGCTTTTGTAACCTTCGCGACCCAACCATGCAGTGTAACCGTGGCTATGGACCGGTCTACCGCAGAGTGGGCAAATGAAGTCTTGAAGACCAGCCTGCGATCCGGCGAAAGGACGCTCGTCATCTCCGATGCCGTGTCGGCACTCGCAGACAATCCGGGACGGGAGATCCCTATAGACCCGAAGAAGCTCGAATATCTGAGGCGTCTCATCGCTTACATCCTCGACGGACGTGAGATCGCTGCGACGTACAACTATGTCTTGCTTGTTGCGCTTGCCGTCTTCACAGCTCTCCACTGGTGGCCACGGTTTCGCGACGCGCGCCGGCGCAGAACCTTTGCTGAGTCTCACGCAAACACGTCCGCCGCGAATCTCCAGAAACGCTCCAGGCTCGCCGGTTGTCTCGAATACTCACGAGGAGACACATGTGGCGAAGACGTTCCGTCTTCATCTTCAAGCAGCACGCTCGCTGGTGCACAATCTCCGGGACGGCCCCGAAAGACCACCGACATTGATCTCGAGCGTCAGCCATTACTGGGTCGCGATAGTACCCATGCTGCGACAACGCCGATTAGCTCCCTTTCAAGAGTGGTTGAATCTTGGCTGATGTACCAGCCCAGGCCGATACCTGTGATCAACCGAAGCCTACCATCCAACGGGACGTCTCTTGTCGTTCTTGCTTATATATGTGTCAATATTTTCTTCAATTTCTACCAAGGATCTTTGAAGCCCGAATACTCCTTTGCCTTTACCGACCGAGCCGGTTACGTATTCATCGTGAATCTGCCGCTTCTCTATCTCCTCGCCGCGAAGAACCAGCCGTTCAAGTTCCTGACTGGGTACTCCTACGAGGCTTTGAACATCTTTCACCGTCGAGTGGGCGAGCTGATGTGTTTTGAGGCAGTGGTTCATTTTGTAGGGATGCTGTTGTGGAATCTGGTCTTCACCCCAGACTGGCTCAGGGTGGGCGACCTGCAATACTTCATGACCAGACGACTTACACTCCTTGGTCTCGGTGCCTTCATTTCTTACGAATCACTCTATTTCACATCGCTTGGCACTTTCCGTCAGCGCTGGTATGAACTTTTTCTTGCATCACATGTTTTCTTGCAAGTCGCCGCACTGGTTTTCTTGTACTTGCACTTTTGGACAGCCAGGCCTTACGTACTCGCCTCTCTGGCCATTTTCCTGGCCGACCGTATCGTTTGGCGGCTCGGCCTCAAATCTACATCTGTATGCGCGGACCTGGACATCCTTGAGGATGGGAACACATTGCGACTGTCCGCAGATTGGGACATTCCGCGAAGTAATAGGAGGGTGCTGTGTGGTTTCTTTCGACAGAACATCACTCATGGCTGGCATCCCATGGATCATGTGTTCATCACAGTCGAAAGCCTCGGGCGAACGCACGCATTGCAAGCGCACCCCTTCACCATAGCTTCGGCAGCACCGGGAACGGAATCCGATCCCGAGGGTCCTCCCAATCATGCATGGCTAAGCCTACTCATAAGAGCACATGACGGCTTTACGACTGATTTGCTTCAGCATGCGCGCTTTAAATCCACTGTTGATGTTCGCATAGACGGGCCGTACGGATCTGTTGATGCTCTCGAGATGCTGCAGATACGTGACACGGCAGTACTTATTGCAGGCGGGTCGGGCATTGCTGTGGTATTCCCTCTTCTGTGGGCTTTGGTCCACAGCGAAGACTATTATTCCTACGGCCGAGAAATCCACCTTCTCTGGGTCATTCACTCGCGCTCGCACCGAAGCTGGATGCCCCAGGAGCGCTTGGATGAGTTGGAAAAGGCCGGGGTGCACATCACGATACCGGAGCCGACGGCTGAAGCGGGCCGGCCCAATGTCGACGCATATATAGAAGCCCAAGCTTCTCAAGCTCGGGAGAAGGGATTAGAAATGGGACTAGTTGTTTCGGGGCCTGATAACCTCAACAGGACGGTCAGGAATGCATCTGCTAGAGCTGTTGGCAGGGGCACTGATATTCAACTCCGCATAGAGAAGTTTGGATGGTAGACTATAGACAACACTACGGAAGTATGCATTGAGCAAGTGAACTACAAACGCACCGTACTCTGGAAGTCCTAGGCTTTGCCACAGAAGCAAGACATGCCCCAGTGAAAAGAAGAGGCGAGGCCTGGGCAACGATGGCTTTAAACAGCCTCAAACTTATACTCATCAAAACATTATTCCTACGGGAGTTTATCAGTAGAATACATCCACGGGATCAAGCGGAAACAAGACTGGCAACGTTCCAGTGGCAGATCAATCCAGGTTTGAGGCCCATTTCCGGCCAGGGGGAGGCGCTAAAGCCCCACCAGCTGCTTGCACGGCGCCCAGGTGCTGGGATGCTGGGATGCTGGGATGCTGGGTGCTGGGCTGGGCGGCACTACCCCGAGAAGCCAGACTGGATGAACCCCACCATCACCGACGACACCTGGGCGAGCCTCCAGCTCGAAGCTCCCGGCAACACACTCGCTCCCACGATTGCATCGCAGAATAGCCCGACACCTCCGTCACCATGGCCTCCGCCGACCCTTTTGACTCGGCCCTGTAAGTACCTGGCCCAGTCCCGGATGCAGTTGCGCTGTTGCGCTGCAGGAGGAATGCAACCTAACCCCCGCCGCTCACCAGGGACCTCCTCCGCCGCCTCAACCCCAAGCACACGACGACACACCTGCAGTCGCTCATCTCGCTCGCGCCCGACCTGACCGAGGACCTGCTGTCATCCGTCGACCAGCCGCTGACCATCCGCCGCTGCAAGCAGACCGGTCGCGACTACCTGCTGTGCGACTACAACCGGGACGGCGACAGCTACCGCTCGCCCTGGTCCAACGAGTTCGACCCGCCGCTGGACGGCGGTGTGGGCGGCGACGGCGGTGCCGGAGATGGCGCCGGTGCCGCCGGCGTCCCCAGCGACAAGGTCCGCCGCATGGAGATCAAGGCCAACGAGGCCTTCGATGTCTACCGCGAGCTGTACTACGAGGGCGGTGTGAGCAGTGTCTACTTCTGGAACCTGGACGATGGCTTCGCAGGCGTTGTCCTATTGAAGAAGGGTGAGTGCAGCTATTTCAAAGCCGTCAACACACGAAGCTGGGGCAAGCCAGACGCCGTGATCGTTGCCAGATGGCGGTCGGACCTTCAAACCCCCTTATCCATGCAATAGAGCAAGGACTCAGTCTGCCCTAGTGCGCATCTCTAACGGAGTGCCTCCCCGGGTCATTGAGACTGTGGCTTCAAAGCCACTGGCAGGAAAGGAAGAAGTCCCAACATCGAGAATGAAGATTTGCCCCTGCCTCCTCCCGAAGCATAGGGCGGGCATACGGTGGCGCTAATGCGGCGGAGTTGGCGGATGTCTTGGGTCAGATGCTAATGATTTTAAACAGAGGCCAAGCCTGGTAGTGCAAGTGAAGGATCTTGGGACTCTATCCACGTTTTCGAGGCTATCGACCGTGCCCGTGTCACCCAGTACAACCTTACTTCCACGGTTATTCTGTCGCTCTCAGCGAGCGGATCGGGTCTAGGAGACCTGGACCTGAGCGGCAACATGACCAGACAGATCGAGCAAGAGCTCCCCGCCGAGAACGATGAGCAGCAAATCGCCAACATTGGCAAACTTGTGGAAGACATGGAACTGAAGATGCGAAACCTGCTGCAGGAGGTTTACTTTGGTAAGGCGAAGGATGTGGTGGGTGACTTGAGAAGTGTGGGAACTCTTAGCGATGCTGGCCGAGATCGTCAGGCACAAAAGGACATAATTGGAAGCATGTGGGCTAAATAAGGAAGTAACGATGCAATTCCCAAAACCTGAACACAGGCATGCGTAGTTTCAGAGTTATGGCTGCCAAACAATCGATATTGGGACATATACAGCCCCTACGAGCTCATGAACTTGACGGCAAGAGGGTAAAGGCTGCATTGTATGAAAGACCGAAAATCCAATTACTGACCATGCTTCACAAATTCTGCCATTAACATTGGTAGCCTTGACAAATCCTGACTTATGTATTTGAGCAGCTGCAATGAGAATCTCCCCATTGGCTCAGAAGACCGATCTATACTTTTAAACAAACGCGTTACTGAAATCTACTCTCAAGCCCTGGGTATCGATTATATCATGGCCAGTACTAATCTATAAATGACTCACGGTAGTTGATCTCGAACGACTGAAAGGGGGCCACAGACATGATGATTTTTACGTGAGTGATGGATGACCCCCATTCTGTTTTCAGTTGATCTGTGCTTCGCACTATAGAAGCTATCACAGTCAAACCCTGTACGATACCAGGCAATAACCAAGCCGCGAGTAAAGAGAAGCCCCAAGTTGAAAGAAACAGTTTTCCGACAGGGAAGCTGCGTGCAATGTGACACTGAGCTTTGTACAATTCAATCCGTAGCAAGACAACGGGCCGTTCTTCCCATCAGGGGAGCTCAAGCCAGACGCGGGGCAACATACCGAAGAGAATGCCAGTTCGGGTGTTTGGTGATCGGATGTCAATGACAGGAACTGTGGCCTACTCTGCAAAACGATAAGACGTGGAGGGTCGACGAATCACCTGCAAATGCCCAGAGGCTTTGATCTGCTGTCCTTTCTCACGATATGCTAGCATTAGTTTCCGAGTCTAGTGTATGCAGCACCCGAACAGGTTCCACTACGTGTGTCACGCATTGGCTCTCTACTTTGAACCGCCCCACTGATTGCTATTCATGTTGCTTTTGCTGCTCCGCAGAATGGCTATTGAGTGATTGTCACCCCTACAGATATCGCTTTAGTTTGTCTCAGACGCATGTATTGCAGTGTGGCCGAGACAGGACGGCTCACGGTAAGGGATAAAACAAGACCGTATGACGCACCATATACCGGTTCAGATAGAGTCCAGCAAAATTCGCATGCTGCCATTCAAGTGGGATTTGAGTTAACGTCATGGCCTGTACAGAAGAACATACTACAACTTGCATTCAAAAAGCACCATTAGCCTACCCAGCTTTTACCAATCGAGCTTATGTGAGCGAGCTTGCAGGGTTCGGATCAGATACTCGGTTCCAGATGGCCGGGCTCTGGATCACCACGGCCTAATGCGGCAACCTGCATGTGAGATGAACTATTCATTCTAGTGGCAGGCTGATGCATCAGTCGGGTCCAACGTTGCCTCGGACGAATGTGGGCTCATTTTCGCGGGCATACTTGCCAAACTTGTTATTCTTAGGTCAACTTATCCCCCGCGGATAGCTGCCAAGATGTCACCATTTTGTGCCAACACAACGGTTCGGACATCCCCAACGCATCCAAGGGATCCTGTTTCAATAGTTGTTGGCAAAGCACATCATGAGAGACAATTACGGCGTTTCTTTCTCTCTCGTGAAGAACAGACGAATCACAGCCCTAAGCGCTGGCAGGGGCTTGCGCTGACCTCATCCTAGGCTACTGGAATGGAGCGCTTCGTATACGGCGCAGACCGGTAGACCGTTGGGGACAGAAGTCATGAGATCAAATTGTCTAGCACGAACTGGGATGCGCAGTGGACCCTGAGGGATTGAGTGGCGTACTGACTCGAAGCCAGACGACGGCTCGAACGATGGTCGGGGTTGAGGGACAACGCGACCGGTAAGTAGAACTACTCAGTAATGTAGATAATGCCAATAACTCTTGTTTTCTAGTGATCTATATATTATTTGCAGGCCAGCTCCTATGCATACCCTCTGAGGTGTTTCGCTTGGTGGCCTTGTTTGCAGTGCCAATCGTCAAGATGGAAGGCATAAAAATCGTCTTTTTCTATGTGGCCGTGCCTGGTCTTCTGTTGTCTGTATTGCGACAAGTCCTGTCGCGCATAATACATGCGAAGTCAGAGGCACGCAAGATCCCAGGCCCAAGACAGTTTCCTGTAGTTGGCAGAGTTCATGACTTGGACCGATTCGCCATGTGGAAGAAGTTCAAAGAGTGGGCAGACATACACGGTCCCATCTACCGAACCAGCATGCTCGGACAGCAATTCATCATCGTGTCGGACGAACAAATCGCTCAAGAATTGCTTGTGAAGAGGGGGCACATTTACTCGGGTCGACCGCAAATACGTGCGCTTATGAATCATAAAACTGGACCAGGATATGTTGCCCTCATGGACAGAAACGGTGAGAAATGCTGTCAAAATATGCCAACTATGTAGGCTGACTGTCTAGATACGTGGACTCGACAGCGCAAATGGGTTCATGCAGCCATGGCCGAATCTCACAAGCACCACTTCTACGGCGTCATTGAGAATGAAGTTCGCCGCTTTTTGGCCGTTCTTCTACTAGACCCGGCAAAATTTCATTCAAATATAAGAGAGCACTGCGGACGCATCATGTGTACACTTGCCTGGGATGACGCGGGTAAGGGCAAGGACTATGGTGACAGCGCCGATTGTACACTTACCCAGATGTCTGTCAGCGGGCCTATCGTGAACACAATGACCCCCTTGTGGTCGATTCCTTGGGCGCTGAATCCATGGAAGAAGTATGAGCGGGCAAGAGAAGACCGGCAGTGGGCATGGTGGCTTCAATCGTATCAAGTAGCCAAGGCCAGATACCTCCGGAGAGAACTCTGTGCAGATACCTGGTCGCATAGGTACTTCGAAGAATTACAGAGGCAGGGCAACGAGAAGCTTGTTCAGAATGCGGAAGAGGAGAGATTTGCCAGCTGTATGCTAGGGTTCCAGGTAAGAATGTACCACCAAAAGCCCATTACAATCCTTGGCACTTGAGTCAACGGTAATGCTGACATGATAATCTATTCATAGAACCTGGTTGGTGTCATAACGATCACCGGTCCTCTGCAATTCTTTCTGATGGCCATGACCCTGCACCCCGAGTGGCAAACCAAAGCCCAAGAGGAAATTGATCGCATATGTGGCGATCGGATGCCGACAACAGCTGACATTGAAGATCTTCCCATCGTTAGAGCGTGCCTCAAGGAAACCCTCAGATGGCGTTCTGGTGTCCCGCTTGGTACGTTATAGCCCTTCAGTCAGCCTGAGCAGACAGCTGATATTCCTAGGGGTACCGCATCAAGCTGAGAGAGATGACGAGTATATGGGAGAAACTATTACCAAGGGGACTATAGTATTGGCATGTGAATGGTGAGTGGCACGTTGAGACTAGAGCTTGGCAGTACTAATTTGATATAGGAGTATTAATCGTGTTCCTACAAGGTATCCTGACCCCGAGACCTTCCGCCCGGAGCGGTATCTAGAGCCAACTTGGCCAACCTACCAGGAGCCCCTGTCAAAGTACCCTAATTTCCGCGAAGGCCATGGCATGCATACCTTCGGATGGGGCCGCAGGACATGCCTCGGCCAGCACATTGTTGACGATGAAATGTTTGTCACAGGCGCCAGTGTATTATGGGGGTTCCGAATGAGCAAGAAACGGTGCCCGGAAACAGGAATGGAGATCGACATTGATAGTGAGGCCACAAACGCGCATGTCATCCTGGAAACGTTGCCGTTCCCAATGGATCTGATGCCGCGAAGCGAGCAACGTGCGGCTGAAATCCTGGCTGGCTATGCAGAAATACGAGATAGTCTGAGAGTTTAGAGGAAGTTAGAACCTTGATGATAATAATTAAATACGCATCAGAATAACGGGTCTGATTTCAAGACTCAGACTCGTGGTCAGAAATTTTGAAGGTTCTAGTATGGATAAATGACAGGTTACGCAAGAGCAGCTGTTTTCTAACCAGGTTCCCCGCTAGTGTACATAAAAACCGTTCACTCGTACCTGTATCTACTGCACCTTGAACAAGTCGAGACGGAGCACAGGGATAATAACACCAGCGCACAAACCACAGAGTTTTGTAGGCCAAATCGTCACCGCAGTGTTGTCTTGCTTCTGTTCCACGAACCCTTTAGCACTTTCAGTCGCACGCATTTTTTTCACATTTGAACATATCTTCTTTTCCAGACACTGGGCTGCCGGAGATGGACTTCCATGATATCTTCTTCTTCCGAACAGCGACCAAGGCATCACTGCGGGCACCGCAGACGCCTCCCCGGCTCGGTTCCTTGTAGGAAATTATCACTTCGATTCGCCGTTGTTTCTCTCTCCGGAATAACGATAATGAAAGAGAATAAAAATAAAAACGATTAATAATGCGAACCAATGAGAATGATGGGACCGCTCGGCTGTAGCTCGCTGGACCGGCGCAATCAGCATCTGGGAAGCGTTGAAATTATGGTTGCTGAGCCCGATCTCAAAATTTCATGGAAGACTCACCACACTGCGTAGATTTTCTCAACAGGTCATACGTTCGCCAGCCACGTATTTAATTGATTTATTCCTCGTATATTAATCTCTCAGCATTCGCCTCGGCCGTCCACGATCTTAACCTCTAGTAATGGGGATTTCTAGTCTGATACAGCTGTCATACTGGAGGCAGCCTCAACTGACAGTTTCCAAAACGCTTTTGGTAGAGGGCAGTGGTTGGATTGGATGAATGTAGGCTATGACCTCCTGTCGTTCCTCTCCACATCCTAGCGCCTTTGATATTCTTCCTTCCGCGGCTTCTTTTTATTCAGCAGCACGCCAGAAGAACCACACAAGTGCGACCAGGAGTTTGAGCAAAGCGGCAATCCACAAGATGCCGGCCGCTCCAACAGAGCTGTGCACTAACAAACCACCCATGACAGCACCAAATAGGAGCAGTACCGGCGCACCGACCCTGCGGTTCCTCTCTACGTTGTGCACAGAGAATAACTCAACGTCAGAGAAGAGATCGCAGTAGATGCTGGTCAAAACCACGCTGGTCAAGGCGTTGTATTTGAGCGCCCTGCTTACAACCGCTTGGCCGCAGCTCTGGAAGGCCACCAAGGCGATCGGGACGAGAACGGTCCAGTCCAGCTCATTCGATGATTTGGGTACAAAGGTGAGGATGGCTGCCGCGACCACAATAAACAACATTTGCAGGAGAAATGACGCACAAAGCACCCAGCGACGGCTAGGTACAAAGTGCCGGTGAAAGCGACTAAAGCAGAAGGACCCCACGCAGAACGATATCAGTGACACACCAGACTTGACCCATCTGTTGGACTCGGCTGGCGCGGCTAGACCCAGGCCGATATACACAGTGTTACCTGGGCTAGTGTAAGTCACTTTCACACCCTGGAAGCATTGTTCATGGACCAACCTGTCTGCATGGAAACGAAGGAGCCCCAGGTTGATATGGAGGCACTGTCGAGCAAGCCGGTGATGATATAACACAGTAGCAGGACCACGTCCGCCCAATCTCGGTGGACTGCTACTATCAAGTGCTCTTGCCAGCCTGGCTTGGAGGTAGATCTGGACCCTCCCAATAAAGCTTCTTCTTCGTCCGCGCCCCCATGGCGGGAAGACGAATGCCCGGTCGGATGGTATCCGTTTTCTGGCGCCATGACGATCGATTCTAGTAACGAATGGGAATTCTGGGGACTCAAGCAGGCGATAGTCGTTGTGCAGGCGTCCGAGGGCTGGGGAACAATCTCCGGGCTTCGTCAGTCTTCCAGATGGAATGGTATGAAAAAAAGAATAAAAATAGGCGAGTGCCTTGGTCGGTCTGTTTGCAATTCTTGAGCAAGCGAAGAGCCATCGCAAGTGACGCGGCTGGTGGGCTGTGACAATCACCTGCAGCTTCGGTTGTGCCCGTGATGACGTTCTAGGTACTACCCCACATTACTACCTACTATGTATGTGCACGGTCTGCTAGAGAGGCATGCTGGTCTGTTAAAAAGGCTAGCATGCCGGCTGCGGGGTTACAGAGTCCTAGCAAGGCGCCCCGTCACCTAGGTTAGCGGCGGCGTAGGCCGCCGGGTCAGCGAACCCGCTTGGTAAGTGGTGTTCAGATTTTGAGGACGTTCTTACTATCCAAATGGTTCCAGACCTAACTGAAGGGGCATTTTACAGGGAGGGCACAAGCAAGTTGCTTTCTGGGTGGAGTCTCTGAGGTTCACTTGAAAATGCCCTGTGCTTCTAAGGCTGAACCCTGCGTTGAACCAATCAGCACCCTGGACTACCTCGGTTTTAGCAGAGTACATGCCCCAGCGTGCTAAAATACCCATGATATCAGAGTACCTGACTCCCACTTCAGCTCGAGAGGACTGTCTCCAATTCGATCGAAAACATCTCGACCACCAGCCCCGGCAACGCATTACGAGGCCCTAGCACATGTTGCTCTCAGTGGATGGTCAATATAGCCAAGGCTCGGCATTGCTCGGCATCTATACATCGGCGTTGGCTCGGCGCCTGATCGCAATAGAGCTTGGGCTGGGGGTCTAGAGGTTCTCCGAGAGTTGGGGTAACAGGGGAGGTGCTTACTCGCCTGCATGGTACTTAGCGATGTACTGCAAAAGGTGCACGCATACAACCCATAGCTACCTATGTATGTAGTCTACATGGCCGACCAGGGACAAGGTGAGCGGCTGCATCGGCCAACCCAACAGAGGTAAAGCTCAGCTTCAGGGACCAGTCGGGTGCTGTCATTGCAAGCTCAAAGCGTCGAGGACGTCAACAATTTTCCCAAGCAAACAGAGGCCTCGCTCTCTTTTCTGCGCCCGTAGTTTGCCAATGGGCTGGCGGGACATATAACATGCTGTAACCCCACCACCAAGCAGTCTCTGAAGCTTAGCCGGAACCAAGATACTCGTAAACATTCCCAGCAGATCTGAGTGAAGTCGGCATGATGCATCTCCGTAGCACTCTTTTTGCCCTCAGTATCGCTCTGACTGAGCTGGGTGTCGCTGTTCCAGTCCAAGACAGTCCCCGCCAGCGACTGCTGGATGGCCTTGACCTCCCTACCAAATATCGCACGACGAAGAATCCATATACCCCAGGCTATAAGGACCCGCTGGACAAGGCCATTGACACTATCGGTAACAAGCTAGACCCGTTGCCTTATCGAAATGGCCTGGGCGCATCTGTCCTCGGCCCCTGGAACTGGGAGCGATCACGACAAAGCCCTGACCTTGTGCGGCCGCCCAGCACCGACCATGGGAACATGAAGAACATGCGCTGGAGTTTTGCAGATTCCCATGTTCGAATTGAGGTATTGGTCCCGGTCATTTACGTCTCTGAGTAGTCCACTGATTGGGTGCGTGTAGGAGGGCGGGTGGACCCGACAAACGACCGTCCGAGAGCTCGGTTCTAGCGTCGAGTTGGCTAGCGTCAACATGCGATTAGATGAGGGTGTAATTCGAGAGTTGCACTGGCACAAGGAGGCTGAATGGGCCTATGTTCTGGATGGCGAGGTTCGTGTCACCGCTATTGACTACGAGGGAGGCAGCTTCTTTGATGACCTCAAGAAGGGAGACCTCTGGTACTTCCCAAGTGGTGTACCGCACTCGTTGCAAGGTCTGAGTCCGAACGGCACTGAGTTCCTGCTGGTCTTTGACGACGGCAACTTCTCTGAAGAATCTACATTCATCCTGACAGACTGGCTTGGTGCGTACCTGTTCTGATGTACCCTAAGTCATGGCTAACAACTTGCAGCCCACACCCCCAAGTCTGTTATTTCCAAGAACTTCAACCTGCCTCCAGAGATTTTTGCGCATATCCCCGAAGGCGAAAAATACATCTTTCAGGGTCGAAACCCTGGGAAAATTGATGACGAGAAGCCTACAGGCAAGGGAGTCAAGAAGTCCAAGTACAACTTCACGCACAGAATGCTAGACCAAAAGCCTAAGGAGACAAGTGGAGGACTTGTCCGCATCGCCGATTCCAAGAACTTCCCCATCTCCAAGACTGTCGCTGCAGCCCACGTCACTATTGAGCCAGGTGCCCTAAGAGAGATGCACTGGCACCCGAACGCGGACGAGTGGTCATTCTTTATCAAGGGCCGTGCTCGAGTGACGATCTTTGCGTCAGAGGGGACCGCTCGGACCTTCGACTTCGTTCCTGGCGATGTCGGCATCGTACCGAGGAACATGGGGCACTTCGTCGAGAATATTGGCGATGAGCCCGTTGAAATGCTCGAGGTCTTCCGCGCGGATGAGTTTCGTGACTTTTCCTTGTTCCAGTGGATGGGTGAGACTCCCAAGAAGATGGTCATCGACCACCTGTTTGCCGATGATCCGAAGAACGGCGAGATCTTCTGGGACAAAGTTAAGACTGCGGAGAAAGACGAGGTCACCCAGCCCGACGAAGACATCCTCTCGCCTCCCATCTACGCTGATGAGCTTTAGTGCAATCTGGCCCAGATGATGGTCAACTTTGCCCTTTGCTCACGAATAGTTGGGAACCAGTTTGCAGATTATGATACAATTTTGAATACGGCGTTGATGGAGTGCACTACAAAAAGCATGTCTTCTCCATCGAGGGTAACTACAGAGCGAATTCTAGTACATAGGCTTGGAGGGATACTGTGGTACATACGAAACATGCCGTTCTTTACTTAAAGAGCCAACAATTTCTCTAATGGAACTGTTCGGCCCACGAGCGTTTTCAGTAACCCTTTTTTTTTTCAGTCGTCTTCTGTAGCTTGATGGGGTCACTCCAAGTAGACTGGGGTGCTGCGATACCCACTATGACATCGGAATAGTTACCGAGATCCACCATGATGGTTGCTGACCCTTTCCGCATGGCAGAAGTACTCCGTATGTATGAAGCTATTTCCGTTTAGGCTCGATTTCTATGTGGGACCTCCCAAGAGTTCCACTTAAATTCAAGCAATGCCAAGTGAAGCCAGATTCTCAAGCTTTCCGCTTGCGGGGGCCCATGTAGCTTGTCAGAGCATCTGTTCATCACTAATCTGAGTTCCTGCGACAAGGAGGGCTGTCAAAACTGATAGAATGCAGAAGTGGAGTAAGGTTACCATATCACATTTCCTGAAACGCACTGATATAGCTGGTGCTAGAACATTCCGGGTATTCTGCCACACCCTGCCGACTAAGCTAGACCAAGGCTGCCGGTTGCCGATGAAGAAGAAGTGGTCATCATGGAGCTATTCCCGAGTTCCGCTCTCATAATACGACGAACAGAAAGTACTCAATGGAACCTAGGTGGCTGCTTTCGTGGCTGTAACAGTACGTACACGTGCAACCTGAAGGACTGTCTTTGTCTAGAAGAAACTCAGAGCTTGGGTCGTTACTGGAGACTGGTGCCTGTTAAAACCGGCAATGATCGTGAAGCAGGGCTCCATCCATGCCATGTTCTAATGCACTGCTATTCCCCACTCAGACTAAGCATGGTTACCTACACCTATTATTGGAGCAGCTACGAATCACTAACATACCGATCACTACCGAGTCGGCCAATGGCAATTTGTGTCTAGGCGCCCAACTGCAGTCCATAGATAACGTAAGCATGGCCACGAATCTAGCAAATGTCTATGACTTCCCGCATGCACAGGCCTAGGGCGGTGATCTTCTAGAGATGCTCACGATATCGAAAGAAGCTGAGTAGAGTGATAGTATTCCTGCCTCTGTATACGAAAAGTATTGCTGTGAAAAATCGTAGGCTTGATTAAGTAGCCGATGTTTCTTCCCAACCTTATGTCCTTATGTACAATCAAGTCCTTGCGTGTTCTTGATCCTGACCGCTCATCGGTACCTAACCTCGATTTGGAATTTAATCCGCGGATTTCTCAGCAATCACGGCCTCCAGAACGCTGCCAAGCCTCTCTCGGTCCGTAATGGCCCTCTCAAGGGACAGGTAGATTGTGTCAACGCCTTCCTTGTGCATCTCGCCTGACTCGGTAAACTGCCACAGTGCACGGGCAAAGCGCTTGCGGACATGCTTATTCATGCCCACGAAGCGAAACTGCACTTCCCTGCCGCAGTGCAGACGGATATCCGCTTTCAGTTCCCCGAGCGCTAGGATGCCCGTGGTGTCAATCCACGACACCATGGTGAAATCAAAGATGACCACGGAAAGCGGCACATCTCGGAGTATAATGTTGCGGTCCTTGCGGATACGCTCAACACGCTTCTCAGCCGCGACACTCCAGGATCGCTCCCGTGAGCGGCGAACTGCCGCGTCGGGGATCTTATCGTACACAAGCTGTATAGCCTCTGTTGTGCTAGACTTGCTGCGGTGGGCATTGGGGAAGAAGATAGAGTCCGTAAAGCGGACTACGGCCATGTCTTTGGGGATACTGACATCTAGGGGACCGTCGCATGTTGTGTTGAATCCATTATTAAACAGCGATGCAGAAGTCTCCGTATCTTCCCTGCTGATCTCGACGTCTGGCTTTACAAAGGCTGATCGCAGTAACGACCACACAATGCTCCAGGCGACGCCGACCCCGATACCAATCTCGGCCGATACGAAGATTGTGATCCAGAATGAGAGCATCGATGCCACGAAATCGGCCATGGACATGCGCCAATAGCGATAGAAAAGCGACACCGGTCCAAACAGGTTGATGACAGCCATTATGATCTGTGGAACATCAGCAATATGATAAGAGATGGTAATAATGTGGAACATACAATAGCTGCTAGCGTTGCTTTGGGTATCCAATACAAGGCGGGCGAGAAGACGTAGATAGTCAATACAATCCAAGCAGCTGTTACCAACCCGCTAAGAGGGCTTCTGACCCGGCACTCTGAGTTGACAGCTGTTCTGGACATTGCCCCTCCAACAGGCATAGCGCCAAAGAAGCTGTTGATCACGTTGGTCACGCCCAGATAGTTGAGTTCTTGGGTCTGATCGATGGTGTAGCTGTTCCTTCGCCCGAATGCTTTTCCGACTGCAAGATGCTCTAGCGCACAGGCGATGAGTGGTGCGAATGCCCGGCTCGCGGCTTTTGTCAGCAGCGCTGAGTCGTGCGCCTTAGGAGTGGCGATGCCATGTGTGCTAACTTGGGCTATACCCCAGAGTGTCTTGCTCCGATCTTTGTTGACGAGGTAAGAGATCAGTGTAAAGACGAAGAGAACAATGATAGCACGACTGCTTGAGATGTATTTGATCACGAAGTGTTTGTTGCCTAGTTTTTTGCCCAGCTGCTCGAGAGCAATAAGAATGAGGATGCTGCCGACTCCAATGCCGCAGGTTGGACCATCCCAGTGAGGAAGTCGCTTCAGAGCATCGCCGATGATATCGAAAATCATGGAAGGGGTGTTGCTCAGACCAATAAGGCTACCGAGCTGCCCGAAACCAATGGTCAATGCGGTGGCAGAGATGAACCCAGTGAGGACAGGAACCGAAACGTAGTCAAGTAGAAAGCCGAGACCGAGGACACCCAGAATCAGAGAGTATATGCCGACCATGAAGGCAACGGCGCTGGCAATAGCTGCAGGACTATACTCCTCCGAATAGCTCTCCACGATCTCTGCGGTGAGTAGGCCGAGGATCGATGTGGGACCCGAAGACAAGTCTGTTTTCCAAGTCAGCTTGAAGCAATCGGCTCCGATACGAGCGACTGACCTTTGGAAGTTCCCATGATCACCATTACGGCAGCTGGTACCCAGGCGCTGTACAGGCCATTCTCAATAGGAATCGTTGCGATTTTTGCATATGCTAGGCCCTGTGGAATAAGCATGACACCAATGGTCAAGCCAGCGATGAAGTCCTGTAGGAGCCAAGACGGGTGGTACCGAGGAAGCCATTGAACGATTGGAACTTTGTCTAGTAAATAGTACTTCGTTGCACGAGGCAGTCTGGGGGCGCCTTCTACGATGAAGGTCTTCACCCTGTTGGTGGTTGTGTCTGTTCTGACGACATCCCGGAACGCCGCAGCCTGGTCTCCTACGGAGAATCTAGACATTATGGAGGAATATGATACTGATATGTGTATCTGTAGATACTAATATGATAGTGGTCTTGGAGAAGCACAGAAGTGTACTCCTAACCCAAGAGAACTACCCAACGCAGTGATCAGGTTAACTACAGCACAGGATCTACAGCGCGGCGGATCTTCGTCGATGCTAACCACAAAGTACTTTATACACAGTCATCTCATTTGCTGCTGATGAATAGATACCGGGGGCAGCTGGCCATGTGCTTTCACCGGGGCTGTGAGTTGCTCCTACCCTCCTTCGGTCTATTCTCGCCACATGTCGGTATGTTAGTCTCCCTCACATACAGAGACTCTTCCATGAGATGGAAATAGTCATTGGAGGGACGGATACGCCAATATGGCTGATGCACCACGCTTGACTCCAACTCCTCCGGTACCTTTGGCAGACTCCGACCTGGGTACATCGATGCAGCCAGGGTCACACCAGTCAGCGCAGTCAGTCTATGCTGAAAGGAGTCTAGAACACCGAGATGCAGTCCGCCTACAATGCATGGCGTCACATATAGGACGTTTCGAGGCGGGGTCGTTAGGTGAGGGTGTGGGATTGTTGAGTTTCGATGAAGGCTGCGCGCGTCGTGCGGGGGATGTTTGCGCACCCAGTATGATCGCGATTGGCTACCTACCAAATCCGTTCCTTGTGATTTCAATATCCGAGGCGAACTACCAGGCGGACTGCAAGCCCGACTAGAGATGACGAGAGAAAGACATGGGCTATTGATTTGATCCCGTGCAGCTTAGTCTACTAGTTGATGTAACGGCAGTAATGCGCACATCTAACCTTAAAATGTTCATAAGTGCCCTGGCCACTGCGTCGCACACAAGGATAAAGGTGTGTCGTAGTTACAGTTTCCCTCTGATTCGGATTCACACAGCCTTTCTGAGTGTTGATGTACCACGCTTTCCAATGCTACCAGTCTATGGTTAGTACCCTTTAGTTTGAAGCGAACCTCCACTTCTGGACGACCGAGAGATTAAGGTTGGTATCTCGTAGATATATGGTGTGGAGCTACAAGAATTTAGTTCAGAATATAATACTCTCATGTCATTGTGTACTTGTCGCTCTGGCTAGAAACAATAACTCTCATACATTAATATTCCAACAGTTGGATTGTGCTACCACAATAAAGCGTCTAGAAGTTTCAAACCCAACGCCCAGCGTCAAGAAAAATGATAAAAGAGGTGTTAGTGCGGCCTTTAGAACCATGTGGTAAATGATTGAGAGATTCCTGGAAACGAAACGATACAGTCGTCATGCCCGCACCATATCACTGTGCCGTCTGACGGCGTCCATGCCAGTTAGTCACTATGTTGGCAGGGTCCCTGGGCTTGGCATGAAGTTCTCCCAGCCTACCGGAACTCCTAGAGACATACGTACGATACATGCACGGTGTGGCACTATTTCTGCATCCCATAAATTGTCAACGACAGCTATTCATGATGGACATGATTACAACCGATGATGGCATGTCGTTCTCAACAATCAGCTGATACCAACGCCATGCGACTTGGAAGCTGATCAAATAACAGAGTCCCACTGCCAAGTCATGTTCTGGCAGCTCTTGGGACTTCTTGGAGGCGCTGCCCGCAGCTTGGCGACGTGTGCTAAGCCCTTGGCAGCGCGGCATCTCATGCCAAGAATAAAATACTAGAGTGCGGTTGATTCCTTGCGCCACGACCCTGAATCATAGTATAAAGTCAGATCCCAAATCATCGCAATTGTTGGAAGGACTCGATCTAGTGGCCTACTGATTCGTTTGGGGCCGTTGTTATCCGGTAGACATATTGAGACCATTCGTTCTCAGCAGGCATCGACAGATGGCGGGGCCATCGAAAAGGGGCCGGGGAGAATCCGAATTCCAGAAAGGTAATTAATTGACATTATGTGATTGACAAGGTGTGACTTCGAACCCGACAATAATATCAAAACTGAGCTGCGTTGGGCTGGAGCCTGCCATGTTAGCGGACGCAGTGATCCAGGTATGATAGAATATCGACGGAAGTTACTCGGAAATTACACTCGTACAAGATACGTGGAACGTAGAACGGAAAGAAGAAAAAGCAAAAGTCTACGGTTGGTTTTCTAAAGCCCAATACACATCAGCAAGGACTCCTAGCGAATGGCGAGCGGTCAAAGCGGGTTCGCCGTTTCCAAATACCTGCCCAATGTTAAAAACCCAGCGCACACCACTTCTCAGGCTGGCCATTTTTCATGATATAGCATCCCCTGGGAAAACCAGCACTATGGTCCCAATCACTGGCTCTACGCATGGAAGTCCGTACGTACCACCACAATGTCGGCTAAATTGGGCAACTCATATTTGAATCTGGTTACATTCGGTAGACACTATCAACAATGCAATATAGGGTCCGGGATCTGAAGAGCCAATCGTAAGGTTGATGTTGGCCCAGGTGAACATGGGCGCTCTCGGCAGCTCCCGTTACCTAGTCCCCAATAGGTCCAACGGGATTTCGCTGACATCTCGGCTTGTTTGTGAATCCACAAAGGCTCAAACATTTGACGTTAGAATTCCACCCCAAGCAGTCGAAGGTTTGCCGAACACTTGGTCTTAAGTGCCCTTTGGTGGAAAATACATGGCATAGAGCCTAGCTGCTGTAGATCCTATCTCCAATTTGGAGTCAAATACTACCGAGATCCGGAGACGCGTAATGCAGGGATCAGCCTTGAATAGAATGGCTGGATATTGGTACCGGTCCACTATCCCAAAGGTCCGACCGCCAGCTATGACTGCAGATCGATAGCGGCACTTTGGTGCCCATATTGCCTCGTTACATTAAGCCTGGCACAGTCGCAGCAGTCTCCAGTGGTGATCCTTTTACTGACGATCAGGCGTTAAGACTTCGGCTATGCTAGGCGCATTAGAGATGTCCTTACATTGTTCAGCTTCAAGGTCCATAGTGAAGTGGAATATCGCCAATATTAATGGCCTCCTCACCAAGTAAGCGATGTAATTCCCTGGGAGCATCGTATTAGGATTGAGGATAAAATTGTCCTGCCCGGAACCTTCCTTCTTCTGAGCTTCATTGGAGAAGAGGGCATCTTACTTCAAATAGACGTTACCTAGATATATAGCCAGGAGCACATGGATACTTCCCAAACTTTCATATACAGGCCCTGGCCCGATCAAGTTCTTGAAACCTCCTACTGATATGTCGCACTCTTCGTCCTTGACACTGATAGTGCGCTTGACAAGCATCGCCATTCCAAAGACTCGCGATTTCCAAGTGGACTCAAGCTTATTAAATATATCATTAGACTGTGGTCTTCCTGTGCCTATTTCAGGTTTTGATCAAGATCAGCTTCAACAGTTGCTTTACAGATTAGGAATCACATGTTAACTTATGGTCGAACGTCATCACCTACATAGAACGTATTTACGGAATGCTGCAAGTCCAAGGCATATCACGACCATCGCATGCTGTTCGTCTGGTAAGATCTGCGGTGGTTCCCGGTGCTATTTCACTCTGGTCTACTTACAAGCTTTACAACTTAGCTGATCACATTTACGAACCTCAATATCACGTGGTTTCGATGAGGAGTACAGCATGCCATTGCTCTAATGACTAAAATATCAAGCCTAACTAAAGTATCAGGCCTAATGCCAACACATAAATCTAGATTCTGACAGGGATGGACTTCGTCCTACTCAAACTCTTCCCGTCTCTCAAAAGAGAGTTCTTGCACGGGCGTTGGTGCACAAAATCCGCCAAGTTTCGCAGTGTGCAGGCACCAATCTCGGCCAGGGCTTCATCGGTGAAGAAAGCCTGGTGTCCGCACACGAGGACGTTGTGGAAGGTGGTGAGGCGCATCAGCTCATCGTCATCAATGATCTCTCCCGAGTGATCGTTGTAGAACAGAGCGCCCTCCCCGTCGTAGACGTCCAGAGCGAGACCCCCGAGCTTCTTGCTCTTCATGGCGGCGATGACAGCCTTGGTCTTGACCAGCCCACCCCGCGACGTGTTCACCAACATGGCGCCCGGCTTCATCTTGGCCAGCGAGTCCTCGTTGATGATATGCTTCGTCTTCTCCATGAGCGGGCAGTGCAGACTGACGATATCACTTTGTGGCAGCAGGGCGTCCAGGTCGGTGTACTCGCCGCAGGGCTTGAACTCGTCACTCGGAAAAGGATCGTAGCCCAGGACAGTGCATCCGAACCCCTTCATTATTCTTGCAAAGGCGACGCCAATCTTTCCCGTTCCTATGACTCCTACGGTCTTCCCGTGTAGTGTTCTCCCCAGCAGACCGTTGAGGTTGAAGTTCCCCTCACGCACTCGGTTGTAGGCCCGGTGGGTGTTGCGATTGAGGGTCTGGATCAGCGCGACGGCGAACTCGGCTACTGCTTCGGGGGAGTACGAAGGAACATTGGCCACGAAGAGGCCATGCTGTTCAGCGGCATCCAGGTCGACGTTGTTGAAGCCAGCGCATCGCAGCAGGATGGCCTTGACGCCGTCCTTGGCAAGGGCTTCGATAACGGGCGCATCCACGGTGTCGTTTACGAAGACACAGACAGCATCGAATCCTCTGGCTAGCTCGGCGGTCTCTAGGTTCAACGGGAAGTCGTGATACGTCACGTCAATGCCGGCGGCCCTGTCGAGTTCAGCCGCATGGTGGGTGGTCAGGTACAGCTTGTCGTACGGTTTCGCGCTGAAAACCGCAAGCTTCATGGTGACTAGATACCGGTGAAACCACCGAGACGAGTCAAAATCGGAAGAGGGTGGTTGATACGTCTCCTGCAATGCCAGAGCTCAGGGTGTGTGCTGTGGTCACTGCTGAGGCCGTAGAGAGTTTGGCCGTGCTTATGGAGAGGTCAACTTGGCAGCTGCACGAGTGGTGTCATCCTACAGTTCCTGTTATGCGAACGAGAGCTTGATCGGCTGTCGGCATCTTCCTACTGCTTGCCTTCTTGCAGAAAGCAGGCTTCTGTGGGCTTGACATGAACGAGGAACCTCTCCTGAAAGCTCGATGAGACACCTGGTATTTGAGGCCAGAGACTGTCCAGTTGGGGGAGGATTATCGGACGCTTGAAGCGACATAGGCCCGTGAAGTCGGGATTGCATTGTAGCGACTAATGACGACATTGCGTACCTTAGGTGGGGTGGTTGTCAGGCCTTTCGGTGTCCCACTCCACCCCGCGCTTCGGCTCCAGGCCCCGTATGGGGACAAAACCTGAGCACCCAAGTACTATGTATTGCGCACAGAAAGTTTCAAGGACCGCGAGCATAGCGGTAGTATCTAGCCACCGACAGTCAGTCATAGCATAGGCCTCACATCGGGCGATGATGTGATCCCGACTGAGGGGCCACGTGCAATGAGAAATTTCGATCCAAGCTCTTGTAGCAATGCCGTCTATTCCTATGTATATACAGTATACCTTGCTGGGGATCTAGAATCGGCTATACTGCCCGGCGATGGTGTAATCCTTCTTTGGGCCCTTGACTGTATATCCGAGGCTCCACTTCTTCAGGTTCACAGCTTTGAACTGGAACTCGTAGTGCACATCATAAAGGTCCTCGATGCAGAGATGGCTTGCTCTGGCCTGCCAGCCCTTGGAGGACCCTTCACCATCCGGCACGATAAACTCTATATCATGGAACAGGTAGTCCGCTCTCATGTGGTCCTCTGTCTGGGCGAACCAGACGCTGAGCACATCTTTCAGCTCGTCGTATCTCCAAACGTACCGCCGTGTCGCACGGAACGTCATTCCATTACTGGCAATGAAATCGCCATCTTCAACATAAAGATACTCCATGCCCAGATCGGTATCCTCAGACCCGTGTCGACCGTCATTTGTTCCCTCTCGCAGCAGAAACTTGGCGGTGCCAACGAAGCGGCCACTGGGATGCGACGGCAGCCTGGAGACAAGATCTCGCTCAAGTCTCCACTCGCCCAGCAGTGACCGGAAGACAGCGTACGCGACGAACTTGCCCTTCGTCAGGCCGGCGAGGGCTGTCTGCTGTGTCGAAGCCAAATTTTTGTCGACCTCAACCATTTGGACTTCTGTTGCCCCCTTTGGAGCGTAGCGCGCTGGGGTGATGATGTCCATGCTCTTTCCGTTCGCCAGAGGGGGTGTTTCTCTCGGTGCGGAGATGTCCATCTCCAGAGCCTTCGCGAACTCCTGCATCAGATATACATAGTCGCCCATGGGAAATTGGGATGCTCGCGGATCAGTTCGCAGCGCAGCCATTCGCTGAATTGTGTCATCCTTAGCGAGGGCGTCCGCCAATGCTGATGGCTTGGAACATGACGTCCATAACTCCGTAACGAAACGCGCTTGCATCTCCATGACGCCCCAATATGGGGATCGATAGAAACCAACAAACCCGAGCGTAGGTAACGCTGGATGATGTGTCCCATGAAAAGCCAATGCGGCAGGGACAGTGGGATGAGATGGCGAGTAAGAAATCGTTTCAAGGACTTCAGGAGGAAGGAACTTGAGAGACTGTGCCGGGTCGAAGCCGGTGGCCACGACAACAGCTGCTATATCCCTGATCTCTTCACCTGACGGCTCCACTGAGGCAGAGGTGCCGGACAGCGCGGAGACCTTGCCATGACTGACAGTGATAAGCCCAGACCTCACGAAATCGGCGTATTGTGAGCTCATCGCCAGGAATGGCTGTTGTTCGTGAAATTCCGAGCCTATCTTGATCTGTGCCGAAAAGTCCTCTTGGTCAGTACCAAGTACTGACTGATAAATCAAGTTGAAAGCCTTGGCCGCATCAACGCTGATATGACCTTGGGTGTTCTTCAAAGGCTGTGGCCTCACGGCCTTGTTGTAAGCAGGCAGATCGCATGGTAAGAACGGCGGTGCAGTAGCATCCGGCTGTGATATCGGTCAGTCTCTTCCCCCTACCAATTCCACGAGGTTAACTTGCCCTTGCCGAAGTGAAGAGAGGGAAAACCCAAGACGGTCTCTGCACAACATGATGAATCGAGTACTTCTCTGGGTTTGCTATGGTTTTCTCCCCAGGGGAGTGGGTAGCAGATGAGAGATGAGACGCAATTGTGCCGGCAGTCTCGATGCCCGACATTTGACCTCCTACCACGAGGATCTTGCTGCCTTGGCTGTCTCCATCTTGAAGCAGGCTTTCAAGGTCTCGGTACTTGCTGCTATGTACCACCGGAACCGAAGCGCCGCCAGGCATATTCTCAGGCCACATTGGTTTCCCAAAGAACCCCGTCGTGACCAGGAGATAATCAAAGACACTTGTCTGGGCTCCCTTCTCAGATTCAGTCTCTACTTTCCACGTGCCGGCGTCTTGTAGCTCCGTTCGCACAACCCGATGGTTTAGTCTCACATCTGCGCCATCGTATCTCTGCAAATAGCGATCTAGGTATTGGCCGACTTGCCATGCCCTAGGCAGCTGAGGGACAGTGTCGTCCCATGCGAAATCGCTGAATTGGACAGTGTGCTTGCTCTGATTGGCTACCATGAGAGGATGCACAAGCCCAGCGTTGTCGTTTTTGCTCAGGGGCCACAGCCCTCCGATGCGCGACTGCGCCTCGTATATGGTGACCTTGAAAGTGCCCGGAGATACATCGTGCAGTAGTGTTTTTGCTGCTACGAGCCCAGACGGGCCGGCACCTGGGAATACTTAGCCTGATGAGCCTAGAACGGGGTATTCGAAAGTGTCACACCGACGATGCAGACGCTTTTTGTCATGGTCATTGACTACAGGGTTCTGAGATGAGAACAATTCGGACGTGTTTTCAGGCGACACGATGTTGGTTTGCAGCGCCCCTCTCACAATGGACCGGACTCATAAGATTATGTAGCGTTGAGGCTCAACGATTGCGTTAGAAATGACACGAGCCCCTTGTGTTGGAAGGTTATCCTGTTCGTCAACTGTCTCACCTCAGCTCCGACTCTGCGTAGTGATCCGGCTACGGAAGGACCTAAAGTTCGGTCGCTTCAGGGCTTCGTTGTTTAACCTCCAGGCAGGCGGCCCAAATTGTCAGGCACCGCCGCTAGGTACCTACAGAAGCAAAATCACCGCAAGCGCATTATCTTAAGTCCGAGGCTTCGGGGTCGTAAAATTGACTGTAGAGTCCATCTAGTATTCTGCCGCCATCGGACACGAAGAGGGCATTCTGCTCCTCAGGGTCGAGTTGAGACTGTTACTGCAATGTCTTCCTGACGAAACGAGGGCCAAGGCATTGCAAGACTTAGTGTCAGGAATCAGGCACACCCATACGGCGCGCACATGGTCTAGCCCGAGACATTGGCCAGCCTGCGACCTTACAATAAATGACGCGAGATGCGGTTGGTGAACTGCCCAACACATGTCCAAAGCTTTGCCGCCTTGATTCATTGACTGATCCGAACTATCCATACATTTGCATTCTAGAGCTTCCATGCCGTGTCCCGTCGCAATGCCACGGGAAGCAACATGTATATGCTTTGATGCCTAACTTAATTCAACCTTTGCATCGCTTCTCTGTAGCATCATTGGCCCATTCTGCCGGGTGATTGACTGAGGCTACAGTTCATAAGAAAGCGCTTGTGGTAACTCGACGTTCTGCAGGACTCCAGAGTCTATAGTCAGTGATTGCATAACTAGGCAGTATATTCGACTAGTCACGCCTATCGAAATCTCTATTGCAAAGAGGGGTTCTATTGGCTGTCATGTCTATAATGGCTTAAAGCAACATGCAAATTGTCACCATGCCGACCCTTGATGTACCTTATTTTCCGATTTGCCCGCAGCAAGCGCCCTGCAGTTCATAATAGGTACCTTCCGGAAATGCACGTCTTCTTGATAGTGGTGTAATTCCACCAAACGGTATCAATCGTCTGTGTGGGCTTTGCTAGGCAGTCCACGGGGACTTGCATGAAACCTTGACTGGCTAAGGCGATACGAACCACTGGATACTAACGGGCTAGGTAGCAATGAAGTGCGGGATATTCCCTGACTGGAACATTGAAGTGATCGCCATCTGTGTACGACGCGTTGGCCCAACGAAACCGGGGTCTTGGGTCTCGACTCCGTTGAAGAATGAGAGTGGGCGCTGTGCTACACCAATCTGTCCTACACCAATCTGTCCTACACAGGCCACCCAGAATGCCGGTAAAGGCGGAATCGGGGTTGCACAAACTTGTGTTGTGCGGTTGCCAAGCAATGCAGCGCGTGCATTTGGTCTTTTGCAGCCATTTCAACGCCCTACGTTGCATTTCAGACGGACCAAAGCCCCAAAGCCATGCGGACTTGGGCGGAGCGGCTTCCGGTGGTCGGCAGTCAAGTAATTAGCAATCTTGGAAGACGGGTGCCAAGCAACGTCTGGGCTGATGGCTTGTTAGTTGCCTATCGTATGGTTGGCCAAGTGCCTCGAGGTCGCCCGTTCGCCCCGGTTAACCCCGGCCTCCCCCACGCCCAGCTAAGGTGCCTGTGCGGGGTATTGAAGGGGAAGTCGTTAGTTACGTCGTGTGGCCTCAAATGACCTGCCTTGGTGAACGGCGGTTTTATCCCAAGCAGCCTTGGGTGAGCTGAGGTTCAAGATGGAATCCTCACTCCAGTCTACTAACAATTGAATCATTGCTATTTTAGTCGCTCGCGCACTTTATTCGTTCACTCCCGTGCCCTCAAACTGAGGTCTCCAAGACCGCCCGTTACCCGGCCTGCTCTTGACAGGTAAGGCAACGAGACACAGCAGCCCCGGTAGGACTAGTCCAAGACATGACAAGAACTTCTGACCGGACCTCGTACGATCTCATAGCGGTATGGGATTTTGCCCGTAAGCGACGAGATACGGCCCGTCGAGAGACGTTGTCTCTCGAATAAGCAGGACTTCGGCCGCAGGGCCGCTCGCTGTTCGGGATACTTGAGATTGAGTCTCATTGCAGACTGGGTTTGAATGGTGGCTCATCGTACGTCACGATTGGCAGACCATTACAGTAGTTTCAAACGAGCAGTCACCACTGTGCGGTCAGCTAGTCAGTCGGCCGGGGCTGGTTCTGGATTTTGAACGAGACGGGACTCACATCTCGTGCCAGTTGCGCGCGTTCGTTCGATGTTAGATTTAGCTACTTACACAAGATGCAACGCGATATGCGTACAGCTATCGGCCAATTCTTCAACGCTTCATGACGCAGGTTCACCCTTACTGCATGGTAGCCGTGCTCGCAATAGGACTCCCAGACTTCCCGTTGCGACCAAGAACGCGGCAGCTGTAAGCCATCCGTCTGTCCTCCAGGGTTTCTGGGACGGGGAATCTCGATTCAATTCGCCAGTAGCTCCCATCAGGCCTGCATGCACACACCACACTGCCCTTGCCTTGTTCTTGGACGAGGCCAAGGTCTTCGGTGCACTAGACAGCCAATCAAGCCCACCAAGCATTGCAAGGATCTTGCCGTGACAATCTCGCTGGGTGCCAAACATGGGGTTCTACACTTCGTGCACACTATCTCGGGGTATCGACCGGGTGTGGCGGGAGCCAAGCGCTCTAACGCCCACTAAGCCCCCGAGTGCGGGTCATCCCCAGACTTGTTGGGGTGTTCTACGCTTGCTAAGATGCTAATTGACACCGAAGTGGATTAGAAATCCGGTACTCAATTGGCTAGCGGAGACGACCAGGAGCTGGAGAAGCTGACATTCGGCGGAGGGGAAACCTGGGCTACTGGCAGTGGCACTTACCAGCCTTGCATCGCCAATAATTGCTCTGATCCCCATTTCATTAAAAGTGGTTTACGTCCCTTTCCTCTCTTCTTCTTCTCAAAGCAACTCATTTGGTTGCAGGCCGCTCCTAGTATCTCGTCCTTCTCTCTCTCAAAGGAGCCCTCCCCGTCCTATTGCTATATATCTAAAGCGGTGGCACTTGTCATCAGCTCGCCCAGGTGCATATTTGCTTTTGCTTTACCTGACTTGTGGGCTTTTGGTTCATTCTGTCAGCACATGGATTGTCACCAAGACCCTCACTTCATCAGCTTCATATTTTTGGCAATTGCACCTCTCCGGTTCAGCACAACCGCTTGCACGAACCTTATCGCGCAAGTGAACTTAATGCGACCTTGCTGCGAGATCTGTGAACTTAAGTGATCTCTGGGTCGAACCCCTCACTCCCGCAGATACGTCCTAGCATCTCTACGTACGACCTGATTCTGCGTTGTTCACGAAGATGAGTGACCTCGAGAAGAGCTCGGTGAAAGCCCCATCGCATGATGATCATGGTGTGCACAGTCACTCAGCCGACGGGCTCCGTAACTTGCCTCCTGATCCCGATGCCCATCTGAGTGCTGAGGAAAAGGCCAAAATTGTAAGCACGCATTCCCATTACCACTTCTCAGTGAAGAACCGACTGACACATCTGGCAGGACCGCAAGCTGTTATGGAAACTGGATTTAACACTCATACCTTGGGTATGGTCCCCAGCCCAACTTACGCCGTGCTTGCTATGACAGCCAAACTGATCATATACCTAAAGCTCTGCATTCTCTACCTACTTGCGTTTCTTGATCGTACGAATATCGGAAATGCGAAGGTTGCCCATCTTGATAAGGATCTTGGTCTCACAACCTCAAGTTACAACGCAACTTTGACCATATTTTTCGTTTCCTACGCTGTCTTTGAACCTCTCACCAACATCTTACTCAAGCGACTACGACCGTCGGTTTTTATCCCTATCATCATGTAAGTTGAGACTTTGTTATCCATCGGGTAAACGAAAGTGGCTGATTCTAACGTCCTCTCAGGATCCTTTGGGGAGCTTCGATGCTGGGAATGGGGTTTGTATACAACTGGTCTGGCCTGATGGCGGCTCGCTGGTTCTTGGGGTTGACTGAAGCTGGACTATTTCCTGGTATCAATTATTACCTCTCCTGCTGGTATAAACGATCGGAGTTTGGCGTCCGTGCGGTGCGTACTACTCAGTATCCTGATGGCGATGGCACTTGCTCATAGATCTAGGCCATATTTTTCTCAGCCGCCGCAATTTCCGGCTCGTTTGGAGGACTACTGGCCGCAGCTATCGAGAAAATGGCCGGAGTTGCTAACAAGCCCGGATGGGCATGGATCTTTATCTTAGAAGGGCTCCTAACCATCCTATTTGGTATTGCCTCGTTCTGGATGGTGCATGACTTCCCTGATGACGCACGCTTCCTATCCGATGATGACCGAGCGCGCATAGTGCGGCGACTTAAGTTGGACCAACAGGCTTCGGCTCAGCACGAAGATTTCAAGATGACTTTTCTGTGGGAAAGTCTCAAAGACTGGAAAATGTGGCTCGGTATGGCGATATACATGGGCTGCGATATGCCATTATACGCATTTTCTCTTTTTCTTCCGAGCATTATCTCAGCTTCGGGCTGGAGTGGTGGAAGTGTGATTCAGTCTCAGTTGTTGAGCGTTCCGCCATACGTCGGAGGCGCTCTTCTTACAGTGGCTATTGGCTTCATTGCGGATCGAACTCGCCAGCGCGGTTTATGCAATATCATCGTCAGTGCTATAGGCATAGCTGGGTTCGCGATGCTCATCGGATCCCGTTCTCCTGCTGTTCAATATGCGGGTACTTTTCTTGGGGCTCTTGGGATCTACCCATGTATTGCAAACACCATAACCTGGATGGCAAATAACACGGAAGGTGTCTACAAGCGCGGTGTGGTTCTTGGTTTCGTTATTGGCTGGGGCAACCTCAACGGTGTGGTCAGCAGCAACATTTACTTCAGCTCCCCACACTACTACGAGGGACACGGTGTTGTTCTAGCATACATGGCTATTTTCCTCCTCGGCGGCAGCCTGCTCATGACAACACTTCTACGGATCGAGAACAAGAAGCGTCGCCAAGGAAAGCGGGATTACCTAATCGAAGGCAAGACGCATGCGGAGATCGAGGCTCTTGGAGATAAGCGTCCAGACTTCTTCTACACTCTCTAGATGGAATTCATATGATACGTGGTATGGAAATCTTAGCAAGGGGAGATAAATGCAGGTGAAATGTCACCGTGTATGGGCAGCAGCTTCCAAGGAATCCGGACAATTAGTTTCAGGAATATATATCTTCAGATCATGTGTACCAATTAGAGCATGAATACAAATCTCAGCAAGCCCAGAGAAACTAACACTATATACCCGTCATGCTCATCGAGTTTACAACCCTTTGCCGGATCGAACCACTGTTCAAATAGGGATTTGTGCCATGTACGCCTGATTTGGGTTCAGGTATAGTCGTCTCGAGTTGTCAGGCTTTTTATTTTCATACTCCTTAGCTAACTCCATTGAAATAAATCAACATGTGTAGCCAGTTCAACCGTCTTCCGATATCTTATCATTTTTATAGATTCCAAATCCGGGTACAGACTTTGAGCCAGACTGAAGCACCATAAACTAAATGATGGATACGAAGTCTGCATCATGGCCAAGTTCATGGGACCCAACAGCTCTCGTATTCCAGCAGTGCCTATCAGATTTTTAATATCCGACATCCTCAAGTCTTTCAAACATCCGATGCCGATGTCTTCCGCAACTTCCCTATATCCTTGATGATGTACAAAGTTGTATATCCCTTCTTTTCATCTCAGTAGTGGACGATGTTGCTGGCGACAGTGTGCTGGACTGCAGAGTATGAAGATAGTATCTGTTGGCAAAGGTGGCAGTAGTGATCATGCCAATGGTTTTGGCAAGTTTTGGTAGGCTATTGTATGCAATACTGAGTATGTGATGGTGGATGTGCCAGTTCAAACGTGAGCAAACTTGTCCGGATTATGGCTTATGAAGAGTACCATGTGCCAGACTAACCGGACAGTAGCAGTGACACTATGCGCCGCCATTGGTCTCCTCTCAGTCCTCAAGGCAACGTTCCATTCGAGTACGTGTTAATAGCACATAGGTCTAACCACGCCTTGGAACTTTGTGAGTATGAACAAACAATGTAAGCTCTGTAAACATCATGATTCTCCGAAAAGTAGCTTACGCTCGGTTACTTGGCATGATCCTGGTAGCCTCGAAAGGAGTCTTGAAAGTTTCTCCGCAGTGTGGCGCTTAATAGTGAAGGGCTACGGAGACTCCATCCAACTCACTATAATCCGCCACTATGCAGATAACTTGTCTTTGTAATGGCTGCAGAGCACGAAATCCCCTGTTCTGGTTCTCAACAGACCAGCCACCTCATCAGTCGGACCCCGATTCACATATTCATCCCTCAACGGTATTCAACTTCTACAGTCGCGAAACAATTCCAAAGCGAAAACACTGATTGGTTGCCCTCACTTCCGGCGCTGGGCTGTGTGGTGCAGATTCAGATTGGGGTGGATCAGGAGACCGGTCGGTGTCTTAACTTGTACACTACCTGCACCCCGGAACCCGAAACTTGTCGTCAACATCCGCGTGTAACAGAAGGCCAGCCTTGTGCCAACGGTGCAATCGACGATGCTCTTCAAAGGAGCTTAGTTCGGGTGGTGCCATTACGCAATGGTAACAACTTGCGCAAGCATAACATCCCTATCAATGTAGGTTGCGATAGATGGTAATGGGCGGGTAGGTAGGCGGTTCGAGCGATGGCTTGGCAGTTACCAGCTATCCTCGGAAGCCACAGAACTGCTCGCAAATATATCCATCAAACAGTAGTGTGGTACTTCTATTGGTGGACTTATACTTACAGGGGTAGTTGTGAATACGAAGCATCGTTTGCAATGACAATCACTGTTGGTGTCGAGTCTGATGCGTGAAGCATAAACCAATAAAAGCAAATCCTTCACAGCGTTTCCAAGCTTCCTGCTAAAAGGCCGAGTCGGGGTAAGTTTTTGTGCCGTCATGTTGTTTGCCATTGCCCTCTACAGGGATGCGACGGGGCCCGGCGATTCAAGGCCGGCAAGTAGAACAAGCCGTTGACAAGTCGCGATGTACTATTGAACTGAACTGCAATCGCCCACAACTTTGCAGTAAGCACCCAGAGCACAACTCAGCTGATGACGCTAGATAACAGGCTTTCCCACGGCTTCTTGGGCACCGGGCCCGTTTGGGTGGTCCGAAAGGTCGAGTCTCACGGGACATTACCGTAGTTCAGCATACGGGATGTGACCAGCCCACACCATTGGACCAGGACGGGTAACGTGCAGACGTGGTGTAGCAAACGCGCCGTATTTTCTCGCCTGCCACTTCCGAAGGACTTTCTCTCTATTGCCCTTGTTGGCGGACCGCTGGCCAAGCCAAACTTTAGACTACACTGCACTCTGGGACGTTCGAACTGGCTGCATTGAGCAAGGAGTTTCAACCACGATGCACCTGAACTCACTGAAGCTATTATTCGAAATAGCATTGTCTAATGCATCTTTCCTTTCGGTTTTGCAATGACGGCCCCAGTGCTGATGAGCGAGCTGGTAAGTCCCTGTTGTACACCATCGGGCAGCTCGCTTATATCCCTACCAACCTAGGGATATTGAATGATGGGGAGCAACAGCCTCGAATCCATGATCCAAATGCATTTGCAATGCACCCTGCGCATCCCAGAAAAGATGTGTACATCGCGTCCTTGCGGCGATCAGAGAGGCCAGTGGGGCTAGCAGAGATTTCGAACCATGCATACGGCTGTGGGTGGGAGCATGTTGACCGCTTCGTATGAATGTGCAGGTTGGGCTGGCCAACGGACAGCAGCGCGCTTGGAGGCCCGTTGGCACTCACTGTTTGCTCTCGCCAGGGCACCCATCTCCTACACTACTGCAAGAATGAAGTAGGTGTGCACAAGGTGGTTTCTTCCGAACAAACGTGAGGGCCTGGTCGCTCCTTACTTCTCAAATTAAACTTGATTCCCGTACCACCACCCTTACTCGAAATCTGGTAGTCGCGGCTGCTCTGTGTAACCAACCCGGACGATGTCCCTCCAAAAACAGTCGTTAGGAATCGTTTCTGAGGATGTCAGGCAAGGCTGGAGTGCATCTCGGCAGCCTTTGAACCAATGGCTGATGCTGTGACAACTTTTTCCCTACGAGCTCTCTACCTCGTCCCTTGGCAATGCGCATCTGGAGACCACCTGGTTGATATCTGAAAACACGATCACGAGGCGGGTACGTGCACCTTAAGCTTAATTGGGCTCCCAGTCCCTCTCGGCTCAGTCCCTTCTATATATACATATGATTGCGGTCGACTCTCTGACGTTCCTGCAACCACAGGATGTCTAGCCCGCGTCATCTGGCTACCTGTGTCATCTGCATACTCTCGGTGCCACATCATTGTTTCTCTTCAAGAGATGCAAAGGCAAATTGTCCATAACTTTATTCTCAAGCGTCGTCAGACAGTACAATTACCTATCTTACTTCCGAACTCAACTCATGACCACCACTACATCACCAAATAGTCCGTCGTTGCACGACTCAACATCGCGACCAGGCTAGAGCATGGTCACGGCAGAGACTCTACGTCAAGACTATTCAATCGAATATCGGTAGACTCTTTCTTAATCTAACTTGCTCGCCTACATCGCTGGCTCATCCAACTCAGGCTAGAACATGCCGGAACCTCGGATGGCTTGGTAACTTTGGATATTGCAGATCAATTCGTTCTGTTCTACAGAGCATTGTCTGTGACTTGATCACGAAGTACGACAGCCTGAATATTTTTCGTCCTAAAAGCTCGGTGTAATCATGAGCGAGACAGCCCAAACGGCCTCGGGCCAAACTCTGACTCCAGGTCAAATCGAAATCATCGTCGCTTTCGAAAGGGCCGGCGCCTCTCTCTCAATACTGGCTCTTCTCTTAATATTCGGTGCATTCGCAGCATTGAAACGCCTTCGTACCGTACCAAACACATTCATCGTGTTCGCTTCTTTTGCCAATTTGGGCGCCAGCGTCGCATGCTTGATGGGATACAATGGAGTTCAGGCAGGCAAAGAGACTCCTCTATGCCAAGCACAGGCATTCATGTTTGAGCTGTAAGTGTTGCCTGCTCGATACACAAAAGGTGTGGGATCAATCCTGCTGATATTGTCTTAGTTTTATGCAATCAGATCCATGGTGGTCCTTTGCTATGGCTGTCAACGTCTACATGGTGTTCTTCTTCGCCGCAAACCCCAAGAGCTTCCTGTGCTATTGGTGGGCCTACGTTATCGTCTGTTACGGTATTCCATTGATTCCATCATTATGGCTCTTGCTAGTTCATGATGAACAGGACGGGTCCGTGTATGGTGATGCTACTGTAAGTGTGAACTGAACTAGGAAGCTCTTCTTTGCAGCTTATTAATTTGCACGACCAAGATATGGTGCTGGATCGATTCAAATTGGAGCGGTCTACGTATCTGGACCTACTATTTGCCAATCTGGGTTTGCATTTCACTTTCTACTGTGATCTATATTTCAGTTGGATTTTACGTCTTCAAACAGAGAAATCAACTGCGAAACCTCTCTCTGAGCGACCCAAGTAGAGATGGTCAGGTTCAACGTGACTCTGGGGAAAAGGTATGGGAGTAAACGGTATGCATATTCGAGACGTTTATCTAACAACATTGGGCAGAGACTATTCGTGAACGCGGCTAGTATGGGCGGGATCGCGGCCCAGGTGACACAGACTACCACAATACACCATGTGAACGTTCAACAAGATCCCACATGTCAGTCATCCGGGACGGCTAATTGGTTCGATTCTCCAACTAGAGACACTACGGATCATGAGATTATCGATGGCAACCCCCTCTCGCCAACGTATCACACCGTTACGCACATTACTGCGAGCCGCACTCCAAAAGAACCATGGCACAGCCGTCTACGTAAGGCATACACAAGATGGTGCAGCAAATTCAGCAACATGGACCCTATCAAGCTAGCGTACTTGAGAACATCCTTTGTCTTTGCTATATCGGTCTTGGTGACCTGGACCCCAAGTTCGATCAACAGGGTTCATGACCTTGTCGCTAGAAGTGGCGCTAGTTTCGGACTCAATCTGGCAAGCGGCATTGTGCTCCCATTGCAGGGTGTTTGGAATGCAGTCATATTCTTTTCAACAAGTTGGAGGGCACTAAAGGAAGAAATTCTTGGTGCTGTCTGCAGAGCAAAGGGGCTACCTCGGGGCCACCAAGCAGCAAGTGCGGTCCGGAACGAATGGGATAAAGGCCTTGAGCTGGACCAAAGACCAGGTCGCATTTGCCGGGACGATGCGGCCAGTGAAGTCACTGGGAGTACGATGAGAATTATGCGTGACGGTTCACTGAGCAGTCTGTAACCAGAGGGCAATTGAAAATGGACAAAATCAATTCTCAAAGTTTCGCCCAGAATCATCATAATGATGGATGCAGGAGTGGTTTAGATAGAAAGCAATGAATGTTGGAAACAGAGCCTGGTCGCACTATGGGTATACGCTAGCACAACAAGATAGCATTCAGCATTATTTTTGGCCCTCAGCTGTATCCCCTGCGTCAGAGGCATTGACACGAACCCGTAGAGGTCTGTTGAAAGCAGTCACGGCAGTGGGGTTAAAACTCGAAGTGACTGCGCCGAAGTGGCGATTTTGCTCGGCAGTCCTGTGTGCGCCTTAGGTTGACATGTGCCCCTACATACCTCACGAACAATCGCACTTTCTCGATATGATGTTTGAATACAGCCTTCCGATCTTGGCTACGCTATTGTGAGACTATCGGCATTGGTACCTCGAGCAGGCATTGTTCCCGAGGTTGCACTACCTCCCCAACTGAGCCCTGCGGGGTCGGATCTGATAGCCAGCGGTATTTGTCATCTAAGTCAAACTTCCTCATCTTTAAACAGAGGGAACATCAAGACAAATGCGCACGGTTGAGTAAATCAATCACAGCTTTTTAACTATCCACTAGCCAAATAATTAAAGATGAGCAGCAACCCTCTAGTGCTGTCGGCGGAGGCTCAGCAGGAGCTCGAGAAGGAGCTTAAGGCCGAAGACGTCTTCGAGCCGCATATCCTGGCAAAGTACGATCCTGAAGCAGTCAAGATCGTACTCCGAGGTGTCAATGCCGGCGTCCCGCCTGTGGATGCGGTGCCAATCGAAGAGCGCCGTGCGAATCCAGACAAGTACAGGCCACCTTGGTCCCAAGACACCACGGGCTGGGAGAGAGTGGTTGACAGCCACATTATTTCGGATGATGGCGCCGAGGTCCCAATCAGAATCTATCATCCTGATCCTGAAGTCAATGGAAATGGGCCTTACGGAGTGCATCTGAACTTTCACGGTGGGCAACCAGCGAACTGTATTCTTTGATGTTCAAGCTGCGGTCACTAACACTTTCTAGGGGGAGGCTACGTATTCGGGGACTTGGACAACGAGTCCACGATTTGTGCGAGCATGAGAGATGGAGCTGGTATCGTTGTCGTTGATGTCAACTACCGGCATTGCCCTGGTAAGCTTGGATGAAAGCTTTCGTGGATTTGTACCAGGCGCTCATTTGGATTCAAGAAGTCGTTTGGGGCAAAGCAATTGAGGATGCCTGGGCTGCTTTACAATGGGTAAGCACCGATACTGTACTCCGGCTGAACGACACGTCATCACTTACAACTTGTGTCATAGGCAAGGAAATCTGCAAAGTCATTGAACATCGATCCAAGCTCTGTGTCGGTAGGTGGCATCTCAGCTGGCGGCAACATTTGTTTGATTCTGCAACATATGGCCCGCGACAACGGGTTGCCTTTGAAACTCTGTTTGCCAACGGTGCCAGGCACTTCGACATGCTTGGCATACAAATTCCACACGGATTCCCCGTTCCTTTCCTTTCACCAATTTTACAATGGGCCGGTTCTTCCATGGTCGGCAATCAAGTATTTCGGTGATTACTGCTTTCCAAAGGATAAACTAGACGAGAGAATGGCCCTTGTTCCCGGCTGGTGGGCCTCGCCGTTGGAGGCAAAGAACTGGGTTGGACTGTGCGAAACGTATTTAAGGACTGCTGAGTGCGACCCGTTGAGGGATGAGGGGGAAGCTTATGGGATCAAATTGATCGCTGGAGGGAACAAGGTGACTATAAAGCGATATATCGGCAGCCCACACACATTCATGTTTTGGAAGGACTTCAAGCAGAAACAAGAGTGGGACGCAGACTCCATTCAGGTATTAAAGCGCGCACACGTTAAAGCATGAGGAAGAGCCCCATCAGCAGAATCCCCATTCCATATCGTCCTAGCGACAAACATCATCCTGTTCTATAAAGTTCTTATTTTCTACCAAGTGTCTAGGAGACATCTCAACCAATTGTGCTCATAGTATTGCACCAGATCCAATGAAATCTTGGATTGTAGAAACGCTGGGCATTTGCTTCTTAGACCTGTATGCTCAGATTTCTTCTACCACACGCCCCTGGAATTCTTTCTCTATCTGGACCTTATGCAAGGCCTCTCAAGGTCACGTTTCTCTACTACATACTTTCACAGATACTCATAGCGTAACGTTCTTGGAGCAGATTACTCGGGACTCGATCAAGATAATGTGCTACGTACGTGGCATCTACCGAGCGATTGCTGCTTATCATACACGGCCACCATTACCATTCATATATGGATGACTATTCATGACAGACTACTGACCAGCTGCCCCAAAATTATCCACTTCTCTGCCCTTTCCTGGAAATTTGGTAAACAACAGACAGTCAGTAATCGTTTAAGTAATGTTGGGGAAACACAGTTGGGAAAAGTGAGCCGTAGGCTGAGTAATCTGAATAGCCGCAGGACCGTAACTTTTAGTTTTCGTACAGCGCTTCAGGTCTAAAATTTTGATAATACTTCGCTTGTACCATTTGTATAAGTCAGTAATACTGGCGGCCTTCCTCATTTGTAAGCCAGTATTAAAATATGGGAAGCAAGCATATGCTCGCTGACGTGTAATAATTTCCAAAACTGATACTCTAGCTGAAACCCACTGTCGTATCACAGTAACTGGCTGCTCCAGTATAAATTATTCACATAACCCCTGATGCTAAACGGGCGTTCGTTTGTATTGATAGTCTCGACATCAACGTTTCATCATCCATGTCTGTTGTGTACTTCGTACCTCTTTCATACTGTTTTCACTTTGATGTTCTAATTCTTCATGATTTACTGAACATACATTGCCGGGTTAGTGTCACAATTCAATCTACCCTCACGCGTTGGGTATTCTGTGACAGCCGCTCCTCTGAAAGGGTTTTCGCCCCAGATAATCAGACAAGCTGTAGAGACATATTCAAGAGCTCATCTCTGGCCAAGCCAATACACACCTACGGCTAGAGGGTAAAGTGAAGGCACATTAGTAATCAAACCAGCTCAGCGGCTAACACAACACGGGACATTTGAGCAATTTCCTAGGGACTTCCTAGCACAACAGTATTGAAGGTGCTCAGACGGTCCGAGCATTTTAGTTGCAGCTGCGTGATATATGTAAACCCTGTCACGTGGAACCAGGATTCTCAGTCCTGATTCTGAACAATAAGCATTCCCATATTCGGTTTGCCGCTTGTTAGCTCAGAATGATACAGGTCCGCCTTGATGTGGGAATACCCCGCTGCCCAAGGCTTGTAAGTAGAAGGAGGATCAAATCAATCGAGTTATCTCAACGGGTACAACGGCGCGTTACTTAAAACAGTGTGCTGCGCGAATAGTTCATGCATTTTCCGACCAATGGCAATCTGCAGCATCATTACTACCAGCCTGCAGGGCACATCTAAATTCCGTGCGTATGATCTCCGCAGATGGATTAAGCTAAGTTCACAAAGGCAACATGTGGGTCAGGAGGTATCCTCTCTCACGTTGAAGATTTGAACTCGACTGGAGACCCTCTTGGCGTACTCAACGCGGAATCTCTCCGCGGGAAGGAACAGAAAGTATGAGCTTATATAGCATTCTAGGATATGGGCGGTTAAGATTCCACAACAAGAACCATAGCCTTGCGTCTTATCCCTGGCACTGGAGTATGGCCAACGGTGATGCAGAAAGCCCAGCCAAGAGACTAACGTGCTTAATTAATGAACACTTACCTTAAATTGGCAAACGTGAAATGGCAAACTCGGACTTCAATTCCATTTGCGCAAAAGACACGTGCAAGAAACTATTGAAATAGCGCAGGTATCTGTATGCCAGGATAATGTCTGACTCCTTCAGAGAAAAGTTGTAACACGGGTGGCTGACCGGTCATCGCCTAAAGGCAAGACAATGAACCCCATACGTGTTGTCAATGCACTTACCCGTCGGCAGGCTGGGATTCCCTTTCCGATTACCGTACTGGGTATTTTTGCATCACCGATGGCTCTATACTACTAACAGCACTGGGGACGAGAAGTTTGCCCCTGCCACTTGAGCCTTCTACCGCCCTATTAGGCCAATGCTCCGCGAATCCAACGTTCTCTAGCTTCCCCATGGCCGAGAGCATAGTGGCGGAGTCCACCTTGAGGCTGCCCGAACATCCCGAGTTGGCAACTACACTCGGTGTCATGACTAGTGAGTCGGGAACTGGTCCCGTTCAAAAAGACGTAGAGGATAAGGTTTTCGGTTGTATGTGCCAACGCGCTGCGGATAGGCCACTCTTTGTTCATCCACAGCCGCAAGCTCCACGGATCATGAATCGACCGGGGCACAGCCCAGCTTAGCGTGATGGATACTTGCTTGGCCTGCTTGGGTGACAAGGAGCAAGTGGGGATGAATGCTGGCCGTCTCCGGACACATCCCAGTATTTCCCTCCCCGCTCGGCCAGTCATCGTTTCAAGTCCGTGACTTACATGTCTTCTACGAGGATTTCAAATCCGGAAGCACGCCCAAATGCCCACATAGCCTCGACGAGGAAGTGTGTGCGAGACGCAAGAATGGGGTGATAAGACAACCTAGCCCACCGGCAGATCAATGAGAAGTCCATATACTCCAAGTAGAACATGCAGAAGCCATAGAACGTGACTATTAGTGCAGGACGCAACGGGGTCCGTGGTTTTGCGGGCTTATACCGTAGGTGGTTGCTAAGCGTGGCCTGCTAGGGAATAACAGGCCCAGACACAAGGCTGTCAGTTAGCAAGCAGCCGATAGACTGAAGCCATCGATGTACAGGCACACAGTCTTGTCTATGCGAACCGGGCTATGATCATGACCAAGTTTCTACCAAGCGCCAGGTTCATCGCAGGCCTCCCTATGTAGCCAATACGACCACGATAGGGCTATCCCAAGACCAGGTGTCGTCCGGTATTGAACACACTGTGCGCTGGTACGATGCACTTAACATAATATGGGCTGAACTACTGCCTCTCGTGGCAACTAGGACCACGAGGTCATCTCTTCACGTGGCATACAGGAGAAAATGCACAACGTCCGTTTCCCTAAGCCCGTCGTTCTTTGCGCTTGGACCTGCGTATTGTTCAAGATTCTCTCACCGGTCTCCACACACAGGGGTTCTCGGCCCCACAGGTTCGTGCAAGACCTGGGGCTTGCTGGGCTGCCTTGCTTGCGATTATCTCATGAAACCGTGCGCGGCGTGTGGTCCCGCTGTCAAGATATCAGCCGAGCGCGCCAGTGTCAGGGCTTCTTGCAGTAGTGCGCAAGGCACGACGACAAGCATTCCCTTCTAGTTGTAGGCGTCGAGTGAGGTTGGTCTAGGCTCTCTTATCCATGGCGACAAATCCCCAATCCAGACTTGTTGTCAAGTGTTTAGCTTATACGTGATACCAATTCCGAAAAGCCGATTCATGTTTCATTTGGATTGATTCACAGTGGTGTTACGAGTAGTAGTTGCGTCCATTAGTCGTTGGAGGCCTGACGTATGATGTCAGTCTCCATGATACCGAAACCGTTGCGGACGGTTACATCTAGGGTTGCATCCGAACGCTGCTCGAGCAGATCATGACATTCCGGGGTCCACCCAGATCTCCATTAACACCCTGTGTGTCTTCGGGGTTTTACATAGGATGACCCCTGGTCAACCGCCCGTTCGCCCGCATGTGAACGGACCCGGCGACCTGGGCTGGATCATTTGTGTACTCGATGGCTTGGTGGGCTTTCCTCGAGTCCCACGAAACTGATCTCCATGTGGTTTATATTCCTTGTCTTCTGCAACTGTCCGAGCACTCAACGCCTCCGCACTGAAGAAGGTGGAATCATGATCAAATATTACCTCGATCCCGCGGTACTTATGACTGGCCCATCGCGCCACGTAACCTAAGGGAGCTATCACGTCGTGATAGATCTTTCAAGAGAATTCATCCTGCAGCCCAACAGCCCGCCACAATGGACGTACCGCCAGGATTTCCGAACGTCCCACTGGATCATGGCAACCGGAGTGGGCTGATGGTAGCTATTGACATCGTTTGTATTGCGCTTCCGACGCTGGCGACCGCCCTTCGATTTTATGCGCGACAGTTCATCATCCGCCAAGTCGGCGTTGATGACTGGATAGCCCTTGTCGCTCTAGTAAGGCAATCATCGTCCCAACGAGCAAAGCATGCACTCGCAGTGGCTGATATATATCTTCCCAGGCTTCGGTCATAGTTCTCGCAGCTATACAAATCACGCACACTCATTTTGGCCTCGGTCATCACATCTGGGATGTCATTACAGTACCCGGTCTCTTTGCGGACTTCATGAAGGTGGGTTGCCTCGCTGCTTCTCCCCTTTTGGATCATCATGTTCAATCACAAAGCATATTGAGAGCTATCGCTGACGTAAGGAAATCTGACAGTATTTTGTTCTCGCGAATGTTCTATACAACGTTGGGTTGCTGTTTATCAAACTGACGTTCTTCTTCCAATACTGGAGGATAATGTTACAAGTCGACGTCTACCGCAAAGTTTACGCCGGCATCATGGCCTTGGTTGTTATGTGGACAGTTGCCCAGATATTTGTGATGATATTTATCTGCGGCGGAGGACAGAACATCATGAACAAGAGCTGCGATCCGATAGCGCCCACTTATGTCAACGCTATCGGAAATATGGTGACGGATGTGATCATATTATTACTTCCCATGCCAATGATATTTCGTTTAAAGTTGCGGCGATCGCAGAAATGGGGCCTTGCCGCCATGTTTGGCCTCGGGTTCTTGTAAGTGCGATAACACCTTTGTTTTATCCGACGGAGCTGACATCAGTGGGATTACAGTACTTGCCTTATTTCGATCCTGCGTCTGGTCTACTTAAACGTGGTCTCGACCGACTTCACATTCGATGCAGTAACACTCAGTTCATGGTCTATGGCAGAGCTAGCCGTTGGACTAATCTGCGCCTGTCTTCCATCTCTTCGCGCTTTGCTCGTCCACTGGTTCCCCACCTTCATGGGCACCGAGCTATCGTCGAGATACAACAGGCAAGGCTATCAGAGGTCATCGGACCCGAAACAAAAGAAGTCTGTGTCAGGACATTCCCGGTCCAATGCAACCGGCACAACCAGTCAGACCGACCTCTGCGTCGATGATGATATTGAGCTCGAATCAGGCGTTCGATCTGCATCGGGACCAGACTTGGACAAGGATCTGCCAGGAGCGCCACCCAAGGCACATATCGACAGCCAATTGGAGCGAGCTCCTCAAGAGGTCGGAAGTCATTAAAAGATAAGCTAATCATGAGTTATGAGTACACACGAAGAATATATATCTTAGATCAAATACTACTATACCCCTCAATTTAAGGTCCTTAGTGACTTGTACACAAGATGTATGCGTCAAGATGTGAGGGGCGATATAGATGGAATAGTTTGATTAATTAACTAGAAGGGATAGAACAGAGTGGTACACCTGGAAATGTAGACATATATGTAGTTAATAGAGTGGCTGGTGAGCTGTAATGTAAGTGGCTGGTCCACTATTCCAACAGTATGGAGCCGATATACTCAGCCTGAGCACAGCTTTCGGTTTACGATAAGATACCGTAGTTGATGTAGAGTAGGTTGCTCATGTGTATCCTTGTTCTACCATTTAAGCCTTGAGAAGACCACCGACGACTTCCATACACCGATCTCACTCTTCCCAGTGGCCCACATGGTTGGCGCTCTCAAGAGTTACCTATTTAACCTTGGGGATAGCCTCCAACCATGGGGCCATACACAAGTCCGTGTTGTCATCATATCTTCCATTGGCGATTAATGTCAGAGTCTTAATGTTGTGGACCTGAATATAGAGTATAGAGAAGAAAGTACAAGAGATTCTCCACAACACTCGCGCAATTGACGTGAATCAATTCGATCATAGCTCAACTAAAATTCTACCGGCCATCAGTAGATCCGACAGTACATGAGAAATATTAGCCACTAAAATCATTATAAAGAATAAGCTTTTTACCTGAGGATCGTGCACTCATTGGCTCCTGCAGGTTTGTCCTCATCACATCTCATAGCCGCGCCAAAATCGCATTACCAGAGATATCTCGCTGTTTTGGCTCCGATTCCATCTTAGTCTCTTACGGCAGGCTCACGCGGGGATTTTGGATGATTCTCGAAACATTGGGGACCTTGTTGCGAGCTTCTAGTATATCCCTGCTCTTCTGGTTATTCGAACCTCAAAGCACACCAACCACCCCTGAAACAGCAAACTGGGGTATCCTGGGTTTTGCTGTGGTTGTCATTTTAGTCTTATGCAGCACTTTGTTCACATTAGGCGTGTTATCGAGGGCGCCGTCGAGATAGCTTGAGCCCCTAGGCTAGCAGCTTCCAGGCTTGCGTTATACATGTCCAGAAATTAAATGAAGCCCAATCACGATTTGGCGGAAAATGATCTGATAGTGCATGGAAGATCTAAATAACGAACTATCCCCTTTCCTTTGTGAACAGATAGGACTACGACCATCCCTCCGACCACTAAGCCCATAAGCATCAGCTGCAAGGGCAACTCAAATTTGTATACCACAAACATGTACTTTCCCGTATCACTGACTTTTCGTCTGAGGTCATAGCACTTGTTTGCTGTACGGTGACGCTTTCGGATGAAGAGGCTTGGTTTCTTAGAGTTTGTACAATGATTATACACGAATATTCTCGCGGCATCTCGGCCACACCGGTTTGTCTAAATTTTACAGTCTAACAACGTACAAGCTGGCCCTCTCCATCTCGCCGAGCACGCCGCTGCCAGCCAGCGTCCACTTTTCGCTGACGTTCTTCTCGTCGACCCTCATCCGCAGGACGCCGCTGGCTGCCCAGTACTCCATCAGGGCGCGTGCCTCGGGCTTCGAAACGCCCTTGACGTTGAACACACTGACGCCCTTCAGGGCGTCAAACACGCGGTCGTCGTACTTTCTGTAGAAAGGGTCGCGGGCCGGGATCTCGGTACCCGCCTGGGCCGCAGCAGCCTGTTCGAGGGCCATGTCCACGGAGGGTAGCTTGGGGCAGTTACCCTTGGTCATGACACCGGTGATAGCGGCACCGTTGGGGAACTGGGTCTTGCCGCCGAGAGCGTCGGCAAACAACCTGAGCAGAGCCAGGTCGTGGCAGTGGATCAGCTCGAACGCTGGGTTGCGGTAGTCGCTGACGCGCATCATGTGGCTCAGACCGTCGAGGTTGAACATGATGGGCGGGCGTCCGGGCAGGAGGAGCTCCTGCCAGAGGGCGTGGAAGGTGGGCCATGCGAAGTCGGGCTCCTTGGTGGCATTGGCGAGGGCGGCTAGCGACATGCTGCGCGGTACGGAGAAGGGAAGATGTATGTGCTCAAGTCCGACCTGTAGCTTGGAGAGAATGTCCTTGTTGGCACTGTAGATGGCCTGCATGAGCTTGAGGATGTAGGTCGGGTGGGAGAACATCTCCGACTTGGGAATTGGGGAGTAATCGGTATGCGCCGTCGAAAGCTCCTGGGCTAAGAGATGTGCATCAGTACGGCGTATGCGAGTAGGGGGTGGAGGCCGGGGCGGTCTCACCTTCAGGGATGTTGATAACCACCCACTTGTTCAGGAGGCCGGCGGACAGCACCTGCAGTCCCAGAATACTCTTTCCGCTGCCCCTCTCGCCGGTGATTACTGTTCTCACCGTCTGCTTCTTCTGGACCTTGTCCGTCATGTCCTTGATGAGGTCGACCGTCTCCTGGCGGACGAGCATGTGCGGGCTTCTGAACAGCCCCCAGTTCTGGGTGGGCTTGAAGGCCTCGACGGTCCTCAGCTGGTCGATCAGGGCGTCAGGAAGGCCGACGATCTTGCCGGCGGCGGCAGGGTCGACGAGGGTGGCAGCGGTCACCTGGGCAAGCCCAGGGACCTCGAGGGCGTTGTCGTTGCTCAGTTGTATGCGCTTCCGGAAGGCCTTGCGCTCGCCGGGGAGGACGGGCTTGCCGGGGTCCTGCTTCTTCTTCCGGCCCAGCACCAGCTTCTTTCCGGTGCGAACATGGCTCGACAGGCCGCCGCCTTCCTTCTTGGCGAGACGAGCGGAGGTGCTGAAAGTCGCCGTGGTGACGGGCACGGCCAAGGACGAGGACGTGGACGTGGGCGCCAGGAGGCGCTGGGACGGCCGGGCCAAACAGCGCCAGCAATTGGGAGCGGCCATTGCTGCTGCTGCCGGTCACTGTGTGTGCGTGTGTGTGTCTCTCTCTCTCCCCAATTGGAGGTCTCGGGTCGGTCGTTCTCGTTTCTCGTGTCGCCTCTCGTCTCGCGTATTCGCTCGCTCGCTCGAAGCCCAAAGCCAAAGCTGCTGCGGATCACAATCGCGCCCTGGTCGCTGGTCGCTGGTCGCTGGTCGCGGGTCGCGGGTCCCAAAATTTAGGAGCTGGCATCGGCGTCGGCCAAAGCTCTGCTCCGACGCGGCGCCGGCTTCCACTCCACCACTTATCGATAGCGGGGGATCCGCCCAAAATTTCTGGGACGCAGCGATAACGAGACAGTCCATCGCAATTCTGGGGGACTTTTTTTTTTCTGCCGCCCTTCTGCAGTGAACAACCTGCACCGGGCTTTGATTTCCACTCGTCACAACGAACCGTCAGGGATTCCTTCTGCACCATCTCCATAAGGTTTCAAGGAACGGCCACCCCTTCATTACAACACTCGGCAAAAGGGTCGTTCGGCGCATCGCCAGTAATACACAGATACACCCCGCCAAGATGGCTCCCGCCCCCAAGCTCGACATCACGGTCGACAAGCCGACGCCCTACACCTTCGACCTGGGCCTGCTGCTGGCCAACGACCCGAACCCGCTGCCGGCGGCCGACCCGGCGGTGCCGCAGGAGGAGCGGCTGAGCGCCGTGGCCCGCGACGGCGCCCAGGCGCTGGTCAACCAGCTGCTGAGCACGCTGCCGCTGCAGTCGACCCAGGCCGGCGTGCTGCTGGACCTGCCGCCGCCCGCCACCGCCCTGCCGCGCGAGAAGCCGCTGCCCCCGGCCAAGGAGCAGACCAAGTGGGAGAAGTTCGCCGCCAAGAAGGGCATCAAGCCCAAGACGCGCGAGCAGCGCCGCGCCAAGGCCACCCAGTTCAACGAGGCCACGGGCGAGTGGGAGAAGACCTGGGGCTACAAGGGCAAGCGCAAGGAGGGCGTCATCCCCGACGACTGGGTCGTCGAGGTCAACGAGAACGGCGACAAGCTGGACGACAAGAAGAGCGGCGCCGCGGCCAAGAAGAGGAGGAAGGCCTGAGGAGGAGGAGGACTACTTCTGGTCAAGGTGGGAGAAGCACAGGGATGGCGATGAGCATGGACCACGTAATCAATCGGAGTCTCGTGGGCGAGGGGGAGAAGGAGAAGGAAGAACACCACTGGCCCGTATGGGACCACGATGCTGCATTTACGGCGTTATGCGAACGAATCAAAGGGTTCCTGGCAGGCGTTTCGGGAGTTTTCTCATCACACATCTACGGGGGGCAGCGAAAAGTGGTATTTTATACTCGACGACGATTCCGCATCGTCTTGCTGCTCATGTTACTGGCGAGGCCCAAGGCTTCGTCTTTGCCTATAGTACAGTTGCAAATGAAGCGCTTTTATCGGTTCCCCTCATCATCTCGGTACGGCCAAGAGCCTTCGATGCCTATATTTCACTCTGCACTTGTCAGGCCGCACGCTTCCCAAAGAAGAGCCCTTGGGCGTCCATTCGCACGCATGTCCCGTGCTCAAATCTCGCTTCCCTACTCCTCTTGCCCGTCACAACATCCCATCGCGTACCCAAGGGGTTTAGATAGACCGAAAATAAGGGTGCAAATGACCTGGGATCCAAGACATCCGTTCGCTTCAGTAGAGCAAAGGGTAAGGCTATCCCCACTATCTCAAGAGGGAATACCGTAGAAACGTAGGGAAAGCCAGCTGCAAAGGTAAGGCTGTCAACCACGTCGCTATCCTCGTCGCTCGGAAGGCGGCATGCCCAAGCGAATCCAGACCGAGTCCCTCGGAAAGTCTGGAACTACCAACAGCGTTACCAGTTGGTTCAAGCTGTTGGATTGAGAAAGGAGGTATTCGGCAACGGAAATTCAAGTATCGCTCCTCTCGAACGAGATAATTGCTCAGCCCATCAGCTACTGCTTGTGTATTTATATGTCGGCTTGACGTAGTTTCTTCACAGGAGACAGTCGAAGATGCGTTATATCCAGTGGCCGAGAATAACCAAACTCGGTAGGCATCCAACAAAGTGAGGTAGGCCGAGCAGTGCATCATCCACGACACAGGCTGTGTTTCTTCGGCCACTAAGGCCCAGCGGCTCAAATCATCTCAAGGCCCTTCCAACATTTGACCACGGAACGAGGACAATTCAGTCGCCGCTGCACCGGCCACATCCGACATCTCCAAACCCCAGCTCGGGGGTCATAATAATATATCGTCGCAAGAACAAAAGAAAAATGTGCAGGTATCGTCATCCAGGGGCATCATGTCGTGAACAAGGAAAATCAGAGACCATTGCCGGATGAAATGCCAATTATGCTCGAACATCAAACGCTAACTTCCGGCGCACGGGGGTATTATGCCTCGATGGTACATGGAAAGAAACCAGGAAGGGGCCGTTTCGATGGAGCCCAGGACTCATGCTGACCAGCGTGAATCCTTGCACTCGGCTAGATCAATGCCCAGCGCGAGCTATGGCCACAGCTCGGATAGCGTGGAAGAAAGGGTTTCTTGCTTAGCCTCGCGGTACTGTGACGTTATAGTAAATTTCGTGTACGTCGCTTGTTTGATTTTAAGGGCCGCAGACCAGACCTCTCCTAGAAGCCAAGCGGTGAAAGCGGCTTGATGGGCGAGAGTGGTCGCAACTCCCCAGCCCTGCCAGACGTTTCCTGACCCGCGACTGTAAGACCTGCCGGGATCGAGTTGACGCTGCCGTTCTGCGCCGTGGACTTCTTTCTTAACTTGCCATTCTGCTGCTGGTCGTAACTCTGAGCCGTGCCTTGCGTGGCAGCATGTTGGGAACTGTCAGAAGATGAGAGATATCGATCGTCTATGTGAGGTTCTGTCCTGCTTCGGCCGAGCGGTGCGTTACCATTGCCATTGCCGTTGCCGTCGCCGTTGCCATGCCTGCCGCCATTGGAAGCCTGAGGTTCCTGAGGAGGCTCGACAACACCAGCCGCGAGTGTGGAGGGGGGTGTCTGGTGCAAGAGTGCGTACTCTTCCTCGATGAACTGTGATTCGCTTCTGCAACCCTTCCAGCAGTCTCTCCACTCACAGACGAGGAACTTGAAGCAGAAAGCGTCAATCTTGAGACATGGCTGGAAGCAGATGCACAAGTTCCTATAGTCCATTCTATTCTTCGCAGAGTGGGCTAAAAGCAAACTCAGGTGGCAAGTGATAGCAAACAGCAGATAGTAGTTGTATGGCGGCAGGTTGGACAGTTCCTCGATGAGTAGTTGCGGGACGGTCTCGGAATCCTTGCATTCACGGGCGATGCGTTCCTGGGCTGCCTTGGGGAAGAGTTCGTCAGGAAGCTCGCGAAGCCAAGCCTTGAGCATTGAGCCTATGATATTGATATCATACAGGTCCTCTTGCGCAAAAAGGTCGACGTCGTATTCTAAGAAATCAAGATTAGTTCACAGCCACGCTACACACAACTTAAACCCATCTAATAGATCATGAGTAATGGCAACTCACCCTCATCGAACTTTCTCTGCCATTTCTTGACCTGCGGTCCACTTCCGGGAACTCGGTACAACCCCTCAACATCGCTACCCTTGTAGTTGAGATAGTCGATAGCGCGCCACGGAAAAGCTGGCATCCAGAACTCGGTCTTATCTCGAGCCTCTTCAAGCTTTTTGGAAATGCGCGTCTTTCGAACTTGTTCAATCAAAGGCAGGTTCAGTACCTTCAGCTGATAATGTTCATCGTCAACCACGTGCTCGCGTTCGGTAGTGCTGCCGCTTCGACCTGACTTATTGCCGAAGATTCGACTCGAGAACATGTCTGCAGCTCGTGAGCCTGAGCTCTTTAAGTTGCCAAAGAAGGTAGAGCCGCTGCTATCCTTGAAAGATGATGGATGACTGCGATTTTGACTCTGGGTGTGATCTTTATCGGGTCGCGTTTCTTTGTTTGGTCTGTCGCGGTGTACAGCCCGGTCTGCCGAGTGATTACGAGTTGAGGAGTCCATCATATGTCTGAAAGAACGGTCATTGACCTGGCCGTCTTTGTCGATCGGCGCAGTTTTCAGAGGCTGCTGTCCGGTGTAGACATGTGCACGCTCTGGCTCCTGGATCCTCACTTCCGGATTTGTCTCCTTCGGACTGGGGCTCTCCCGCTCCTTCATCGACCTGGTCCTATTGAGAAGAGTGAACGGCTTCGGCTTGCCCCTTTTCAAAGTTGACGAGTCGTAGTCGCCGCTTGCCAACGAGACGTCTGATCGCGAGGGTTGCGCCATTGTGTTAGGCTGGGCGGACTGCAGCTCGTTCGAATGGTCTATAGTTCAGAGAAGAATAAGAATGTCAGCGTCCTTGATTAAACCACCCCATGTGGGAGTGTGTACTGGACAACGGGCGAACGAAAAGGCCCATTGAGTCCTTGTGGACCATACGAGTACGTACCTGAATGTTTCGACGTCTTGGTCGATCCGCGGTCAGAGGCGATTTGCGGATCCTGGCCTCGGGACATGGCCTCACCACTGCCGGTGGCGTTGCTCGAGTTTGAGTGCTGGCTCGGGTCGCGCTTACGGTGGTAGTCGCGAGTGTGCTCCCGCTGGTGCTGGGCGCCTTTGGAGGACTTGAAGTTGAAAAAGCGACTGGCGCTCCGTGAATGTTTCTCTTCCTCCCGGCCGGATCCAGGCTGCTGCGCAGAGTGCTGGTGAGACCCCGCGCCTTCTCGTGCCGCCCGGGTAGTCGGTGCCGTCGCCGGTGGAGGCTCGACGGGCGGTCTTGACGAGGTCGAGGTCGGGTTGTGCTGGTCTTGCGTGCCCTGGTGTTGGGCCTCGCCGGAGGGGTAATGGTAGAACTGTTGATCGTAGCTCTCCTCGAGAGGACCAGCCTTGTAGTCGAAATGGGGATACTCTGGCGACTGCTGGGCGGCGAATTTGGACTGCAGATGCGACGGGCTCTGGGCATGTGATGTCTGGACCTGCCTGGGATCACCCTTCTTCGACGTAGTATTGAACTTGCTGAACGGGGACCGGGGCGAGCGAGGTGACTTGGATGAGGTCGGGGTTGGGATGACTTGCAGAGAAGTTTCAATGCTGGCTTCGGCGACGTGAGGGCTGCGGTGGCCCTGGCTGGCCGGGACACTGGATTTCTGGGTAGGAGAGGTGACAGCGGCAGGAGAAACAGGACCAGAGCCGTTGCTGCTGACGGGGCCGCTGCCAACGTGCGGACGAGAATGGGGGCTGGCCAGGGACAGCGGCTCAGGAGCGTGCTTGCGACCCATTGTTGCTGCCGGGCGTCTGGGACAGCGGAGACGGTACTTCGCTCAGCGCGGAGCGGGCGGGTGAATCGTGTGCTTGACAAGGCTTGGGAATGTACTGTGTCATTCCGGGACGTCAGCCCTCGTTTTGGTTACCTGGCGCGACGGTGTCCAGGACAGTGTCCAGTCTGCGTCTCTGGCATGCAGCGCAGGGCAATACTCCCGAACCCCGGTAAGTAAAAGCCAAGGGCAGTCAGAACCCCAGGGACAATATCCGGGCCCGTCCTGATTCGTGCTTCGCCGCAGGAGGACAGACTCGACCGCCGCCGACAAATCGTGCGTGTGAGTGTGTGTGTGTGTGTGTGTGGGAGACGTGTATCAGGTAGCGGGTGTCAAGGGTGGGAGGATTAAACAGCTGGAAATAGGCAGATTGGTGAATCTGCGACACGAGCACAGGGACAGCCAGGAGTCGCACCGGCGGCCTTAGCATTCGGCGATTGGAGACGGATACAGGATAACAGGGGGGGCCACCTGATTGCGCACATACACGCAGAGTACGGCTGAAGGACACACACCACACACGGGGGCCATCAGGGACCAGAGATGGCCACGACCGGGAGTTGGGGTTGGGCTGCGCGCGACGAAGTGTAGCAACGACGGGAGACACAGCAGACTGGTCCCTTTCGCAAGCCCCCTCGGAGGAGGCGACAGCACCCGCAGTCCAACTTACGACTTGCTTTAGTCTCGTCTCCAGGGCCCAGGGCCCCGGGGTCAGGCCTGGCGGAGTAGCTAGGTAGGTACAATGACACAGGCAGAGAGGACAGGACTTCTTGGCCAGACGAGGTACCGCCCTACGCACTGGTTTGGCTCCAAGCTCAAGCGCCCAAGTGGGTTTCGGGGGGTGGGCATGCATGGAGGGAGAGCGCTCCCACAGAACCTACCCAATTGGAAACGACATCTACGAACTTAGAGTCTATATATCGCGCCTTAGCGCTCTAGGACAGACTTGACATCTCCCAAGTACATGGTATGCCCGATTGCTGTTTGGGTATGGTATTTTCTGCTTCTGAATGTACATATCAGTCACGTAGGTAAATGCATGCACCAGAAGGACCTCGAGTCTGCGAGGTTTGGTCTACGGTTCACTATGTTCCCTATAGAACAGGGATATACCGCAGATTGGAACTTGCAAGCCCTGAAAAGAACAGCAACCCGCACAAGACCCTGACAGTGGGCAGTCTTCGAAACCCATAACACTGGAGGAGATGAACGACGGCCTGAAAAAGTCTGTGGTTATATTTCCTCAAAAAAAAAAAAAAAAAAAAAAAAAAAGAGTGCTGCTATGAATGACGTACGATTAGTGAGTGCATGCTGGCGCAACGAGAGCTACTTCACCTCCATGATGACATGGGTCGAGGCTCTACTGTGTATGTGGTTACAGTCTCCGGACTTGATTCCAAGCCGATGTTGATTGACATGGATGCCATGGTAGCCACAGTGCTGTCTGCAAATATGGCTTGCCGTAGATCCCGCCCCCGAGAGGCCTTACAATACAGTAAATTGCAGATTGCAGATGAGGCGGATGGCGTGTTCAATTTGGGAATATTGCGGGTTGCGCGTCTGGCTGCCCCCAGTGAATGGTTCTCCGCCCTCGCGGCTGAGCATCGCTGGGCTGGAGCCCATAGCTCACCAACGCAGAGCAATTTCTTCTCAGGAAAGACATGAAGGCCGAGCTATTCCGACTCCAAGTGTACTCTGGAAGCTGGTTGGGGGCCACAGAGGACAGAGGGATACCAATCCGCCTCTTGCTGTCCGTACTATGAATGTACTGTGCAGAGCGGTTGTTCTGGACTCGTGGGAACACCTCTCGGTTACCGTTCTTGGCAATCAGGAACGGTCTGACGGTGCCCGCGGCAAGGCCAGATTGAGACGAAACGCATTTTTCTGAAACATCAAATCCAGCGGCCGACCCCTGTCGAGTCCCATGTGCCCCCTGCGTGCCCTGGCATGCCGGCCCAAAGCGCTGGAGCTTGCTTGCTGGCCTGCGAATTGCGGGGCAGGCTTCCCCCTCAGTGTGCCTGAGAATCAGGCCACGGACCACACAGATGTCACTGCAGTCGGGTGCCCCAGCGGGCCTGGTCAAGCGCTCTTGGAGGAGCATTTTGGCTGCGCTGCAACATGACATGCTGGCTTGGTTGACTTGGTTGAGAGTGAGATGTTGTTTCAAGCGCCCGAGTGAGTTTGATGTTCTCGAATGATGCGGCCGAGGAGCACCCATCCTCCCCCATAAGCCTACATCTGGCTTGCTCTAGTCCCATCTTGCCATCGAGCCGCCGAATAAGCTCGTGATCCCCGTTGCCTGTCACCTGAGAAGGAAGCTTTGCTATGACGCTGACGTGTGGCCCCTGAAAAGAAGCCTCGTGTTTGTGAAATGTCTTGCTTCAACCTTAGGCATGTCTGAGCCAGTCAGGCGGGTTCGGCCGTTCGCAGCGGAAAACGGGATCATGAGCACAATCATCTTCGGTGATGTGATGGCACGGATAGTGCCGACAAAGCACTCGATGTCTGCGTTGACTCAGCTGGCACATATCGCCAAGTATCAGGTCTGCGCTGGGGCATGGTTGTTCACCTCAGTGTGTTTGTTATCTTGCACGTGAGATGTCAGGGGACGGCGAGGGGGGCTGGTTACTGGAATGGTTCAACGTAGAGAGCCTTGCTAACAAGGCTGAGCGTAGGGATGGATATCTTTACAGTCCGGTGACTTTCAAACGCTGATTTGTTGATGCGGTGTAAGATCAAATTCGAGGCCGTAAGGATACCAAGGTCACAGATGCCGCAACCTCTTGCGTAAATTGCGTTGACTGGGTAGCAATGTGAAGACTCGCTACGCTGAAGCCCAATTAAAAAAGAATGGCGGTTGTCATCGACGATATCACGCATGAATGCGGCACCGAAGCCTAGTTCATGAGGGCGTTGCTGAACCCATTTCTTCACCCGTGCGAGTAGTGAACTATTCAACGCAATTTGGCTCGCCCCTGCTCACTTTGGCGTCACCGGCCTTCACGATGATCAGCTGATAGAGCATGTCCGCTTGCCACCAAGCAACGCAGCCTTGTTTAGCACTACCCGTCCTCGAGCAGTCTCTAAGCCCCAGTCGCCATTGCGAGCGAAGACGTGATTCGCAGCGCTCACACAAGCAGACACGATTGGGGCAGGGCTCTTCTTCACATCCTCGGGCAAGCCGAGAATAGCAATGAAAAACATTTGTTCGCGTCAGCCTGGCGGTAGTGTAGGGCCAGGGACACTGTGGAAGTGATCATGGGCAAGCCCAGAGGACCACGACCGGGGAATAAAAATTAGATTAATCAATAGTTCGTTCAATAGAACGATTCCAGAGATTAAACTGAAAAGAACAGATACTACACTTGATCTAAGCCAAAAGGCAAAGAAGAGCTGAAGAGGAAAGGAAAAGAGAGTGGAAGTCGGGGGAGGGGGGAGCTCCTTAAATAGTCCTCAGAGTGGGTCCCGGGTGCCTGGCTGATTGTGCCTGGGTGATTTGTGCCTGAGGAAAATCCACACAGCCAGGTGAATATTAGGCAGATACCTGGGTCCCTCACGGCCACTCCAGCTTCCCATTCAAGGCCGAAACTTGTTCTGATGTAGAAAACCCGTAGAGCTTCTGTATTTTGCAAGGTCCAATTGCCTGATTTGCCCTCCATCTTGTCGCTGTGCGTGCATCTGAAGCTTTGTTCTCTAAGGTGCTTCGGACACGCGAGCACCTTACAGTAAAAGGTTCGCCGCTGTCCCCACTTTAAGCCGCTGCCGGGCCGTCAAGAGCACCGCAATGGCCGTGAGCCGGCCGTCCACGGCTCCAATCTTGCTAACTCAGAGCCGCATCACAGGCAACTACACCTGATTCTTGATGCCATAGCCAACATATGACCTTGTCCAGTAGAGGCTCTCGTCCTACCTCGCAACGGCACGGAACCATGTCTGATCTTCACAAACTGCCCGACGAGCTTCAACTGGCCACCGCGGCCCATGTCAAGTACATCCAGGGCCTTGATACGAAGAAGGATCAATATGAGTACTGGCTGACCGAGCATCTGCGTATGAATGGCCTCTACTGGGGCCTGACCGCCCTTCACCTCCTCCGCCACCCCGATGCTCTCCCCCGCGACGAGACGATCGACTTTGTCCTGTCCTGCCAGCACGAAAACGGCGGGTTTGGAGCTGCACCGGGTCATGATGCGCATATGCTATCCACGGTTTCTGCCGTCCAGATCCTTGCGCTGGTGGACGGGCTCGACGAGCTTGACAGGCGGGGAAAGGGCAAGGCGACGACTGGGAAATGTGCGTTCTATTCCCGCGCCACCGCTCATGGGTTCTCGCAGTTCGGCTGACAAATCGCGGTAGTCATGGCAGATCTACAGAACCCAGAAACGGGCACTTTTGCCGGCGACGAGTGGGGAGAAGAGGACACTCGCTTCCTCTACGGGGCACTGAACGCACTGTCTCTCCTGGGTCTCCTCAATCTTGTAGACCTTGACAAGGCCGTAGAGCACATCGTAGCCTGTGCGAACTTTGACGGTGGATATGGTCTTACACCCGGCGCCGAATCCCATTCTGGTCAGATCTTCACCTGTCTGGCCGCACTGACTATCGCCGGCAGAATGGACACTGTCGATGTCGACAAGCTAGGTAGGTGGCTCAGTGAGAGACAACTCCCGAATGGAGGCTTGAACGGCCGGCCTGAGAAAGACGAGGATGTCTGCTACAGCTGGTGGGTGCTGAGTAGTCTCGCCATGATCCACCGCATACACTGGATCGATCGCGACGCCCTGATCAAGTTCATTCTCCGATGCCAGGACACAGAACTGGGTGGTATCTCTGACCGGCCCGGCAACATGGTCGATGTCTGGCACACGCTCTTTGGCCTGACGGGCTTAAGTCACTTGGGATACCCGGGGCTGGACACTATCGATCCCGTGTATTGTCTACCCAAATCGACCCTCGACCGTGTCCTAGGGACACAAAGGTAGACACAATTTACCGTTTCGTATGGTGCAAGTATCCGAGCCGTTGCACTGTTGAGGTCCCTGTGCTCACTCTTGCCCTGCGCCCTCCGATTCATGAAGTTGAGCTCGTCCAGGCTTGTCATATCTACCACCTTTCTCTTGCAATCTAATAACCTACTCGCCGTTTCTCGATCGCGCTTAGGATACAAGGCGAGAGTAGAGCGAATTGTCTGTACTTCCTGCTATGAACCCAAGCACACTGTTGTTTGAGCCCTTGGAGGTCATGGCAAATACTCTTTTGACAACTCTGCATATGGAGAGATTGACGTACTGCCTTGTAATGTCGTCAAGGGACGCACAGCTCAGGAGGACGCTGCAATCCAGAGAATGACTCACATTATTCCAGCAAACCTTCGTCCAGAACAGACAAACTCCACACGGATTGCAGGATGTCACTCTGGGGCCTATCATTTTTACATAAGAGTATTTAATACCATTCGTGGTCTCGAACCGGAAATGCAGCTTGATCTTGGCCTTTGGATAGACACTTTTTCTCAATTACATCCATTGCGTAGAGAAAGCGAGCCAGGATGTGAATCATGGATTCATCGAACATGTTACTGTATGTTCTGAATGGCTTCGCTAGTGACAATTTCAAGCTATGTTCCACTGTTCTACATAAATCAGAACTAAGTGCAGGGTTGGAAAACTTCAACCGGGCCACTTGTATCCCTCAGAATCGCTTCACCGTGATCTTGATATTACCCCTATCCATTCGCGATTAAACCCGTTTTGGGTAACGTTGGTCAACTATTGGCTGAACACGGGCAGACGCATCACATAACAGCAACACTGCCATACGTAAACCTTCTTAGGCCTAAGTATGCCACGGGCAAATGACGAGATACTGTAAAGTTCCAAAGCTACCTTGCACATGAAATCGACCAAAACTAACTGTGAAACGAGGATACAGACTTTTGTGAAACCAGAGTTCAAAGCAAGGACCTTTACTATAGCGTACAATAATATTCGAACTGTATGTCCACCTCTTACCATCGATTCTCTGTGTCGATCAATCAACGAAGTTTCAACTCATCATGTGCAATACCTCGAAGATCCCCACAAACGTTGACATCCTCATATTCCTCGCCAAAGCCGCCGGTCTCGGCGATAATACGCATGCCGAACGTGTAGATGTGATCCACACCTCCTGTGAAGATGTACTCATCAATACGGTCGTTGTCAGCCCGCACCGCCCAGTCGTTGGACACAGCAGCAGATAGTTGAGGGAGGACACTCAGGTCCGGTGATCCCAGGAAGTTCGTGTTGACGTCGAACCGTTGCCAATTGTATTTGAACCCCTGGCCGTCGTGCCGCTTGGCATTCTTGCTGCTGCCGGGGATGACTGGAGTCGTCTGGACGTAGCCGTTGCCGTCTTGATACCGGGTCACGAGATGGTCCCATGAGATGTAACCTTCAGGATGCCGCATGCCCTTGATCTTGAGCCGCTCCACAACGCCGTTCGACAGGGAGCGCCTACTCAGAGGCATGGTATCGATTCCCTCGACAGTAGCACCAGAAGCTCCAATCTGCTGTCGGATCATCTCGCTGAGGCTGCTCTCCATCCTCTTGTCCGATGTTGTCGAGCCTGTGGAACCCTTGGCCTGCGCCGCAGCTGTGGTCCCAATCAGAACGGCTGCAGCAACTCCCTGGCTGAGAAGTGAGCAGCTTCGACTGTTCTCGTCCTGGGGCCCGTGTCGGAGAATGATAATGCCTTCACAGACAGCATGCATGAGGGCACCGCCTCCTACCGTGTATGCTACTACAGCGGACCCGGAGGATGCCGCTTCTGCAAGGCTGCTACCACCAATCGGCTCGCCGAGCTCCCTTGAGCAAACAACGTCTCGTGCTTCTAATGGTCCTTCTAGGGTAACGGGAGACTTTACGGTTGCCGTAGCTCCTGTAAGGAGGAGAAGGAAAGCGAGAGCAATGGAGAACCCTTCCTGTCTCATTATGAAGTCGTTATTTTTGGTAGTATGTCGGCCTTTGAATGGATCAAGTACACCTCTTCTCGTTGAAACAGGTAGATGCAGAATCAGGTATTGCTAAGAAAACTTGAGTATTGTGCGTCACTCGGTGTGATCTGTGTCTTTCGGGGTTCTACTACTTGTGAGGCCGGACGAGATTGGCATTATATATCATCCCAAGAGGCTACTAAATCTGTGAATAGGATGAGGCCGCATGTCGAAAGTGCCAACTGCGTTGCATTGTTAGTTTTCCGATAATATCTTAAGGTCGCATTGACTGGCGATGTCGGTTGCTGAATCCATGCTATAGCAGTGTTTGAATTCCCGTTTTAGGTACAGGTCCAACGACGGGCCAAGTTCTTTTACAGAAAAACGGGATGAAAGTTGCTATTCTGATCTCAAGGTGATGTAGACCCTTAACCCGGATAGCAGCTTTCCTGCTGCTTTACTGCTATAAATGAAACGCAGCCATTTCATTGGACGACTAAGCGCTTGGCGCTACCGGAGTTAATATGCCCGTCTCACAGGACGAGGCGAAGCCGCGTTTTCTGAAACACGCGGCTCAAAGGCACAGCAACGAAGAGCAACATCATTGAAAATAGAATCTTTCGCCTTTGAAGCCACTTGCAGCTGATATTTTGATATATGTAACCCAGCTAGTTGAGTCTCTACTAGCAGGCTTGAGTTATCTCAAACGACGTGGCTCCTCTCATGCTCTTCTCACCATTCCAGCATCTCACTACCTGACAATCTCCAATTCGGTCTTGAATCCAGACCCTGAGCCTTATCAGAGTTATTCCGCCATGGGTCCTCCCGGACGTGCAGCCATATCGCTCTTCGGTGTGTTCACCTTGACGCTTGCTGCATTCTGCTCGTTCCTTGGTTTCGCCTCCAACCCCGACGGCGGTGCCCAGCAAATTTTCCTCACGGCTACATATGCGTTGGGTGGAGGGAATATAGTCTATAGCCTGTGTGCTCTACTCCAGCATGCGCGCAGCGGGGATTCGGCAGAAACGGGTATTTTCTGCCCTGTCCTCAGCACTACCGCAGGAATTGCAGTCTCTGGGGTACTAGCTGCTGGGTGGGAAGAGGAAAAGGAGTGGCGCTTCTTACTGAGCATACCGGAGAATGTCATGGAGGCCTTTACGTCCCCTGGGACACTTTAGTGAAGTCATGGACCGCTACTTTGGGGAAAAGTTTATTATTATTGCTCGGTGTCATCAGGTTGCTATAGTTGCATATCTGCACACCAAGCCCGAAAACGATAACTTGTGCCCGTTCGCGTCGGCTATGTCTTGACTCCGCCACATTGTTTGACGACTTTAGGGTCGATGGGATAGCTTTTCAAAGAGTTGGAAAGTCCGTATCATTGATAACTCGCGCAGCAAGTCAAGGCTTTGAAGGCAATATGTCAGCCTGAAATCGTTCACTTAGCTAGGTACAGCTGGTGTGGTCTTAACATCTACGATTGTGCGGGAGTAAAAAAAACCAATAGGTTTAGCATAGAGAACCTTAGCGCCCAGAGGATATGGAAAACAACATACCGGCCCTTCACGCGGTACTTCAAGTAGTTTATAGCACAACATCAGTCTGCTCAAAGCCCCACCCAATTGAAATACAGTTCTCATGACAGTCCTCTCCAATTCCTTTCAAGGTGGCTTGGCTGAGGTATGGCTGAGTGGAAGCACTTGGGCTGGCGAAGACAAAGACTTTGGACACAGAAACTATGAGACGTCGGTATTCCGAGATATTCCCTGCCCTTGAATGTATTTCATCACGTTTCGCAATGTAGAAGTTTCATATCAGGAACAGTTCTTTGTCTTACAATGCCATTCACCTCCTACTCAAACAAAGTGATTGTAATTGGAGACGCGCCATACTTTTGCATTTGAGTATATTTAATCCAGATGCACTCTAGACTTGTGAATGTCACGGAATGGAACACCGTCAGACGTCCATCACCATGCCATTTTCACGAAAGAGAAGATCCTTGGCAAGCTTTTCGAGTATTTCGCACCCTACCGACCCACTCGCTAACGACAAAGTCATCCACCTCGCCTGCCCGCGCCCGGTCCAGCCTCGTGCTCACAGGCTTTACGAGAACGAGTTGATGACACTTCTTTCCAAGATGCAGCACTTTCACGACAGTTCCTTGAACGAGCATGCCCAGTCGGCTATTTCCAATGATTGGGCCATCTTCGCCGAGAATTTCAGACGAATTTTAGGGCTGAAACTTGTCACCATACAGGCGTTCCACCGGACAATGGTCGAAGTGGATGTCGATTCCATCCCCATCACCGCCATAGCTGAACTGGCCTCTTTCAAGAAGAGTGTCAATGATCAGTGGCGCGGTATGAGTGAGCAATCCAAGGAGTTGATCAAAGAAGCCTGGGACCGGTTCATGCAAGATGTAGAGGCACTCATTCCGGATCAATATAAGGTTATGCTTATTTAGTCGGGCATTAAATTTGAAACGACGTGGTATTAAAATGTCCGTTTGGAACTGAACCATGGTATATAGTATTTCTACATCCCAACGTGTAGTTCTGTACACGTATATCGCAAACTTGGACTCGGTCTTTCTCACGTCAATCTCTTCTCTCCAGCGAATAGCAATAGATATGATGTAAATGTATCAATATCCATTTCATATGCTCCCAATGGAAATTGCCGTATGTTGACGGTCATGGCTACAGTGAGCACGAACGGTGAGATATCTGCAAAATGACGGGGTGACGGGATATTGATCTTCGAAGTAATTATCCATCACGAGACTAATGCGTTGCAATAGGTTCTAAGTATTTCAAGAATTTTTGCTCTATGTCCGCCATGCTACAAATTATTCATGTAAATTTGCTGGAAGTAATTCAAGGGTGGGATGCCAGCTCCGATGCGAAACTCACCGAATCTGCAGATCTAGGAGACAGGTCTAGGTTCAGTAGATGAAAAGGGTCAAGCTTACCTACGCCACCGCGCATCCATCCTCATCGACCAACCAAGACAAGACCTCGGCAAATCTCTCCTTCAATGCTAACTTTGCCTGCCTCGCCTCCCAGTCAGTCCTGAAGGTCCAGAGGACGTGCGCCCTCTGAGCCGCGTCCGAGGCCCATAGAAGCTGGATCCGCACCGCCTTGAAGGAAAATATCCTCGAGCCGAAGAGCTCCATCAGCACGGCTGTGTTGACCGTCTGGCTGGGGCCCATGATCTTCAGGTCTACCGGGCCGTGTGAGGACGAATGCGAGGGGGTCATCGACACCGCATTGGCTGTGGCCGGTCGAAAATCATCCGCGGGCCGCCCAACCCAGATCGGTCGCGGAAGGTTGTTACTCTTCCGTCGAAGCACGTTGCGCGGACGGTTGCTGGAGAACATCGTGGCTAGTTGCCGGATGTTCGCGACCTGAGTGAGGGAGGAGGATATGAATACGGTGTTGCTGAAATGGTTACGGAGGCATGGGGAACGCGGCAGTGGGTCGGCTAGGCTTTTATGTCAATGAGAGTGTCATGAACATGATTGTCACTAGTAACAATGTATGGTCACTCCCAATGACCATTGTCATCTGGAGCTAATGATAGCTTTATAGAGCTTATGAATGGGTATGTTTTGGGAACAAAGCCGGCTCTACAAGAAAGGGGCAGCAAAAGATTGAAATGGGTCACCTAAGGCTGTGCTGTGCTTTTCTCCTGCTCTGAACCAAGCCATAAGATTTAGACCCCCCGTGACTCAGACTATCCTCAACAATGTGCAAATTGACTGAATCCCACGATGGCGAAGCTTACTCCTGGCTCGAAGATCCTCATTACGAGCTGGCACAGTATATTTGTAGCCTTGACTCCGAGTACAACGAACGAAGAAAATCGTTGGACGAGTTGTCACTAGCTGCCTGCTCATTCATAGACACCTATTGGGTGCCCTTCTTGTTTGAGCTCGAAGACCGATTAGCGTCAGACATCGGACTTGGACCCTTTATTCGGCCAAAGAATCCGATAGTTGTGAAGCCGGCGACGACAGATGAGCTGCGCAGAGAAGTTCGGGAGTTTCTTGACGCAACAAGCGAGCTTTTTGACTTGCTTACACCGAGACTGAAAGAAGTTGTTGGAGACGCCTGGGGCAAATTTTATTACACTATAACTGGGAGGTTGGATGCTGGATGGTAGTATAAGTCCAAACTTTGATTAGTCAGAACATACTCCCTCAAGCCACACACGGAAGCTTGCAATTGGAACGGGGCTGCTTTAAACTGTGAGAACCACGGGTGTTTGGAATGGAGGTATGTGATGAATTGGAAGACACTGCCTCCTTTTTCACCTACTGCCTCGTTTTATAGAAGTGTATACAAGGACAGGTCTCAATGCATTGTTCCCATATATCGCACAAAGGGGTTGTTGTACTTTCCAAAATGTTTGATCAGATATATAGGTATATATGTATATGTATAGCGGTCGAGGCCTCCTTTTGAATCCGGCATGACCCCAAAGTAAGTTACTATGGCAGAAATGGACATCCCGGGCTCTCAAAACCCGACTGACGCGAGCTGCTCGCGCGACGCCGCCATGATGCAGCTCTCGACGCTCCTGAGCCTCGTCCGAGAGCTCTACGAGGACCTGTCGTCCGGCGCGCGGGGGCTCGTCTACACTGCCTGGACGGCCCTGATGGGCGAGCTGGCGGCGCGCATCGGCGCCGACCCGCACATGAAGGACCTGGCCGAGATGAACGCGGGCGCGGCCATGGTGCGGCCGTCGTACGGGTCGCGGTGCTTGGGGCGCAAGACGCAGGTGAGTAAAGAGGTGAAACAGGAGATGAGGGAGGAGCTGGAGACGTTCAGGGACGAGGCCAGTGACGTCTGGGACCTGCTGAACCGGGACGCGAAGTCCCTGATTACGAGCCCGTGGTCGAGGTTCTGGGACGAGTTGGAAGCCATCTGCAAGGATAAGTGTCAGACGGTCGTGCGCGCCTCTTGATGGCCGTTGCGGTGATATTGGAACAAGATATACAGGTCCAATCCCTGGAAACAAGGTAGGGTTGAGAAAGTGTGAGTAGTGGCGAGTTTGCGTGGTCCCAACCAAGGATGTGCAATATGAATGTGAGTAACGTCCAATCATTGCCTAGTACTATGAATGAATCATCTATAAAAGCTACTGTCTTCGTCCCACTCGCTTCTGTAAAGCTTAGTTCGGTCAGGTTACATGAGCTCTTATAGATTGCAAAGGGCAAATTGCAGTGGATGTTAGCCATGAAAGGAGGGCGGCATATGGGGCATTGACTGTTGTTTTGCATTATGTAGTTCTTATTCGCATGCTTGGTCCACCACAAGCCCTGTATAGACAAACAAAAAGCCATCTCGACATCGACGATGACTATCCAGAACGCCGTGACACATTTGAACATTGCCATAATACCGACCGTCGACAACTCCCACCGGATATCATCCCTTGTTGCTCTATTCGTCATCCTCAGCATTGTCCCCGGCATTGATAAACAACAATCTTGTACCATTGCCAGCCGTTTGCCAGACCTGTTTGATGTAATCAGTAACCGTGGGCCTAAGTAGTTGTGAGGTGAAGAACTTACATCAATGCTGGCATACTCATCCAGAGCAGTCAACCACTGGTCCTCGGTGAAGCCCTTGGCCAGGACACGTTCTCTGACCTTGCGCAAACTCAACTCCACGGCGGCCTCCTCGTCATCATCATCCACATCATCAGGTCGGCAAGCGCCACTGTCCAGGAAGCCCTTGACCAGTTCCAGAATGCGAGTGTTGGCGTCCTTGCCACGTCTGCGCGGGCCTTCGTGGGCAGCCAAGCTCTCCTTGCTGGCCTCGATCAACCGTAGTGCCTCGTCCACATCGTCCTGGTCGACAGCATCGGCAAACCGGAGACGAGCCAATGCCTGAGCCAGACGGACAACACCGAGCAGCGTCCGCGGTGTCGTGTGGGCAAAGTTCTGGCCCTTGGACTCGGCCGTCTTCTGGGCCTTTCTTAGGCGAACATAAGTCTTGGTAAGGTACTCCGTGACAGTTTCTGGTACGGTAGGGCGGTAGGTTCTGGCCTTTGCGACGTAGGCCCGGACCTCGTGGGGGGTGAAGACCACATTGGGCACCTCGCCGGCGCTGTTCACACCATTGTTGGCGTAGAGGTCTGGGTGCTTGCTGTGCATGTGCACGTATGCTACGTGCTTGGCCAGCTGAGCATCACTCTCACGGGTGGGGGTATCCAAGAGGAGGAACAAGACGTCGAAACGCGAGAGCAGGGCTGCGGGGAGGTTGATGTTCTCGACCGGCGATATTCTAGGGTTGTAGCGGCCGTAGATAGGGTTGGCGGCGGCGAGAATGGAGGTTCGGGCGTTCAATGTCGTGGAGATGCCCGCCTTGGAGATGGAGATAGTCTGCTGCTCCATGACTTCGTGGATGGCCGTTCGGTCGTTGTCGTCCATCTTGTCGAACTCATCGATGGCGCAGATACCATTGTCAGCAAGGACCAGAGCACCACCCTCGAGTACCATCTCATCCGTTACAGGGTCACGCATGACAGCGGCGGTGAGACCAACGCCACTGGAACCTCGGCCGGATGTGTACACACCTCGCGGAGCCACCTTGGAGATGTACTTGAGAAGTTGAGATTTGGCCACACCAGGGTCGCCCATCAAGAGAATGTTGATATCGCCACGAATGCGCATGCCGTCGCCCATCTCTTTTGTCACGCCACCAACGAGCAAAAGCAGCAGGGCCTTCTTGACGTCCAGGTGGCCGAAGATCTCGGGAGCAATGGACTTGGCGAGCATCTCGTACACAGCACCGGACTGGCTGTATGTCTGGATGCGCCGTAATAACCTGTCGTCAATGACCATCTCATCGTAGGCCTTCTTGTGCTGGGCGATGTGGTGAGCTTCGACGTAGGTGTCGGTCAGCAGACCGGCACGCATCGCCTGGAAGCCAGTGTAAGGAGTAGGCAGGAAAATTCCCGAGATGTCGACGACATCGCCGGGGTTGATCTGTCGGACAGTGCTGCCGTAGCACATGACGGTCAGGGTACGAGGAATCTGACCAATGGGCACCTGCTCGGCCATCTCCTGAATCTTGACCTCCTGGAAGGGCAGGAACTTGGACGCCCTGGACGACTGGAAGAGCTGGCCCTTGGAATCGTTCTCCTTGCACTCCTTGGAAGGGCACGTGGTGAGAGGGGAGTACTGCTTGTCGTTGACGGGCTGGAAGATCTCACAGCCGCAGCGGTCGCAAGTGTAAGCGCCGACCTGGACGATGGGTTTGACATCGGACACGCGGGTGGCAATGCCGCGGATGGTGATGAGATGACCCAGGTGGTCACCACGGACCTGGCGCACAGCCAGCGCCTTGACGGGGTGGTCGGGGGTCGATGTCCTCGGCTTGAAGACCAAGGTGTAGCGGCGGGTGAGCTGGGAGGGAAAGGTCGACTCCAGCATCTCTGGGTTGTTTGTGCTCTCGGCCATCTGCGCCATCTCGCGATTCCTCACCTGCCTCCTCTCCATGATGACATCCAGCACATCGTCCTTGAAGGTGACGCCGCTGGCGGGGGCAGGCAGCTTCTTGTCGATGGCCCTCGAGAGGATCTCGACGTAGTGCTTGGTGTTGGCCTCGATGGACTCGACCAGCTTGAGGTCGCGTACGTCTTGGTCGCTGTCCGCCACATACTGGAGCACGTAGTTAGAAGAATCGGTCACCTGTTGTGGTGCGGCTGGGCTTGGGACTGGGCGGAAGTCAAGAACACAGAAGCAAGGGCAAAACCTACGGAAGCCAGGTCGTCCAGCTCGATCAGCACCTCGTCAGCGGTGCGGTCTGCCAGCTGCTGCATGCGCTCGGCATACTTGTGCTGGGGTTGCCTCTGGGCGGCCTTCTGGCGTCTGCGCTGCTCGTGGGCGTCGTCATCCTCGTCCATGAAGTCGTACTCGTCGCTCAAGTCGTCCTCGGCGATACTAATCTGACCGATGGCATGAGTGATGGTGTCCTGCGGGGAGGTCTTGAACTTTGTGAGGAAGTCCTCAAACGCGGCCTCCTGCGCCTCGTAGTCGACGACGTTGCGGTACTGCAGAAGCGCCATGGCGGGCAGGCAAGGTGTGCGTGGTCGGTGTCTTCTCCGGCTTCTCTTGCACTGCTTCGGGGGAGTTGGGTCGCGTTTGCAGCAACTGTCGCCGGCAGAGGAGGGGATGAAGCAAAGCACGAGTTGCGCCGGGGCGGAGGGGCGTCTGTCTCGTCGGTCGTGGTGGTCCCAGGTGGTGTTGGCGGTGGTCGTGGTCCGGGTCGCAAAAGAGTGAAGCGAGTGGCTGGTGTCAATTTCCGCAGCGAAACGCGTCCAGGGGGCCCCCATTTCAATTTAGGGAGTCGCGCCTCGACGCGTCAAGCTGGCGTCGTGCATAACTGCGCCAGAGACCGGGCATAAGCCAGACATAAGCCAGACATAAGCCAGACATAAGCCCACCCTGCCCACCCTGCCCACCCAGCGCGCCAAGCCAGAATCTCCAGCCCAAGTTATGCTCGGCCGCCGTGCTGCCAGGGGTCGAGTCTCGACTCTCGCCCCCCGCCAGCCAATCAGGCCTCTGCCTCGGCTACGGACACATGCCAACTGGGCAGGCTGGGGTCTCGTCTTGCCTTTTACCCCGGGTCGAGCTAGTTTACAGTGGTGCTGCACTCCCAGTTCGACGCTAAGCCGGAGCTCAGCGGGCCAATTCAACCCACGCCGAGGACCTCGACGGCTGCAGGCGGACGGCGCCATTTCGCAACGGCACCCTCTCGTCGGATGGATAGATGAGGTAGACAGCTACCATCTGACTTCTTCCTCGCCCAGGTACTCACCGTATGCCCGTACTCCTCTTGGTCTCCTCCCCAAGCACGCGCAACCGCCCAATGCTCTGCGCCTTGCCCTCATAGTCCAGCCTAAACATGGCGCCTGCCCAGCGGAGGAATGCGCAGTCCACTGCCGCCGAGATCTCTCTTGTACATCTCAAGAGCTGTCTGGTGAACCTGCCCTCGTCGCTGGTCTCGCTCCTCGTGAACCTCAACACGCCAGCCCAGAATGTCGTTGTCGAGCTCAGCTACCGCCCGCCCCCGTCCAACCCCTCGGCCCACGCCAATGGCGCACCCGCTCAGCGCTCCGTCTACGTCGGCTGGACGGGCATACCCAGCAAGCGCAAGATGGCCCCTCTGGTTGGTCGCGACGGCATCGCGGGCGCGCGCGGCGCCGCGAGAGACCAGGAGGTGGCCTCTGTCGAGATAGACGCTACCTTGGCGGCCACCATTGGCATCTCCGACGAGCAAAAGGTCATGGCCACCATACACGTCGACCCGCCGCTGGCCCACACTGTCAATATCGAGCCGCTTACCCCCGAGGACTGGGAAATCATAGAGCTGCACGCAACCTTCCTGGAATTGAACATGCTCTCCCAGATCCGCGCCCTGCCGAACCCGACCTACGCTGCCAGCCCAGGACAACCGCCAGCTCCACACCCGCTTACACTACACCTCTCCCCAACATCGACTGCCAACATCAAGGTATTGTCGCTGGAGCCTGCACCACCCGCCGACTCCCCCTTTGTCAAGATTGCGCCGGATGCCGAGGTCATTGTCGCGCCAAAGACACGATCGAAGCCCTCCAAGAGCAGCCGCGAAAACCGCAGTGTGGGCGGCACCTCCAGGAGAAGTGGCAAGAGTTCGGCAAGCACCGTGCGCAGGCGTAGCGCCCGTGAAGAGAAGAAGCCTGCCTTGTTCCTCCGGGGCGTGGAGCGCAAGTTTTGCGAGGAATGGTTTGACGACGACGCAACCGCCGAAGACCTCACAATATGGGTTGATCGGGACCTACTTCTGTCCAAGGATTTCCGAGGCCTCAACTACGCTGCAGTCAACGTCGTCAAGCCTGCCGGTCTCCAACCTCCCATCGACCCGCAGACGCAACAACAGGAAGCCGCTGCCAGTAACGAAGGCGTGAAGGCCGTCGAAAAGGTCGTCGCTCAACTCAGGCCATGGGATGACCCTCCCGACAGCCAGACTATCGCCCTGTCTGCGCCCCTGTGCGCCTTACTTGGATGTTCAGGGATAGTTGGAGGTGTAGTCAAAGTCGAGCCCGCGCCTCAACCCCTCGCCCCGAACACGGTTCAGCATCTAAAGATCTACCCATTCTTGGCCGACGGATCGAAAACGTCAGAAGGCCTGCGATTTGGCGGTGAGTCCAAAGCCGAGAAGGAAGAGGCAGCCAAGACAATCACAAGAATATACAATACAAGTAAGGGCAAGGGGCTACTATGTGGCCCTCTGACCGATGGCATGGTATTGCCCGTACAACCCGAACTCGATATTCCCCAGGGATGGGAGGGTGGCATAATCAAACTTGAGCCTCCATCCGTCACTACTGGTACGAAGGAGCCTCTCAACTGGTACCTTGGCTCCGAGCGACAAGTCTCTTTAGACGTGCAAGCGCCCATCCCCAAACCAGTTTGGCTTGAGGACAAGGGTAAAGATGATCTTGCACTCCCGGCTCACTCGATACTGGTTGGGATCGACTCTTTGTTAGCCCAGATCAAGTCTCACCTCTCGCACATGTCCTCAGTTCTTTTAACAGGAGCATTGGGATCCGGCAAAACTTCTGTGGCCCAGACTTTGGCAGACACCTTGCGGCATGAATACCTCTACCATACCACCTACTTTCCCTGTCGAAAACTCGTCAACGATGAAAGCAGGATCTCTACAATCAAGGAGACTCTCAATAGAGTCTTTATGGGGGCTAGTTGGGGTGCAAGGCTTGGGGGAAAGGCACTTGTCATTTTGGATGATGTAGACAAGCTCTGCCCAGCGGAGACGGAGCTGCAGGTCGGAAATGACAATGGCAGAAGTCGCCAGATTAGCGAAACCATCAGCTCAATCGTACGCCAGTATTGCGGTCGCGATAGTGGCGTAGTGCTCCTCGCTACGGCGCAGGGCAAGGATTCGCTCAACAATGTCATCATTGGAGGACACATCGTACGAGAGATTGTGGATCTCAAGGCGCCAGATAAGGATGCCAGGAGAAGAGTCATGGAGAGAGTGGTAGGCCAACATACGGTCACTCCAGCAGCAGTAAACACATACGATACAGACCACGGTAGTCGGCCAACGACGGCGGATGGGAGCACTGGAGGAGAAGATGGCGTCGCGTGGATGGACGGTGGCAGCCAACCAAGTAGGAGCAACTCCATGTCCAAGTCGAAGGCTGAAGGTTTCCTCCTGGATCCAGAGCTGGACTTCCTCGATCTGGCAGGGGAAACCGATGGCTATATGCCTGGCGATCTTATACTGCTTGTGGCCAGAGCGCGCAACGAGGCGCTGATCCGGTCGGTCAGTGAGATGGGCTCCAATAAGGCTTTGGATGTGATCCAACTTGGCAGGGTTGATTTCGATAATGCGCTAAAGGGGTTCACTCCGGCCTCTCTCCGAAACGTTACCCTGCAGACATCGACCACAACGTTTTCTTCCATCGGCGGACTGCACGAGACACGACGCATCTTGCTCGAAACACTCCAATACCCTACAAAATACGCGCCCATCTTCGCTCAATGCCCTCTTCGGCTGCGGTCAGGGTTACTGTTGTATGGGTTCCCAGGTTGCGGCAAGACGCTACTTGCTTCAGCCGTAGCTGGCGAATGCGGCTTGAATTTCATCAGCGTCAAGGGCCCTGAAATCCTCAACAAGTACATCGGAGCTTCTGAGAAGAGCGTCCGCGATCTGTTTGAGAGGGCCAGTGCTGCAAAGCCTTGCGTGCTCTTCTTTGATGAATTCGACTCGATTGCACCCAAGCGTGGTCATGATTCTACTGGCGTTACTGACCGGGTGGTGAACCAGCTACTCACACAAATGGACGGTGCGGAAGGGTTGAGCGGTGTCTACGTCTTGGCCGCCACCTCAAGGCCTGACCTCATCGATCCGGCGCTTCTAAGACCTGGTCGGTTGGACAAGAGTTTGCTATGCGACTTTCCCGATGTGGAGGACCGCATCGACATACTGAAGGCTCTCGGTTCAAAGATCAAGCTCTCAGACGAGCTCTCAACTTCCGAAGACGGATTACGCGAAATCGGACGCCGAACCGAGGGGTTCAGCGGTGCTGACCTGCAAGCCCTCATCAGCAACGCGCAGCTTGAAGCCATCCATGATGTCTTGAGCGACGTAGACCTCCAGCCATCGAGCAAGTCCCGCCAGTCTGCCGCCCCGAAATCTGGAGCTGGAACCAAGCCGCGGAACTTTATCCAGTTCCGATACGGGGCCGACCAAGCACTCGCGGATGCGAATGAGAAAGCGGCCAAGGGGTACAACAGGTCGTCCGAGCTAGCCGAGAACGCCGCCATTGCCGCAAAGCTCCAGGAGATCAAGCTGGCGCGAAAGAAAGCCAGACAAGCACAGAAGGGCGTCAGTGGCATGCCCAACGGTACACACAACGAGAAGGGACAAAAGGACAAGGAGGGCTCGGCCGAAGTTGTCATTGGCTGGAAACATCTTGTCAAAGCACTCGAAGCGACGCGGGCAAGCATCAGCTCCCAGGAGAGGAGCCGGCTGGAGAGAATCTATCGCGAGTTTGTCGTGGGGCGGAGTGGCGAGATGAAGGACGGCCAAGGCAGCATGGAGATAGGGGGTCGAAGCAGTCTCATGTAAGCTGTGCGGAGCCTCGCATTGCCTCAGCCGTGCAGGAGATAAGTCGAACTACTGTAGCACTTGTCTTGTGGCTTGTATTACTTCAACAAAATCACAAAACTAATTACCCAAACCTTGATCCAATCTTCCATACAAAACTCAGAGTGAATCCTATCGTTGCATACACTGCTAGTACAATTCACCATGCACAGTTGCACGCCAAATGCCCTCAACAAGCTGGGGTTCTGGGCTCGCATCAATCACCAAAGAAATCCAGTGGAATCTCCTTTGCTGCGCCTTCATCCGCCGAAGCTACATTCCTACCTAGAAGTAAAGTGCAGCTCATGGTCGTGGTCGATATTGATCTTGCTGAGCCTTGGGTGGTCAGTGCGCTGCGAGGCTAGGAATCCAGGGTAAATGCATGTGAAGTCGCGGGTCAGCTTGAGCACGGTTTCGTGTCAGGAACATCTCTCTTCTCTCTCTCTTTGCAGACAAAGACCCTCTCAGCGGCCCAACGAAGAACGGAGCGCTAATTGAGGAGCTCATTGAGGTCCCTGACCTGCGTCAGGAGTTCATATCGCCGACGGATTCTCAGCACGAGTTCACATTGTCGTCGGGGCCGCCATCAGGACCTGAACGGCTGCTGGACCAGCAACCCGGGGGCCAGTGTTCTTGGGGCTGATTGTTCCCAGACGCGGGGCGTTGATTGGTCGGATTGTAGGGGGAGGCTCTTTGCTTGGACTTGGATTTGGGGAGCTTGGCCCGAAAAAGAGCGGGCCCCGTTTTATTTCACCTGCTCCGGCCCAGCTGGTGCACCGGTCCCTGGAGCTTGGGAATACCTTCATCACCAGCCTATGCCGCACCGCCCCCGTCGGAGCCGTCTGGAAGCGCCACCACGTCGCTGCCGGGCCTGCAAGAAACGCCATCCGACGCTTTCGACTCAAGTTCGACTCAGCCGAGAAACTCCGAGGGCCATTTCGGCTCGTGGTGGCTGTTGTTGTCGGTTGCCGTTCTTATAGCGTCATTGCATAGGGGTGCGGTTGAGCCGCAACTGGCTCTGGCAACTGAGCTCGTTCTGCTTTTGGCCAGCGACGAGGTGAGATTCCAGAGCTCGACTCATACTGCACTTTGACATCCGGCCGACTCCAGCAAATTCGTAAGTATGCATCACATTCCTTCACATTCCCTCTTCCCCATATCCTCACTTTCATTCTCCTTCTTGGTTTCTTTGGCTTCCTTCTTCAATATCGCCCCAACCGCTCGAATTGCCATTCTTCCATCATGTCTACGCCTGGCCCCGAACTCTCTGATCTTCCACCACGTTATCGGGGAGCCTACATGGCCATGTTTGGTGAGGAGATTGCCCAGCCAGCGCTGCCGGCACCAAGAGCCACGGACACCAGGCGAGTGCTGCACATATTGGACTTCTCAAGCGTTGATTTGGTCGTTTGGCTCGTCTTACTGCCTCATATTCTGTGCTTTCAGAGTCAAAATCACGGCTATATCGCCAAGTTTGTGTCTTTGCTTGTCTGGCTTCTGTCAACTTCTCGCGATCTTCCCATCCACCTAACCCTCCCATCCTCTGGCACCATCAGTTCACTCGTCACTTCGGACCGGTTCTGGCTAGGAGCATCAGGAGCATTCACTTCTGATGGTGTTTCTGGCTGGATGCTTTTCATATTACCCAGGTTTTGTTATTGGTCCTTCGCTGTTCATGTTCCGCCCGTATCACCTTCGCATGCGGCGGCAAGAATACTTGAACTTCAGTGTGGCTTGCAGTTGAAGCATCCTGGACAGCAGTGAGGAAGACCAGCTGTATCAGGATATTTCATTGTGTGGTATTCCGAGGTTCAGGTTAGCCAGCATGCATGAGAAAACACCCGATCTCCTCCTACAAATCATCCTTGGCCATCTATCTGATTCACTGCACATCATATCCCTACAAAATCGTGTCCAGAACCTTACGTGTCATCTTGTTTATTGTTGTTCCAACCAAACGTTTGTTGATTCTACACCACATCGATGTTTTGTTCCTATACGAAACTACTACTCCCCTCTGCCTTTCATTTCACCTGCTGCCTTTTGCTTTGCCTCCTGTTTAGCCTGTACTTTTTCCTATCTTTTTATCCGTTATGAAGCGTTGCTAACCCCTGAGGTAGCCAGGAGAAGCCGTCAAGATGGCGACACTACAAATCCCTGGCAGGTCAAAAGCTGCGGAAGATGCAGCAAAAATGCAAAGAGCGGTTCAAGATGAGTGCGAGAAGTCTGGGAAACCGATTCCGGACTACAACCTTACCGAATTGATCGGTAAGGGCAGCTTCGGTCGGGTGTACAAAGCCACAAGTACACAAGACGGCAAGGTCGTAGCTGTCAAGATCATTGACGTCGATGAAAGTGACACAGTGAACCCCAAACTTGCCGACACGTATTCTGAGTTTATGAAAGAGGTCAACGCGCTACAGGTTCTGCGCGAAGGAGGTGCGAAGAACATCAACAATGTTCTGGAGGCACTTCCAGTCGGGCGTGCCATGTGGATGGTCACGGAGTATTGCGCTGGAGGAAGCGTTGCGACTCTGATGAAACCCACCGCTCCCGGCGGTCTACAAGAGAAGTGGATTGTGCCTATTCTAAGAGAGGTGGCTGTTGCAATTTTCTGGGTCCACAAGCAGGGGATCATACATCGGGACATCAAATGTGCGAATGTCCTGGTTACCGAAGAGGGGGGTGTCCAGCTATGCGATTTTGGTGTCGCCGGGATGATGGAGTCGAAGTTTGACAAGAGGTCAACCTTCATTGGCACCCCCCACTGGATGGCCCCTGAACTTTTCGATGCAAATGCATCATACGGAGTTGAGGTTGATATTTGGGCGTTTGGTTCAATGGTTTTTGAAATTGCATCTGGTTTACCGCCCAACGTCAACGCTAATGTTGGCCTCCCACAGTTTGGAGGCTTTTTACGAGAACATATCCCGAGGTTGGAGGGACCACAGTACTCAGCAGACCTGAAAAGTCTCGTCGCCTTCTGTCTGGAGGAATCTCCAAAGCGACGCCCGACCATCGAGCAGGTCCAAGACCACCCTTTCCTTCAAGGCACAGAGGCCAGATACCCGGCATCTTCGCTTGCAGCATTGGTCAGAGCATACAAGCTTTGGGAAGAGCGTGGTGGTAGCCGCAAGTCTCTGTTCAACCCTATGATTGGAGCACAAGGCCCATCCGAGTTCTCTTCAACATCTATGGACACAGACGAATGGAACTTTAGTACGACGCTGGCTTTTGACGAACGAATTCACGATGGCTTTGATGGGCAGACTGAGTTCGAAGCGGTCAGAGACGTGTATGGCTCTGAGATTGACTTTCCGGGAGATTTCGCAGAAGACACACAACGTCCGAAGCCAAAGGGGAGACGCCGGCCGCCTCCTCAAGCTCTGGCAGCTATGAAAGCCCCCTTGGAGAAGGTCTTTGACCCGAACACGATCTCCAGCTATAACGAGAACTCCCAAGCCTACTATGGCCACCCTCCTATGCCGCCCGCAGCTTCTGATTTACCCTTACGCGATGATTCCTTGCACAATACCCTTCGAGAATCACTCATCGACCTTGATGCTTCACTGGGTGGAGGAGAGCTGTCTCAATTTGCTGCCATGGACACTATCAAGCCTCGGCCTGGTGCTCGTGCTTCCATGGACAATGATTGGACTTTTGGCTCTGCGACAGACTCCCAGTACAGTCGCGCACCTCTCAGCGACCCAGCCGAGCTTAACGGTGGCAGAAGCGGACCGAATTGGCAGTGGCCTACAAGCATTCCGCCCGCATCTGCAGCCCCTGAGATGACTCATTTCACATTCGACGACGAGCGTCCCGCGCTCATCCACCAGCAGACTGAACCAGCTGGACTCCCGTCTCAGGGCTATGAACTTCAGGTCCCCCGTTCCACCAACAACGACCGCATGTCCTTGTCCAGCTTGATCGATCTCGACGAGGGCCTCGTGGAGCCAGGCATGCCGGAGCTTACTCGACCTTCTACCGCGAACTCAGATGTGCCATCGATGACTGGTTCGGAGCTTGGCGGTGGCGCCAACCCCTTCGAGCTCGAGAAGCACGCGTCTGTATACGCTCCCCTACCCCTGACCAATCGCGAGCCGTCCATCTACGTCTCGGATGCCTCGGAATTCGTCGCCAGTCTCGCCAACGCAGACAAAGCCGAGCGGCCGGAGGAGCCCTCGGACTACGCCGTCACTCGCCGCCAGAGCAACGTCTACTCCAATGGAGTGAGTGCCGGGGTGGCGCCGGTTGACCCGCCCTCGGCCCGGATCATGGAGGGGCGAGCAGGTGCTGGGGAGGTGGCGGAGGAGATGAGGCGGCTGGTGGCCGGGCTGTCGGAGCACCTGGCGGCGATCGGGGGACAGGTGGCTTCCCTGGAGCCACGACGGTCGTCCAGGCTCTCGGGTAATGGTAGAATCAGCGAGCGCAGTGACGAGGAGACAATGGACTGATTTTGGGTTCGCTAACGAATCACAAACCGAAACCGCTCGACCCAATTTGTGACATGCACAGTGACTTGTGACTCTCAGGACGTAGGATGTACTTTGCATTTCTCTATTACATGTGACTATCCAGGGCCAGCTAACTACATGCAATCAATACCCTATCAGATCGCCCATCAACAAGCCCCGGTACTTCTCCACGGCCTCGCGGAGGCGGATCAGGATACCCGCAGCCATCATCTTGACCTGGTTCTCCTCGCCGTCGCCGCCGGCGTCGCCACCACGGGTGCGGTCGAAGAGGCCGCTGACCCACTCGACGGTCTCGACGACCTCGCGGCCGTGGTGCTCGCACAGGCCGCGCATGTCGCCCTCGTTGACGTCGAGCAGGGCCAGGAGCCCGAAGAGCACGGCGGCGGCGACGCCGAGCTCGCCCGCGCACTGCCCGCGCACGCCCAGCAGCAGGTCCCACAGCTCTGACGTCATCTGCGGCAGCGCCAGCGTGCTGGGCCCCGCAGCGTGCAGCAGCAGCGCCAGCGTCTTGAGGTACAGCGTCAGCAGGTACGGCTGGAAGAGGATGCCGCGCATGCCGGACGAGGCCGCGTGCGTGGCCGCCAAGAACCGCGACGTCAGTGGGAAGAAGAACGAGGTCGCTATCAGGCTGGCCGTGGTGTTGGGGATGGACCGGATGCCGGCTGCCTTGGATCTGTGCTTCATCGTGACCTTGGATGGGTCCTGCAGGCGGGAGGTGAAGGTGCTGAGCTTGAGGGCGTCTGGTCCGGTCACTGCGTCTGCGGCCTCGGCAGCGAGGGGGGCAAGGAAGGTCTGCGACAAGGACTGGGAGATATTATCCAGAGCCGTGGGCGGAAGAGCTTTCAGTTTTGAAGGATCTGATGAATATGTGTTTCCAGAGTGGCCTGGTGTATATTGTTTCTCGAGCTTGGCCGGCAATTGCTTCGACGGAAACGCAGATGCTGAAGCGTGCTCTGATGTCTCCTGGCCTGCGTGCTCTGATGTCTCCTGGCCTGCGAGCTCCCGCCCACTCAAGCCTAGGACAATGAGAATAGATGCTCGCTGTGACAGGGAATAGTCTCCATCAAAGAAAGTCTTTGCGAACCACTGGCCCATCTGTTTCGGTTGGGCCACCAGGATGGCGATCATGCCTTGCAGACGGAGGTCGTGGAAGTTCTCCAGTTCGAACTTGTCAGACAGGCCGATCAGAAGGGATGCGAGTTCTTCTGCGTGAGAGCTCACTTCGGTTCCGTAATTAGCCTTCCGCCGAATGAGCACGGGGGCTGTAGTGAGAGCAAGCTTTTGGCGGTCGTAGCTCTCGGTATCGCGCAGATACGTGATAAGGTCCCGGATATACACGGGAGCCTTTGGTTTGTCTCTGGTAATCAGCGTCGGGTCATCGTCGGAGTCTTCGGCATCTGAGTCTGGTTTGGAATAGGGTATCAGGTCATCATCCTCTTCCTCTTCGTCGTCATCTTCAACCTCCTCGATTATGAATCCGGGCTTGGGTGCAGAGCTCGCCACTCGTGAAAGCGGGTTGACTACTGGCTTTGCGGGCTTGGGTTTGTCCGACTTGGGTGGCCTTGAGGATACCAGCTGAGCTTGTAAAGGGCTGAGGGGCCCGGTCTTATCCGGAAGGTGAGCAAGTGATTTGTACCACTTAGAGTCTTCAGGGTTGATCTCGTCTGTGTGGAAATCAAGCTTCTTCTCGTCATTGTGAACAAGACCTGACAACGCTTCGCCAACCACCATGCCCAAAAACCGCGCTCTCTCCTGAGATGCAGCAATGCGATTAGATATTGTGTTCAAGTACGTGCTCGTGCGAACCACCACTGTCAATTTCAAAGGAGAAATTCGGTGCATATAGCCGGCGCTCAGAAGCAGAACCTGGGCATGGGCTGATCGAGGCATTAGTCAACGAAAATGGATGAAGGTGATGACCACGCTTACCTTCCTGTTGTAGTATGGGGGAATGTCTGATATACAGTTGGTCCCCGAACTGGCTAAGGCTCTTTTCAACAACTGTCGTGATGGCTTCTTTATCGCTACCAATAACAGCTACAGCCGCCCGTCGAATACTATAGGATTCTCCGATTCCTGCCCCGGTGGCATCTGTAAGCCAAGTGATGAGGTGATCTTTTCGGAGTGGACTTGAACCAATAGCAACTTTTAAAACTCCAGCAGCAGCCCAGATCAGAGGATAATCTTCCGTCGAAGGGTCAGACTCAACGGGTATATATGAAGACAGGAGCTTCAGCAGTATAGTCAGTACTTTGCGTTGGTCTGTCTGCGGCAGGGCATCCAGCAACTGAATGAATACTGGTTGGTAATCATCCTGCATGAGGAGGTCGGTCAGAAACACCTTGATGAGAGAGTCAGGATGTCCAAGCTTTAAAGATCGACTGACTAGGTCAGCGCCGAGCTTGACGTCGTCTCCCCCTTCCATCGACTTGACCCAGCTAACCAGGTTGGAACTTAGCCATCCAACGTACGCCTTGCTATCCGCAATCCAACTTGGGCCGTCTGATTTCTCGGCTTCCCGAAGAATGGCCTCAGCCTCAGCTGCCAAGGATACGATCTTGCCGCCAGCCACAAGGGAGGTAAACTCCTGTCTCAAGGCACGAATCTTGCCTGCATTAGTTTCGGAAGAGCTGGAGCCTTGCCATATTCTCCGGATCTGGTCGTCTGGTTGCAGTATGAGCCGTAAGAGGTCGGCTATAAAGCGGACATTGTAGACGGCATGTGATTGCTTCAAACCCCTGGGGTCTCTTCTCGCTTCCAGCAACAAAGTTCGAAGGAAAGCAAGAGTTGCGTTGATCCCGGTCAAGCTTAGTAGACAGTCCAACAAGTATTCGAGGTCGTTGGTTCTCTTCTGATTCATCGATATGTCCTTCAGAATGGTCCAGTAATTTGGGACTATCTCAGTGACCAGGACATGAACGATCTGCGCCGCCTGCGGACTCGGCCTCAATAAGTTGAAGTCATTTCTGCCCTTGGTACCTTGACGAAGGTATTTGAGGATGGAGAGAAGAGTTTCGTAATCTGGCTGGGTTTTCAGAACTTCCAAGGCCTCCTCGGGCGACGTACCCTTGAACTCTGGCTTCGATACGGTGGCAGATTTTGCCGGTTGGGAAGCAGTAAGGAATGCGTCGTCCTCTTCAGCTTTCCGGTAAGTCCGGCTCACTGGCGTGAGAAGATCCTCCATTGCAGGCTTGGGGACGCATGGGCGAGATGTCGGGCGCCGGACGATGTGTGCTTGGGAAGTACGACGTTGAGATGCACCAGGACCCGAAGTCACGGGATGTCTGCCGACAAGCAGCTTGAAAATGTATAGGTTTTCCTTGCCAGTTGCTTCAGAGAAAAAGCGGCAGTCGTCGAAGCTTTGGGAACATGCCAACATCAATACGATTTGTCAACCTTTGCACTTCATCGAAGTTTTGCTCAAACCGAACGGGCCTGTGTCTCCATTCAGGTACCAAAATTGAACTACAGGTGACAAGCCGCAATACGCCATGCAGCAATTGCCCATGCCCTGCTGCATGGCCGCCTTGGCCGCCTGGGCGCCGGCGGGGCTCGGTTGCTCGTAGCGCCCGGGTTTGGCCTTATCGGCGGATAAGCCCCAGCTTCTGACGTTGGTGGCAGGCAGCTGTGTACCTAGGTATGTGCTGTAAGCTGGATAATCCATCCCATCCACATCCCACCTTCGTGCAAGCTAAAGGAGAGCACCCTCTTTGCAGGACGGCGTCGACTTCCAAGAAACAGGCACAGGCCCTACCATACGGCTTCCGCGACCGCTCGGAGGACCCCTCACTTTCGCAACCATGGCAGTCGACGCTGGCGTTGGCATCAACGAAGCCAACCGCTGGAGGTACCTCAACCACATTCGCAAGACCAAAGGCCCCTTCAACGAGGACGCTGAGATCTCGGAAGATGGCCCGGATCCGCTCCAGCAGTCAAAGATCCTGGTGATCGGCGCCGGCGGCCTGGGCTGCGAGATGCTCAAGAATCTGGCCATGTCTGGCTTCAAGGACATTCACGTCATCGACATGGGTAAGCACCGGCCAAAGTCGACGGTCGCTCAGTCTTAACGTAGCCGGCGCTAACCACGAGTATGTGCCTAGACACGATCGATATCTCGAATCTCAACCGACAGTTCCTGTTCCGACAGCATGATGTCGGCAAATCCAAGGCCGAAGTCGCCTCTGCCTTCGTCATGAAGCGCGTCAAGGGCGTCAAGATCACCCCACATAACTGCAAGATCCAGGACTTTGATGAGGATTTCTACAAGCAGTTTCAGATTGTTATCTGCGGCCTGGACAGCATCGAGGCTCGGCGATGGATCAACGCGACCCTGGTGACTATGGTCGACGACGAGGACCCGGACTCGCTGAAGCCACTGATAGATGGTGGTACCGAAGGGTTCAAGGGCCAGACCCGAGTCGTCTTCCCTACCATCACCCCGTGCATCGAGTGCCAGCTGGATCTTTACGCCCCACGAGCTGCCGTGCCTCTGTGCACGCTCGCCACTATACCTAGACAGCCAGAACACTGCATTGAATGGGCGCACATCATTGCGTGGGACCAGGAGAAGCCATTCCCCAGCCTGGACAAAGACGACCCCGAGCATATCACTTGGCTGTATGAAAAGGCATTGAATCGCGCCCAGGAGTTCAACATTCCCGGTGTCACATATTCCTTGACCCAGGGCACTGTCAAGAACATCATTCCAGCCATCGCCTCTACCAATGCCATCATTGCGGGGTCGTGCTGCTTGGAAGCCCTCAAGATTGCTACGCAGGCAGCTCCCTCGCTGGGCTTCAATGACAATTTCATGTCATACGATGGCACCGAAGGTGTTTACACAAACACGTTCAAGTATGAGAAGAAGGATGACTGCGCTGTGTGCGGCTCGCTGGCCAAACCTCTGAAGGTTGATCCCAACTGGACCCTGCGGGAGCTGCTCGAGTCCTTCGCGACGAATGCTGCCGCGCAGCTGAAGAAGCCCTCCATACGAACAGAAGAAAAGACGTTATATATGCAGTTCCCGCCCAGTCTGGAAGAGACTACCAGACCAAACCTAGACAAGAAACTTAGAGACGGGCTGGGCTTGGTAGAGAAGCAAGAGATCGCTGTGACGGATCCTGCTTTCCCTCTCTTGTCTTTTAAATTTATCCTGCGGTTTTCGTGAACACTCTGCATGTGCTTGAGACGGCTGGGGTTTAGAGATACCAAAATAGATGAAACCATTGCGATTGGAAAACACTACAATTCATCGCATTGACCCACGACACGCAAATGAGCTACGAAGACCACTTCTGCTTTGTCCCTCGAGAATCTGATTTGTTTTGTGTGAGTAATTGCCCATGGTCTTGATGTCTACCATGAATAAAGTACCGTCGGCTATTCTGGGGAGAGAAGTGCATATCAGCAGGATGCATCAAGCGCCATGCCCAGTCACCTATTTCATAGACGTCTATAAGTGGCACAGTCGGTACCATTTCCGTCAGAGTTGCGTACATTGAACACCATGAAATCTGCATATAGCTGTTCCCACTCCCCGCGCTCAACAGGTAATCAGCATTCCGCATCACTTGCACAAATGCTCCAATCTGGCGGAAACGCAGCAATACAGATATGGCTCCAGCTGACAACCCCAAAGTCACATTCAGTCTTGCCCAAGCCGAAGCTGTCAGGGCGGCCATAGAGCACTGGAGCGAGCGGAAGCTGGAAGGCCCTGCGCTTGCCTCAGAAGTTCTCTTGACCCTCAGAGTCGAGAATCACTCTTTCCAATGGCAGCGCTTTGCAAAGTATGCCTTTCGCCTGGTCCTCATCAGCCTTGCTATCGCCCTAGTCACCCTTTTGTGCGACATCAGGTTAATTCTATTCATTAAACACGTCTTGGCGCCGTCAGCATGGCTGCGCAGCATCTTGCCGGCCCTCGGCGCCGTTGTGGTCCACGTATGGGGTTGCCGGCGTCAGGTCGAATATCCGCTGCAGGTGTGGACGAACGAGGCTGTGCACGGGCTCGGGGGCCTTCTATTCGGCCTGTCCGCGCAGCAGTTTCTTGAGGCACTCGATGCCGTGTACCCGTTCGAGGAGGATCGGCTACATTGGGTGCTGTTGCTGCTAGTTGGAATATACAGCGTCACGGGGGTTGTTGCCGCCTCGAATTTCATATGGTCGTGCGGCATCATCATTACCGGGTTTTGGTTCGCTGCTATCACAGCCTACCTGTCCGGTTCCGATGATTACTTCTTGGGAATGAGCCATCCTTTGCGCTTTGTGCTTTTCGGACTGGTCATCATTAGGAGCGCGTACGCCATGCGCCTCTGGGACCCGACGGCCGCGCTGTGGCGAACCACCTGGATCTGGGGTCTGCTGTGCTTTTTTAACGCGCTGTGGCTTCTCTCGGTTATCGGAAACGACTATGACTTCTGGCGAAGTAAAAGCATCAAGACAACTCTCGCCTGGTCTGCTGTCTCTGCCTTGGCGGCCGGCTGCTGTGTTATACACGGACTGCGCTACCGGGACGGCACAGTGAAGGGCTTCGGGTTGACCTTCCTGGGCATCAACTTTTTCACCAAATTCTGCGAAATTCTCTTTGATATCTTGAATACCCCGGTATTCTTTGCGATTTTGGCTGGGTTCTTAGTAGGTACCGGTCGGTACGCTGAGAATATATGGAACATGCAGTTGGCGTTCTGAGAATGGGGCGACCTGAGCCGGTGAAGCTCGACGTTTCTAAACTTTGACAAGATCAACTTTTGCTATGATAGTCCTGTTGCTCCGCTTACAGTCTGCCATGCTTGCCCCCAATGTCTTGCGTATGTGTTCTCACAAGATCCTGAACTATCGACATGCAAACAAACACGCCCGATGATCATTGCGATGAACACTGTGAAGGCGCATCCGAAGCGCAGAACGCTAAGGGTCGCAGACATCGCTCTACCAAGACAGACACTTTCGCAGCAATGCCGCGCGCCACGATGTTCGGAAGATCAGGCAGCCCAGGTAAAAGGAATATGCAACAACTTCGCCACATCACTTTCCACAGCAACATCCCCAGGCCCTATGCCTGATCTGTGTGCGCTACCCCCTAACCCCTTCTCAGAGCGCGGCGAGTCTAGCGTGTATAATATGTGGTTGATGAAGGGTTGCCATGCAAGTGAACGTCTTGCTGATTGACCACCCGTTCTCCGAGCGCTTTAGTACAGCTCCAAGTAGCATGGTAAGGTAAAATGCAACCACGACTTTGAAGAGTATCCTTCCACATCATCGCGCCACTAACACTCAAGGCACCCCTGTGTTCGGCGCTTGTACGCCAGCGTAATCATACTGAAGTGACCCGCCATGTGTCAAGTTCTGGTAACCCATCTGCTGGTTGTTGCTAGTCATGCCGCTATTGAGAAAGCCGCTGCTGTCCGTCCCAGTAACGACAATACTTGGCACCGCTGGGTTAGAGTTTGCCCCGGAACTCCGGGTGTCGCCCTTGTGCGTGGTCGAGGCAGCTCTTGTGGGCGAGCGAACTCCCTCGCCGAAATACAAGTAGTCGGTCGGCGAGGGCTCCTGGTCCTTCTCCCGCCTCTTCTGCCGACTCTGTCTGAGTTGCGCGGCATTGGATGGCTTGCGCTTTCCGGTTGGCTTGATAGGCCGCGGACGTTCGGTGTCGGGATCGAACACATCCCTCTGTGGCTCTTCGGAACCATGGAATGATGTAGGTTCGTCCTCAACAATGGGCTGCTCTATGCTGTCTATAACCAGAGTCTCCCCGTCCATGTCGTGGTCTGAAGCCGTTTTCCGGTGTCCACCGCGGACTGACGCCAGACGCTTGAGCGTTTGCTTTAAACCCATGTTGAATACGAGGATAACTGAAAGATGATCAGGCAGAATTAGAGGTAGTGCAGCGTTTCTGTCACCGATAGGGGTAGGTTGATTTCCTTGGGTGTGTGTCGTCGTCTGAATAAGCTTTGGCTAAGCTGTAATTGGACACTAATCTGCCTCCTTTCCGATAGGCCCCATTCAGCAAAGGGAGCAACGAGTCAATGGGACATAAAGAAGGACATGAATTCTTAGTTTAAGGGTTTCAAGTCATGATGCAATTTGGGGTCGGTGGCTTGTTTATATCAGCTGCGCGTGTAGGTGCCTGGCTGTGTTACGGAGCCGTATTGTACTTCGCCCCTGAAACCCTTGCCGCACCGCCAAGAGAAGGCTGGGATTATGATCGACGTCATTCAAGAATACAGCCCGCCAGTAGGATTTCGCCGCTTGGAGTCACCACGCGCAATTCCTTATTATCAAATGTTCATTCACGTTCAAAATGATGTCTGGATTGTTGGTGAATCAGAATCTCGATACTAGGTGGACTTACAAGTTGCTCGCCGCCGTAGTGGGCCAACCAGCCATGCAGCGTCTGCGCCGCATGCCTGCAGGGATGCCCTATTAGACTAGAATCCAACGGAAATCCTTCTCGTATGATGGGGTATTAACTAGCGCGTCGCCCACTGTTTCCAGCTTCTCAATTGTTCAGTCCACGAACGAAGCGCAATTCTGGGTTCCCATGCCCCCGATCGCGTTTATTGCAAGTTGTGGGCTTTGCTTGATGATATAGGGAAAGCCAAATATTATTATCTCCAACTCTATACGTGACTGACGTGAGGCGCGACAGGATCTTACCGTCATCAAGCGGGAACTTTCTGATCTACAGATTATTCTGAGGTTGCTACAATAGGATGCTACAGCGGGGAACAGCCGGGCAATGCCAAAATCACTAAGAGCGCAAGTCTTTTCAATCTAGGTAACTGTGGAAAAGCGATTGGGAACATTGAGAAGGTTGTTCGAGATCTGAAAGCGAACGGTTTTGATATGGTACATGAACCGTTAATAGGAAGAAAGACGTGGTGTACCTATATATAAAAAGATAAAATTTATTTAAAATAAAATAAAATAAAATAAAAAGTTTAAAGGCGGGTGGCTAAATACCGCGATATATACACGTAGTTAAGGGTGACCCCGCAATTTCCTCATAATATTGTTCGGGAGGCCTCTGCCTGGCCACCTTGCGATTTTGTTACATCAGTGCTTTGATATCAAACTCTAGCAAGCAAGAGATTGATTATTCAAGTTCCTAAAGCGCATTTCATGTGGTGCATAGGAAGTTAGTTTGCATATTCAGCTCTACCTTCGCCAAACGTGGTCATGTCTGATCCTAAGAGCTACGTCGTTGGCTGGATATGTGCCCTTCATATCGAGGCTCTGGCGGCTACAGCGCTTCTGGATGAACAACACCCAGGGCCAAAGTCTGTATCCGAAAACGACGACAACAGCTACATCTTGGGACACATTGGAGACCTTAATATCGTGATAGCTACAATGCCAGTGAATGAATACGGCACAAGTTCTGCGGCAGCCTCCGCTCGAGATATGCTCCACAGTTTTCCTAATGTGCGCATTGGTTTGATGGTCGGCATTGGTGGTGGGGTGCCGACAAGGCACGATGTCCGCCTTGGTGACATTGTCATCAGCGAACCTGGCCATGGGCACGCGGGCGTACTGCAGTACGACTTCGGAAAGGCGCTCCAAAATCAGGCATTTGTGGGCACCGGCATCCTTGACCAACCTCCGCGAGTCCTCCGCACTGCAATGGCTACTTTGAAAGTCGAGCATGACCTCCATGGTCACCAAATACAACTCACTATACGCAATGCCATGTTAAAGAATAAAAGGTTGGCAAAGAAAATCAAACTGGCCGACCAGTTGAGCGACGAACTTTACAAACCAGAAGTCATTCACCCACAAGGAGAACTTCTTTGCCGCACTGTTTGCGGGAAACTCCCAAAGAATTTTGTTGAGCGCGATAAACGAAGTGATGAGGACGAAGACCCCCGTGTGCATTATGGTCTAATCGCATCAGGCAACTCTGTCATCAAAGACGCCATACTGCGGGATAAGCTTGCATGCGAAAAAGATGTCATGTGCTTTGAAATGGAAGCTGCTGGCCTAATGAACCACTTTCCTTGTCTTGTCATTCGCGGGATCTGTGACTACGCAGACTCTCACAAGAACAAAGATTGGCAGGGTTATGCCGCCATAACGGCCGCAGCATATGCCAAGGAGCTTCTGTCCCATGTTCATTTAGACCGAGTTGAGGCAGAGAAAAAGTTGGTTGATGTTCTGAGTGGTACGTAGTAGGATTTTAAAGAAATAGTCTCTGATGCTGAGTATTAATTCCCTGACTTTAGCCGGACTTGACGATATCAAGAGCATAAAGACCGAAATGAAGACGCACTTTGAAGCCGAGAAGACTCAATCCCAAGATAATGCTATTCAAGAGTTTCTGGAGTCCCTCGCTCTCATTGATTACAGCTTGCAGCAGCAGGCCTGTATATTCCAACGACAGGACGGAACTGGAGCATGGTTGTTGAAGTCACCCGACTTCCTAGGTTGGGTCGAATCACGGGCACGGATCCTGTTCTGCCCTGGGATACCTGGAGCTGGAAAGACTATCATGACTTCTATTATTATTGAGGAACTCCAGACTCGATTCTTGAACGATACCAGTGTCGGTATGGCTTACGTATATTTCGACTACCAAAGACCACAAAATCATAAGACACATCTCGTACTCGCTAACATTATCAAACAACTATTGCGGAACTTTCCAGCACTAAACTACCCAGAGAGCTTCATAACTTATACGAAGGGTACCAGAAACGCAACAGACAATACTCATACGATATGGTTTTCAAGGCTTTATCGTCTGTCATGAAGATATTCTCTAAAGTCTTCATTTTGTTTGATGCCCTCGATGAATGTACCACGACAGACGGTTGCGCTTCGCAGCTTTTCGAGCAAATATTCAATCTTCTTGAGTCCTCGCATAATTTCCAATTCTTCGCGACATCCAGGAATAACACGCCACGAGTAACACATTTTTTTAACCGTTCTGACTGCACAACCTTGCCTATAGAAGCTAGAGGCGATGATATAATGAGGTATCTCGACGCCTCAGGAAGGCTGCCTAGCTGTGTCCAGGGAGAGTCCGAGATAGCAAACAAGATGAGAGCAGTCATCAAGAAAACAGTTCTACGCTCAGCTTGCGGAATGTAAGTGATCAGATCAACCCTGCCTAATATTTTCCTGGACATGCTGAACGCATTCAAAGGTTCCTTCTGGCCAAGCTTCATCTCGAATCCTTGAGCGACACGCTATCAGTTGGAGAAGTGGAGGAAAAGTTGGAAAATTTACCGACTGGGTCGGAGGTATATAACCGTTCGTATCAACAGGTCTTAGAAAGACTCACTCCAAAGGGCAAATTAATCCTGTCATGGATTATTTGCTCCAAAAGATTGCTTTCTGTTGAAGAACTCCGACACGCTCTAGCCACAAGGCCTGGAGTATCAAAAATCCAAGTCAAAGATATCCCAAAAGCTGACGACATTCTTTCATTGTGCGCCGGATTTGCCGGGAAAGATGTATATGGCTCTGGGATTCGACTGGTTCATAAGACAACACAAGAGTACTTTGACAAGTCAAGTCACTCGTTGTTCCCGGATGCGCATGATAATATCACTTTGACTTGCGTCACCTATCTTTCTCTCAGCGCATACCCATACCCCCCCGGTGGGGCTCTTTTCAACTACGCTACTCACTTCTGGGCCCATCATGCCCGTGATTCGACACACCATGAGACTCAAGAAGCCGTGAGGCAGTTTCTGAGAGACGCCAAGAAGGTTGACCGCACTATCCAAGAACTGCTGGCTGACCCATCGCATCCAGGGAGAGTCAGCTATGACCGTCATTATCGTCTCGAAGCAGTCACGGGTTTGCACCTTGCAGCATATTTCGGGCTGATTGACAATGTAGCGGAATTGATTGTCGATGGAGACATGGATATACAGGACAGTTACGGTCGTTCACCATTGTGGTGGGCGGTTTTCGGAGGTAGCGAACAGGTTACCCGTTTTCTACTCAGCTACGGCGCAAGCATCGAAATTAGGGATGAGAACGGATGCACTCCACTGATGTGCTCGATCTGGGTTGGTAAGGAGTCGATCATAAAGCTTCTTATTGACTCTGGCGCCGATACTAGTGCTGAAGACAACTTGTCCCGTACTCCATTCCGGTGGGCCATGAGAAGCGGTGCCGAATCCATCATTGAGTATTTGGCCCTTTCTGGTGCACCATTATTTTCAAAACCCCAACTCAGACATATTAGAGAAAGGAAGATGCTCGAGAATGAAGGAGAAGAGGGGCTGGTACGACTCATCCTTTCAATACATGCCGGAGTACTAGATGCCGACTTCACCAACAGATTCCTAGCTATTGAGAATTACGACCCTGGAAGTCTATATCTGCTGTTAGAAGCAGATGATCATTCTCGTAATTCACAAATCGACTCCAACAAATCGGTATCATATGATAGAAGACACCATTTGGACTACATGAGCGAGCTGGTATCGTCCAGTTCGCAGGTAACGTCAAAAACTAATAAAAGGGGCCCTCTATGGTGGGAATCATTCAATGGGAATACATCCTATATCCACGGGATGATTCAAAAAGGATCCAGCATCGAGGTCCCGGATGGACTCTTTAGGCGAACGCCTCTGTCTTGGGCAGCGTCCAACGGACATGACTCCACAGTCAGCGTCCTGCTTGAGCACGGCGCCAAGATCGACTCCCTTGACGAACAAGGTCGAACACCTCTCTTATGGGCGGCGCTCCAGGGTCATACTGATGTAGTCAAGCTGCTTCTAGAATACAGCCTCGATGTTATTGACCGATTTGACAATGAAGGCCGAACCGCTTTATTCTGGGCGGCGCATAACGGGAACGACACGATTGTTGAGCTGCTAGTTAAGCGGGGTGCTGCTGTAGATTTCAGGGATATATATGGCCGGACGCCATTGGAAATGGCAGAAAGAGGGGGGCATTATCAGGTGACTGAGCTGCTAATCGAATACGGCGCTGAAATTGGCGGGTCATTGCGAGGTTAAGGTGACGCTGGGAAGATTAGCGATAGCTATAGGCTATTACAGCGACGGTGTTGTCAGATCTGTCTTCACTGGATCGTATCAAGTTATAGATGGATGGACCTCTTTGAGCCGCATCCTAAACACGACCTGATATTCTCAGAGAGACTCGCCCCCCTCTGACGGTAACCATTCCAAAGCCAAGGCATATAATCGACGTCAGCGCTGGTCACACACGATATTTTGAGAAAGATGTGGAACACATATTGGATTGTGTGCTGACTTCATCCGCGCTGAGCCGCACCGATTTCTCCCGTCCCTGACCGTATCGAACAGCACGGCCCGTTCATTGTTGCATTCTAATCTAGGTCCTCGTACTGAGTCGGCTCATAATAGACCCATGGATGTAAAGATATTTCTCACAGTTTCAATGACTATCCCCTCTTCCATACCATTTGATAATAGAATTTTCATGACGTCAGGATTGGTCGGTTCAGCAGGGACTCTCTATTCAGGACATTCAATCCCTCAATGTGTATTATTGCCAGTATGATTGTAATGCTACGACACCCTCTTCGCCATCTCCGCAGCACCCCTGGCGGCTGCGTATACCACATCCTCCGCAAAGATGTCACTAGCGTTAAGATACGGCGCCAGCTCATGAAGCGCCTCGCCCACAACTTCGCGAAATCGATCGTCCGTGGCACCGTCCCCGTGCAACAGGATCTTCTGGGTATTGACGCGGATGTGCTGGTTTGCCTGGACTAGCGGCCTCAATAGTGCGTCCCGCACCAGTGCCCAGTATTCATCCTCTCGACCATCGTGCCGATGGTCCAACCCGAGGTCCGGGTCAGCAACGCTCGGGTAATGCTCTGTGCTTGGGTACGCGAAATATATACCCATATTTGACCATGTCGAAGTCAGCAACCCGGCCGTCAGTGCAACGGATAACACATTCTCGTGCTGGCTGCCCCGCTCGTCATCGCACGCCTCCATGTCCGTGTAGTTGGAGCACAGTCCAAAGCCGTTGCCGGCGTAAGCGGCGCTGGTCTCATGAGACACCCCGCCGTAAGGGTAGTGCGCCAGGTAAATTAGTCAGCGTCCTCGAGGTCCTCTGCGTAAAGAGCCGGGATGTGCGCCACCGTCACTACGGCGCCGGATACCGGGCTATTGCCCAGGGTAGTCTCCGCTGCTGCCCGGAGTGTCTGTATGAACCCGGCCAGGATGTCGACATCAGTGCTTGCTGAGAGTCCGGCCTTCTTGCGGCACTCCCGAGCGGTTTCCCGGGGGGAGGTCACGAAACGCTTCGTCGAGGGATCTGTAAGGGGGGCTGAGGTTTTGATTAGATTCATTTTTCTCGGTGAGGAGGAGTGTGGGCTATGCGGACTGCAAGTGCTCTGATGATTCGAGGGAGAGCCTCAACATGAACTCTTGATACTGGGGAGGACCTCCGATCTTGGCGACATTATGAATTGTAACATCCGGGTAGCTGATGCTCACTGTCCTATACTCCGAATTAGATCGACAGGTGAGACTGGTGAGGTGGACCCAATTGACTCACCCATACGGAATCGTGAGGTGGAAGCCCACGCCGTACTCATGGGCGATGAAATTGGGAATCTTGGCGCGCACGTGGCGAAGGATCAAGACTGTTATGAAAGGGAGCAGCACAACAGAGGCGATCAGCAGGCACAGTTTACGACTGCTAGGTGCCTTCCGCTCCTGGCGCTTCCTAGGAGATATTGAAGTGAGTAATGGACTGCGTTCATCTGCGCTCATCATGTTGAAAGATGAATGGCTGACATCACGATCGAAATGAGGACATGAAGTCCTGGTGGATGGGGATCAAGCTGTAAGGTACAGCAAGAGACGCCACAAATAAGAATTCCAATGGTGGCGAAGCCGTTACAAATGATTCGGTCAGGGGCGGCACAGAGCGCCAACAAAGCTGATATGCACATGCATGCTGATTATTAACTGAGAAACAAGAAATGTGCTATTAGCGACGATCATTCAGTTAGTCAGCTGCATATTCTGATGCACGCTGGGATCAATCTACCATGCAAATCATTGGCCAGCTACGATGCAGTAACATCCACCATGGGCCAAGGTTTATCAAATTAGGGGACGAAACCTAGTAGAGTTCATACACAGTCTGTGAGACATCCCGACGGTCAAATGGAGAGTGGAGATGCAAGGGTCGTCGTTCAGTCCCCTCATCGCCTGGAAATTTAGGAAAAGAATAAATAAGAAAAGAAAAGAAAAGAAAATGGAAAGAGTGAATATGCCATAGAAGTACAGTGTCATGCAGAAACCATAGCTTAGGAAAACTTCGTACAATCTTCATCAAACCGCCTTTAAGAAGACTACACAGTACCAATCCAACGCTACGCAAAATCAATCTTGGCGTACTCGCTTCCCTGTTTTCTCCCATTCACGTACAAAACAAATTCTACCGAGGCCCCCGACGGCACTAATTCAATGTCGAAATTCAGCCGTTTTGTCACAGTCCCGAACTCGTCTTTCGAGTGGTAGGGCAGGTCAGAAAACTGAACATCGAGATTACAGCAGATCTCGCCAAGTTTTCGGACATTGTCAATCTTCCTTGTCGGCGGCGCCTCGTCATCACACTGATAGAGGGGGAGTATCAAAAACCCGCGGAAAAACGATTGTTGGTAAAGCAAGTAGTAAGAATGGCGCAATGGTTTTATCTTAGAGACAACATCTCCCTGTACTTCAGGCATTAGCTCGGGCAATGTTTGGTGCAAAGATAGAAAGGGCGAGTGGCGTGAGAAGCCGTTCGGGTCTTGGGTTAGAACCTACCCGCCTCAAATACCACTGCATTTGATTGGACAGCACATGGCGGCCCTCTAATGAGTTCCATTCAATGTCTTTGTCTTCCTCATCATGATGATCTGGGCCGATCAGAATATAGTAAGTTATGCCGTAACTAGCCCGAGATACTCTCGACTCAACTCCGATTGTTGATGTCCCGAATCCCCCATCTTGCTGACTGTTTTGTGCCTCAAGGAACCCTTTGAGCACGGCACCTCGACAGATTGCTGTGCGCCTATCGAGATATGTCAGTCATGATAATGAACCATTATTGGGTGAGTACCGCATACGTACGGCTTGACCCCACCGGACTGAAGCACTACAATTCCTGCTTTGGAGTGGATATTCTTGAGATAATCGTACAAATATGGACTCGCCCCCAGTCCACCAACAAGAATGATGCCCTGGTAGAAGTTAGCATTGATATCCCCAACATTGTCACCTTTTAGCCATACTTACTGTCACAGACAGGCCCTTTTCTGCGGCCTTTTGGATCTGTCCCTCCACCAGCTTTGAAATATCGGCAAAGACGCCTTCAAACACTTTTTTGATGTCGGAACTGGTTCCTGAGTGTTAACTTTGTAGATCATAAGGGCATCTTTTGGCAATGCTCACCCGTCGAAATAAATTCGCCCGTTCTTTATATGAGGCTTGCGCTTGGTATCGTCTAGGCCCGCAGTACCTTGATCCCTGAATGCCTCGGCAGGCAACGCGACGATATACTGCTTCGCTGACTGGGGTGACTTGAACTGTGGTTTGATGCCGTATTCCCATGCAGTTCTCATAATATCCCTAATGCCCTCTTTGCTCAAGCGTTTCCATTTAGACCCAAGCCGGCCACTGCACATGTGCTCAAACGCCTGGTCGATGAAGATCCCGCCGCAAAGCCCGCCTGCGTATAGGATGAATGTGAGCCTTCTCCCATGTGAGATATGAGAATAAAATGAAATATCCTTGGAAAACGAACCTGTTCCAATCACGACCTCTTGTAAGATGATCGGTTTAGTATTCCTCACTTCGTAACTAATGAGATCCTAAATATGATTCATTAGACACCTCTCCAGGAGTAGTCTACCCATACTACACTTACCACTGTCCCACCACCTGCATCACAGATCACATATACATTGCCTGGCCGGATGCTACTGCCTTGCTCAAGGAGTGTTGAAAATGCTGCCACCTCTGGCTCTGGTGCGAATACCAATTTTGTGGTCCCTGCGAGACGGAAGTTAAGAATGCCAGACTTCTTAACGGCCTCTTCCATAGCCTGTCTAGCATAGCCTTTCCATATTGCTGGAACAGTGACTATGACATGGAAGACGAGAGCTTCCACCACAGACTCCCCACGTGCCTTCTCGATCGTCGACATTATGTGCTCCCAGAGCAGGCGCAAATAGTCAGCAACAAGGTCTACCGCGGTCTTCCCAGACTCCTTCAGCATAATCTGGGCCTTGATCAGAAAGCTGGATTCGCAGAGCTCCGGGTTGAGGTCTTCTCTATGAAGCAGGAGAAGCTTAAACCATCGAAATGGGTCAGCATCGGCAGGAATAGAATAGCCCCAGATTGGCTCGCCGGTATCGTCGTACCAGAGCTCAGTTGGGACTTTACCTTCCTCGCGGGCGTTGTCAGGCCAGGAGGTGATGAAGTTGATTTGGCTACTTTCCAACTCGACTCTCGTCGACCAAGCCACTCCGGAGTACCTGTATCAAAATGAATGTCAACATACTATTTGATGATATCTCCAGAACGCAATGAGTTCTTGCACCGTCTTTACTTACGTTGTTCCAAAGTCAATACCAATCACCAAGCAATCCTCAACTTCGCTATCATCATCGCTGACGCTGAGACCTTTCAGGCTATCGCTCAGACCACCTCCGAACGACATCACAAAGGCTATCTGTGCTGCGGCTGTAGTCTGGTGTCTTGAAAGATGGAGCCTGTGCACCAGCAAATCTTTGAGGCCTATGAAGAAGATTACTCTCACTTAGCGTTGGATCTAGGTGCCGTATTGGTCAAAATACGCATCCTATCCTACTAGCACGGTGTTAGATCCTGCGTGTAAACTCATGCCAAGGCGGACCGCGGTTCAGGAATCTTTGGTGCCCCTTTCAAAAGATATGTGTGGTGTCAGAATGAGATGTGCTAGTGGGACAGAGTCCCTTATCAGCTCGATACTCCAGTGAGGACGTAGAGTTTGGTCGAGGTCAAAATATATCTCCAATTTGTTCTTGTAATGTACAAGTACCTTGAAGCTCAAGCGCAGACTGCGTTAAATTCTTGGTGCTATCGAGAAAGTTTCTTTTTTTAAACCGAGTGATGCAGCGCAGCCTTCCTATTGGCCACAACTTTCAGGGATGCAGTGCAGTTGGTTCTAGTCGCGGTTGATAGTTTCAGCCCCGGAATCAATAATCCAACATTTGGATTACGAGGCTACGAAAATAGGCCACCTAGGATAGGCCGGTTTCATGAAGCGCCGTGTGATGGCATTTACCAAAGGTCCCTTGCGACGCGGTATTGCGCTCTTTCGAATACGCAGGTACAGAAGATGCAGTACACCCTCAGCCATCAATTTTGCTACACTCTTTGTAATTCTGGATAACCATTATGCTAGTACTTCCAAGCTTTCGATGACATGACACTCTTCAGATCAATTAAGCGAGCTTTTAAATCCATTATGAGAGGATCGGAAGTAGAAACTAATACTTCCCAACAGGCTACAAGAAGAACATTGGGAAGTCCAGGGGCGGCAACTATGGATATCACAAGCGAGTGCAGCGCTCCGAACGATCTACTGGCAGGCCATTCAGATAATGACGACGAGTTTCGCACATCGCAAACAATCACATCTGATCCAAGCCGTCAAAGTTCGTGGATTGTTCCACGCGGAAGAGAGCGCACCGAAATTCCAGAACGGTCGACCATTCGGGACCAAGACGATGCCCGTTGGCGCGAGGTAGTTGACATGTTTGGGCACTTGTCAAAAGACACGGCAAACATCCAATCAATCTTGCAAGAGCTGCACAAGGGAATGGATGGGCAATTAGCCTCCAAACCAGATATATTGAGGACTCAGAATGAGCTAGAAGAGGCCAAATCAAGCTTGGAAGAAGTTCACAAGAAGTGGAAGAAGACGGCTTTGGAGCTGAACCAGTTACGGTCCCAAGGTACAAGGCCGTACCAGCTTCTCGACGCAGACCTCGAAAGGTCGGTGCAAGGGCTTAGATACGAGATCAGAAACATTTCCTGTTCTTTTCAGTTTTCTGCATTCAGGCTGCCTGAACACTTTTTGCAGCCTCAAAGCAACGGCCTGGAAAAGTGTATGGTTGAGGCTATGGAACAATTCTATGCAAATCATGGCAATCGCATATCGGAGAACATGGGGCCCGCCATCGTCCAGTCCTTCCTCTGGAGGATACTAGTTTCCGAAGTATCCGAGCGATTCCGCTGGGCCCCGGAACTGCAATCTTCTATTACCGATGTTTACAATTTTTTACAACCAGGTGGGCACCATTTGGATCATTCTGTGCCACAATATTTGCTGATCACAGTCTATTTAGATTATGTTTATCACTCTGAGCGAGGAATACCATCGGGAACAGAAGCTCAGCGAAAGTTTCAGGTTTGGAAGGCTGATACCTCAGCTCTCATTCTAGAGTCTATGAACAATGAAGACAGGGACAAATGTCTGCAACAGGTGGATACCTTTACTCGTGACCTTTCAACACAGATCCTCGATATCCTACAGCCATTTGCGCTGGGTTCAGACAAGATATCGGATCAACTCGGGCTTATTATCAATGATTTCATCAGTCTTGACAAGGAGATCTGCAGACAAGTCACACGCGTCGACTGGCTTTTCCATTCTTTGCAGCATCCGTTACAATTCAACCCAGAAATAATGACAGCAATAGGAGCAGAGATTGCACCACAATCAGGGCAGCATATTGATTTGATCGTGGCACCTGGCTTGAAGAAGCGAGGTAGACATACGGGCGAAGATTTTGGGTCTGAGCACCTCCTATTGAAGATGGATGTCATCTGCATTCCCTCTTCAAGGGGACGAGTTAGCAAGCGACAGTGTTTCTAGGGCGATATTGAGGTATCTTGATAGTTTTATGACAGATGAAGTGTCGGTTACAAATGTATAGGCTGAGTTCCCGGTGGTAAATCATTTTGTTCTGATAATTTGTGTCAAAATTTGCGAAGCACGTTTTTTGATCGCAACTTGCACACAGCTTATGTGGTAAACACAATTGGCTCAGGTCAAGAATCTATTCACAACATTACTATCTTGTAATTTTCAATGCAATTTTGCATGCTGACACCGAGTCTGCGAAAGTACTAGCATGACGATGAAGGGGAGGGGAAGGCCCATAGCCAATATGTGTGGGAATCATTTTGGGGATTCGTTTTCTACATCTCATGGCGCAATACTTTGGAGAAAATGAGACAGCAATGCCTTCCCGTCCAAGTGTGCTTCCTGCACCATGCGCGAGTCATTATCTAAACTCAGCCGTCCCATATGGCCTAGGTAGTATTTACATGTTAGAAGCGCCGATTTCCCCCTGCATATATTCTCGCAAAGGATTGGTGTTTGACAATTGGGTGGGCGGCTAGCAGGTGCCAAAGGGGCGCAGCAGCGCAGTGATTGGCTTTTCCTTATCTGCAACTTCACAATGACCAACATGTTTCACCATCATGTTCTGTCAACCTCCAATTTGGAAAGCTAATCGAACCGCCAGGTCGCAGTGCGGCCTTGAATAGTTTTGCGAACGGCGAAGGTATGGATTACCGTCTCGTGTGGCTGTGTCATCCTTCTCGCAGGCTGACCCTAGAGATGACCCGGATAGAGGAATCGGAGTTTCAGGGTACCAGGCCCTCCATGGCGAGCTTCAGGTTGCTTGCAGGTTGTATAATTATATAATGACGGGACATGGGAACAGATTGTATGGTAGATATCCATAAGCCAAGATCTTGCGTATACAACCTGGTTTATACCACGCCTATTATTTCAGCTCAATCGAATATTCGAATTCACCTCGTTGAAATTCTTACAGTGTTGTTCAGCCATGGGTGACGCACCAGAACAAGAAATATCCCTTGATGCGGCGGCAATGGATGAGTTGAGCAACCCAGTGGCAAGAGCTTTACTTGACACTATCGATAGTCTCAGGGAACTTCAGATCGGTGAAATTGTCAACTTGCCTCAAATCATCGTGGTTGGCGACCAATCTTCGGGGAAGAGCTCCGTACTTGAAGCTATTTCAAGCGTCCGCTTCCCCACTAAGGGCGACCTTTGCACCCGCTTTGCTACCGAGCTTGTGATGAGGTGTGCTCCACAGACGAAGATTGTAGTTAGGACGGACCCTGCCGGCGATGGCCCGTCTCAAAATTTCTACCGTACCACCTTTAACAAATATGCTCTTCTTGGAATCATCAAAGAGGCCACGGAAAAGATGGGGATTCGCGTGCGAAGCTCAAAGGGGTTCTCCAAAGACGTTTTACGCGTGGAGATTGCAGGCCCTCATGTCGAACCACTCACTCTTGTCGATTTGCCGGGCTTTTTTCATTCGGAGACGGAAGATCAGACACAGGAGGGCAAGGAGATTGTTCAACAGCTTGCCGAACGTTATATGAAGCAGCCAAAAAGCATCATCCTGGCCGTTGTAGCGGCGAACAATAACCTTGCCAATCAGATCGTTGTTGAAGAGGCCAGAAAGCATGATCCCAAGAGGGAGCGCACGCTCGGCGTGATAACGAAGCCTGACCTTGCAGCGCCGGGATCGCAGGATGAGAAGAAGTGTCTTCAGTTGGCTAGAGCCCAGGAAAGTATGCACAAGCTGAAGTTGGGCTGGCATGTTCTACGCAACCGGCCCGAGGGGAAAGAGGAGATGAGTGCAGACGACAGAGATGCCTATGAGGACAAATTCTTCCAGACCGGTGCATGGTCTCATATTTCACCAACCAGCCGTGGCATCAGTTCATTACGGAAGAAGCTCAGCAAGGTTCTTCTTGGACATATTCAAAAGACACTGCCTGGCTTGATCGAGGAGATTGAGTGCAATTTGACCGCACGCCAACGGGCTCTTGAGCAACTCGGAAAGCCCCGCTCAGCACCTGAAGATCTAAGGACATACATGCTCGAGATCGCAGAGAAATTCCAGCGTCTTGCACGTGACGGCGCTGAAGGTCGCTACGGGGACGAGTTCTTTGGCGATCTTTCAAACGACTGTAAGACTCGCAAATTACGAGCTGTACTCAGAATATTGAACCGTGCTTTTCACGCAACGCTCGTCACCAAGGGAGTGGATCGCATGATTGAATGGGAAGACGACAACAGGAACCTCTTTAACGGTCGTGTCTTTGGGAGCGTGCCGGACGGTGTACCTGAGTATCTAAGATCGTATCTCGACCTCTTCAACAAATTTCCAAAGCCCGCTGTTATCTCTGAGATGAATCTCCATGAAGAGCTTGAACAACTGGCAGCGGCTAATCAGGGAAATGAGTTTCCAGGTCAACCAAATGGAAACATTGGTTTCCAGCTCTTCAAGATGCAAATACGGCCATGGGCTGACATCGCAGGTTTCTATCTCAACCAAGTCATCAGTTTTGCCAAGTCTTTTGTTGAACAGCTCTTCCTCCACGTCATCGGAGGAGATACGCAAACCTCCAATGCCGTTTTGTTATTCTGTGTCGACAAATTCTTTGACGATAAGCAGCGAATTCTTAAGGATAAGCTACAAGAAATTCTCAGGCCATACAAATCCGGATACGGACCACCACTTGACGTAGAGTTTCATGCCACGCTTTTATCAACAATGGTGGGACGTGATGCGGGGCGTATTGCAAGCCTAATCGAAGAGAAATTCCCGGCTGCATTTACTGACAAGGGAGGAAAAGGCCTTGTTCGCGATCATGTTGAGCAGGCACTTCACCATTCAGAGAAAGCTAGTGCCAGCGAATTCGGCATTGAGAGAGTTGTCGACATGACCATGACACACTTTCAGGTGAGAGATCCCTTCCTCAATTCACATACCTCACAATTTTAAGCTAATACATGCATGTTCTGTAGATCTCCCTCGGAACATTTGCACACAATATGGTGAATTTGGCTGTCGAGAACTGCCTTATCTCTGATCTTCAGAACATTCTCACGCCATCCATGGTCATGCAGATGAGCAATGAACGCTTGGAGATGCTTGCTTCCGAGTCCGAGGCTGTTCAGGCAGAGCGATATACTCTTCAGCACGAGGTCAATATCCTCACATCGGGCCTGAGAGAGTGCACACAATGTCGACCTCACCAGAGAACAGGTATGTCTAGCCGGGCGGTGTCACTAATCGCCCGAGGCTCAACCGTTACTTGGCGCATGGCTGATACAAGTTCACAATAGTGCTTCCCGAAGCCTTCACAAGATTTCCCACTGGAACTTTGAATCAGTCGTCAGAATCCAGTGATAGCTCATGATTTCCCCCATGAACAAGTCGCCACACATTACTCGGATCTCGACGGCTGGCTAGGTATGAGTAACTGGAAGTCGCGTCTCATTCAGCTATCGGGTTTCACAACTATCTACGATTTCAAGTACAACATCAAGGAGGTGCCAGGTGAATGTACTCTCACGTCTTATACAGAGCTATTTTAGATTGCACAGATTCTTTGTAAACGTATACTTTTCATCACTGATGGCTGAGCCATTGTGAATACTATTGCGCGTGTACACATATTCCTTTAGAGACTCAACGCCATGACCTCACAACTACACTCAATGTCCTGTAATCCCTGCCAGTTGAGCTCTCGGAGGTTAGATTCCCGACGAGGTGTAAAGGCATTGTTAGTGTGGAATTCCAAGCGTGGCCTCGTTCACGACATCCTTGTTGGTTTTCTTAGGCCGAAGTGCACGCTGAATTTAGGGATTTCTCCTTTCACCACATGAGCTCGAGTTTCCTAGATGCAGTGGTGAGTGATTTTCCTTTCTGCTAATACAATATTACTCGGCTGCCTCAGCCCATGTAAGTCGGGGATCACGACTATGAAGTAAAAGTTGCCGAACTGAAAGGAAGCTACGGAGAGCTGGACAAGTCGCAGGAGCTATACCAGTGATTGTGGCTACTTGATCCGACCCCAAAGCATCATTGTCAACAGACGAGTCAGGACCTACGGGACATTGTAACACCAAGAAGTCGTCATCCCCCACAACTGACAGCCGGAAAGAGAGATGTGAGGCGAATTTTGGTATATGGTTGACGCTGAGATGTCAAAAGTCTGACCAAGAGCCGAGCTGTGATTGGCTGGGACTAGCAAACGTCGAGCAGGGTTGGGCCGCCGGAACAAATATTTTGCGGGGCGGACCCATGACGGGTTGGCGGTTGACGGGCACACTGCCGTGGCGCCGACTTCACGAACTCGATTGCCACAGCTCAACAAGCAAGCTCTACGGTCCAATTGACCACCGACAATCGCAATGGCGGCGCTACACAGGATTGCCGGCTGCGGCGCCCGTCGCCTGCAGCTCGCGATGCCCTCAGTCCGCTCCTCCGCCCGCCCCTTCTCCTGCACCGCCTACCGCCGCGCCGTCGAGCACACCCCCGTCGACCGGACGACTCTGATGCCCGTCGACAGCAACTTCGCCCACCCCGCCGACCCCTACGGCATGCAACGGATGCAGAACACCGACGGCACCGTCGAGAAGTCGAGAGACGGCAGCATCGAGGACCGCAAGGTCCGCCACTACACAGTCAACTTCGGTCCCCAACATCCCGCCGCCCACGGCGTGTTGCGCCTAATTCTCGAGCTCAGCGGAGAGGAGATTGTCAGAGCCGACCCCCACGTCGGCCTGTTGCACCGTGGTACCGAGAAGCTCATCGAGTACAAGACCTACCTGCAGGCCCTGCCGTACTTCGACCGTCTCGACTACGTCTCCATGATGACCAATGAGCAGTGCTACTCGCTGGCTGTCGAGAAGCTGCTGAACATTGAGATTCCCGACAGAGCCAAGTACATTCGAACCCTGTTCGGAGAGATCACACGAATTCTCAACCACCTGATGTCGGTCCTGTCCCACGCCATGGATGTTGGCGCCTTGACACCATTCTTGTGGGGTTTCGAGGAACGTGAGAAGTTGATGGTGAGGCACAATTCTATTTATCAAATCTACGCGATGCCCCATTTGCGATAGAGAATCTGCTATGAAAACCCCCAAAACTGACACTATGTCAGGAATTCTACGAGCGTGTGTCCGGTGCTCGTCTCCACGCAGCCTACGTCCGCCCCGGCGGTGTTCACCAGGATATCCCCGTCGGCCTGCTAGACGACATTCACCAGTGGGCCACGCAGTTTGGTGACCGCATCGACGAGACCGAGGAGATGTTGACGGATAACCGTATCTGGATTAACAGATTGCAGGGTGTTGGAGTCGTTTCGGCTGCCGATGCGCTGAACTTGTCGTTCACCGGTGTCATGCTCCGTGGATCCGGCGTGCCGTGGGATATCCGCAAGAGCCAGCCGTACGACGCGTATGACAAGGTCGAGTTTGATGTGCCGGTTGGAATCAACGGTGACTGCTACGACCGATACCTCTGCCGTATGGAGGAGTTCCGCCAGTCCCTCCGAATCATCCACCAGTGCTTGAACGACATGCCCGCCGGCCCCGTCCGAGTTGAGGACTACAAGGTTGCACCACCTCCCCGAACTGCCATGAAGGAGAACATGGAAGCCCTCATCCACCACTTCCTGTTGTACACCAAGGGTTACACCGTTCCCCCTGGTGAGACCTACTCGGCTATTGAGGCGCCCAAGGGCGAGATGGGAGTATATCTGGTCAGTGACGGTAGCGAGCGCCCGTACCGATGCCATATTAGAGCACCTGGTTTTGCCCACCTGGGTGGTTTTGACCACGTCTCCAAGGGCCATCTGTTGGCTGATGCTGTTGCTGTGATCGGAACCATGGACCTGGTGTTTGGTAAGTAACCACGATGCGAATGTGATAATATGTACTAACCAGCATATAGGTGAGGTCGACAGATAGTCGAGAGGCCGGTTAAAATAGAGAAAACAAAACGCAACGCTAAATCAAGACCGAGGATGAAGACTGCTGGTGATGCGAATCTACCTTTCCCTTTCCTTATGTATCATAGTAGAGGGTGAGACCACCCCACAGGGAAACGCATCGCAATGGGGGTTGAGGCACCCTTTGTGCCAGTATATATCACATGTTCCGACAGAATCTTTTTTCCTTTTCTTGGTTTGTCTGTGAGCTTTGTTAGCATCATGTCCAGAAATTCTTCGTTGTGAGTAAAGTAGGCAAACCTATGAACGCAATTTGCAGCTGTCACTGCTGGGACAGAAGTCCCGGGTTTCGTCTCAAAAGGTCAACGAGCAGGATCTCTTGATTCTGGGGCGAGATAGGGAACACATGTTCCACGCCGGTGAGTGCGAATTCTCCCTACCGCCTTCTGGGCCGGCGCCAAGTGGCCAACCAACAAGCGGGATTCCCTGCGGACAGAAGATGGGTTCGTTGGGAATTGCAATGAAGGAATCGTGTGCGGGCTGCTGCTCCCGACCCACTGCCGCCGAGCGCTGCGCACTGGTGCCATTGCCACCATGGGCAGCACCCTCGATGCCGTATGCGGCGGCGGGATAGGGGAACGGACCTCGTTGACCAAACTGCGGGATCTGGCTGAGCAGCAATTCATCTTCCTTTGAGGCTTGACCTGCTGCCGCTCTCTCTTGCTCCTCCAGACACGCCTCTGCCTCGGCGCAACATGTGAAGCCGAACTCCTCCATTTGGATGGGCCACGGGATCTGGGGCATACCGGGGTTCGCCTCGTTGATCTTCCATATCAGCAGGTCGTTGCGGCGGAAGGTCGGCGTGTGCAGTGCCTTGATGGGCTTCTGCATGTCCCACTCGGGCGCGGCTGCGAGGTCCACCGCCGTTATCGAGTGCGGCTTATACGTCTCGAACGCCACGGCGCACTCGCACTTGCCCGCGGCGTGCAGCTGCGCGTGATCCGGGATCCATTCGGCGCCATACTGAGACGAGAGACGCACGGCGATCTTGTTCCCCGTGCCGTAGTCTTGGGTGATGTCGACGATAGGGGAGATGTTTCGATTCCAAGCCATCGCATGGGGTTTCTGATTCTGATTGGCCTTCGCTTTCGTATTCTGTCCCGAGTGCTTCGATCTAGTTTTGCCTTTGCCCTTGTTTTTAGGCTTCGGGTGTGCCGGGGTATCGCTTGAGCTGTTGACGGCCTTTGGTGCTAAAACAACAGCATGTTCCTTGCCCGGCATGGCTCGGGAGTAGCTCTCCGGATCGAGCATCACAGGTCCGGTGCCCGAAGGAATATGAACAGTTTGTGCGTTGCTCGCCTGGACCTGTTGATCCTCGCCGCCGTCGCTGCTATAGCCGGCCTCGTGCCGCTCGCCACCAACAATCCTTGGCTCCTGCAGAGCTGGGAACACCACGGGACACCCGCACACGCCGCGTTCGTGCATCCACTGGTGTTCCAGCGTGACGATCTCGACCCAGCGGGTGTGTAGGATGCGAGCACACGACGGACACATGGTATGGACCTGGGTCGGGCGCTGTGCCGGGCTGGGGCACACCGGGTTCGTGTGAAGATGTGTCGTCAGCGGGCAAGGACGTAGGACGGCAACTGTAGTGTGGCCGCAGCCGTATCCGATGTACTCACTGAAGCACATCTTGTCTGATGGTGCTATGGATCACCTGCCTAGGATTTGGATGTGTGTCTCTTTGTAGAAAAGAATACGCGTGTACTGAGAGGAGCGCTCCAAGGGGGGCTGTTTTTGCGGATTTGGACTCAGGGTTTCACGGACGTCAGTCCAGAGCTAGGTAGGGAAGGGGTGTGGTTTTACTCAATCCGAAGGTAGGGATCGAACCTGAAATGTCTGTCAATGGGACACTGCTAAGACATCTTCTGTTAGCCAGCGTATGGTATGCCTTCTGAGAGTGCGAAAGGGGGTCGAAAGCTGGAGTTTGAAGTGCATGTTCAAAAAAAGGGGGCAGGAAGTTATACCAAGTAAACAAATTCGATCGCAAGATCTGTGGAAGTGATGTCGAACTCAGCACTTCGGCATGTAAAGACGCATCCTGTGTAGATCGTGACTATAAGACTGGGAGAGCACGTAGGGTATCTACTAGTAAACAGGAGATTTCACTGTCCTTGAAACTTTCATGTGGAGAAAGTAGGACAGAGTATGTATTGCCACTTCAACCAAGTGTCGGCCAATGCAGACTCCCCGGCATGACACGAGACGCGTTGCCAGATATTTGGATGAGAGAGGATATCCCAGTAAGACCTACAGCATCTAAAAGGCCCTTTCAGATGATCATGTGTAGTTTTATGTCGAAAGCAACCAAGCAACATTACAATTCAGGGTGCTAACGTGCCGGAAATAAACAAAAATGCAAGGTTGGCAGGAACGATGAGCAATCCAGGAGGTGTGTAAGAGAAGCAAAACAGTACGGCAAGCAATTGGGGCCCTTCTAAACAGTGTATGGGTATGTTTTTTACTTACAGGAAGCCGACTTTGGTCTTTTTGAGCGAATGTGAGTGTTGTTGTTGTTGCTGCGGCTTAGTACGATAACGCTGGGAAGGAGGCCGACTCTAAGCTGGCTGGTCCAGCTAAGTCAGGAGGAGAGTGCTTAAGAAAGTGTTGCAATCCGCGGGCGGGGCTCTCGTAGTATCTTTTGGTGTCCTCAACGGTCGGCCTATGTTGGTGTCAAGGCAAAACCCGATTTCTATCAAGGTCCTGGAAGCTTTAGACACCCTCAGAAACGGACCGTGGAGAAAAAAAGGGAGGACGGGTGTGTCATGCTTTGACCATATCGTTTGGCGAAGACTTGGTTGGTAGAGCAAGAAAGAGCTTTCTGCTTGAGAAATTGATAGCTCCCGTGCTACACGATATGGGCAAACACAAACAGTATGGGAGAGAAGAATGAATGTGGATGCAGTTTTTGGGCAGCACAACACGCTAGGGCGAAGAGATAGCTGTCAACTCTGCAGCCAAAGATAGAGGTGGTGAGAAGGGTTGCGGCTAAAACTCAGGGGCAGGTGCTCGCTTTCGTCTGATCTTGAAGCTCTTGCCTCGGTGAGAGGACAGAAATCCTGGACTGGAGGCCTTTCACCGAGTCTGCTGCAAAAGTCGTCTGACATTGAAGAGCATTTGGATTTGGCGTGTAATGAGAAACACGAGCTGCTCCAACGATCGGGTTTTGACAGTATGTAGGTTCATCTCGAAAGCTACTGTGCCTTTCATTGCATACTCACTTCACGGCATACCTAGCTGCGGTTCGGATGCTCCATGTATTAGTCACTACTGGCGTCTGATCTGATCGTGTGACTTCTAGCGTCTTTCACGTTGCTCGCAAACTCACAGACTTTTGATATTTGGTCGTGATTCTTGGCTCATATGACCTAGTAGCAGAAGCCGACTCCGTGAAGCCAGATACGTGTTGTGAAAGACACAATGTTTAAATAAGCATGATACGACCGATAGGTGTGAATCATAGGGAGCAGAGATAAATGTCCTACTTGAAATTTCACCGATGTCAGAATGGTTGTTACAAATATGGTGCTTTATTTCCGTTGCCCATATGAAAGAGTTCTTTGATTGCTTTTAACCACTACCAAATAGACCCGGTCAAATCACACAAGAAAGACATGGTTATGTTCCATGCCTTGCCACATATCCCGTACGCGATACGCTATCAACGGACCAGTCTTGAAGATTTGCACCGTTTGTTAAGCTACACTACCCCACATGATTCTAAGCATAGGAATAGCAAAGTTTGCCACCCTTGGAGTCCATGACTTCTCTAATCATGATGCTGTCGCTCATCTGACCAAAGTTCATAACATAATCAAGCGTGACATTCTTGTACGGAACATCCCCGAAGAAGTTGAAGGGGTAGGCGAACTGCGTATCAGGCCCGCCAATGTCGAGCTTCCTGGCGGACCAGTCTGAGCCACGGGGATTGTCAGCACAGTAAGAAGAGCGGAATCAAATTAGCCCACCTTTCCTCTGCCATTCGTCCCACAACTTGTCCAAGCCGCCGTGGTGGAGCCAGAACAAGGGATCTCCCGGTGAAGAGTATACATTTGACATCTGAGCAGCAAATTAGCATCCGTCGTGAGAATGAGAGATGTCCCTCGAGGAGCAGCCCAGGAGGAAAACCACCCCAGTTTTAATGTGCTTACTTGACCAATTCCACCGCCAACGCTGAGATGACCACCTCCATGCAGTGCCATATCTTTGATCTCCAGACTCACACCCTCCGTGCGAGACGTCAACTCGAAGAAAGAGCTTGCGTTCTGGGTGAACTCGTATATGTTGCTGTTCAGGCTTTGAGTGGCCAGCCAAGGACTGAAATCCCGACGGATACATTGGGGGTTGTACACGGTGTGATTTCCCGGTCCCACTGGCGCGACGTGCGTCCGTCAGTCATTAGAGACGTTCAGCAATTGGTATAAGAGCTGAATGAACTTACTGCTGACATTATGGCCAGCAAATGGGCCATCTGTTATGCACCCTCCACCGGTTCGTTTGGGGACCTCGACCAAGCTGCGCCAATCCTGTGGAAAGCCACTGATATCTTCGATGTAGGGTCCGTTACCTTGTGAGGCCATTAGTGCAATTACTCGGTTATGCAAGACGTTCGTGGTTCTTACCACCAAAGCCATAGACAGGGTCGAAGATTGGTGAAGCAAGAAAGCTTGCCTCGTCGGTCGCGTCTTGGGTCCAATCTGGTCCGGCGCGTCAACATCTTTAGTCATTTGTGCTTATGCTGTCGAGGAACACTTACCCCAATATCTGCGCTCATTAGTTAGCACAATTGCAGATGAGGTCAACCACAGGCCTTCACTCACGGAACCGCTTCGTTGTAATTACAACTCTCCCGCAGCTCCTGTTCGAACAACCAAAGGAAGTAGCGGTGCCACCTAGACATTTTCTTAGCACTAGATTGCGCGAAGCCAGGTGTGTCCTACGGTAAAAAGTGGCCCTAGCAACTCATTAGTTGCGGTCTCGTGTTCTCGTCATTTTCAGTATTACGTACCACCCAGTGGATATAGTCAGTCTGAGAAATGTGCAAGGCTTGAAAGTCGTCGTATAGAGATTTGACACCGGAATACAGCCCAGCTGTTTTGCCGGGCTTTCCTTGTAGACACTTGATGGCTGTAATGAACTTTAGCCTCTCCATCTTTTCCAGATTTCTCCTACATCCAAGTATCAGCAATTTGTTTCTCAAAGAGAGTCGTCTGTGGTTCATCACCATTCTTTGCGGACTACAGGGGTATTGCATGAAGCGGCCCCATTGTAGGACTGCGGAAGGCTGGGCAGAGCAACTGTAGGAACTATTTGGCAGAGTAAGCCGAATATACCAAAGAGGCTTGGCACATGCATTGTGTTGACTAAGTTAGCTTGAGTCTAATCAGGGTTTCAATCTCTCAAGATACAGAGAACACGATATTTTTGCGAATGTGAGTTGCGCTGCATTCAATGTTGGACGCCCCGTTCAATAGGCGCCGGCCATTGCTCAAGGACGGAAGTCGGCCACTTAAATATCCACGCAGGCGACATAAACCATGCAGCAATGAACAAGAGCATGCATACTATTGCTTCGTCTATTCCTACTGCTGACTGTGCATCTCTTGCCCTGTCGTCGAGATTGGACCGAGAAGCGGGTGGAGTCGCATTGCAGATATAGCGTTGCATTACCCCATCTCACGCCCAGAGACCGTTCATTTGGATACCTTGGCATGCTGTGTGACCAAACGCACATACTATTGCAACTTCACACTACCTTAAGTGTAAGTAGTATAGGTCACGGATTAACTCCGCGGACTGTCGTGAGCCTAGGACAAGGAATTCCGTATTATCTGAACTTTGTATAATAATACTATGCTTAGTATAAGTAGTGTAGCTCAAATATCTAACGCTATACACGCTTTACACGCCGGTACCACCAATTGGATCCAAGCCTGTCTTCCCGTCGCCGACCGCATCGGCCTTGATCTCCAGCATCTCGCTCGCCAGATCGCCGCCCTCCTTGACCTGGGCACCGGACTCCATCAGAGTCGCGACGGCCTTCCTGCAGACGTCGACCAGGTAAGCCTCGTCCTCGAGGCCCGCGCTGAACCGGATCTGCTGCGCCTTGAGGCCGTAGGCCGCGTGGTACTCTGGATCCTCCTTCCCGTAGATCATGGCGTTGTAGGGCATGCAGATGGTCAGGTGTGCGCCGAGGTGCGGCCCTTGGTGGAATGCGAGGCTGTCGTAGAACACTTGTGTCTGCTCGATGGTCTCTAGCTCGACTGAGAACAAACAACCGTACCCTAACTCGGGAAATTCCGGGCTCGGCTTGCGAATGAATGGCAAGAGGTTCTCGGAACCGTCCGCGTGCGGAGGGTACATCACTCTGGTAATGGGGACCTTGGCGTCTTCGGCTTGAGTCTGAAAGTATGCAGTCATAGCAGCGGCGTTACGGTTAAGCACCACAGAGCGCGGCAGATAGTCATCGCTGTTCTTGAATAGTTGATCAGCATCTCCAGAAAAGAACTCGTTATGGAAGGCTTCGCTTAGTAGTGGTTTGAGAGTGTTATAACTGGCTTTGTTTGGGTTCAATGCGATAGAACCTGCAAGTAGATCGGCATATCCTGATAATGACTTGCTGAGTGAGGTAATGATGACATCGGCCACGGGGAGGACGTCGATGTTACAAAATGAGGAGACGGTATCGTCAACTACCATCCAGAACCCGTATTTGTCGGCCTATGATACCATTAGCTTCTTAGACTTGTGAACTTAACAGTGGTTTCGGAGATCTTACCAGCTTCCGTAGCCTAAGTAGATCAACGCTGACAAGGATCGGGTTCGATGGGAATTCTGTAAAGACGTAACTGCACTGACCGCCTTGCTCAAGGTACTTTTCGAACTCGTTCAAATCGTCCTCGTCACATTTCCCGTAGTGCTTCAGACCGCCTGGACTCTCTTCAAAGAGATGCCAACTGCTATCTTTGGTGCAAGTTAGAACCACGTGGTCTAGGTTGACAGGCGTACTACTTACGGAATACAGCACCAAATACGGCAACAGGGTAAGGCCGAGATTTCATAGCTATCTCGTGGAACTGCGAGATACCCGCCATGCCGGATTGGTACAGGTAAACATCATCGGGCTGGACGGGTTTCGCATACTGCTCCACGGTAGCACGCATGAGGAGCCCGGCTATCCTCTTACGCAGCAGTCCATGGCTCTCGACTTCCGGCAGGTACGTCGGTGACGGAGCGCCGTTGCCGCCGGGGAATGTTCCCAGATCCTTGAACGTATCGAGCTTCGCCAGGAGGTGCTCACCGAGCCGCGTCGAGAAGCCGCGTCCAGCATGCTGCCACATGAAGATGGCGCCCATCATCTTCGGTGACGGGAACTCCAGCAGATAGAGCCGAATGCCGTCGATCTCGACAACGTGGTACGTCATCTCGTCCTCCGTGAGCGCCTTCTCCTTGCGGAACTTGGACACGGCGTGGTCTCTGTTCTCATGCCACACCTCTGGGGACAGGAACGCCACGATGTTGCGGCCCTCTGCCAGCTTCAGTTGCTTACAGATACCCTGCATGAGCTAGATCTGTTCGTTAGCTGGGGACATGGTAATGGTGTGCTGGAAGTTCATACGTACGGCTGCGGATGGTCCAAACGGAAAGAAGCGCGGGTACACGCTCTTGAGCTGAGCGAACAGGCTCATATCACCATCGCGGAACCTGAGGGCGCTCTCCCATTTCGGCGCATGGAGAGTGACCGTGTGCGGCCCTTCCGGAGGCAGCGAGTGCCCGAAGGGCGTTTCTACCGCGGTTATAGTGGCCATATTGGAGGGTCCGATTTGCTGTCGAATCCTGAAAACCAAACGCCCCAGAAACCGCTTTCGTCGAAATAGCCGGCTGACAGGCCTTTAAGTACTGGTTCCGAGAGCTGACGGCGCCGGGGTTTGTAAGGCCAACAGCTGAGATCCTGCCGGCGACTTAAAAGGGGACACTACGACTAACAATGTATCCGATAGGCAAACTAATTGAGGCTAACTCCGCATTACACCCCTTGCGTGGTTGTTGGCGTCGTACAGCCCCGCATTATGTCGCTACCGCTGACTGCGAGATGGGCTTGCAAACGAATGATGCAGGACAGAAACGACAATCCGTCCTTGCCAGAGACTTATATACCGTCAGTTGCCTCGGCCACGAAAACCTGGAACTTGGAACGTGGGATAAACTCAATACGTGTCCGTGCCAGGTCGCGCTGTCCGGCCGCCCCCTAGCAGTTCCGATGGGACTTGTACATACGCAACTTGGTAGTTTTAGACATCTAGATACCAATGTCTCAGATACCCTACGACCTGATAAGGACCGTGATCTCAAACTACGTCACACGTCGCAAAACTGTTTGTGCTGGGCCCCCAGCAGGAGTGCAGGTCATACGCGGCTTTGGTGGCCGGCGGAGGGCATCGGACGTGTTAGTGCTTACAGGAACATACGGCTAGGTCCTCAAAAATAATCGTCGATGTGGAATTCCGGATGGCACATCCATGATAGTAGGACACGTATTGATACTAGGGTTTCTCGCCGCGCCGAGAGACCTAAGCTATGTTGATGATCTGGACCGCAATAATTTCTCAATCGAAACTGGTGACCCGCCATCATGGGCGACGTAAGTCCAGACGTTGTCAAGCATAGCGAACCGTAGCCGCCGTGGATAAAACCAGACTTTATTTACGAGTATCCAAGAATGCTACCAAGCCAGAAAAGAAACATGATATCTCAAGCACAGACAGCCGCCAACCGACAGCGAGCCAGTAATGCAAATGCTCCCCACTACGAATACACAGCGTGAGGAAATATATACGGCGCCCATCACCGAATCTCTCTATCCCGACCTTCGAAGGCGAAATTCAACCCGACGGCAATGAATAGAGCGCCACACAACACGCTGGGGCCCCACCTGTCGTAGAACTTTGCAGCCCTGCGTTCCCTAATAGCCGCGCTTCGGTAGAGGTAAATGCCCACGGAGTAGCAAAGAGCCATGATAGCGAGGAGGGTAAAGACACCAGCAACAATGAAAGACGTAGCATTGGGTTTTGTGCCGAAATTGAGCAAGGTCACCGCAATCGTACCAATGTAGATGGAAAATTCGAGCTAGAAGAGACGTGTTAGCAAGCAGTAATCAAGTTAGGTCGAAAGAGGTCAACTTACCCATCCAAGGAATGTCCTCTCGGCGGCGAAATACACCTTTGGCTCGACGCGAACAGGTACGTAGATCTTCTTTCCCTTTGGCGCCTTGAATTTCTTGGTTTGAAGTTCTTGGCCACCAAAGAACATGCGCTGCCGATTGCTCGGTCCAACTTCGCTTGCGCGCGGAACCGGTGCGAGTGTTTTGATAGCAGTCTCAAGACCGCGGCCAGCAGCTCGTGCGTAGCTCTTGCCGAGGGCAGAATAATACGTCCAACCGCCAACCCTCCTTGACTCTTCGAGGGCATCTTCGGAGTCATATTCGTCGTCAGAGTCATACAGAGGGTAGTCCTCGTTAGGCGCTATATCTTCAGCCGTCTGGTTCTCGAGATCCGCTAGGTTGAGAGCTTGGCCCCCGCTTAGTGCAGACCGGCCATTGGAACCACTGTGTTGCGGCCCGCCAGGTCCTTCGTCCGTATCCGAATCGAGATCGTCCTCATCGTCATCGTCATCAGAGGTGGTTCCGCTCGTCGGCGATTGCCCAGGACGGCGGATACCAAAGTTTTGCATAACCGGCTTCCGGATGTCCACATCCATCTGGGGCATCCAGAAGGGCAACAACTTGATCCGATCAGGGAAAAGCGTAGCCGTTCCATGGATGAACTTGGAGAACTTGGGTACAGCTTCAACCAGATGGCTGGAGATAAGCTGTCGAACCCACTCCGGAGGCTCTTGCCCGTGCTGGGTCTGGAGCTTTACCTCCAAGACAGCATAGGGGAATTTCTCAATATCGCCAGGCGGCAGCTGGGAGAACGGATAGTCGACACCAATGTCCATGCGCCGCCAGTTGTCACCAGAGCGCTTGACGCCGTCCAAGTTGTCTTCACGGACCATGGTGAGCTCGGTGTCAAGCGAGATACGGACGCGAGCATCTGCCGGAAGCTGGAAGGCCGTTCGATTGTAGAAAGACCGGCACACTGGCTTGTAGCCCTTCTTCAAGATAGACCACTGGATCTCTTGAGCCAGCTTCTGATCTTCCGCAATCTGCTTCTCCGACTTCTTGCCATCCTTGCGCGCCTTCTCGAACAAAGCAGCCGGCAGAAGATCTCCCCGCATGTAGGCGTTGACATTCTTCTCCTTGATAGAGAAGCGTGCTTTGACCGACTGCTCGCCAGTCCAGTCCTCTCTGTGCGTCTTTCGCTCGACAAAGATCTGATCGTTCTGCATGCCGCCATACCAACGCAGACGTATGGCCTCGGCACCCTCTGTCTTCTTGAGGCGGCCTTCGTACAGGTCCCAGGTGTCGGGGTTATCATAGTAGATGGAGGTGATGGCGGCGTCCTCGGCCTCAAACTCCTTCTTGGGGTTGAAAACCAGCACGGGAAGATGCTTCAGGATGATGAGCTTGAGCTCCGTGATGTTCTCCTTGTGCACCCAGTACTTGGTCGTCTGTCGCACAAAGCTGCCCTGGCTCCCGCCAGCAGCGCTGTCTCCCTTGATGGGGTTGCCTCGGGTTCGTACAACGTCGTACATCCGGGAGAGCTTGACGACATCGCGATCGTAGTCCTCCTTGAAGAAGGCCTTCTGGCTCATCATGACGCCCCAGATCGGCTTCAGGTGCTGGTTGGTGACCTTGTCGTGCTTCTTGACGATCTTGAGGAAGCCGGTGTAGTTGACCTGGACGAACTTGGCGAGGTCGTGGACGTCGGCAATAATGTCGCTCAGGAACTCCTCGCGGGCGATGAACTCCTCCTCGCTGGGGCCCGGCTCGTTGGGCCCGCGCTCGTGCATGCGCTTGACCAAGGCATCGACCTCCTTCTGCTCCCACATGATGCGGCGCTGGATCTCGGACGTCTTGACCTGGGTCTTGCTGTAGACCTTGTCGAGCTGCTCGTCCAGCAGACTGACAAACTCGACCTCGTCATCGTTGGTCCAGGCGCTCGCGGAGGCGGCGGAGGAGGAAGCCTCCTGGGCAGGTCGGGTGGCCTTCTTGAGACACTGCTTGAGGGCGTCGTAGTCGATGTAGTGCCATTGGTACTCTGAGATGATGCTCGAGTGGAGCTGCTCGCCGAACTTCATGACGACGGTGCCGGGCGTGGCGCGCCAACCTTGGGGGACGGTGCCTGTTCGGGTCGAGATCCAAGTCTTGGTCTGAGTGCGTATATCTTGAACAATCAGCATGTGGTGGTCATGGGAGCGATTGGGGCGGGATGGCAGTCGATGGCAGTCGATAAGACAACGAGGACCCGGGTGACGAGTATCGTATCGCAAACAAGCACGTGGATCTGGGGCCTGGGGAGGGCTGGGAAGGACTGGAAGCGACAGCAACACGCACAATCAACAGTGACTCGTCCTGTTCCTGTCAGAGGAGGAGGTGGAGGAGGACGATGAGGAAGCTCAGCACATGGAAGAAGCAGTAGCTCCAACTCTGATGGGCGAGCCGCAAGGGCAAGGGCAAGAGCGGCGGCAAGAGCACGAGCACGAGCACGAGCACGCGCAGGCGGCCAATAACCAGTCCTTGGTTATGCTGCAGGAGGGGATTAAATCTCAGCAGCTGCAGGTGAGGCGGAGAGAAGAGCAACGGCCGGGGACCGGGTGCAGAAGTAACTCGACAGTACGAGGACGATGCGTCGGCAGGCAAATGTCAAGCTTTTGGGACTCTGGGTCTCTGGATGACGGAACAGCAGCCCCACGATAGCTTGTGGCGCCGGTTCAGCTGCAGTCCAGCCAGTCCGGGACGAGCTACACCAGACCGGACCAGCACTTGTTTTTTTCCTTCGTCTTTTTGTTGCTGGACTGCGGGCAGGGCCATTGGCCAATTGACGTCCCGTTACACAAGCACGTGGCGGCCCTTGGCCCATCGCTGTCTCTGCCGACCAGGTAACTTCGCACTCTGGCGGGTCTGGTAGCTTAGCAACGTTTTGGTAGATGCCCCACTGTCCAAGCTTGAACAACAGTCCGGCCAGGACCCCCTGCCGCCCCCCCAACCGCGGAACGAACCGACCTATGGCGGTCATGGGTGGTTGTCCAGTGGTTACATAACATGTCACAGAGTGGATGACCTAGCCAGAACAACCGTCTACGAGAGAACATGTGCAGCAACCCTGGTCGTTCTTTGTCGTGTATGCACGTAGCAAACGTTCTGAAAGATAGCATAGCACTTCGAACCGTGTGGTGAGACCTTCCCGTGCCGTCTCTTGGTGGGGTCGAACGGAACCGGCTGGCCTGACGCTGCTAAGCCTGAACACAAACTGTGAACGCAGCCGCCCCAAATGGCTGGCCTGATGATTGGATGTGGCCGAGTCGAGTTCCAATGGCCGTATCATTGGCCGTGGGCACCTCAATTCCGCCCCGCGACAAAAAATCGATTTTCGCTGGAGCTACCCCGCAGTGCGCTGAAGCTGGCCACTAGGTATGTAATTACATGCTGCCTCACGGTACCTGAAATTTTGAGTATCGTATACCACCAAAAGGCAAACAGAAGCTTCGCCTCTGCCCACTTTCGGATGCTATACCCTGACAAATATAGTGCATGTAAAGAGTACACCCCCATCTCATAACAATAGGGCATTTAATATCAACACTGCTTGAGAAACTCATTCACATCCACGCATATACACCCGCCATGGCGGCCGATAAAGACAGCCTCGACACCCGCGTCCCGCCGACCTGCCCCGCGGCCATCTCACAGATCCTCACCCACGCCTGGCACCACGACCTCGCGGGCCTGAAGCCACTGCTCAATGTGCCCGGCCGGGCGAGCGTCCAAGAGCCCACCACAGGCGAGACGCCCCTGCACGCCGCCATCCGCGCCTGTGGACCGGCCGCGGCCGGTAGCAACAGCGACCCGGCAGCGGTCAAGGCCGCAACCGCCGTTGTCGAGGAGCTTTTCTTCAGCGGCGCCATCTGGAATGACGTCGACTCGAACAATGAGACCCCCGGCGACGTAGCTGCCCGGCTGGGCCAGACCGACCTGTATACTATGTGCGTTGAGGCTGGTGTGAGGGCTGAGCTGCTCTTTGGCCTGCTGGAGGGCTACGAAGCGCTCTCGTCTGAAGACGAGGACGAGGATATGGCGGAGGCGGAGGCGGAGGAGGCAGGTGGCGAGAACGGCACCGCTGAGGTAGAGATCGAAGACCCCGACGAGGCCCCCGAGCTCGTTGACACCGAGATCGTCGACGAGAACCCCGACCGCGCCTTTGCGCCCCCTCAACCCGCCAACGGCGGCGACGTCAACAGCGAGGACTACCTGCGGTCCAACCTGGTGTACTCGGACGGCAAGCTGGTCGACGCCGACAAGAACGGGGTCATGATGGCCTGGGAGACGTCTATCATGCGCGCCTCCGTCGATGCGCTGCTGCCCGGCCTCGAGGCGGGCCGCAAGATTCTGAACATTGGCTTCGGCATGGGCATCGTCGACAAGATGTTCCACGAGACCAAGCCGGCCAGACACCACATCATCGAGGCGCACCCCGAGGTCCTGGCCTACATCAACGGCCCGGACTGCGAGTTCGGCAAGGACTGGGAGGCGGCCGGGTCGGAGAAGGGGGCCTACCAGGTCCACGAGGGCCGATGGCAGGACGTCATACCCCAGCTCCTCGAGGCTGGCGAGACCTACGACGCCATCTACTTTGACACCTTTGGAGAGGATTACGCCCAGTTGCGCATGTTCTTCACCGAGTATGTGCCAGGACTGCTAGAGGAGAGCGGCAAATTCAGTTTCTTTAACGGACTTGGTGCCGACAGGCAGATCTGCTACGACGTCTACACCAAGGTTGTCGAGATGCATCTGTCCGACGCCGGAATGGATGTCGAGTGGCGCGAAATGGACGTCGACATGCAGAGGCTCGGCGCAGAAGGTGAGGGTGAGTGGGAGGGTGTCAAGCGGCGGTACTGGACACTAGACAGTAAGTTTCTCGGATGCTCTAGTACGTTTCTCTTGGTGTGTCCACCCATCTAATCTTGAGCCAGAATACCGACTCCCCGTTTGCGCTTTCATGGGTTGATCTATGATTTGATATCCATACTTCGTGTATCGTGGTCGGAACTTCCGTTGTCGATTGCACGAATGCTCCCTACATCACCGGGCTGGGCTCTCACCGGAGCTTAGCTTCCGGTCCGACATCGATCCTAGACCTAGCATCGTAGGTACCGGCCTGAAGTTGATGGTCTATGATGGATACATCATCCTATCTTGCCATTCTCGCTCGCATTCACGCTCTCAAGCAGCTTGAGGCTTGCAGCATCAGACAGACTGAGAGGCCACAGCCCAACGCTGGATAGCGCATCATGGTCTGTTAATGTCGTAAGAGAGCCATGCCAGTCTCGGTTATTCGTGAACCACTCGACCAGGATTAGAATGCTTCGGACAATCTTCCCAGCGCGTGGCTGCTCGGATTGCACATGGTGCATCCGCGACGATGTTGACTAGTCTACAGAAACTTTGAAGTGTCTACAGGAAAGCAGCTCATCTTGGCTATTCGACAGAATATACATCATGTCATGTCTTGACAACTTCGTCGGAAGGTCACTAGCACATACAGTAGAAATAACAAGGCCAACTGCCCCAAAACAACCATCGCAATCTGCCACCGATCTTTGAAGCTCGTACTTCAATTGAGATACAGCAAGTCATATTTTGTCTCAGATATCTGAATGTTAAGTGGTCAGTACAGACTTGTCTCAAAGATTGATGTAGGCGTGTGCACTTCGAAGTGTTCGCCCGGCGTCTTGGAAATGTAGTGTGATACAAGTGTGAAAGGATTAACGCTTGAGAAGAAACAAGATTCTTCCAGACCATGCAAGTTGAGGCAATTGGAAGTTATATAGCCCAACCAGACTGCTTCATTGGCTCAGCTGTAATTGTGGCTTTTCAGCCGCTTCAGCTCCCCCACTTTGGTTAGGCAAGCATGTAGATATGAACGCTTGCTGCCCGTGCAGTCGAGGACGGCAAGGTGTTGATGCGGTGTCCTAAGTACAGGAAGCCCACATAACTGAGAAATCACGAGATGAGGAAATTCCTCGGGTCCCGGTTGAACGCCTTACGAGACGGAGTCCTGGGAAGCGCCAGAGAAGCGGAAGCATTCGAGGAGGGATATCCCACCCTCAGCTTTCCTCAAGACGTACCAGGCGCAGGCTCGCTGTGTCCAAGATGTCTGACACTTCTCTCGCATGTCATCACGCGCTTTGGGGACGGATCTGGATGTGAGGGTGACGAACTCCCCCACTCATTCTCGATCCCGGCTTCGACGCCGGCCTGTCCCATATGTAAAAAGACCAGGATACTGTTCGATGGCGCCAGGGCACATGTGTCTTTCGAAGAGTCGCTTCGGAGGAACGCGACGGAGCAATGGAAATTAACGTGGCGATTGAGCACGGTGGAGGCAAAGACATATCCGCAATATACGCTTCCCTACGGCTGCGTCTCCGTACTTATGACTGCGACGCACAGGGGGGGCTATGGATGGGGCATCGGCGGATTCAAGATATTCCCGGACTGCAGCAAGCCAGGAGAAGATGCAGGCGAACATGGAGGTGACGGGGCCGTACGACCCAAAAGGAGCCCAGGAGACTACCCAATAATAAGCTCGCTCGATCCATCTACGGATGCTTCTACGTCCGCTTCGCCGCAGCTGGACTTCACGTCGACTGCGGGCTCCGGCAGTCTGTCGCTGGTCACGTCTTGGGGCCAGGAGTGTGCTGCAAAGCACACTCAGTGCAACCATATCTTTGGGGGTGAAGGCATCGGTACGCCTGCGAAGCCGTGGTTCCCGGATCGCCTGATACGGCTTTCCACGACGCCGGACATAAAAAGCGTGCCAGTTGGCCAGGAAGTGCAACTCAGCGCGAGGATTGTGGAAAAGTCGGACTTACAAGACTTCTCCCCGGACCAGACCGGGAAGGAACTCCAGTATTTCTCTCTGTCTCATTGCTGGGGGCCCCCTCCCGACCCATCGGCGCCGCTCGGGGGCAGAGTGAAAGATGTGCTCACGAAGGACAAGCTCTCCGCCTGGAAAAAAGATATCGACGTGGATGACCTTCCATTGACGTTCCAAGATGCCATCAGGGTGTGCATCATGCTGCATGTGGATCACATCTGGATCGACAGCTTGTGCATTATCCAAGACAGCTTGGAAGACTGGCAGACGCAGAGTGCCGTAATGGCCGACATCTACAAGTTCGCATGGCTGAACATAGCTGCCCTGTCCGCTCTGTCGGACGACGAAGGCTTCATCAACAACAGCAGAGACCCCAAGGTAGAATTCGGCTTTCGGGCAAGGTACAGCCAGATACTCGGCGCCAACGCCGCCAAAAGAAACTCCAAGGGCCAGACATGTGTTCTCCTTGATGGCCAAGCTACCTTAGTCTGGAACGCAGCGGCTGATTTGCCAGGCGCCTCGTCTGGGAATGCGCCGCTCTACCAGCGCGCCTGGGTCTATCAAGAGCGCAACCTCGCACGGCGAACCCTGGGCTTCACCAAGCAGGGCATTTCGTGGGCTTGCGATGGCTTCGAGCGTAGTGAATACCCCGGCGAGGGGAGTCTCGTGGAAGCAGCGAGGCTGAGGCAGACGCTCCAGTCCGTCGTTGACACCGCATACAAGCTGGTCAGTATCAAAAGCACTGCGAGTCCAGAGCAGGCGGCCATCGAGCAGCAGACGCAGATACGTCAGCTGCGCGAGCGGTTTGACTGGCGCTGGCACAGCACCATTACGGCGTACACTCTGTGCGGCCTCACGAAGCAGACGGACAAGCTCATCGCGCTGTCTGCGGTTACACGCGAATACGGAACGTCCGGCCTGACCATGCAGAAGAGGTACCTCGCTGGCATGTGGGATATCGGCCTCCTGTTCCAGATGGCCTGGATCACCGTGGAAGGGAAGACGACGCCGAAGCGAAAGGCCGTCGGAGAGGAAGGATACATGGCGCCCAGCTGGAGCTGGGCAAGCATCGAGGGGCCCGTTCAGCCGCGGCTCATGTTCCCCAAGCCCGGCTTGATCGCGCTCGCCGACTTGCTGGCTGCAGACGTGGTCTTGCAGACCGAGTTCAAGTATGGGCCGGTCAAGGCTGGATGGGTCAGGCTTCGCGGCCGTTTGAATCGCGTCAAAACCATTGGGAGTCGCGGGCGGTCATTGTACTTGACTGACCAAACCACCGGAGAGGACCTTTGGTTCTGTTCGGATACAGTCGAGGGTCGCGATACCTCCCTGTGGCGAAGGAACATCCAGAAGGTGGTATGGGTGCCACTGATTGTGTCCCACGACCGCACGGTGTTGTCATGCAACTGTCTTGTTCTGACGGAGGTTGATGGATGCAGTGCTGGAGATCAGTTTATACGGCCGGGCGAGAAGGTCTACAGGCGACTGGGAACAGGCAACTTTGGCCGCATACCGAGCAAGCTTCGGGAGGACGCATTGCTCCTGGAACTCGGCACATATCCCCAGAATGACGAAGATGCGGGGCGTTTGATAAAGGGGTTCAGGCGAAATGAGGAGAATATGGAAGAGTTTGTTTTGATTTGAGCGAAAGTAAATCTCATCTTGGACGAGTGCTAGCTTATTGTTGTTACTACATTATATTTGACTATAATGAAGGTTAAGAAACTTGCGCCCGTGTTACGAGTTGAGAGCAGGGCGTCCTATCAGAGGTCTGAAATCGGGAAATACCCATGACTGTGTGGAGTACGGGATAGGCTACGTATAACACCGTTACGTGACATTACATTTCTAGATTTTTCTGCTTCTGGGATAGGGTTAGCGGCTCGCAATGCTTAGTCTTCTTGTGGAGTGTGTTTGGGTATCCAAGAAGTAGGATCAGAACGCCTTGAAGACGGCCGCCCAAATTGTGACACGTAAACTATTTGTGTATAATTCACAACGTATCGTAGATGACCACTAGAAATATAGCCAGCAGAGTTGTCTATTCTATAATGCTTGCCCATTTCTACCGCGTAAGGAACGCTAGTGCAGAATGGTCCGTTGCCTTCGGGCAATGTTATTATCTAAAGTTCTCCGGGTGAAGGATACCTGCAAGGTTGCCGGCTTCGACACGCTTCAGGGTCAGAGCCGCAATGAGAGCAGCGCCCACACCGCTACCATCTTCGGCGGCCAGGATCTCGATGGGGTCTTCCTCTCTGAGACTCTTCTTTGCCGGCCAGTCGAGGATTTCGCGTAGGGCCTGAGCGCCGCGTGCCTTGAAGTGCGGGTACTTGTTGAAAACGGAACCATCCGCACCAACGTGGCACGATTGCATGTTCTTCTTCTTGCAGATAGCAGCAACACCACAGGCGGACAGGCGCGCAGCACGTGTGCCGATCAGTTCCGCAGTGCGGCGAATGAGTTCGAGCTCGGGGCGGGTGCAAGCCAGGTTGAGCTTATCAGAGAAGAGATCTGCAGTCTCTTGCAAGTTCTCAAAGGGGTCGCTATATAGCATCAGTATCATGAACACGTCCAATTATTAAAACTTCGATAGACTTACTCCTCAATAGCGGAGAGGAATGAGGCATCCAAGGAGTAAGGCTTTCGGAGCTGCTTGAGATCCTGACCCTCGAACATGTGGATGTCCTTGTTGTCGTGAAGATCCACCATGACTAGACGGAAGATCTCTCCGAGGTAGAGACCTGCAATCATCTTCTCAAACGCCTGCTGGCCAGGTCGCGGCGACTCTTTGTCAATGATGATGTCGTAGGGCGTCCGGGGCAGGACCTTGTGCTCGTTGTCGAAAGCGCCCCACTCGCAGTTGATAGCCATGGGGGCATCCGCTGGCAGGTTCATGTGAGCCAGCTTAGGAATCGAGCCACAGTTCTCCATGTACGCAGCGTTGCAACCCGTGCCGAAGATACAGCCGACAGCCATCCTGGGATCCGTGTAGGCGGAGGCAATCAGGGTACCAGTCGTGTCGTTGATCAAGGCAGAGACCTTGATGGGAACGCCCTAGGATTGTTCAGTTTAGTATTATGAGACGAATGTACAGTCCAGGCCTGTAAACTCACCCGGGAGTCAAGGGCAGCCTCAAGCATAGGGACCACATTCTCGCCCTCGACGCCAGCAATATCAAAGCCCTTGGTCCATCGCTGAAGGACACCCTCATCGATGTAGTTTTGAGAGGCTGGATAGGAGAATGTGAAACCAAGAGGAATCTTGCCGCCTTCGGTAGGCGGGGTATCTCCGTGGTGGGTATCAATGAATTGTTGCAGACAGTCGGCAATGTATTCCCAGAGCTCCTCGGACTCTCCCGTCTTAAGCTCCTCGGGCATGCGGTACTTGGATTGAATGATGTCGAACTCCGACTTGTTATCCGTCAAAGTGATCTCGCAAACACGCAAGTTCGTGCCACCCATATCCAGAGCCAAGTATGTGCCGGTCTCGTAGCCGTCGGGGAAAGCCATAACCCATGTAGGGTTCATGGGCTATATATCGCGTCACTCGTTAGTTCTCGCAGGTCGCGGGCCAAGAGGTTGTCCAAGGGGGAGAACGTACAATGCTACCACCCTCAACACTGAGACCTGCGACACATTAGCCCTGACACGACGCCTCTGGAGGCAAGCACATACCCTTCTCCAATTCGGTGACGAAATGGTCAGAGATCTGCTTCAACTTGCTCGTATCGACAGTAAATTGCTCCTCAAGCTTCTTGATCTCTTGGAGCAAGTCCTTGGGAACATCGGCCATCGATCCTGAGAGACACCGCGAGTTAGTATTGTGGGCGAAAGATGCACGATCGAGAAAGACAACCATGGTGATAAGTGTGCCTCCGCGTGGTGGCGCCACAGGCGGACGACCATCTCCAGAGACTTTGACTGGATCGAGGACGCGGCGGTTGTGTTGGTGAGAGCATAGGGAATGATATATCGTATCACAGGCAGATACGAGACTCTTGAACTATGTAAGGTGTGTGCAAGGATGCTAGGAGATGAATCGTTTGCGGGAAGCAAAATGTCATAGGGTAGGGCGATGAATCAGAAAGATCTGGTGCAATCCTGAGGCATAGCTTGGTGTTTGAGATTCGAGCTCGCCGTCAGCAGAGGCAGAGCTTATCAACCATCCGACCAGTCCGCTTGAACGACCTTGCCGGCAAACGTCGATGCCATGTCATCTGTCTTCGGTGGAGTTGCGCCTGCCACTCTGACGTAGGGACATATCTCGCACGTCTCTCACAAAGCCTGGCTCAGCGACCAAGCCTGTGGTAAAAGGTGGACACAGATGATGTTTTTGCCCTCGGGGAGATTACTCCCCAAGACCCATTCCCAGATGCGATCCATTCGGGAGCTTCGCGGAGCTTCTCCCAGGAACTTCCGGGTATCCGTCTGTCCGACCAGCAACGGGCGACGGCCAGAATCAAAAACAAACCCCAAAGGATAGACGCAATGGAAACGGGCGGCAGGTACTACATACCCTTTCGGGACGGTGGCTTGCGAGGACCCAATCCGACCATGTTGGCGATTTGTCGGTCTTGTCGAGGGCGAAGGGAAACCTGGAGGGCAGTTGAGCTTCAAGTCTAGTGACGCAACCAGTGACAGGTGGGACCCACGAAGAGCTGAGACTGCAAAAGGCAGATAATTCTATGGAGATAGCACAGTCAAGGGAGGGGACGTTGCTGTAAGGTCACAAGCTGAAATGCACAAGAAAGAAGAAAAGAAGTCAATCTTTCTGTCCAGAAAATTCCTCAGAGCTGCAAAACTTACTCGTCAGCTCGTGGTGCAGTGGCGGTGGTGAAGTTGGGCGCGTCCGTCCAGGGGAGGGTCCGGTGAGGGGTTGTTAGTAAGGTTGGCTGAAACTACTGCGTCAGTCCAAGCTTCCTGCCAGCCCTGCACTGCACAGAAACCATTGATCGATCCCCTAAAATGGGAGTCCAAGCCCACCGAGTCCCACGCCTCAGCAACCTACCGGCCGGAGCAAGGCCGCGGCGCCGGTTCCCAAGAGCAGTGAGGCCCTATTGGGACCCTTGTAAGTGGGTCGACTCAACATGTCACTACCTACAGTACGCAAGTTGTGAGCCATAGTACTACGTTCTAGAGCGGTGTGGAGGAGTAGCGCGGTGACAGCGAAGCACGGAGGGAAGGTCGAGCGCGTAGGGGCATCAGACGAGGTGCCCAGTAGTGAGGCACTATGCCCGGATGGAGGTCCCCCAACGATGCTCATGGATGCATCATCGTGCCATGCCGCTCCGAGTTGGCTGTCAGCTCTGTCAAGGTGGTATCGAGGCTTCCTAGTCGCAGCTGCAGACGCTTGCGCGGATTGGATTGGCCAATTGCAATTACACCGAAAGTTTCGTAAATGTTGAGACATAACACAAAGGGTTTCCCGTTGCCTCTCAAGCTCTCAACCTCGGGCTTTGTTGATGGTTTTCTACAGACGCTGGCAGGCCAGACACCTCCATGTCTCGGCTCTATCCAATGCACGCCAGGATGGCTCTGTGGGAGGTACGTATGAGCTGTCAGAAACCACCCCGCGACCCGAATTCAAGTCGCAGGTGGGATGAGACGGGCCCAATTGGCTCCCTGGTGGGGGTTCTGTCCTGGATCAGGAACTCTTATCGATAAGGGACGGGGCATCCCCTGTACCATGGTAAGGTAGTCCACCTGGCCTGTGGACAAGTACCTAGGTACCTGGGCCACCCCCGACTCCACTCCACTTCCCTGACCGGATTAAACAAAGCCCTCAATTCCGACCCAAGGGACCCCGAAAGGCGCAACGTAAGCTTCTTGGAGGACAGCTGTGAGTTGATGTGTAGCTGTCTTGAAGCCAGGCCGGGCCAAGCCAAGACATCTCGCAAGTCCACGACGCATCTTTTGCTGCCACCGCCTCGACTTCCTTTTTCCTTCCCCTTCTTGTCACCAATCGCGCGTTCCTGGAGCTGCTCAATGGTTGAGCACTCCTCGCGGCAAGGTTTTCCATCATGAAGTCGATCGCAGCTTTTGCGACCGCGTTCCTGTCCCTCCTGTCGCCGGTAGCAGCCGACGCCAACGTAGCTGGTCCTTCGATTTCCAAAGTCGTCCTGCCGTCCACCTTCAAGCCGCCCCAGGTCTTCAAGAACAACAATCTTGTCCATGCCATCTCGCTCGAGAAGAACTTTGCCAAGGAGTCGGTCAATGTCGTGATCGAGAATGCCTCGGGGGAGCCTCAGGATGAGTACTTCCTGCCATTCACCGGCGATCAGATGGAGAGAATCGGCGGCATCGAGGTGAAAGACCGCAAGGATGCTGCCGTGACCGGCTTCGCCGTCGAGGCTGTCGAGTTTGATCCATTGAGGTAGGGCGAGCCAGCCGCCTTGTGCCGTTTCCAGCAGCTCTGGTAGCTGACAAGGAGACTACAGTGACACGCAGTACTACCGAATCCACCTGCCGACGCCCCTTCAGCCCAAGGCCCAACAGACTCTAGGCATCTCCTACTACTACCTCAAGGCGTACACACCACTCCCGGCCGCCATCGAGCAGACAGAGAAGCAGTACCTCGTCTACCCCTTCTCCGCATACTGCCAGTCCGCCTACCCTACGCTGAAGCAGAAGACCGAAGTCAAGTTTGCCTCGTCCGATATCCCCGACTACACCAGGATTGCCGGCCACGGTGATGTGGACGAGTTTCCACAGAAGCAGGGCTCCAAGCTCGTCTACGGTCCCTTCCCCGAAGTCCCCGCTGGAGCTGTGTCGCCCGTCAAGGTCCGCTTCGAGTTCACCAAGCCCGTTACCCACGTCTCTGCCCTCGAGCGCGATGTGGAGATCAGCCACTGGGGAGGAAACGTCGCCTTTGAGGAGCGCTACACCCTGTTCAACCGCGGGGCCAACCTGTCGGCACTGTTCAACCGAGTCAAGTGGGCACAGTCACAATATTTCAACCCGCAGTCGTACGCTCTTAAGGAGATGAAGTTTCAGCTCGATGGTGGAAGCAAGGATGCCTACTTCACAGATGCTATTGGCAATGTGTCGACTTCGCGGTTCCGAACCAACAGGCGCGAGGCCTCGCTCGAGATCAAGCCTCGGTACCCCGTGTTCGGCGGATGGAAATACCCCTTCACCATCGGCTGGAACTCGGACTCCAAGAACTATCTAAAGAAGAAGTCTGGTGACGGCTATCTCCTCAAGGTTCCGTTCCTCGAGGGCCCTAAGCAGGCCGAGGGTATCGAATACGAGCAGATCCACCTGCGAATTCTTCTGCCGGAGGGTGCCGAGTAAGCTCCAGCCCCGAAACGGAATCACCTCTCATCTACTAATCATGTGCATAGGAATGTCAAGTACTACACGTCGATCCCAGAGTCGTCCATCACCGAGTCTGTGGTGGACCAGCAGAAGACCTACCTGGACACGATTGGTCGCACCGTCTTGACGATCAAGGCTCGCAACGTCCCTGACGACTTCAGGGACCGCGAGCTGTACGTGTCCTACGACTACTCGCTGCTTGCCAGCCTCCGCAAGCCCCTTGTTATCTTTAGCAGCGTCATCTCTGTTTTTGTTGGAACTTGGTTACTATCCAAGGTCGAGGTCAAGTTCTCTACCAAATAGAGCAGGGCGAGAGCGGACAATTGTAATTGTATGTAAATACCATGGAAAAGCGCATGGTTCTCAGTATTTGAGCGGAGAGAAGAAAGAGAGGAAATGACACTATGATATGATTCTGATTTGCCCGTGACTTGTTCTATATCTGGGTTTTGGTTTGATTACAGGCACTTCACCGCCAGACTCCTGCTGCAAGTCGGGGGATCTCGAGGATCTCGATAGCCCAAGTTGACCTCTCAGCGAGTGACTATGGAAACGAATGTCTGAAACACCCAGAGCCAGTTGCAGCCTGAACCTAGACACCACCAGAAATTCGAAGGGTCGATGCAGGGTCCAAGGGTCTAGTCTCAAAAACTCCCGTGCCAGCCGTTGAAGACCGTGTGGCTGACCACAGCCGACTCCACCACCCTCAGTCGCCTACTGCTGCAGGCTGACGTCGCTGCATCATCATAGGCCAGGCTCCTAATGCGAACCCGCATAACCTCTGTCTGCACTTACACGGCAGGACGGTCGGATCATCTGGAGGATCGTCGCCCGGCTGTCTAGACACCGTTGCACAGAATCCGTGGTCTCACCTTGGCTCGGAGGGGTTGGCGTAGACAGTCGCGAAAAGTTCGAGTCCTAGGTTGCATCTCAGGTTGACCGACGCTGCGGTTAGGGTTACGGAGGCAACCGCCGCTCGTGTTGAGTCTGCCGTGGCCTTGGCTCCGCCGACTTGGTTTGCCACGGCCTTGCTCACACGACACAAGAGAGTTCTGAGCTAGAGGCTCTGGACGTAACGGTCAGGGCCCGTGTCGTGAGGCTCTCAAGGCGGAAAACCGCCATGGCCTTGGACAGAAAACGCCGGGCCGCGTCGATGTGGTGGTGTGCGTTGCAGGGAACTGGGATCCTTCTCAGTCAGCTCGCTTGGACCAGGGAGTGTGCAGGGATCGCAACCTGGCTCTTACCGGGAGAACTTGATATACTGTAGTACTCAGAGGAACCCTGAGAAACCGCCTTGGAAGCCCGCGTGATACGCCCGCTTGACCATGGGCTTTTTGTTCTTTTTTCGGGCGATCAGGCTCGGTGTGATGCGAGGGACCTTGGGACTGTCTTGGTTGTCATCGAAGATGCTAGGACGGTTCGCCGTGGCAGAGTCCCCGGAATCTAGATAAATACCAGGCTCTGTCCACGTCTTTCGCTGTGTTCTTCAACTCATCTAATTAATCACTTGACTATATTCAATCTATTCGACATCTCTTAGACGGTCGTCACACGGAAGCAAACCTAATCCCTCCGCATCCATCGTGAACTATACTCCGGCTCAGCACAGGAGCCCGCCTTATAAATGACCTACACAACGACTACAACCCGCACCTACGTCTCCGCGCAAAACATGTGCTTCCGAGCAGAGCCCAAGAAGCGGTACTATTACCACGAGGAGATCATTCCCGTGCGACAAGCCCGCCACCATCACCACCACTCGCACGCGCCGCGGGCGAGCTACCACTCCCACCATACACACAGCCCGCGCGTGAGCACGAGCAGCTACCGGCGCAGCGGCCCGGTCGTCTACACCGAGCGGACCAGCAGAACCAAATACGTTTAAGCAATAATGGGGGCATTTTGCCTCGAAATCTTATAGAAGGGGGGAGGACGCAATGCAAGCTGATCCCTTGGCCACTCACACCAACCCCGGGACGCTCAGCATCGTGTCGTGGTGTATCACTTAACTACGAAGAGAAAATGCGGCTTCTTCTTTGCTACTTGTTTTAAAGATGTTTAATCCCGATATATGAGGCGCCGGCGTCAAATTTCTTTCTCTTGGTTGTCATCGGGTCGGGGTGGTGGTCTCTGAAGTTTTCTCATACAAAAAGCGTCCGGCGTACGACGAATTGGCACCACCGAGGCTTTCGGTGCGTCATAGGGGACTCCCGGTGTGGAGGGGTTCGTTCAATTGAGGTGCCCAGGTGGTGTGGGTGGTCTGGCGCGCCTGTGCGGCGCTATGGCCAAGCCGGAGCGGGGGTCTCAGTTGACAGTTACGCCAAATGAAGAGTAGTATCGAGAAACATGATGTCATTTATTCGCACTTTCGTCATCAGATTCCACTGGTGATAGCCCGGCTGTGATCATGAGCACGCATTTTTTTGGTGATAGGGGCTCGTAGCTTATGATTGCAGTCTACCTAGTCTGCTGTTACAGATCATAACATTTCCTAGGTCTGCGCAGAAAAGTAAGGTAGAAGAATATATTACCTGCATTGTTCCAACTTCGACTTACACGCCGAAACTCTCAATCCCGGCCCCTGTTCGACTATATTGCAACGTCTCGTATTCTGTGCCCCACTGATTGACACTGGCATCTGGAATCACAGCAAGCACTCTCCTCCAACCAACTCTTGTAAGTCTGACAGGCATGCTTCCTGGTGGGCCTGCACTTGGCAGTGTTCGTCGCTGCTGCTCGATGGATAGAGTGCTGGATCAAAGAGATGAATTATAATGCGCAGGAAAGAACGAACTGCTAACTCATCCTAGACGTAAACACCTCATCACCACTCCAGAGCAGTCCTCCCCAGAAAGCCACCAATATGTAAGTACAACAGTCTCACTACACACGGTCAGCACTGGTTACATGCAATCATGGATATGTTCCGAGACATCCGTCGCAAGAGCCTCTCGTTCTTGAAGCCCGAAGAAACAACGCAGGGATGGGGCTAGAAGCAACCTCCTGCAGTCGAGATTCATGCGGTGGAGCAGGGCGGGGACTTCCTCGAGACGGAGTTTCTTTCGAGAAAAGAGTTGAACATATCCGAAGAGACGAATGAATCGGAGCTTTCCGATCGCCTATATCGTCGCCCCGGCCACGCTGCGTTGAACCTCAAGATTTGCAAAGGATTGTACCCTTACTTACCAGAATCATGGACACACAGGAATCGCGCTCTCTCCATCCGCTCGAACAAGGCGAAGTCAGGGGGCTCTGGACCGACCTCACCCCCGGGTCGCAGGCCGTTCTCGTTCGGATCACTCCGCGGTAACATGCAGCCCGAGCTGTCCCGCAAGCTGTACAAGGTTATCAAGTCGTCGAACGACTTGATCACGGCGCACGATACCGCAGGCAAGGAGCGCACGGTCATCGGCACTCAGCTCTCTGAGTGGGGCGAGGGTACTCAAGATGATGCCGTCTCAGATATCAGTGACAAGATCGGTGTAGTCTTGTCGGAGCTCGGTGTCCAGGAAGACACGTACGCGCAAAACCTCGAGGAATCCCGGACCATACTCAAAGTCATCCGTAACACGGAGAAGAGCGTCCAGCCCAGTCGTGACAACAAGGCCAAGATCGCAGACGAGATCCAGAAGTTGAAGATCAAGGAGCCGCAGAGCACAAAGATCGTCGTCTTGGAGCAGGAGCTTGTCAGAGCTGAGGCTGAGAACCTCGTTGCAGAGGCGCAACTGACAAATATCGTGAGTACTTGCAGCTGACAACACCCAATTTGCAGGCTCCTATGACTTGGACACTAACACGCTATTCAGACACGTCAAAAGCTCAAGGAGGCCTACGCTGCAGAGTTCGAAGCGGTCATTGAGAGGGCAGAGCGACAGATCATTCTTGCGAAGCACGGACGCCGCCTGCTTTCGCTCCTCGATGACGCGCCCGTAACACCTGGTGATGCAAGGACGGAATACAGACATGGGGGCGAGGCTCGCCAGATATTGAACGACGCCGAGGATGACCTGCGTAACTGGCGGCTCACTCTGGACGATGAGCCTGTCAACGCTGCGGCCGAGCCCGAGGCCTCAACTTCGGCCGGTGCTAGCGGGTCCAACTTCTTGGACACCCTGCACAAGACTCATTCCCGAGACCAGGCCGTGGAGGCTCCCCGTAGCGAATCCACCTCAGATGCTCAACCCGGAGTACCTGGGACGGCCACAGTCGGCGTTGCCTCTTAGGACGGGGTATATCACAGGGGTTCCGATTGCGTTGCTTCTCTTGGCTGACGTTAATTACGTATCTTCGACGGTGGCAGCCTTCGTTTCAGTATTGGTGGCTTGTATTTTAGGAGCATGGCTGTCTTGGGGGTAATGAAATGTTCACGGCAGTTTGTACACGCGCGTTCCGGTTTGGGGCTTAGACGAGGAAATACCATTGTATTCCAGTTTTCAGATAGTCAACATGATGATGAAATACGGTCTTCGAATCTTCTAAATTATGAACTCTGCATCTATATCAACCGTGAAGTGCAGCCAGTTACATAAGGGGAGAATATGGGATTCAGGGTGGTACGATGCATGCAGTCAATCATTCGTCTTGCGTAGCGGGGAAACTTCGGCAGCCGTCACTACTTAGTACCCATCACCAACACCTCCAGACTTGCAATCATGCGATTCTCGTCCCTTGTCAGCAAACAGTACACGGAACGAGATGGAGGCTTTAGTCTCGCGAGGGCAGAGGCTTAGAATGCCGGCCGCGTCCGTTTGCCGAACCTGCAGTCGTTGGCTAGGGACTCAGTGGCGCCGAGCGTACTCAAGTCAACCGCAGCCGGACATCTACGACGTCGTCTGTGTTGGCGGCGGGCCTGCAGGTCTAAGTCTCCTGACAGCTCTCCGTACGTCTCTCGTCCACCATTTCAAATTTAACTTGAGCGATGCGCTGACCTGCTGAACCAGGCGCAAACCCAGTCACGGCCGGACTCCGAATCGCTCTCGTCGAAGCTCAGGATCTCTCGAAAACCCGATCGTGGAAGCTCCCTCCGGACCGGTACTCGAACCGCTGCAGCTCCCTCACGCCCTCCTCCGCGCAATTCCTAGACAAGATAGGGGCTTGGGGCCATCTGCAGCGCCAGCGCATCCAGCCTTATCATGAGATGCAGGTCTGGGACGGAGTGACAGACGCGCGCATCGAGTTCGACTGGGAGAATGGAGCTCGCAGCGGGAATACCATTGCGTACATGACCGAGAACCTGAACCTGACGTCAGGGTTGTTAAGCCGCCTGGATCAGCTGCAGGGCACTACGATATTTGAATCCGCACGGGTGGAAAACATCACATTCGGCGAGGAGACTGAGGAGCTAGATCTGAACCAATGGCCCGTTGTACACCTATCCGGAGGTAAACAGCTTGCCGCCCGGCTGCTCGTCGGAGCAGATGGTGCGAATAGCCCCGTCAGGGCCTTTGCAGGCATCGAGAGCCGGGGTTGGGACTACCAGAGACATGGCGTAGTGGCGACGCTGGAACTCGAAGGCGACGGATGGGGCGGGGAGAACACGAAGGTCGCATATCAGCGATTCCTGCCGACAGGACCGGTGGCCATGCTCCCGATGCCTGGAAAATACTCGACTCTTGTCTGGTCAACCACGCCGTCAAACGCCGCCCTACTGAAGAGTCTGCCCGCAAAGGATTTCATCGCTCTGGTGAACGCAGCGTTCCGGTTGAACACCGTAGACTTAGAGTTCATGCACACAATGAGCTCGGGGCAAGAGGATGAACTACTATGGAGGTTGCAGCACACAACATTCAATAACCAGGCTGTACCGCAGACCGTTGTCGGAGTACAAGAAGGGTCGGTGGCATCTTTCCCGTTGAAGTTGCGTCATGCCGACACGTACATTGGAGAGAGGGTGGCTCTCGTGGGCGATGCGGCGCACACAGTCCATCCCCTCGCCGGACAGGGCCTGAACCAAGGACAAGGGGACGTCGAGAGTCTGGCCAAGGCAATCGAGTTTTCGGTAACCCACGGCCAGGATTTGGGCACTCGGATGTCTTTGGAGGCTTACAACTCAGAGAGATATGCTGCGAACCACGTCCTCCTGGGTGTGGTGGACAAGCTGCATAAACTCTACTCTGTGGAGAGCGGTCCCCTAGTACCGCTGCGGTCATTTGGCCTGAATGCGGTCAATGCCATGAGACCATTGAAGAACTTTTTCATGGATCAGGCCGCCGGAAAAGGCATGAAGCTTTTCTAGATGCTTGCACCTGAGGCAGCATGGGTGTATTTTACTAACGTATCACCATTGTACAACTGTTGTAGAGTATCCTCTAATGTACTATAATATAAACCGTGTACCAAGGACAAGATGACAGGACAAATGCTAGATGCTTGTTGTTCGCTGATACAGTGCTATCTTCCGGACTTGCCGAGCGCTGGATCTTTTTTTGGAAGTTGAAGCTAGTGGGGTGATTTTAGTAACCCGGGGGCGTGTTATCGTGTCCCGGCTTTTGGAGGGAAAACAATTTTTTTTTTATCGCGAACTTCGGACTCTGCCATCGACCCCACCATCACATACCAAATCACCATGGCGCCTTCATCAGGACGTGTACCCGAGCCGGAGTCGAGAAAGGTATTGTGCTACTTACCATGGACAGTCTAGGGCGCGCGGCTAACATATCGTAGACGGTTGGCATCAACAAGGAGACGGTCTCCAACACAGTCTCGACCGACTTCCCCGACAACTACCCAGATGGCGACGAGTCTTGGGACAAGGACTGGTTCGCACAGAACTTGAAGATCGAGTTCCACCAGAACGACGACTACGAGGCCCAGTTCTCGTTGATTGGAGTGGACGCGTCCATTGCCAACGCCTTCCGCCGTATCCTGATCGCTGAGATTCCTACACTCGCGGTCGAGACCGTCTTCATCCAAAACAACACCTCGGTCGTCCAGGATGAGGTGCTGTCGCATCGCTTGGGGCTTATCCCCTTCACCGGTGGCAAGGAGGGCATTCGGGACTGGATGAAGTGGTGGCACAAGCCCGTCGAGGGCGCGGACCAGTACTCGACAACATACGACCACAACACCGTGCAATTGAAGTTGCAGGTCGAGTGTACCCACAACAAGGACGCCGCACCCGACGAGAAGGACCCGACCAAGCTCTACCACAATGCGCATGTCTACGCCAAGGATATCGTCTACGAGCCTGCCGGTGCCCAGGAGCAGTACTTCTCTGGCGACAACATAATACGGCCCACCAATCCCGACATCTTGATTGCCAAGATGCGACCTGGCCAGGTCATTGATCTGGAGATGCACATGCACAAGGGCATTGGCGCCGACCACTCCAAGTTCTCGCCCGTCGCAACGGCCAGCTACCGTCTGATGCCCGTCATCAAGATTCTGAAGCCGATCCTGGGCGACGACGCCAAGAAGTTCCAGGAGTGTTTCATGCCGGGCACGATCAAGCTGGAGAAGGTCACCAAGCAGCACGTCAAGGCGAACAAGGAGTACGCCGGCCACGAGGGCGAGGTCATGGCCGCCGTCGACAACCCGCTGTACGACACGGTCAGCAGAGAGGTGCTGCGGCACCCGGAGTTCGAGGGCAAGGTCAAGCTGGGACGCAAGAGGGACCACTTCATCTTCTCGATCGAGAGCACGGGCCAGTGGGAGAGTGACGAGCTCTTCCTCGAGTCCATCAAGACGCTCAAGACCAAGAGCCAGAAGTTGCAGACCCAGGTGCAGAACATGGTCTACACCTACTCAGGCTAGGTGTCCGAGGTGTAGATGACTTTTCATGAGATGGATGGACATTATCCTGCTTGCTGAGGCTATGACTTGTGTGGTTGTGTGTGTCTATGTTTATGGGATACCATAGAGGGGCGTTAGTTCGGAAAAAAAGAATCAATTGAGCAACTGGGTTTCCACATCAATATGTGTTTATGATGCGAGCGTTGTTTCCCTTATTAAACCACTGAGTGTTAACAGCGTCATAGCAATCAGGCCTGAGGGGCAATATAAGACAATGACTTGAGTTTGTCAGCTTCTGCAAGTTACCAGCGCGCTTTCTCGGCCTTACAGACACCGCTTAGCCTTGAGGTCCACTATTCTGTTAGTTTCGGTTTGCTCTCAAGGTACACAGACTGTGGCTCAACACCAGTATTGCTGTACCAGTCACTTCGACTACAAACAAACCTGCTCAAAGTCTTTATCAGTAAAGTTAGCTGAAAATCATGTGTGCTCAATCATACTTCGCATCTATATGCTTGTAACTCTAAGATGAGAAGGAATTTGCGAAGTTAGATATCAAACTCAGAGATTATTTAATCACCTCCAATATATATGGACATCCCGACCACACCTTGCCCACATTGAAATCCTGTCTGACCGCACACTTCCAGTCTCAATCATTCAGCGCAAGTCTGTCTGATTCTTCTGGCTCCCCACTTCGCGATCAGTACACTCTCAGTTTCGAGCACCTTTCACACCTTGCTTGAGCCGTCTGGCTTATTGCTTCATTGCCTATACAATGGCCAAATTGACACTTCTAACCCTCCCTGCTGAGCTCAGAAACATGGTTTGGCAACAAGTTGCCATATCTGAGCGCATGGAGGCCGATTCTGCTTGGGAAGACTATCTCTCCGAAATCTGCAAGGGCTACAAGAAATCCTTCGAAACTTATACTGGATTCAAGCGCTTCGATTTCTTCCGTCTGCGCCAGACCTGTCGTCAAATCCGCTACGAAGCCTGTCGGGCCCTGATGCCTGCCAATAAGTCCAATCAAACTCTCGAAATCCACATCAGCTCCAAAGGTATCGTCCTGGAATTGCAAGATCAGCATCGCAAGACCTATTGGTCAACCGAAAATCTTAACGATATCCACTTCTTAACATTAATTCATCGCCGCAACTGGAACATCGAGGTGAATGCCAATATTTACATTCCCATCCTGCTCCTAAAGTGCAAGAGAGTTCAAGAGATATCTGGAATCTGGTCCGGCGCAAACACGGCCGCCACGCTCATTTCTCAACTCCCATCCGTCAACGGTCTGAACATCAACTTCAGAGAACGCACACAGCTGCTCAGAAACAAGTTCTATCTTCAGACAATTCGAATCAACGAAAGGGAGGAGAGACTCCACGTACTCCTAACGGCAAGAATCCTGGAACCTTTCTTGGAATCTCAGAAATTCCTATCATCATGTGTCAACCCAATCGAGGTATACCACCAAGCAGCCTATAACAAGGTTATGACTCTAGAAAAAGAGGCGCAACAATCACAAGGTTGCGGATTGGGAATTGCCAGCACTGTACAGCCACAAAAGGCCATCAGCATCAGCCCCGGCGTCGACTCTCACACACAACTCCTCATCAATGCCGCTTGGAACCCAGTCGTCTGCCAATGCAACTTTCCAGACTGCACGGACAAATATAAGGAATTTGTGCGGCCACAACCAGTCAATAGTGTTGTGGAAAGAATCCGCAACATCGCCAAGGAATTCGAGGACAATATTTACGCCGCTTGCACTGCTGAAAGAGTACCAATGGAGGTGACCAGATACACTCTTGGCAGGACAGCTGATGGAAGATCCCTGATAGTGGATCAACTGGGCATCGATTCTATCAAGACAATAGAAGAATGAAAAGCACAAGGACACAAGGGAGGCACGGCATACTCAAGGGACTAGGCGAGAAAAACTTGTATTATCAGGGGAAGGGAAGCTTGGTTTGATGTTGGTATGATGGTTTTCAAGATTTGGTATGGACTGTCGAGTACCACCTGCAGGGTTAGGATGAGGTAATAAAAACCGTATGGATTAACAAAGCTGCATCATAATGTGAGAAAACAACTGTCAATGTGTAGCAAGGCTCTGCGTAACTTGTTTAAAGGACCAAAAGAAACCAGCAGTTAGCGGTTGTTGCAGAGACATAAACTGGTAAAGCACCAAAGGCGCAAGGAGTACGGGAGGAAGACCAGGAAAAAGTGAAAAAGCGAAAAGCAAGTTGAGCATAAAAAGATCTGAACCCTCCTCAACGCCCCGCAGGTCTGTCCTTGCGGACCTCAGAACATCTCTTTTGGCGCGGAACCGTTTCCAGCCCTATTTATTGCGAACCCCCAAGCCTCGTTTACTACCTCGTGGCCAGCAAGCAGGGGCTCAGGGTCGTATCTGCAGATGGTGCCCGATGATCACTTGGCGAGCTAGATAATGTAGTTCAGCCCGAAGTCATTGAACTCCACTCTTTACCATTGCACTACCGAGCGTGCTATCTGAATCTGTTGGAAGCAGTGGTGCCTATTGAACAATAAGGGAACGGGTGAGGAGTATGTTTTGGCCAAGCTACGGGCCGCCTGATTGCCCTGTTGCAACAGCGACGACGACGACGGCGTGGAATTGGAAAATTCCAGGCAAACATGGTCAGTATTCACCTCGCACTATCTTCGTTTCGGATCAATAATTGAGGACAAGTTCGACAAATCATCTATTCAAGCTTTGTGTTCTAGAGTATCAATCCTCGTCCTTTCCTTCCGGCTTAGTGCGAGGAATTATGCCGGCCTTTCTCTGGCGATGATGCCTTTCACAATACCGATAGATCCGCGTCGGTAAGGTCGTCTCTCCTCTTTCGATTTTCACTTTTCTTATTCTGTCGCACTCCCTTGCCGAACAGATATGCTCTTTGCAAAATCTCATAGACGGGTCAACCCGAACTACGTGGCACTTCCCATACGGCCAACTGCAGAAGTGGTGATAACAGGCACCGACAGCTTCGGGCACCCAAGCTGTACATTGATCGTTCGTGGATATATTTACAAAATTGCACTGCACATATCCTGGGACTTTCCAGAGGAAACGGTCAGGGCCTGAGGGCATTTGGTCCATCTTGAGTGGGTCGAAGCAATGAATACGGTAGGTGCTGGCGCAGGTTTTCATAATAAGGAGAACGCTGATGCAGTAAAATGCAAGAGAAATGTGGATATCCAGGATTGCCAGTGCGTCTGATCCTCTTTATAGAGGCATGTGTTCCATATGTAAGTCACTTGAACACGACAAGAAATCAGCGAACCCCTGTTATTATGAGAATGCTATCAGTCCGTCAGTGAATAATGCGAACGATGGTACTGAATAGAGAGATTCAGCAGTAAAAAATTTTGTCCAAGATCTCTCCCCACTCTGACGAACACGAAGGATTGAGACCAAGTTATGCAAATCTATTCCTACCGGTGGCATTATTATCGAGACTTGTATGGACTATTTCTCTAATTTCCTATGCAAACGGACCCTGAGCCGTTGGTCCCTGCCAGCTCCTCCTGGCAGGATTATGCGCACCGCAGAAGTGCCTCTCGCCCGCCTCGACCTGGACCCTCTCGACGCACTCGTGCCCGCCCGAATACAGCAGGTGTTCGCACTGGTGCCTGCGGCACCACTTGAAGAAGTGCTCGTTGCCGCCGAGCAGGTCCTGCGGATCACGTCGCAGAGCCGCCGGGCCCTCGACCCAGCGCGGCCGCCGCTGGCGCTCGCACCGGTATGCGTCGCAGGCGTGGTAGCTGCAGTACGGGGACATGGGCTGCAGCGGGCCGTCCGGGTGAGAGTCGATGGCGTTCTCTTTGCATCGGTTTTCGCACACTCCGTGATACCCGTCGTACTTGCACTTGTGGATCTTGCAGTAGCTGCTCCCCGGTTTGACGTATAGGGGGCATCGGCCGATGAGGCCTAATGGCCAGTCACAGATCCGCCTCTGCGGGGTTTGGCCTGCTTGAGGTTGATTACTCATTATGTAGACAGCCTTGTATGTTGTGGACTCCTCTGGGTGTAGTTGGCCGATCCTGGGGGTGTGTACTATGGGCAATCTGCTTGATGTTCCTAAACTAGCTTGCACACTTTGAGTTTGTGGTCAACCATAGACGGACAGGCCACACAACTCTCAAGGCTGGTTGCGGGAGAAGTTATGATTTATTAGAATTAGTGATTAGATATGGTCAGTCATTCACGCACGTCCAGTGTGTGGCTCGTAGAGCTGCTAGATGTGAATTGAGAACCATGATCCATGATCTGGGAATGCCTCAGTATTACAACCTTGAATTGCTCACGATAAAGGTGAAACATTGCAGTCATAATTCTAGTTTGAATTTCTTTTATTCTTCTTATGAAGTAGCTTGGATTCACCGCTATATGAAGTGTAACCATCACTCTGCCATTCCCTCACTTATTTCCTACAAGCAACTGCATCATAGTATACCTTTGCCCCCTTATCAAAAATCTTCTTCACCTCCGCAGGGTCAATCTTTTCTCTACGATCAAATGCATAAAGACCGTTGACTTCCTGCTCGATGTCCGTTCTGCAAGCTTTGCATCAGCATCTCTGTAGGTATTAAATTTACACAAAATCAAAGACTTACAGTTGCGTGTACACGAATCCGCTCGTGTATCCACCCTGCACCACGGCAGTAACCAGGGCGTCGATCCTCTTGAGCAGATCTGCAGGATCAGTTGCGGTCGTGTACCCCCAGTCGCGCTCGCCCTTGTCGGTACCCGCTGCGGGAGCGATGTTGACGCCTCCGAACTCCGTGCAGATGATCGGGGCCCCGGCCTTGTGTTGAGCTCCCTCATCGCCGGGGATGGGCTGGACAAACATACGGCGGCCGCCGTGCAATTCTTCGTCGAACCTGGTCTGCTGTGTGGCACAGCGTTTCGCCAGTTCCGGCGCATCGTTGTAGTCGTGGTACGTCGAAAGATCTGTTTGTACATGCTCCCAGCCGCAGTTGTCGTTGATTGGCCGGGTTGGGTCAAGGGACCTTTCTCAATATTAGCATTACTTCTCTAGAGATTAAGTGGTTCCGAATCACTCACTTCGTCATCCAGTAGAGAGACCTGATGTGGTTGCGCTGATCGATATTGTCCCGGAGTGAAGGGTAGGCCCAACTTTCATTCACAGGCGTCCACGCAACGACGCTGGGGTGGTTGATATCTCGCTTGACAGACTCGGTCCACTCTTGGTCGAACCGCTTGATGTACTCCGGGCTGAACTCGTAGGCATTCGCGATCTCGCCCCACACCAAGTACCCCAGCTTGTCCGCCCAGTACAGAAAGATGGGGTCTTCGACCTTTTGGTGTTTCCGGCACCCGTTGAAACCCATCTTCTTGGACAACTCGACATCAACCTTCAGGCTCTCAGGAGTTGGTGGCGTCAAGCCGGTCTCTGGCCAGTACCCCTGGTCGAGGCATAGAGCTTGAAATAGGGGTTCATTGTTGAGTCTGAATGTGCCATCACCCCGCTGCCAGTCGAGGCTTCGCATTCCTGTGTATGTATCCACCTCGTCGAGGACTTTGCCCTGAGAGTCATACAGTCGGATCTTGAGGTCATAGAGGAGGGGGTGGTCCGGAGACCATAACGCCAAGCCATCCTTCCAGCATCGGACATTGTCCAACGGCGCAGCCCCAACAACTTCAGCTGATATCTCCTTCAGCTTCTCGGCTGGGACTTTCAAGCTGAGATCCAAGTTGACGTAGTCTTTGTCTTTCGGAAGATTGCCCTTCGCCTTGCCAACGGAAACACCGCCAATGCTTCCCTCGATTTCTACCGCGTACTGGCCAGCCGCTCTGCTCCCAAGAATAGCAACCTGTGCTTTTAGGACGCCGCTCTCGATGTCGTTAGACTTCAACACGGTCCCGTCGCTACTTCCCGCAATCCTGGCCCTCGGGACTACCTCGACCCAGACGCTCTGCCAGATGCCCGAGCTGGGGGTGTAGAAGATACTCTCCGGCGTCGGGGCCCAGTACTGCTTGCCCCTGGGCTGCTCCAGGTCGCTCGGGCTGTCCCGCACCCTAAGCACCAACTTGGTCTCCTTGCCCCCGGCCGCCGCCAGGGCGTCTGTGACGTCGACATCGAAAGGCACATGGCCGCCGCGGTGGCCGCCGACGAAGTGGCCACCGACCCAGATGCTCGCCTCGTAGTCGACGGCGCCAAAGCGCACCAGGACGCGGTGGCCGGCGTCCCGCTCGGCCTGGGTCCTGAGGTCGCCGAGGGGCGTCTCGTACCACAGCACCTCGTGGGCGGCGTTGTCGCCCCAGCCCGAGGCCGGGCACTGGAAGGCGAAGGGGACGTTGATGGGCTTCTTGGCGTGCTCGGTGGCGTCCGAGCCCTTCCAGTACTTCTCCTTGAGCTCGGGGAAGGCCTCGAGGCGCTGCGCGTCCTCGGCGGCGCTGCCCTCGGCCGAGGACGAGCCGCCCGTCAGCGTGACCCGGTCCGGGGGCCCGTGGATGTGCCAGCCCTCCGACAGCCCAATGTCCTGGTCGTCGAACAGCAGCGACCAGCGCGTGCCGTTGAGGAGCTGCCAATTGAGGTTGGGGCGGACAAAGTCCGGGCGAGGGTAGGTTTGAGTAGCTGCCATCGTGTACTGGTAGACAAGGTTAAAGCTTCAAAGAGGGCTCAATTGAGGATGCGCATAGGGGTATAGAAGGAAAACGGGTATGAAAGTGAGGGGAAGCGTAGAGGATGAGGTTCAAAAGAGAGGTGTGCTATGAGACATCCAGTCACAGGTGCATATACTATTATCCGCCCCTCGAGCTCCGTCGCAAGCTTCGTGGCTTTCCATCGATGCTTCGGCGCCCCTTTGCACGATCGGCCCTACGCATATGCGTGAAACGCTCGGCGGGGAATGATTGGGGAGCGATTGACATCATAGCCCGCCAATTGGATATACCGTGTTGCGGAAAACTGGACTATGCCCCAGTTTCTCAATCAAGTAGAGTATTGAGCTTCCAGGCTTTTTCTGGGCCGATACCCAGTGCCACGAGGGGCAAGGAGGGGGCTGTGCGATCCAGTAATTCAGGGTCCTTTGTGTCCCTGACTCGAGGGGGATCGACATTTCACATGAGCGCTATTAGGCGCGTCTATGTATGCTGCCTTGAAAGTATCCACTTACTTTGCCAAACACTATAGCACTCAAGAACTTGGCAGTGGATCTTGTTCAGTCTTATAACCATAGTATTATTTGCGTCCACAGCCTATATCTGCCATGTACAAACTGGATATACCAACAACGCCATAGTAAAACTAGACAACCTGTATCGCATCCATGATCCCACCATTCGTACCTCATTCGTAACCAAGCATTATGCCCGAGTCGCTTGTCTATGTTTTCCCCAGTCGACCGGTCTTACGCCACTCCAGTGACGCGTCTTACGCTCTTCCTCGCACCTTCTCCGGTGACCATGACAAGGCCCTCCATCTCGAGCGCGCGCATCACCTCGGCGAAATCAGCTGGCTCCACTGGAACGCTAGCGCCCTCGCCGAGTCTTCTGCTGACATCGCTGAACTTTGCGCTCTGACCATTGCTTGTCATGTCATCCAGCAGGCCGAGGATGGCTGTCTTTAGTTCTTCCTTGCGCTTGCGGTCGGCAGAGCTTACACCCTCGTTCAGCAGGCTCATGTCGATTCTGCCTTGGGCATCGGTCGCCGAGGTCTTGAGGGCAGCTTGGATAAGACGGTTGGCCTCTTCGACATCAGCCTTCGTCACAGTGGTGGAGAGGCGCATCTTCGCATGACCCTCTGCGAGACGGATCATGGACTCCAATTGACGTGTGGTGGCTGTGATGCGCTTCTCAGCAGCGCGAACATCCTGCCCAAGCTTGCGCATCTTGACATAGTTGTCAACAAGCGCCTTTGCGGCATCTTGCGAGATCGACGGGTGAATGTAGTCACGAGCGTACGAGATGTAGGCTGTGAGAAATTCGACATCCTGCAAAGCATTGGTTAGCCAAAGGGTGAAGCATGACGATCATATGAGAAAGACTTACCAAGATTTCGTTGTTTGACGCTGCAGACTCGGGCTTGTCCTCCAAATACATTGAGAGAAGATGCCTGGCCAGCTTCTTGTCGTTGTTATCGTCTTGGCGATCCAGGATCAGATACACAAGATCGAAACGCGATAGCAGTGTGGGTGGGAGGTCGATGTTTTGCGGAACGGGGAGGTCGGGGTTGTACCGGGAACCGATAGGGTTGGCAGAGGCCAGAATGCTGGTTCTAGCGTTGAGAGTGGTGATGATACCAGCTTTGGCCACTGATACGGTCTGTTGTTCCATAACTTCGTGTAGGACTGACCGTGTTGCATCTGACATCTTGTCGAATTCATCGATGCAGCAAACACCGCCGTCGGACAAGACCAAGGCTCCCGATTCGAGCACCAGCTGGCGAGTTTCTGGGTCACGAGAAACGTACGCTGTCAGGCCAGTGGCCGAAGATCCCTTTCCGCTTGTGTAGACACCGCGAGGCGCGATCTTGTGCACATATTTGAGCAGTTGTGATTTGGAAGTCGACGGGTCACCGCAGAGTAGCACGTTGATGTCGCCACGGTACCTGGGGCTGCCTCCCTTTTGGAAGGTCTTGTTGGTGCCTCCGAACATCTGCAGCAGAATTCCCTTCTTCACATCGTCCATCTCGAAGATAGATGGAGCCAGCGACCGAGACAGAAGGTCGTAGATATCTGGCCGCGCAGCGGTCTGCTTGATCTTTTCCTCGTCCTCGGGGGTGATCTTGCGCGCCTCCTGGATCTGGTTCTCGTCATCGTTGCGCTCGGCATCCAGTGTAGACACATCAGCGCCAAGTCGTTTGTTATCGACCTTGGCAACGTGCACAACATCCACGAAGGTCTTGAAGACGCTCTTGACGGATCTCTGGCGAGGGTTCACCCGGACCGGGCTAACACGATAGATGCCGGTAATCTGAACACGGTCACCGGCCTTGCAGAAGTCTACCAGCTCGTTGTACACGCAGATAGAAACCGAGTGGGGCGTCTGTCCGGCGGGAACAGCATCGGGCGTTTCTTGCAGCTTGATCACCTGCTTGTCCTCAAACTCGCAGCGGTTGTGAATGATTTGCATCGAGTTCTTGGACTCGCAAAGCGGGCGGGGGCATGTTGTCGGCTCCCTGATCTTGCCACGATCCAGACCGACCAGCAAGGAATGGCTGCAGACGTTGCACCTGAAGAAGGCCTGTCGCATATCCGGGATGACAGGTGTGGTCCGGATGACAAGGCCCTTGATGCAGATGAGCTTGTCCATGTCGGACGGGTTCAAGTCTCTCATATTGGTAACGTCTCCAAGGCCGAAGGGGCGGGTCATGTACGTCTGGTCCATGACCTTCTCTTCCAAATTGAGACCCGGCTGGGGCCTCTGAGATGCCGTTGGCTCCTCGCTCCTCTCCGAGTCCGGAAACTGCACATCCGAGCTAGGCGGCGCGCCGCTCCGCTGCGAGGCCGAAACGCCGTTGCTTTGGCTCCTCTGGCGAGCCATCTCAGCCTGTGCCAGCTCAATCATTACATCATGGACCGATTGATCCATCAGAGGCACAATTTCCTGAGGGTAGTGCTGAATCTGGTGCCATATCTTTCGCGTAGGCGGGTAATAGTTGAAGTCTGCGACGTTGACGTAGAGAATTCGGGTGCCAAGGATGAGCATGTTGTTCAGCTCCTCCAGGTACGGCTTGGAGGTCGCATCCGGGTCAGCATCAGTCTGCTCCGTCGTCATGCCTTCGGCCCACATCCGGTACTTCTTGGTGAAGTTTTTTAGGAAGTCCTTGAAGGCAGCGTACGTGTCATCGATGGACACGGTGGTACCCCAGATGGTGGCATTGTCCTGACCGCCGAGCACGTTTGCCTCGGAGGTGTTGGGATCGATATTCGAGAAGGTGGGAGCATCAGAGTGGATTTCTCGCACCACACGGCCAGAATCGTCCAAGATAACGCGGCTGCTGCCACGGGCTCCACCGCTGAAAATCTCCGAGTTGATATCGCCTCGGCGGTTGCGTCTTGCTCGAGGGGTGGCGGAGGATCCGACGAAGAGGTTGCTGCTCTCGCTGCGCAGATCTGACTGAGGGTGTAGCGACCGTCCCGGGCTGGAACTAGCCTCGTATCTGATAGGGGAAGAATCTGCAAGGTCGAACAACACAATATTAGTGATCCTGGCCTTGAGGTTGCAAGATACACGCAGCTGCACGTGTGTCGGCATACTCACCTCCGATGAGACCGCTGCCGCTGGCTCTTGGTGTCCGATCACCGTCGTTCTGGCTCTCGTCTCTTGTTGTCTGAGAGTGGGTCCTTTGTCGCAGAGGCGAGCTCGGGGCGGCGCCCCCGTTGGCATTGGTGTTCTGGCTCTCGGTGTTCTGGCGCAGGGGCGACGAGACATCGTCGTTGCCGTTTGCGGGCGACGATGACTGGTAGAACAGAGGACTCGAAGCCAGCTGCGAGCTGCGCGTGTTGCGCGGGGTGCCGCCGTTCCGCGAGGAGGCATTGGCGTTCGCGGGGCTGCTGGGCGCCTGGGAGGATCGGGTGCTCCGCCGGGGAGTGCCCGACTGGGAGCGGCGCTGAGAGGGCGAAGACATGTTGCTGCTTCAGATCACCGCTCACGACTGGAAGGTTCTGGCTTGGTGGGTTGCAGAAGTGAGAGTCGGTGAAATGATGGCTGATGGCAGGGCAGAAGGCGGGTTGGGGGAGGGGGAGACAGAGAAGAATGTCAAGTGGGCTGCCCACAGGCAAGAAAACGCGAAAGTCGCGTCTGGACCCCCTGAGACGCGACTGCTCGCGTAAAGTGGAAATTATCCAACCGCCCATTGAACTTGGCTCTTCATTCTTCAGTGACAGGGGTCCGTCGGTGCGCGTAATGCAGGGATAGTCTTGCATAACTAACACGTGCACAAGTGAGAGCGCGCCCCGGCCTCGTGGGAACGTAATTCCGCCTGGCTAAACCTAACTCGTACGGCCCTGGAGGCTAACTAGGTGCCACCTTTAACTCGTAGGTGTCCTGGGCTCTAGCGGCGCTGACCCACCCCTTGGACCCATTGGCGGCTCCCAGTTGCCAGACAGCAGTTCAGGAACACCGCATCGCATTGGACCTTGCGACTTGGCCAGACGAGCGACGACAGCCGACCACAATACTTCCCCCTCCGACCTGCCGCCCACCGCCCTCAACGGCCCCGTTCTGACCACCCCGAAAACCTCAAGATGGCGCCTGGAATGTCCCTCTTCTCGGTCAACGCCGTCATCATCCTCAGCACCGACGACGGCTCCCGCATCTTTGCCAAATACTACGCCCCGCCCCACCAAGTGCCAGGCAGTATGTTGTATACCTGCTGCCAACCATCCAGTCGGAGCCGCCCTTGCTAACCCGAAGGCGCATAGCAACCTCCAAGGAAAACCCCTACGCCGACGTCAAGTCGCAGAAGACATTCGAGAAGGGACTGTTGGACAAGACGGCCAAGCAGAACGGCGACAGTGAGTAGCAAGCTGCTGCCCCTGGGCTCGGGTTCCCGAGCAACGCCCAGGTGACCCCCGCCAGCTTGCGCAGTTGCTGACACTTGTTGCCGCAGTTATTCTCTACGATAACAGGATCGTGCTGTACAAGACCGAATCAGATGTCATGGTTTACGTGGTTGGCAGCGTCGAGGAGAACGTACGTACACCCCCTGAAATATGCTACCGTATCACACCGCAGTGCTGACCAATGGTCCAGGAGGTTCTTCTGTACAACACCATCCTTGCGATCCGCGACTCCCTCCACCTCCTGTTCAAGTATGAGCCATCCTGCTCCGTATGGAAAGAAACGCAGTCCTAATACTGGTGTAGGCAATCCGTCGACAAGCGGACCATCATCGAGAACTACGACCTGGTCTCCCTCGCCATCGACGAGATCGTAGACGCAGGCATCATCCTGGAGACCGACCCGACCATCATCGTCCAGAGAGTCAGCAAAGCCCCAACGCAAGACGTGAATCTGAGCAGAATCGATCTGAGCGAGCAGGGAGTGAACAACCTGGCGCAACTAGGAAAGGCGAAGCTGACGGACTGGCTGCGACAAGGATTGTGATTTCTCGCTGTGTCAGGCGGCTTCCAGTGATAGAGCATGCAGTAGAGTGTTGGGCACGGCGTTGGTCAAAAATCGTTTCATCAGCCCCTTTCTCCAGAGGGCAATACATACCATCTTGTGGAGCGGGTAGTTTTTTTTTTCCGGGTCTATTCTAGTCTATGAATGACATCTATGACCTGATCTCCGACGCTGCCTTGCGCAGTCGGTTCATGACGGCCGCCGCGATATCGTCCTTGTCCGGGATGCCCTCGACGAAGATGAGGTCTGGCTTTCTCCTATCCAGCTCCCTTAACGCCGCGAACAGCCCCTGCGCCACGCTCCTGGCATCGTGTCCGATGCTCAGATCCAGGACCGTCCCGACACTGACCGACCCTTGAGAGTCGTACAGGTCAGCTTCGTGCACATCGAGGTCGGCTTCAGCCTCCGATGCCGCTATGGACTGAAAATGTCCGCATTTGAGTCCCGCCCCCTGACCCCAATGCCGCGTTCTGACCAGGCCGATGGTTTTCGTGCGCTTTTCTGATACACTGTCGACCTGGCCCGTCATGTCCCTTATCACATCTACATCCTCTTCTGAAATTCGCCCCTGCCCGGCTCCGTATGTAGCTTCGTAGAGCACCACGCGTGCCCTGGGACTGTAGTGCTTATACTTCATCCCCGGCGCCCTCGGCGCGCTCTTGCCCTGTTCACTGTGATCCTTGTATGCCTTCTCGACGCCTTCCCAGCCTGCGCAGGCCCTGATATCCTCCAAGCTGACCCCGCCTGGCCGCAAAACCACCGGTGGATCGCACAGTCCATCAACAACTGTGCTCTCCACACCAACCTGGCATGAACCGCCATCCAGGATCATCTCGATGCGCCCCTCCATGTCCTCCAGTACGTCGCTAGCTGTGGTAGCTGACGGCCGGGTGGACGCGTTCGCAGAAGGTGCCGCCAAGGGGCGCCCGGTCAGCTTGATGAGCGATAATGCCAGCGGCGACGAGGGCATGCGCGCGCCAAAAGTAGGTAGGCCGGCTGTCACTTCAGGGGCCAGTGGTGAGGGCGACGGGTTGGGGAGTAATATCGTCAGGGGACCGGGCCAGAACCTGGAGATCAGGGGCTTGTAGATCTCTGGAATGACATCCGAGTGCCCATTTGCCGTGGTACTGCCATTAGGTGCCGGTGATGAAGACGACGGCCTGAGCAAGTCCCTCAGCATATCCAGGTCCGAGACGTGGACGATCAGCGGGTTATCCTGCGGCCTGCGCTTGGCGGCGTAGATGCCCTTTACCGAGCCGCTCCTCGTCGCATCCGCGCCCAGCCCGTAGACGGTTTCTGTCGGGAAGCCCACGGGCGTGTCCCTGGTCCGGAGGTAGTCGGCGGCTTCTTTCAGAACCGCCATGCTGGGGTTTGCTTGCGTGGTCATCTCCCAGCTGCCTACGTGCTCGCCATCCCTGAAACCTCCCAGATGGTCCTTTCCAACCTTCAGCACCCGGGTTGATACTGCGGGCAGGTCTTGCGACATTGTGCTGTATGCGGCGTACTGGAGCGCAGCTCGGACAGTATAGAAGCCGGGGTGTATGCGCCGGAGAGCCAACTTGAATCTGGACTTGATGCACTTATCCGTGGTAAGTGATCAGAAACAAGATATTCCTTGAATTTAGCGTTCTAGACTTGAATTCAAAGAAACGGGATGCTGCTTTAATATGGCGTTCGTGTATATACATAAGTTGGGTATCAAGAGTTGACTCATTGTGAAAAACTTCTAAGCTGCGATAGCATCATAGTAAGCTGAATTTACACCCATGTGCATTCTAAGGGCACCCCCTGCTGGCTGCCCGGCTCCCAGGGGTTCAGCCGCGCCGTTGCATCAGCGGCCCCAACTGGGCGACAGCGCTGCTACCAGCCGCCCGGGCGCCCAGTTCCAGGGATCGGCCGCTAAGTTCTAGCACCTTGCAGCTCCCATAATCGATAATCGCGGGGGGAAGGACACGACACACCTCAGCACAGACGCACGATAGTTGCACGACGACGCCCAGCCCAACCCGAGGTGACTGTCGAGTCAGGAAGTGCCGGGCCACAGCAAAAGGGGGGACCCAGACACGACAACCTGCCCACCGCGGATCGCAAGCCGCTATGCGCCCACACGCATCACCGTCCCAATGTCCGCCATCAACCTGTCCAATGGCGACTCCGCAACCCACAAGCCCGACGGCATCTCCAAGGTGAACGCCGGCAGCGGCAGCGGCCCCGGCCCCTCGGTCCACGATGCCGCCTCCCTCGACGACGTGCGCGCCTCCCTGGCCGCGCTGCACACACGCGAGGCCGCCATCGCCTCGCGGCTGAAGGCCCTCGTGTCCTCGCAGGCCGACCTGTCCCGCGAGCTCGGCCGCCTGGACCTGCTGCGCGCGAACCTGGGCTCGCAGGTCATCGCGACCCGCAGCATCAGCAACGGCATGCTTTCGGGGGCGGCCGACACGGCGGGCCGCCTGTCCAACCGGGTCAAGGAGCTCGACCTCGAGAAGGACCGCGTGCAGCAGACGCTCCGGGTCGTCGAGCAGGTCGCCGAACTCAAGGCCTGTGTCCACGGCGTGGTCGGGTCCATGGGCGCCCCGCAGGACTGGGAGGCGGCTGCTGGGTACATCGCGCGGGCCAGCAAGGTCCCGGAGGCTATCATCCGGGGTGGATTCGCCTCGAGTATAGTTCCAAGTGTCGAGGTGCCAGATGCGCCCTGGATCACGCTGGAGAACGCAAAAGAGAGTTTGTGCGGGCTGTTCCTCAGAGAGTTCGAGAAGGCTGCCAGCGAGGGCGATGGCACCAAAGTAACCAGATTCTTTAAGCTGTTCCCACTCATTGGGAGGGGGGACGTGGGGTTGGATGTCTACGGACGCTACGTCTGTCAGGGTGTCGCGGGCACGGCGAGACAGACGTTGAAGGAGGTCCCCGGCGGCCAGGGGCGCAAGGACGGCTTCTTCTATGCCAATGCTCTCACAAAGCTATTTGAGCACATTGCACAGATCGTCGAAGGCCATGGAGGCTTGGTCGAACGGCACTACGGCGAGGGCCAGATGGTCAAGGTCATCGAAAGGTTACAAATGGAAGCTGATGTCCAAGGTGGCATCATCCTCGATTCGTGGAGTGACGAGCGAGGCGTGGATAGGAGGCTTACAGACGTCAAGAGCTATCCATTCTCATTTCTCGTCCAGAGTTTTGCGGCAGCGCCCAAGGGCATTACTGGTGCTCCCAGGATGAATTCGCCGGCATTAGGTGGTGGGACCAATGCCAGAAACAGCGAGGACGAAGGCGTCAACATGAAGGAGGTCGATGAACTCCTCAGTGAAATATCGGTCATGCTAGGGCGGTGGTCACTCTACTCACGATTCTTGGCTGGAAAGTGCAGGGTAAGATACGATCCGTCTTTTGTGGTGCAATAGAACCGCTAGACTAACACGTGTAGGCCCCCAACACGCCATCTGATGCAGTGCTTTCAATGCCAGATGCTCTCACCCACTCCAATCTGAGCAAGAAGATATCTGCAAAGTTGACGTCGCCATATCAAGTCATGTCACAGTTCTTCTTCAGAAGATCCGTTGAAAAGGCCTTCCAGCTTGACGAATCACCATCAGGGCTCTCTCTTAACTCCAACAAAGTGATCGATGGTAACCCTCCCTTCATAATATCAGCAGTCGACGATACCATGTATATCGTCAGCGCAGTTGTTGAGCGATGTCTTTCCACCTCGCAACGAGACGTGGTCGGCTCGGTCGTCCCTATTATTAGCAGAGTGCTGGGATCTGACTTCATCGGTGTAATTCAAAGGAGGATGCAACACGACTGCTACCCGAAACCGGCCATGCAAGGTGGTTTCCCGCCAGAGGACAAGATCATCGCCTTCATCGTTTTGATCAACAGTCTGGATATCGCAAATGAGTACCTCACTCGCATTATATCGACACGTCTCGGCAAATCAGAAGAACCAAATGGCGCGCCGAAAACTAACCATTTGGCTGCCTCCTTCCCCTTCGAGCATGATGCCAACGCAGTCACGAGCGCACTTGAAACGCTGAAATCAAGCTTCGCGTTGAAGTCTAATGAGCTGCTCACAGAGGGCATCGCACATCTCTTCTCCAACGTGGTGGAGAAGAGGCTACGCGTGGTCATGACCGACACCTTCCGCGACGCAGATTACGCCTTGACCGAGGACGAGTTGGCGGAGATTGCGCAGCAGAACGACCAAGATGAAGAGCAGTTGCTTGACCACGTGCAGAGGCAGTTCGAGCGCTACTGGAACGCGCTCATGCGGCCCATCGAGCGCATCATGACGGCGAAGCCCTTCGCGCTGCTGATGAACAGGACAGCCAAGGAGCTGGCCACGACGCTGGAGAGGCGGGTGTGGAGATATGGCGGCAAGGCGAACGCGTATGGCGCCATCCGCATGGAGAGAGACTTCTCGGGCATCATCAGCATCGTCACCAAGGGTAACTACAGCCTGAGGGAGCTGTTTTCCAAGGTCTCGCAGACGCTCATGATCGCCAACATGGAGGATGACGAGTGGGAGGAGCTCGTTGCCGAGGGCGAGGATGGCATCGACTGGGTGCTGAGCGAGGACGAGAGGCGCAGGGCTCGGAATTTGATCAGGGATTGAACGAAGAAACGGCCACGAAAAAGAAAGTCCTCGAGCTCTTAGATCTGGGGCATAGAAGGGGGCGCCAGCAGAAGCGCTTAGAAATATAGGTATTATTTTAACGACGTACGATACAGGTAATACTTGTATCATCTAAGCTGGACTCATTCCACTGCCGCTGCATACAGCCGTAAGACCAGTGAAACAGGAAAACTCTGGATAGGATACGAAGGAATAGTCTGGCCTGCCGTAGGCTCCTGCATTTTAGTTCTGGTGTACTCAAGCCGAATATTGGTCTTCCCGGCCCACATACTATGGTATACGGAGTACATCTGAGGCAACTTACCGTTGAGCAAGCGCGTGATTCGGCCCGCCCGGGAGAAAAAAAAAAGAAAAGAAAACGAGACATATTCTTTAGCTATTTTTACTCTGAATTCAAACCAGGCAAACATGGAGCAGAATGGTATTCATGAGGGACGACAATGCTCGAGGTATGCATCTACTATGTGCAGGCCAATGCACTTAGACCGACCCACCTCTCGGGTGATTTATGTGCTTAAAAGCAGGTATCCACCTGCAGCGAAGTACCTAGGTACCTAAGTGTCAATGCTTAGCCAACGCGCGCTGAACTTGTCAACGGTTCATCCCATCATCAGTCTTGCGAAAACTGCGTGGTGTTCTGTTTCAACACATACTGTCCTTGCATCAATTCGTCCTCAAACAGACGCAATCATGGCGTCGGACAGATACGGGTTTCTCGATGACGCCGAGGAGCATGCTCTCCACCAAACAAGGCTTCTGAACGTAGAGAAGCGGCCCTTCGAGCGAATCACCAAACGCCTGCTCAGCGACGGCGCCTTCACCAACCCCAAGATCTTGAAGCTCCCTACGCCTCCTCCGGAAGGGACAGATGGCGCGAGTGCCGACGCCGGAGCCGAATCACAAGATGCAGCAAACGCAGACGCATCTGCCCTGAAGGAGGACATCCTGCTCGATTTCGCCGCCTTCGACTCGGTCATCGCCCGGCTGCAATTCCTCGCGACGCAGAACGCGGCCGAGCGCGAGCGGTATGCCGCGGACCGGCTGCGCATCCTCGAAACCATGGAGGCGGTCCGGCAGAGCAACGCGGCGCTGCGGGCGTCGCTGGACGAGGCGCGGGCGACGCTGGCACAGCGCAAGAAGTTTGACGAGCTGGCCGACCGCATCACGGGCAACCGCATGCTGCGGGCGCGGGCCGAGCAGGAGGTCAACATCGCCAAGCTGACGGAGGAGTGCGAGGAGCTGCAGCGCGAGAGCGAGACCTACGCCGGCACCTGGCGCGAACGCAAGGAGCAGTTCGACAAGCTCGTCGACGAGGGCGTCAGCCTGCGCCGCATGATCCGCGACGAGCAGGAGGAGGTCGAGCGCCGCGAGGGCATGGACGAGGACGCCGGCGAGGAGGACCCCTCGGCCGCCGACACCCCCGCCAAGGGCAGCCAGAGCGGCAACGCCACGCCCGCGAGACCCGGCGAGGGCGGTGCCACGCCTCTGCGGCCCGGAAGCAGCCAGGGGCGCACCCCGGGGCCGGAGGAAGCTGGCGCAGCCAACACTGCCGGCGAGGCCTCGAAGCTAAGGCCAGATGTGGGAGGATCTTTCTCTAGGGGAGGAAGCCAAGCACCTTCTCTGCGCGCTGGAAGCCCGGCCGTGGGTAGCAGGAGCGGAAGCCAGGCACCGAGGGAAGAGCCAGAAGAAGGAGAGGATGTCGAGATGGGCGATTCAGCGCAAGCTGCTGACACCCCGATGGCTGAGGCAGCTACGGCGGATACACCGCAGATCACGGTGGCCGCGCCAGCTGGCCAGGAGGATACGATGGACACGACATAGGGGCTGCTCATGGTTGGAGGACTGGTTGAAGATCGAGATACTTGATCATCAGATGATACCCATAATGCGAGCAGAAACATGACTACGCAATATGTAGCTGCAGAGAATGGAATTGATTCCCGAGCATGAGCTATCTCTCTATTTGATTTTTTCTTCTGCTTCCCTGTAACGCTTCCCGTCGCCATTGCCCGTGCTCAGAAGTGGTATCGTTGGTGTCGTTGCGTCGTAATCCTACATCCCATCCGGTCCCATCCATACCTCCCCAAATATCAAGAGATGTGTGTTTGGCGGGGCGTTGCCTATGCATCTTCCTTCGGGGCACTGGCAAGCACCTCCTTCGCCTTGGCCAGCTCGTCCGCGTTTGCGTCTCCGGCGCCCTCTGCCGTGGCAGTCTGCTCCTCGAGTCGGCTGACCGCCTCGGCGATGCGCTGCTTCAGGGGGCCGAAGACGGCCTTGGTCTCTTCGAGGGCTTGCTTCTGTAGTTGCGTGGCGTCGTGTCAGCCAAACGGAGCTTGACAAATGTCCTTTGCGCAGTCCAATGGTCTGGCACCTCGGGAAAAGGGGAGGGGCAACGAAGGGGGATGGTGAGATCTTGGGCTGCATGTGTGTACGCATCTTACCTCTTGCTTGAGCCGGTACTCGGCGTTGCCGTCCTCGTCGATGCCGGCTTTGATGTCGGCCTCCAGCTTCTCGATCCGCGAGGTCTGCGACACGATCTCCTTCTGGTAGTACTTCTCCTCCGTCACCAGCCGCGAGACGGCTTGGGTCGCGATCTTGAGGGGCGAAGGGGCAGGCATCGTGGACGATCTTGGAGATATCGGCAGGTCGGTAGGTAGTGTCGAACTTTTGAGAGATTGGGTTTCAAGGCTTCCAGATAGGGGTTGGATTTCACAAGGCAGCTGTCGCTTCGGGCTCCAGTGGATGTCAATATCAGGGACGTTTGTTTGGCGGGGTTGGCGGGGTAAAGTTGGTGAAAGTCGACGGGCTAACTTGGCTGCATAATTATACCCCATGTATTGAACCCTCCACAGTTACCTTCTGATATCCTGAGCCACGAGGAATCCAGATGTCTATAAACTTTGACTGCTGTTGGACTTGCGGTTATACTTGTGGTTCTTAAGTGTCTAGCTGGTGTTATGTACAGGTAAAAATGACTCTGTTACTCCCTTTGCCGTTCGATTGTGCCACGATGGCTAAAGCTAATGTGTTCAAGTATGCCAAAAGCAATTCAGATACCCTCCTTCTCAGCTGTGCCTACGACGGACATGGAAATTCCCCACGGTGAAGTTCAAAGCTGAAACGGCCAATTAGGCTGATGCCTAGATGTGCTCGTGTTTTTGGGGCCTTGAGGCCCAGGCGACAACAATCTCACAGAACACAATAACCCAGACCAACAGTTGCTCCCCTTCTATTATCGGACAACAGCCAGAATAGCTCCTGTTGGCAAATTTCCTGCAAAAGTCGGGTCTTCACTCGACTCGTCACTACCGTCATGCTGAGTTACCGCCCGCTGAACGTGGACAAAAATGAGATCAGAGTCCTGGAGTTGGCCAAGCCCACGCCATGCATTTCGGGCGAGCATAGCCTGTTTCAGTGCTCTCTGAAATATGTGTCGCTTGACGACTATACCGAAGAGTACGCCAACTTCCTCGAACTCCGTCAGCATGATGAGTCGGCCGCTTGGCCACTTCCAGTATGGGCTACAACACCTCCTTCCTGCGGCCACAGCCATGAAGACTTAACACAGACTCCGCCATCTCAACCTTTAGCAACAGGGTCTACTCGAACGCCAGTAGATCAGCGGATGTCCAGCTTGGGTTCTACCTACTGCAGATATATGTGGGGAGACTTTGCTGCCCTTTCATACGAATGCGGTGGTTCAGCTCGGACTGGGGAAATTCTTGTCGACAACCACAAAGTTGCCGTCACCAGAAATCTGGAGGCCGCCTTACAACATATAAGCACCTGGTGGCTTCAGGAGACGAATCACATAAGTCTGTGGATTGACGCTTTGTGCATCAATCAGCAGGACATAGTGGAACGCAATCATCAAGTGAAGCGTATGGCAAGCATCTACTCTGGCGCCATTAGCGTGCTGCTCTGGACAGGGCCCGCCATACAAAACGAAACCGAAACTTGTAGGCTTCTGAGTCAGATTTACCAGATTGCGGCGACTGGAGAATCCCTAAGTAACTGGAATTCAGAATTGACCAAGTACGACAATATCTTAGCCTCGTTAGGTATCAGCGAGCTTAGTAACCGGTCCTACTGGAAGCGTCTCTGGGTCATCCAGGAGTTTTACTTGGCCGGACGAAATGCTCTGGTCTGTTTTGGAATCAGAAGAGTCAATATACTCGCCTTCTTCGCCGCCGCCAATTTGCTTGGAAGGGTCGCCTCCGTCTCCACGGAGGTGTTCAAAAAAGATGCTGTAGTCTGGATTGTCTTTTTTGCCAACCTTCATTTGGGTATTGATAATCTCGTACCTTTGATGCGGATCTTCCACAAAAGATCAACGAAAATGCCGCTTCCTGACCTAGCTACATTACTAGTCGCTGCCGGAAGAGCCGAACAAACGGACAGCAGGGATAAGATATACGGCCTGCTGGGCTTGGTCAACCCGGAGATCCGCAGTCTTATTCTACCCGACTATGGCAAAGCTTGTTCTGATGTCTATCGGGATTTCGTAACCGCCGTCATTCAAACAACTGGGAAACTTGACATCATCTATCAGCGTCCAAGGAAATTACGGCAGGGCTCCCAACTACCATCCTGGGTTCCAGACTGGTCCATCAAGGCTGATACATGCAACCCGATTGATTTGCCCCGAGAGATAGACTCGGACGAGCTCGTGCCCCAAGTATTTGGAGACTTCAGATCAGCGCTTGACACCACCCACGTCTTTCGTATCGGTAAAGACCCAAACGAGCTTCTGTGCAGGGGTTTCCGGTATGACATCGTTAATGGACTAACGTGTGCCGTTCAGCCAAGCATTTCTCACGATTTTCATGAAGTAGTGCGTGAGATACATTCTGATGCTAGTTGTCGTTTCAAAAGCCATGAGGATTTGGCAATGACATTGTGGCAAACTCTGATAATGGGCCAGAAAGGTGGGATGTCCGACGATATGTTCCGTAACATTGCAAATTTACCATTCTTCGGGGACGAATACAGGGGTGCGAATCATTTGTGTATTAGCATAGGACAGTTCCAGAACTGCAATAAAGACCTGAAACTCTGCGGGCGACCCTTCAGGACCCTTTTTGGGTCGTCCAACGTCGACGACATGAAGAACCTGGATAATTTTCTACAGGGGAGCCCTAAAGATGCGAAAGCATCACTGCTTACGGCGCAAATTGCGATCAACTGGAGAAGGCTTGCATCGACACGAAGAGGGCATCTCGCGTTGACGCCAAAAGGTGTACAGCAAGGCGATGAGATTTTCATCCTTAAGGGGTCAAACGCTCCATTGATCTTGAGACCACTGGGCAGCGGGGTATATTCGTTCATCGGAGAGTGTTACATTCACGGGATCATGTTCGGTGAAGCATTGGAGATCCAGAGGGAAAACAAAATTGAGGACATAGATGTATTGCTTCGGTAATGGGCACCAAAAAACAGTAGCCGTCATTGGATCGGCATAGGAAGCTGATATATTTAACCCTATGGACGGGCTCTGTTGGCCACACATGGACTCAGTGTCCGCTCCCTGTAGACTTGGGCTCCCGAGCCATATACCGGAATATATACTCGCCCCATTTTTCCCTATCTCCAAACACCCCATCTTTTGGCGGCGGGCCGCGGGCCCACTCATCCAGGTCCAGCGTCAAGCGCTCGACTTCCTTAAACCCGTGCTTAGCATAGAATGGCCACCCGGCTTCTGAAGAGTGCACCCAGATGGAGAGGCCAAACATGTCGGCCTTCTCGGTGGCCTGGTCCATGAGCAAGGATCCCACACCTTGCCCTTGGTAGCTCGGGTCGACGGAACACCCAGCCACAAACATGCCCCTTCCGTCTACAGGCAGGACCCGGTCCATGAAGCCGTAGAGATGGTCGCTTGTCATCTTCTCCAATTCCTTTACTTTCTCCGCTCCAGGGACGGGCGCTTGCTCGGCAGCTACATCTTGCGCAGCATCGCCAGTGGCGCCGGCACTTTCTTCCTTGCCTGGTTCCGACGCCTGCTCCTCCTGCGCCGTAGCGTCTCCGGAGTCCCCAGCTGACGAATCCATCTCCACGCCCCGGAAGACCCATGCCAAAGTGCCCGCTACCGTGCCGTCGCGGTCATCCGTTGCCTTGAGCATGACAACGCGTTGAGATTCGATGTAATTCCTGGCGCCTTCCTCGAAGCCTTGCCTCCATTCGTCGGGCTTCTTGGTCATGACCTTCATCTGCGAGTGGGTGTCTGTCTCAAAGACGCGGACGGCGATCTCGCCGATTCTGGGAACATCCTTGAGAGACGCCCTGGAGAGGGTGAACGTGGGCTTAGACATGTCTTGAGGCAAGGTATTGGATACCGTATTTTTAAGATATTCTGGAGCATGATAAGTGTGTAATGGAAGTTTTATACTCCCGAAATCACGTTGCCAAAGCGGAGTTTTGAGATCATACGAACGTCGCAGCTTACCTACATGTGTACAAGTACCTCAAAGCCCCGAGTGAGTCAGGCCGCTATCTAACTGCCAAATGCGGTTGGATTGTCCATGCAAGCGCATGTACTCCGTATATTGTGGATAATCACCATGCACGTATACTATTGCAGTATTCCAGTAGACACTTGCGCAAAGCGAGTATTCGCAAAGATATTGAAGAATCAATTAGATCATGAATTTTTGAGTAACTGTAAATTCAGTTTTGGTGCAAAACACACCCTGACCCAGAAAACGCCAGCCCGATTGCCATGGTATCAAGCCGCCAAAAACCTTTCATAGTAGACCTCGCAGGTCATCACTGATATCTGGGGAAAACATTGAAACTCCGCTGCGTAAATACATAGGATCGACCACCCGATTACATTCGCCGACTGAGCCGTAGACTTCAGCGTCCAACTCTCGCGTAGTCGGCAGGATTGTATGGCATGAATGTATTTTGGTGCCGGGAAGCTGGGTCTACATCCTGCTTCGAGTCGGACTTGTGCTCCTCGCGCGTCTCCTGGTGTGTCCTCAATTCGGATGCAAATCCCTTGTGATCCATTCCGGGGGACGCATAGGGCGCGCTACCACTCTCGGACGAATAAGATGTGGGCCGAGAGTGTTGCAAGCCAGGGCTGTTCTGACTCCGTTGGCTCTGCTGACTCTGCGACCATCTCCAGTCATTCGGGCCTGGTGAAGACTGATCTGATCGCAGTGCGGGTGATGGCTGTGGTGGTTGCAAGCGTGGCGAGGACTGGGGGTGATACATGTCTCCGGGGAGCTCCATTACGATTGTTTGCTGAGCAGCAGGGTGGGCCGATTGCACCGGCAGTTCTGCGATATTTGATTGGTCGTTGGGCTTCCCGAAGGGATACCCTGTCTGTTGCTGCTGCTGAGAGTTTGAGGTCCCGGGCCTGCTGTATTGCTGATGCTGCTGCATCGATGGCGGGACCTGGAAAGACATCGGTCGTGGGATCTGGTATGGAGTTCCCGGAGACGGCTGCGAATCGTGGCTGGAATGATACAGGCCTGTTGGCGACTGCGGTGGTGAGGCTACCGCACCCAACCCACCAGTGTAGGTTGTCCTGTCATTCGGGTTGGAAGTTCTGATTTTGCCATTCTCAATCATTGCAGTCAATACACCGGCATCTAGCAGTTCGGCTTTCTTGATGATCCTGTCGACCATCTCCTTGCTTGCGGCCTTGAGCTGCGCCTTGACGAAGCCCACCATGGCGAAATTGCAGCGGATCTCGATATCCTCCCGCAGATACAATCCGTCCTTCGGTGCGCCAAGTCCCCCCAGACCAATCTCCTGCTGTTCCGGGGGCTCGACGCCGGGCTGGTTGCCGCCGATGCGATACTTGTTGCGCAGGTCGACATTGGCGGGAGCGTAAATGTGGGTTTGGAGGCCCCACGGCAGGTCGTGAAAGCAGCCGTTGAAATGGATGACGCCGGAGCCCAGCTTACCAATGCCCGGGACATACTGGATGCGCTCTGTAATCTCGTACCACGTCGAGTAGAACTCGTCGCTCGGGGCGGCGCGGGGCGCTTTGATAGGCTTATGGCTGAGGACCAACGGATTCAAGGTGATGACTTCGCCGTGGCTGTGGAGGATATCAATGGCGAGCTGGCGGGGGATAAAGCCAGGGATCGGCGTGATGACGGTGTAGACCTCTTTCTTGCGAAGAACCATCTTGGGCAATTGACGATTCTCGAGGAGGCAGCAATTCAGACCTGGGACGGGAAACAACAAGAGTATTTGCAGAGGACGAAGTGAATAAACCGCGTCAGCCCTGTGGCTAAATCCCTACGCATGCGCTGGCCCTGCTGGGCCATGCTGTGATGGATCCGGAACTTGGGCGGCCGGGCTGTTGGTGAGCGTCAGCAAGGCGGCGATGCAGCCGTGCTAAAAGTGTTAAATTCGAGCCGGCCTTTTTTCCCATGCAGCCACCAGGGATTCTCTGGGCATCTTCATGCACCCTCCCACCAGGACGCACCGCTAGCCGTCGCCTAGGCGAGAGCTAGATCGTCAGCTGCAGCCCGCAATGGGCGACAGCCAAAGCCAAGCTCCTCATGAGAACACAACGCCGGACGATCCTGGCAGAGCGATATCGAGCAGGTACACACGCTGTCGCTCTGGTTTCCCCAGACTCAGGTCCGGCACGTCACCGCTACGTAGCAAGCTGTCTAGCTGCGCCAAGCAATTTGCCCAGACCCTTCGATCAGATCGAGTTTGCTTCCTCACTGCGGACAAACATTCAAGCAACTTATCATTAGGCCGGTTGGAACCTCTGCTCTGATGATGGCACACGCCCAGCCCCAAGTGCTGGAGGCTGGCTGATGGCTCTTCCTACTGCAGCATACACACCTAGGTACATAGCGCCCAAGGCTCGCTTGCTCGCCAAATCGCAAGCAGCTTGATTCGCCTGGCGTTTCTCGCGCGGCAAGGGGGTCCTCCGGCAGTCAGCACGATATTAATACAACGGGCAAGAGTCCTCGTGGTAGTACATGGCCTCCAGTCCCAAAGCAGTAGTCCCGTGGTACCCTAATGCACCGTTATCAGGTGGCACCATCGTCGGAACGTTGTGGTTCGGCGCTCCGCTGCCTTGTCCCACGGGGGTTTCCAGTAGTCCCAAGCCGTGTAAACTGTCTTTTAGACCTTCGGCGCAGACCAGACTGTTCTGTTCATCGTCACATCACACCACTGAATGCACCTTTTGCGTTTCTTGTCTGCATCGGACCGTATTCAAAGTATGCATGTGACTTGCCATTCCCTCAGATCCCAAATGCGCGTGCTGTTGCACTCAGCGCCAAAGTTCTAATTTGGACCCAACCCTCCGGGTCTTGACAGCAGCCAGTGGATAATCTATTTAAAGCACGGCCCGGGCTGGCCCCCTGTCTCTGCTACGCTCGGCAAACCCCTGCCGCTAGACACAAATAGTCTGTCTCACCTCACTGATAGACAAGAGTATCTCCCTGGCAAAGCTTGAAGGGCAATGCTGCTATTAGTGAGTGAGTGATTGCTTGTGTTTTAAAAGACATTGTTGAGAGGATTAAATGTGTATTTTCTGAGATGTACTATAAACTACAGAGGTGGCTGAAATCGGCATGATCTCCTAAGTGCGAAGTGGCGAGGTAAGAGTCTGTTACTATCACTACACTTGTTTGCCATGAAAACCTGTCCTCCGTCAGCCCTATAACGGCACCGCCCTTGCCAAGCTCTACCACAGCAGCTCAAACATCAGCGGCAGGCCCTGGAGGACCAAACACGACAACGAGCATACCATCCAGCAACCCTTCAAGCTCTACACTTATCACTGCCAGAATGTGAACCTCTGGCCTGCCAAGATCAAGACTTCAGCGTTGCCTCAAGTGTCTCTTTTTAATCTTTGTGTGATGATATCCACCCCACGATTACCTTCACAAGCTGAACAAGTGGCCCTATCGTAGCTCCCCAGCACAGCTCCGTTCGACCACGTGATCCAATATGATCAACTTACGGAAGGACTCCGGTCATAGCGACACTACCAGCTATGCAAATGATCTTTTTCAGGCCTGGCTAGTAGAAGACGGACATATGTGGATGACAAGACCCTTCCACCAAGACCGGGATGTCACCGGTACTGCTGGAGTAATTAAGTAGCTGCGCTACAAGGAAAACTCCCTCATCCCTCAAGTCCAGATCATCAGGTTGGGGGACTACTCGTGTGGGGCTGACTACGGTGGTGCTCGAATCACTTGTACCGTTCTTCATTGACTTCTAACCACCTCCTCCTGGACTGACAATGCTGCTCGAGTCAGCAGGTAGAGATACGGCTGGCCCTTCACAGCGATATTCGGTATTCAGAGTAGCAGTTATCGTGATTGGACAGTGTCACATGAGCCTTGCTTTACTGATGCCGTTGCGAGGAATCCTCAAGAGGCAGGCTCTGGATCGATCAAAGGCCCAGAATCCAATAGAAAAGTAACGTTGGCTATCAATGTTCAAACCTGTAGATATTATCTTCAGCTCAAAATCCAAAATTTCATGCAATTCGCTTCCATATTGTAAGGCTTTATGTCCTGAACGAGAGAAGGAAGGTCTAATGGCTGTACACTCGGATAGATCAGGTAGGGGCAGAAGAAACGATCTCAATGTTTTGTTCTTTGAATATAATATGTGGGCCACAAAATAAGTCGATTCTCAACCTTCTTACAGTTTTGGTGGTTATGGAGCAATCTTTTTCTTGCCACCACTATAGTACAACAAACTAAAAGAATATATGGTGTCTTTCCGAGCTCCCCCCACCTCACAGTCTCACATTACGGTGATTTGATTCGTCTAAACAAGCTCAAAACCACTCAAGCACAATCAATTTGTATGCGCTCTTCGTGTATCGAGCGACGTGAAGTATGCACATTGCGAGCTAATTATTTTCAAATAGAACCGACATGTCAGTGCAGACTCCACAGATCTTCTTTAAATTCCAACATACAGCAGTGTGCCGACCGAAACCAACACCGCTTCCCCTTCACTTCGAAAATTTGAGCCGATCAACATCAAAGACATCTCAATCTCCGCCCGTGGGCACTTCGCATAGCGTATCTCAATATGATTGCCGCCTTCTTATCATGTTTAGCATGCCTGCTGACCATGGCCCTCGCTGAGGGGGAACTGAACGGTTTCCCCGCAAATCCATATGACCCCTTTTGCGCAATGTCATGCCTGAGAAGCCTTTCTTCTCTGATGCTCGATTGTTCGGGCATGGATGGAGGCACCTTGGGCATGATGATGATGAGCACCACTTCGGCATGCTGGGCCAGTAATACGCCGTACCTTACCAGCCTGTCTTGGTGCATGCACACAAAGTGCGCCGAATTCAATATCCCGAACTCGAAACTTGAATATTTCTGGGAAACGGAAGCCACGGGCCAGGTGTCTGCCGGGGTTCAGACCGAGTCAGCAAAGTGGTCGTTCGCAGAGGCACTCGCCAACGTTGAAGGTCCTCCTTCAATACAACTACAGGCGAATGACACATGGCTCAATGTCACATCTCTTGTCTCTCCCGAGGTCTACGTGATGCAGTGGAATGTCCTCACAAGCGTTCAGCGAGAGACCTCCATTGAAAATGCCTACGGGTAAGCCCAGCCGAAGAAAAACATAATTACTATGAGAGGTCAGCAACTGATTGGAGATGAATGAAGTATCGCGTTGCTAGTGACCGGCTTTGGCTTGCCTATTTTCTGCACAATCCTTGGGTCTGTACCACTCCTTTCGGGACTGTCGGCAAAGCTGAAGCCGTATGTCATCTGGCCAAGTGTGATTGGCACATATCACATTCGCCCTCTTCCATATCTTTTAGGCAACGCCCCAACCTTGGGCCAAAGTATATACATTTCCCTGTTTGTCGTTTTGAATATCATCCTGACTGCAGTCAACTACCAATCCAAGCAACCGAACGCCTGGTACTCGACACAATGGGGGGAGATCATGGCTTATGTTCTATGGCGCACCGGGGCTTTGGCTTACATTATAGCCCCCCTGATTTTCCTCTTCGCTGGGCGGAACAACATTTTGCTGTGGTTGACGAACTGGTCTCATTCGACGTTTCTCGTATTGCACCGTTGGGTAGCTCGCATCTTCGCTATCCAGGCCATCCTCCATTCCATCTTGGCAGTCGTACTACACAAGCACAATGAGACTTATGACGTCCAGGTTTCCCAGCCATACTGGATATGGGGCATTGTAGCCACTTTGTGCACTGTCATTCTCACCTTCGGAAGCTCTCTTCACATCCGCAGCTATAAGTACGAGTTATTCCTCGTAGTACATATTGTACTCTCTGTAGTGCTTGTTGTTGGATGTTGGTATCACGCTTATGATTTGTACAAATTCCTTGGTGGCTACTTGGACTGGATGTATGCCATTGCTGCCGTGTGGTTCACTGATCGACTAGTCAGAGTAGTACGGATAATGGGACATGGGGCGTGTCGTGCAAAGTTAACAAACATTGGAGACGACTACGTACGGATCGATATACCAGGAATCTACTTGGGAGCTGAGCCCGGAAAACATATTTATGTCTACTTCCCGACAATCACTCCCTTGCGCTTCTGGGAGAATCATCCGTTCTCAGTATTGTCTACAGCACTCTTACCTGGGATTCAGAATACATCGACTGGCGGAACAACGGGTGATGTGTCAGACACTCCAGGAAGTCCAATGCACGACGTGGAGAAATCAAACAAGGGCAGTGTCCAAGAGAAGCCGTTACGAAATCTTCACTCTGCCGCTGGCTTGACGTTATATGTTCGGCGGTCAAAAGGTGCTACTAAGTTACTGCAGGCCAACAATGATCTGATGGTACTCCTAGAGGGCCCGTACCCAAATAATTCTACCCGACAGTTGCTGCGCTGCGACAGGTTGCTGCTGATATCTGGCGGCATTGGAATTACTGCAGTGTTACCTTTTGCCAGCCGCCATTGGAACGTAAAGTTAGCCTGGAGTCTAAAAGAAAGTGCGAGATGTCTGAAAGAGGACATGGCTGGGGCGCTCGGTGCAATTGCCGATAATGATATTCGGGTAGGTAGCCGCCTAGATATCTCACGATTGCTGGATTCTGAAATAGCGGCCGGTTGGACAAGAGTTGGAGTGGTTGTGTCTGGGCCTGCGGGTCTTTGCGATGATACCAGGGCAGCTGTCGTCGCTGCTGCGAAGTTGGGATATGCAAAGTTTGAGTTTGAGATTGAGGCGTATTCGTGGTAATCTTAGGATCAGTTGGCCTGAGGGACCTGTAGTGTTTATATGTTGAGATATTTTCCATTTAATCTTCTTGACAATATGCCAATATGCTCAACGGCGCTCGCATGACGTTCTGTTCCTTGCCGATATGATACTTCCCCAACCAAGTGCGCGGGATTCAATAAGGCGTCTGGAGTTAACCATGTTAGACTGCCGTGGCTCGCCTACGTTCGACAAGTGTTGCCTTGCTATGCCTAATTTTGCATGGTCTATCACAAACCTCAAGTACCTTGCCTTGAGCATGACTGGCTATGCAGTGGTCAACACGATGGCTGCCTTGGCCTCAGAGAACAGTCCGGACGAGGTGCACAGGTCTATGAATGACACTATATGGGTGCTACATACCCTAGGCAAGCCGGTACATCAGCTCGTCGTAGAATCCTGCGCTTTGGCCGACGATCACGACAATGATGGTGGCGCATACAAGTTTCATAGAGAGAACGAGCCCCTGCCCCGACATGATCCTCGTCACAATGTGTAAGGCAAGAATGGATAGACTCTGTCTTCCCAATTGATGATGGATTTCATGAAGTGCTTCAGCCGCCGGCATAATGCCTCTGAGCTGACAATTGTAGGCCGTGAATGCCGCACCCCGAACCGTCCATTGAGATGCGGCGTCAAGTAACTGGGCTTGAGACCAACACCACAAATGTCTTTGATTCAATCAACTCAAGCTTAGTCATATATTGGCTCAAAAAGCCCTGCTTTCGAGGGAGCTGCCGCCAAAATGGCCGTAGCTACGTTTCAATACAGGTTTTTCTTCCAGATGAAACATGCATAGCACAGAGTTGAGGCTAATATGGCCCCATAACTAATCATTACTGGATACAAAAAATCCTCTGGTCGGGAATATATGGTTGTCGTCAAGGAAGACATCATGTCAAAGATTTGTTGACTCGCAGCCTCAGTTGCTGAGAACCGTGAGCGTGAGGATGGAAGTGTGACCTTTGCCGATGATTAGCTCTTTTCCTCAACACCTTCCCTTATGAACGAACGAAATGACTAACCTCTTGCACCATGAATTGGATAGCCAGGTCTGAGCCCCATAGGCCCAAGCGCTTGAAGATGATTCCCAACCCTAGAGCGACGCCAGCGAAGATGGTCGTGATATCATGGGTCAAGACGGGCCCGGCGAATACAGCAAGGCAGGCTACCTGCCATAGAAGAAAGTAAAACCCAGCCCTGGACGGCCCAAACCTATCCATTAGAATCGGTGCCAGCCAGGTACCACCTAGCTCGGCTACAACAGAGACAATGCGAAAGAATGTCACCTGGAGTGAGGAGAAGCCGATGCTGAGAAGGTAGGCTATCATGGGACCGCCAACGTATAGTACAGTCCACCACAATATGCAGCCTGCAAAGGACGCTAGGAACACGGGTGACTTGCGATATTCCTCCCATGGAGCCAGTGTAAGCAGCGATGTTACCGACAATGGGGGTACGGACAACAAAGACACAACCTGTTCGGGTCCATTCTCCAGCGACAAGTGCCTCATCTCGGTTACATTGCCATGTTCTCGTTCATACGCGAGTTCTGGAACGGTATTGTATATCTGAGACGCGATTCGGCTCTCAAGCAGCATTGAGGCTACATTCCACACGACAACAACCATCATGGCTAGTTGTGGCGAAGAGGAATCTATCAATCCGACGAAGGAAGGCGCCAATAGCTTACTCAGAAGGTCAACTCTGCGGAGCGATGCATTGAAATCTTGCCTTCTAAGTCTGTGGGTTTCGGCAACTATGACCAACCAATCCCGTTCCAGCGCGATCAGGTTAGCCATGGCAGCCAGCTTCTCTATGCTTCCCAGCAAGGCTACAGTTGCAAAACAGAGCAGTGCGGCAAGCCTACCCCAGGATTCAAGGCCGGGTTCGGGTAGGTGGCGTAAGGAAATAATCAGGATGCACGATAGCACAATAGACAGTCGCTGGTAGGCGATGCACAGCCCCATGGCGCGCAGCCTGTCCTGGCTGTCGACGTAGGCACCAACGGCTGGGCCAAGGAGAACTGCAGCTATTGATCGACATAGGCCGTGAATTGAGATGTAAAGCAATGTCGAGGGGTAGGTGCCAGCCAGAAAGAGCGACAGACTGAACTCGGAGCTCCGTATAGCGCATGATGAGAGAAGCTGGAGTAAATAGACGCGCGGTATCGCGGACCCTCGGATCCCCGGGGAAGGTTGGGCCGGCATCGCGGTCGGCACACACTTTCAGAGTCGTGTTGTAACCCGGAAATGGGAGATGGAACGCGTAGGTTTGGTTCAACTGGACCGGAGACAAGTTGCTGACGCGCACAGCCATGTCAAAATACGCGCTCAAATTTGCTCATATAAATGCATCGCCCAAAACAAGCGATGAGACATTGATCTATATTGACCGACTCAAGCCTCCCACTTCTCTAGCATTGAATTAAGTTTGGGAATTCGTTCTTATCTGTTAATTACCACTTCTGGATCTATAGCTCCAGTTACGAAGCGTATCGTTTCCGATGGAGCAACAGCAACCTCCAAAGCCCGCCAAATGATATCATGTCTAGGCTTTAGAGAAATGCAAAAAATACAAGACTTCACTTCGAAAGTCTGTCGCACTCCTTCGAATGGCCTCTGTTTCACGGCAACAAAGCACGTTATGGAAGCCAGGAAGCTAGCCTGGGCATGTAAACACACCCTTGAACATTCAGCAGGCAGACCACAGCCCTTTGAAAACCTTCTATAGCACGGTAGGTGGCAATGGCGAGGATTTCCTTTCATCGTTAAACATTAACATACTCCCAGTTAGTCAATGATGGTGCTGACTGTAGTGTCCTATCTAAGTCCGTCACATGATAGGATGAAATAGGCACAGTTCCGACAGTAGCTGTATAAACATATTCTAAATGTCTCTCTCACGAAGGTAGCCAAGAAGACTTGACTAACAAAAGCTAAAGAGTACTGTCGCAAGAAGAACAAGCATATTGGTGAGGGAAATAGCTCTGGTTAATCCAGAACCACCTGACTCTGCGTTGTCCGCTGGCGGCTCTGAACTTAACCGGAATAACGGGTCGAGTGCCTGTGATTCATTAGTTACGATCCGGCTTCCCGCAACACACATAGCCTCGGGATCTGTCCATGTCGCGTCTACAACACGCTGCCATACTAGCTCAGGTCGGGTGAGCATCTCCGCTGTGTAGAAGAAGCGGCAGTTCGCTGGCTGCATTAAAAACTGGAGAGGTGTTTGGGCGTCCATAGATGCGAATTGATTCTTTCCGTTGACAGCGCCGGGACTTCTTGGGTCAGTTGCCCGTGCGATAGCATACCCTTCGGCTAGGATGCCGAGCTCTCCATTTTGGAGTTCAGCCTTTCGCACCTCGGGGCCGAGTTCGATGACTGCGCTGGCTACGTTCGAGATATCACCGAGCTCGAAGACCTGAGCGCCCTCAACTCCTGCAATGGATTGCATTGGTCCCGCAACCGGCCGCCCGCCAACGGCCGTTGTCTTGATATTCAGTCCCAAGATCATTAGATAACTGAACTGGTATGGGTTAGCCCAGGGTTGCCTGCTTGTCAATAGTCGGTGGACATACCAAGGTGCAAGTGCTACCACAAGTGCCATCAGTGAGGAGCACGACATTTTCCGGCGCGAACACAGCTGGTGGAGGAATTGAGCGCGTTCCAGTGCCCGTCAGATTAAACTCAGCTGATGTTTCGTTCAGGGGAGTTGCTTGGTATGCAGTAAAGAGATCCCCCTGTAAACTGACAGGGGCTAGTATGTCCTCAACACTGTTGAACTGAGATCCTTCAGGCCTGAATACACCTCCAGGTATGATGTTACTGATGATGGCACTGCTTGATAGCGCTTGCACTGCAAGTAGCTGGGCCGGCGTAGATACATTGAAATTGGCTGGTAGCGAGTCAACAATCCGAGCAATATTGACGAGACTATCGGCTAAACGGAGATTATTGGCTTGAAACATCTCTACATCTGGAAACAACTTGATTTTACCGTTAGTAAATTTTACTCTAGATATCAGTCGATCACTGACCTGAGCGAACAGTTCATATCCTGCAACCACGAAGCCTCCCCCGTTTGCTGTAAGGTCAACGATAAGACGTCTTTTGCCCGCAATTTTTGACTGAGACAAGAAGCCCTCAACTGTGCTCTGAAAGTTGGTCAGATATTCGAGCGTGCCGACGTTTGCCCCATTGGAGAACGAAGAGACTGCGAGTACTGCTACATCTTCATAGCCTGTCCCATTAAGAAAGTATCCGGAAGTACTGTCTGAGCCACTATCTCGGATGATGGGGGATGGATATCCTCGTATTGTGGGGGATAACGTTGCAACAACAGTACTAGTGCTTCGAGCTGTAGCTGTGGTTGAGGTAACGACGGTGGTGGTCGGAGCCGAAGCTGCATCTGGGTTACAAAAGCGGTTGTAAAAATCTTCCCCACTTTGAATGCCAGCAAAATCGACACCTGCACGGAGGACCGCAAAACTCTCCTCTGTTCTTTCCTGGCCATTTTCATATGTAAGAGTTACACTTTTGCCCTGAAAGGCAAGGGATGCTGCCACAGTAAGCGCGGTACCTGGGGTGGCGTAGGTCTGGAACATTGAATTCCATTGCGAATCTGGATCTTGGAATGAGCTGAACCTCAAATTCAACTCTTCAATAAAAGCTGCCGCATCCCGCCCATTGATTTTGGTGATTGCCGACGCAGTTGTAGTGGAGTTCAGATCAGCTGGCACCGGTCAATGACTGCTTTGGTGCATTATAGAGACATCTGGAACACTTACCACGGTGGTATAGCTTGGGCACAGCCTTCCCATCAGAAGAAACCGACACTATGTCTGACGCGAGTGCATTACGAAAACCGAATGCCTTGAAAATATCCGGACGGAAAGCAAAATGGCCATCGTGTGCTGAAGTAAAGGTTTCAAAAATTGCCAGCTGGAAATCATATTCACTCGCAAAGCGACCGGAGGCGGACGTAGCAGAGATATTACTCAATCTGCCTACTATGTCCGTCGCCGGTAACGTGTACGATGATGGCGGGTTCTTCAGCCAAGCCAATGTACTTTGCCATTGCACAAAAGCTTGCAAGCTGTTGACGAGTTTCTTCGCCGGCTCTAGCTTATTTGGAACGGATTGAAGGCAGTCGTGCGCTAGACTCGCCGCAATAGTAGGTGTAGCTGGGTCTGGGTATTAGTATGCGGATTATGTGCACCGTGTCACCGCAGAAGTATAGCATGACTGTATACCACATACCAGACGGGTTTTGCGCTAGGAATGATGCTGTCGCAGGAGATATTTGTGCACAAGCATCCGGGCTTGCAGTAACAATTGAAGTAATCTGGGGCGCCGGCGCAGCAGATACTAAAGCAACCAAAACAACGAACCAACAGTTTGGTTTAGCCTGATGGAATGCAACCATCGTGAAGCTCTAGTGGTCCCAAGATGGACATACAAGGAAAAAGAAGATCTAGAATCTCATTCGCGACCGCTTCAAGAATTGACTTGGAAATTTTCAAGCCATCTTGCGACTCATGGTGTGCCATGTTGGCCGCCAAGTGTGTAGATTCACATTATGAAACATGATACACTTCATGGGCGTTGTTCGGACGTGGGGGCCCTTCTTAGAGAGCCAATGCAACAAAGGGTCGACAAGTGTCTTCCAGTCCAATAGAATTTCAAGAACCTTTTCCAAAGATTCGAATTTCGTCCAATCTTTGAGAGGTGGTCGCCCAGCATAAGTTGGCGTCGCCCTTGGGGGATAAGGACGTACGATACGCCAAGAAATTTGCGCCCCCAGCTGAACGGATGCGTCTTTTCCGCCTCCTTCCTCCGCGTGCTCCACTTCGAGACAATGCCCAGACTCTGCTTCTTGGAAATATTTGACCCAGGAAGAGTTCTTTTAAACACTGACATGCAAGCGATAGCCATTTTTGTGTAAGAACAGTTAAGGCTGCCTGGGTTGTCGTGAGACGGCGCATACCATTCTCCCATCTGGTTCTTTTCGCCTTCCTTCATTCCGAATGTCTGCTCTGACGGCAGCTTGATGCTGCGATACTCAGACAGACACCGCAATCGATCTGCTAGCTGATAGTCATTGAAAGGTGTTAGGCGAGATGAAAAGATTATATAGGTACGTGTGCCAACTGGCGACAATTACATGCGCTTGATGGAATCGGAAATAGTGCTTGATCGAATTTCATCTCTTGTATTAGTCTGCTGTTTCAGCAGACACAATACATAGTTGGCTACAGAATGCAAAAGAGCAAATAAAGAGCTTGGCGAGAGGTCCGATTCCCGCGCTCCATGTTGGTTCTGTATTTCCGAAGTAATGACTCATAGCCAGTGCACCTGCTTTCTGAACCGAGACCAGCCAAGAGTTGATACACTGTGTTGCAGTCACGATGGAGAGACATCAGTCGTTATAGTCTATGATAAGATCAAGTCAGCTTGTTCTTCCATCACGGAACACCCTAACTATGACAAGCTGAGGAGGGGTTGACTGGGAAGATGTGAGGGACGATTTGGTTCGGATAGGTTGTTGGATTGGTTTGAACGAGATTAACAGGGGTGTATACCTGTGGGTAGATCTGTGCGCAGTAAATACCTAGGCTTTTGGAAGCTCTGTGGTTACGACATGACTCCTCATTCAACTACTGATCGGATTTGGTACAATTAATAACCTTATCGCCAGCAATCATTACACCGCTCAATTAAAGGCTTTAGCTTATTTCTTCCTTCAAGGCGCCATTATGAAGTTTAATGAGCAGAAGGAGACAAACACCCGGCGTTGAGCTGATATTGTTATTAGGCTTGAGCCTGCACGACCATTGTTATCCAGACTTTTCCAGATTTCGTAGTCAACCCTTCAGCTGTTACACCTCAGCTATTGAGGACTACTAATGTAAGCTTTGAAGGTGATATGCGACTTCATCGCCATGACTCCATCATCCCAGATATAATTAAAAGACAAAGTATTGCATGTCAGCAACACTGTAGTGCCTAGGTGTGTCGTGACTTGCTCTAGCACTATCGAGATCTCGAAGGAAGCTCTTGGAAACTGCTTTTAACATCCACTGCCGCAAACCTGCTCCCAATTTAAACAAAGCACTACTGAGAAGGTCACCGCGCGAAATGGCTTTCTACACCGTTGGTCAGTATATGGGAAGCATAGGAAAAGTCTGCGATTGTGTAATCTCAGGCAACTCTAAGACAGTCCTCGTTATTTCCGGCTCTAATAACATTGGCGGACCAAACATTCCGCAAACGTTGGAAAATCTCCGCGGAGAACCTCACTTTCGGGTCTTCCGCTTCTTTTTAACCCAACTACGCCGGCGATGAATGAATCTAAAATGAGTGTGATAAATGCTAAACCTAGATTTCTCTACCCCTTTAGACTAATAGCTAAGCTATGTTTGCATATACGGCCATAGACGGTACCCAATCGCGTAGCTTACATAAAAGAACATGACTCGATCAGGATTCAAGAGGCATTATATCGAACACAAAAAAACGCAGTATTGCTGGAACATTATCTAATAGACAACGAGCCTTGGTTAAAGTCAGCTGACAACGAATCGAGATGCAGGATTCGGACCTGAAAGGAGGAAGACCAGCGGAGCACTGTGATTATGGAGAGCACCAAGTCCAAGCAAATGTGACATAGGCAACCAAGAGTGCCAAAATTGTTGGTGGCGTGTACAATCACATCATACGAAGCAAGGTCCGCACGCACGAAGGGATCAGCAGCTTGCGATTGAATTGCGGAGTTCACGGAAATAGGCTTGCATCGAAATCCGGGCTGCCGGGCTCTCAGTAGTGTCCTTCTTTAGGCTCGTTCTCCAAACACATCGCTCGACGAGAGATTTCATGAGAAGGTCAGTACTGTATCGAAGGAGCCCGGGTGTGGCGAGAGGCGACGACGCGCGGAAACGTACTCGGCGTGGGACCACTCGAAGTCTGGCAGGATCCCGTTGCCGACCCAGCCAAATGGTCCGCTGTCAAGAGCCAATGAATATCCGTGGAGGCCCTCCGGCAACGTCCAGAGGGACTCAGGGGACCTTGGGGACTGTGCTCTGACTAAACCAACTACCACAGACAGCGCTAAGCCCTTTGCGCTAGTGCAGGCCTGGTCCAAGCCTGCCAAGGTATCGGATTAGTGGTAGGTACTGGACTGTGGTCCTCATCGGCTTCCCACCCGCTCAGCTTCTCAAATTTCCAGGACAGCTGCCCTTTCCAGAATCACATTAACCACTGGGATCTCAGAGCTGTTCCAAGTATTTTCGGCTACCTTTCAGCATCTTCCCTGGTGAATGTTAGGGAAGTTATCCAAAGATTTGTGTACCGTGTACGGATGGCGGCAACCTTGCCCAACCCTTGAGTCCGCCAAATCCGCCCGGACCAAAGACTCCGTCCCCAAGGAATGTGTGTCGCCGGCGCCGCTAGGAAACAAGTTTTTGTCACATATTCTGATTGGATCACTGGACGATCCCCGTCGTTTCTCCTCTTCTCCCTGAATACTGTGTACAGTCTGTTGAATATTTGATTGTACTGCCGCGCGAAAGCAAACTCCTGCAGGTTGTGACGGTCTGGCAGGTCACGGATGTTCTAGCTTGCGTAATTGGTATTTGACATTTGACCATCCGGAGGGAATCCCGAGCCAATGTATGTTCATATCAGAGGCAAACCGCGTGTTTGGGAATTTGGTATCTGCCTCACAGCTTGGCTTCATCCTGCATTTTCCTTACCACTAGCCATCGTCTGGTGGCAGACATCCGCCTACCGCCCGAGGTAGACTAGAGTACTACTTGACGAGACCAGTACAGAAGCGTACGCTCCTCAAACCCCGCCTCACACCTATTAGAGGGCATTGGGCTTACCAAAACTGAATGCTTAAGCTCGTCTTCGAAAAATCTGTACTCACGTCCCGTGGCAATATCTCCTAGGTAAGCAGGCAAGTCGGAATACCAAAAGCGAGAACCGACCCTATTGTTGTTGACGATTCTTCTGCATCCTGTTGGCAAATATGTCCTATCAAGGTCACGGTGTCGAAGCATTGTTCCACCCAATCACTGCATGGGAACATATGGAGGGTTCCACAGCGAGACCCAGCGTGCCAGCCGCGCTTCCGAGCTGCAGCCACTGGATTGCCTATGGCGAAGTCCCAAGAATCTCCTGGGACCTTGAACTATCTGCTGAGGATGGCCCATCTGTCTCTGTTCCTCACCTGCCCATCGTACATGCCGCAGTTTGCCACCAACCACCAGACACTTCACTTATGCTGCGACCTTCGCACTCTCTGACATCACTTTCTAACCGAAGTAGTAGGGATTTTCATGCGGCTCTTGATCGATCTGGCGCATAATAACAATACCATTCCGATAGGTTGACAGGCTCATCATCGTATTCACACAATCACTGAAGCCGCTGGCGGTGAGATTGGTGATTTAGTGCCTGGCTGTCTGGCGGTTGTCGCCTCTACGTCAACTTCGGGCCGGCCCAATTTGCCACCTTACATCTGTACTGAATAGCAGATTTAACCATGAGCATTCGGTCAGCGAAGAACGTATCCGCTGGCCGCGAGGCTCATAGATTCCAAGAATCAGCATTACCTAGTCAAACGTACCAGGACAGAGCTGGGATGGATCTTCTATCAACCGAGAACTTCCAATCGCTCCAGCATCCACTTTCAGAATCTTTCTTTTTGAATATGGCCGAGCTGGAGTCCATCAAGTGTGAACCCACGTGGGAAGACGCCATAGATGAACGATTTAGTAGCGTAAGTTATGAAACCCCACGGCCGGTACGTTGAAAAGACAGCCTGACATTGTTGGTTTGTTAAGACTCCCCAATCAGACAATACCCAACAACCCGAAGTTTCCGGAGTCCAACCAACCCCTCGAATCCAGCCCAAGAGGCGCCGTAACACGTTGGCTTCGGCCGAATCAACGCATGCCTCAAGCTCAGTCAGTCGGGAGAAGAACAGGATAGCGGCCAGCAAATGCCGCCGAAAGAAAAAGGTTGAGGAGCACCAATTGGAAGAGCGCAGACGAATGTTAGCAGTCCAAAACTCGATCCTCAGCGACTCGGCTGCAGCTCTCCGGATGGAAGTGCTTCAGCTGAAGAATGAAGTTCTCAGACATGGCACCTGCGACTTCCCTCCGATTCAAAAATACATCGAGACATCGGCCGCGCGATTGACTTGAGTACGCAACACATCAGCAACACAAGCTCATACTCAATACCCGCCGGCTGCTCAGCTATATTCCTCGGAGCTACGAAGGGACCATTCCTTCTGGTAGGATTATTCTGACGACTTGGCCCTGGCCAAAAACAATTGTCGAACTCGGCCGAATGTCCTCCTCAACACGAGGCGAGTGAAGAATACGACACGACGGATCATGTGCAAATGCAGGATACATAAACCGACAACAGTCAGCATATGAATGTGGAAACGTTGACAAAACCCTGACAAGGGCACGAAATAAAACGTCCGTTGACGCGAGTAAACCACGGTCCTCACAGAAGATACAGGGCTATGATAAGTATGGCAATTCAAGTCTAATGACATTCCCTGGCACATCTGCGCCACGTTTGAAGTGAGATGCATCGTGGTGATAGTTTATGTATGGTGACTATATGGCCGCAAAACGGCACGGCACTTTGGTTTGAAAATTGATCGTGGTCTCATCCCAGCTCAGCTTCTGAGTATAGCACCGTCAACCTGTTGACTCTTGAGAGCCATGCCGTCACTATACGCTTAATCATTCCAGGCCACCCGCAATTTTGAGTTTGCTCCCCATGGGGACGTTTCGGGGCTAGCAGCCGGATTCGTTGTACCAAGCTGTTCATGACTCGTGCGCAGCTTCGGACCAGTTAAAAGAGGGTAGTTGTATAGTTGTCCGGTGGCATCTTCACAGCTGCCTCTGCAATCTAGTATGCGGCTCTGCGTGCTGACTGGCCGGCTACTTGGACAAGCTCGAATCGGCATGCTGCCATGTGTGTCAAGGGGGGGCAACGGGCTGGCCAATGAGCATATGTATGTAGTACTTCGTGGAAGCTGCAAGATCAGTAGGCTCGGTATATCTACGTCCACGTCCCAGCGCACGCCTCCCTCTCTCCTTTCCACTTTTTCTTTATTTCTTATCTTTATTTTTCAAATGCTGCATGGTGCACAACACATTACCAAGTCACTCTAGCTACCTATATAGTCAAAGAAATGGTGGGGGGATTAAGGGTAGACGGAGCCAGCTGACCACCAGACGCTAACTTGAAATGACGTCGGCTTCTGGCGGGTTATGTGCCCTCGGGTGGTCAACGTCGGCCATGGGCCATAGGGCTCTGATGCAACGTGTGACTTACTTTGAAAAAGCAATCCCGAGCAATAGTTTTCATGCCGGAAGAGTACAGTAAGTTCTATAAAGTCGCCGTTGATGCCGAAAAGGGTTCTCCGTAGCTAGACGCTCACGTGCATATGGTAACCCGTACAGCGTGGAGGAATTGTCATGGCCAGTGGTCGTGGGGTAGAGGCGCGTGATGGACCCTTGTTCTGCGAGAGCCACACAACGTAAACTCTTGCTGTGGCCGCGCGATAAAAGAGTCAGAATAACGCAGATGCAAGCCCCTTGGGTTCTAGAACTTCCATATCAGCTGGCTCTATCTAGATGATCAATAGCTGCTCCTTCACTCAGTTCCAAAGCGCATTTCTCCTGAAATTACGGCGGGAAACCTAGCGGGAAACGTAACATCGCCGAGGCGGGGCGTCGTGCTGCTCCAACATCAGGCGGGGCACTGCGGGGAGTAGCAGGACACTGGGGAGGTCTCGAAATTCTCGCGAACAAGAACAAGTTGCGCAACTTGGAAGTGTTCTTGACAGACCGTGATACACATACAGAGGCTCAAAATGTCAGGTCCCGTACCCGAGGTGACTGCCCTGCAGGATATCTACACGCAACACGCGCTGCTGGACCAGGGCGCACGATGGAACAAGCTCCTTGAGAAGTTCCAGAGCCTCTACGGCCGCCCGGCGCAATTCGTCTCCCGATCGCCAGGACGTGTCAACATCATCGGCGAGCACATCGACTACTCCTTGTACTCGGTGCTCCCCATGGGCATGACCCCCGATGTCATCATCGCCGTTTCCACCGACCTCGAGCCGGCGAGCGAGGGCTCGTACAAGCTGAAGCTTGCCAACCTGGACGAGGCGAGGTTCCCGACTCGCGAGTTCGACGTGGCCCACGGCGATGTCGAGATCGATGCGACTCAGCATGAGTGGACAAACTACTTCAAGGCGGGCCTCCGTGGCGCTCTTGAGCTGCTGAGAAAGAAGCATGGGGCCGACTTCAAGCCCAAGAGCATGCAGGTGCTCATGGATGGCACCGTGCCTGCAGGCGGCGGGCTGAGTTCCAGCGCTGCTTTTGTCAGCGCCAGCGCACTGGCAGTCATGATTGCCAACGGAGAGAAGAATGTAGACAAGAAGGACCTGACCGAGGTGGCCATTGTCAGTGAACGAGCTGTCGGCGTCAACTCCGGAGGGTAAGTGCTTTGCCTCCCCACCATTTCCGTGCGACAAATCCTCATGAGTTGTAGAATGGACCAGTCTGCTTCCGTCTTCTCCGAGCGAGGCTCCGCCTTGCTCGTCTCCTTCTCGCCGTCCTTGTCAGCCCGGCCTGTCTACTTCCCGAAAACCAACCCCGAGCTCATCTTCCTCGTTGCACAATCCTTTGTCACTTCCAACAAGCAGGTCACCGGCCCGATCCACTACAACTTGCGCGTCGTGGAGTGTAGCATGGCTGCTGCGGCCCTGAACGCGAAGCTATGCCCGGGTACCACGCTTCCCAAGGATGCAGGCCCGCTTGGTGTCTCCCTTCGAGGTTTCCATACAAACTATTTCAAGGATAGCCAGAAGACAATGGTTGAGCAAGTCACCGAGCTGATTGAACTCACCAAATCCACTCTGACCCAGGAGGAAGGCTATACGTTGGAGGAGGTGGCTGCCGCCGCCGGCACAACGGTGGATGACATCAAGGCACGCTTCATGTCCAGTTTCCCGGTCCGGGGCGAACGCTTCAAGCTGAGACAGCGAGCTCTGCACGTCTTTACGGAAGCCCTGCGCGTCTTGCAGTTCTTGACCTTGCTCGAGGACAAGTCATACCACTCAAAATCCGACGACACCACAGATTTCAACTCTAAGCTCGGCAACCTTATGAATGCCACCCAGGACTCGTGTCGCGAGTTGTACGAGTGCAGCTGCCCCGAGATCGACGAGCTTTGCACAATCGCGCGTGAGGCTGGGAGTTATGGTAGCCGTCTTACCGGCGCTGGCTGGGGTGGCTGCAGCGTCCATCTTGTCCCGGCGGACAAGGTCGAGGACATCAAGAAGGCCATGGTTGAGAAGTACTACTCAAAACGCAACCTGGGTGAACGAGACCTAGAGGCGGCCATTGTTGTGAGCCGGCCGATGAATGGAAGTGCTGTCTTCAAGTTGGAGGGCGGAAGATTACCTTGAGACGTAGATCTGAAATTCATAGAGTTCTGTGCCAATCTCTCCTCGCGCCCGAGGCCCACTCGGCAGAATAGTAAATAATTGAGTTCGTTACATTACTTATATACCAGGGCCAGTGATGTAGTCCCGTAGTTGATGTACAGCGTGGAAGGAACACTTTCAGGACATTGACTTGGTTGCCGCCACAAGAAAGGGGTAGGATCCAGCCCCCCAATAAAGCTAGTCAGTCTCGCCGCTTGGCACGAATCCTTTCCTTCTCACTCCGCAGACTGCAGAACAGGATTTGTCTCAGGGTACACCCGTATGAGGGCAAAACAAGCTTTCAGTAGAACCCTGATGACAACTTCTCATACATAGATATTATCCATTTTAATTCCATTCAGATGTTCGTGGGGTCGTGGGCCTTGAAATTTTCAACGGCTGGGTCGCCTACTACAGCAATTATGCTTAATAAAGATAAGCGGACCGGGACCCGGGACCCAGCCAAACGGTTCTGACATCCCCTGTCTTTAGCTCTTCATGGCCAATCACACGGTGGCTATAATTAGTTCTAGCCCCATTCTTATACTTGGCAGTATGCACAGCCTCATTTCCCAGCTTAGAGCCGTATGCTCCATCGCTGAGTAACTTGCCTGGCCAGGCTGGCCTACCTGAACCACCCGGGCGCTGCAGTGTCGATCCAAGCTGAATGCCGCCTTTCTCTGCGCCGCCCTTGTCGCTTTCGCTTTTCCCCTTTGCTCCTACGTTTGCGGCGCCCTCCTTCCAGATTCCTGCCATGTCGCACCGCTTCGTAAACGACGATGGCGTCCCATGAGGATGCAATATTCGACAACAACAAGTACTTCTTCCCCGGAGGTACGGCCAAGTTCCGAGAGCAGGCCCAAGCCGGCCTAGAGGTTCCAGCGGAGCGGGACGAACAGGGGACACCAGGGCTGCAACCGCTGCCTAACGAGCAGAAGTTTGGCTATCACGACGTCCAAGGATTATACGGATATTACAGCGCACCGCTTCAGGCCCCGGCTGCGTATGCGACTGAGGATGTGACGATCGGTCTGCCACCGGCGCAGGCAGCGGAGCATAGTCAGTGGTCTCAAGAGCCGGCGACTGACGACCGAAATTGGCAGCCGCCCATTGCGCACGACGGACATTACTTGGACCAGCCAGTGGCTCCATCACAGCAACAGCAACAGCATCAACAACAGCAGCAGCAGCAGCAGCAGCAGCAACACCTACACCCAGCGCCGCATCAGAATAACTGGGGATGGTCGACAACTACTGTGGCACCAAATCAATATCCAGAGCAGACCTACTGGGCTCAGCCAAATGCGTCCCACGGAAGCGTCAGCGCCCCGACGCAGTGGGGACAACAGTCATACACCTCGCTCGAGGCATACTCGCACTCAGACGCACGTTCGTCCAACCATGCAGTAGAAGAGTCTCACCTCGTGCCCCCTCTACACAGCAATCAGCTCACGGAAAGTGGGAAGCCTCCCCGCAGCAGCCGACAAGCAGATGCGAGGAAACGGAGGTATTGCATTGCAGGCGGGGTCCTAGGGGTGTTGATAATAATCGGTGCAGTTCTGGGAGGCGTGCTGGGGAGCGGGGTCATACACAGTAACCCCACGGGATCAGCAACCGTTCTACCACCGTCAGGGGAAAACAAGACATTCGCACCCTTGAAAACGATCCGGCAGAATTCGAAACTGGCCGTTACTGGCTACAGAGGGGGGAATGGCAACTACACTCTGAGGCTTTTCTTCCAAGGCCCTGACGACCACGTACGTTTCATGGACAAGTCGAGCTCCGATTCAGCTTGGACGGATCCCGTAATGCTTGACACTCTGGACTACAAGCCGATGCCCGGAGGCTCTATAGCAGCGGGTTCATATCAGGGCGTAAAACCTGTAAGTACTTGTCGTCTTCCTTGGTTTCCCACTGGTCTCTCCTACGTCCTTTAGCTAAAAACTGGCCCAGGACCAACTCGAGTTCTTCTATCTGGACACAACGTCAACCATCCGCGGCCAGGTTTTCAACTTTTGGAACGATGGCAAGGCCCTGAAGGGCCAGGCAAGCTCTTTAGATGGCTGGCCACTCAAAGTAGCCACGAACACTAGCATATCCTGCTACTTCCCCTACATCGTCTCACAAGACGAAGACGATCATATCCGGTGGACGTGGATGATGGGTCAGAACAAGGATAACGATTCACAGCCGTGGTGGGTTAATGACACGAGCATGAATGTTTTGGGGTCCAAAGGAACCGACTTGACTCTGCTACCTGTCGCGCAGACGTATGCGAAAAACGGAGGCTTCATCTACCGCAACCAGGAGGGGAGCGTGGCGACCGCCATCAAGGACTATTCGGATGATGGATCTGCGACTGCGAACGTGGCATGGAAGAAGGGCTCTCTCTCTGCACATATACCGGTCGACTCGGCCATCGGAGCGTTCGCAGCTGGCCGGCCGTACACATCGGACGATATCAATACGTACATCCTCTACCAGGATGAGAAGGGCGAGATCCAGGTCGTCTGGCAAGAAGGCGACGAATGGCAGGGCCCAACGACACACGACGCCCTCAGTAATGCGGCAGTCGGCACCGATATAGAGTGTCTCACGCAGGCGGCGTGGGATAACGCGCAAGTCAAGGTCTCGAGAGAGCAGGACATGAATCGTTGCTTCTTCCAGGAGAAGGGGACCGGGCGGCTGAAAGAGGTCTGGTACGACGGCTCCGAATGGAAGGACCAGGGATTCGTGCCGCTGGATTGAAAGCTGTACACAGCGGCCTGTCTTTGTGTTGCTATTGTAAATAAGAGATACCCCTAAGCTATGTACATAATCACATGCATTCGTCATATCACGCTAGACTCTGCGATGGTTTCAATGATACCCGCATAAAGGTAAGCCGATACTCCTAGCTTTGGCGCAGACCAAGTTTGACTATTTCTCCCCCTACTTTCAAAGCAACCAAATCCGATCTTGGGCACTCCACTTCATTTTCTGTGCTTAAATGATCAACTTCATACAGGCAGTGTTGGTCAAGACATGACGTTTCCTCTTTTGAGAGCCACTCGATTACAAACTCTACTGCTTGGTTAGGACTTTTTTTGTTCATCTTCGATTTGCCTGGCCATTCAAGCAGAATATGTATGAAGTCTGTCAGTATGACTTTTGTAGGTTCGTCAAGCAGTAACCTCACGACAACTGGTTTGCCTTGAGCAAGCCATGCCCTCTCCCCCTCTGGATGGGATGCTAGACCGGGCTCAGTTTGGAACCCGAGGCTCGCGCCAGAAGAACGTGTAGACCTGATATCGTGTAGACTATCTTCGGCTGTGGGAATATCGCACACGTCAATGACCTTTTTGATACCTCGTGGCGTTGTGACAGTATCACTGCTTGATCGAGTTGGCGACGACGATGCCGACTTATCTGATGCTATTTCTGGAGGCCGTATAGTAGCTACTGATGACAGTGAGCTACATGATGTGGCCTTCGTGACAACGCTCGACAAAAGAGACGTAGCAAGCGACGGACCAGACAATACTATGCTACTAACAGTACTCTCGTTGACGTTTGCGTTGCTAGGTTTCCTCTTTTCCATGCGATCTGCTACAGCTTTCATGATTGCCTTGTCCAGATTTTGGTTCACTCCTTGGACAAGTCTGTCGGAATTGGAAAGCAGGGTTGTTGGTAGGCGCCATGCAGGATACAGTCTGCCATGTGTTTTTGGTATTTCAATCTTCCCGTATACTTGAAATAGGGTGTTGCAAAGGTAACAAGCATCCTTGCTAGACGCAATGACACGTGGTCGGTTGTGAATTGTGTTGTTGGCCTCATAATAGGCTAATAATTGTACCTCCGCATGGATCTTCCACTTGCTTGAGACAGAATCAACAATCCTCGCAAAATCCATGCTCTTCATGGCAACGAACGTGACATCTTTCGGTGGCATGAGATTTTTGAGTCCATTGTTGCTCAATGTTGACATGAGATCGAAAGACCCTGGCTCCTGTTCGAACCCCACGAAGTCGTCTTTGGATGGAGAGAGCTTCTCTATTTCGAAATTTTGGAAAATGCTGAGGCGCTTTGCTCGCTCGTATAGACAGCGCGTCACAGTACGATAATGAGCCAGCTTGGTAAGCTCATCCAGAACAGCATCTCCTATGTTGGGATTTAGTTCCTTGCCCGGGATTCTTCTTAGCAGTCTCTCTAAATCGATCCGCCCTAAGAAATACCTTATTCGCCGAATCAAATTTCTTAGTAGCCTGGCTTCCTCAGGCCCAGAAGCCTTGCTTTCGAATGACTTGAGGGAGTCGAATAATATGATAGCCTCTGAGCTAAACTTCTTTTGGTCCCTAGCAGTAGCTGACTTCACTACCGCTTGCATGATTTCCTGAAACAGCTCATGGAGTGGCTTTTTCGATTTCGATTTCGATTTCGAGTCGGGGGAGATTTTCCTTGACCGTAAACGTGTAAGAATCCTATCCCGGCTGAGTGCTACCACTTCTCGGAATAATCTTTCCACTGACGCTCTTGAATGACCTGGGAAACAAGAACTGATGTTACACTGATTGATCCAAAGATTAGTTGGGTTGATTGGAAATTCACCTTGGGAGACTTTGGATAGAGTTGAGAATATTTCTCGGAACCCAATCGTCAAATCCTCAAGGATCCCATCGTTATCATCTGTTCGAGACTTGTTGATGGCGATCCTGACGCCGATTGTCTTTAGGTCGACGCGTTCTTCAATCGCCACAGCTGTAACGTGATCTGAATCGTCACTGATGCCAGCAAGGAATGCCAAAGCCGAACAGATTTCGCGTTCTTGCTTGAGCGATAACTGCCTTCTAGCGAGATTTGTGGTTTCATTTATTGATTTGTTGTGCTTCTTCTGTCCTGGGTTCTTTTTGAGGCATCGTAGAAGGGCGACTCTCTCGATCAGTTGAGTTGTGGCAGGTAATTGATGATTCATAACCATGGTTCGAGTGTCATGTAGACTACAAACTAATGTGGCGATAGAAATCCCACCTTGGTACTACCCCCTTTTAAAACGAAAGAGAATGCTCGGTTGGGATTCATTTTCGCGGCTTCGGGCATCCACGGAGGAGGAGGTGGTGGTGGGCCTCCTGCCGACAACCAATGCATCTGCAATGCGGCCCGGGCCATTGGGGTCGGCAGCCTTGTGTTACATGCATGTCCATGTACCTAGGTACTAAGGTCATTGCCTTCCATTTGATGGCAAGCGAAGCCAAGGGCCAATACCTTGAAATTAAAACCATGTGTGTCTCATAGAATAAGTAATTATCGAGCGGTTTAGTAATATCACCGAGGTTGCTACATGTATATGACCTGTAATGCTACACGTTCCGGGCAACGGCACTGGGTTCTGAGCACCGCTCACACGTGCCTCAAAAGCAGGCTGTTTCACGTTCCAAGACATTACGCGGTCAACCTTTTACCATGAGGACCCTAAGCCGTGTTGCTTCGCTGATTGTCAACATTGACAAGTCATTGATGCCATGGACGCCGCTGCTCACGGAGGAGGGAACATAGGAACTTATCTCTGTGTTTTCTGACCTGTCACGTATTTATCCGCCGATTGCGTGGTTTGCAGTGTTATGTCCCCTGAATCGCTTCGCCTCTAGCCGTTCATTTGGAAACACCAGTCATGCTTCTGATAATGAGTCAAGCCAGTAATCCAAATACGGCTCCTCCTTGGTCAGATCTGGGCTGGGTCAGGCCCAACAGACCCCTCACCAAGAGATGATGCTGATCTTGTCGCGGAAATCATACGTGCTGGAAACCCTAACTCGGGTCACGGAAACATCCCACAAGACATCTGCACTCAGATCGCTGACAGAGCACAGAAAAAAGGTCCCAAGTCGTCCAACTGCCAGATCACTGGCTTTCTTAATCCGATCCTACTGAGTGATATGACAAGAGTCGAGCCATGTCGGCCCAACGGCGAACAATCTCTAGTCCTGTATATACATCTAAGCACAATATGGGGCCTTCCATCTTGGAGGCCAAACATGACAATATAAAACCGTAACTCCTAAACCCGATGCTCGGTGCATGGGATGAGGCCTGGGTACAAACATCGCTGAACGCCGTGAATGAGTGATTTCGGAAAGGGGATATCGTGCGGTGACTTGAAGTCGCTACAAGCGCAGCCGGCGCGAAGATGCCGGCAAATGTATAGGGAAACTCAAATGATACAAAAAATGAGGGTATCGTAGGCTCTGAACGGCCGGGGTTGGACGTGGCCGAGTTTGGCGTCTAGTATTTCGGGCCAGAAGCTCTCCCAACACGGGCTCGGGCTATGCATTTAATAACCAAAACTGTCGTGTTGGTGAACGGGACAACGACCAGGGTGGTTCTCAAACCATGACAAGATACACGCGTGGTGGAACCGGCAGAGACATTCCAATCTTGCCATCTTGGTACCAGGTTCGTATTCCTCGAGACAGATGGTGCACTCCTCCCCGCTTGCACAGTCTTTCTCAGTTGCCATGTATGGGAACATGCCAGTCCGCCGCATTGCCCTCGGAGGCGGAGTGCCGTGAACTCCTGTCTGCGTCGATATCGGGGGCTGTGGCGAGTACGTACTGTGTGACGTAATGCAGGCGGCAATATGCTGCTCGCGTAAGTCGTCGCAATTCGGTAAGCTACGAGATGGCAGCTCGTTGTGACAGACAGGACATTCATCCTCCTCCGGAATCTGCGGCGGTGCTGGCAAAGGCCGTTCGATATCTCTGTTTGCCGTCGAAGACGAGCCTGCGGAAGCCATCTGTCTCAAGAGGGCATCAAAGCGTGAGTCTACATGAGAACCTCGACCAGACTGCACGAAGCGAGGTTGAGCGCCCATTGCGCGCAGAGCTCGCAGCTCATCTGTGGTAAACGCCGGTATTCCAGCCCCGGTTGAGGACCCGGGCTGAGGTCCACTGGCTCGCTGCGTGTCCCAAGGCGTCCAGACGGCTTGTGACCTTTGGAAAATGGAGGGGGCATCTGATGGACCGTACTGAGCCCTAGTGGATGATAGATGGTGCTATGGTCACTTTAGTAGCTGCACGTGTTTCACCGGAAAAAGTCAACATACCATGGTGGCGCTTCTGCTCCTAGAAGAAGCGCTGTCTGCCGGTCTCGTGCTTGTCGGAATCGGAGGCAGATATCTCTCGTTAAGGCCACTCCGTAGATAGGCCGTGCCATCGGCGCTGCTCTGTGATCTCTGATGCGGTGATCTCATAGATTGAGGTGTTGATCCGGGGACTGTGGGAGAAGGGCGAGTGAGAGGAGTTGTGTTCGGATCCGGCACGCAGGGATTGCAAAGTCGTACTCTCTCACCACCTCCAAGCAAGCTAAAGTCGGCAACACCACGCTCGCCACCGAAGACGCCAGGTCCTGCCATGGGGGGAACTTCACCAGGCGCCCGTACGATATACTGATGCGGAATGGTGATACGATGAGGTGAACAGTTGGCGCAGACAACTCTGCCACATTTCCGACAATGATGCCTTCTGTTAAAAAGGCCAAACTCGTAATGACAAATAGGGCAACTAGTCACCTCGGAGTCGGGTTGCCAGCGGGGGAGGGCGACCTCAGTCCCTGGGAGCCTTCCAGAAAACCTAGGATTGGCAAGTGTAGGAGAGTCTGTAGTTCCAAACATGTTCCGGTGGCCACTGGAGTGAGACGCGGAAGACGAAGGCCTCGAGCTTTGCGCAGAGTTTGATACATCGCGACCCCGAACCTGTGCCGCAGCGTCTTGTGCATTCAAATCATGTGTCGTTGCCTCGCGAGGGTAATCCCCGTTCAAGCTGGCAGCTGCAAGCTGCGTAGAGACGCCTGCTGCTCCCGATGATGTACCCAAAGTCTCACTGGGTTCCTGGCTGCTGATAGCGGCAGTATGCTCGGGGACTGTTTCAGACACTGCTGCTTCAGACGGTTGGACTTGAGCCACGTCCGTATCTGCAGTGCTCGTTTGCCCTCTCGCATCGGAATGGGACAGAAACTCTTGCAGCACTGGGCCATCTTGGGGGTCGTCTTCGGGGTCGTCATGGGATTCCGACTCTGACGGTGCTTCCTCGAGTCCGCTGGCCGCGACGTCATTGTCCTCAGGTAGCCTCTCCATACGATGTGTGGGGCAGTCGTGGAAGAGCGAACATTCCTGGTCGTGGAAGGATGAGTTGCGGTAGGGACAGGCGGGTGTGTCTGGAGCCGAGGCGGTGCCTGCATACGAGCTTCCGGATTCCGTCTCGCTGGCTTCGGCAGCAACGTCATCGGGACCGAAAGCCTCAGGCGGCGGGCTTGCACCCTCGCGACTCGCCATCCCGAGGCTTGGGGCGACGAGCAGTCGTTGCGCAGGCTGGGGTCGAGTATGCGGCCGCGTCGCTATCGGATGGGCTGATTCGGCGCTACAAACAGCGAGGTCAGCTAAGGGCGCGGCGCACCGATGCGGTTTCGGTCGGTGGCATACGCAGACAAATCTATATGTACAACGACAAATGATGAGAAGAGAAGCGAAGGTTGGGGGTACGGTCGAACAAGCAAAGCGGCGTTGGGAAACAAGACGTCCGTGACGATAACCCGACCGGACCAGGCTCGCGTGCTGTTGTTAGGTGACCGACTCCAGTATGTCCATACAGCAGTCAAGTTACTGGGGGTTAGTTAAGTCAGTGGCTGTCCCGCCTCAGGTGCAAGCTCCATATCTTATCGGCCGCTTATCGCCTCATGGCTCCACTTGGCTCAGCAGACCCGCTGCCCCATTGGGACCCCTACAATTACAAGGACGGGCTTCAGCTTGGTGCCGGGAGCCGGGGAGCTGGTCGGCTCTGGAGGGTAGGTGTCTAGTTACGGTACTGCACCTAATCGCTGAACTTCGTCCCGGAGCCGCAACATGGACAAATATATCGGCCACCTTTCTATTTCAAGATGCCTGCAGCCAACCCTTGACAATTAGACCGTTTTATATTCCAACATGGCGAAGCCCCCCCTAGCTCGACGGCAGGAGTTTGAGGTGCTGGTCACTGATGGGCTCGTTCGTCATCCCGAGCTCCAGCTTCCAACAGTCAGTTCCTTATAAGGACCCGATCTTGATCTCGCGTAATGATGCGTCGGATTATAGTGACTCGACCAGCCAGACTTCGACGTGTTGGTGAGATCGGTCCATCATTTGTCAGCGGGTAATTTGTGTGGCAAACTAGAAGGAGTCATATTCAGTCGCTTCAGAACCATAGTGGCATCTGGAACCTCACCTCCATACGTGGGCATACAAGGTCAGTTAAGGCCTACAGCTACGGTATGGGCTGGACAGGTAGCCATTTATGGGGATATTCAACAATAGCAAAGCTTGACGTGCTAGAAGATGCAACTCTCGTTTGAGGCTGACGGCGTTGTGGAAAGAGACTCAATTAGTGAGTCTATTCCGAACAATGGACAATCTATACAACCTGAAAGTTACTGGATCTACCTGTGTACAAGGCACTGTGGCTGCGCCATTAGCCACCCCGTGGCGTATTAGCATTGCTTTGTCGTCACATGATCAGGGGCGACCTAATCAAGAGGCAATAGAAGACGTTCATCTGCCAGATGGGACGGTATCAAATCACCTCGTACCCTCATCCAGGTCTCGAGTCCTACGTACGTTCTCAATGCCAGTCGAAGTGTCTGAAAACACATCAGAAAATTGTACTAATGGGTACTACGTCCTGAACAATACATACAATCATTTCGTCTTGTCCAATCAACGTGGAGGAATTAGCCGTTCTGACCGCCTTCCGTATTAGCATTTGGTTGGCAGAAACCCCCTCAACAGCCCCTCCATTGGCCCCTCCATTGGCATCCTCGTTCCACCTCGAGGTACCTTCAAGTACTCCTTTGGTTGGACAATTGGTTTGCAGACAGGGCGTTTGGTCGTTGAATTTTTGGTTTCGTAGTACGACAGCTGAATTTCTATAACTAAAGAAAAAATTGAACTCGTTTTGCAAGAGTGTGCGAGCAAAAGAACGTTTTGATGGTTGGAAATTCTGTATTTCTTCCGACTTTGGGGGTAGTTGCGCTTGTACTTAAGGAACTTTAAGTCCCTAGGGCTGCTTGCGCTTGGTGACGCATCCGTCAAACTTCGACTCCGAAACCGCGTCTTTTATTCCTCCCAGACCAGCCATACGAAATCCCTCTCGCCCTCTCGCCCAACACCACAGCCAGTTATTCCCGGTCGCGCATCATGCCTATCAGGGTTGTCTTGGGGTCCCAATGGGGTTCGTAATTTTCCCTGTCCCACGTTTGGTCCCTCGCGGGGTGTAACAGCGTCTGGTCGCTAACTCGATTGCGCTTCCCTAGGAGATGAAGGAGTACGTCTACCCCCTCCGATTTAAAACATCGAGGCTGTCGACTGACCTATCGACTTTCAGAAGGGAAAATTGGTAGACATTCTCGCGCCCGAAGCTCAACTCTGGTACGTCCTTTACGGGGAAGAAGGGGGTTGTTGGAGGTGGTGTTGTTTCTGGATATGGTTGCTTGCCAACAGAGGGCGGAGATGGCTAGGAGTCGAACATTGTGGTTTCCCCTTCGACCCAAAATCGGCCTCTGCCAATATCCTTCTTCTATATTCAGGAACCTACCCTCTCCAGGCAGGTCCAATTTCACGACTAATAGACGCTGACTTGATGATAGCGCGAGAGCCGCCGTAAGCCCAACATTCTCTGCGACGTCGTATACAAAAATGCTGAAATGGGATAACAGGGAGGGCACAATGCGGGTCATTCAATTCTGTGAGTCTGGTCTGCCGTGCTATTCTACGACGAGTTATGCATTATGTCGCTGACCACCATTGCCACAGCGCCAACGGTGTCTCGTACAGGTATGCAGACGCCGAATCAAAGCCCCGGTTGTTGGCTAAGCGAATAATTGACCAACAATAGCTTTCACCTCCTCCCTTCCGGTCTCATCAACCCGAACTGGTACGTTTTCCACTATTGTTCATCTTGGTGATCAGACGCTGACTTGACGGTAGCATGAACTTCATCGGCTCCGACGTGTAAGTTGCTCGAATTCCCTGCTCGGCAGGACGAGTTAGTGGTGAGCAAGCACTTGACCGGTACTAACGGCATCCACCTGCAACAGGACCTTCCACGTGTAAGTCTCGCAAACCCAGTATTCTGCGCTTCCATGCGAGTCTCTCGTATCGCCATCCAGCTCAACACACAATCTGGTCGGCGTATCAAGACTTAGCTACAATGCTGATTACATCTAGCCCTTCGTTCTTCTCCGAATTGAAGCAGCTTGACGAGGTAATCCCTACTCTGGCAGCTATCTAAAGATCGTTGCTGACACCAGAGATAGAAAGGACTCCCCAACGTCTATGATCGGATCCTTGTGTCTGACAGAGTCAGTAACCTACGCAACGCTGGGCCACCGCGTTGTGCCATACACTTGCTGACTCGTTACACCCAGGTTCATATCAACTTTGACCTTCACGCCGCCGTTGATGGTCTCGAGGAGGTCGAGCTAGGAGGTAAGCGATCTATAGTCAGTGCGTGTCTTCATTCTAACTTGACCAGAGCGCAAGATCGGCACCACTGGCCGCGGAATTATAAGTCCACCTTGTTTATATCCTTAATCATTTGAGCTAACTTTCTATTGAACGGGCCCTCATACAGTGTAAGCACAGTCGCGTTGTCATCCGTCAAAATCATACATTTATACTGACACTGGACCCAATAGACCAAGGCAGCTGTAAGCATTTAGAATCACTGGGCACCAAGCAACTCACTGAACCCGGGATTAGAGAAGCGGTGTCCGTCTAGCCGACGTGTTCGACCAAGAACTCTTCGAAGCGAAACTGCGTCGACTAGCCCATGGCTACAAGGCCCGATACGGCGATCTGCTCAAGTACGATGTCGAGGAAGAGATTGAGAGATTCCGAGGATACCGTTCGGAGCTCGCAAAGTATGCGATTGATGGTTTGAGCTTTATGCATTCTGCGTAAGTAACCTTCCCGGCGCGTTATCGAGAGGAGCAGGGGATAGATCACCATCCAGGATAGTCCCTTGGTCTTCCCACAAAGCTTCCCCGCATAGATTTGATAAGCTTACTTTTCCTAGACAAACGAGCAACATGAACGTGATTATTGAGGGTGCAAATGTTCGTGCTCAACTCCTAGGACGTTTATTATTTACTGACATGACCGGGCTGGTAACCTGCCTGTCGTCATGTACTTGAAGCTCTTACACTCTGACATCGGCGAGGAGACAACATTGTATGGACGTGGCGAAAATGTTCTCCAATTTAACATGGCGACCCCAGCGGCTAGTGGCGTGGCTGTGTAGAGGCGTATGTTGATATCAGAGAGCTCACTTGCGGCCTTTGCTAACCTTCGCAGACCTAGATCCACTATAGGTCTGTGATGTTAGCATCTATAGCCACACTACTAGCCATTTGGGGTGGCCTAAGCCACGTCATATCACGTCAACCGCTGCTTTGTCTTCGGTTGAGGCTTCAGAGTACATGATCAGGTGGTTTACTTGTCCTGGTACCAACAGGCTGTAATGCTTGACCTTTCCATGGGATCATACCCCTATGTCACTTCATCGAACACCACAATTTCTGGCATCATCGCCGGCTTGACGCTCAACCCTAAGAACATCACAGAGACCATCGGAGTGGTTAAAGCCTGTAAGTAACATGAGAGTGATCACGGCACCTTTTGGCCAGGAACCATACGGAAGGCAATTCCCAACTCGCCATCCGTAATGGTGTGTAGCAGATGCTGACGAATATAGACACCACACGTGTTGGCGCTGGCGCTTTCAAGACGGAAGATCTCGAAGAGTACTGTCATCCTACTCACTACTAAGCTTTGGATCCGAAGCAAACTGACCATGTGCGCAACAGGGTCGGAACGAAACTCCAGGAGGTTGGCCGGGAATGGGGAACATCCACAGGCCGAAGACGTCGCTGCGGCTGGTAAGCCACTCTTCCTTAAACTTTTTGGGGTGCATGGCTAACGGTGTAGGCTCGGTTTGTCAACACCTCGTGTTATTTTCAAAATCAACTTTGGCCGTTACTTACTCATACTCCGTAGATCTCGTCGTTGTGAAGCATGGTCACATGGTCAACTATTACACGGCATTGAACTTGACCAAGGTAAGCCTTGCAAGAACTGATCTGAGAGGATTAGAGAATTTGACTCTTCATGCAGCTCGATGTACTCGATTCCTTCGAGACAGTCAAGATAGCCATTGCGTACAAAGACAAGAGCACAGGCAAGGTAGGAAGCTATTGTGATCTGAGATCTTAAGGCATAGCTAAAATCAATAGGAACTTGACTCTTATCCGGCGGACCATAACATACTGGATAACGCCGAAGTCGTTTACCACGAAATGCCTGGGTGGAATAAGCCGACGACCAACGCCCGGACATACTACGATCTTCCCAAGCAGGCCCGGGATTATGTCGAGGTACATTTATATTCAACTTCAGGCTGGATCTGATCCTATTTACTGACTGTCTCTTTAGTACATTGAGAATTTCATTGGAGTCAAGGTTAGTTGGTTGCTTCGCCCAAAACGGCTTCACTTGAACTGGCTTCGAAGAACTATCACTAACTTTAACCAGGTAAAATGGATCGGCACGGGTCCTGACCGTGAAGCTATGATCGTGCGTGGCTAGGTGATCTGGTGACGAAGCGCGCTTTGAAAGCTTTTCTGCGCGTCAAGCGCTTAAAGCCCCTTGCTGAAGCGCTGTGATCAGTGTATATAGAGAACCGATGGCACGCGATCCAATAGATAGATAGTTTGGCTCCTATTATCCCACATACGCTCTAGACAGCTTGCTTAGCCGATCTGCAAGACTTACTGTAATGCAGAATAGGACTGGCAGCTTATGATATTGTTGGGAGATTTCTTGATCTCAAGATCTTTGATGTCATCAACACTTTCGCTGGCATGAGGTCTATCAGTAGCGTTGTCGGCTGTGTGCATCACGTCATGTGGGACAGGCCAATACCTGCGAATGAACTATCAGGCTCATGAGCAGTGTTTGCCTGTCTGACGTGAGATGTCTGAATCTTTTAAATCCCATCCCGAAGCCCATAAGTACGGCAGCACGTGCTCACGTAAAGGTCATGTAGATTGTGAGAAGCAAAGTGGTTCCGTCTATGCTATGAACGAACATCCTATATGTACACCAATTGCCAACAGCAACCGGCAGTTGCTTCAAATATTACGCCGTAACGCCAATGAATAGTGCAAGCATTCTTTCCCTGCTGTGTACGCCAATCTTAGACGATATTGAAGAAAAGGTCCCAGTGCAACCCGGGGGGAAAGGTCCAAGCTGATACATTCCCTACTTCCCCGGGTGGGCAGCTGCCCGAATCAAACAGGTCTGCAAACTAGGAGAAACAATGATCAAGACTTGCTGAGGATCGGGGCTCGCGATCTTGAAGGTTTGGAGATGGGATGGGGAAACATGGACATGGCCGTCAGAGGCCGCTCTTTGAGGAGGCCACTCTCCTCATCGGCAACCGGACCGCTGGGGCCCCAGATCCCACGCTGCTTCGGTCGTTTTGTCCCTGGTCGACAGAGCCACCTGCTGGGAGACAGGACCATGCGTTCAGTGCGTATCAGGGCCAGGAGGACAACCAGCATGCCGAGGATGAGGTCACCTTTCATGGTAAGAATCCCAAACGTGCACACATCCAGCACGACTGCGATCATGAATGTTGGCACGTACAGCGGACCACAGATGAATCCTCGAATGGGCCAGGTCCTGGACGGCAGCTCGCCCTGGATGCCTGCAACTTTGACGCCGGCAGCATTTGCTCTCAGTGGCGCCCCTGGCAGGCGGGTGGTCGGCACGTGTGAGAAGGTGCCTAGTAGCCCAACCTCACGGTCCGTCTCTCGGATAGTATTCCCGGCTGCGTAAGCATCCCACATCTCAATATCCTTCCAGATCTCTACGACGCCGGGCTCCGGACTAAAGGTTCTGACCAAGATGTCCTCACGCGGGTAATGCATCGTCCAGTAAGTGAGAATACTGTCTGCCCAGGTGAACCAGGGCATAATGAGGGAATGTCGAGTGCTGCCAGTACGTATGCGCGCTTTGATTGGCGGGCTAACGTATATGCTGGTTGCCTTCTCATCCGCGTCTGGTTGAGGTCCTTGCAGTGCTGCCTCCGTCAGGTTGATCCGCGCTTCACCTAGATGCAACAGTAGACTGTCTGTGGGCGCATGTGACTCGAGCCGCCAGTCGAGCACCAGGCCACTGCATCCGCTGCATGCCCATTGAATGGGGATGCCGTCATCCCGTTTCCTCTTGAACGACTGCTTATTTTCCACGACGGCCGTGATCGTGCCACCCGACTGCAACGTGCTGGCGATGGTGCCCGGGCGATTGATGGGACTGACCACCGGCGACGGAAGAAAGAACCACGTCCCCACCAGGCAGAACCAGGTCAGAGGGATCAGCCCGATCACGCGTGAAACCGTGATGCGAGGCATGTGAGAATAATGAATGGACGCGCCCGTCCGCAATCGGCGCTGGTTGAATTGGTATGGATGAATCGAACGGATAAAGAGACTGAGGGCTGAGACCTGCGTTGATGAGCCGATGCGCCGTCGAACGACCTGCATTGCAGTCAGGGGGCAGTGTTTTCAGAAGGCCACTGTGGGGCGGCACCCCGACATCCAATGACGCCAATTAGGATGCCGCCTTGGCTCCCCGGGTAGTTCAGGGGTAAAAGCCTGGACTCTGCCTGGATCGTCAATCACCGTTACGTGCGTCACAAGATGTTTCTGGATTGAAGCTTGAGGGTATTGCCAACTAGAAGTACAGCTCTTTTGTTCATCTTATCACATTTAAGATAGTTAAAGTATTTGTCTACGTAAGTCCGCGTGATGAGCTCAAGGTCGCCTGCCCGAAGCCCAGGCAGGAGTTTCAGCCCAATTCATGCACGGCATGCGGAGAGCTTTACATAGAACTAAGCAGCTACTTTTGGGGCCGCGTTTGGCAAGACTATGGAGGCTACCGTTCGACCTCACTCGATAAGCCATGTGTAGACCATCAAGAACATGAGGATATGAATATTCGCAACCGCATGGCGCGGTTTCCCCAAATGCCCCTATATCCCCAACCTCGGCGTTCGAATTGGCTCGACAAGCTTGGCACGTGTTCCAATAGCTTGACTATAGAGCTGTCAGGCCAGAATGTCTCGCATCCGCCTGTTATCGTCGAGAAACGCTGGCGGGCGCTTGTTTCGGTGCATAGCCAGCAAAAGATGGGCATACTTCTTTAGTGTTTGGGTCAAATATTATCTCCCGAAATATTGCACCTAATTGGCTTATCGACGGACAAAAAGAGGACCGTCGCAAGGTATCAACAAGTGCTGACCTCAGCGTCAGATCATAGCATTGAGATAATGGGGAACGCAGGTTATGGTCTAAGTTAATTAATTAGCACGCCCGCCCTTTCGGTCTCTACTTTTTCTTCCTCTTTGTGTCTGTTACATCTCCGTCAGCACGTTGCTTCCAGATGAAAAATAGCACATGATGGCATCAACGCTAATTCTGCTGGCCGCACTTGGACTCGGTATTACTTGCATCCATCTGCTCTCTAATTGGACAAAGTTGAGCAAAGCGCCCGGGCCGTTCCTCGCCGGCGCCACCGATCTCTGGCGAGCTTACCTGCAGTACAACGGGAAACTGAGACAAAAACTTATAGACTTACATGCCCAGTGTGGTCCAGTCGTGAGATACGGCGTGCGCAGCGTCAGTATCAGTGACCCGGAGGTTATAAATGCGGTCTACGGGAGCCGGGCGGGCTTCATCACGGTAAATACAATGTTATATTTAACTTGAACCAGACTCTAATGTTCACCCCAGGCAGATTCGTATAAGGTACTAGTGGGGATTCAAAATGGCAAAGAGGTGCCCAGTCTGGTGAGCACGGCCGACGAAGGTCGCCATGGCGCCTTGCGACGATCTGTGGCCAACGCCTTCACGCCCACCGCCGTGCTGAAATACGAGCACTGGATCGATGCAACCATCTCTGAGCTCTTCGACACGATGACGAAAAGGTCAATGTTCGACCTCTCATCCATGATTCTATACTACACCATGGACGCAGCCGGGCGGTTTTCATTCGGCGAGCCTCTAGGGTGTCTCGCGGCGGAAGACGATGTGGGCGGCTCAATCCAACTCATTCGCGACCGCTTTAATCACTGGGGATGGTGGTCATCCATTCCACAGTTGGAGCGACTTGTATTTCGCAATCCCCTCGCTATGCGCCAGAAACGAGCGCCATCCAGCATGGCGGCAGCCGCTGCGGCAAAGCTGCAGGCGAGAGCTGGGAAGGACAAACATGATATCGAGCATACAGACTTACTTCAGAGGTTCTTGGAAGCCAGCCAAGATCATCCGGAGGCTCTGAACGCCTCAGGAATCACAGGCATGCTGATGTCCACCATTTCAGGAGCTGGTGATACGACGGCTACGACGGTGACGTCCGCGCTTTACTACTTACTTAAGAACCCTGAATCTCTCAAGAAGCTCGAGGACGAGCTGTCACAAGCCGGCTTGTCCGAGATTCCGGCTTTCTCGGAAGTAAGCAAGTTGCCATACCTCAATGCCGTCATCAAGGAGAGCATGCGGGTTTTCTCCACAGCGACCTGGCCGATGGAGCGTTTGGTCCCTGCTGGAGGCGTCACCATTGCCGGCATGTTCTTTCCCGAAGGGACAAGTGTAGGCTGTCTGCCATCTGCGGTACACCAAAATACCAAGGTCTTTGGTGAGGACGCCGACACCTACCGTCCGGAGCGCTGGCTCACTGCAGACCGCGAGCAGCTGAGACAGATGGAAGCCACACATATGGGCTTTAGTCGGGGCCGTCGCGTGTGCTTGGGCCAGAACATCGCTATCATGCAAATGAAGAAAGTCATACCCGCGCTGGTCATGAAATTCAAGGTAAGTTACAGCTTTAAAGTTGCATATGGGCTGTGGTTAATATGTTACAGTTTGAGTTGGCGAATCCTGAGGCAGTTCTGGAAGCTGACTTCTCTCCAGCTGTGGCTTGCTTGAAACCACTACTAGTTGAGAGGAAAAACAGGTGGCTCGGTGTTCCAGAAAACAGCTAGGGTCAGAAATCAACGGACAAATGTAACATCGGATCTTTCTGACACTTTGGCTCGATTACATCGTAGATGAGTATGACTCATCTTTGTGATAGTGGAATCAGATGTCCTAACTGCCTCCGTACTGGCTTGCAACCGCTTCCGTTACCTTCTGCCTTGTACATCTAAAGCTGGCAAGTGGACTGAACACAGGATAATAAGTGGTTGAAAGCTCCAAAAGCTTGCTATCCATTAGCGATATATGTGGTACTCTGGCGCCTTATCTCCGAGGCAATATTCAGGCAACCAGGTTTCTTGATATGCATCATGGCAAAATTTTACACAGATCAGAGAAAAGTACTCAATATGATTTCAAATGATTGATGCGCCAAGATGCTAATTATGAATGGCACGTTGTGCCTAGGTCTATTCTGATTTCATTGCCTCCTCGTAACTCGGTGGTGCCTCGACCGCCGTTTTTTGACCCTTTTCAACGGCCAGGACGCTGCCACCCTGTGGTATATGTTGGTGGAAGCGCCTATCATGGGCTTCCACCGAAGAAGGGACCGAGATGTTGTGCCGCGCAGCCAAGCTGCTTGCCCTGGCGTACATTTGTTCTCTTGATTGCTCAGTCCGAACGCATTTTGGAATCATAATGTTGATGTCCATAGACAGTTTGTACTCGAGCCGATCCACGCCCTGAGTTGGGATGTCTGACACCATCTCCTGCAATACCCCGATATAACCAGTCCGGCCCCAACGGTAGTCTATGTCGCTGATCGGGCCACGATGTGTACAGAACCAGTGCAACGTGGTTGCCAGCTCGGCAATGTGCTCATCAAAACGGAAGTACGCTAGGGCCGAACTGAATGCATCAGTTTCGTTGCGGGTAGGGAATTTGCCGTCACGACAGCAGAGAGCGAATCTTGTGATTGCGTGGCACATCTTGTTGAAGCCTGACCGTATCGGACACTGATACCAATGTAAATCAAGTGGGCGATTGTCGATGCCGTAGTCAAGCAGGAGCATGTGTTCAATTACTGGTGGCACACACCGCCTTCCAAGCGAGTACTCGTATCCGGCGGGATGGGGTTCTCGAGGGTCGAGTCGTGGAATTCCTCCCGTGTCTGTAAACTGGTGTACAACGGTGCTGCGTTCCTGGTCGAGAAGGACTGCAGCAGTGCTAATAAGGGCCAACCTGTGGTACGAAAGCCGGAACCACTCCATTGGAATGCGCCTGTTGTCAAGTGCATTCTGCATGGCCCGCATGGCGCTGAGCTGTTTCGTGTTTATTTGGAATGCCGTGGAAGAAATATGGTCAACCCAGACTGTCGGATGAACTTCTGGCATCTTGTACTTGTTTTGGTATGGATCATAGGGCGCGCAGAGATCCAGTAAGCCTTGGAGATGTGGATCAACAGTCTTGGCAGATCGAGTCTCCATGTCTAGTTTGTCTACTATTGCAATAGCTCAAATGAAGTGAGCGTAGGTAGGATCAGACTGGAAAGATTGCAGTCGTGTCGGAATCGTCAACGTAGGATCAACAGTTTGTGGAACCAAAGGATAGAATTTGAATGACGGAGCAAAAGAGGATGAACTTCGCAAGTGTCAGTAACGCAGGCCAAGAATAATAGTACTCGATTGTTGGGATATAAAGTTTGTAACAAGGGTGGACGGCCGGAGGTGATTTGAGGCCAAAGGGAAAGTTGGACCAGAAAATTGCCGTCTACACTCGTCTCTCGCCGCCCATCGAACCGGTCACTCGTCAAGTCCTGTCTATCATCATGCACTGCCATATCCTGCAGCCTGTCCACGCTTGTCGCCTGTCGCATCATGTCGCTCGCCTACATTCTCCACCTCATTCGTCCTTTACCGGTCATCCTGCGGTATAGATGGGTTTGCCGGGATGTCAAAAGGCTTATCATAGCGGTCTTGTAATTAAGTCAATAGCTCTCTATTATAGTTCCGCCCTCGCAACCGCACATGGATCTCCCGCGGCCTCGAATCCAACGTATATGTAACTCTTCGAGAACCATGTCCCAGATCCGTATCCTACCCCCTACCATTCTCAGCCAAAGGCACATGTCCGCGAGATGGCCCGCAGCCCCATCTATTGTTGTGGGATGTATCCAAAGTTGTTGCCCGATCGAACCCCCAAGGTCCAAATAGGTCCTGAGGGTTGACTGATGATTAATTAAAGGAAGTTTCTGCCCTGTTCTGTAATAATGATCAATCAAATTAGGTGGTTCAAATCATCAGTAAAGAAGACATCCCTGGCACCTCGTCTTGGAAGCGGCATACTGGTCTCACGGAGAAAGTGGAGTTGACTTTCGACTTCAAGCAGCATGTCGACGGGCACGCCAGCCATTTCCAGGAAGCGTATTCGCATTTGATCTCGACTGTGAGTCGTTTGAACAGGTCCACCTCTTGGGGATTGCGGCCAACAGTTTCTCCCAGGCCAGCATAATTTTCACTCTCTTTATGAACGCGGCAACCTGCGAGAGGTCTGGGGTAATTACATGCTATCTATCCAAGAACCTATTACCAAGCTGACATGTACCAGCGACAGGGGCAAGCCGCTCAGAGTTTGCATGTATCTAGACGGAGTGCAGCAAGCCATCCACAACATCCACACGTGCTAGGACTGAAAAAACATCTAGGAGAAGAACTAATCCACCCTTATAGAGGAGCCGATCTGCTCGAGCAGCTATTCTGAGCTATCTGACGGAAGCGGCTCGTACAAGGCGAAATATGACCTGTGCGTTAAACACTTGAACCAATCCTTTGAGAGCTGTGACACCGATATGATCGTGTAAAAGCACGGCGGCTATGTGCAAGACGTGGACAACTGCGGGCTCCTCGAGTTCCACCCGATAAGCTATGATCTGATTGTTTGCTACCCTGCTAACGTGAAGAAAGGCTCCATCGCTGGAGGAGAGCCTGTGGCTATCAACGACCGGGCACTGGATGGCATCAACGCGTTCTGTGACCTTTCCGATGAGATACCTTGGATACTGCCGTGAAGCCCGATCCCTGAGCCTCCATCCAGGATTCATGCAGGGAGAAAGGCATGGCCAGCTGTGGGTACTTCTACCGCTACGACGACACGCGGACGAGGGGAACTGACATAGGGGATATCGACCTGAGCATCTCCGCCAGGCATCTCGATCCCAACGATGCCCTGCAGTGCAGTCCTGATCAGGTCTACGAGATCCACGACGAGGGGTATGTCACGTTCCCGCAGTTTTCTACTCGCCGAAGCACTAATAGCATGCTGTTTCTCACAGGTGTAAGTAAATGCTTTCCAAGTTGATTGGGGACGGGTCTGTTAGTGTGCGTCAGCAACGACAAGGAAAAGCTAGACCTTGGGAGTTTTATCGAGGTAGGTGAAAAGGGTTGTGTGGTTTGGAACGTGTGGGCAGTCAAGACGCACTAAGTATCATCGATGGGAGAAATTGGCGCAAGTTAAGCGACTTGTGTTATAATTGCTGGATTATGTCTCAGAGCGTGTACAACAAGATGGGCGATAATGGTTGGTTGCCTAGGTAGTTGATCAGAAGTGCTATGAATTTCGCAATTAATAGTCTGGTGACTGGATCTCACTTTTGGCTCTTACATTTTTCATACGCTCCTGTGATTTTGGCTCCTAGAATCTTATATCTTAGATGACTACATGCCTTGGAGGCAACTTCGCTTCTAGGGGACAATATAACCTATTCGTCAAGGTCGTAGTGGATAATTCCATTTTTGATACAAAGTCATGCAGAGACACTGTCTAGAAACCCTCTCAGATGATAGGGAATCACTGTTCTACGACCTCAAACTCTGCCATCACTCCTAGATGGTCCGTAATCCACGGCTTCTCGAACCCCAAGCTGAGAATGCGCTCCCTTTGGCCCTTGTGTTGAAGCTGCACGTCTGCGCCGAACCTCTCAAACCCCAGCAGATTTAGGCGTCCACAGTAGTATACTTTATCCATTCTCGAGCAGCCAAACTTGTCTCTCAATTGTGTTGCCGCCTGCTGGCCCCAAGTATATCCTTCATCGCTGTCTTCCTTGCCGCCCAATTCCAGGTACGCATCCTTGAGTCCATTCTCCTCATGCAAGGACCTGTCGAAGTCCTGGATGGCATTAAAGTCGCCTGCTGCCACAGCACCGTGAAGCTGGCTCTCATGCATATACTTGGCAAACAGTTGCACCTGTGGTGGCCGGAATGGCGGCTCAAAGGCCAACGACTCGAGATGCGTGTTGCACAGGCGGACGGTTTCGGGTTGTGTTGGCCCCATGCTCACATCAACGAAGAAGGCATCCCGCTCCATGCGCGTCTTCTCATAATGTACACGAAACAGAGATGTGATAGGAAGGCGGCGATCTATCAACGTCGTTGTACCGTAGTGTCCAGACGTCCAGTTGTTGCCCTCGAGGTCCGTGATGTTGAAGCGTTCGCGGACCCAGAGTTGCTTTTCGATGGTTGAGAGATCTGAAATCACGCACTCCTGTAGGTAGATCACAAAGGCGGTACTTTTAGGGAGTTTGCTGATCAGTTCCTGCAGGGTAGAGAGGCCTAGGCACATACGATCTTCTGGGTATGGCAGCATGAAGTCGATATTCCACGACAAGAGAGCAAGTCTGGTGATACCGGCGCGGCCTTGCTCACTATATTCTTGTCTTGGCGCTTCCACATCTCTGGGCACCCATTCCTGCTTGATACCATCAAACGTGAAGTAGGGTTGGTGGTACGGTTCGTCTGCTTTCCATGGCACGTTGGTCTTCCGTACTGCCTCGTTGTGCCGAATTGCCTTCTGAATGATCTCATCCATCATTCCTGGCCGTAGTCGGCGAATTTTGAATGATGAAGCAGCCCGATGTGTCAGAGTTACATATTTGGACAATCTCATCATTTGCTGAGTTGTCTTGCTGAGGTAATCATTGCATCAGCTCTGGGCGAGCAAAGCAAAAGCGGGGTTACCAGGCTTCTAGATGCCTAGTGAATATGATTGATCAATGAGTTCGATTTTTTATTTCATCCGCAGTAAGTTGGATAATGTCGGAACAGTCAATAAATACGCACGTACCTGAAAAGGGTGCAACATGGATGCTTCGTGACACTGGGGTGTTAATAATGTACAGGTGTCAAATCACGCGCAGCAATGTAGAATCGGAGTCGAGATAGATTCGTGGTGCTGCAAAATCCTGTTATTGAGGCATGCGAGACTTGCCGCGGTATACAAGGAATCGTGCTTGTCGTTTTACGTTGTATCAGTTGAACACTTGCGCTTAGTCTACTGGTAGCAAACACGCCATTGCAGACCGATCGTTACCGCAAGTGGCCAAATCTGGCTGCACCTACGTCCCTTTCAATAGACTGAAGCGATACCAACAAGGATACATTAGAGAACTTTGGTCATATATGAAATTTCCACTTAGCAGCTGTTAGACAGAAGGCGTGCAGTGGAAAGGTCCGGGTTGTACGAAATTGACAAAAGATACAGCAAGGATGCTCTCACACACCGTGCCAATTGGCCATTACAGACCCCCCTCACAGGGTCAATTCGCCAACCTTACTGCAAGTTGCTTAGCATTATATTCACTCACGTTTCAATGAAGTCGTTTGCGGAACAATGTAGTTCCGGATGACACCACGCTCAAGATTCGAAGACAACCTGGGAACATGCGCTTCAAATCCCGCTCCAGAAACTTACACTGGACCGCGTTAACGGTGATTGCTAACGATGCCCTGCACATATGAAGCTTTGAAGAATGCCCCGCGAGGATGAAGAGCAGCTCCATCGATAACATATGTTTTCCGGTTCTATACAGAATACACCTGAACGACAGTCCAAATCAATGGCAGCCAACATTCAATCTCTGGTCTATCGACTCCGTCGACTGCCTGGCCATATCGAAGATGACGACGCGGCAGCTGAGTTCCTGGGCCGAGTTCTCCATTTGCCATCCCCTGCTATCATTATTTGTTCCATGGCCACCGTGATTATCAGTGCTTGGAGCCCCGCCACCAAAACTGCAACCGTCATGTTTGAGAAGCTACCAAGAGTCGTGGAACAAGATCCCCACCGTACGGAATGGATAATCAACTCCATGACCCGTGATGATGACTTGATACTGGATTCACATTTTATCGGTGTAACGCCTCTGTACGACATAACACTTCCCCACAAACATGAGTTCAAGTTAGTACCCCCCAGTATAACGGTACCTACCTATGTAAACTAAAGCCTATAATTTCGCATAGCTGTATCGCCATTCCAGGGCTCGCTAGCCACCCTTTTGGTTCCTGGCAGCCTAAGGGGAGGGGAAGGAATTTCATGTGGCTTCGTGATACTCTTCCCCGACATCTTCCCACAGTACGAACGTGGATTTATGGTTACGACTCATCTTTGGCCGATGAAACCTCATTCCAGTCTATTGAAGACTTATCTGCCTCCTTAATTGATCAATTAAAGGCAAACAAATTTGGCTCGCCGGATGCCCCTCCGATCATAATTATTGCTCATAGTTTGGGAGGCATTGTATTCAAGCAAACAATTACACGCTTAGCACTATGCGATGACAAAGAGGTCCATATATTGCATCTTATTAAAGGAGCAATGCTGTTTGGTGTCCCTAATTTTGGTATGGAACAATCTCACCTTCGTGCTGTGGTGCACCGTCAACCAAACCAAGCTTTAATCGACGATCTTGCGCTTGGCTCACACTACCTAAGAGGTCTCCATGAGCAATTCACTGGACATTCGTTTAACCACAAGTCCAAAATATTTTGGGCTTATGAGACTCGGAAGTCAATCTCAGTCGTCGTAAGTGTTATTTCACAATAACTTTCAACGATAATGGCGCATCTAAGTGAGTATCTAGCGCAAACCAGACGGTCAGCTTTCCAGGTCTGGACCTTTGGAAATCATGGTATCAAGGGAATCTGCAACATCAAATCTTATTAACGAAGACGCGAGTCTAACCTTCCCAATCAACGAAGATCATTCAAATATTGTCAAGTTCCGAGATGATGACCCGATTTGCAAGGTGGTTCTTGACAAGATCGGCGAGATTATGAATCATGAGATACAGCCCTCATTTCTAACAACAAGTCTATTGGCTGGTAGTCCTTCGGCTTTTCAGAGGTCGAAGATACGTACACCTATGACCGCTGACAATCGCATCGATCTTACACAATCGCCGGTCCAGAGAATGAAGATAGTTGCATTAGCGCCAGTAGAATGTAGGACCTACCTGCCCAAGCTAGACCATGCGACAACCAGTTATGGCTAATATTTACAGTGGTCATCAAATCCCTTCATGTGCCTGAACACCCCACGCAGGCGTCGATCTCCTTGCGACCCTAGTTTCCCATGGGCCGGGGGTGGATGTCTCTGGACCGAGCAGAGCGTCAACACGAGAATGGACACAGCTACATAGCAAAGTCTATGCTGGTGGAGAAACGTGCCCTGATCATCGACGAAAGAACTCTTAAGCATTGCAAGGAAGTCGAACTAACGACGGGGAAATCACAACTCGACTTCTTCAAGACAATTCCGTCAAGCTCGCCCAACATGATGGTTGCCAACGACCCCTATCAGCAATTCAGCTTTGCGATGTTCGGAGGGCTACATTTGTGTTTGCAAGAATTGGTTGCCAGCGTCCCCTCGATGGGGGCATCTGCAATGAAACGCTTCCTCACGAGTGACATCGATGTCACCCCGTTTGAGTTCCAGGCATCGTTGGACTTGTTGTCCGAAGCCGGCTTTCGTCTTCAGGGTCTTACGAACTTTATCTGCTCACGACACACGGGCACATTCAATGGCAATGGTGTGAATAATTTGAGGGTCACATATCGCGACTATGCGTTACAATTGTTCGATGACGATAGCTTGATGATAATCATGAGTCTTCTGAAGCACGAAAACGACCCGGAAGCAACCATTCGCTCGCTAGTTGATCATACTGGTCGACCCTTTCTCATATGCAACCCTATTCTTATGCGGTGGCGTCTTCGGAATGGCATGGACTCTTCCTATGCTGACCAATATGGCAAGACTTGGGTTGACTATGCAGTTTTGACTTTACTTGAAATCGGCCGCTTCAGCGCTCTTTTGTCGCCGTTAGTGGAATCAACCATATTGGTCCTCGAAAGCGGAGGCTCAATTGGAATCTCCACAGTCCAAACGGTCGATTTGGCCCGTCGAAGACTGAGAGAGCTGAAACTCACATCGAACAGTGAACAACTCTTCCGATTGCTAGGCAGTGGAAAGGCTACTACACCGGAAATGAAGCAACAAGGCGAAATACCTCGGGCTATGGTTCAAAGCGAACGTATATCCTCGAGCTCCTCTCGGTCCAGCCTCGTGAAGAGGATGAAGAACTTGCTCAAATCTTCTCCCAAAGGGTAAGGCCCTAGGGAATATTCTTCCACTTGGAATATGTACATAATAATAAAGTAAAAACAAAACATCGCGGACTTGGTTGTACATTTCTATTTATTGGTTTCGTCTGATTTTATGATCCTTCTAATTGAGTAATGTTAATAATTCCCTAGTCTTCTGGTCAAGCTTCCATGAAGCTGAAGATAGCGAATACTTGGCTCTCACTGTCAAATAATGGGGAGGTCAGGTACAGCTAAGAGTTTCCAGTATGGGATTGGACCTCTAAGGCATGTCTAAATTGAATGTTGCATTTCAAGACGGGGTTTTCCGGCTTTAATCCCCATAACGAGATAAGATTATTAATTATTTCATTGCCAATACCTACTAATAGTTATAAATTCTTTCTTAAAGAATGAGACAGTGCATTCTAAGAAGGAAATGGGGATCGTGGATAGGCGCAGGGAGGACATTTGGAAGTTGTGTACACACTGTCAGAACAGCCTTAGGTTGAGATGGAGAGGAATAAGAATAAAAGAACTATAACAATCGTGACGACTGTAATCATGGGCATGTCCTACGTTTTGAAACTTCACAAATGTCTGCCTAGTAAGTGGCCACTATCACTTCTCGGCTGCCCAGACGAACTCGATGATGGCGAGTGCCGAGTCTTCAGATTGGTTCACACTCTGGAACGTAAATCTTGGGTCTGCCTCTGCGAATAGACCTTTCCACTCACCAATGCTTCGCTCATGGGCCGCAAAACCCGCACCCATTATGAGATCGAATGACCTGTGTTTGAGAAAGAATTAGTAAATTAAGTAGGAAACAATAAAACAATATTTTGAGACTGCTCACCGCAAGTATTTCTCTCGCCAATACGGAATGGCGCCCGGGTCTGGCATACACGCCTCGTTGAGGATAACTCTTGCTCCTGGCTTCAATGCTGGTATGAGTGCTTTGATAATCAAGGAACAGTACTTATCCGACCAGTTGTGGAAGACCCAGCGGAAGTAGTACACGTCTGCTTGGACTGCCTGCGGTGCAAACATGTCGTGCACCACGTACTTGAATCTCTCTGCCAGTTCGATTGGAATACGAGACCCCTCTTTTTCAACCATTCTCTCCATATCTTGAACAACAACGGAGATTTTTGGAAAGTGCTTAGCAAGCTCCATGGTCACATGGCCTGCACCACCTCCGACGTCTACAAGCTGAACGTGACCCAAAGATCCCCAATCGTAATCGGTAATAACATGTGAGACGTTATACTCCTGCATCAACATGTATGCTTTCATGTTGTTAGAAAATCGATAGGCCCGTTCAGGATTTCCGGTAAGAACCTGGTAAATGCTCTCGCCATTGTTCGCGAGAGCAAATCCCTGCAAAATAGGGTGAGCGACGTGTATTCATCTTTTTAGACAACCATAAAGGATTAGATGCTTACCGTGTGATTTGGCTCCTGAGAGCCAGGCCATTTCTCCAAAGCTTCCACCATCTACGAAAAGAATATTCAGCTGTTTTCAACGCATATCAACTAGATAGCGGTAGAATCAACACCGCGTACCTTTGCAGAAGCAGGCCACATCTCCTCGGTTCCACAGCTCACCCAGTCATTAGCGATTGGATTAGTCAACGCCTTGGATGCTTGCGTATGAGCTATAATACCAGGTTCTGGCTCGCGAAACACCCTCATAGTGATGGCGTGTCTAATAATTCGACGCACCGCCCGCTCATCTAGACCAGTCTCCTTGGCTATGTTGGCATATGTGGTTTGACCACCGGCTGGTACCAGACTGGCTATCTTGAAACGCGATATTGCTTGTAGAGATACGCAGTTGTTGAACTGAAAAAAATGGTTAACGACATTGCTGTCGCGGGCTTCACTGTAATGGTGCTGAGTAATTCTTTTTTTCGACCACAAGAACTGCTTACTGAGCCATGTCTGTATATTATGTCCAGAGGACCTTGGAGTAAGTCCTGAATCTCCGCAGCATAGTCAATGGCCATATCTCGAACACCAATGGCTTCCTTTGGAAAGAGCGCTGGAGCATCCTCGTCGAAAGATGGGGAGGGGAACCGTTGCGCGTGTAGGGCCTCCTCCAGCTTTGATACGGTTTCAAGCAGCGATGTCGTAAGTTTGGCGAGACGAGAGGTTGAGGGATCGAAAGACATGGTGATTCTCAATAAACATTCAAGTGACTCTTAAACTTCTATCAGTGGAGCTAAGACTTGTCCGGTAAAACTTCTAAGAGAGCTCGCCGTTGGATATGACAGGCAGCCTGTTAGAGCTTTATCACGCTTGGGGATAAGCTTTGACAGTGGTTGACAATGCACGAGGTGTACCACTTTGCCTCGAGAGGGGGCGGCGCAGTCTGCGAAGATATCTACTCGGGGCTACCATGCAGATCCCACTTAGGTAGGGAGTCTTTCAAGCAAGCCAACAGATGATTTCGGCGTGATGTATTGGCGAAACAGCATCCACACAGCACTGGACGTGCAGCAAACCAATCATTCTGTAGGCATTGTATGCACGCGCAAACCAACGTAGTCCCACAGCAACTGTCATTCAAAGCTTATACTCACCGAATCTGAATCCTTGTTGCACCAAAATACATGATTTAGGTGAATGGCCTGCTATTGGGCCTGTCCACCAAAATTTGGATATGGATCGAACTCAGGCGTAAATGCAATCACCATGTGATGACTCAAAGCAGCAGAATGACCAACTTGCTCCTCAGTTCTTGTGCTCGGGGCATGGTCATGCGCCGCCGAAGCTCACTGTCTTCTCATCTAGGACTAGAAACATTGCGTATCCTGATATTCTCGGAAAGCCGAAGCCGAGGCTACCCATTACTCAGATGCCGTCTCTGCATATAATCACATACGGAAGCCCTGTCGCTCTACACTGTAGATCCGTAGCGGGCTGCAGGAAGATGCTATACTACTTCCGTATCTTGGGTTGGCGATCGTGTGGCTATATTCGATGTTTAGGTTTGAAATGTTTGGCATGAAGTGCCCCCAATTGCAGCTCCCAAGTCTCCAAATTTGAACGACCCTTATCCATGCGTGGGAGACCGTGTCCTTCTGTAAGGGGGCATTGGGCATGCGTGTACGGTAATGTTCTACAGTGTAAATGAGCCTTGCCACCTGGGGTTGCACACTGTGGTTTCCCCGGACTGAGGTGCTAGAATTATCTGGATGTGGCCAGCTACAGGGAGGAGCACGGGCCATTTGTCAGCCTCGAACCCCCTGCCGTCGCGAGTCTTAGCGTGGCTCCGGGCCTTCAGAGGCCTTCAGAAGCCTTCTCCAGCTTCGGCGCAGCCTTTCGCTTTATTTTCCAACATCCATACCCGTCCCATCCGCCGTCTTGCGACAGAACACCAAACGCCCGCGCGCAGCAGCAGAAGCAGAAGCATCATCCAGCAAGCGTCGCATCAAACCAGCGCCGGCTCGACGGCCCCTCGGCGACATCCGCGCTTTGTCCGCAGCTCTATTGTGCTCGATCGAGTCGCAGTTCCTCCCTGGCCGGCAGCTTTGCGACCACACACACATACGCATCTTCCACCATGGCCAACTTCCTCGCCTCCATCTTCGGCACCGAGCAGGACAAGGTCAACTGCTCCTTCTACTACAAGATCGGCGCGTGCCGGCACGGCGACCGCTGCTCGCGCAAGCACGTCAAGCCCTCGTACTCGCAGACCATCCTGCTGCCGTCCATGTACCAGAACCCGGCCCACGACGCCAAGAACCGGCTGACGCCCGAGCAGTGCGCCAACCACTTCGACGCCTTCTACGAGGACCTGTGGTGCGAGCTGTGCAAGTACGGCGAGCCCGAGGAGCTCGTCGTGTGCGACAACACCAACGACCACCTGATCGGCAACGTCTACGCCCGCTTCAAGTACGAGGACTCGGCCCAGGCCGCCTGCGACGCCCTCAACAGCCGCTGGTACGCCGGCCGCCCCATCTACTGCGAGCTCAGCCCCGTCACCGACTTCCGCGAGGCCTGCTGCCGCCTCAACAGCGGCGAGGGCTGCGTCCGCGGCGGCTTCTGCAACTTCATCCACCGCAAGAACCCCACCCCGGACCTCGACCGCGAGCTGACCCTGGCCACCAAGAAGTGGCTCAAGGAGCGCGGCCGCGACGCCAAGAGCGTCAGCCGGAGCCCCAGCCCGGAGCCCACCCGCAGGAGATACTAGGTCGGAGAGGCCGGTCGAGATTGCGGTGGCTTGCATGCATGCATACATCCCATGCGTCGCATAATTCCTCAAGCTGCACGGTGGGAGGCCAAGCGCTGCTTTGGTTCGGCCAGGATCAGAACCGCTCCTCTACGTATTTCAGCTTCGTCGGTGCGGTCTCTCAACCGGACCATAGCAACAAAAAAAAAACACCCAAGGGATCCAGCTCAAAAGCATACCCCGAATGATTGGTGTAATGACCTAAACAGAGTCAACAGTGGGGAGTTTGCAGCGGCGGACACAAACGGGAGGAGTGACTCTTATCTCATTCGAGGAAAAGGATATTCCAGCCCTGTAAATAGATACCAGCAGCACTTACTTCAGACTGCTCAGGAAGGGACGGCGTTTAGCGGATAGGCTGATATGAATCAAGGATTTCAGATTGTCTTGAGTTTTCACTGCTATACGTGATTGTACTATCAAGCATCTCCAGTCGCGCAGTAGTATGGAGGATAGCTTCACGACTACCAGTCATCAATATCAATGGCACTTCTGTTCCATAGCTCTGCATCAGTGAAAACTTGTCATAACAGGTTCAAAGAGTCCGATATGTGGCGGTAACTCCGTGTTTTGTGATTCCTTGGTATTGCGGGTGACAAACATTTACATCTATCGCCACGCATTGCTGCGAGGCTGGTGTCAGATCAAGCGGCGCGATTAACGCTTTCTACACACGTGTGCGCTTCCCATCATGCTGCAACTCATCATGCTCGTCGCTGGCCCCCGGGTTCCCCCGGCGCCACCGACCGAGTTTCTACCGCGTTGCTCCCCAGCGTGAATCCATTATCTCTCTCGGCCATGCAGTGTATTCTCGTAATCTCATGATTCGACGTCGAAGAACACATCGTTGCTCTCCTCCGTCTCGCTCCTCTTCAACTCGGCTGGTTGCGTCTTCGGCAGATCTTTCTTCATGTCGGCCGTGAAGTCGATCAAAGGCCCATCTGGAGCCTTTTGGCCCGTGGTTCCAAGCATATGCCGGATCTCGGTCGAGTCCTTGGAAGGTTCCGTCTTGGCCGCGGCAGCTACCGCCGGGTTTTCGGCAGGGACAGGCGCTGCAGGCTGGTCGCCATGACTGAAGTCTATCAGGTCGGCGGGCGCATCCGCGGCGGCAGGCTTGCCCGCCGTCGCCGGGTTGCCTGCAGACGCGTGTGGGGGAATGAAGTTGCGGTCCGACGGTTTCTGGCCAGGGATGATGGGGTAAATGGCCATAACTTGCTCGGCCAGCTTCTCCGGTGTGTCGCCATCGCTGGGACGCGTTAGAGCGCGCTGTGCATGCCAGGGACAACTTGCGTAGACTTACATGTGCGCGTTGATTATCCACTCTAATTCCTCCTCGCCTTCTTCCTCGCCACCTGGACCCCCTCTTACTGCCCGGAACAACCGGGGATGCCACTCAACGTTCTCCGCAGCACGTTTGGCTGCCTCTTCGCGTTGCATGTCTTCGATCTTGGTCTTCTCGTCGGTAGCGACCTCGTGATTTTTCTCCTTGACAGCTTGTGCCGTGTTGCGCCATAACTTTTGCGACTCGCGCTCGTCTTGTTCCTCCAGGGGTCGTACAAGGGGTTTTGACGGCTTGGCTTTGGCGCCGTTGAAGAACATCTCCTTGTGCCCGGTCTGAAATACTGGTGTCAACGAGACGGACAACTTGCCAGCCGTGGATCTAGCGTGAAAGACTTACCCTTAGATCCCTCATAAACATCTCTTCGCTCCAGAGCCCAGACAACTCGTATAATGATTCTCCAGTGTGTTCGTTCCGAATAGTCCCGCCGATAGCGTTGTAAGTGCCGCTCACCCAGCCCTTGGTCTTGAATTCAATGTCCGCCACAAGTCCGAGCTCGGGGCAGCGCACAACACTGTGGTCGCCCAGCTCGTACTTCATTTTTCCGAAGAGAATGCCGCGCGCATACATGTTTGGTTGGGTCAGGTGGTATTTCTCGCCCTTCTTGGGATCCTTGCCCCGGTTGAGGAAGGTCAGGACAGCGGTGCCCTCCATCAGACTGGCTGCCGAGTTACCGAGGAACTTGCTCCGTGGCTTGAGCGTGCCGTCTACTCTAATATGATGCTCGGGAACGAGGTAGAAGTAGCTGGACTTTGGCGGGTGGTGTGACGTCTGCTCGGATACGTAGTAGGCTCTCGTCTTGTCGGCCAGATCCCAGTAGCAAGTGAAGACCTCGCCAAGAATCGGGTTCAGCGGCTTCTTGACGCCTCTGCTGCGCTATGAGTACAATTATCTTCACTTATGGGACCTGGGGGGTCACGCACGGAGGTCTGATGTGCCAGCCGCTAAGGTAGAATTTGACAACGGCAGCAAAGCGCTCTACGGGGTCTTCAATTTGGGGGATCGGGAGTAGCATTTCGGGATGGCACATGAAGCTATCGAGCAGGTTAGCCGGCGACCTTGCCGAGATATCCGGGGGTGTCGGGACACACTTGGTTATCCTTTCCAGCATACTCCTCGGCTCGAGAATGAAGGTGGGCAAGACGACCCGGCTGAGGTCGGCGCCGGGCCGCAGTTGCGAGATGATGTGGCCCAGGACTGTGTAAGAAACCATATCAGTCTCTGTGAAGCACACAAGACGGCCGGGAAGACAAACGACATACCATTTCCCTGATCGGGCTCGACGACCGTGGTATCGCTGTCAGCGTCTCCGTCGAGGGAAGATCTGCTGCCTAACCAACAACCAGAGTATTAGCGGCTCATGGCACCCAAAGAGGGCCGTGTAAGGGAGGTCATACTGGTAGCTGAGCCCGCTCGACGGCGGCCGGTGAGCCCCATGATGTCCGTTTCTGCAGTCTATCGTACTATCGTAAAGCGAGTGCTCGTGAGTCTCGGGGCAGAGAAGGAAAAAATGGCGTATCTGGCCCAAGACTGTTGGCCGCTTCTGGTCGCGAAATACCTTTGCTGCGAAATTAAGACCCCTCACTGGCTGCAAAGAGCGCTATCGATTGGCGGCGGACGGCGGGCGACGGCTAGCTACAAGGGTGCGGCTTATGACCTCACTGGCCTGGGAAAAAAAATAGGGACCCCTCAGCGGCTCGTCGCGGGTGAACTCAAGTTGTGCAAGTTACAGTGTACAGGAAAACCCGCCGGATGAGGAGCATTCCAACTTAGCAGAAGCAGCCCCAACGGTAGAACAAGGCAGTCTGGGCATGCTCTCACTGCAGAACATTTGTCTTGGAAGCAGGCAGCCACAATTGTTCAGACAAGAGGTGGAGGCACCCTGGGCCCTTGGACGGCGCGTTTGGCAGTGAGTACATATGCATCCATATTTTCGAGCAGGGACCGCGCCGTTTGGGGCTGCTCTAGCAGACAGAAATGACGAACAGGCCCGAGGGGTCGGGGCACGGGGGCAGGGCGAGGGGTAAAGATGACGTTGGCCATGCCCAGGTGGCCTACCCTGGGGCTGTTGGCCTGCATATTCCCCAACTCAGTTACCTGGAGGTCGGTAGGTACTCTCCTTCCAATGGTGCCCAGGTGACAAGCGACACGCAGACAATTTGCGCCCTTCTTGGCTGCATGCGTGTCATCAACTAGCCATTGCTGCCGCGAGTCCAGATGACCAGCAATCCGAAGCGGCATTTGTCCAATCCCGAGGCGAAGCCGATGCAGAAAAAGTCTGGCTGCGAGCCAAGAGGATGGCCCATCCTCCAAGTCTCGGCAGCCAATAAGGGTCGGGCTTATTATGTGACAGTAGCTTTAGAGTCTTGATACTTTTGCGGGCCGAGCAGCTAACTTACAGTACGTATGTGCCTGGAATACCCAATGCCACCATCGAAACTCCGTAACACCAGTGCTTGCTAGTTGTCAGCCAAGGTCAATGGCCAGCTGCTGCGGATGGTGCACACTTTCAGGCCAGAACAAAACATCTTACATGCTCCAATAGCGGCCCAAGGGTCGCATGGCAGGAACTACTCAATGCTCCTAGGTTGGTAACGGCTCTGCCGTTGGTCAAGTTCCTCAACAACAGGGTCGCACGAATAATGGTTCCCATACGCAAGCCTGGCGAAGGTCTTTCGGAATAGCCAATTACGCAGAATAGTGTTCACTGATTTGCGCCACAACCCGCATAGTCTATTGATAATTTCCGACTCAAAATTGTATAACAGAGATTTCGACATGAAAAATGTAAAAAGATTGAATTCATATCCTGTGACGGATACTTCGAGTGATGAGAGTGGGATTCGAACCCACGCCGGGTTACCCCGATGAGGAAATTGATGCTAAGATTTTGACCTTAACCTCACGCCATGGACCAACTCGGCCATCTCACCAATTGTTGGAAGTTCGCCGGCAATGGGCATACAAGTTGGCAGGTGGACGGCGTGACAAAGCCCCGTCACATCTGCATCTTCGGTCGGCGACGAGTGGACTCGCTTGGTTGGGAACAACAACTGAAAGTTAACAAGAATGCTATGGGTCAGCGGTAGCATTGGTGATACGTAATGGTATATACTCGGGAAAATGGAATACCCAAACCTGGTGGCTGTTGGGGGAAGAAGCATACCGGAAACTAGAGTTCCTGGACACTTCATGCCTGGTAAGGTATAAAATTTCACTACTGAGAGGCAAAAGGGGGATATCGGTTGCCCGTAATTGGTTTCACTGCAATCAAAGTAGTAGAGACGCTACCAAAGAACTACACGACAGGTAACAGTGCTATACCGTTATCAGATACTACCTAGCGGGGAGAAGAATCTTGCGTGAATCCCCGACAGGGGAGACTGTAGACTGATGCGACACGACAGTTATCTTATCTTGAATTGGTGGGACGGTCTATTTGGCCTTAGACCCAGGACGCTCTTGCATTGAGCGCTATCTAATGGTATATCTGTCAGAGCGGTTGAGCCAGCCGTTCAGCTTCAGCATTAGACAGTTGGATGCTTGTTCCGCACTATAAGAGGCACATGCGCTTCGATCTCATTGAACAAGGCAAGCTGTTGTTACTCGCCCAATATATTGGCGTCATCTATGCCTGTTTTGCCGTTCAAATGGAGCGGTGGATCAACAGGGTCGAGGTATCCTTTCTACAAGCTGAGCACATCAACACTACGTGCAATGATCTCGAGAGACGGCCAGACAGCTTTGATCTTGTCCCGAATCTCCGACTCATGGATGTTGACCCCAGCCATGATCTGCTTGTACGTGTTGTCGACGACCCTCCCGAACGGCGAATCGAGGCCGAACATCTTGGGGGCATTGTCGTGAACGTCAAACAGGAATCCAAAATAGACTATACGCAAGTCCACGCCGCCCTGCATCAGCTCATCGTATATCTGCTTGTTCATCGGCCCACAGAGGACGTTGACGACGGTCGACATGGCCCACGTGTCGATCAGCCGGTCGGGGTAGAAGGCTTGAGGGTACAGGCCGGGCGTGATCTCGAAGTAGATCTTGCAGCCCAGTCGAAACGCTCTGTAAGGGTCCCCATTCGCGATGTACAAGCTGAAGAGTTGGCGGCATAATTGCGGCACTGGCTGTCTGGTCCATTTCCACAGGCCGGATTTGATGCACATCTTGAGTGTCGCCTTGATTTCTTCTGGAGTTGGGTTTTTGACATCGGTGACTGTGCCTGACACTGAGAATGCTTCGGCCTGCAGGGCAGCCAGCCGTTGTTGAGCCGTTTCATCACTGGCAGGCACAAAGAACCTCGACAGCTGTGCCTCGTGTTTCTGGGCCAGCTTGTCTGCGAGAGTACGATACTCGGACGACAGCTCCTCTGGCGGAATAGTGAAAGTATCCTCCGGAAAGCTACTTCCCTTCTTGCACTTGGGGCATTGGCAACTAAAGTAATAAGTATCCTGGAGCTCGTTTTGCCTCACACTCAAGGGGTTCGTAACGTCGATGTACTTCATGAACATCTCTTCACCCTTCTTTATGGGTCTTGTAGCTCTTAGAAGTGCAACCGGCTGGTTAAAGACCAACACGACATTGGGGTCGCAGGAATGATTTGCGCTGCAAATCATGGGGTCGAATCCGATGCCTAGATGAGTGTCGTCCAGCGGCGAGCTTAATGCGAATTTGTTACACATAATCTGCCATGCACTGTTAGTTCCATAACTTGGAGGGGGACGGCAGATTTAGGGGCGTACATTGAGCACGAAAGCTTTGGAAACGGCCTGGGAGTCCGCTTCCCGCATCTTGGGCTCGCCCGCATATTTCCACGCCGCGAAGCCGAACATGTTGAAGTCTTCGAGAAGCTTCCTGTTTCGGTGGCCGAATTCCTCGACCCCCTTGCCCCCTTCGAATGGTCTGAAAGACAAGATAGTAGCCAGCTTGTCGTACTTGCCGTCATCTGCCTTCATGCGCCCCAACAGCTTGATCGTTGAGCGCACAGCATCGGGGAGGTCAGGCCGATCCTTTGGAGCCAGGGCCTTGCACTCATACTTATGCTCGCGTTTCCAGGCCTTGCTTTGGCATGACTTGGAGCAGTACGAAATCCGGCGACATCCAGTGCATGCTTTGACCTCGATGAACCCATTTGGCAATCCCATGGAGGCAGCCTGGGCCCGTTCGATTTGATCTGTTGCGGCTCGCTGGAAGCACCATGCGCAAGTGTCCTGAAGGCGATGAATATCGAGTTCAGCGAACAGGGGCCGGTCGACAGCGAGGACTAAATCGCCAGGCTGGAAATCTCCGCATGCGAAGAGGCCCCGGCCGGCACCACTGATTGTCGAATCCTTCACCTCGACATTGCAAGTTTTGGACATTATCCACGCTATTCCTGGACACAAGCTGCGGTGCCGTAATGCGTCTGTCCTGCGAAATATCTGATGCGTCGCTGGTTGTGGGGTTGCGGGTGTGCCTTGAGTGGGCTATTTATCCTCGCCGCTAGCGCTTTGTGCATTAGGCAGTCTAAGCTCTGCAGTATGTGACATTTCATAGCATACTGTGCCCTGTCTGCAGCTGATTGCTTTTTGATACATGGGAGGTGTTTATGAAGTTTCGAGCTCAGTTCAAGCCAAGAACAATATCATATTGAAGAAGGGGGGAAGCATACTCACATCTCTGGTCAGCTTCAAAGGCAGCGGCGGTACGATTATCAGACTAATACGGGATTTTGTCCACATCTCCTGGGCCACGAGTCCCCACCCGATTGCGCATGCTGTTGAGGCGCATTCTCTTGAAGAAATATCGCCGAAGTCCTCATATTCAATTGTTTATCTTGAGAAACATTGGGTTTAGTATTATTATTCAAGGATTTCGACAGCACGTAATCTGTAGCAATTGGCTGATTATGCGGCCCATTAAAATCGCTTGTTGTCTGCATAGTGTTTAACGTCAAAGAAACTCTCTTCCTCATCCCTCGTTTCTCACGACCAACGACATTCTTTCCATCCATCTTGCTCTTGGATCAACCGGGTCTAGGTATCATAGGCGCCCGATCGGTCGGAACCTGCTGATCTCATGCAGCTATATGGCTTTAAAGCCAAGGTCAACGCTCGCCTCACTATAATGTGCATATCATGTTGATACTACCAGCAACTAGCAACCAGCAAACTTCAGCTTGACTGAGAATCATTGGCAGGGGTAGCTTTGTTTCTGCTAAGTCTATCTGATAAGCGCATAACCTTGATCCGTACACAATAAGATAAAATAAATTTGAAGTGAAACAGCTAAGGACGGCTTATATATGCAGGCAAAAGACCTTGCCGCCTTGTCAACAAGGCAAGGACAACAATAAGCCAATGGTCATCAAAAACGCGAGAGGAGCCAGAGTTCCGCCCGAACCTCAATAGACCTTGTGGCGGCCGCATGGGACGAAGGCCATCATCCGCATCGTGAAACTGGACTTGGTGCGCGAGGTTCCGCCCGGCGTCGATGGCAGCGAGCCGGTTCAGTAACGCCGCATGCACCGGGTCTGGAATGGGTGAAATCATATTGTCGAGATATATCAATGAGGCTACCGGCCGTGCCGCATCGATGGACTCTTGCACTGTCGTTGTGGATGCTAGAATAGACGCGGCGAAAGATAGCGGGTTATTCCAAGTTGTCCCGTTAGGTTCCGTTACGGGCCTGCCAAGAGGGAAGTGTTCGCTGACAGTTCTGTAAAGGGGTATTTGATCCTCAACTCCACGGGGTAGTTGTTCGACGATGATAAGGCGCAGGAGGTCAATGTGACCTGGGCCGGTTATATGGGCAGTATGATGCGCCATGAGGTGCTGATGGACTTGTGCTAGATTCGATCGCAAGGCGTATCTCACCATATACCGGATGATGCTCCCTGCGTCTCGATGTACTTCTCCGACGTCCTCAGCATCTGGAGGTCTACCAAATTGTGCTTGCCGGCCAGCAGCTTGCTCTATGCTCTCAGCCTCGAACAAAGCTTGTATTAAAAGGTCGTATATTTCCAAAGAATCCACACCACCAAACTGTCCGCCAGGTGCGGGTATGAGGTGGTCGAGGTCAACGTTTAGAAGCCGTATGGGACGCCTGATGAACTCTGTTATCAAGAGTCTCATCATTGACGCTGGTTCCCCGCGGCGGAAAGCGATCCGAATGCACTCACTAGGAGGTGGGTAACCAGCATCGCCCAGCCAACGAACTAGATTTGAGCTATCCGCAGGCTGTACTGGCAGATCTCTGGACATAGATATTGTGTTATATAGAGACTGGATCAACTGCGCTTGGCGGGGCTGGTCGAGACGTTCTATACCCGGTGCCGCCCGTTGGAGTATTTCCATTACCAACGGGTGCATGCCAGTGAATGCAAGTAGCCGAAGCTGAGGTGTGAACAGGTTGTGATTCACGTCTGTAGTGAGCTCGCCGCGGCGGAGGAGTCTACGCAATTCCGGCTGGAAGCGTCGAACGATATCTCTTCCACCAAGATGCCCGCCCGGGTTTATGGGAGCACTTGTCATCATGTCTAAACAGAGCCAGAACCCTGGTGAGGTAGGCGAGAAGAACCTAGGTACGAGTAGCGGCAGACACACGGCAGCTAAGTCCTGGGCAACCCGCATATCGCACTCGGATACGTCAATCTCGAGGGCCGCCCCTATTGGGTCGACATGAATATTTTCGACACGGCAACTGGTGTGTGCCACGCCTCTGTTGAGACATACTCGTGGCTGAAATGCTGTCCTAGTTATAGTCCCGTTAAATGTTCGGCCGGCTCCAATGGCACCACCCAGAAAGCCCTGCATCATAAATTCAGTGAATCTAATATGCGGGTTCGCCCCCATCAGTAAGAGCCACTGTATCGACGAACTTCTTTGTCTTCGAAGCGCGTATAGGAGCGGCGGCGGGAGCTGCGTCCCCCATGACAGGTCTAACAGATTTGTAAGTGGAACAGGGGTTCCCTGTGCAACATTCCGATACTGTAGCAGGTAGGCTCGCAACATCGTTGGAATGGTTATAGATATCCCTTCGCTGAAGTCAAATGCTGTCGCGTCCAATCCCGTTCTGATCGCATCATACAACCACGGATACTGGCGCTGTGAATCGATGAATGAACGGAACGCTGTCGACGGTGCCGCTTGTAACTGATTAATAGCTGGGCCAACCCATCGCCGGGCCTCAACCTCTAGTGCGTCGGCGGCGGTCAATGGGGACCGCCTCCAAAGGCTTATTATATCTTGTGTATTGAGGTGTCCGTAGATACTAGACCTTACGTCGTATGGTAGGCCCAGTAAGGGCTCCATGTCTGGGCTACTTTCGGGAATTTTTACTTTATCTAGGCGGCCACTATTGATGCGCTCTTGCCAGATAGCACTGCGCGCAGCTTGCAGTTCATTCGCCGGCACATTGCGGGTTCGTCGGTAGAGGAGCATCCGAGTCTTCTCGCTGAGGCTGCCTTCAATGTCTGCAAGGCTAAGGGTGACGATTCTATTAGGCATCATATCATCCAATCTAACCCACTGGTCTTCTCGGTGGCGTAAGTACGCAACCAGGTGCCCAGCGATTTTGTTGTCTGGGTCTCCGGAGCTGAGGGTAATTATAGATTCGAGACTGTATATAGTATCAGTGTTTCCGACGCTAGGTGCTGGAGTTGGCGGTACAGGCAAGTCGGCTATGGGTGGTTGACTCCCCGGGTTCACATCGCGAACCTCAGAGAGATCTAGGAACTGAGGTATGACGAAGTGCACGTCTGGGTCGGGATCCATTACCGGAATTGCGTCCGATGAGCGGCCGATCGAGGGCGCGATACAGAGAACCTCGGGGAGGTAAAGCAGTTTGTGGAACGTCGGCGCCGGTAAACTTTTTCTTCCGCAATCTTCACAGTCGTCGGTGGCGATCCCATTAAGGAGGCGGAGGTTGAATGCGTCCTTCAGTGGCACAGTCTTTGGGTCACCCTTTGCTCTTGACACATGAAGCTCTAAGACAAAGCCTTGGACGGATTCTTGGCCAGCCATTCGACGCCTCTTCCTTCTGCATTCACACATCATAGCCCTCCTAGGTGCTAAGTGGAAGCGGAACAAGCGCCTGAACATGACCTCCATTTGACTACACCAAGGCGTCAGACATGAAATGGGACTTGACATAGCTTTAACTCACTTTCCTTGATCGTCGACCTGGTTTCTGTCAAAGCCGCTGCCACACAGCCTGCCTAGCAGGTAAGCCACAAATTGCGTAGGGTCTTGGTGGATAATATCTTCGCCGGCTACTTGGTGCACCCACCGTGGCGAATTGCCACATATCGAGTGGGCGAGGCCATCGTCATCGCCGAGGTCGTCCGTATTACAAAGGTGGTCCCAGAGGCCTTGCACGGCTGGCTTCCGGGCTTCGTCGTTGGCGCTACTCCAAAAGGTATTGCAAAGTGTGTTTAGAAGCACAAACTTCTGATTTGGTCCTGCGACTTCCGGAGATTTGGCTTCGAATTGCCTTAAGAAGTGAACGAACGGGGGCAGATTGAAAAGAGCGGCCAAAGCAGCGTTCCGATAACAGGTATTCACCCCTACGCTGGGCAATGGCTTGAAGACTCGGTGTTCGTTCAGTTCTGTCGTTACTAGACCCTGATTCGGAACCATGCTGCGTGTGTCCAGTGAAGCACCGGCACGTGGTGACGACGGAGCCGTTGGTAGAATATAACGCCCGTCTGGGTCGATAGGGTACGAGGGTATCTGGAGCCTAAGAGACGCAGGGTGACCACCTCTGCGTCCAGCTCCCCCTCCGTTTCCAGGTCCTCCACCACCTCCAGGAGATTCTCCACCTCCAGGAGATCCTCCACCTCCAGTTCCTCCTCCAGCACCTTCCGTTGCCCCCGGAGGGCCACTGCCATCCGGAGCACCGGGAGGAGGTGGTGCGGCATCTGGTGGTGGAGGTCTACCCGGCCGGGGAAATCTCCCGTCAGGGTACAAGTTGAACCATAGCTCTGGCTTGTTTCCCTTGGTTGAAAGATTTCGTGCCTCGCACTGGCTCACAAGGACCCTTTTCGTGGTTCCTTGTAATTTTACATGGTCTTCAGCGGTTGGAACGTCGTCGTAAGTTTTGTTTGCATTAGGTCTATCCATTTGAACGTAGAGCGCGAGCTTGAGATAGGTGAAGTACGCAGTAATGCGTAGTACTTGCGGTTGATTGCTTTCGCCTCAGCAGCTGCGAAGTCTAGAATGCCTACCCTTTTCCTGTCAAAGACATCGCCCTTGCTGCATTACTTCTCTTTCAACTGCTAAGCAAATGCATAACCAACAAGCCGAATCAAGCACCGCTTGCTGCAAGCATTGGGCTTTGTAACTCTAAAACAAAGCCCGCTTGGTTACTCTTAAGTAAGATTAGTACTAAGGCTATACTCACTAATAGCGTCCCCTTTGACCACATGTTATCACATTCTTCAATGACTACGTGATCGAATAAGAGACAGCAAAGGTGGTCATCGCACCCACTTGCTTGAACTTCTGTCTAGAAAGTCAAATATAGCGCTGTTTTGTATATTACATTGGAGCTCCTTTTTCTCATTTTCTCCGTAACTCAAACGCTAGCCGCGTATGCACATGCATAGCGCTACACCTCCACGCATAAGACAAAGAAACTTGACGCTTATAGTCATCACATACCGCCCATATATATGCCGCCGGGCAATAAGCAGTACGAGACACAAATCCAGGGAAAAGCACGTCTCTAGGGGGAAAATATTCCCAAACGACTGGCGAGCACTTGTCATTACATTTTCTGCGCCCGTTCTCATAGAAAGGGGCCTTCTAGTTGTGGGCAACGAGATGCTAAGTTGAAGCGCGTCGGCCACTAGCCGTGATAACCGAGCCTGTGCCGGCGACGGTCATGGGTGGCAGGAGTTAGAGAGGACAACCCTAAACACTTTGTTGTATAATTGTTGGCTTGATGGAACCGGCCAGCAGTCCTGAAATCTGAAGAACGTAGATTGGGAAAGAGACGGCTGAGGGTGCGGTCTGAATCCAGTTCAATAACTTGCAACATGTGGTCTTAGGATTCGAGGTCCCTTGGTTTCAACGCTGTACTGCTCAAGCACCTCTATCGCCAAGCACTTTGGCTGTTGCTTGAGCATAAATCGTAAATCGAGATACATATACTCCAGGGAGTTTGCGTATCTCTTCATGGAGAGCAATGGCCGAATTGGACTCAGTGGAAGAGCGTCGATGTTGAATTCTTCAGCATTTTGACGGAATGGATGGATTGTCACACATCATATCATATCGTCGTAGTTGGTCGAGTACGAAAGATGACCAAGACTCAACGTCCCTATCATGGATGTTCACGAAAGAGAAACATTGTAGGACGTTAAACCATTCTATTATTCTGGCGCAATTGACCTAAACAAGACGCCAAAGGCGTCCTTTTCGTTTGAAAACAATGCCAAACACCGTGCTTAATCCTCCATATGCCAAATCGTCAAACCTGATATCATCTCCTCGTGCATTAGGATCCGCCATGTACAACACGACGGTGTTTGCTCTTCTCAAATCTGGGAAAACCGCATCTGGCAAGTCGATACAAGAACAAGAGGTGATCACCTGATCACGAGAGCAACTCAGTTGCGAGGCTGAGCATGGATAACTCGGCCGTACGCCCGAGCCTCCTGGGCTTCCGATGTGCAACACCGAACCTAGATACCTCCCTACAACATGTAGGCGAGGAGACCAACGGCCACAGCTGCGGCGCCATTGCCAATGTGCTGGATGTTGGTGGGCATGGCACCGGCCTTGGAAGTCGAGGAGGTGGCCGCCTTGCTAGAGGAAGCGGCAGTAGCAGTTCCGCTGGAGCTAGCAGCAGTGGTGGTGGAGGGAGTAGATGCGGAAGAGTCGGTGGCATTCTTTGTACCGCACTTGTCGGAGATGCTGGTGGTGCAGTTACGCTGGCCCGCGGCATTGCCAACGGTCTGGGTAATGCACTCGGTGAAGGCTTCTTGGCAGATGTGCTATTCGAGATGGGAAAAATCAGCTGGTGGCTCCCTTGGGCTGCCATGCTTAGGCTACTTTGGGGCAAGACTCACGAAGGGCAACGACTCCTTGTACTCGTTCATGTCGGGGGTGGTACCGTCATTGCAAGAGCACTCGTAGTCCAGAGTGGCCTGCAAGTGTAGGTTAGCATCCATGCAGATATATCACCAGCCTGGGCTCCACCATTCCCACTTATCTACGACTTACAGGATCGCAGCTGATCTCGGAGGGCGAATTGTTGCAGACGGCAGTACAGACGTTGGTCTCGGACGTGCACCAGGCAGCTGGGAGATAAATGTGTCAGCTTCTGAGGATATCATGGCGAGACAAGCATGGTGGGGACTGGGAGCCAGGCGCATACCTCTGGTGCTGAGCGGGACGGCGCTGGGGTTGATGCTGAAGGTGGAGTTGCCGGCGGAGACGAGGGCCAATGCCGAGAGGGCAACGACGGCGACCTGGTGGGAGAACATGCTGCCGGTGGTGATGGCGGATGATGATGATGCTGGGACTGCTGGTGGCGGGTCAAGAATAAAAGCACGACACAATGGGCTCTGCTGGAGGTGCAGGTTGTCGCGAAAGGATGCTTGGAGCGTGCCAGAAAAGCTTGGACTCTGCGATCGTGACGATGCTGAGAGTGGAGAGAAGTTGTTGCGATTGTGGTCGCTGGAATGCAGACAATCAACGACAGACACGCCTGGGCTGGGGGACCGGGAGCGATTGACTCTTGACTTGACAGAGAAGCAGAGGAAGACGGAAGGAAGGATGGATGGATGGATGGATGAGAGGAAGAAATGGGGGACGTGAAGCACGGAAGGCACGAGGTTAATCAAACAGAAAATCTAGAGGCGGCAGCCCGGCAGCATGGGGAAAGAAAGGCGCACCGCACCACCCACGATCTGCCAGCGACCACCAGTCAGTCAGTCAACCAGTACCACACCCAGCCCGGCAGGCGCACCGACGACGATAGCTCTCACGATACGCGACCGGGGTCCGAGGCACCCTGCATGCCCATGCCCATGCCGCCATGCCGCCATGCCGCCATGCCCCCCCAGAGCCCGACTGGACCCAGAGAGTTGCTGCATCTTGCTGCTGGTTCCCGCCCACCGAAACCCTGCTCGCCCGCGCTAGCTCGACGCTCGAATCCATGTCCAGCAGCGGTCTGGCTATCTGCCTGTGCACTCGTAGACTTTGCGCGGCAGTCGCAGTGGCTGGAGAGCTCCAAATCAGAAACACCAAGACGTCGCCGGGGGGGAGGTGGGAGGTGGGAGGGAAGGTCGGGGTGGTCGGGCGAGCAGCTCACCCAATGGGCGCACGTCCGTCACGGCGGCTGCAAAGCTCTCTACGTGAGCTAGCTCAAGCTCCAGTCTCAAACACCCTGTAGCTCAATAGTACCACGGTAGATAAGGCACATTCTGCGGTCTCCAGTACTATGGAGAGCCACCGGCGCATCACCAGACACCACGCGGCGTGCGTGGTTGGAGGTGACGCCGCAGCGCCGATGGCTCCAAGGGAGCTTGGCCCCCCGGCGGGCCAGTCCAGTGCAGTAACTAGCTGCTTCGTTTACGAAGTGAGTGCGTGCTGGCGCGAACCGCTTGCCATCCATGTATGTCTACGACATCACTCACCCAGGCTAAGTAAGCGGGGGGCTAGTTTAGCCTGCAAGCTTGCGCTGAGAAACTTAGCTAGCTCCCCTGCTCCCAGCTGCAGAATGCCAGAGCTGCACTTTCGGCTCCCGGTTCAGCGCCGAAACTCGTAACTACACAGTAATGAGATGGCTGGAGCTGCAGACTGGCGAGCCGTTGTATCCGTTGAAAGGCTGGAGAGTCGAGGTTGGACGCGCGGTGTCAACACGTCTTGCCTCTGCAAGGTCCCATGAGGAACGAATCCGGCGGGTGTGATGAGCCAACTCTCTCTTAGGCCTGCTGCCCGTGATGGGAGCTTGGGGAGCCACTGTCCAACTCTGGAACACATGCAAAATATCTCGCGTATCATCAACCTGGGCAACCGTGCGATAACTCTGCGACTTATGAAGCGGGCGCCATGGCAATTTCGGTGCAACGGTCCTATTTTGCTCGCTTTCCCATCCCTCACCAGCCACAAATACCTTATCTAAGTTAGTCACTGACTAATCTGTAACTTATCTTGCACGGTTCAATTTCGCAGATCCGGCTTTAATGACCGGAAAGCTTGGCGTTTGGCAGCCAATGCGACGTGACTGTCTCTTGTTCGACCCTGGTGCGACCGTTCATACACATATGAAACAGCCTGCGTCCTTTATCCCTCACAAACAAAGTCGCCTTCCTCTTCCCGGCGTCCTGTGGACATTTCCCACACCTCTTGTGTCCTCTGTACTATGTATTCCGTACTGCTGGTGATCGTCCTGGCCTGGCCCACGTTTCCATCGTGCCACCCACGCAAGTCACGGCATGGCCGGTGAGAATGCGGTAGACTCACCGCAAGCAAGCACGAGAAACCCCACCCATCTGCCGTCTCTGTGCGAGCCCAACATGCCCTGGCCAGCTAGAGGCTCCGTAGACTCGGCCCAAGAGAAAACCCAAGGGAACCCAAGAGGAAAAAAAAAACTGTTGTCATGTCCCAAACCCCCATCGGGTGACGACGGCTCCGCCGAACTGCCAATGATCTACGTTTAGTGCGTTGCGCCAATCAGCATTATCAATTGAGAACTTGCCCGCTTTCGGTGAAACCCACAGAGGTCGGCCGCACCCGCTGTGGCTCGCCTTTCAGACCTTTCGTGTGGGATGCCGAAGAAAGCTTGCGCCGGGAAGCCCACAAGAAACATGTGGAACACAGAGCACTGGCACAGAAGATCACATGATCTGACGGTGAACCTTGCCTCGTACACTGCACTTACATACTGTTCCCGACTCTGGCATCATGGTTGAGCCTCATGTCGCCTACAGAATCGTATCTATTTGACTATTTATTTGATGAGATACACGTTGGTTTGGAAATTACCGATAAAGCTTGCAATGCACGTGTTGCTGTACCACTAGAGAGATACCAGGAATCTTGGTCGTATCACCTTGACGTGGATAACTTACACTTTAGCTTTGCCTCGTGGAGTAGGAGAGACAAGCAACGTACAAACGAAGTCCTTTCGTGGAAAAACCACTTGGAGTGAACACCACACAGCAAATACCAGCTTCAAGGTGGGATGCTTGGTACGTTGCCAGGTACCTCGTATTTCCCCTCACTCTATTCCCTCCGCCGGGCGCCCAGCATACGACTACGGAACCACACAAGGCAGTACCCTATTCGGCATATGATGGGGTTGGTGACACCGAATGGCCACTACCTCTGGATAATGCTCGAAGACGTCGATTGTCACGAAATGCGAATACTCATGCTTCCGCCTGTTGAAGAGGGCTGATAGTGGCACCCGCCAGAGCTCAGCCGAGCACTTGATTGGCGATCTCCCAAGTAATATTGCTCGGGATCTACAGTGAACTTAAGTGGACGGCAAAGCGTAGTCATCAGAGTGCTCAGATAAAATGTATAGAACACACTCTGGGGGAGCCCAAGTAGACCATTGTCAACATGAATATGCAGCAACGCAATCAGGACGCCGAAAATGCCGGGCGTTCAGTTATCTTTAACTATAATTATAAGAGAAGCCATCGCAGGGTGTGATGCTAGGTTGGGATGATCAACTCTTATAGCAGGACGCCAACGTCCGAGCTGAAAACGGCATTCACTACGGTCAACTGTCCAGCGCATCTCAATCTTCTGCAAACACCTCCAGATGAGATTCTGCGGGGCTTTCGGATCTTGCGCGCTGGCAACGAATCACAGGCTTCAGCTGCGCCCCAGATTTACACCCCCGTCAATGGAACAGCCTTCTCAGTTAGCGTCTTCCGATGCTGCCATCTGACGACAGGAATGAGGACAGGCTTTTCTCAGCATTGGTGACGTGCCCACAGCACTTCATTGGCGTACCTGCATGCTACTTTGGTATGCTTGTCAGGCGGGCTCAGCCTGGTCAGCTAGGAGTCTGTGAGTATGTTGCTCAGCATTGAGCGGCGCTTCCATCACCCCGGTAAACCAACGGGGCGTCATCTGCCGTCCGAACATATGTGGGTTCTCCTTTTCTTGTGGATATTCCGATGGTGCACTCGCGCGCTTCAGAATGATTGGCCTCTCCACACATCAGCGCAGAGAAACAGGCCCTGGCAGGCTATCCGATCTTGACCAAGACCCGCATGGTAATGAAAGGCTCTTTGTCTCCTCCTTTTGCAGTGTTCTTGTTGGAGGAAAATCGCACAACCATGGACCGAATTCGGTATTAGAACGTAACCCTGGATTTCGCGATCTGGAACTCGGTAGATGTGTAGGTGCAAGGTGGTCTACGAAACCTACAATGATTGCTACTTAAGAAACCTTGCTCTGTCACGATGGCTTTCTGTCCCTTAGGCTGCACCCTGGTCGCTATTTCGGACGTCGCGCTTCCCACACGATGCTGTTCAAAAGCGTTTTCCTGCTTCTCTGCACGAGACTAGCAGATGCAGCTCTAACTTATAGGGGTGTAGACTGGTCGTCAGTTGCGGTGGAGGAGAAGGCCGGCATTACTTACAAGACGACGAGCGGCACAGCTCAGTCGCTCGAGAGGATTCTTGTTGACAATGGGGTCAACATCGTACGGCAAAGAATCTGGGTCAATCCATCCGATGGCAACTACAACCTCAACTACAATATAGCTCTTGCCAAGCGCGCAAAGGCCGCCGGACTCTCGGTCTTCCTCGACCTTCACTACTCCGATACCTGGGCAGACCCAGCCCATCAGAAAATCCCGTCAGGATGGCCAAGCGATATTGAGAACCTTTCGTGGAAGGTCTACAATTATACGCTGGATACCATGAACGCGATGCAGAGTAACGGCATTGCGCCGGCTATTGTCTCCATTGGCAACGAGATCACTGCTGGCATGCTCTTTTCCACCGGCAGCACCTCGAACATGTACAATCTAGCCAGGATTCTCAACTCTGCTGCGTATGGAGTCAAGGACAGCAAGCTGTCGACCAAACCCAAGATTATGATTCATCTCGACAATGGCTGGGATTGGGAGACTCAGAAGTGGTGGTACACCAGCGTCCTTGCAGCAGGTCCTCTCAAGAGTTCCGATTTTGATATGATGGGTGTATCCTATTATCCCTTCTAGTACGTAGCCCCCAAGCTGCATTACACTGGAACCAGCTCTTGGCTCCCCCGTCTGCTGCGAGACATGTCTAGCATTATTGTCCGAGCAACGCTAACATTCTCTCTAGTAATTCGGCTGCGACGCTTGCAAGCCTGAAGACCAGCTTGACGAACATGGCAAGCACATGGGGTAAGGAAATTGCCGTCGTGGAAACGAACTGGCCTACCTCTTGTCCTTCGCCAAAATACGCGTTCCCCAGCGACCTGAAGAGCATTCCCTTCTCTGCAGCGGGGCAGACAACCTTCGTTCAGAAGGTAGCAGCAGTTGTCGCCGGAGTGAGCAGAGGCGTCGGTTTGTTCTACTGGGAACCGGCTTGGGTGGATAACTCGTCATTGGGATCCTCTTGCGCCTACAACACGATGTTTCAGTATCCAGGAACAGCCTTGTCGAGCATTGGGGTTTTCAAGACGATATGATAGTACAGGTTCAGCTAACCAGTATGGCAATAATACCAGCTTGAAATCGTTGATATCGAAAGCAGCCATTGTCTCTCGTTTATGACGCTCCTATTGTGCATTCGTTGACCTTTCTTCACTCCGAGTTCCTTTGAAGGGACCATCCAATTGCTGAAACCTGTCTCACAACCGACATAAAGAAAGTGGCGCTCTTCACCGCGGCATTTCGCTGGAATGCCGGCCGCGAGGCTTTTTGCCGCTTGCAAGACAATGAATCCGTCACCTGGACATGAGGGCGGGCGCCATGGGGATTGAACCTAGGGTCTCCTTGGTGCAAGTAATCCTAGAGATGAATTCTCCCGTAGTTTCGACTGATGAGCAAGAGCAAGCGGCAGCGGAGACAAGACGGAAAGGAAAACAACATCGCCAGTTGCACTACTTCGCCAGAGACGATGCCGCGCGTCAGAGACCTTACCGCTGAGACGGGTGTGCTCAACCTGTCAGCGGCGCAAGTCACAGCTGCCCCCAAAATAACGACACCGGCTGTACTACCAGTGAAGCGACCAGCCAACCAGACAGCAGATTTTGTTCTGGGTCCAAATACGTGTGGCTTCACGACAGGGGTGACAAGTAAAAAAACTTGCTTACAAGCACTCTGAGGATGTTGGCTGACTTTTTTCTGGACTAGTTACATGCACCAATCCATCCGACTACTGTGTCAATATAGGAGACTACCGTGGGTGCTGTTCAGGTGGCCCGGACCAGTGTAGCGCTACTATACATACATCATGTCAGGAAGCCGCCACAGGCGCGTGCGGCGGGCAAAACACCCTCTGTTGGTAAGTCAACCCGGGAGTGTTTGACAGGAATCGAAAGACAAGGTTTACATGGCTACGTAGCGCGGGCGCCTTTCCAAGTTGCATGACCCATTACTTTTCGACAGACGCAAGCCCAGGAAGTACGTTCACAAACGTCGCCTGTGGGACAATGGGACTGTTCGGCCAGCTATACCCTTACCCACCAGAATTAGCGCCGACAACTTCGGCGATGCCACATACACACGATGCGAACGCCACTTCTACTCTTTCAAATAACACTGATGGCAAGGCCAGGAGACCCGTGCCAGTGGGTGCCATAGTGGGTGCTATCATTGGCGTTGTTCTACTGGTTATACTAGTTATTATAGCCACTGTTCTCATTGCCCGACGAAAGAGACGTCAGGCAAGGGTCAATAACATGAAGACTACCACGGGCGCAGGAGGTGGAGATGATGGCATCTTACCATCTATGCCTGAAGCCGAGCAACGTCGTCGTCTCCAGCTGTCAACGATCCCCGAACAGGCAAGTCCGATTTCCCCAGCTGTGCCATCGGCAGGGATGTCCCGGTTTAAGTCGACGCGCCGCAGCTACGGACCAGAGTGGCCCATGGGATCCACAGACCCGCTTGAGTCACATCCGGTGCCCACGGACCCGGAGAAGCGGGCCAGCCCGGAACCTATCCGCACGGGGCCGACGGTGCCCACTCTTCAGCTACCAGCGGTGCCAGCGACGCGGGTTACACCCGCGCCACCGCCAACGTCGCCGAGCACTATCCTGGCATCGGAAGAGATCTCGCCCAGTACGCCGCACGCAGCTCCGGTAATGTTGCAGAGCCCTCGGCTGAGCTACCATCCCGTCTCGCCTATCGACGCGGCGTTCAGCGACGAGGTGGAGAAGCGGGTTAGCCGGCTCGACGGAGCAGCGCCGGCGGCGCCAGAGGCGCACTCACAGCCTCCGTCACGCGCCAGGAGCCTCCTGCCAGAAGCGGAGGAGGTCTCGCCAATCGACGAGGATGAGCACGCGGTGGATAACAGGCTCAGCCTTATATCAGTGCCCAGTATGCACGATCGAAGTCCCGCTCTAGATGAGATCGTCAGCCCTGTGTCGCTTGAGGAGGACGACAGTGACTTGGCGCCTCAGGCTCCGGAAGAGAGTGGGACCGTCAGCCCTGTGACGGTAAGTCCCATCGAGAGTCGCAGAAGTAGTACGAAAGACTAGGGAAAGTGGGAAAGTCTGGCCACATGGAACTAGACACGCTAGCTTTTTCGGGCGTCTGGAGTATCATTCGAGTTCGTTTCTATATATTCACTCTGGCTTTTATTGGATGCATTTTACTACTCATACATACGCGCGGGCTACAATGTGGGCTTTTCATTGGAATCTATACGCATTTTCGTGTCACACTCCCAGAACTGCCGTTGGCCGCGTATCACATGCATCGGGCGTGGCTGTTGTTAGCCTGGAGCGTAATTCGTAGCCGCAGGTTTGCTTTTCAGAGACGCGCTGGCACTCAAGAATCACTAACCTCATGAAGACGAGATTCTGTCACACAAGAACAACTCAGACGCTTATAGGTTCGCCCTGTCAATAGCGCACAATTTAGGCGATCAGCCCTCTGTGTGGAGGCTGCCCCATGCAGCGGGAAGAGCGGGAGACCGGGCTTTTGGGTCAGCTTGCTCGTCAGAAACGGAATCGCCCGTGTTCTGAGGCACGGCAGTGTATTAGCGAGCCTATCAACGCCTGTCGACTCGGCTAGTTTTCAGCCGCATCCAATGTCCTACATACCACCTAGTGCTCCTCGGGGCCCAAAGATGAACGAGGCTCTGGAAGCTGCCTTGAAACGTTTCTTTTTCTGTCCTCTTCCTCAGCTCCTACATCAAAATGCCTCGTTGATCAGGCGAGTTCAACTCGTCTTCCAACTTACTTCATTTTCAACTTCACGAGGGTAGTCCTCTATAGCCTTTGCCACTCGGACTGGTCCAGCTTGGTTTGTATATCCATTTTACTTATCCACCAATTATATAAGACAATCCCGGTCGGTGCTACACGTACCCCGGTCAGCAGTCATGGGAGGCGCGGATGACAACTCTGAGCTGTACGTGGCTATCGTAGCACTTATTATAGCTGTCATAGCCTTTGCGACAACAGTCATCCAACTCGCGCAGAGTATCATTGCCACAGCGCGAGGCCTTCCTAACTGCGATGAGCGTGTGATGGGGAAATGGGCCGACCTGAGCTCCCGAAAATTCAAGTGGTGGCAGTTAAGACTTGAAATCGACTTCCAGGCCCCTGTGATCTTCCTCGCGCCCGCTAATAATGTCCGAGGACCTGTCAAGGATGAGCACAACAATGATGCGCCAATATTCTACGCAAATGGAACCGAGGAAAGCTTCGACGCATTCGGAGTTAGTGAATATCAACAAGACGATGCTTTTAACCAGCGAATGGGACGCCAGCGGGTCCACACTGTGAACAACGAACTTGCGACTTGGGTGACACTTCTAAGTGCCATTCAGACGATGGAGAAAAGTTCAAGGTCGTGGGAATTCAAGCGATGGCAAGATAGTTTACAACCTCAACCCACCTTGAAGGAGCAATCAGTTACGCTCGCAGTCGGTCTACAGAAGAAAAAGCGCAGTTTCGATGCGAATCCAACAGTCAAAAAGCCGTACGCCACAACAACCCTCTGTCACCTCGTCGAGTTGACTGCCATACTTGGGCTATACTGGAAGGAGTTCAACAGAGACCAGGACAAGTATCGTGCCGAGGGCAACGGCTACAGCCTACTCGGGACACGGGTGGACGACTTTGGCCTTGTGTTTGTCTTCGAGAAGACTGGATGGGCAACCTTCGAGCAAAACCGAATCATCCCAACCCGCGAGGTCAAAGAGTTGTGTTTCGGCAGCCTCCCTACGTTCTACCGCGAAGTAGACCCTGCATCTGACGAAATGTGGAGCTCCCGTTTAATGGAACAGAGAACAATGTCAACTTTGCGGCTTGGAAGTCGACAAGAAATCGTGGATACTCTAAGTCTCATCGGATGCAATACAAACACAACACTCTATTATCAGAAGGATGGATCAAAGAATACCCACCTGTTTCCGGTCACGTTTGAGATCATGGGCATGCTTGGTCGCACATTACATGTCATGAATCGCCCGTTCCGCTTCCTGCCGAACCCAACCATATTCGCTTGGAACTCGCAGCGATTCAATATGCGAAGAATGCTCAGCGAATTTGAGAAGAGCCTGCGCGCTAACTTGGACGCGTCTTCACGGACTCGGCATGCCATCTCAGAAGATTTGGAAAGAGTCATGGCCATGGCTGCCATGTTACAGCGCAAACTCCCAGAGCAGAACGCCCAGTTTGCGCCGCAGGATCTTAATGAGATCCACGGTGTGATAGACAGTATTACTGGCATGCTGTCTGAGGCAACAAAGGATAAGAAGGTCGTCCTAGATGTCTTGCGTCGTCACATCCAAGAGGTTCTCCTGGCTATCAACACTACAGCCGACCAGACCCAGGCGCTGAACCCGGCCTCACCAATTTCACGTCCTGTGTCCTTCGACGACCTCTTAGAAGTGCCTCCAGAGCGCAGAGAACGTCAATTCATGATGAAATACTTTGGAGAGATCCGACTTAGGGTTATCAGCATTGACTCCGAGCACGATGATCTGCAGGCACAAGTATCCCTTCATATCCACACTAGTAGCCCGCAGCAACAAGAACAGACAGCTCAGGACGATATGAAGGCACAATCTGACCAGAGGCGGGATCAGAAGCAAGCTGCACAGCCTCAACCAGCGACGGACAATAGTCCAAATACCGATACCGCAGCGGCTTCGCCGGACCCGCAGCACCGCGCCCCAGCTCCTTCAGGCTCGCCCCCAATGTCCAACTCATCTCAGTTTCCTTCTGCAGGGCTGTCGCGTCCGGTTCTCCGTGCAGACACTGATACCACTGGATGGGGGATAGGAAGTAGGACCAGTACTAACCAAAGTCACGCCCACCGGAGCGAGACGTGGAACACCACAATGAGCGATCGGTTCGAACCACGTCGAAATGACATATGGTGCGCACTGGTCCTTAGAATGCTTTGTTGGCTCCTCTTGCACGATTTCGACAAGAGGGATGTGCAAGTACCAAAGAGCGAGCTGATGGGCAGTCGGCTGCCTGTGTATATTATGTGATTATGACGAATTTGATGGACTTAATGATAAGGCCAGGCGGAATGATTTCAAGGTGTCGGGAGCATTCCAAAGGGCTGTGTTATTCATTTGGATGAACTTTCTGGGCGAATTCTTCTCATAATGTGACTTTCATAGTCTGTTGTCTGGTGTTTTGCAACGGTCTGTCAACGGACCAAGGATAATGACGGTAGATCTTCTTAAAAAGGAGCCATAACTAGCAGATTCAGCATAATCATAATTGCAAACTTCAAATAACTTGAGGGAGGCTTGAACGTCTTGGTAGAGTAATGTATAGTACGCACTTCTGGAAACACTATGCAACACGTGGGTCTCACGTGACCCGTGAACGTCGCCTCATCTCCAACATCCCGACATACTACGGCGAAGGCATCCTTGAAGTGGCTAACTGTATGTACTCCGGCAGCACACAACTTGAATGCCACTGTAATTGAGACATTGTCTCAATCTCCTCTGGAATCGTCCGTGGGGAACCCCGATCGCAGGCTTGCCGACCATACCAGCGGTCGTGGGACGTCGAAGCATCTGTAATGGGCAAGGCGAGCATCGCCTTCCGCAGCAAACCCATCACCTCGCGATCCCAACAGGCGAAGCCGCCCAAGCGCAGCAGCCCGGGCTGTTTCCGGTTCTTTGACCTGCCCGCCGAGATCCGGGTCCACATCCTCGGCCTGCTGATCCACGACCCGGCCACCAGCCCCCGGGATGTCGTCCGCGTGTTCCTGGCGTGCCAGCGGCTGTTCTCCGAGGCCGCCGCGCTGTTCTACCATGAGGTCGTCCTGGACACGACGCGGTCCGGCGGCAAGCCCGACCACTTCCTGGTCGGCGCGCTGACCCGCGTCAGCCCGCGCCAGCACGTGCGGACCCTGAACGTCCAGTTCTACATCAAGGACCACGCGCACCTCTTCTACGAGCGGTACCGGCCTGCGCTGCGGGACATGGTGGAGCACGGGCGGCTCCGGTGCCTGGATCTCGAGATCCACAGCCGGTTCCCGTCGGCCGACTTCTGGGGCGGCGACCTGGACAAGCACACGCAGGACTTCCGCTTCTTGGTGGGCAGGCGCAAGGACCGCGAGGTGGTCGCGCCGCTCTTCGTGAGCAAGCCGCCCTTCCAGAGCTTCCTCAAGTTCCTCAAGGATGCCAACGTGCCGGAACTGAGGCTGTATGTGGACAGCCTCGACCACCACGCCTTCTGGTGCGCGTTTCACCGGTTGCATGCCTCTGGCCAGGAATGCAATGGCGAGTGGAAAGGCAAGGCAAGGATGTTGAAGGTGAGGTGGAAGGACGTCGTCACGGCATTCCGAGGGGCTCAAGTGATAGGACCTATCTCATATGACGTTCGAGGAGTCGACTATCGCTAGGCTCACTCGCACCACGAACCGGACATCCCGGAAACATTGCAGCTGAGCCGTGAGCCCGAATCATAAGGCAGTGACTCGCCCGCCCAGGTACCTTGTGTAAACTTATGTAAATCACCGCAAAGGCGCCACTCGAAGAACAACATACAGACAACCAAGCCGCCCGGTGAACCATACATTATCACACTACACTACCGGTACCGATCTCTACATATTGACCACTCCATAGCCACTTGATACTGCTTTCAGTAATCTATCCTCATCCATTATTAGAATGGTTCTAACACCACTTTGAGGACCACTGAAGTCATCAGAACAGCCGACCAACAAAATCAACAGCACTAGCCAACGGAAGCGGGGAGACTCTGTGCGCGCCAAAGATGTGCCATTGGAATAACCCACAATATGATGACGGATGCTCCGCCGGCTTGCCCTGGTTCACGCACTGCGGTATGAACACCGCCATGTGCCGGGGTCTCCAGCAGCGTACTGTCGATCATGGAAAGTGTCCGCACCACAACGATATCTTAGTTGATTTACTGAAGAGCGTGAGAGGGAGGAAACCTCTGCGTCAGAGGCGTCACCGCAGATAGTCAATCATCGGGCCTGCTCCGAATTGCAAAATATTCAAGAATCAATCTGTAACCTTCTCAATTACTGCTCCCGTGCCCCCCGTACACTGCTACTTTGACCTGCGACTTGCGTCCCTCCTCACAGTCCTACGAACCAGGACAGACTATGCGCTACAAACCATTCTAGTATGGGATACCGTTTGTCATCAACTGGAACTGGTCATACACTGCCGTCGAGTAGTTGTTGGCGCTCTTCTTGATGAGGTCGCGCACAAAGAGGGCGGCTTCCCTCTCGTTGCGGTCAAGAACAAAGCGCTCCTTGAAGTGCTTCACGCTCTCGGGCTTGAAGCATGGTAGGCCCGAGTCCATCATCAACAGAACGATCTGGCTCAGTTTCTCTGCGTAGGGACGGGCAGCTAAGAAGGCCTTAACGCAGAGTTCCTCGAACCACTGGAAGGCCTGGTGGTCCGTCGAACCGCCCATGACGGCAAGCATCTCGCTCGTCAGTTTGAACGGTGCGCGTTCGAACTTAACGCCTCCAGGCGCAATATCGAAGCAGAAGCCGAAATCAATGTGCAGGATGTGTCCCGCATCATCGATCATGATATTGCCGTTGTGTCGGTCTTTGAATTGAAGCAGGAAAGAGACAATCGAGTAGGCTGCCATACTCTTGACGAAGTTTTTGCGCGCCTGCTGGAAGCGCAGTGAATCCTCGTTGCCGTACTTGCTGATGAAGTACTCGTAGAGACCGTTGACAGCTTCGCGACCCAGCATGTCACGGGATATGGAGTTTGGCAGCACGTCAATGACACCGCATCCCGGGGCAGTGGCGGTGACACGGTAGGGGAAGACGAAGACGTCGAGCCCGACGTTTTGCCAGATGCCACGGAAAGCGGCAACCATTTGCAGAGCGAGCACATCCTGTCGGCAGTCGTCTCCAACCTTGAAAATAGCAGATTGCCATGTCTCGATGGTATTATCGATGTGGTGTTGGCCATTCTGCCCAGTTGACTGGACAACTTCCTCTACCTCTTCAACAGCATCTATCTTCGGCTTTTTGATGCGGAAAGTTGCCATGTATGGAGCTTTAGCGTGGGATTGCAAAGGTTTACCGGACTTGCGATCAATGCCAATGACGACACCATCTGGGTTACTGGGAAGGTAGACGCCAACTTCAACTTTGATCTTGCGGAGTTCCTCTTCGATCTTCTGTTTCTTCTCTGGTTTGGGTCGCTTGATGAGTGGCTTGAGCTTTCCGGATATGCCCGTGACCTCATCAAAGAAGGCGAATTCCTTCTCGTAGAAGCTCTTGTCCTCTGCAGAGAAACTGTCGATCATCTTGTTGCTGACCTTGTCAACGGCAGGTTTGATATCGTCGGGCTGGGCCTCGTTAGCTTAGGTACCTGGAGGCGATATGGTTTGACTCACTATCTGGGCATCATCATCCTTGTACGAGTTCGCCTTCATATTCCAAATGATTTGATGGGCAAACAGCTGGGAAAACTGGGCTGTTTCGAGGATATAACGCTCGACATATCCCAAGGCATCATAACGCAAACTTTGGACGATCTGAGGCACGTAGAAGAATGTCACATCCACGGGATGATCTTCCAATGCTCTCATGGCGTACTGTAGCATAAACGGGTGGTTCCGATACACAGGCAAGAAATAGGTCACTGCTGTCACGGGATTGACGGGTGCCCAGTAGAGCAAGTACTGGTAATTTTAGCAGACTGGATCGGTCATGATCTTCGGGGAACTTACTTTGAGTTGCCCTCGCACATCCGCGGGCAGTTCTTCTCCCAGAAGAATCGGAAGCGCCTCTGGATCATGCACGGCCTTGGCAGTGAAATTCAACAACAGCCAGCGCACTTCATTGTGCACGCTTGGGAACGAGAACCTGCTAGCCAGTTCTATGGCTAATGAAGGGCTTTCTGCCCATGCTACGCGAATGAGTGGATGAAGTGCAATCTACTTCCGTCAGCTGAGGTAGCGAATACTTCCCCGGAAAACTTACCTCGAGTGTCTTCTGACCATGGTGCGTCATCATATCAGCCTTGTGGCCGGCATCGCCAAGTGGGTGAACCCAAACATTCATCCTGGCCTGTTCGCTTTCGAGCAGAATTTGTAGCAGCTGCTCCTTCTGATTCAGGCCTTTGTACGAGCCGACGGCGTGTGCCGCAATATAGCCAATGGCTTTGAGAGCAGCCATCACGTCGGTAACAAGTCGCACCTCAGTTTTCAACTGAAGAATGTTACTTCCAAATGACCATTTAGGCGCAAATTGGAACCAATTCAGCCCAGCGGACAAGATCTTGTCCTTGAGCCGCCACTGCGTGAGTGTTCCCACCCCATCGCTTGCTTTGAGAACCCTCAAACTGAAGAGAATGATCCGAAGACGGAGCTCTCTGGCCATGGGGTGCGAGATGGACTTCTTCATGGCATTGAGTGTTACATCTAGTAGCCGGAGGAAGATTCGCTGAGTATCGGGACTCCCCAGTCGGGTCGCATTAAAGTGACTGCTGAAGAACTGGACCAAATGAGTGTGGGGAGCCAGCAAATTATGCACAACCTGTCGGCGTTTGATGAGACCAGCATTGTCACTGGGAGCAAATTCTTCTTTCACGAAGAAAGGATCAGGGTGCCTATACAGTTAGTATGTCGCAAAGATGGAAAAGTACAGTGGACTCACATCAAAGCAGGGTTGAAAAGACCGAGGCGTTTCTGAATCGCAAATTCCCATTGCTGGGCGATTTCAGCCAGGAGCCGGGACTCCATCCTGGGATTCTCGTTCATGACTCCGAGCCAAAGAGAGACACCAAGCTTGATGGACTCCTTAGTAAACATGGCGAAGGGAATGCTGACCAAGTAGTGCGTGACGGCGCTCTCGTCTTTATTAGTGCGGCACAGTAACGCGGCTGCCCGTCGCAATATCTCCCGAACATCCTTCAGAGTGGTTGCCTTCTTCATGTTCAGGCGCGATTCAATGTGTGCCAACGCGTTCACGGCATTAGCGGTTTCGTTGGGAGGGGACTTGATGAAAGATGCTCTTCGACCCATCGGCATTACGTTGACAAGATCGGTGCCGTGGTCAGGCAGAGTCTCGCCATACCTGTATTCTTGCCTCGTCGTATACTGCGCAATGAAGTCAGAGGTTGTATTAATAGTCGTCTCGCCGACGGGGTCCAGAGATGCCAATCGTTGATCAGTAGACGGTATTGAAGACCCAACCTCCATGGCGAAGGATCGACCAAGCGACATGTGCCCATAAGCACCCTCGTCGTCAAATTCGGACAAGTACGTCTGTAGGAGACCCTTGACGTCTGCAGGTGCAAGGTTGATGGTCGCGGGAATCCAAACCTTGGCCCTTTTATACAGCTGGTTTAAAGTGAACTTACGGAAGCCGTAGTTATCAGACAACTCGATAGTCACGTTTCCACGAGTGGACTTGAAGACGGAACGCGGCTCGTACAACTCTGTCTCGGCTTCCAGGCAGCTTGTCCACATAAGAGAAAGGAGCTCGAGGAGGGCAAATAGCGACGATCTCTGGCAAAGCGCGGATGGGACTTCACGGATGATTTTATCGGCACAGGAGAAAGCAGCTTGCTGAACCCTCTGGATGCGGTGACAACAACCGCAGAGAATGGTTGCCAATTGCGAGGCGGCATACTGGGCCGAGAAAGTCGGCTGCTTGCCTTCCAAAGTCTTGGACAGATACTTTTCCATGATGACGCTGGTGATTCCTTCCATCACGCTGCTGACTTCAGGCTTATGCATACTGGGTTCCAAAAAGTACGACAAGGCCTTGGTGCAATCTCCAGAGTCAGCGCGTAAGCTCTCCACCAGATAGGCAGCCTGAAGGAAGATGACTTTTCTATAGCTCAATCCCCTGATCTCGGCTGCTTTGGCGGGGATGAGCTCTGCGAGTTGCTTCTTCTGCTTGGATTCTCGCTCCGAGGTGTTGGCTCTCCGAAGGACCGTGTTCAGCTCGATATCGCTCTCATTTTGCTCGCCGCGCTGCTCTGCAACCAGTGGTGGTGAGTGTATTGCCATGATACGGAGCTCGTTGATGTATTTCTTTCCCCTCTCTGTTGACGGAGTGAAGCCATGGACCACAATGTTGAACCAGGCATCGCGAACCAGTGCGTGACTATCGTCGTCGGTCGCTGTAAAAGCGGCGAACTCCTTGGTCGACATCAGAATTGACAGAGGCTGAAGGAGCTGAGCAATTTCCCTCGCCGCGAATTCGACGTCGGACTCCTTGGCATCTTTGGACTGATGAACGTCTCCTTTTGAGATCAACTCCTCCAGGATATATTCTAGATAGATGTCAAAAAGCGGAGTTCCTCGCTTCACATTGGAGGAGATATGATTCCGAGCCTTGGTAATCTGGTAACAATTAGCGGACGGTTTCCCGGGGTCTGCCAAGCAAAACTTACCGCGCCAAGCAGAACAGCATTATCGTCTGTCAACGCACTGTGGCATATACGAGAGTATAGCCTCAGTAGCGAGCGGAATTCAAGTTGGCCGCCAGCCAGCGACAAGGCAGCCGCTCCAGTAATGATTTGAGCATCTACCGCGTGATTCACCTTGTTCAGCTTCTGGAGAAGCATAGCCTGCGCAAGCGCGGTTATCTTCTCGTCGTTGGATGTCTTGGCAATGCCACTGATCGCCTGCACGATGTTTGAGTACACTACCGATGTCTCCTCTTCGCCCTGCAAAGCCAGCGAGATTGAACTGCCATTAGACTGCCGCCCCTGGTATATGCCGTTGGTACCGGCCCCATCCGCTCCAAGCTCAGGGTTCGATCCATTGGGGATGCTCTGCTCGGTTGCTGGGCTCAGGACATTCCCAAGGGTGTAGAGCGTGGTGATGACCGCGTCATGCGATAGTAGCTGCAGGATAAATGCCAGGCACTTTGAGGCTACGACAATGATTTCGCCGCGTGGTGCGGCCTGGACGATGAAGCGAGGCAAGAGACGGCTAACTTTTGGAGCATAGCTTGGGACAAGTCTGCAGAGGATAGCCATGGATCGGAGGACTGTCGATGCCAGTGTTTCGTCCTGCATCTGAACAGGATCGAGCAACGATTCCTCGAGCCAGCCCATGATGACCTCGGGGTCTGCAGCATCTTCGTTGAGCATCGTGCAGTTCAAAAGACTGACCAAGGCCGAGGCCTTCACAGAAAAGGCCAAGCTCTGCTGGCTGGCAGAGCCCATCTGGATGAAGTCGGCGCCCTCGTCCAAGCGGTCCATCTCGTCTCGCGCAATGCTCGCGTACATCTCGATGGAGCGAAAATCGGCATCGGGACTATGGGGTAATCCCGCCCTGAGTAGACTTGGGTTTGCCAACAGCAATTCCAGAATGTGGGTATTTCTGAGTATCTTGGCGTCGGCAATCAGAAGTGAGGTTGATGATACCAATAGATACATGAAGCTGCGCTGCAGCAAGTCCGCACCCAGGGGTCTTCCGTGCGCGGTGTAGTGCTTCAGATATCTCTTCCACTCTTTGGCAGTGCGGTCTGAGGCGTGAGCATTACGAATACTTGAGAAGGCACCCTCGACTGCGGTCAGAAAAGGCTCGGACAGTAGGTTGCGCACCCGCTGGATCAGAGCCAGTCTCCCGCCGGTCCTCCAGAAGTCGGCCTGGGCAGCGGCTGCATCCAGGAAGCCCAGAAGGGCGATGGCGATGGTTGCAGTTCGAATAGCATCCTCTAGGCTCTGGTCGACACCCTCCTGGGCCTCGGAGGGGACGGTGCTCTGAACGGCAGTCTTGACGGCAGCAAGGAACGCCCACATGTTGTCGGAAACGACCTCGTGCAGCCCGTCATACTTGCTGCCCAGCGAGAGTAGGGCGGCCGTCAGGTGCAGGGTCAAGGCCTCGATAGGGGATGGGTCAACCTTGCGAAAGAAGGGCGACGGCTGGAAGGTCTGCGAATGGGCCTCGAGCATGTAGGGGATCAGCTGGGTGGTGAGCTTCTGGGCACTCTGGCTGCTCTGGACGGCGGGCGCGGCCTTGCAAAGGGCCAGCAGCACCTCGAATTCACGGATGGTCTGCAGGTGTAAGTCAGGAATAGGGGTCCTATAACGATTTGGCTGGGTGGATGCGGCGCTGCACATACCATGGGCACCTTGGCCAGCGAGTAGCCGCGGGCTGAGCCATTGGCGCCATCTCTGCTCTTGCCATTGCCGTGAGCGGTCGCCTTACAGAGGCGGTCGAGGTCGGATCGGTCGAAGGCGGTGATGGAGCTCGTCGCGGATAATGCGGCGATCTTCTGGAGGGCGCGCTGGCGGATGTCGCGAGCCATGGTGCAGCGCAGACGAGCGAGTCTGCTAGGGCAGACCGAACAATAAGACTGGGCCAATAACACCTGGTCGCGGTGGTTATGCAAGTCTCAGCTGCAGAAGACAGAAGTTGGCGATGTTTCGCTCGCGAAGGTTGGCTGTTGCGACTCCAAGCCAATAGACGACAGCTGCTAATGACGATGCGCAGTGGCTTCCCAGTTCCTTGTTCCCCCTGGGCACACAGTGCGCTACAGTTAACCCCGGGCTCGGCATTCACTGTCCAGTCCAAGCTCCAGAGGGCCAATCTCACCTCCACGCCGTATCTGGCCTAGTCAACGCGCGAACCTGTGCCAAAGGAGGCCAAGGCACAGATACCTGGGCTTGCTGAGGTAGCTCCTAAGGCGCCCCCAGCAGACCCCTGTCAGCCGCTACCCAGCTCCAGCTTTAGTGGGCTCTCTGGGCCTCCGTGGGCTCTCAGCCTGCGACAAGGCTGCAAGCTTGACGCGTAGTTTGGCTGTCCCGAATTGCCCAGCGCCCGCAAGCTACCACAGTCCACCAGGCTACCTGCGCATTAGCTCACGAGGCAAGCTACCAACCGACCTCAGGCCATCAATCAACCACATCCGCCAGCTCAACCGCCATCACCCACCCACCGTTCATCGCCATCTACAGCCCGCGGCGCCGCCTTTGCGACCCCTCCAGCAGACCAGTCTCCCGCCTCGTCGACCCTTCGCCATGGCTATGTTCAGCCAGAACCCCGTCCTGAACGGGCCCAACTACTCGTTCGCCGATGTCCCCGTCCAAGACCACGTCGATGGCTTCAGAGAACACCGCTTCAACCCGTAAGCCCATTCGATCCTCCAAGCGATAGTCTCCCTCACTGCTTGACTACTGACAAATCTCTCGCCAGATACACCGACAACGGCGGTTCGACGCTCGCCATTGCTGGCAAAGACTTCGCCATCATGGCCGGCGACACCCGTCTGACCGCCGGCTACAGCATCAACACCCGCTTCTCTCCCAAGGTCTTCAAGATTGGCGGCTCTACATCGACGCAGGACGACGCAAACATCCTGCTCTCCGTCGTCGGGTTCGCCGCCGATGGCGAGGCTCTCAAGGAGCGCCTCGACTCTATCTGCAAGATGTACCGCTACCGCCACAACAAGCCCATGTCCGTCTCGGCCTGCGCCAAGCGCCTGAGCACCATCATGTACCAGCGCCGCTTCTTCCCCTACTACGTCTATGCCATCCTCGGCGGCCTGGATGAGGACGGCGCCGGCGCCGTCTACAGTTACGATCCCGTTGGCAGCTACGAGCGGGAACAGTGCCGCGCCGGTGGTGCCGCGGCCAGCTTGATCATGCCCTTCCTGGACAACCAGGTCAACTTCAAGAATCAGTACATCCCCGGCAGTGGAGTCGGCCACGCCCTACAGGAGCGCGAGCGCCAACCCTTGCCCCGCGACGAGGTCGAGGTCTTGGTAAAGGATGCCTTCGACTCGGCAGTGGAGAGACACATCGAGGTGGGAGATGGTCTGCAGATGATGATTATCACGCAAAACGGTATCGAGGAGAAGATCTTGCCGCTGAAGAAGGATTAAGCCGGGCTTGCATCGGGGAAACGCGGTAGACTTGTACTTGTACAATATGGTAGAGCGGCGTATGCTTCACGAACCCCTGCTGAATATCACAGCATTTTGACCATTTGTATCGATCTGACTGGGGCGAACTTTTGACCATTACGAAACTGTCGCAGGTTCAGCTGTCTGCTGCCCTCTCCGGGTCTTCGTAGCGTGGTGGCCATTAGGACGAAATAGGGTATCACGTTGCTTGCTCATCTTTCAGGACATCCAGTTCTACTGAACCGCTCGTAGTGGTCCGCATCTCTTTCAGCCGTCCGTACCCGCCATTTGTCCACCTCTCTGAAGATACAACTGCCACTTTTGTCCCAATCTGCCTTGAGTCCAGCCATGAATGCGTTCTGACGAATAATTCAGGCTGCAGACTTGTGTGAGTCCATCACAAACTGTGCATCAAATATCTCGGTCTAGAAGGATCCTCAAGCGTGCTACTTCGAGGAATGTGGTTACAATGCATTTCCTGGTGTTGGTGACTAAATCCCACAGAAGGTATTTCGTACATACGCTCACTCCGATAGCAAAACAGCTACAATGATCATGACGACGGCACTGGAAACAATGATTGAGTTTAAGTGCGATGTTTATGAAGTATTACATATGTTCATGTCCTCAAGGCGAAGATCCGGCGTATTTCAAATCAAGATGCCAGGGAAACGGGACGTGATTGGTCGTGCCAGCTGGTTTGAGACCAAGCCGCGCTTGGTGTTCAGTACGCCAGCTGACGGCAGCTGCCGCTCTTCAAAGATAACCCCGATTATTCCAGACTATTCTAGACGCATCGTGAGTAATCCGCCAGTTGCTCGTAACATCGCCATTGTTCTCGCCGCCGTTCCAGGCAACGGTTAATGTCAGCAAAGATGGCGCGTTCTCAAAGATTCCTGAAGCCTGGGGAAGGCACGAGGTCTTTTTACTATGCCTATAAAGTGACGGTCTTGCACGTTGATAGATAGCTCTTTTCATCATTCAGAACACATCAAACAGAACACTCCAGTCTATATACGCAACTGTGCAAACAACAACCAGTCTCTCTCTCACTACCAACGCTTCCACGCAAGACCATTTTACTCATTTCATCTCCCTCATCTCCGTCAAAAACCCTTAAGATGGCCTCATTCTTCCGCCCTCACTACCACACCGCGCCTCAGCCCAACTTCCAGGGTCTGTTCCGCCTGATCGATGACTTTGACAAGTACTCATCAGAGGGCCCGAGCCACTCGCGCCAGGGCCGCAGCAGCTGCGTCAGCTCCTTCACCCCGAAGTTCGACATGAGAGAGTCGGAAACCGCCTACGAGCTGTACGGCGAGCTTCCCGGCATCGCCAAGGAAGACATTCACATCGAGTTCACCGAGCCTCAGACCCTGCAAGTCCGCGGCCGCATTGAGCGCACCCATACTGCCGGCACGCCGCCGGCCGGCCTCGTTGATGGCAAGGCCGATGAGATGAGCGGCGCCATCACCGACAGCGGCGAGGAGGCCGTTCTGGTCGACCACGCCGAGACGGCTTCGGTCAAGTCCCACCAGGCAACCGTCGAGGATGATCCCGAGGAGACGTCAGCAGCAGGATCCACCGCCAGCACTCCCCAGGACACACCCGCCACCACTGTCGCCGAGACGGTCAAGGCCGATGAGCCGAAGCAGCAGCGCAGATCCGAGGCTCTGAAGCACAAGTACTATCTGGTCGAGCGCAACCTCGGCCAGTTCTCACGGTCATTTGCCTTCCCCAGCCGCGTCGACAATGATTCCGTCCAGGCCTCGCTCGACAATGGCATCCTGACCATCGTTGTTCAGAAGGCCAAGAAGCACCAGAGCCGCCGCATCGCCATCAACTAAGCCATCCACAATCATCATGCCCGTCGCGTCTGGCTTCGGAGCGTGAATGCTTCGCGCCACATCGCCCACGGTTATTTCTTCACGGCATGAACACAGGAGTTTATTGGCATTTGCATGACGATGGTTTACTGGTTTTGCTGCATGGTTTGGCGTCTTGACAATGCTTTGTTGACGGGTTTTACTTCTTGATATTCAGCGGTAGTTCCATCATAGAACTCTCGTCCTCCGACTGTACAATAGTTAGACCAGACTAATAAAGTGCTCTGAGAAACTAAAATTTGCCTTCCTCATATTAAATGTGACATGCAAAAGACTTGTGTGAAAGTATTCGATGCTTGCCAACTTCCTGTTCTGGAATCGCCCTAATTAACTAAACACCATGACTGATCTACACTGTTACACACCCATCACTAATGCCCATGAGAGATACCTGCCACTTTTGCGCGAGAAATTTCAGTTGCAACTCTACTACAAACCCGTTAGAGCAGTACATGAAAGCCATTATCTACCGTGCCAGCATGTTCCACATATGTTCATAGCAATAATCGTGTCTAGCTACGGTCACATGAGGACTAAAGAAACGGGCACTTCCGAGAAACGCTTCTCAACCACGAAATCTAACATTCACACCACCTCTGCTTCTCAAGTATTAGGAGGGCGGGAGTTAGTAACAAGAGTGTTTCCTTGTGATTTTTCTAAAGCATAAGTCCGCGAAGTTATCGGGCATAGAACACCCAAGGTCCATACGTTCCGGTTTTGTAGGCCATCTGTGAGATGACTAGGTGTCTAGCCGGTTACATGCTGTCGTCTTCGTGGTTCACATAAAGGCTAGACTAACGACCCAGCACGAGCAACTGCGGCCGCTCATCAGGTACTCAGCGTAGGTATTATGCGTGAATGATAAATAATGATGACCAATGCCGGTCTTTGCCACTTCGCGATACCAGATGCAACTGGCTGCCATCCATCGCCCACGGAAGGTTCAACCTGCCGCGCCTCGCTATACCCAATTGTGGCGGTGCATTTGCCGATCACCCGAGATTGAGCCGAGCGTCCCGCTGCAGCCTCAGTGGCCTGGACGGACTCCCGGCTTGGCGCTTTTAGGGGTCACGATGACGTCAGGCCCCAGCGAACTGGCCCGCAGCTGTTGAATCAGAATGCCAGATCTTGGACCCTGGAATCGGGGAGCCGGGGGCGCAAAAAATCTTATTATCAGAACGGGATGGTTATTTTCAGATATGCCACTACAACAGTCGAACATGGATGACGTGGGGCTGCGTTCCCACCGTGGCACCATGGAGAGGATGTCGGGCGACTGGAAAAAGCAAGAGGTGCCAACATGACGTCGTGGCGTTGAATGGTGGAGATAGAGTCAAGTCACAAGAGCACTTGGTCCACATGAAGGAACGGTACCATCGTACGATTCATCCTGATAGAAGCAAATCCTTTGGCAGCCCATGGGCAGAGGGGGGGCGCACATCATGTGTGTGCGCAGCCGGCGTCAATGATGAAAGTGCACCGCAGCCATGACGACGTTCGAGTTAACTGCTTTGAATTACGCGCATCAACGCGGCTTGTGACTATAGCGTGTAGAATCCTTGCCCCCATGCGACGCCCGACGTGTGTATATTCCGCTCCGATGATGGTAATTAGAGGTGCCGATGTCCAGCACGGCAATCGAGACTCGTTCGGGGAGATAGTAGTGATGACAACGCCTTTTGCTCCATCGCATGCGCGTTGCGCCCGTATGCCCAATGTCGCCCCAACGCTCACTGCGGAGGCAGGTATGGTGCTCGCATGGCGGGCGGCGGAGGGTAGCCAGCCACCATCGGCATCCCCTGGCGCATCCCCATGGACAGAGGCGCTGGACTTTGTACCCTGTTGAAGAGCCCAATAAGTCTTCGTCCGACAGAAGGCTCCAGCTCCGTTCCGTCGCGGGCAATTTTGACTTCTCTGTTGGAGTTCCACGGGTTCCGCAGACCCCTGGTGCGGTAGAACGGCAACCTGGTTGTGGACAGCCACTCCAGCTTGAACGGTTTACCCCAAGACTTGGGCGCCCCTTCTCCCTCTTGCTCGCTGCGTGCACTGGCATTATCTTCGGAATCGTCTTCGTTTGGTGCTTCGTTTTCGTCGCGCTCGACCTCCCAGAATATAGTCCCCCGTGCTGAGTCATCTATAATGTTGCCGCGCGGGCAGCTGTCCGTAGCCTCGGTGGGGATGGCTTTTGGCAAATCTAGATCGTTTGTGGCTTGTGCTTTCGGCGCAAATTCAATCGCAGCTGCGGGATCGTCATTTATAGGCGACACCATCCTTGCATAGCCAAAGTACTCGCCAGATTTGTTCGCGGAGAAGACCAGGTACACATTATCGGCTGCCTGTTGCAAACTTTGTAAGAACATGGAGTAGAGAACGCGTAGGAACAACGGGATCTTACTTTAAAGGCATTGTTCAGTACCTCCTCGTTGTGCGACTGAGTGGCCCATACACCATTCCGGATGCTTAATTCCAAGTCTTCCACTGTCAAACTCTTGAGAACAAAGAATTTGTCCTTTTGCTGGACCTCTTCTGCCTGGGCGACTACACCTGGCTGTGGCTGAACCTCTTGACTGGGCTTGGGCTCGTCGGCCGGCGTCGCTGTCGATGCTTGGGGAGTAATCGAGGGTTCGACGATCGGCGCACTTGGTGCGCCCGGTGAACCAGCCGAGGGTCCAGTCGGGGCTGTCTGACCTGATGTACCTTCAACGGTGCTTTTGCGCAAGCGGCTGACTAATCGAACGGATTGGAATTTGGAGTCGTGGAGCTTCTGCTGCGCCCGAATGCAGGTCTGCTCATCCTTGAAATTTGCAAAGGCACAGTTGCTTTTCGATATAAGGAACAAGGATTGGAGACCTGGAGCTTCGCTGCAAACGTGATACACCAGGCTCATGAGATCGGTTTGCGGCGGGAGATTTCCAATCCAGATGGCGTGACCTTGAGACAGGTTCAGCAAATGCTTAACTCGACGGGTATGGTGACGTTTGTATATGCCAACTTACCGCTTTGGCGAGGTTTTCGCGGAGGCCCACGGACAACGTTGGAACTGGCTCGGGTGTCTATAGTCGCTTTGGGACAAAACGCGTTAGCATGCTCCATCCCATCCAGCGCGTCCCCGTCGGAAGAAAGTAGACTTACTATCGGAAGCGGCATACGCCCCTGCCCCGGCTTGCTCCTGACTTCCTCCAGCGGATTGCCCTCGAGAATCGATTGGCAGATAATGGCTCTGCATCATCTGCCCATGCATTGGAGAAACATGTGTCGAGAACTGACTCGGATGGGGGTAATAGTAACCGGTAGGTACCTGCTGTTGTGCTTGGTTCATCATGATCTGATTAGGGTAGTAGTTCATGTGCTGCCGGGGAGACATGTTGGACTGCTGGTGGGAGTGTGGTAAGTGATTGCTGTAATAAGGCGTCATGTGAGCATGCTGAGGCACGTAGTACTGCTGCCCAGCCAGGTGATTCATGTTGGATTGTCCGCCATAAGATGCAGCGATTTGCGGCGCGACGCTGGGTGATGGACCCCCATTATGATAACGACCTTGACCATTATTATTGCTGCTGTTGGGACTAGGTCGAAACCCATGCTGTGGCAGCGCCTGTGCCATCGCGCCCATGTTATACGGTCCTTGGGCGCCCCCGCGACCACCGCCCTGAGGTTGTGTCATATCGAACTGTGCTGAAAACGCATGCTGCGGAGAGTCGAGTTGGTGCTGGTACTGAGACTGATAGGCCAAAGGATGAGGACTGGTTGTTTGAACATGACTCGACTGACCATCCACGGCGCCAGGTCCGTGACTTTTCAGAGTCTCTGAGACAGTGTGGTCTTCTGGTGGACCAGAAGGCGGCGGTACATCTCCCATTTGGCTGTTTACCAACACAGCGGTTCGTGTTAATTTACTGAGGGAGAGTAACCCTATGATGAGAGGGACAGCCTAGGAAATGGGAAGGACAATTCTGAGATATAGAATCGTGGATGGTGCTAACCATTAACCCTGGAAAGCGGTGTGGCGTAAAAGAAAGGCTGAGCTGGGCAAGGAACAGACAGCTCTTGGGGACGAGAACCGGCTAGGAGCAATGCCGGCAGCCTCACCGGGGGCTATTCGACGTGCTGACCAATGTAATACCCTGGAAGATGCTATCCAGGCCCCGGGATCCAGAGTCTGCCGAATCGCAACAGTAGATTTCCACCCCGGAGTCCGACGTCTTGTGGGAGGCCGCTGAACCACGAACGGTAGTTGCAAGGAAAAAAAAGACAGAATAAGAAAATCCGAGTTAACTGTGAAGCAAGTGACGAGATAGGAAGTCCAAGGCGGGAGGCAAAACTTGAGCAGTGAATAAACGCCGGGCGACCAAGTAGGATAAGTGTGGCTAAGTATGGTGAGGCATGTGCAGGCCCGACTATCTTTTCCTTTTACTGAAGCTAGCTACGTACCCGGCCGTCTCTGAATATGGGATGACAAGAACCCTCCAGTATGGATGATACCTAAAAGCCCTTGTAAGGTACGCAGCGAGTCGCGACCGTGCGGATACTAGCCCGTAGGGCTCCATTGCAGTACTTGGCCGGCCAGCTTGCTGGGGGTGAAAGGGTCCCCCCCAACCCCATCGCTGATCTTATTGTGGACAGCACAGCAGAATTGAGACCCCTGCTTTGGCCTAGCTCAAACCAATGGACATGGAGAAAGCTCAAGGTGGTCTAGTTGTCGGTTCCGTCCAACGATGAACGAGGATGGGGAATGTCCCTAGCACATATTACTTGACCCGCCCTATTGCATTGGCTTGCCACCAGGCTCCGGGGTCTCACGAGCTGCACTCGCAGCGTTTGACAGCCCGGACACCCAGCGGCATACTCAGCCACAGACGTTCTAGGCCGACCGGAATGTTGTGTCCATACAGGGCTCAGGAACCTGGGAGCATGCAGATAGACCAGCCGACTACAAGTGCGGCAGATTGTCCGGACCACTCGCTGACAGGCCTGGGATGCCAACATGTCGACCGGACGGAGAGATGGCACCTAGCTGTCTAGCTAAAGCGTTATCATGATGATGTCTCGACTAGAAGTCGGCCCAAGCTCCGGACTGGCAGTTTGGCTGAGGTGGTGCCGGCACTTGCCGCAGGTCATGTTGATGGGAGGGAATGGGATGTCCTTGTATGCCATGTCCAGGGTCTGGTTTAAGACCGGCCTAGCCCCAGGGTAATAGTTCGTTGGAGTGCGGGATCATGGATACGCGGCTTTCGCGAGCGGTCCCTGGAAATTTGAAGCTCGGGAAATGCCAAAACAGGAGGCCTACGGGTTTCCTCTTGGTCTCAGGGAAAAGGGAAGAGACCGTAGAAGCGATCCGACGTCTAGAAGCTCTGCATGTGAGAGCAGACTCGGAGCAGAAACCGATTCCCGACACAGAGGGTATGTACAGCAGATGCTGCATGTGCATGGTCAGGGCACCCGTTCAGATTGATCAGAGTGGATATAACCGGACAATATTAGAGATCGACAAAAAATATGGCGATTTCCTTCCGCAGAATCGCAGATGCGGCCCCCCGAGCGCTGGGTGAGGAATGATGTCGTCAATGATCCAGTGAGGTAGGAAATCCGGTCGACGGCCAGAGAAGCGCGCCCCACCCGCCGAACCACTTACCCAGCTCGACTACACATTCGCCGACTAGACTCCTTAGGGTACCTAATTCCATGTAGGCCAGGCCTGGGCAACGAGGGTCGTTTTGTACAGCGCATTTGCTGTGCAGGCCGAGCGAAGAGACGCCCTGCGTGTGGGAAACGCTATCTTGGGGGCTGTCGACGTAACCTTGCTCCAGATTGCCAGAGGCTGGACGACCCCCGGACGATTCGAAAATAGAGCATCCCAGCATGTGTCGGTACCTAGAGCAAAAAACGTCCTGGTCTGACGTTGGTCTCAACCCATGACGAAATTGGACGTTGCGGGCGCCTAATGCGGTACAGATCGGCGGCGCAAGGGTCGCTGAATGGGGAATTCGGCCATGGGGGAAATTCGTTAAGATGCGAAATCTACAAATTCCATGCTCCATCCAACAAAGCCGCTCGACAGGCGGCTGTTGCGTCATTTGTGGAGACCGTCGGGGGCCATAGTACCATAGTAGTTTGAGCAGCTTCCACCTGCTCGGCGCGATTATTCACAAACGGACCACTTGGCGAGAGTCGCATTGGATCCGTACAGCAGGCAGGCTAATGTGTGAGTTAGGTATCCGGCATTGCATGCACCGCCGGTCGCCGGCAGCCCGACGGTGAGATCGCACTAAACGGCCACAGAAAACCTGCGACGTGCGCATTCGTATTCAGTGTCTATAGGCACCTTGGCCTTGGTTTGGTTTCGCCGCTCAGGGTCGCCAACTACCTAACAAGGTGCAACGGTTGTTTACAACACCTAAGCTTGGCACGGCTTGTTGGCTGAGCATCGTCTGTCCGTCTATTCTTGGAAGGAATCTGGTATCGGGCACTGGGACCGTGGAGTCAAGCCACATGTAAATTGGACGCGAGCGTCTGCCGACTGCAGTGATCGTCGCTCTGAACAACCATCTACCAATTGACCCCTGTGATTGGCTTGCCACTTGACCTCTGCCCCCCGTGCTGCTGCTCGCTAAAAGACACGCTAAATACATGACGAGCCATCCACTCGATGCTTCATCCTCCCTTCAGCTGGCCCGCTGGGTATCAGCGCTCGCTCGCCTCAATACCCCGGCTTGTCTGGAGCTTCAGCGCCCTCCATCGCAAGTGCCCTTTGACTAGCCCGTGCCTTAGCTAGATGTCGGCCGCCAAAGAGTCATGGTTTCGGGAGCTTTGGTCCGCGTCTCTGCGCGGAATAATCCAGGAGGAAATGGTCTAAACCCTATTTCAGCACCGGGCCCGCCCGCAAGGAATGGCGAAAATGGGAAACGGCAGAACGGTCTCGGTCAATCATGGCCCTCTCTTGTCTGTACAACGCAGTCCTCGAGTCCAGCGCAAAACCAAAGCGCCACTCTTACAGAATCCACGGCCTCAAGCGGGGATCCGTTGTGTCGGGGCCGTGATCGACCTCGACTCTGCTCAGCCTCAATCAACCGCCGTATCTGCCGATGCCGCTTACCCAAAACATCACCCACACGTGTAGCTTGGCGTTGCAAGCTCTTTTCTCGCCACCATGGCCCTTTTTTTTTTTCTTTCCTTGGAGAAACCCAAACTTTGCCATACAAAGGTACTGCGGTAGCAGTCGAGTGCCGCGCGATACATGAAAAGCGGCTCTCGTGCATAGAACAACCTGGATCACACCAACGGCGTCGCCGAGTCCTTGTTCTTGGGAATCAAATAGCTGCCAAGCAAGTAATGTGCTTGATCTTAGTAGAGGCCTCCATATTTTGCGGAATGCCTGCGGCTGGAATAGTCTCCTAGCCATATGGCCTTGGGCCTCTACGGGTAATACAGACGTTGCCGAGCTGGCAATGTTGATTGTTCGCCACCAAGCTTCGCGGCTCGCAGCCACCCCGTAGAAAATGTGGGTTGACTATTGGACCCGTGGTTTCCCTCGGAGGAAATAGCATCGAATGTAATTATTGGCCATGACCACTAAAGCTCCTGTATTTTTCGGTCTCTGGCGCGCCTCGAATTTGCTTGGGCACTTTGCTGACTTCAAGAGTTCACTCATCGTCCTTCAACTTACTAGACACTATCCGATTATTTCGACCATTATCACTACAATCATATGGAGAGGTACCCATGGGGATATGTACTAGCAAATGCTGCTCTCCTTATCACGAGTTACAAAACCGTGACCGTCTATTGGTTCCCCCACAGCCATTTACGAGGCCTTTCCAGAAGGAAAGCATTATCACGTCAATCCAACTTCGACATGCAAACTAGCTTCCACATTGTCGTAGCGGTGGCAGGACGCTAAATAGGACCTTGTCAACCCCTCGTCACTTATTCAAATTGCCGAATATTCTTACTCAGTAAAGGTTGACTGTGTGTGCATCGTTATAATGCGTACTTTGCATTCATTACGCAAATTTGGGTTTAATGCTCGCGTTACAGATGCTTTTAATGATGCTCCAAGTGACTGGCAGCCGGCATATCTCGTGTTGGTGATGTTTTATATACAGCTATGATCGAGCCAAAGGCCGAAGTCGAATGACTTTCGTCTCTGATATTTCACTTGTGGCAGATCGCTGCAGATCGTTCTTGCTCAGGGGTAATAAGGCCCGATGGGATAACGCGAAATGAATGGTAGCTTAAACCCTATCGAGGGTAGATCGCCCTGTACATGACAGGCTCAACATCTCAATACTCGGGTGCAAAGTTTAGTTATGTATGTGCCCCATCTTTCGAGCCCTGAGCCCGTTACAATAACCGTTGGATCCCGTCAATGCATGAACGGCCGCGCCCCTAGTTCTCGACGGTCTGAAGACCACGGGGCGTGGGAATGCACCATCCTTATGGTTCTTCGGGGCATTTTCCACGTCCGAAATCACACCCGACACTATTAGACGAAGTATTCGGAAACGGCTTCCTAGACCGAATTAACTCGGCAGCCGAGCGGGCTGTGGGAGGCCATCATCATCGCTTAACAAAGCTGTGCTAAATGGGGGGAAGGCTATTAATCATCCTGCTTCGTGTGCACCTCACTACTGGCGCGCCCCTCAACGGCTTTTTTCGCGGCCCTTTGACGAGGTTACTTAATTTGAGCACAGGTTCCAGGAGCCAACGGTGAATAACAACGTCACGATTCGTAGGCGGCTTAACTGAGTGTTCCGGACCGTTCTCCCATGATTGGTGCATTCATACCCGTCAATTTGTGCTAGGGCTTGTAGCGTGCCGTCCACCACATCAGCATCCATGCGATGGCATGCTAGGTATACTGGATCGTGATGTCTGGCGCGCTGTATTTAGAATATGTTCATCGCCGTAGTGGAGATCATTAATCACCACATAGCAGGTTTGACCTGGCAACTTTCTTCCGTACGTGTTGATGGCCACTTTGGGCTACTGCGTCTATTCCAGAGACGAGGTTGGGCATGGTATGGAAGAAGCGTCAAGGCCATCTCACGGATGCCGTCTTCCATGCTTAGGTGACACGTGGGCTATGTCTTGCTTCACTCCGTCACCATGGTGCAATTAATACCCACTCGCTCTGGAGTCTTAGTAGAGCTGAACAACTGAGTAGCTCACCGACAGTCGTTGTCACCGTCCTGATTGGGAAACACCAGGTGTAGCGGTGAACCCGCCCGGCCCAGGAATTGCCATGATGTTACGACGAGGAATGAGGGGTTAAGAAGAACGGTTCGAGAGCGAGCAATCCATGACTTAGAAGGAGTCCTGGTCTGCGTCCATTTGCCATCATCCAGGACCGCGGTTGTCGTTATCAACCATGATAGCTACGCTGGGGCTTCTTCTTATTTGGAATTATCGCCAGACGCGCACAATACAACTGTAGGTGTTACAAAAATCACCGACTCCGGTTATAGACACCAAACCCCTTGCCAAGTTAGGGCACATTGCCAAGGGATTTGAAGGCCTTCAGCCTTATTCCAGCTAATGTACCATTGAACTGGGAATTGCATGTCTGTGTTCGCATATTCACCAATATTATCGAAGTGACCGCAAATGTGGTAATCAGCTGAGCAGCTTGGGATAGGGCCAGGTCGCCTAAAGGAGTTGCTACACTGGATAAGATTTGCGCGTACTCCTATTACGACCTCAAACCATCCGACCAACCAACGATTATTTACGTCTGTCCAAGTCTAAAGGGCTCAGGCTCGAGTGTATTTGCATTGCGTATGCCATGGAACCTGCGAACTGTCCCGTAGCGGCCATTGCTCTGTTTCCCCCTCTCCCTCCCCCCCCCCCCCTCTTCCCTCTCCCCCTCCCCCTCCCCCTTTTTTCTCTTTCCCCCCTCTCCTCCTTTTCTTCTCTTTCTCCATCATGCTGAGCC